CTCGCTGCGCGCAGGGCAGGCGGTAAAGCACGGCGGCCTCCTCTCTCGCCTCTCGGACCCCCTTTCCCCCCCTCTTCTCCCTGTTGTACCTGCACCGCAATCTACACGTCGTCGTTCCGCTCTCTCTTCTCTCTCTCCCGAGTGAGCACGCGACCGGCGAGGCGAGAGAGCGACCTCGAAATGCACAGACTGAAAGAGAGGTACAACAAAGTTCACGCTCGAAACCGCCGCCCGCCGCCTCTTTCGCTCGGCCCCTCGTCCACCAACGCGCAAGGCGACTTAGCGGTTCCGCTGGAAGGCCGACGATCGACCCATGAAGACGCTGCGTCGTCGGCGTCGTCGTGCGAGGAGCGTCAGTCGCGAGGGCACTCGAGAGACGAGGGAAAGAGGGGAAGGGTTGACGCACACCGAGAAGTCCATGGCCCACTCGCCGAGCTCGAGGTCTGCGTGAGAGACAGGGTCAACTTGCGTGCGTGGCAAGAGAGAGAGAGAGAGAGAGAGAGAGCGGGAGGGAGGGAGAGAGGGAGTGTGGACGCACAGCTCGACGCGAGGGCTCGCAGGTCGCGGTTCTTGATCTTGGCGAGCGCAGGTCTGTGCGACGGGTGGTTGGCGTTCGGCGGCAGAGGAAAGGAAGGAGGTGGGCAGGGTAGAGAGGAGGAGGAGGGTCAGCGGACGAGCCCCGAGAGGCGCGAGGGGGAGAGGAGAGAAGGGGAGCCGGACTCACGCGAGCCCGGTCGAGCGCTTGATGCCGGCGAGCACCATGGCAATGAGGACGGCGTCGAGGGCATAGTGCGTGAGCTGAGTTGAGCGAGGATGAAGGGGGACGAGGAGGAGGAGAGGGTCAGGACAACGACGAACGAGGGGAGGACAGCGGCGGGACGCACCCGGCCGAACATGGGCTGCTGCTGAGGAGCTTGAGCAGGCCCGATCTGGCGTACGAGGAGAGAGACGAGGTACCACGAGGCTCGCTCATCGTCGCCCGATGAGGCGGCGGCTTCTCCCCCTCTCGCTCTTCTCCCACCCGCTCGGCAATCTCGGTGAGTCGCACAGTCTACTCACAGGTGCGCTCGAGGCCACCCGAGCCAACACTGACCGCTGCCGCGCCACTCCCCGTCTCCCTCCCCCTCGCCTCCCCCACTCGGTCGGACTCGCCATCTCTCGCTCGCTCGCTCGCAGGCCAAGATGCACTTGTCCGCCGCCCTCGTCGCCACTGCCGCCCTCTCGGCCCTCTCGACCAACGCCCTCCCCGTCGACTCGCCCTTCGGCACCCAGGCCCAACTCGCCTTTGCCGCTCCTTCCCCTCCTTCTGCGCCCTCGCGCCTCGCCCCGGCCTCGCTCCCGACCGACGCCCTCGTTCAAGCACTCCGCCAGGTCCCCGCCGAGTACGTCGACCAGCTCGAGGCCCACATCGCGTCCCTCCCCGAGCGCCGCAAGGTCCGCCTCGCCGACGGCGCCGAGGCCCTCGACCTCTCCGAGGGCGAGAAGGCCCTCCTGTTCCTCGCCGGCCAGCGCTTCATCGACGTCACCGACGAGCACCTCGCGACCACGGCCGCCTCGGTCGCCGACAAGGGCGCCGCGCCGTTCCCCAAGTCGCTGTCGCACTCGGCAAAGGCCCTGTCGCACGTCTTTGCCAAGCTCGACAAGCGCCGCATGCGCGACTTCCTCGAGTCGTTCACCGGGTTCCGCACGCGCTACTACCGCAGCGACACGGGCAAGCAGTCGCAGCAGTTCCTCCTCGGCCAGGTGCGCCAGGTCGCCGCGAGCGACAAGTCGCTCGGCATCACCGTCCGCGAGTTTGCCCACCCGTGGGGCCAGAACTCGATCATTGCCCGCATCGAGCCGGCGCACGACGCCAAGAACCAGAGCGAGGCCGTCGTCATCCTCGGCGCCCACCAGGGTCCGTCCTCGTCTCCCTCTTCTCGTTCTCCCCCTCATCTCGTCGCCCTCGCCTCCTCGACTAGGCCCCTCACTGACAGTCCCGCACACGCGCAGACTCGACCAACCTCCTCCCGTTCCTGTCGGCCCCGGGCGCCGACGACGACGCGTCGGGCACGACCTCGAGCCTGAGCGCCTTTACCGCCCTCGTCGAGAGCGGCTTCCGCCCGAGCCACGCCCCGGTCGAGTTCCACTGGTACAGCGCCGAGGAGGGCGGTCTCCTGTGCGTCCCTCTGTCCTCGCGTCCTCTGTAACTGCGCCATGAGTGCGCGCAGATACTGACGAGATGGTGCTCGCGGATGGCGCAGCGGGAGCCAGGCGGTCGCGCAGGACTACGCCAAGCGCGGCGTCAAGGTCAGGAGCATGCTCCAGATGGACATGAGTGCGTTCAGCTCTCTCTCGGCCTGCGCGACGCTCGACCTCGCACTGACTCGTCCTCTTCCTTCTCGCCCAGCTGCTGTTCGTCCCTCTTCATCCCCTCTCTTCCACTTGGCTTTGCCCATCGATGTTCGACTCTCGCGCTCGGCCATCACGCCCGGCCTGCTCTACCTCTCGCCACGCCAATCCCGATCCTCCCTTCGCAAGGTCGACTTTTCCTTTCGAGCACGGCGAGCCTGACCTCGCCTCGCCTCCCCACCCTCGCAGTACGTCAAGCCTGGTACGAGCCCGACGATCGGCATCATCCAGGACTTTGTCGACCCGGCCTTCACCGAGTACCTCACTCGCGTCGTCGACGAGTACGGTCCGTCCTGCTCCCTCTCCTTTTCCCTCCCGCCCTCGCTCGAGAGCCTTGGTCGAGCAGTGAATTGACGCACCGAGCACCTGCAGCCGAGATCCCGGCCGTCAAGACCCAGGTGAGCCCGCTCGTCCATCCTGTCCGACTGTCCTCGAGGGGACGTGCGCACGGCCCTCGAGAGCTGTTCGCGCATGTCTGCGACCGTGGCTGACTCCTTTTCGTCTTGCGCGCAGTGCGGCTACGCCTGCAGTGACCGTGCGTGGTGCTCGTCTCATTTCTCACGTGGCGCACCCTGACCTCCTCGCACGCTCGCAGACGCCTCGTGGAGCAAGGTCGGCGCGCCATCCGCCTTCACCATCGAATCGACGTTCGAGGACTCGGGTGCGTCGCCTTTCTCTCTCTCGCCGTTCTCGTTCCTGCCCGAGCCACGAGGCTCACAAGCCGCCCGCCCCTCTCTCGCCCGCAGACAAGAACATCCACTCGTCGCGCGACACGATCGACCAGGACGGCTACTCGCTCGACCACGTCAAGCAGTTTGCGCGCGTCGCCATTGCGCTCGCCGTCGAGCTCGGCGGCGGCGCGTCGGTCGTCGCTTGAGCGCCGGACGCAGCCTCGTCGTCCTCGCGCTCTCGGGTCCTCCCTTCTCGCGCACTGCCTCGTACTTTCCGCCTCTCCTCTCTCTATCGACTATAGTGCAATCGCAAAGCCTCTCAAACATCGCGCGGGCTACCAGTGAATTAGAGAGCCCGCTCTCGGTCTTCATCAGCTGGCCGACTTTGACGAGCTCCCCAGGCGGCGGCACCGACTGTGAGAGGCCGCTCTTGACATGAGCGCGCCCCGATAGCTTTGCAGCAGCCACAGGAGGCGCCAGCAAGCTCGCCCGGGGCGGTGGACGGCGGGCAGTCGCAGCGAGCCGACTCGGGCGAGCCGTTTCGAGTCCTCGGCTTCTTATCCACTACCAGCTGCTGCCTCGACAAGCGCGCATTCTGCTGCACTTGCACCGCTTGCTCGACCTCATACGCCCCCGATCTCAGCTCGCCAGCCCCTCGCCGCACCCATGCCCCTCTTCCCCCGCTCGCCATCTCGCGGCTCCATCCCGCTCCTCAACTCGGCCTGCCCGTGGGCGTCGAGTGCGAAGGACCTCCGCGCGCTGTGGGAGTGCCCGTACACGAGCGCGGTGACGACTCGCACGACCACGCTCAACGGCTTTCCGGACGACTCGACCCGGCACCAGGTGCGCCCCGACTCTCTCCTCCTCGTCCCCCTCCTCGAGTTGCGCAGCGAGAGCTGACCGAAACGTACCTTCCACAGGTCGCCTTCTTCGGTCCCGACGCCCAGTCGTCGGCCAACTCGTACGGCTACTCGCCGCACCCGCTGTCGACCTACCTGTCGTGGCTCCGCCCGCTCGTCAAGGGCGCTTCTCCGGCGCAGCGCACCAAGAAGCAGCTCGTCGTCAGCATCACGGGCACGCCGGCCGAGACGCGCGAGATGCTCGTCGCGCTGCAGGCGTTCGCCGACGAGCACGGCGTGACGCTCGCTGCGGAGTACAACGCTAGCTGCCCGAACATCAAGGGCCACCCGCCGCCGGCCTACTTCGAGAAGGACCTCGCCGAGTACCTCGAGATCCTCGCCGAGCACGCGAGCCCGAGCCTCAAGGTCGGCGTCAAACTGCCGCCGTACACTTACGTGCGCCCTCGTCTCTCCTTTCCTCGCCCTCGTCCGTACGATCTGACGCGCTCTCTCTCGCACAACTCGCAGGACGAGCAGTTCATGGCCGTCATTCGCGCCCTGTCGTCCGTTCGCTCGCCGCCCTCGTCGTCCGCCAACGAGCACCCGATCTCCTTCCTCACGACGACCAACACGCTCGGCCAGGGCCTCGTCTTTACGCCCCAGATCGTCGACCCGCCGCTCCCGGGCTCGGGTGCGCAGAGCCAGGCGATGAAGGACGCCGCGCTCGAGGTGCATGCGCTCCCTGGAGGGTGGGGCGGACTCGCAGGCGCCGCCATCCACCAGACCTCGCTCGGGTGCGTCTCTCTCTCTCTCTCTCTCTCTCTCTCTCTCTCTCTCTCTCTCTCTCTCTCTCTCTCTCTCTCTCTCTCTCTCTCTCTCTCTCTCTCTCTCTCTCTCTCTCTCTCTCTCAGCGTACCCTCACTGACCGTGTCGACGAGCCTCGCAGCAACATCTACCGCCTGTCGCTCCTCCTGCGCGGCTCAGCTCCGGCGGGCGGTCCCTCGCCGCTCGGCGCCCCGACTGACCCGCGCCTCGCGTCGATCACGCTCATCGGCGTCGGCGGCGCGAGCGACGCAGCGGGCGTCGAGCGATTCAGGCTCGCTGGCGCAGACGCTGTCGTGCGTCGCCCTCGTTCCTCTCCCTCTCTCCCTCTCTCTCTCTCTCGCGCGCTTGACGGGACCTGACGAGCTCTTTTCGTGCGACGCAGGCGTGTGCAACGGCGCTCGGGAGGGAGGGCGTGAGCGTGTTTGAGAGGATGAGCGGTGAGGTGACGGCGGCCAAGCTGTAGCTCGCGGCGTATCTGCACGTCGTCGCTCTCTTTCCTCTCTCGTGCGCTCGACGACGTCTCGAGAGATGCAGAAAGGTCTTCGTTGCACAGCTTCAGCCCAGGTAGTTCCACACAAAGAAGTGGAGGATCAGAGAGCCGAAGAGGAAGTCGCCGAACGCTCTGCGAGAGGTGCGAGAGAAGGCGAGGTCAGTGACAGGGCGAGGGGGTCGGCTGCTCCTCAAGTCGAGCGCCACCAGCCTGCTCGAGACCCGGTCGTCTCACAGAGGAGGAGGACGTACCGTTCGGGCGAGAGCGAGGGAAACGTCGACGTGTTGGCCGGGTTGCTCTGGATCCGGAGCGCGCCGAGGAGGACGAACTGGCCGACCGCCGCCGCAAAGCTGCGTCGCGCGTACTCAGTGTCAGTTTAGGTCGATGCGCAGACGCCGAGAGGGGAAGGGAGAGACTGGAGCGCACCCGCCGATGAAGGCGTTGAAGGGAAAGTTGGTGACGGCGAAGCAGTAGACGAACTGGAAGACGCCGGTGAGGACGAGGAAGAGCATGGAGCAGTCGATGAGCTTGAGCTTTGGTGGGGCTGCAGGGGGTAGAGCGAGGTCAGTGTGGGGTCGGCGCTGCGAGGAGGACGAGGTGGAGGAGGCGAGGCGAGTGGACGCACTCTGCTCGCGGTAGTTGTCCCACAGGGTCGAGACTGCGCCGACGAGGCCCTGCGACTGCTCGCGCGCCTTGCCCTTGACGGTGCTGGCGAGAGCGGCGGCGGGCGAGGTGTCGAGCGGTGCATCGGTGGTGGAAGGGGTCGGGGCGGGCGGGCGAGCGGCGACGCGGCGGGACGGCATGCTGGGCTAACGATGAACGGGTCGGGCTGGACTGAAAGGTGCTCGAGGGAGAGCGGCAGGTCGAAACTGATGAGAGGGTGCGTGGACGAGGACGGTCGAATGACGCTCGTCGTCGCGGCCTCTGGAAGTTCAGTGCGGTACTGCAGCTGAGTCTGAGTACTGTACGACGCCTGATCGCCCGACCAGAACCACGCTCGAGAGCGGTGTCGCTGTGCTGATCGCTCGACCCGGCAGCCGCTCCTCCTTCATCTGCATCCACACCACGACCATGGCAAGCCTCGCCCTTGAGCTGCGCTGCAGAGCTCTGGACTGACCTCATCGCCGCCCACAGTCTCGTCACCGCGCCGTCAAGAACCTCGATCTCGCTGGTGAGCTCTCTCGCTCCCCGCTCCGGCCGAACCTCGCTCACCACCGTCTCCCTCGATACGCAGACGAGCTCGACGACAACTACGACGATGGCGACGACTACCTTCGTACGTCCACGCTCGCCCCCTCTTCACACGGCGAACAAGCTGACCCTCGTCCGCCTCGAGCAGAAGACATGACGTCGGAACAGCAAGGTGAGCAGCGTCGAGGCTGCCCCCAGCAGCTCCGAGACTGACTGTCGACACCTGCAGCACAAATGGCCGACGCGTTCGCCCAGGTCCAGAGCGTCCTCGGCACCGACACGGCCATCGCCGAGTCTACCATCCGCGACGCCTTGTGGGACAGCTACTTTGACGTCGACGGCACCATCGCGCACTTGCTCGGTGCGTCCACGCAGCTCTCTTCCTCCTCACGAATGCAGTGCTCACTCTCTCGGTATCCGCAGACGAGCAGCACAAGAAGGAGGCGCGGCGAAAGAAGGAGGAAGGTGAGAACGCGCTCTCGTCCTCGACTGGGTCTGCGTCTGCTGGAGGGTCGGGCAGTCGTGTCGGGTCGTCGAGTGTGGGCGAGCAGGAGGCGGCGGCGGCACCCCCAACCGCGTCACTCGCGTCCCTTTCCCTCGACCCACCCTCGTCCACCGCTCCTCCTCCTCCGCCCGCCCCGAAGAACAAGCTCGCCGCCAAGATGGCCGCCAACCGCGCCGCCAAGGCCGCCGTCTCTGCCCCTCCTGCCCCGTCCTCGACACCCGCACCCTCGTCCGCCCCGCCCGCCGAGAAGAAGCTCTCGAAGCTGCAGCAGAAGATGCTGTCGGCCCGCTCGGCGCGCGCGCAGCCCGGCGCCCCCACACCGCCTCCTGTCGCCGATGCGCCCGCCGTCGTCGAGGAGCAGCCCGAGCCGATGTCGGTCGACGAGCCCGCGAGCGCGCTCTTCGGCGCCTCGCCCGCGCTCGTCGCCGCCCCGTCGTCCTTCGCCTCGGCGCTCGCGCCCGCATCGTCGTCGGCTCTCGGCGCAGACGCAGGTGCCGTCCCGCTCGCACGCCGCCTCGCGACGACCATCTCGGTCACGGGCGGCGTCGCGCCGACGCAGGTGGGTGCGTTCGGGCCGAGCCCCGACGACAAGGTGCTCGAGGCGCGGCGGGGCACGGCGCTCGGCGGGACGGGCGCTGCGGCCAAGGTGCCGGTGCGGCGATGAGGCGGCGTCGGCGTGAGAGGGCGGCGCCCTGGGTCGGGCGCGAGGCGAGGCGAGGAGGCATCAGCACGGTTAGCCGTCCTCGACGCTCGATGTACAAGGTACTGACGCCGTCCGTCTCTCCCTCTTCTTCTCCTCCTCCTCCCGCCTGCGCATGCTCAATCTCGCCCTCTCCCTTCCCCCCTTTCCTCCTCCCCTCGTCGACCCGCCGTCCCCTCCCTCTCGCAGAAGCTCGCCTCGCCAAGCAGGCCCGCAAGGCGGCCTCGACCACCGCCAGCAACCCGCCATCTCGACCCATGACGCCGTCGGGCAGCGCCGGCGCGTCGCCGGTCAAGGTCTCGCTCAAGAAGGGCGGCACAACGTCGGCGGCGGCGGCGGCGGGCGGCAAGGCGCCGGCGGCGGGCCCGGTGAGCGCGTTGCGGGGCGACATGGAGGCGATGGGGCTCGTCGATGGGGCATCGGGGCCGTTGGCGCGCGAGCGGGAGGAGGCTGAGCGGAGGAAGCAGGTCGAGGAGCAGGCGGTGCCGGCCGTCAGCATCACCAAGGCCAAGATCCTCGAGGAGGTCAAGGCCAAGGAGGCGGACCAGAAGCCCGTCCTGTCGCTCGTCGTCGTCGGTGCGTCCCTGTCTCTCTCTCTCTCTCGTCGTCCTCGTCGAGCGCTCGGACCCACCCTGACGACGGACGACGTCTCGCAGGTCACGTCGACGCGGGCAAGTCGACGCTCATGGGCCGGGTCCTGCACGAGCTCGGCGAGACGAGCGACAAGGAGATCTTCAACTACCAGCGCCAGAGCGAGAAGATCGGCAAGGGCAGCTTCGCCTACGCGTGGACGTTCGACGCCATGGAGGAGGAACGCGAGCGGTGCGTCCCCTCCCTCTCATCCTCTCCTTCCCCTCCCTGTGACCTTGCCTGACGTAGCTTCCACTGCAGAGGCGTCACCATCGACGTCGCCATCGACTCGTTCGAGACGACCCGCCGCCGGTTCACGCTCATCGACGCGCCCGGCCACCGCGACTTTATCCCCAACATGATCTCGGGCGCCGCTCAAGCCGACGCCGCCGTACTCGTCGTCGACGGCTCGAACGGCGGGTTCGAGAAGGGCTTCGAGGGAGGAGGGCAGACGCGCGAGCACGCCGTCCTCGTTCGGAGCTTGGGCGTCCAGCAGCTCATCGTCGCCGTCAACAAGCTCGACACGGTGCGTCCGACTGATCCTCCTATCCTCGCTCGTCGAGCCTGCCACGCGCGGGCGCTCGAGCTCGTAGAAGTTGTCGAGCACTGACACCGCTTTGTCCCGCAGGTCGGCTGGTCGCAGAAGCGGTTCGAGGCCATTCGCGAGTCGCTGCAGCCCTTCCTCACCCAAACGGGCTTCAACCCGGCCAAGGTCGCCTACGTCCCTGTCAGCGCCATGTCGGGCGAGAACCTGACGCGCCGCACGAGCGAGGTGCTCGAGTCGTGGTTTGAGGGTCGGTCGCTCGTCGAGGAGCTCGGTGCGTCCCCTGCTCTCGCCCCTTCTCTACGCCCAGTCTCGTGTACGTGACCTGACCTCGAGCATGCGCACAGACTCGCTCGACGTCCCTCAACGCGCCCTCGAGGCCCCGCTCCGCATTCCCGTCTCGAACGTCTTCAAGGGCCAGTCGGCGACCGCGTCGGGCCTCGCCATCTCGGGCCGCATTGAGAGCGGCATCGTCCAGGTCGGCGAGAAGCTCGCGGCGCTCCCTGGCGACGAGACGGGCGTCGTGCGCGCGCTCGAGGTCGAGGGCGAGCTCGTGCCGTACGCGCTCGCCGGCTCGAACGTGACGGTCTACCTCTCGGCCATCGAGGCGAATCAGCTCAGGTGCGTCTCCTCTCTCTTCTTGCCGAGCTCCCCGAGGTGCGACACGACCTGACGACGCCCCTTTTGACGACCTCCTCGCAGCGTCGGCTCGGTCCTGTGCCCGCCCTCTCAACCAGTGCCCGTCGCGTCGTCGTTCCTCGCGCAAATCATCGTGTTCGAGCCGCAGTACCCGATCACGGCCGGCTACGCCGTCGAGCTGTTCCACCACAGCCGCGACATCCCGGCGACCATCGTCGCGCTCGAGGCCCTCCTCGACAAGACGACTGGCCAGGTCACGCGGTCCAACCCTCGGTCCGTCTCTCTCGCTCTTTCTCTCTCGTCTCTGTCTGTGCGCTCTCGAAGAAGCGAAGCACTGACTCGTCGGCGTCGTCGTCGCGCAGCATGCTCACGAAGAACACGTCGGCGCGGATCCGGGTCCAGCTGCGACAAGCCGCGAGCGCAGGCCGCACGAGCGGGATCCCGCTCGAGCCGTTCTCGGTCAACAAGAGCATGGGCAGGGTCCTGTTCCGCCGAGGAGGAGAGACGGTCGCTGCCGGGATCGTGCTCGAGGTTCTGCAATGAGACCGGCTCGGCCGACCGTCCCAAACTCGAGAGCTGTCCTTTCCTCTCCTCGCCTTGTGAGATAACGAACTTGTACGAGAGAGCAAGAACTGCATTGCGCTCCGTCTACGCTCGTCCACCGAGTCCTTCCTCGTCGTCGGCCTCGTCCACCTCGCCCTTGAGCTCGCTGTCCATCCTCTCGGCGTCCTGTGCGCCCTGGTCGACCTCGACCCTGACGAGGACCGGCACCGCAGCCGCCATGAGGGCCGCGATGAGGATGAACCCGTGTCGGATCTCGCCTGTCGCCGTCGTGACGGTCGCGACGAGGAGCGGGCCGAGGAAGCTCGAGCTCTTGTCCGTGATCGAGTACAGGGCAAAGTAGGCTGACGCACGTGCGGGCGGGATGATTTGGGCGTACAGGGCGCGCGCGAACGACTGGAAGGCGCCAAAGAGGAACCCAAAGACGACGGCGAGGAGGTACATCTGGCGAGCCGTGCGCAGGGCGACGAGGCCGTACAGCGGGACGCCGAGCGACAGGACGACGAGGGCGACGAGGATGCGGTGCGTCGAGAGGTGCAGGTGGGCGAGGGCGGTGTGCGACTGGAGGAACGGGCACACGAGGGCGCCGATGAGGCCCGAGAGAGGCGTGAGGATGGCGACGTAGATGAGCGACGACGTCGCGAGGCCGAGTGACGTCTTGGCGAACAGGACCGCGGTCGACGTGATGGTCGCAAAGGCTGCGAGATGCAGAGAGAGTCGTCAGTCTCGCGTCGAGAGAAAGACGGGAAGGGCAAGGGCAAGAAAGAGTCTGAGTGACGCACCGTCGCTCAGAAGGAACCACGCCGCGAGGAACTTGAACGCCTGCGGCAGCCTCCTCCACTCGCGCAGCATGTCGACGAGGCCGCTCCACCCGTTCCTGACCGCCCCTGCCCACGAGCGCGCTTTGACCCCTCGTCCTCCTCCCGCGCTCCTCCTCGCCGACGACCCGCCGCCCTCCCGCTCGCCGTCGCCGCCACCCCCTCCCTCGAGCGGCCGCAGCCACGCCGCAGCCGGCACGCTCCCGACGAGCCACCACGCGCCGCTAACGGCGACGGCGACCCGGAGGGGCCACGTGCCCGGGCCTCCTCCCCCGCCCGCCGAGCCCGACAGCGCCTTGACGACGGGCAGGAGCGCGACGAGGACGGCGATACCCGCCGCGTAGCCTGCGGCGATCGCGCGCGCCGAGAGCGCCGCCGTCGCTCGGCCGCGCGCGGCGGCGTAGGCGTCCGAGGCCCGTGCGAGCGACTGGGACGAGCCGAGGAGGGCGTCGTCGTCGTCCTCGTCAGGCTCGGGGACACTCGACAAGGGAGAGGGAGGTCTGGCGTGTGGAGAGGTGGTGCGCGAGAGGAACGAGTGCTGGGCGGCGTCGAGGGCGCCTTGAGCGAGGAGGACGGCCGGATCGAGGCGGCCGAGGTCGGGAACTGCGCGAGGCGCGCCACGTCCCCATCAGGACGACTGCTCTCTCGCAAGAGTACGTCGAGAAGGAGAGAAGCGCCGGACGCACGGTACGAGTTGAGGCACACGATCGACGCGCCGAACGAGACGTTGGCGATGAGCGCGAGGAGGGCCGCGGTGGGCCACAGGCTCGAGCCGGACGGGACGGCGAGGAAGAAGATGCAGGCGAGGGAGCCGACGAGGGCAAAGAGGGACAAGAGGCGGTGGCGGATGTAGGCTGCGCGAGCGGGAGGGAGGAAAGGGGTCCGAGGGTCAGGAGCTTGGCCGGGCGCGCGAGAGAGAGTAGGGAACGGTGGGACGCACGGTCGTCGGCGAGTCGGCCCATCGAGATGACCGTGAGTGCTTGAGCGGCGACTGACGCCGAGTACGTCAAGAGCGCGACCGAGGCTGCGAGGAGAAGCGACAGGACCACGACTCGAGGGGTCAGTACGGCCCTCTCTCGACGTGGCGAGCGCTCCAGACGCACCCGTATCGACCCAGACCCCGAGAACACTCACCGCGCACCGCGCCTGGTCCCCCTCGGCCGCGCCCTCGCCTGCCCCTCCTCCCGCACCAAGTCCCGACGGCGGACAGCCTGCGACAAAGTCCGGCGCGAGCCGCCCGTTCTCGCGGGCGTACGTCTCGAGCACGACAGGGAGGAAGAGGGTGCCGGCGACGATGACAAAGACCTGTTTTGCGCGAGAGCTGGGTCAGCGGCATTCACGGAGAGGGAGTCGAGGGGGGGCGAAAGAGAGAGAGGGAGCGCACCTCGCTCGCGACCGAGTAGGCAAAGAAGCCACGCCTGAGCCTCCTGACCTCGCTCGCGGCGGGTTCGAGGCGGCGCACGGCCGGCCGGGGCAAGAGCGACGCCGCCTCGTCGTCGTCGGCGTGGTCGAGCCTGGGCGAGGACGGCGCGGCGAGCGCGAGCGGGAGGGCGGGCGCAGCGGGTGCGAGGCCGACTTGTAGCTCGTAGCGGGCTGCAGCGAGGGTGCTCATGCCATGGGTAGCGCCGAGCGGGGACGCGTCGTGGGAGAGCGAGGCGGAGATGAGGAGCCGAGGTGGGGGACACAGCGCAGCAGCTGCAGGGCACCGCCTGCTGGCAAAGAGCTCTCGTGGGACCCAGCTATCCTCTAGACGAACGAGCACCGCCCGCTCTCTCGTGGCTCTCTCGCTCGCTCGCACCCAGCTCGTCGCTCGAGGTCCCGCAAGTCATGACCGCGCTGTTACAAAACACCCAGCAAGTCGCCGAGCATTCTAGTACTGCCAGACGTTCTTGAGGACTGCGTGCGAGGGCGAGGGGGCAAAGGCGAGGTCAGGGACGGTTGCGGCGAGGGCGGGTCGAGAGCGATGGCTCGAGGGTGAGGGGAGCGGGCCGAGGACGCACGGCCGTCGTTGGTCGCGAGCCTGTAGCGAGGGGAGCAAAGTGTCAGTGAACAACGTCGCGCAAGGGGGCCAGGGGACAAGGAGAGAGAGGGAGAACGGGGCGCACCTGTTGAGCGAGTCGTCGGCGTCGCCAGTCTCGCGAACCGAGCCGCAGAAGGCGTAGGTGAGGTTCGAGCCCGTCATCTTGCCCGACTCGTCGACCTCGGCAACGTTGATCTGGACCGAGGCGTGGTCCTTGGCGATGATGAGGCGGTTGGTCGCGCTGCACTTGCGCGGGACGTAGAGGTCGACGACTTGGCCCTGCGGGTGCGCGAGACTGAGGTCAGCACGTTGCCTTTCATCTGCAACCTGCAGCTCGACCAGGTTGTGCAGGTAGATGCATGGCTGGCCGAGCAGGTCGGAGGACGAGAGAGAGCGGGCGGGCTCACCTGGTCGTTCTGCATGGTGACTGCGCTGTGATCGAGGGAGGGGGGCACAAGGTCAGCTCGCCGTCCTGAGAAGAATGAGAGTGCGCACTGGTAGTCCCCCCTCCTGTCCCTCTGTCCTCGTGGCCCCCCAAGCCCGCAGACGAGCTGCTCGTGCTGGTCCTCCGAGGCGTCCACTCCCCCTCGAGGCTCCCTGTGCCGCGCGCTCCGACGTGCGCGCCGTTCGAGCGAGGGCTGGCGCAGTGTGCATGTGCGCAGTTGGGCGCAGGTAGTGCAGGTGGGCGAGTGCGGGTGCGAGGTGCCGGGGGGGACGACTTTTGCCGGGCGACGACGAGGCGCACGAGGGTGGGAGTTTGGGGAGGGTCGAGGGTCGAGTTCGGGTGTGTGGTCGGTGTAGGGGGTGCAGCTCACGGAGTGGTGCAACGGACGCGGTTGTACGAGGAGAGAAGCGAGAACGAGGCCGTCTCGCAGGCCGACCAGAGCACGGCTCCATCCTCGTCCACCTCGCCTCCTCCACAGCTTTACCCACCCGCTGGGGCACCCTGGTCGCGCCCTAGCTGCCTTGCACCGACTACTCGCCACCCGCACAAACTCGAACGGCCTCACCACCTCGTGTCGTCGTCGCGTTCACCTTCCCCCCACCTCCCTCTCCTCCCCTGCTCCTCCTCGTCCTCTCCCCTCGTCCCGCCCCCGCCCATGGTCGCGCCCATGGACCCGCCCCTGTCGGCACCAGACGGCACCGCTGCCTACCTCGAGGCCGTCCAGGCCCGCCAAGCCCGGTTCCGCCCCTCTCGCGCCGCCCTGTCGCCCTCGGCCCGCTACTCGTTCGAGCCCGCGTTCAACATCCCGCTCGCCCAGGTCCACGCCCACGCCTTTGCCGCACCGCCGTGCTCGTCCCACCTCTACACCGGCGGCTCGGACGGCTTTGTCCGCCGCTACGCCCTCCACTCGACCTTGAACGGCACCCCGGCCGCACCCAACCTCACGTCCAAGCCCGGCGGCCACGAGCGCCCGCCCGGCACCGACCTGCGCCAGCCCGTCCTGTGCGGCTACTGGGAGAACGAGGAGCCGGGCGACTGGGCCGACGACCTCGCTCCACCCGCTCCCGCATCCTCGTCCTCGCCGTCGTCGGCCGCGCTCGAGCCCGTCCAGGCCGCCCACGCCCAGGCCAAGCTCCGGTGGGGCCCCAAGAGCGCCGCCCTCGGTCCGCAGAGCGCCGTCTACAGCCTCGCCGTGCAGCGCGACGAGCTGTGGGGCCTGAGCGGCACGGCGCGCGGCAGCATCAACCTGTGGACCGTCCGCCACGACGAGGGCCAGATCCGCCACGTCTTTCGCCCCGACGCCGGCGGCTCATCGTCGCCGTCGGGTCACTCGCCAAAGGCCGCCGTGTCGGTCCTGAGCCTCGACAGCGCCGAGACGACCTTTCTCAGCGGCGCCTGGGACGGCCGCATCCTCGTGCGTCCCTCTCCCTCTCTTTCTGTTTCTCTCTCTCTCGTGCGCACCTCGAGACTGACTCGTCGCGCCTACCGCCCCGCAGCACTGGGACCTCGACACGGGCACCTCGACGCGCGCCTTCCTCGGCCACGCTGCCCAGGTGAGCTCGCTCGCGCGCCGCCCGACGCACGCGCCCGTCCCGCTCGACCTCGGTCGGCGTGCGCGAGCGAGCGACGGCGACGACGTCGACATGGGCGAGGGCGACGAGGACGAGCGGCGCGAGGACGCGCCCGGACGCGTCAGGGCGGACGAGGAGGCGGCGGCGGCGGCAGCGGCGGCGGTCGACGACGGCGGTGAGGGCACAGGTGCGAGAGGTGGAGCGGGCACGAGGAGCCGGCGGGCGTCGACGAGGGCGGCGGCGGCGGCCAAGAAGGACGACGCGGCCGCGGCGGCACCACCACCGTCTGCGGCCGTCGCCGAGGACGACGCCGACGCCGATGCAGACGCCGATGCCGACGGCGAGATCGACGACTCGGTCCTCACCAACACGTCGCCGCGTGCTGCGCTCCCCTCGCTCGTGCCGGACTACGCCAAGCCCGACCGGATCCCGCTCGTCGGGTCCTCGTCCTCGTCCTCGGACGGCGTCGACGGCGACATGGGCGGCGCGACGAGCGACGACGTGTTTGTCAGCACGGGTCTCGACGGCACGGTGCTGCTGTGGGACCGCAGGGTCGCCGAGGGCGAGGGCGTCGTGCGGCGGTGGGACGGGTACGAGGCGCCGGCGGGCGAGAGGGGCAAGATGGAGGGCGCGAGCGGCGGCAGGTGTACCTCGGTGCGTCGGTCGTCCTCTCTCTCGTCTTCTCGAGGCTCTCTCAAAGGGCCTGAGCTCACGTCGTCCAGGCGCGTCCCGTCCGCAGGCCTGCTGGTCGCCGTCGGGCTCGCACCTGTACGTCGCCCGCCGCGCGCCGTCGATCCAGGTGTACGACCTGCGCCAGTCGGCTCCGCTCTCGACCCTCGCGCTCCCGCCGTCGACGGGCCCCGTGAGCGCCGTCGCGGCGCTCCCGAACGGGCAGCACGTCGTGAGCGCGAGCTGGGACTGCGTGCGGCTGTGGGACGTCGAGCGCGCCATGCGCGCTGCGGCGGCGGGCGGCGCGGACGGCGCGGCCATGCCCAAGGGGGCGACGGTCGTTCCGGCGGGGCACTACGGCGGGACCGTGAGCGCCATGCGTGCGTCCTGCGACCCCTTCCTCCTCCCTCGCGGCGTCCCCTTCCCTCCCTCCCTCGATCGCTCGATCACTGACTCGCCTCTCTCTCTCGTGCAGACATCGATCCTGCATGCCGGTGGATGTTCACGACGTCGGGGAACCGAGGGTGGGACGGCACGTCGACCGAGAGCTTGAGCATCAGCGAGATCCGCGTGCAGCTGTAGACTCAGATCTCTCGTCGAGGCGCAGCGTGCCCCTTTGCAGTGCAGCTCTCTCGAGTGGTTGCGCACGTTCGAGAGTACGATCGAGAGTCGTTCGCTGATCCCAAGCCTCGCAAAGTGACAGCGAAGCCGACCCGCCCGTCCAAGTGTGCGTTCGGCCGTCGGCCGTGCCGCTCTCGCTCTTCACACGACGCCGCGCTGCCTCTCTTGCGCACGCGGGCACCAGCACTCGCTCCAGCCAGGCCACACTACACGGCACAGCGACTTCGGCGCACCGCTCGTCGCCCTCACGCCCCTCTCCCCCGACTCGCCCGTCCGTCCTCATCAGACCCTTCCACCCTCTCGCGACCCGCCCTCGCCACCTGATCCCCCCGCCGTGCACCGCCCAACGGGCAGCCAGGCGCCGCATGCCCAACTTGACCGTCGACGACCAGGACAGCCGCGTCCTGTACGCCGGCCCGTGGTCCCACTTTCGCGGCCTCCCCGGCGACAAGTACAACGCGTCCGACTGGCTCGGCGGCACCTTCTCGTCGTGCGGCACTGGGGAAGGGACGGGCAGCGGCAGCGGGAGCACCGGCGGGAGCAAGAAGAGCGGTGGGCCAGGGTGCGAGCTGAGGGTGAGCTTCGAAGGGACGAGCGCGGCCTTGTTCGGCGACACGAACGGCAAGCACGGCCAGTTCAGCTGCCGGTTGCTCGACGAGCGAGGACAGCCAGAGGGCCTGTGGGGGTGGTACGACGGCGGCAGCAGGTGGTGGTGGCCGTACCAGCACAACGCCGTCCTGTGCAGGTGCGCCCGCTCTCCCTCTCTCTCGTCCCTCCCTGCCGGCCCGTCACTGACTCTACAGCCACCGCAGCGTCTCGAGCTTGCCCTACGGGGAACACACGCTCGTCCTCGACGTTCAGCCGGACCAAGTCGCCGACGGCATCGCCGTGCGTCCCTTCTCTTTCCCCTCGAGCGACCCGCACGAGGCCCTCCCTGACGCCTCCTTCCCTCCTCGCGCAGTTCGACTACATTACGAGCACTGACGACGTGCCAGAAGGAACCGCGACGTTGTGGAGCAGCGACTTTAACGACGCCGTGCCGCCCTCGGCCTACCGCAACACGACCGCGCTGCCTTTCCTCCCCGTCAACACGGCCTCGTTCGCCCCTGCGCCCTCGTCGACCTCGCCTTCTTCCTCCTCGGGCGTCAACAAGCTCGCCGTCGGCCTCGGTGCCGGCCTCGGCGGCTTCTTCGCCATCCTATCGCTCGTCGCGCTCGGCATCTTCTTCGTGCACCGCAAGCGGCGGCAACTGCGCTCGCGAGCGTCGCACCGCCACGAGGCCCTCGGCAGCTACGACGCCGACTCGACGTGGTACCCGGAGCCGGCGAGCGAGGCGGGTCAGCTCGGCGGCCTCTCGCCGGCTTCGGCGAGAGGGGCAGACGGCGAGGGCACGGGCCGCGAGCCGGGGCACCAGGCGCCGACGATGACGGGCGCGCGCGTGAGCTACGCCGACTCGCCTCCGAGCCCGCGCGGCTACGAGTCGTCGCCGGCGAGTGGGACTGGGTACGAGGCTTGGACGCCCGAGGGCACGTCCGGCCCTGCGACGTTCGACTCGAGGACACCTTTCGGTGCGCCACCTTCTCTCTCTCCCTCTCTCCTCCACGTGAGCCTGACTGACTCCTTCCTCTCCTACAGTCTATCCCGCTCTCGGCGCCCCTCCTTACGGCTACGACCAACCGGCCGCCTACCCTCCTCTCGGCCCTCCCTCTTCTTCCGCCGCCCCTCTCCTCGCCCCAGTACCCGTCGTCACTGCGCCAGTACCTCACAGCGTCCGACGCTCGTCGGCGGTGCCGTCGGGCTACTCGTCGCGCAACTCGCGCGTGTCGACCGTCATGGACCTCCCGCCAGATGCGCCTCTCGAGGACCCGCAGTCGTTCGCCGAGCGATAGCGACTCGCGCCACTGTACCACTCGAGACTCGCGAGCAGCAGCAGACACTTTCAGTTATCACAGTCCGTCGCCGTCGCCGTGCAAGGACACTTTCATCGTCTCGTGCCGGCGGTCCGAGCGGCAGAGCAAGAGAGACTCGAACGCGCTTCTCGCTCGTCCGTCCGGCTCGAACGGCTCACGCTCGCGCCGCTCGGGTTGCTCTTGAGCGTCTCTTGCCGACGGCGCGGACGTTCCGGTCCGCCGCTCTTTCGCTTTACCCTCTGTCTGCAGCCCTCTCGCGGTCGCACGCTCGCGCAGCATGTCGCGCAAAGCTCTCCACGTTCAGCCAGTCTTCGTCTCGGGCACCCCCGGCGTCCAAGTCTTCCGCTTCCAGCAGACGCAGGCTCGGCTCCCGCAGACGGTGAGCTCCTCGCCCTCGCCTCTTCCTCCTCGCCGCTCGACGTCTGACCTCAATCTCTCTCTCTGCGCAGGCCTCGCACTCGATCGGCAAGGCGGCCCACGCCGGCGGCGTCAACAAGCGCGCCCTCGCGGCCGGCCTCATCACGCTCGCCGACATGAGTCTCGTCGCAGGCGGGTACGAGCTCGGGCGGCACATCGAGCGCAAGAAGGAGCTCGAGCGGCTCGCGTACCCGCACGGGCTGTCGACGAGGCAGGGGGCGGTGTACGCGCGGGCGGCGCAGGCGGGCGGACGGTGAGCGCAAGTTGGCGCACGGTCCTCTTCTCCTGGCACTCTCCTCCTCGCCTCTCTTTGTACTCCTCCCTTTGTCCTGCAACCTTGTGGTTCTGCTCGCGTCGAGTTCTCTGCGTTGAGGCTCGTCGCATCCGTGCGAACCGCAGGGGAAACGCTCAGCCGTCCGTCTTTGTCCGCGTCCGCGGACTCTCCGGCACCTGCTGTCCGAGCCCGCGCATCGTCCGCTGTCCAGCTCTCTTCCCTGCTCTCCCATTGCCTGCAGAATGTCACCCCGCCTCGACGACAGCAGCCGCCGCTACCTCGACCGCCTCGACGCACGGACCGCGCTTCGCCACGTCAACAACGCTGTGCGCGAGACCGGGCTCGCAGGCCGGCGAGCGGGTGACATTGCTCGGCGCGAGCTTGAGCATGGCTGGCAGGCGGTCGACCGCAAGATGGACGACTCGACGCTGCTGGGCTCAGGCGCAGGTGGCTCGCCATTCGCGTTCACCGAGGTGCGTCGGCGACTCTCCCTCCTTCGTCCTCCTGTGCAAGATCGCCGACTCGACTGACTTTCCTCTCGCACGCAGTGGGACGGCCTGAAGTGGGCGGCGGGCAACGCAGTGAGTGGCGCGCTCGCACGCTCGGACCCTGCCTCGTGGCTGACCTTCCATGAACCGCACGCAGGCCCGGTCGGCGCAGCGCGAGGCCAGCCTCGTCCGTGCGCAGCTTCGGCATCTCCCGCAGGTGCGTCCGACTCGGCTTTTGTCGCTCATGAAGCGCGGACTGACCTTCACCGCCACCACAGCTCGTCTCGGGCGCACCCTCCTCGTCCACCGCCAACCTCGAGCGAGGCGTGCAGCTGCACGGCAGTTTCGCGAGGCGCTACCTCGGCTATGCGGCCAAGGACGGATACGAAGCGCTGCGCCAGGCCGAGATGGCCGGGCGGTACGCTTTCGAGGTCGGCGCGAGGAGGCTGCTCGCGAGCGGCCAGCCCGAGAAGGTACGTCCGCGCTCCCCTCATTCCTCTCTCGTCCTCTTTCCCGTCGTCCTCGTCGTTCTCGTGGTCTCGCGTCACGAATTGACGACCCTCTTTGACCGCTCGCAGCGCCAGGTCTTCAAGTCGCGCTCGCCGGCCGACCCGCTCACAAACCTCGCCGACCAGCAGGAGCGCGAGCGCCACGTCTCGCAGGGTCTCCTCGCATCTGCAGGTGTCGCAGCAGACGTCGGGCTCGGCTACGCGCTCGAGAAGGCCGTGCGGCGGCGCGAGGGGAGGTCGAGAGCAGCGGCGGCACGGGGCGGCGGACCGAGCGGGCTTTGAGGCTCGTCGAGCAGCGCCGACGACAGACACCACTTGTCGTCTCGCAATGAAGCCTCTCGTTCGCCTCTGTCGCGTCCGGAAAGAGCGCAAGCGAAATTCCTTCTCACGAGCGACCTTCTCAAGTTGCGGTGGCGGCGAGAAAGGGTCTGAAACGATCACAATGCAGCTCCAGAAGACGTCTATACGCGCGCAGAGAGGGAAGGAGAGGGATAGCTCTAGTCGTCGACAGCCGTCTCGGGGCCCTCATTGATGGCCTGCAGCTTGAAGTGCTCGCGCAGGTCGGCGCGCGTCTCGCCCGGCAAGTTGGCGCTCTGCGACCGGCTGTTCTTGCGCTGGCGGACCTCGGTGAGGCGAGCAGCCTGGAAGACCTTGGGCCAGCTGACGGCGACGGCGCTCGAGGAGAACGTCTGGTCGATGCTGCGAGCGAGGCCAGAGTCAGTCGGTGAAGGAGGGAAGATTGAGAGAGGGGCCGACGCACTCCTCGAGGGACTTGCCCATGACTGTGTGTCAGAGTCTACGAGTCAGTACGCGCTCAAGGAAGAGGAAGGAAGGCAGGAAGGAAGAGAGGAGGCGCTGAAGGAGGAAGAGGACGAGAAAGAGGGGCCGAGCGTGGTAGCGAGGAAGGAAGATGTAGAGGGGCGGAAAGAGACAGGTGACGATGGAGAGAGAGATGAACTGACCCTCGAACATGAAGGCGAAGCCAAAGACGACGCCGATCGCCGTGCAGGTACCGTAGAAGGCGTAGCAGGCCCAGCTCGACGACTCGAGGAACGCCGGACCCGATGCCGCGACGGCAAAGTTAATTAGCTGATTCGCTCCTTGCCCAGTACTCGTTGCTGCTGCGCGCGTCCGAGTAGGCTGTATCTCGGCGGCGTACCTGTCCGTCGAAGGAAGAAAAAGAGTTTCAGTCAGGCCTGACGACGGCGACGAGCGCAAGAGAGAGTGGACGCACAGCTTGGTCAAGATGCTCCACGAGCTCGTAAAGGACACGGCGAACAGCTCGATGAAGACGATGACGGCGTACTTGCCCGCCTGGCTCTTGTGCGGGACGCCGGTCGCGTAAAGGATGGCGAGCACCTGCTCGAGCCCAAGAGTCAGTCGGGCGACGACGACGACGGCGAGAGGACGAGAGAGAGACGACGCACATAGTGGCAGAAGGCCGTGCACGTTCCGCCGACGATCCAGATCTTGCGGCGGCCGACTCGGTCGATGTAAAAAGTGCCGGCGATCGTACAGGCGACGAGGACGAGGCCGGTGCAGCCCGACGCGATGAACGACGACGTGCTCGGGTCGAGGCCGGCCTGGTTGAAGAGTAGAGGGGCTGCGAGGAAGAGAGGGTCAGTGCGGGTTCGGCCGCCGTCCCTGGGCGAGTCTGAGGCGATTGAGCGAGGCGAGGGCGTACCGAAGAAGAGGACCTGTTGCTCGAGAGTACGAGAGTGTGTCAGAGACGAGGAGTCTGGAAAGGAAGGAAGTCGCGAGAGCACGAGACGCACAAAGTCGATGCCGCTCAACTGCTGGAACATGTTGAGCGCGAGGCCGAGGATCGTCCTGCCTCGCACGCCGGGTCGCCAAATGTCCATCAGCGACTCGAGCTGCGACTTGTGCGCCCCAGTACGCGTCGCCGGGATCTCGAGGAGCTCGCGCCGCTCGTCGGCGTGGTTCGGGGCGACGAGGTAGTCGATGACGTGCCGGGCCTCGTCGGTGCGGCCTTTTGACAGGAGCCACCGAGGCGAGTACGGGAGGAAGAGGGCGCCGACGGCGAGAACAGACGCCGTGACCGTCTGCAGGATGAACGGGACGCGCCAGCCGAACGAGTTGGGGATGTTCACGGTGCCGTACGAAACAAAGAAGCCTGCGGCGACTGTCGACGGCGAGAGAGCGAGTCAAGTAGACGTACGGGACGAGAGCGAGAGAGTAGACGCACCTGCGCCGGTGCAGAAGATCTGCTGAAGGAGGAGCATTTGCGACCTGAGGTGCCTCGGCGAGATCTCGGTCAAGTAGACGCCGAGGCACCCAAGGAAAAGACCCTCGCCGGTACCAGCGATGCAACGGCCGACGATGAGCATGGCGAGAGAAGCTGTCGCGGCTGCACTGACGGCGGAGCCGACGGCAAAGATGAGGGCGCCAAGGGCGATGCTGCGCTTGCGCGAGATTTTGTCGGCGACGTTGCCCGCGATCATGCCCGTGATAGCCGAGGGTAGAAGAATGACCTGGCGGGCGAGGAGAGTGTGAGCGACCGAGTGCGCTGTCGAGGAGGAGGCGGAAAAGGGAGGAGGAGCGACGAGGAGAAAGTGGACGTACGGCGACCGTGATACCGCGCACCGTCGGGGTAAGCTTGCCGAAGTCGTTCACGAAGGTTTCCATCTCGGTGATTGCGCCAATGCTGCCCGTGTCGACTGCAGAGAGGAGCGAGGTCAGCTGGCGGTGCTTTCGACTGCGGCCTCCGCACGCCTCGCTCGCCCCGCCCTGGCGCCCGACTGAGAGAAGGGATAGACTCACACCCGAATAGACCAGCAGCAAGAGAGGCGAGCATAGTGCAGCCGACCACGCGTACGGAGTGCTTCGAGGGGCGGTGAATCTTGGCGACGAGGGCGCTCATGGCCGTTGTGGAGATCGCGCGCTGAGCTGGGCGGGTAGCGACGCGGTGCAGCAGTCGGTGGCTAGCAGCAGCGGCTCGCCAGGCGGTGTGTGGGAGGAGACCGAGCTGCTTTTGTCGTCGCCGGCTGATGAGATTCGAGCTTCCCCAGAATTTGACCGAGCAAGGGGGAACGGCGCGCGGCTCGCTCGTCGCTGGCGCAACTCTGTGCACGCTCGTCGCAGGGACTCTCCCAGTTTAGCCACGCCATGACAGCGATCTACGACGACGGCCTCGTCGAGCCAAGCCGCTGACTCCTCGACTCGCCCTCGCTCTCGCACGCTCTCGCTCTCGCACTCTCTGCTGCCGCTGCACGACGACGACGTGCCGAACCAGGGTGGCATGGCAGGCTGCTACAGCTGTACCCATCACCGCTTTGGCCGCCCTGCCTTGCGCGACGCGCCCGAGATCTGGCTCTGCTTGGCGATCCTGCGCGACGACCGACAACGCGAGTCAGTGACGCCGTCCAGCCGCACGGCCTCGCCGGCTCCAGAGCAGGCGACAGAGAGACAAAGAGAGGACGGACCGGTTGACGCGCTCCCGCTCAGCCTCGAGCTTGTCGAGCTGGTCCAGACTGAGCCGCTCGACCCTCGGCCCGAAGCTCTGCGCCTCGTTCCACTCGCGCCAGACGCCCTCGAGCGGCTTGGCGCCTCGTCGAAGCCGGGTCGCCTCGTCGGCGTGGAACAGGCCGAGCTCGAGGCAGGCGCGCTTCGAGCGGTGCAGCTCCTCGTGCAGGGCGTGGGCGATGACGGGTGCGGCCGACGGCGACAGCGACAGGTCGCGCACGAGGGTGGCGGCAAAGAGCTCGGGCGTGAGGGGCGACGAGAGGTCCCACTCGACGCGGTCGGTGAGGTGCAGGGTGCCGAGCTGGATGTCGAGCTGCGAGAGGGACAAAGATTAGTCGGTTCAAGGACGCCGGTGAGATAGGAGGACGAGGGACGCACGTTGAGCACCACGCGTTGATCCCGCTCGACGTGCTCCTCCTCCTCCTCGGGCGAGCGCAACGGGAACTGGGCGACGAGCGTCTGCTCGTCGATCTGCGCCTGGATCTGTCGGGACACTTCTTGCAAGTGCGAGTGGTCGATGTCGAGGTCGTCGCAGAAGATGCGGGCGAACGCTTGAGGCGTGATGAGCTTCTCTGTTCGGCGGGAGAGACGAGGGAGAGAGGGTGAGCGGCGACTCGGGCGAGAACGAGAGGAGGGACAGGGGACGCACCGTGCACGTTCCAGACGAAGCAATCTCGGATCTTGAACGTGTCGACGTCGAGGTCGATCTGGACAGGGATAAAGACCCCAGGTGTTTCTGCCGCCTCGTCGAGCTGGTCCTCGGTACTGCTCGGGGTTCGAAGGCTCGTGAGCTTCGGCGCTCTCGAGCGCGCGCGAGAAAGAGAGAGCAGGGGACGCACCATGCCGTGTGCTTGGTGCCCTTTGTCGGCTGGACCTGGACGAGGTTGCCCGGCGGGAGCACGCCGAGGTAGCTCTTGCCGTCGCCCCACACCTCGGGCTTGCCGTCGACCTTGGCCGTCTGCTGCTGCCCGGGCCCGGGCGTCCCACCACCCGCCTGCTGCTCGGCGAGCGCGCCACGCTTGCGCGAGCCCGCCGGCGTCCCGCTCGCGCCGCGCTTGCGGGCGTCGGCCGCACCGGGCGCGTCCGAATCGAGGTCGAGGTCGTCGTCGAGGTTCTCGAGGTCGGCGTAGTTGACCGTGCTGCGGATGCGGCGCGTGCCCGGGGCGAGGATGGGCGTGTTGGCGCCCGTGCCGGCACTCGAGGTGGGCTCCTTGGCGGCGGCGTTGGACGACGAGGGCCCGGGCACGTTGGGCTGGACGAGGGTCGAGGTGCCGAGGCGCATGCGGGCGGGGAAAGTGGTGAACATGGCCTGCTTGCGCTCGTTGCCGTGGCCGGTGATGCGGGTCAAGGGCGGGACGGCGCCGGGTGCGAGGCTGAGGGGATGCCGCTGAGGAGGCGGAGGAGGGCCGAGGGGCGTGTTGGCGGCGGCGATGGCGGCATGGGCATGGGCCTTGCTGAGCGGGTTGAGGCCCGAGCGAGCGCGTATGGGTTGCGCAGGAGCCGTGTAGGGCTTTACGGGCTTGACCTGGCGGCCAGAGCGGGTCGAGCCGACGGCGGACGAGGTCGAGGCGAACGCGCCCGCCTGGGCCGGGTAGGTGGGCCCGTGGGCCTGCTGGTACGGGTGCTGCGACATGGCACGAGGCTGCTGGCGGTACAAGGGTCGAGTGCGGGGCGGTGAGGGGCCGTGTTTGGCGACGGCGAGCGCGAGATGAGGATGAGGGCGGAGGAGGGAGGGAGGACGAGGCTGGGAGGGCGACGCGGCGTGGTGCGGGCGGGCCAGAGGGCAGGTGCACGTTCCTGTGCTGCTGCTGAGCACGTTCCGGGTGCAGGTGCAGGCCGTCGACGCCGTGACGAGTCGGGACTTGGGGAGGCGAGGGGGACTTGGTCGCGCTCGCCGTCTCGCACTCACGCCGCCTCGCCGCGCCCGCTCGACCCTCACACTCGTCGCGCTCTCTCTCTCTCGGTGAAACTCGCACGAGCATTCTGATGACTCGCTCGTTGCAGTCCTGCGCCGCCCCCTCGACCTCTCGCCCTCATCGAGCTCGACCTCCTCCTCCGCACGGGCTCATGCGCCGAGCCGCTTGCCCCGCATGCCCGCCGGCCGCTTGTCGCCTTTCCGCCCCATCGCCGTGTAGTACTCCTGCGCGACCAGTTCGTCGATTGAGCCACAGCCCTCGATGCGAGGGAGAGAGGCAGAGAAACGAGCCGACGCACCCACGCCAACCGCATGACCTCGCCGTCGGCCTCGTACGGGCTCGGCACCTCGCTCACGCCCGGTCGCGCCGTCGGATGCCGCAGGTACACGGCCGAGCACGTCGCAAAGCTCGGCTCGAGGTACGCCGGCACGAACAGGAACGGCGACGCGTAGTCGGGCAGGTGGAACGCGAGCGGCTGCGGGCCCGTCGAGGGCGCGTTGCCGGCGAGCGGTGCCGGTGCAGGAGAAGAGGAGGGTGCGGGAGAGTCGGAGGACGAGGAAGAAGGCGCGGCCGCGTCGGCCTCGGCTGGTGCGGCGGCGGCGGGCTCGGCGGCGGAAGAGGAGGAGGGGGCCGCAGCGCCACGAGGACGCTGAAGGGTGACGACGGCGGACGGGTCGACGGAGAAGAGGTCGCCAGGTTGCAGCTTGACGTTCGGGTCGCGAGTCTGCGAGAGGGACGGCGACGAGGTCAGGGACGGGCTCTCGCCGCGCGCAGGAGGGAGAGGAGGAGGAGAGAGCGCCGACGCACGACCTGGCCGTTGAGCGTCACCTTGCCGTGGATGACCATGGCGCGCGCCTTGTACACCGAGTCGGCGAAGCAGCACCGGAACACGACCGTGTCGAGGCGCTTCTCGACCTCGGCGAACATCAAGCTCGCGAGCGGGACGCGCTCCTCGCCGGCCGCCTTGTTGCCCACGATCGGCGGCAGGCCATCTGGCAGGTAGTTCTTCTTGAACTTGTTCTCCGGGAGCCAGTCGCCGTGGTAGCCGCGCACGAGCTGCTTGGCCTTCCACTTCTGCTGGAACATGGTGAGGGCGCTCTGTCCGGGGGCAAAGGTGGGTCAGCTCGGGTAACTCGCGAGAGGGGACAGACTGGGCGAGAGGCAGCAGGCGCACCTTGGTGAACTGGGTGTCGGTCGTCGGTGGGCCGTAGGATCGCTGGTAGAGGTTGTACAGGTTGGCCGGCGACCAGCTCTGCACGGGCGAGGGTGCAGAAAGGTCAGTACATGTTCTCAGAGCTCTGTGAGCCGCTCTGTGCTGCCCCTCGAGGTGGGCAGCAGGCGAGACGGCGGCAGGCAGAGACGAGGAGAGATGGCGAGGACGGCGGGACGAGGGGAGGGTGGACGCACCATGCGCGGCAGCGCCTTGGCGATGTGGGTCGGGTTCTTGGCCTTGTGCATGGTCGGCGGTAGCTGGCGAGGAGCGAGGCACGGTGGTCGGAGCCAGCTCTCGAGCTCTCGCTTCGGCGGAGTCGGCTCGCGACGTCGACCTGCATCTCGCTCGACGAGATCCTTCCTGCGCGGGCGACACGAACATCTAGTGATTACGACAAGCTGTACAGAAGAGGCGGACGCAGTCTTTAAGTCTAAGCCCACTCGTCCACCCTCCCTCCCTCGCTCAGCACTCGGCCCGTCCCCCTCCCCAAGCCCCACACCTCCTGGCGCACGACCTGCTCGACCCGCTCGGCGATGGCGAGCGACGACGTGAGCCCGGGCGACTCGATGCCCTGCAGCGAGATGAGGCCCGGCCGAGGGTGCGTTATCGAGAAGTCGACGGCCGTCTCGCCCTTCTTCGAGAGTTTGGGCCGGATGCCAGAGTCTGCGCGCACCGTCGAGCGTCAGTGAGGGCGCCTGAGGGGCGCCGAAAGAGGAGAGAAAGAGCGCGAGGACGCACAGTCTGGCGCAAACCCGCTCGCGTCCACGCCGGGCAGGAACTTCTTGACCTCCTCGACCGCGAGCTCCATGCGCTCGTCCGACACGGCGAGCCGGCTCTCCCAAAAGTCGGGCACGTCCTCGCCGTCGTCGGTGAGCGGCGGCGACAGCCACTCGACGTCGGGCCCGAAGCGGACCTCGCCGTCGAGGTTGAGCGTGAGGTGCGTGCCGAGGCCCGAGAGCGAGCTGTGTTCGGGAAAGGGTCGGGTAAGTTGGCGAGCGCGAGAGAGGAGAGAAAGTGCGAGGACGCACGCGTTCTCTTCAGGGCACGGGTACAGCAGGCGTTGAACTTGGTCGACGCCCGGGCCGCGGTCTGTGGGACGAGCTGCGAGTCGGCGCGAGTCGCACAGGGGCCGAGAGGAAAGGCGAGGACGCACACGAGAAGTAGGACCCTTTGGCAAAGTGAAGCTGAAGCCGTTCCGACTCGGGCAAGACCTGGTTGAGGATGTGGTGCGCGCTGCGAGGAGGTTCGTCGTCAGGACCGCTCGCTCGAGGATTCGAGAGGACGGACGACGCACTTGAGCCCCGCCGAGTTGATGACCGACTTGGCGAGGACGGCCGTGAGCGCCCCCTCTCCCCCACTGCCGTCGTCCGTCCGAGTCTGCACGATCCAGCCGTCCTCGGACCCGTCGCCGCGCTTGCCGCCGCCGCTCGGCCCAGCCCGGTCGATGCGCACGACCTGCGTGCCGTAAACGAGCTCGCCCGTCTCGCTGTCGATGATTTCTGCGGTGATGGGGAGCAGGGACGTGAGTACGACGGTCTCGCGAGGTGCGAGTCGGGACGAGGGGACGAGAGAGAGAGGTCGACGCACCCTTCTCGAGGTGCTCCATGAGCCCGTGCGACGACACGATGCCCGTCTTCGGGCTCAACAGCGCGCCGACAACTCGCTCGCCAACGTTGGGCTCGAGGCGGCGCACGGCGTCGCCGTCGAGCCACTCGAGCGGGACGTCGCCGACGCCGTCGGCGCGCAGACGGCGCGCCTTGTCGTGCAGGCGACGCAGGTAGCCCATCTGGTCGTCGCTCAACGCGAGGACGAGCTTGCCCGTGTTCTTGAACGCGATGCCGTGCTCGGCGCAGCGCGCGTACAGGAGGTCGCGCCCGCGGATGCACAGGGCAGTCTTGAGCGAGTCGGGCGGGTAGTACAGGCCGCTGTGGATGACCTCCGAGTTGCGTGACGACGTCTCCTGGCCGACTTGACCGTGGCTGCAAGGGCGAGGGGCAAGAGGTTCAGCTCGCTCGTCGGCGGTGTCGAAGGTGGGGGGAGGAGGGGAAGGCGGCGACGCACCGCTCGACGCAGAAGGTGGTGCGAGTCGGGAAGGCCTTGACGAGGCGCTCGGCTATCGCCAGTCCCTGCACCGGTACGAGCTCGTGGTCAGCTCGCTCTGTTGCGGCCGGCGGAAGGAGGACGAGGAGATGAGGAGGCGGACGCACCACGACGCCGGCTCCGACCACGAGGTGGTCGACTGCGCCCTCGGGCTCGATGCGCGGATACCGCCGTCGCAGCAAGCGCGACATGGCTCGAGCGGTCGAGGCGAGGTGGGTGGGAGCGAGAGTGACGCCGCCCGGCTCGGAGGGTTGGTGCTCTCCCTCTCGCGCGTCGACGGCCGGGGGGGCGCAGTGCAGCGGCAGCAAGATAAGCTCGAGATGCGCATGCTGGCTGTGCAAGGCACAGTGTCGCCGGCTGAGCTGAGCGAGTGGTCCCGTGCCGCCGCCGTCCCACGAGAACACGGGTGCGTGACCCGACCGAGCGCAGAGTGCTGCTCGAGTGCGAGCCCTGTCGGTGCCACGGTGGGCAGCGCTATCTCGCAATGCGATTCTCCAGGGCGGCGAGAGCGTGACCGATCTTGCTCGGGGCGGGATCTCGCGCTTCTTCTTGGAGGCGGTGCTCTGGGTCGGCCAGCTGCCTCTCGAGAAGGACAAACGCTCCCGTCTGCCTCGCTCTCTCTCTCTCCTTCCCTTCCCTTCCTACCCTCACTCGCTCCCTCCTCGCGCCGACCGCCCCTCTCGCTCCACGCAACACGCGCGCGCCCTCCGCACCACCTCAAGCACGCTCATCCCGCCCTCCTTGTCCTCCCCGTACTCCTCGACCGAATCCGCCACGGTGAGCCCATCCTCCTCGTCAAGCCCCTCCACAAGCCACAGTCAACTGACCCGCCCACTCGCCCGCAGATGAGCGTCTGGCTCCTCGTCCGCACCGTCCTGTACGCCGTCCTCGCCGTCAGCTCGTTCCTCGCGTGGGTGCTCGCGGCCGCCTTCATCGGCAAGACCGAGTCGGACCTCGACGTGTGCGTCCACCTCTTCCCCTGCACCGGCACTCGCCTCCCCTGCACGCCGGGCTGACCCTTGTCCCCCTCCTCGAGCAGCTACTTTGGCTCGGCGGCATGCGTCCTCGTCGCCGGCCTCCTCGCCAACTTCACCGTCCCGGTCCTCCACTTCTTCTTCCACCGTCGCGCCAAGCCGTCGCCCGTCGCCTGGCTCGCCACCGAGCTCGCCGTCGTCTTTGTCCTGTGGGCGCTCTTCCTCGGTCCGTCCTCTCCCTCCCCTTTCTCGCGCGCTCGAGCGGGTCACTGACGACCTTCCTTCTCACAGGAGGCGCCGCCGGCATGGCCGACCGCATCCCGGGCCTGTCGTCGAGCTTCTGCAGCGGCAGCCTGTGCTCGCTCGGCCGCGCCGTCGAGGCGTTCGCGTGGATCAGCTGGGTCACCCTCACCGTCCTCCTCGTCGGCCTCGTCACCTTTGGCGCCCTCGCCCACAAGCGCCACGGCCCGAACGTCTGGAAGGCGCCCTTCTCGGCCGACCTCGGCGGCGGCGCTCCGGGCTCGGCGGCGGCGGGCGCGCAGGAGAAGGGCATCAGCAACACGTCGACGACGGCGGCTGCGAGCCCGAACGCCAACGCCCCTGTCGTCACCTCGTCACCCGTCGTCCCTGCGCCGGCGGCCAACTACAACGAGGCGAGGCCCGCCGAGGTGACGGCCGTCTGAGCGGCGACGTCTCGGCGCTCGACCCCTCGTCCTTCTTCTCATATCCCTCTCCCAGCCTTTCCCTCTGTGCCCTTTGTATCTAGCTCTCCCCGTCTTCTCGAGTTTTGCTCTCTCCGTAGCCTTTCCTGCGCCTGGTTCGCAATCGAGTCGGCGCCTCGCTTTCTCTCTCTCTCTCTCTCTATCTTCCTCGCCCGACGAGCCGAGAGCGTGCGTGCGCGTGAGGAAAATACTTCATTGACGGCTTCGTGAGATACAGATGAGGAGGGGGTATCGGCGACAACAACCAGGAGGGGAGAGCAGAGGGGGGAGGAAAGGTGGACGAGGCTACAGACGAGCCTCGACGGCCTGCGAGCGCGACTCGCGAGCGTCCTCGTCGATGAAGCGCGCAATCGAGTGCGACAGGGACATATTCTGCGAGCGAGAGGAAAGCGTGAGTGACGTGGTCGAGGAGGAAGAGAGAGGAAGAGCGAGAGAAAGACTCGACGGACTGTGATCATCGGGTTGACGCCCGACGCCGTCGGGAAGATGCTGGCGTCGGCGACGTACAGGCCCTCGGTGCCCCAGACCCTGCCGCGAGGGTCGACGACGCTCGACGACGGCTTGGTCCCCATCTGGTTGCTGCCCATCTGGTGGGCGCTCCCGATCGCGCACCGGTTCGGGCGCGTGCCCGCCTTCTCGACCTTGGCGACCCACTCCTTCCACGCCGGGTCCGACAGGTACGTGTGGCCGGGCGTCGGCAGGTAGTCGGGCACGTCGACCTGGGTCGTCGTGATGCGCCGAGCGCCGTTCACGAGGTGGATCTCTGCTGCCGCGATGGTGCCACGCGTGAGCGAGTTGCCGTCGTACGGGTCGATCGTGTAGTCCATGCGCGGCTTCTGCTCCGAGTCGAGGAAGATGCGGCCGGCTGCGGGCGAACGAGCGAGAGGTTAGTGACCGTTGCCGACGACGAGGCCCGAGCGAGGGAGCGAGAGAGAGACGTACAGCCACGGTCGCGCGCGATCGAGATGAGCGTCATCGAGTTGCCGTACTGCGCCATGAGCCGCTTGTGCTCGGCGCTCGACGTCCACGGCGTGTACGACGCCGCCTGGCCGCCCGGGAACGCGTTGATGACCTCGATCTTGACGCCGTGGTGCGAGCCGTCCCAGTTCTCCTGCACGCTCGAGATGGCCGTCATGATGGCGCCCTCCCACGGTTTGATCTGCTCGTCGAAGAAGCCGGTCGTGATCTGAGGGCGACGAGGAAGGGAAAGAGGTCAGTGCGCGCGCTCTTCGAGGCGGGCGAGGAAGGGGAAAGAGGGACGCACGACGACAGGGTGCAGGCGCAGGTTGCGGCCGATGCGCGGGTTCTTGAGCCCGCTGCGCATGAGGACGGCCGGGCTGTGGATCGTGCCCGCCGAGACGACGACCGACTGGCGAGCGCGGACGAGCGCGAGGCGGTCCTCGCTGTCGCGCACAAGGGCGCCGATGCAGTGGCGCCTCGTCGCCGTCGGCGTGTACTTGTCGAGCGTGTCGGGCGTCGGGAGCGCGGCGGTCGGCGACGAGGCGAACAGGAGGCGCTCGACCGTCGTCTTGACGAGGAACTTGGCGCCGTGCTCGGCGGCGTCCTTGAGCCACGTGACCGTGCCGCCCTGCTTCTCGCCGTAGACGCAGCCGAAGCCGCAGAAGCCGCACGCGTGCTTGGCGCCGCCCGTGTTTTGCTGCAGGCGCGAGCGCGAGGGCGAGGTCAGTCGGGAACCTTCTCAAACCCGGCTCGGCGAGGCGAGAGAGAGAGAGGACGCACAGGAATCTTGGCGATCGGGTAACCGAGCTTCTTCGAGCCGTCGACGAGCATCGTGTTGGGCCGGTTGTGCTCGAGGTGCTCGTCCGAGACGCCCATGCGCTGGCAGACGGCCTCGATCGACTGGGCAAACTCGGTCGAGAGGAAGTACGGCAGGCCGTGCTCCTTGGCCCACTGCTCACGCAGGAAGTGTTGAGGGCGGAGCGAGGCACACCAGTTGACTGCGCGAGCGAGTCAAGGTTAGCTCTGCTCGACGAGGATCGAGAAAAGAGAGAGAGAGAGCGGGACGCACTCGTCGTGCCGCCGCCAAAGCCCGAGCCGGCGAGGATGTTCATCGAACCGTCCTCGGTCGCCATGAGGCCGGCCGACTCGTACAGGCGGCTGAAGCCCTCGCGCTGGGTGCCGGCCATGTCCTCGGGCTTGATGTACTCGCCCTTCTCGACGACGAGGACCTTCCAGCCCTTCTTGGCCAGCTCGGACGCGACGACGCCGCCGCCGGCACCGGACCCGACGACAAGGATGTCGGTCTCGATGACCTCGAACTGGGTGCGGATCGACTCGAACTGGTACGGGTGGTGCGGGCGCAGGCGCGACTTGTCGGCGAACCGGTGCTCGTCGCCGTAGGCCGGGTAGCCCGTCGCGAGGATCATGTTGTCGTACAGGTTGTAGGTGACGTACAGCGTGAACGCCGACAGGCCGCGGAACGCCTGGCGGAGGAGCGTGAGGCGCGAGGTGCGCCACGACTGGAGGACGGCCTCGCGCTGCTCGACGCTCAGTTCGGGGAAGGTGCTGGCGTGGCCCGTCAGGACGAGGGTGCCAGGGCGAGTCGACAAGAGCGACAGGACGAGGCCGATCTTGTCGACGCTGTCCTTGGACAGCGAGCGGGTGAACTGGTCGGCGAGGGCGTCGAGCGCGCCGGGCAAGTCGCTGAACTTGGTCGTGACGAGGGCGTCGACTGTGTGTGTGGGTCGAGGGTCAGGTGCGTCGCTCACAGGGACGGGCGATGGACGGGAGGGACGCACTGTGCTCGCGCTGGTACGCCGGTGCGGTCGCCGGCAGGAGCGACTTGACCTCGGCGGCGAGGCCGGCGCCGTGCGCCTGGAAGATGCAGTCGCACACGGCTGCGAGGCTCTGGCGCTGAGCGTCCGTGAGGGCGAGGACCATGGTGTAGAGGGCGCGCGGAGAGGCGAGTTGAGCGGCGGGCGGAGGTGGGGAAGTGGGCGGTGAGAGTGCGGGTTGCGAGCGCGTGTGGGTGATGCGCTGGGTGTGGCGTTGAGGTGCGAGGTGCCAGCAAGCTCGTGTGGCAGCAGCAAGAGCAAGCGAGGTGGAGGAGGGGAAGGAGAAGGGAAAGAAGAGGTCGCCGACCCCTCTTCGCCGCCGATCGGCACCGGCGGCACGACCGCGCCAAAATGTCCTCGCTCTTGTGCACGGTGCGAGTCGCCACACGGCAAGCGTTGCACTCTCGGACAGGGGCGAGGTAGCGCTCGTCGAGAAACTAGAGTGAGCGTCGCCGAGGACGAAGAGAAAGAGAGGGCGCGGGATACAGCTCGTTGCACAGACAGGGGTACAGCTACGACGGAACCAGGATCTTTGACAGTCTCGACGTGCACTCAGGCCACCTGCGCGCCCGTCGCCCGAAGCTCCTCCTGGAGCTGCTTGGCCCTGAGGAGGCACTCCTCGCGGCACGTCTCGTACCCGCGCACCTCCCACTCGCCCTCGGTCTTCTCTTCGGACGCCGACGGGTAGTTCCACACGACCAAGCCGTTGCCGACGATCTGTGGCGGCGCGAGCGAAGGGAGTCAGTGCTGGACGCGAGGCCAAGGAGGAGGACCGGGCGGTCGGCGAGCGCAGAGGGTCGGCGACTCACGTTGCCGTTGCGGTGGTACGCGCCGCGCCCTCGGATGAACGGGTCGAGCTCGTGGTACTGGGCGCGCATCCTGCTGACGAGGAGCTCGCGCCGCTTGACGATCGTCGGGTCGTCCGACTTGGTCCACTCGCGGGTCACGGCGACGTACTCGGCGATGAGGGCGTCGCGTGCGGCTTGGTGCTTCTGCGAGAGGGGACGAGGAAGAGCGTCAGGACGAGTCACAGGGAGGCGACGAGCCAAGAGGAGAGCGCACCTTGCGGCCCTCGAGGTCCCTGCGGCCGAGGGGAAAACGGCTGGGTAAGCGTGCCGCCCGAGCGAGGGGAGGGGGGAAAGAGAGAGAGCGACGACGCACTGTTGCGCCTGGTTCTCGCCCGGGACGATAGGCGGATAGGTCCACTTCCAGTCGGACGAGCCACCGAGCTCGCGAACGAGGTGCGCCTGCGAGCGACCGACGAGGCGGGTGAGCTCGACACTCTCTGCGGCGGCCGGTCGGCGAGCGAGCATAAGGACGCACCTTGGGAATGTGTTGGCAAAGGTCGTCGGTGTTCTTGGTCATTTGCTGTGGACGAGAAAGGGGGTCAGAGTGGGCCCGAGATGGAGGGAGGGCGAGAAGGGAGGGACGGACGATCTTATTGCGGACGACCGGGTCGAGCATGGGACCGAGCACCTTCCAGATGCCCTGGAAGACCCACGGTGCTGCGTGCGGCGACGCGAGGCTCACGAGTCAGGGCAAGGCTCGAGGCGGGTACTGCCGAGGCGAGGACAGGGGACGGACCGTTGTGGATGAGCATGACGTTCAGGCTTTCCGGGTAGTACGACTCGAGGCACTTGACGATAAAGAGGATGCAGCGCCAGTCTGTCGACGAGGGGAGGTCAGTTTCGCGCCGACCGAGCGACCCTCAGAGGGTCAAAACGCACCCATCTGCAGACGAGGCCAGAGGTCAGTCGCGCTCTCAACGTCGCACCACGAGAGAGAGAGAGAGAGAGAGAAAGGCAGAGACGCACGTTGCGGATGCCGAAGCCCGTCATGTCGAACACGACTGAGGAGAGAGCGCGAGTCAGTCCCGTCGACGACGCGAGAGAAGGTCGGGCGAGGGGAACGAGGACGTACTGCAGACCTTGTCGATGGGCGGGGCGAACAGGCACCGGATGCTCTCCATCTGGAAGATGACAAAGTCCTCGAGCGCCTTGGGCGACTGGTCGTACGTGCGGTGCTTGGCGACGTGGATGTAGCACACCGGCCGGCCGTAGTGGTCCGTGCCCTGCGTGTACGTCTTGCCGATCTCCTGCGGACGGTCAAACACGACGTCAGAGTCGAGGCCTCGGTACGAGGACGGCGAGAGAGAGAGGGAGAGAGGCGCGACGCACCATTTGCCGGATGAAGCCCTCGGCGCCCTTCATTCCCTCCTCGCCCTTCTCAAAGATCTTCTCGACGTCGCCGCCCATGCGCCACTTGATGCACGATGCGAGCTGCGCGTGTACGAGTCTGTCAGGCGATGGCCCAGGGTCCGAGCGAGAGGGGAGACGAGGGACGGACCATGGCGACGCCGGCGCTCGACGACCACTTCCTCGCGCGCAGGAAGCGCAGCATGATGCCGTCCGGGTCGTCCATCGCGATCTGTGTGACGCACGGAGAGGGTCAGCTCGGTGCGAGCGGGCCAAGACGGGCTCGGGCGAGGAGAGAGTGCCAGCCGCGAGGCTGAGAGGGAGAGACAGAGGGAAGATGGACGCACAAAGCGCCAGTACGCGTCCATGAAGTGCTTGCTGCCGTCTGCGAGGGACAAAGCCCGTCAGTGAGTCGGCTCGAGCGAGAGAGAGGGCAGAGAGGGGAGGGCGAGGGACGCACACTCGACAAAGGCCAGCTTGGCGTCGCGCATCTCCTGCTCGGCCTTCATGCGCTCTTTGGCGGCGTCGTCCTTGGGGATGTCCTTGCCCGGCTTGTCGCCGGCGGCCTCCATCGCTGCGCTGTGGGCGCCGCTGCCCTCGACGGGCGACTGGTCGACGAGGTCGAGGAACTCGACCCAGTAGGCCTTGAGCGCCTTTTCCTGCGGGTAGGAGAGGCGTGCAGAGGGACCCGAGACTGTCAGGGACGGCCTCGCGGGAGAAAGGGAAGAGGTGCTGGAGGAGGGACGGACCTGGTCGGGCGTGAGCTTGCCGACGACGCCGTCGCTGCGAGGGAAAGTTCGGTCAGCTCTGTCGGTTTCATTGCTCGACGCGCGCGAACGCCTGCAGCCTGCTGCCGTTCTCTTGTGCGAGGGCGGCACCCAAGTGGGGAAGCGAGTCGCCGGCGCGAGGGAGAGCTGGCGCGAGGGCGGACAGGGAAAGGGGGCTCACGTCGGGAGAGGGTTGCCGGGCATGTTGCGTGTCGAGTCTGGTGAGGTGGTGCAGAGGTGGTGCAGGTGGTGGACGAGGACAGGAGCCGTCGGCGAGGGCGAGTCGGCGCTCGCAGAAGCAACGTTGCCGTCCCCGCGCCGCGAAGTCTTACCATTTCCGGGCGGCGCGAACGACGACGGGCGGTCCTCGACAGGTTGAAGTAGCGTCGCAGGTTGTCGTCCAGGATCGAAGGGCGTGCGGCAGTCGCCCAGACGAGGTGGGAGAGGACGAGGTTGAGCGAGGAAAGGCGAGGCGGTGCGGGCGACACGCGACTGGCGGTGTACTCTGCTGAGGGGCTCTGCAGGACGCAAGGAGGAACAGGGGAGGGCCTCGGGTCAGCCACAGGCCATCTGGGCCGCCAGGACGGCAGGAGAAAGCGCCGACTCGAGCACGACGGGGCGAGGGGAGGACGAGAGCTCACTCAACGCGACGGGGACGAGCGTGCTGGTAGTGCCGGTGGCGTGGGCTGTGCGCAGCTGACTGGCGACATGGTGCGAGCTGGCGGTGCCGACGAGAGCGAGAGCGGGTTTGTCGACGAGCTGCCACCGGTCGGAAGCCCTCGTCGCTGTTCATCCCTTCACCCAGCTCACACCAGCGGGCTTGAGCAGTAGCGCACCATGCGCGCAAGCAACCCACCACGGCGACCGAGCTGGCTCTGGCTCGCCGCCTGCACCGCGCTCGTCCTCGTCATTGCGACCCTCCCCACCTCGCTCGCCGTAAAGCGCCACGACTTCAAGACCTGCGCCCAGTCGGGCTTCTGCAGGCGCAACAGGGCCTTGGCCGACCGCGCCACCGAGACGGCCACCGCGTGGCACTCGCCCTACGCCCTCGCCGCACCACCTCGGTTCGCTCGCGGCACCCTCTCGGCCGCTGTCACCAACCGCCTGTTCCCCGCCGTCCAGTTCCGCCTCGAGGTCCGCTTCCACCGCGACGGCACGGCGCGCGTCGTCATGGACGAGGTCGACGGCCTCCGCCAGCGGTACAACGAGGCGGCCCGCTGGGCCCTCGTCCAAGAGCCGCACGTCGACGACAACGGCGACGACGAGCGCTTCTCGGTCCGCAACGACGAGCGCTCGACCTCGGTCACGTACGGCGCCGGCCACAACGAGCTCCGCCTCGACCACGCGCCCCTCGCCGTCACCTTCCTCCGCGACGGCCAGCCGCACGTCGTCCTCAACGAGCGACAGCTGTTCAACATGGAGCACTTCCGCGTCAAGACGGTCGGCGACGAGCCCGACGAGCTCGTCGTCCAGGACCCGGAGCACCCGGGCGAGCAGCGCGTCATCGTCAAGGACGAGGCGTTCCCGGGCTTCCTTCCGCCCGACGACGACGGCATGTGGGAGGAGACGTTCGGCGGCAAGACGGACAGCAAGCCCAAAGGTGCGCCCCCTCTTTCCCTCTCTCTCTCGTTCCCGTCGAGCGCGGCGCAGGAGCTGACTAGCCTCGCGTCCTGCAGGGCCCGAATCGCTCAGCCTCGACATCACGTTCCCCGGCTACGAGCACGTGTACGGCATCCCCGAGCACGCCTCGACCCTCAGCCTGAAGGAGACGAGGTGCGTCCCCGATCCTGACTGCCCCATCAACGCGGCGTCCCACTGACTGTGCCCTTGAGCAGGGGCGGCGAGGGCGCGTACACGGACCCCTACCGGCTCTACAACCTCGACGTCTTCGAGTACGAGGCCGACTCGGAAATGGCTCTCGTGCGTCCACCTTCCCCTCGTTCTCCTGCCGAGGGCGGCACTGACACTCGTCGCGCGCACCTAGTACGGCTCGATCCCGTTCATGCAGGCGCACCGCCCCGGGTCGTCCGTCGCCGTCTTCCTCGTCACGGGCGCCGAGCTGTGGGTCGACGTCACCAAGTCGACGACGACCAAGGGCGTCACGTCGGCGTACAAGAAGAACAAGTCGCGCTCGTCGACCGACGGCGGCCCGTCGAGCACGACGACGTCGACGCACTGGATGGCCGAGTCGGGCATCCTCGACCTGTTCGTCTTCCTCGGCCCGTCGCCGACCGACATCTTCCAGGCGTACTCGTCCCTGACGGGCAAGGCGCCCATGCCGCTCCTGTCGGCCCTCGGCTACCACCAGTGCCGCTGGAACTACCTCGACGAGCAAGACGTCCTGTCGGTCCAGCAGCGCTTCGACGACGCCGACGTCCCGCTCGACTTTGTCTGGCTCGACATCGAGTACAGCGCCGAGCACATGTACTTCCTGTGGGACCGCCGCAACTTTCCAACGCCCGAGAAGATGCAGCACGAGCTCGCCGCTCGTGGCCGCAAGGTGCGCCCGCCTTTCTCTCTCTCTCTCTCCCTCTTCTCCCTCGTCCCGCACCACCCTTAGCTCGGTCTCTGACAGTCGTGCGACCTCGCCTTTCCTCGCTCGAGCAGCTCGTCGCCATCGTCGACCCGCACCACAAGCGCTCGGACGACTACTACGTCTTTACCGAGGCCAAGGAGCTCGACATCCTGTGCAAGCAGCCTGACGGCAAGACCGACTTTGAGGGGTGGTGCTGGTCGGGCTCGAGCGCCTGGGTCGACTGGTTCAACCCGAAGAGCCACGAGTGGTGGTCGAACCTCTTCTCGTTCGACAAGTTCAAGGTGCGCTCGCACCCCTTCCCTCGTCCTCGCCAAGGCCGGTCGACTGACAAACCCCTTCGTCGTCATGCAGGGCTCGACGCCGTCGCTGCAGATCTGGAACGACATGAACGAGGTGCGCCCCCTCCCTCCTGGCGGCGCTCGCCCGTTCTCGATCTGACTCTCCTCCCTCCCAGCCGTCTATCTTCAACGGGCCCGAGATCACGATGCAGAAGGACGCTGTGCATCATGGTGGGTGGGAGCACCGCGACGTCCACAACATCAACGGCATGATTTTCGTGAGCCCGACCTCTCCCTCCCGGGCCCCCTTCCCTCGCGCGCAACTGACTCTCTCGCCGACCCTCCTGCAGCAAAACCTCACGATGCAGGGCCTCATCCGGCGCGAGGACCCGCCAAAGCGCCCGTTCGTCCTCACGCGCGCCTACTTTGCCGGCTCGCAGCGGTTCGGCGCCATGTGGACCGGCGACAACATGGGCGACTGGCCGCACCTGCAGAGCACCGTCCCGATGCTCCTCACCAACAACATTGCCGGCCTCGCGTTCTCGGGCTGTACGTCCACCCCTGTCTCTCCCTCGCCGCCTCGTCGAAGGCGAACCTGACTTACGTTCTCCCCTCGTCGATGCCTGCAGCCGACGTCGGCGGCTTCTTCGGCAACCCGCCGCCCGAGATGATGACTCGGTGGCACCAGGTCGGCGCGTTCTCGCCGTTCTTCCGCGCACACGGCCACATCGACACCAAGCGCCGCGAGGTCTACCTCTACGACCAGCCGTTCCAGGGCATCATGCGCGACGCCATCCGCCTCCGGTACTCGCTCATGCCGGCGCTCTACACGGCCTTCTACGAGAACACGCTCTCGGGCGTCCCGATCCTGAGGTGCGTCCGACCCTCTCTTGGCGGTCCGTGCGCGAGCCTCGTCCTGACCTCGTCGCCCTCTCTCCCTCGCAGGCCGCAGTACGTCGTCTTCCCCGACGACGCCAAGGGCCTTGCACTCGACGACCAGTTCTACTTCGGCGGCTCGGGCCTGCTCGTCAAGCCCGTCGTCGAGGAGGGCGTCACCTCGCAGGAGATCTACATCTCGGACGACCAGGTGCGCTCGAACGCTTCTCTCTCTCCCTCTCTCGTACTCTCCTCGGTATCTGACACCTCCAACCCTGCAGCCCTACTACCACTACCTCACCCACGAGCTCTACTTCGGCGCCTCGCACGGCGGCGCTCACGTCAAGGTGCCCGCCCCGCTCGAGTCGATCCCGATCCTGCACCGCGGCGGCCACATCCTCCCTCGTCGCGACCTCGTCCGCCGCGCCGCTGCACTCGCGTGGAAGGACCCGATCACGCTCGTCGTCGCCGTCGACCTCTCGGGCTCGAGCGCCAACGGCTCGCTGTACCTCGACGACGGCGAGTCGTTCGCGCACGCGCGCGGCGACTACGTGTACCGCGACTTTGCGCTCGGCCCGCAGAGCAAGGGCGCCAAGGCGCTCACGCTCCGCAACCGCCCCAAGGACGGCTACGAGCCGACCAACGCGTACGCCCAGTCGATCGCCGAGGTCAAGGTGCGCGAGGTCGTCGTCCTCGGCCTGTCGTCCAGGCCAACCTGTGTTCGCGTCGCGGGCTCAAGTGTCGGGCTCGACTTTGAGTGGAAGGACGGCGCGAGCGCGACGAGCTCGCGTCGCTCGTCCGGCAAGAGCGCGAGCGTGCTCGTCGTCAAGGACGCCGACGCCGCCATCGTCGACGACTGGGACCTCGTCTTCTCGTTCGACGCCTCGGCCTCGTGCTCGACGACGCCCGCCATCGACTACGACGCGCAGCTCGCGTCGCCCGAGTGCCCGGCCGGCCAGTTCCTGTGCCGCAACGAGGGCCACATCCCGGCGTGCATCCTGCGCTCGCGCGTCAACGACGGCGTGTGCGACGACCAGTGCTGCGACGGCTCGGACGAGTGGGACGGCAAGGCGCTGTGCCCGAACCGGTGCAAGGCCGTCGGCGACCAGTTCCGCAAGGACCGCGCCGAGGCCGAGCGCAAGCGTCGCGTCGGCGCCAGCATCCGCAACGACTACATCAAGCACGGCGCCAAGGACAAGGCCAAGCTCGAGGCCGAGGTCGCCAAGGTCGAGCGCGAGCTGTCGGTGCTGCAAGAGCGCGAGGACGCGGCTCGGCTCGCCCTCGAGACGCTCGAGAACGCCGAGGCCGGCGAGATCCAGCGCAAGAAGGACAGCCAGCTGTACGAGCGCATCGTCGAGATGCAGGACGCGATCAAGGCGCTGCGCACGCACCGCGCCAACCTCGAAGGCCACATCGCCGACCTGAGCGAGATCATGACCGGCCTGGCTGTGCGTCCCGCCTTCTCTTCTCCTCTCTGCCACTCTCGCAATGTCCCTGACTGACATGCGCTCCTCTCCCTATGCAGCGCGACTTCAACCCGAACAACCAGGACATGGCCGTTCTCGGCGCGACTCGGGCGTACGCCGACTGGCGCAAGGCCAACGGCCTCGAGGTCGACTTTGAGGTCTACGGCGTCCAGGCGCAATCTGACGTCAACGATGTGCCCGAGGCGCCGCCTGTCGCCAAGCCTGTCGAGGTCGAGGAGCCCGTCCGCGAGTTCTCGGACGACGACCTCAAGCAGCTCGAGAGCGAGGACCCGCTCTCGCTCATCGACTCGGTCAACCTGCGTGTCGGTCAGCCGCTCACGTCGGGCGTCACAAGCAGTGCGTCCCTCTCTCTCTGCCCCGTGCCCTGCGTCCGGATCCTGACCCACCCTCGCGCGCCCGCAGTCTTCCGCATCGAGGACTACCTCCCCGACAAGTGGCGTCCCGCCTACGACGGCTACAAGCAGACTCTTCTCGAGCTCCTCTCGCGCACCGGCATCATCTACGCGCCCGGCCCGTCGTCCTTCGCCGGCTCCGACCACCCGGACCTTCTTCGCGCGCGCACGGCGCACACCGACCTCGTCAACGAGATCAGCCGGGTTGAGGGCAAGCGCGACGAGGCGCGCAAGGCGCTCGAGAAGGACTGGGGCCGCGACTGGGAGTGGAAGAAGCTCGACGGGACGTGCGTCGAGCAGAACACGGGCGAGTGCGTCCACCTTCCCAAGTCTCTCACAGCCCGTGATTGCACGCCCTGACACACCCTTTCCCTCGCTCAGGTACACCTACTCGCTCTGCTTCTTCGGCGAGGCGTCGCAAAAGTCGAACAACAACAACGCCCGCACGAGCCTCGGGTACGTCCTCCTCTTTCTCCCGACTCGGTCGCCGGCCCGAGCCACGCTCACTCTCTCGCACGCCAACAGCCGCTTCAAGGGTTGGGCGAGCGACGTCGAGCAGGGCACCGACGCCTACTACGGCAAGCAGCTCTACGCCGACGGCCAACGCTGCTGGAACGGCCCGCTGCGGTCCGCAAAGGTGCGCTCGGCCCTCTCCTCAAGTTCATCTCGGCTCTCTCTCTCGACGTCTCACTGATCCACACTGCCTCTCGCAGGTCGACCTCGAGTGCGGCACGTCGAACGCGCTGCTGCAGGTCATCGAGCCGGAAAAGTGCGAGTACTTGTTCCGGGTGGCGACGCCGGCGGTCTGCTGGCCCGACGACGACGGCGGCGAGCAGGTCAAGGACGAGCTGTAGCGCATCGTCGAGCCTCTTTCGGAATGACAAAGCCTTTAGATGTCTCTCTCTCTCTCTCCCGTCCTCCTCGTCGTCGGCTGCTCTCGAGAGGAAAGCCCTTCTCTCGCTCCCGAGCACTCTTGTCCTGTCGAACCGACTTTCGCGCACTGCAGCATCGAGACCGGCTACAGCGTCGCGTCCCACAAGTCTGCCTGCGCCCACACGCCCGCAATCGCGGCGACGACCATCCAGCACCGCGCACGGCCCTCGGCCTCCTCCTCGTCCTCGAGCCGCTCCTGCATGGACCTTCCTCCCGCTCCCGCCGCCGCCGTGCGCTTCTCTCGTGCCACCTCGGACACCTCGGCCATCGAGGCGAGCGTCTTTGCGAGGAGGCGCAGCGACGAGAGGTCCTCGCCGTCGAGGAGCTGCTCGAGCCGCGTCAGGACCGACAGGATCCAGTGCGACTCGTGCGCCGTCGGGAGCGGCGGACGCGGTACGGCAGCAGGAGGCTTGGCGGCGGGCTTGAGCGGCGCAGGAGCCGGCGCAGTGGCCCTGGCTTTTGCCGCGCCGGCGCCGGGTCGACGACGCAGTGAGGGCGGCGCAAAGATGGTCGACGGGACGTAGTTGATCTTGTCCTCGTACGCCTCGATGCGCTCGACGAACCAGTCGTGGAAGTGCGAGAGGAGGTGAACGAGAGTCGGGCGGGGGATGGCGACGAGGAGGGCTGGCGAGGGGAGCTGGGGCAGGCGCTCGAACTCGGGCACTTGGGGTGGCGCCGCGGGTGAGGGTGCGACGGTCGAAGATGCAGGCGTGTGCGTGTGCTTCGGAGCAGGAACTGGTCGAGCCGGCGAAGGCTCAGGCGCGTCGAGATCGAGCGAGGCGAGGATGGCCGCTTTGGCCGCCTCGAGGTCGTCGCCCATTTCGACGTCCTCGTCCTGCGAGGGCGTCGACTGCTCGATGACGGCCGTCGCGGACGTGCTCTTGCTCGTCGAGGGCTTGGCAGGAGCAGGTTTGGGCGGCTTGGACCGCTTGCCGTTGATGAAGACGCGCCAGGCGCCCTCGTCTCGCGGCGGCGGGAAGATGCCCGGGTCGACGGGCGGCATCGAGTGGATAGGCGCAGTGAGCATGCGCTGCGGGAAAGGGAGAGTGAGTTGTGCACTCGGGAAGCTGGGCGAGCGAGCGAGAGGGGGGCGCACCTGACGGGCCGCCTGGAAGTTGCGCACGAACGCCTCGCGCCACGGGTCACTCGGCCGACTCGATGGAGCTGCTGCGGTGGGCGCAGGCGCCGACTCTTGCGCCGCGTACGGGTTGTCGACACGGAGCACCTTGGCGTGAGTTGCCGCTTCTCGCCTGCGCGCATTTAGTCGTGGTGAGCTCGCGGGTTCGGGGGGGAAGGGGTGCAGAAATAGGGACGCACCTGACGAGGAACAGGTACTGCGAGCCGTCTTCAGGGTCGCCCGCAAAGTCGTCGCCGAGTTCTGCGACAGGGAGGACCTGCGAGCCCAGGCCGCCACGAGGAGCTTGGCCGTCGTCCTTGCTCGGCGGGGCGGGCACGAAGCTGAAGGTCATGCCGACAAGCGAGTCGCCCATGGTGCTCGGGTGGTGTATGAAGAGCGAGGCGAGGCCGGGAGGAGAGCTGCAGTGGGCGAAGGAGGCGGCGACGGCGAGTCGGGGAGCGCTCGTCGGGGTGTGCTTGTGGGCGCGAGAGAGAGCACCGGTGCTCTACCCGGCTTTGGCGCTTTTGGCAGCTCGAACGGCGGTCGTGAGCCGGAGCTGTGGCAGCAGTTGGCCGGGGCGATGATGAAGTCGAGGAAGCGCTCGCTCTCGCTCCCTCCTCACGTGTGCGCCGCTTGCACCAGCTGGACAGCGGCACATTCAGCAGTCCTGCACCCACGACGCGCGCGGGCTTCCGCTCGTTGCGTCCCTCGCCGCTCCTCCTCGCACCGCTCCTGCGGCCGCCCGCGAACCTCGCCTTGCAGCCTTTGCGGCGCGCGCCTCGCTGCGTGCGAGCGCTACTGGTTGTACCCTGGACTACACGGCTGTGCCGCACAGCTGCTGGCTATGCTGTGCGGCCCCCGCTCGTGCTCCCTCTCGCTCGCCGCAGGCCACCTTCCTCGCGGCCGCCTCGCGCCGGCGTCTGCTTCTGTCTTTGCCTCTTCTGCTGCCGCACCACGACAGCTCTCACCTCTGCTCTCTGGCGCTCGTTCATGACCTGGAGCGGTCGACCTCGACGTGCGCTGGACTTGAACGCTCGGCCGACACCGACTCGCTCATGCTGCGACGGCAGCGTCCAGCAGGACGTGCGCTCTCCAAGGTCGTCCGAGCCGAGCAAGATAGACCTCGTCCCGCGTCGACAGACCCGGCGTCTGACGAAGCAATGAAACTGCAAAGCGAGCAACCTTGCACCCTCGCCGAATGTGCTCAGCTTGCAACGCCGCCGGATCACGCGCGGTTGCAAGCTCTCGAGACGGTCACGAGCAGATTCGCAGCTGCAGGCGAGATCTAGCTGTTGCTCGAGAGGAGCCAGGGGGCAGGCTTCGGCCGACGTTGAGCACTGCGGACCGTCGCTTCGCTCGGTCAACGCTGGTTCCCGCGCTTTGCTCGCGAAGAGAGACCTTGCCAACCGAAGCTGCTGCCGAGGGACGACGTCGGCTGCGCCCCAGTGAGGAACCGAGAGGCGAGCCGCTCGACACATACGAGAGGAGAGGCTCGTGCGCCGAGAAGGCGAGGTCGCTCAGCGTCTCCCACATCACCGTCCCTCGCCGCTGTTTGCTCCCCGGGTCGCCCATCGTCGCCCAAGGCCCGTCCATTGCAAAAGGGAAACGGTGCCGTCGAACTGAAGGAGAGGCGACTGGCAAAAAGCTGATGGCCCTTTCCGGGATTGAACCGGAGACCTGCAGAATTGTGCGCCGAGTAAACGGTACTTCAGTCTGTCGCTCTCCCAGCTGAGCTAAAGAGCCTTGTGTGGTACGGTCCGCCAAAATCAACGTACAGAAAAATAATAATTTTGTGAAATTTGAACGGAGTGGGTCGAGTCGCCGCTCGCGCAGGTGCTCTCACAGCTGCTCGCGCGCGCTCTCTCTCTCTCTCTCTCGCACACGACGGCGGCAAAGGGGAACAAGTACAATGACAAGCGACTATGCGACATGCTACTCCTGGTCCGAAACGCTCTGCTGCGCGAGGAGGAGGACAAGCGTGAGTGACCGCTCGAGCCTCGAGAGGAAGGAGGACGCACCTGCGACGAGTCGTCCTCGTCGTCCTCGTCGTGCCCGACGACGGCAAACGCCCGGTCCTCGCTCTGGTCCGCGTCGCTCTCCTGCGCCCCCTTGCTCGCCCGCCTCGCGTCCTTGAGCGCCGTCCTGCCCCTGCTCCTCGACCGCCCACGAGCGCGCGGCGGCTGCGTCGCGTACCGCTCAGTCGGGTCGTCCTGGATGTCGACCGAGATGGACGACGCGTTGGACGACATGTCGACGAGGTCTTGCGCCGAGATCGGGTGGCCCGTCGCCTGCGAGTGCGAGACGAGCGCGGGCGAGCCCGACGGCTCGGCGTGGCCGTGGATGAGGGGAGGGAGGTTGGACGACGAGGATGAGGACGCCGTGTGGTTGCGGTGGTGGCCGTGCGGCGGGGCATCCGAGGCGACGAGCGAGGGCGACGACGCGTTCGTCGTGCTCTCCGACACGTCGTCGATGTCGTACTCCTCCTCGGTGTCGTCGCCCTCATCGTCCTCCTCCTCCTCCTCCTCCTCGTCATCGTCCTCCTCGTCCTCGGCGACAGCTGCTGGCGCCTGGACAGGATCGGGCGCGAACGACGTCTGCTTCCTCCTCGGCGCCGAGTCGACTGCCGCCGCGGCGGACGGGCCCGCCTTGTCCGGCTTGACAGGCCCGCTCGACGACGAGCGAGGCTTCTTGCGGCCCTCCTCGAGGATGACAAAGCTCTTCTGGCGCTGGCGCTCGTTCCACTTGAGCGTGCGGGCAATCGAGTGGAACCAGTCGGTCGACTGCTTGTCGGCGCACACGGTCGGGAACGGGTACGGCGACGCCGTCACCTTGATGTGGTCGCCCTCTGTCGACGGGGCAAGGTGGACGTCAGGGTCGTGCTCGATCGGCTGCGTGGGGAGAGAAGAGAGAGGCCGGACGCACGACGAAGCTCGACTCGCCCTCGCCCGTCGAAACTGGCCCACGCCGTGCTGCGCGAGTTGTACGGGACGCATATGCGCAGCTCCATGCTGTCGGGGAGGAGCATCGGGCGGAACGAGAGGGTGTGCGGGCAGATGGGCGTGATGAGGATGGCGGGGATCTCGGGGTGGACGAGGGAGCCGCCGGCGGACAGCTGTGCAAGGGGAGGACGAGGGCGTATCGAGGGAGGAAAGAGTCAGGACTAGGCACAGGAGGCGAGAGAGGGAGGGAACAGAGAACGAGGCAGAGAGAGAGAGGACGGACCGAGTAGGCGGTCGAGCCGGTCGGGGTCGAGACGGTCAGGCCGTCGGCCTGGACCGTCGTCATGTGGTGCTCGTCGCCGAACAGCTCGAGCTGCGAGACGTACGGGCTCGGGCCACGGTCGACGACGAGGTCGTTGAGCACCTCGAAGCTCTCGACCGCTCGGGTCGAGAAGCACTTGATCTCCTTGTCGCGCCCGCCGGGCGTGCCGAGCGGCTTGCCGCTCTCGATGGCGTCCCAGCCCTCGCGCGTGAGGCTCTTCATGAAGATGCCGCCCGTCTTGCCGCTGCGGACCGCGCGCCGCTTGCACGTGCCGTCGTCCGTCACGGCGCGGTACACGGTGCACGTAAAGCGCATGCGCAGGTTGACGCGCACGCCCGTGTCGATGGCCGCGTTGAGCGTCTCGCGGAAGTTGGCGATGTCGAAGTTGGTGAGGAACCCGAGCGAGCCGAGCGCGAACGGGATGACGGGCGGCACGACCTGCTGGAAGAGCCACGACGTGTACAGGATGGTGCCGTCGCCGCCGAGCTGCAGGGGTAGAAGAGTCAGTCTCGGGTTCTGGCCTCGACGGACGAGAGGACCCGAGTGAGAGGGACGGACCGTCACGACAAAGTCGAACAGGTGCGGACTCTTGCGGCACATCTCGTTGGTCCAGTAGCGCAGCTGGCCCTCGTCCGGGTCGTGAACGTTGCGCTTGGCCGCATGGGCCTCGCCGCTCGACGACGAGATCGAGCTGTTGCGCTTGAGGAGCGCCTCGCTCAGGTTGGTCATCGTCAACGGCGTGAGGGCGCCGCCGCCGCGCCCGGCGCCCGGCGTGTGCATGCCGTCGCGCCGTGGCTGCGCGTCGGTCGCGAGAGAGGCGGACGACGAGGTGCGCGAGTAACGGCGGTGCGGCAGAGGGCGGAACAGCTCGGGGTTCTCGCGCTGCAGGCCGGGGGCGTCGAAGCGCTTCGACTTTTGGAGCTGCGAGTCGACGTAGCTGTACGACGAAAGGGCAGGGTCAGTACGAGAGTGGGAGCACGAGAGGGGGAGGGAGTGCGCGGGACGCACACGATGAGGCCGCGGTCCTTTCCGTCTCGGGGCGTCTTCATGAGCCACAGGGCGAGCTCGCGCGTGACACGCGTGAGCTGGTTGTCGCGCGCTTTGGTGACGATCATGACCGACTGGATGTGCGACACGACGCGTGCGCGACCTGGTGGGCAAAGGTGGGGCGAGAGCGAGGTGAGCGGTCGTCCTGGTCGCGACGGCGGCTTCGCTCGAGGCGCAAGGCAGGAGGAGGGAGAGAGACATGGGACGCACCGAGCTGCCTGCTCATCTCGCGCACGCTGACGGCCGTCTCGGCGAGCTGCCGCGTCCACGTGTTCTTCTCGTCGTCGCTCGTCTCGTCGCCCGAGTCGCCCGAGTCGACGCCCGTGTCGGGGAGGACGAGCTGCGGGTCGACGGCGCCCTCCTGCTGCTCGTGGTGCTGCTCGCCGACACGGTGGGCCTGCGCCGAGTCCTGGCCGTAGTCGGACGCGCGGCTGCGCAGCTTCTTGCGGGCCGCTCGAGGCGTGCCCTCGGCCGCTCCCGGGCTGCCGCTCGCCGCGCCCGCCCCATCGCGCTTGACGACGTCGTTGAGCGTGTGGTCGAGGTGCGAATGGACGTAGCACGGGCTCGTGAGCGAGTGCGAGTGCGAGTAGGACGACGACGTGGTCGCCGGCGCGGCGAGCGGCGTCGTCACGGTCGAGTGGTTGACGTGCGGCGGCGCCATGGACGTGCTCGGGCGACCTGCCGAGTGCTGGAAGGGCGGGTGGGCCGGTGCCGACGCCGCCTGCGCGGCGGCGGCGCCGAGGGGGATGTGGCCGAGGGTGCGGTGGGTCTGGGCGCGGCCGGGGCTGGTCGGCGAGCGGGTGGCTGCGCCTTGCGCGGGCACGCCGAGGTTGGTCGAGATGGCGAGGGGCGAGTGCGGAGCGCGGGAAGGATGGATGCGAAGGTACGAGCCGGGCGGAGAAGCTGCGCTGGACCCGCTCGGCGACGCAGGGCGGCTCGAGTCGCCCGACAAGGGCGAGCGAGGCTGGAAGTAGCCCGTGCTGCTCATGGCGGTACCGTCGTCGTGCAGTGCCGGGCTGACGATGGCAGCGAGTCGGCCCTGGGTGGGGTGTGCGGGCGAGGGCGCGGGCGACGGCGGAGCTGGCTGGTGCGGAACTCGCGCGGTGGTGGGTGTGCTCGAGCGGGTTCGTGCTGGCGGGCGGGCGGTCTTGGCGCCTCGGTCGTCGGTGAGGGGAGGCCGGGGAGGGAGACGAAGTGGAGGAGGGCGACGATGAAGGTCCACGGCTGCAAGCTCTGAACTGGACAGCTCGGCGGTGTGCAGGCTGAGCAGTGCTGCTGGGGAGCACGCTGAGCTGGTCGGTGAGAGGGCGGAGCGCGAACCGGCTCGCTCGCGCCGCTGCCGAGAAGAGCGAGTGGTCGAGGTCCACGTTCTCTCGCTCTCGCGGGCCGAGGGGACGTCGAGATAGAGAGGCCTAAGTACAAGGGAAGCTCTGCACAAAGAGACGGGCCCGAACATCCGGCACAACGAGTCGAGGAGAGAGAGAGGGAGGAGAGGCAAGAGGGCGTTGTCTAGGGGGGGCTGTGGACCGTCGACGGCGAGCTCGACGCGCGCCGACGCTCTTGTATAGGCGAAGGTATCGAGGATGTACAGGTTGCGAGGAGGGGAAGGCGAGAGAGGAGGGCGAGGAGGATTAGGGCGACGAGGGGGGCGAGGCGGGAAGGAAAGGGAGGATGGGAGAGTTCAGAACGACGGCGTGCCCGGCTGCTGCTTGATGAGCTTCTGCAGGATGCGTGCTGCGTCTTGCACTGCGAGCGGAAGGGTGTCAGTGACGAGGCTCGGGCTGCGAGAGAGAGGGAGAGAGCGGGACGCACCGAGCTCCCAGCGCGTGTCGCGAATGTACTCCTGGACCGTCATGCACAGGTCGAGGCAGTTCTGCTTGTTCGGGACCGCGAGCAGGCCGTCGGGCGTGCCGGTGCACATGGCGTCGAGGTACGTCATTGCCGCCTCCTGGTAGTTCTGGCGAGGCGTTGCGGGATGGCCGGATGCTGCGGGAAGGAGGACGGCGTGAGCAGCTGCTCGGGCGATGGCGAGGGGGGTTCGAGAGAGGAGGAAAGGAAAAGAGGACGCACTCGAGCGACCGAAGGCGTAAACGGCGAGGAATGCGAGGTAGACCGTCCAGCGGTGGTGCAGGCAGCCTCTGTGGTACGGCTCAGGGGTAGCGTGAGTGCCGTCGATCCTGAAGGATGGGAGAGGGGCTCGCGAGCGTGAGTCGACACGCACGACGCCAAGGGGAAGGGGAAGGCAGGAGGAGAGGGGGACGGGGAGCGAGAGGACGAGAGGGACGCACGCCAAGTCTGCCGTCGACTGTCGCCAATGTTGCAGGCAGCTGCGGAGGAAGTGCACGGCGTGCCACGTCGACGCCCTGCCCTCGCGAGAGCCCGACCACATGCGGATGCGCTGCTCGGTCGCGTGGAAGACGGGCGGCGAGACGATGAGGCCGGCGGCGGTCTCGGCGCCGGCGTAGATCTGGAGCCTGTGGACGAGAGAGGGATACGAGGTCAGGAGACCGAGGGACAAGGGTAGGGAGGAAAGAGGAAGGCGGGCGCACTCGTGGATGTCGATGCTGAACGTGATCTGGGCCGTCGCGTACAGGCTGATGCTGGCGCGCAGGAGCTGCGTCGTCGCCGGCGGAGCGTGTACGAGCGCCTCGTCGAGACGCTGCTTCCACAGGTTGTAGGCCGACGAGATCATGTCGCGCCAGTTCTGCGACCGGCGCTCGGGCGACGAGAAGCCGAGGACGTGGTCGCGCCTGCGGGAGAGAGGAAAGAGTCAGTCTCTGTCGACGATGGCGAGGAAAGGAGGGAGAGGGGCGACGCACCACTGCAGGTCTTGAGCAACGCTGAGAAGGCCGTGCAGGACGGCAATGCGCGAGAACGGGTTGAGCGACGTCGCCTCGTTGACGGCCGTCAGGCTCGCCTTGAGCGCCGAGATGAACTGGATCGGCTGACGCTGCTGGTCGTGGAGGTGCTTCCACTCGGCGGCGCTCGTCGCCTCCCACTGGTCCTCGTCGCACGGCAACGGGAGCTGGATCTGGAAGGCCGAGAGCGTGTGCGCGTGGCGGAAGAAGGCGGCATCTGTGAGTGGGGCAAGCGAGGTCAGTGACGACACAAGGCGGACGAGAGGGGGAGAGAGAGGAGGACGCACGCTCGACGTCGAGGGCAAAGACGATCTGGGCGAGGCGCTTGGCCACCTCCTCGTCGATCCAGGCGTGCCACCGGAACTCGAGGTCGTCCTCCTTGTCGGGCGGGATCTCGGTCACACGCTGCGAGAAGAGGCCGCCGCGACGACCGAGCTGGATGAAGGACGACTGGAAGATGTGGCTCATCTCGTGGTCCATGCGGGCTGTCGAGGTGCGCCGAGTCAGGCGACGACGACCTCGGCGAGTAGGGGAAGAAGAAGGGGACGCACTGCTGCAGAGCTTGCCGAAGACGACGATGAGGAGCATCGTCTGCATGAGCCAGATCTCGGACCTCGGGCGGAAGTCGGGCGACTGCGCGCAAGGAGGACCGTGCTCGTCAGTCGACGCGCACCTCGACGCGCACGAGGGAGAGAGACGTCGACGCACACACAGGACCTTGCCGCGGAACCACGGGTGGAGCTGGACGGCGAGCTGGTACGATTCGGGCGGCGCAAAGTAGGACCCGAGGAGCATCATGCCGAGGAGGAGCGGGACCGGCGCGTGCTCGGGACGGAAGGACGCTCGGTGTACAGCCGGCGCCTGCGTCTCGTGCACCTTGACCCAAAACAGGGCGAGGTAGTGCGCCATCTGCTGCACGCCGAGTCGAGGGTCGTCTCGGAGGTACGACCAGTCCGACTGCGGGCGACGAGGGCGATCGTCAGTGAGCCTGCTCGTGCGGCCGACGTGTACGAGGACTAGCTGGACTTACGCCGAGGTAGTCGAGGACGCGGGTGCGGGTCACGTCGTCGACAAAAGTGGTCGGGTCGTTCGGGTCGGGCACGACGTCGTTGGCGACGCTGTAGCCGTTGGGCACCTGGCATCGGCGAGGCAGGGTGAGCAGGACGGTCGCAGAGAGAGAGAGACGAGGCGAGCGAGGGACGCACAGGGTCCTGTATGGGCGAGCGCTCCTCCTCCTGGACGGGCTCGAGCTTGGCCGGGCTCGGCTGACGAGCGTGATGATGCGGTTGCGGGTGGTGCAGGCCGAGCATGTCGATCGGCGGCGAGTGATGCGGTTGCGGCTGGTGATGCTGGTGGTGCTGGTGGTGCTGGTGCTGCGGATGAGGCGGATGCGACTGCTGCTGCTGCTGCGAGACGGTCGCCTCGAGTTGGCGCGACACCTTGTCGAGCTGGCTGCTGATGGCGCCGTGCGCGTGAAGCGCGTTGGCGACCGCTGCGAGACGTGCGGGCGTCTGCGTCCCGCCGAGGCCGGTGCCGCCGTACATGCCCGAGATGCCCGACAGGAACTCGTTGCCGCCGCCTGCGCTCGGCGACGCCGGCCGGCTCGCCGCAAAGTGCACGTCGAACGACTGGTCCGGCGCGAACAGCCACGAGTAGTCGTTGTTGCTCACGAACGGCGCGCCGTAGCTGCTCGACAGGAAGTTGAACGGCTCCTCGAAGTCGTGCTGCATCGTCGGCGGGAGCGGCTGCTGCGCGTTGTAGGCGAACGGCGAGTGATTCGGCACGATCGTCGGAGGTGGAGGGTGGTGCGGGACGCCGGACGAGGCGAGAGCGTGTCCGGCGGCGAGCGCCTGGTCGACGAGCGAGAGCGCGCCCGGCGTCGATTGGTGCGACTGGGCCTGCGCCTGCGCCTGCGCGACCGCCTGCGCCTGCGCCTGCTGCTGCTGCTGCTGATGCTGCTGATGCTGCTGATGCTGCTGATGCTGCTGCTGCTGCTGAGCGGCGTGCATCTGGTGATGTGGCGGGTGCGCCTGGGGCGAGATGCCCGTCATCGAGCCGTCCGGGGTGCGGCCGGCAAAGTCGGCGGGGATGACGAGCGAGCTCGCAAAGACGGCGGGCGGGGAGGGCCCGGACGGCATCGAGCTCGAGGCGGTAGGCGGGGCCGAGAAGGCGTTGTCGGCGGGCGAGCCCGAATGGGTCGAGAGGGCGTGTGGGGACAGGGTCGAGTAGGTGGCGGACGAGGGGGTGTGGACGTTGAGGTCGTTCTGCTGGAGCATGGCGAAGGTCGGCATCGACGGCATGTTGACGCTGGACCCGGGGAGCGCGTTGAAGATGCTCTGCTGCATCGCCTGGTTCTGGTCGGCGGCGTAGCCGGGCGCCGACGAGTGCGACGGCGCGCCGTCGTACGGCCTGCTCCCGCTCGCCGACCCTTGCGCCGAGGCCGACCCGGCACGCTTGCGCTCCGTCTTGCGCGCCGTGTCGAGCGGCTCGTCGCCGCGCTCCTTGCGCTCGTGGCGCTCCGTGTGCCGCACGAGGAGGTCCATGCGGACGAACGTCTTGGGGCATCTGCGCAAGGGGGGAAGGGACTGGGTCAGCTCGAGTACCTTTGAGATGCGAGGCGAGAGCCGGGACGCACCTCGTGCACTCGTAGATCTGGCTCGGGTTGTGATTGAGCTTGTGGCGGCTGAGGTGGTCGGGTCGAGAAAAGGCTGCGCGGTGCGACGGTTGGCGGCGGGATAGTGACGGTGGACCAGGTAAGGAAGGGAACGAGGAGTGGGGCGCAACACGGTCAGTCGTGGGTTCGACGAGGGACGACGATGGGGGCGATGAGGAGGAGAAGGGGGGGCGCACCTTTGCCGCAGCCAGCAAAGTCGCACGGGTACCGCTTGCCGTCTTCTGCGGTCCTGCGCCGCTTCTTCTTCTCTGGCGGGCCGGCAGAGCTGTCCGCCGAGGCGCCTGCCGACGTCGACGCGTTGGGCTGGCCGCCTGCTCCCTCGGACGGCCGGTGCGGAGGAGGAGGTCCAGGGGTCGAGTTGGCTGCCGCCGCGGCGTGCTGCTGCGCCTGCTGCAGCAGCGCCAGCGACTGGAACGACATGGGCGCGGCTGCTGGGTGGTGGAGCAGCGGGCGGGCCGTGTTTGGGTGAGCCCAAGGCGAGCCGCCGCCCTCGCTGCCTTCTCGCCTCTTTGCGCTCTCAGACGCGGAGCGCGCGTCGCTCGCGGGGCCTCGCTTCTCTAAACGGACACGGCCCTGGCACCCGAGACAGCATGCGTCCGTCTGAAATCTCCCCATCTCCTCCTCGTCCCGCTTTCCTTCGACGTTCGACGGGCACTCGCTCTCGTCCTTCGCGTCAGAGCTCGACCCTCGGTCGCTCACCCTTCCTGCTCCCTGCTCGCCGCTCGCTACTGCAAGTCGACACGGACCGCGACAGCTCGACGCGAGAGAATGGAGACAGGGTAAAATCGCAGCTCGCACTTCATCGATATCGCTCCGCACGTCTCGAAAGCCAATCCCCCTCCCCCTTCCCACCCCGCCGGCCGAGCCAAGAGGGAGCGGGCCAAAACCGGACGATGGCGACGGCGGTAAGGGGACGGCGGCGAGTCGGAGCGGCGACGAGGGCGGAACGGCGACGAGGGCCTCAGCGCGACGTCGAGGGTGCAGGTGCCGCCTTCTTGGCCGCCTTGGCCGGCTTGGTGGACGACGAGGTCGAGGCGGACAGGTCGACGTCGGCCTCGCGAGCGCGCTTGGTCCCCGCCGTGACGGGAGCAGGTGCGGCGGTCGAGGAGGCGGCCGTCGACGACGACGAGGCGACCGTCTTGGGCTTCTTGTGTGCTGCCGCCGTGCGAGGCGCCTTGGACGACGACTTGGGCGCCTTGGCGGCGGCCTTGGGCGGTTTGGCGGGCGCTGCAACGAAAGACAGGGACGGGTTAGTCGGACGTCGAGAGAAGCGGACGTCGAGAGAAGCGGACGACGAGAGAACCCGAGAGAGAGGACGAGCGAGGACGGACCTGGCTGTGCCGTGATGGTGCCCTTGGCGCGCAGTTTGTCCTTGAAGTGCTGGACGACGTGCGCCTGGAGGACGGGCAGGACCGCGCTCGCCGGCATCTTCTGCAGCTCGGCGAGGCGAGCGCCGCTCAGGCTCGCCGCAAAGATCTCGGGCCGCAGGATGAGCTTGCCCTCGTGCAGCACGATTGGCGGGTTGGCGAGGAGCGACGCCGTGAGCTCGTCGGTCGCGGCGGCAGAGGTGCTCTCGGGCGGCGGCGTTGGCGGGACGAACGAGGCGGGCAGGGCCGAGATAACGATCGGGAGGGGCTTCGACAGCTGCGCCTGTGCTGCTGCCGACTGCGGAGCGGGCGAGGCCGACGATGGGCGCGACGAGGTCGACTTGGCGTGGCCCTTGGCCTTGACGGCCGCCGGCGCCGCCGACGACGACGCTGCGGCAGTCTTGGGCTTGGCCGGCGCGGACGCGGTTGCGGCCGTGCTCGCCTCGACGGCGGCGACGATGGCGGGCGAGGGGGCTGCGGCCGGGCCGGGCGAGGGCGAGGGTGCTGCGCCTGCTTTGGCGGCCTTGGTCGCCGCCGCCGATGCCGCGCTCGCCGCCGCCGCGACGGCTGCCGCGCCCTCGGTCTTCTTGATGCGGAAGTGGTGGCCGTCAAAGTTGTGCACCTGGGCCGGGTCGAGCTCCCAGAACGCGCCTTTGCCCGGCTCGTCGGCCTTGCGGACGACCTTGAGGAACCCTCGCGCCGGCGTCAGGTTGTGGCGGATCGAGTTCTGCCAGCCGGCCTGGTTGGCGCCGAAGTAGGGCCAGCGCTCGACGATCCAGTCGTACACCTCGTGGAGCGTCATCTTCTTGGCCTCGCTGCCCATGATGGCCTGGGCGATGAGCGACGCGTAGGTGTACGGCGGCTTGGTCTGTCGGTTGTCGGCGGGCGCCTCGTCCGGCGGCGTCGTGCCAGGAGCGAGTGGCGCAGGCGCGTAGGGCGAAGGACGAGGCTTGGCCGGAGCGGCGGCGCCGTCTGGACCTGGTGCGGCTGCCGCCGCAGTCGCCGTCGCCGGGGCCGACTCGCCGGCGACGACGGCGTCGCCCTCCTTGGGCGCCACTTTCTTCTTGTGCGAGCGCTTCTTGGCGAGCGCGGTGGCGGGCGTGGATGCGGCCGGCACGCTCGGTGCGGCGGGAGGTGGTGGCGGCGGCGCGAGCGGGAGGGCCGTATTCGAGGCGGGCGGTGCCGGCGACTTGGCGTCGACGACGTCGAGCGCAGGGCTCGCGTGTGAGAGGAGAGGGGTCGAGGTCGGCTTGGGGATGGGCGGGAGGTTAAAGGCGGGCGACGCCGGGCTCGCGTCGGCGAGGACGAGCTCGGGAAGGGGCGGCAGCGACGAGGCGTACAGCATCGCCGGCGTTGGGGGAGCGGGCGACGGCGTCGGGTCGGGGAGCGTGGGAAGAGGGAGCGGCGGCAGGTTGGTCGAGAGCGTCGCTGCGGGCGAGGCGCTCGCCGCTGGGCCGGACGACGTGGCAGGGCCGGACACCGAGGCGTTGCGGCGTGCTCGAGGCTGTTTGGCCGGCATCTTGCCTGCGAGCTTGGGCACAGGAGCCGATGTTGTCGCCGGCGAGGGGACAGGCGCGGGCGCGACCATCGTGTTGAGGGTCGCGTCCGAGGCGGTGCGCTGGACGTGGTGCTTGCCGCCGCCCTGGCCGCCGCCGCGGATGTCGTGGCCCATGTTGGCGGCCTCCTGGAACGCCTCGATGAGCAGCTCGTGGTCGCTGTCGCCGCTGTCGGACGACATCGACTCGTCGTCGTCGTCGTCGTCGTCCCAGGACGCGTTGGACGGCCGACGAGGGCGCGGTGGCAGGCCCTTGCCCTTGCCCGGCCCTTTGCCGGCCGAGCGCATCGGGGCCTTGCCCTTGCCGCTCTGGCGGCGTTGCGCCTCGGCTGCGGCGCGGACGAGCGCCGCGTTGCTCATGCCGGCGACGCCTCGGCCCGACAGGATCTGCGCGATCATGGCCGCCCGAGAGCGAGCTTCCTCGATCTCGTCCTCGTCCGGGACAGGCCCACGATGCTGCGACAGGTGCGACGTAACGGGAGAGGCGACCGTCGGCGCCGGCTTGGGCTTTTTCGACGACCGCGTTGCCGGGACCTTGTGCGGGAGAGGAGGTCGAGGCTTGACGGCGGCCGGCGTCGACGACGACGAGGCGACAGGTGCGACATGATGCGGCGGTGCGGCTTGGCCTTTGCCAGCAGACGAGGATCGAGTCGGAGCCGGTGTGGAGGCGGGACGAGAAGGCGGAGCTGGTGCAGGAACGGACGCGGCAGCATCGGCCGAGGCGTTCGAGGGTGCCGTAGGGGGTGCTGAGGGAGCTGAGACGACCTTTTGCGGCGATGCGGAGAGCTCGAGCGAGGGCTGCTTGAGCGGGCTGAGCTCGAGGTCGCTGTCCGACACCTCGGACAGGCTCGACGACGCGTCGCCCTCGCCGGCTGCCCGCTTCTTGGCCTTGCTCTTGCCCTTGCCCTTGCCCTTGCCCTTGCCCCTGCCGGGCGCTCGAAGCCGCGACTTGTCCTTGACCGCGCCCTTGATCGGCTTGGCCGACGGCTCGGCTGCGCCGTCCGCCTCGACAGCGACGACGTCGATGGTGGGCAGGACGAAGTGGAAGATGCGCTCGGCGATCTGGATCTTGGTCCTGCAGAGGAGGTCACGAGTGTGAGCGCTTGGTCGTCGAGCGTGCGGGGAGGAAGAGGAAAGGCGAGCTCACTTCTTGGTGAGGACGGCCTTCTGGCCCTTGGCGCGCCACTTGCCCTCGACGACGACGCCGTTGCGCCCGAGGACCTCGATCACCCATGCGCCGACGTCGTAGTCGAAGCTGAGCCGTGCGTGTTGTCGCGAGACGGCGCGAAGAGGGCCGAGGTCGACGTCGGTCAAGGGCGGCGCCGGGGCGATGGGTACGGCGGACACGGCAGAAGTAGGTCGAGGAGGAAGAGGGGGAAAGGAGGTGACGGCGAGAGGCGCCTCGGCGCGGATGGACGTCGAGGGCGGCGGCGACGAGCGCACAAACTCGAGGAACGGGTCGTCGTCGACCGCCTTCTCCTTGCCCTTGACGCCCGTGGAGGACGGCACAGGCGCAGCCGGGTCGATCGAGGCGAGCGTTTCCTCGCGCTTGACGAGAGCGGCGTCCGTCAGGCTCAGGATGTAGTCCTCGAGGGACAGGCCGGCGGCGTGCGCGTCGTCGAACGGGAGGGCCGAGGCAGGCGAGCGGGAAGGAGGTGCTGCTGGGCGACGGCCGATAGTGACGCTGAGCTTCTGGATGTAGATGTCGAACGAGGGGAACTCGAGCTTGGCGTACGCCTGCGGATGGGCGGACGCAAGTTAGGAAGGTCGCTCGAAGGCGTACCGCAGGGAAGGAAGAGAGAGAGAACGAGGCGCACCTGGATCTTGCCCTTGTCCTGCTCATCGACTGCGGCGCCGAGCGTGGCGCGTCGCTGAAGACCCGACGGCAGGCCGTGCGCAAAGTTGGCCGACGACTGGCTCTCGAGTTTCGGGTCGTGCAGGTTGGGCGAACGCAGCGCGGAAGCCGCCGGCGCGGACGTCGCAGGGCCGTCTATCGGAGAGATGGCCCCGACTGGTGGGACGATGGGCGAGAGCGAGGGAAGGGTGGCGACGTTGGCGAACGACAGGGGCGCCGACAGGTCGCTGTGCGACGATTTGCGCCGCACCGGCGACTTGTGCGGCGTCGGGGCGTCGCTCACCGGCGGACGGTGGAACTTGTTGAACGACGACTCGAACGAGCTGCGATGCTGACCGTCGTAGGCGCCCGACAGGTCGCCGACGTCGTCGTCTTGCCGGCGCTCGAGCGGGTGAGGTGACGCCGACATGAGCGTTGGCCCGAGGACCGGGCTCAGGCCGTTGCCGACGTCGTGCGGACTCGGCACGTGCGACGCGTCGAGCATGGCCGTGTCCTGGCTCGCGCCGTGGTCGCCTTTCGGGTCGAGCCCGAACGCGTCGAGGCCGGTGCGGCTGGCTGACGAGCTCGTGCCCGGGCCGCCGCTCGGTCCCGCCGCAGGGTCGAGGCGAGGCGAGGCCGACAGGGCCTTGCTCCACGCCGGGAGGAAGTCGCTGTCCTCGACGAGGAACGAGGGGAGGGCGGCAGCCGAAGCGGGAGGGGATCCCAGCATGACGGCACCTCCGCTCGACGCGATCGATGGTATGGGCGTGCTGCTAGACGTGTTCGAGATGTCAGTACGGCCCTCGACAGCTCGCGTGTGCGGCGATGCGCCATCGGGAGCCGCCTCCCCCTCCGGGCGACGGCCGCGCACCCTCGCGCCTGGTCGACGCGGCACACGCGGCACACGCGGCACTGTGCGACCTGCTGGGCTGCCCTCGCACGTCGGATGCGGCCGCACGACGCCCGCTCGACGTGGCTCGTCCTCCAACCCCCGCTCCGTGCCGAGTCGCCCAAGCTCAGAGCTCCACGCAAGCCGCGGTGCTCGCGGTTAAACCGGCAGAGAGAGGTGAACGCACCAGACGGTGACCTGGGCCGACGAGAGTCCTTGCCGAGTCGCGGCGGGTGCTGTCGAGGCGACGAACAACCCTAAGATCGAGCTCGGGGGCGGTGCTGCAGTCGCGGTGCGGGTCGGCGGCGCAGGTGGACGCGGCCGTGTGCGGCGAGTTGTAGAAAGCACGTGTTCTGCTCGAAGCTAGCTGGGCTGGCGGCAGCGCTCGGAGCGACGACACGAGTGAATGCAGGCGCGAGCCAGCCCGGTGGTCGCGCGGAGCAGCGAGCCGGGCCGTTCGAGCAACTCTGCGTCGTCGCGTTTCCAGATGATTCAGAGTGAGTTTGACAGCGTACAGGAGCATGCTCGGGCTACTGCTGGTCTCGTAGACGCTGCGACGGACTCGAACGAGACGGTGCCGGCTGGCCCATCACGGCGTGACTCAGACTCCGTCGTCGCGCGGAGCGGAGAGGGCTGAGCGCTCGCACCCTGCTCGCTCGCTAAGCCTTGAGCACACGCATCGTTTATCTTCGTCTGGGTGCAGCCGGACGGCCGTGTTTGCGGCACGCGGCGACGGCTTGCGAGGCCCGAGCGTCGTCGTCGCGCGACTCGCCGCTTCTCTCTCGCTCAGTCGACGTTCTGGCTCGTCTCGGTTCTTTTGTTAAGGGCGAGCCCGACGCACAGCTTCTCGGTCGAGAGCGGTGGTGACGCTCCGGTCGTTGCGCTCATAGCTCGTCATTTCGCTGCGACAGGCTCGAGCGCGTGTGCGTCGCTCCCCCGCCCTCTCTGCGCACCTCTCCTTCGACCGCTCCGGATCGAGGACGAGGTCTGTCCGACGCACTCGCGCGCCTGTACTGTAGCGGCGGCCTGGCGCCGGCTGGCAGTCCCCTACTTGAGCAAGTCGAGAAGTCGACCTTCCCAAACCGGCCGCCGGAGGCTTGAGCGTCTCAGACTCGGCTCGTGGCGGCTCACTCGAGTGCCTCAATCAGCGGCGCTGCGTTGGTGTTCTACGCTGGCCGCCATCGGGCAAGTTTCGAGCGATCTCTCCGAGGAGGAGTCGGCCTCGTGGCTGGATGCGCCCACCGTCAACCGGCCCTCGTTCCGCCCTTCTTCACACCTCTTCATCTCTCCCAGTCGTCGCCCAAGCAGCTCTCTCGCTCGCTGCGACCATGCGTGGCTCAGCAGTCAAGCCCGAGCCGTCCACCAAGCGCTCGTACGCAGCTGTACGTCCTCCGCCGAGCCGCTCGTCGACTCTTCGATGGCGGACCGTGTCGCTCACCCACCTCTCCTTCTACAGCTCTTCAACCCGAAGCGACTCGGCCTCGGTCTACCCTTCGTCAGCTCGTCGTCGGAGAGCGTCCAACCTCGTGCCGAGTCGTCCTCCCTCACCAAGCGTGCGGGCGAGCGCTCTGCCCGCGCACCGACCGCGGTCCGCCTCATCGAGTTCACCTCCCCGTTCGGCAACGCGCTCGACGTGGACCTGGCGACGCCGGCGACGGCGCACGAGGAGCGGCGAGCCGGGCTGGGTCGACGCCTGTCGAGCGAGGACCGCGCACGGCTCGCCAACGGCGCGAGGGCCATCGTCGCGCTCGCAACGACGCCGGGCAAGCGGCGCAAGAGCGTGGTCGACCTCGAGGCGGTGACCGACGGCATGCAGCGGGCATCGGTCGCAGGTCGTCGCCGCTCCTCGTTGACGCCTCTCGGCCAGCCGAGCGTCGGCGCACGGTCCTCGTTCGCCCGCCTCACGCCCCTCGACTCGACTGCCGCCAGTCCAGACGCATCTACGACGGCGTCGACCCTCCCTCGCCTGTTGAGCGGGCTGTCGGCCACGTTCCCGCTCGTCTTTCCCTCGCCCCGGTCCCCTCTCCCCGTCTCGCCCGTCAGCGACCGCCGCACCGCCTTCTTCGACGAGGTCGCCACGCCAGGAACCGACTCGTCGAGCTTTCCGAGGTCGCCTTCGACATTCGCCAGCCCGGTGTCGCCGTATCTCGCGAGCGCCGCCGCCTCGATCGCGTCGTCGAGCTCGTACCGGTCGTTCGAGCCGCGGTCGCCACGCACGGCCGACGGGCCCGACTTTGCGCCCGACGAGCTCGAGCCGACGCTCGAGTTCCTGCGGTCGCCGTCGGGCGTCAACATCCGGTTTCCGCTCGTCTTTCCCTCGCGGCCGACGTCCGTCCACACTCGCTCGAGCGCGGCGTCCACCTCGAGCCGGGCGTCGAGCGCGTACGACGAGGCCTCGACGCTTAACGCGCCTCGAACCGTCGAACAGGACGAGGACGACGGCGCCGACGGCCTGGTCGCACTCGTCGCCGACGTCCTCGAGCGGTCCGAGGCGACGACCCGCACGATCCCCTCTTTCACTTCCCCCTTCCCGCCGCCCTTCCTCTCTCCGTCCAAGCGTACCGTCACGGCCGACAGCTTCTCGAAGCTCACGTTCCCGTCGATGCCGACCCTCTTCCCCGACTCGGTCACCATCCCGTCCTCCTCAGCTCGGCGGCGACCGAGTGCCGCCAGCTCGTACCATGGCGAGCACGTCTCGACGCCGAGCACGTTCGGGCCTCGTCGCTCGGCGACCGAGACGGGCTTCACGGTCAAGATGCACGACATCTTTGCCGAAGCGTTTGGCGCGTGCCAGCAGGGAGACGAGTCGGGCGAGGCCTGATTGCCGTCGTGCACGGGCCATTGTCCACAGCCGTTCGAGCATTGCCATTCTCGATTTCCATTCGAGCCGTCTCGCGACGAGAGAAATTGACGAGAGAGGCCCGCCGTGAGAAAGAGAGCAGCAGAGGCGACACGAGCAAAGCGGCTGCGAACGGACCCTTTCAGGGAAGCACGTTCTTCCCTCGAGCGCTCAAGATGGCAAGGCGTCCTGCGTAGTTCTGTCTGCCTCGAGACGAGCGCCTGTTGACAGCGGCAGAACCTTCGTATCGCGAGGAGAAAGGGGCGACGTCGCCTCTCGTCGAAACGCACGGACCGTCTTCTTCCGACCGGATTCTCCGACGTGATCGCCTTCAATGCGCTCGTCCTGCTTGCCGACGATGTGTTGCAACGCTCCAGGAGTCTCTGCATCGACGGCGCGTGCGCAAATCGAGCCAGTCCGCGTCCGTCTAGCGCGCACGGACCCCTGCCTCCCCGCCCCGAGCCCAGCTCCGCCGCTATCCTTGCGCGGCACGGCTGCCCTACAGTACCGGCCGTAGCTCGCAACCGAGCAGGCACGGTACTCAGCTGCAAGCCGTGGACCGCCAGCTGGCAGCGCAGAGAGGCCGCGTGGAGGTCAATCGCGCGCGCTTACCGCTTCCGGTGCGGTTTCCTCGAGCGCCTCTTTCCGGGTCCATGAACGCGCAGTGAAAGCTTCCTTCCTGACAGAGCCCAATGCCGCGAAAGAACACGCCCTGCCGGCCGCTCGAGAGAGACAAGGCGAATCGGCGACTCGCGTCGAAGCGTTAGCGGCGAGCGATTCACGTCTGCTTCGTGGGCACGAGCGGCGCGGTTGACGTCCCTCGCAGCGACGGAAAGGTGCAGATCCGTGGGTGCGCCTCGGGCGAGCCACCGCGCTCTCACCTTGTGCGGGGGACACGATCCGCTCGGGCGCACGCATCCAGCTTCGTCCTCCTCGTCCTTCTTCGCTCTCCCGACAGCGTCCTACCTTGCCCCGAGCCCCTCGCGCCGTCCCCATCCGTCCCCAGCCAGCTGCGCCAGCTCCTCGCACGAACGCTCGAGCCTCGCGTCGATGTCAATTCCCACCCTCGAAGCTTGTCTGAGCGGCGTCGACGTGTACGGCGGTCACGCCCCGTCTTCCTCTCGCAAGTCAAGGGCAGCACCTCGTCGAGAGTGCAGCAACGACGTGAGTCGAGCCGTTCCTCTCAGCGGTCGAGAAGGCGCTTCGTCGACGAGGAAGCGCTCGCGGGCCTTCGTCTCTGAGTTTCTCTCTCAATGCCCTCGGCTGACGACGAGACGCACGGGCAACAGGGTATGTACGGAACAACGATTCGACCGCCGACAGCGACGGCGCCGACGGCCACAAAGCCTCCTCGCCGCCCAATCTCGTGCGCGTCGACGCCAGCGGTCCACCCTCGTCCCTGCCCTCCCTCGCCCTCGCACCGCACCCTCGGGTCGTACCCCAGCACCTCGTCTCCCACGCCGTCGCACCCGCACTCGCCGCACCTCGTCGTCGAGCGCTCGACGGCGCGCGAGTCGCCGATCCACCACCGCGACGACGGCAGCACGTGGCGCCTCGTCGAGCGCGTTACCGAGGTCTTTGTCGTCGATGTGGGCCCTCGCACCTCGCCGTCGCCGTCGTCCCACCGCTCGCCGCCCGTGCCGGCCCGAGCGCCCGTGCCCGTGCCCTCCTCCCACCCTCCATCCCAACTCGACGACCTCGAAGGCCCGCGACGTGCGCCGCACCGCCCCCTGACCACCCCGTCCACCACCACTCGCACCCGTTCGCCGTCGCCGTCGCCAGCTCCCCTCTCGCCCCGCCTTGCCGCCCTCGCGCACACGCTCCGCACGCTCGACGGCGCCGAGCTCTCGCGGCGGCGGGGCCGCGCGTCACTGCCCCGCTCGCCGGCCACCTCGCCCGCCGTCGAGCGCCGTACGACGTCGACGAGCGACGTTGTCGCGCACGGGCTCGAGCTCGAGGGCCTCGCGACGCTGTTCCCTCGAGGGGTACCGTGCGCGCTCGAGCTCGACGAGGACGACGAGGACGAGTCGAGGCGCGAGGCGCTCGAGTCGGCGTGGTCGTCGACGTCGGACGAGGAGGAAGAGGAGGACGGGAGCGAGTTTGGCGAGGGCGGCGGGCGCGAGTACGAGGAGGACGAGTCGCGCACGTCGAGCGGGTCGTGGTCCTCGTTCTTGACCGACGACGACGCGTCGAGGAGGGGCTCACGCGACTCGTGGAAGTCGGCGGCGACGACGGTGTCGGCGCACAGCTGCGAGGGCGGGTCGGCGGCGGCGTGCGGGCCGAGGCGCGAGGTCGATCGCGAGGCGGACTGGGCGAGCCGGCGGTGGGGGGCGTGGGCCGCGTCGTAGAGGGGCTGCAGAGGTCGAAATATCTGCAGACACGGTCAGGGCGTACGCGTATCTCTCTCCGAGTCGAGAGAAGTGCCGCGAGGAAGGAGGATGCGAAAGAGAGGTCGAGGGTTACAGTCGCCTCGAGCGAGGGCGACAGATGCTACAGGTGGTCGCTGAAGGGAGAACTGCGGCTGCTGAAGGGGCGCATCTAGAAGTCGTCCATGCTGCGGTCCATGTCGGCTCTGCACGCGCCGTTCGAGGATTGTCAACCCTCGAAGGACGAGAACGGCGGGAAGCAGAGAGAGGGAGAGAGGCGACGCACTTGAGATGCTCCCGCATGCCCTCGGGCAGGATGGGCTCGCCCGACTTGTCGTCGACAACGTACCGGAACGGCATCTCGACGCCCTCGTGCGGGCCGAACGAGATGGTCGGGTGGTCGACAAAGTTGATGGTCGACAGCGTCTTGCCGCCCGAGACGCACAGGGACGTGACACCGAGGGCCTGAGGGGTCGACAGGAGGGCCCTTAGTGGGAGAACGGGCAAGGGAAGGGGGCAAGGGGGAGGGACGAGCGGGACGCACGGTGTCGGTCGTCATCTGGACGGGGCCAAGGTGCCGCCCGGGGAAGCCGTGTGCGCGCAGCTGGCCGGTACGGTCTGTCGGGTGCGAGGTGTCAGCTGTGAGACCCGCGGCGAGAGGACAAGGAAAGTCGAGAGCTCACCGCGAGGAGGGTCGTCGCCGAGGATGCCGCCGAACCTGTGCGGGCAGTGGGTCAGCGATCGTGCGGAGCAATACGACAAGGGCGAGAGGGGGACGGACAGGAACCAGGAGTAGTCTGCGCCGTCCTTTGGTGCGATTTCTCCGGGTGCGCGCGGGTCGAGGAGGCAGACCTTGTCGAGCGGGATGCCCTCGTCCTTCATGAGCTCGAGGACGCTCTTGGTCTCTGCGCGGAACGAGCCGGGCTTTGCGCCGCGGGCGATGAGCTGGTCGGCTGTGGGTGGGAAGGGTTCAGCCGGGGAGATGAAGATGAGGGAGGGAGGAAGAGGGGACGCACACAGCGACTGGACCGAGGCAGACGACAGGCTCGAGAAGATGACGAGGTCGGGCGAGGCCCACTTGAGCATCTGGGCGTACTCGAGTGCGATCCAGTGGGGGAAGCCGGGCGCGGTGTCGCCTGGTGCGAGAGGCTCGTCTGGCTCCATGTGCTCTGTGGAGGGTGCGCCGTGGTGAGTGGGAGGGTGTTTGAGGGTCGAGGAGGAGAGAGGAGCGGACCGATCACGTAGGCGACCATGGTGCAGCGAGTTGACGGGGTGAAGGCGGGAGCGAGGGCGAGGAGGAGAGCGGCAGCGAGAGGGCGCCGAGCCAAACAACACCCGGCTCCCTCCTCCTCCCCTCCCTCCTCTCGCACCACCCGTGAGCCGCTCAGGGCCCACACTCTGTGCTCACACCACCCGCCTCGACCCAGAGAACCACCCGCAACCCGATCCCGGCTCGCCCCTCGTCGCCTCGTGCCCCCCCTCCTCCCTCCTCCGTCGCTCAACCACCAGCTCGCCCTCGCCTCGCCAGCACCACCAGGGCAGCAAGGCCACACCCCACAACCATGGCTCCCGTCAACGCCACCCCGCTCTCGCAGCGCACCCTCTCGCCCTTTGACGACACGCCCACCCGTGCCCCCTCGTCCGGCCACTCGTCCCTCAACCCGCTCACGTCCCTCAAGCCTCAGCGCACCCGCTCCCTCTCGTCCTTCGCCACCGCCCTCCGCCAGAACAACAGCCACTCGCTCCTCGCAGACCCGATCGAGGCCGACAACACCGAGCTGCACCGCCGTCGCGTCGAGGCCTCGTTCCAGCGCCAGCTCGACTCGCTCGCAAACGCCAACCGCCACCTCGACTCGTCGTCCGCCACCTCGTCCGACCACGACCATGACCACGGCCACGACCGCGACCACGAGCCGCGCCGCCGGTTCAACGACGAGTCGGCCTCGTCGTCCTCGTCGTCGTCGCGCTCGCACGGCACCCGCTCGTCCGACGCCCAGAGCCTCGGCAGCCTCCGCATCGGCCTCACGGGCTCGGCCCCGGTCCCTGCGACCTCGTCGTCGAGGACCGCACGAGGTGTCACGATCGAGGACGTCGACGACGGCGCCGACTCGGACTCGGACGGCCACCTCACCTACGTGACCGAGCGCGCCTCGGTCCTCGACTCGCCCGCACGCCCTCTCGCGACCGCGCCCGCGCCCAAGCAGCAGCAGCAGCAGCAGGCGCCCGCTCGAGCGGCGGCGGCCGCACCCTCGGGCGGCCTGTTCGGCTCGCCGCGCCCGTCGGTCCTGTCGCACATGCACGCCGCGACGTCGTCCCCGCGCCGCAGCACAGGCCTCCCTCCTCGCGACGAGAACCTCCCGCCGTCGCCTGCCGCTCGCCCCGTGCCGTCGTTCGGCTCGACCGACCGCGCGGCCTACCCGTCGGTTGCCCCGCCGCGCACCGTCGCCCCGCCGGCGTCCTACTCGGCGCGGTCGCCCTTCTCGCCGGCGGCGGGCCCGCGCATCGGCGCCGGTGTAGCGGCAGCGGCGGGCTCGGCGTACAAGCCCAAGCACTACTCGCCGCTCAACCCGGCGCTCAACTCGCCCCTCAACGCGTCGCCGGCCGCATCGACCGTGCGCGGCGCCGGCTCGCGCGTTCACTCGCCGACGTCGCTCGTGCTCGACGACGACGCCGACGACGAGTCGGACCAGGACGAGGACGAGGCGCGCCGCATGGCCGACCGCACGACGCGCACGGCGCTCCCGGACCGCACGGGCCTCACCGACATGCTGCGCAGCCCCAAGGCGCGCAGGGGCGAGCCGGCTGTCGCGAGCACGAGTGCGAGGAGGGCGAGCCCGGCGGGGAGCGGGAGCGGCAGTGGGCGCTCAGCTGAGGGTGCGTCTCCGACTCTGTCCCTCCCCCTCTCTCTTCCCCTCGCCTCTCGACCTCGTCCTGACCCCGCATCCTCTCTCCCTCGCAGCCAACCTCGTCTCGACCGCCCTCGCCGGCCTCACGTCCAAGCTCGCCTCGCTCGAGCGCGACAACGCCCAGTCAGCCGCGCGCGTCGCCGAGCTCGAGGCGCGCCTCGCGGCCCAGCAGCAGGAGCGTCCGGCCGTCGCGCGCGAGCAGCAGCGGGAGCGGGACGGCGCGACGCAGGAGCGAGAGGAGCAGGCGAGGAGGCTCAGGAGGGAGGTCGAGACGATGTTGGGCGAGGAGAGGGACCGCAGGGCAGGTGCGTCGGCGACTCGTTTCTCTTTTCGGCTTCCTCCCTTCTTTGAAGGACAATGCATGATGACCCTGCCGTCCACGTACAGAGCTCGAGCGCGTCGTCCAGTCGCTGCGCGCGCAAAACGCCCACCTCGACGCGACCCTGTCGGCGCAGCACGCCGCGCTCGCCTCGTTGCGCACCGCCGCCGCGCCCGCACCTGCACCTGCGCCCGCCGCCGCCGCCAAGGGCGAGTACGCGCTGCGCACCGAGGTGCAGGACCTTAAGCACGCGCTCGCCGCCCTCGGGTACGAGGTCGACGGCGTGCGCACCGTCGTCGAGGAGCTCCTGCGCGACAAGGAGGCGCGCGACGCCGGGCGCAGGTGGGACGCCGAGGAGGCCGAGCGCAGGGCGGCGCTCGACGAGCTGAGCGTCGAGGGCGGCGGCGGCGGCGGGCGAGGGCAGGACGAGGGTTCGAGGAGCAGCTTTGTCGCGCCGAGCGAGGTCGAGAGGCTCGTGCGCGAGCAGGAGGAGGAGGTGCGCCGGCGCAGGAGGGCGTCGACGGGAGCGCAACGTCCGGCCAAGGTGCGTCTCGCTCTTCCTCATTGTCGCCGCCTCAGTCGCTGAACTGACTCGCCCTTTGCCCCTCCCTGCAGCATGTCCCGCACCGTGCTGCACCGGCCGCCGTCAACGCCAAGTACGACTCGACCTACGTCCCCTCCTTGTCCGACTCTGCCGGCTCGCGCTCGTCGGCCTCGCTCGTCAGCGCCACGTCAGCCACCTCGTACACGACGTCCGCCTCGGCCGACGCCTTTGACGCCGCCGCTCCCGTCGACGACGAGCCCGACTTTGCGCGCGCTCAGCGCATCTTTGACGACGTCCAGGCCGTCTCGTCGCCGCCGCGTGCGCGCCGCACCCAGCCTGCTCGCGCCGTAAAGGCCAAGGCGACCGCCAAGCCCGACCGCGTCGTCCTCGTCGACGAGCCGAGCGCCCACCTGTGCACCAACTGCCACGGGCGCAAGAGCGCCCTGCGCGCCGCCGGGACGCGGCGGCACGACGACGTCGATGGCGGCGCCGACGCCGACGAGGAGGACCTCGCGTTCGCGAGCGGCGAGGCCGAGGCGCGCCGTGCGAGGGCGGCCAAGAAGGAGCGTCGCAGGGTCAAGGAGCAGGCGGCGGCGGCGGCGGCGGCGGCGGCGGCTAAGGCCGAGGAGAAGATGCGGGAGGCCGCTGAGAAGGAGGAGAGGCGGCGTAGCCGGGCGAGGGACGAGCACCGCAGGACGCTCGAGGGCGTGCTCGACCGGCTCGAGGGCGACTTTGCCGTGCAGAAGAAGTGCGTCGTTCTTCCTCTCTTCCCTATCTCCCCCTCGGCCAGTAACCTGACCTCGCCCTCGACTTGCGCAGGCTCTACCTCGAGCTGACCGCCGAGTACCAGTCGATGTCGTCGCGTGCCGACACGCGCAAGCGTCGGGTGCTCGCAAGCCACCTCAAGGGCAGCATCGACGTCCTCGAGGACAAGGCGCGCGAGGTCAAGCGTTACGCCGACGCGCTCGAGTGCGTCCCTCTCTCTCTCCCTCCCTCTCTCGCTCTTCCTATCTGTCTACTCTCGTACTGACGATCAACGTCCTGCGCCACAGGGACCTGTACGAGACGATGCACGAGCAGACTTGCCCTCGCCGCCGCAAGGCCCACGCGAGCATCTGAAGCTCCTGTTCCTCCCTCCTCCTCTCTCGCCCTGGAACCCTCGTCTACGCCTCTCGATACCCCCTTTCGTCTTTCTTACCCGGTCTTGCCCGTCTATTCTTCCTTTGCCGTACGCACGACGTCGAAATTCATTCGTGACCTGCCGAGAACCTCGCCGCGTTCGCTTTCCGGACCTCGCACGCCCAGCTCTCGGAAGCCGCGCTCAACAAAGCTTCTCGCACGAGAGAATCCGTGTTCGCGAGCTTCATCTGCCAGCTCTCGGTCCGTCGTTGCTGCTCTGAGAGACGCCGACGAGGGGAAGCGAAAGCTCACTTCGCCCGAGCGCTGTCAGAGTCGGCAGGCGCGCAAAATGGTAGGGCAGAGAGCTAGATACAGTGCAGAAGAACACGGGAGAGGAGGCTACACAGAGAGGGACAGAGAGATGGCTACAATGCTCGTCCACCAGACCCCGCTCAGGCCTCGTCCTCCTCGTCCTCCTCCTCGTCGAGCTCGCTCTCTCCACCGAGCACGCTCACCTCGCCGTCGCTCTCGTCCTCGCTCTCCTCGTCCTTGGCCCAGTCGCGCACCATGCCCTCGGGCTGGCTCTCGCCCATGAGCGCCTGCACGAGGAAGAAGCTCCGGCCGCGAGAGGCGCGGTCGGCGCCGCTCATGACCGACCCGGGTTGGCGCAGGCGAGGGCCGGCGACGAGCGAGGGGAAGGGCTCAGAGTTGCGGCGGGTCGGGAGCGTCGCGGCGGACGAGTAGGCGGCGGCGGGACGAGGGCGAGGGCGAGGGTGCTCGAGCCCGGGCGAGGCGGTCGAGGACGTTACCGGCGCAGGTTGGGCGGTCTCCGCGACGTCGACGGGCGCGTCCTTGGTGACAAGGACGGCGTGCGCAGGCGATGGGCCGTCTGTCGAGAGCGCCGCGACGACGACAAGTTCGGCAGCACCAGTCGAGGCGCTGGCACCTACGCCGAGCCCGCTCGACGTGTTGCTCGCCACGCTCGTGCGGTGCTCCTGGATCGAGCTGATCGAGCCGTGCCGCACCGCCGCCGAGACGACCGAAGCCGGGCGCGACGTCTTGGGCGAGACGAGCGACGCCTTGCGGACCTGGCTCGTCACGAGCGACGCACGGCGGATCGTCACGACGGCCTCGTCCGCCTCGTCGTCGCCGTCCGAGACCTTGGTCCTGGCGACCTCGACGTGCGCATGTGCGAGCTCGGGAAAGACGCTCGAGACGGCGCTCGTCGGCGGCGTGAGCGGCTCCGAGCCGTCGTCGGTCGAGCGGCGCGGCGACGACAGCGTCGAGCTCGCGCGGCGCGAGTCGCGAGAGGACGAGTCGCCCTCGTCGGCGCTCGAGTGGCCGTGCGAGAGCGCCGGGACCGGCGACGGGGTGCGAGAGCGGTGCGTCGAGAGGACGAGCTCGTCGGCTTCTGCCATGGCGTACGTCGGCGGGAGGTAACCCATCGAGGCCGTCGTCGGCTTGTGCGCCGCCGGGATGGTCGGCGTGCGCTCGGCGGTCGACGAGGGCAAAGCGGCCGCGAGACGGCTCTGCTCGATGGCCTCCTCGACGAGGCTGCGCGGGACCGGCGTCGCGAGCTCGTCGAGCTGGCGCACGACCGAGGCATAGTCCTCGTCGACTCGCGGCGTCAGGTACGGCAGGTCGTAGTTGATCGGGGCGAGGAGCTCGGGCGCCTCGGGCCACTCGGGCAGTGGCGCCGAGATGCTCGCGCGCGGGTCGAACGACGCGACCGAGTAGATCGACGGCGAGATGCCGTGGCGCTGAGGCGGCGTGTCGTGCGGCGGAACAGGAGGCGGAACCGGGAACGCGCCGTACGCTTGCGGCGGCGTAGACACGGCGTGCGTCCAGGACGGTCGGCTCGACGACGACGAGGCGAGGGCGTGCGAGACCGACGCCGCCCAGTCTCGGGGCGTCTGCGTCGCGACGTTGATCATCGGGCGGCGGCAGAGGCTCTCGCTCGGGCGCCGGGCCTGCGACCTCGACGTCGAGGCGGTCGCGAGGCTGTGCTCGGGCCCCAGCGACGACCGACGACTCGGCTCAGGCGCGAGCGACGAGCGGCGACTCTGGTCGATCGCGAACGACGAACGCCGGCTGTGGTCGATCGAGGAGTGGCGGCTGTGCTCGAGGGCCGCCGACGACCGGCGCGAGGCGAGCTGGAGGGGCTTGAGCGGCGCTCGAGGGGCCGTGGCGAGAGGCACCTCGAAGCCGGCCGGCATGGCGCCGATCGTGAGGCTCTTGGTCGCGTCGGCACGGTTGGCGCCTCGCGGGGCGGTCAGGCGAGCGTTGACGCCCGACTCGGACGAGACGCTCGAGCGCCCACCCTCGCGCAGGAAGGCGATGCGGTCCCGGCCCGTCATGAGCGGGTCCGAGGGCTGCGCCGACCTGCTCGTCGACGCTGCAGGGTGCGCCGGCGCAGACTGCTGGGGCTGCTGAGCGGGTGGCGGGGTCGGGCGCCGGACCTCGAGCGGCTGGACCTCGGCTTGCGGCGGCGTCGGGGCACGTTGGACCGAGCGCGACAGGACTGGCGGCGGGTTCGACACAGGAAGCTCGACGCCGATGCCGAGGCCGCTCATGCTGACCTCGGAGCCAGGGCGCGACGAGTACGACGGGAGGAGCGGCTCGACTCGCGACGAAAAGCCGCCGTCGGGCTGGGCGATCGCGCGAGAGTCGACCTGGGCGGCCGGACCCTCGTGGCGAGGCAATGGCGGCAAAGGCGGAGAGGTACCAACGACGGCGGGGCCTGCTTGCGTGCGGCGTGCGGCAGGTTCGGCGGTGCGACGCCGGGTCGACTCGCCGCTGTCGCGCCGGTGCTCGTACGCCGGCGCAGGGAGCACTCGGGACGACGACTTGGGACGCACGACAGGTGCCGAGCTTGAGGAGGGCGCATGGCGAGGTGCGGCGGGCGCGTTGACCGGGTCGGCCGACTTGTTCTTGGAGGATGACGACGAGGACGAGAACGGGTTCTTGAACGCCATCGACAGCTGCGTTGGTTCAAACTCGTCAGGTTGGGATACACGGCAAGGATGAAGGACGACTGGGCGACGGACCCTGTGCTTGAGCTTGTCCTTGCCGTCGCCCTTCTTGAGGCGTCTCGAGCCCTGCTCGAGCGAGGTCGGGTGCTGCGGTTGAGCCATGGCCAGCATGGTGGTGTCGACGACGAAGAGGTGGGCGTGTACGGGTGCAGGGCGGGCCAGCCGCAGGTCGTACAGGGTGGTGGACGGGGAGCAAAGAGTGAGGCGACCGACGACTCGGGGCGACGACGACGGCGGACCGGCGCGATCGGCTGCTCCACAGGGGTGCGGACAAAGCGAGGCATCATGGACGCTTCTGCCCGTTCCGTCGGACGCAGCATTTGCCTCGAAAGCGGCAACATGCTCTGGTGCGGCGCGCCGGACGAGGAAGGTGCGACGGCGAGGGCGCCGGATGCGCCAGCTCGCGGCCCAGACGCGTGGACGGGTCGACGACGGGCAGCGCAGAGACGCAGGCAGGTGCGGCAGTGCGCAATAGAACCTTGGCCCGCGCGTGCTGGCGGCGCCGGCTCCGGAACGCGGCTGCTCGTGCTCTTGGACCCGGCCGACGCGCAGTCGAGGCGGTGGATGGTCCCGCACGCCCAGAAGCGGTCGCGCTACTCTGAGCGAGCCACGCGAGTCGCGACCGCGCTGCACGCGTCGGTTCGAGCGCGTACAGCCGAGCTGCGCCGCGCTGAAGGAGCGAGGAGAGCTCGGAAGCTCGAAAGGCGAGTCTCGGCGCAGCGACGCTGTGTGACGCGAGCCTGGCGCGGCCTGGCCGTAGCTGAGGGCACTGAGAGCCCGGGCACAGCTCTGTGCGACGCTGCATGTGAGGTGGGAAGGCAGAGCGCCAGGACAGAGATGAAGGTCGGGGCAAGACGAGTCGGCCTCACACGACAGACACCTTGCGATGTCGTTGTGAGCGGACCTGCATGCGAGAGTGCTCGTCGTGCACTTGAGCGAGAGCATGTCCCTCCAGAGAGAGCGAGAGCTGAGGATGCGCCGACACTTCTCCGCCTCGGAACCGCCTCGTCCAGCTTGTCCGCTTCCTCGACCCTCACCACGCCGAGGGGCACCGGCGAGCCGCTCAGCAGCGCCACAAGAGCTATATCGACCGCTCTCGCGCCTGCCCTTGAACCGGCACGCCTTGCCCAGCTCGCGCCCACCTCCTCGAGCGGCCGCCTCCTCGCCAACTCGACCTCACCCGCACTCGCCAAAACCAAGGCGCTCGTTCGCCGCCCCACTGCTCAGCACACGCATCGTCACGCCAGCCACCAGTACGCTCGCGGCCGTCCCCCGGCGAGGGCAGCCGAGCCCCTCCCGACGCTCAGCCCCCTCTGCGAGCTGCATGCACGGCCGCACCACGCCCGCGCAGGCGCTCGCCAACCCGCACAACGGCGATCTCGGTGCGTCCCTCTTCCTCCTGCCCCAAACGCGAGCCCGCCCGAGGCTCGAAGCGCGGTGCCGCTCATTCGACCTCGAGGTGGGGAGGCGCGAGCGTGCGAGAACAAGGCGACTGACCTGTCGTTCCCTTCTCCCTCGCCCTTGCAGACATGCTTGAGGCCATGATGGACCGCATGCACCACCGCGGCTCGTCCTCGCCCGGCTCGACGTCCGCCTTCCCTGCCCGCCCCTCTTCCCGGGCATCCTCCTCCTCTCGCCTCTCGCACCATTCCTCGAGCCGCTCCCTCCATTCCCTCCAGTCGTCCCACGCCGTCTCCGGGCCGTCGTACGACTCGCGTCATGCGCGCACTGCCTCGGGCCTGTCGGACCAGCGCGCCAGCCTCGACGACGACCGCACGCCGTCAGTCGCGCAGGGCGAGTGGGGCTCGAGCCGGCACGGGTCCGGCTCGATCCGCAGCGCGATACCGAGCTCGAGCCGGTACCAGCCGTCCGATGACGCGGCGAGCGCGCACAGCCTGCAGTCGCGGGCGGCGCAGGTCGGCGTCGGCGAGGACCCGAGTCGGCAGCAGCAGCAGCATCCCGCCGCCACGTTCGCTCGCCCCGAGCCGACCTCGTTGCGCACACGACCCCGCACGGCGACCTCGCCGATCCCGTTCGAGCGCAGCAGCAGCCCCCTGCGCCTCCTGCCGCGCTCGCCGACCAACGACCGCACGCCGCTCGAGGACCTCTCCTTCTTCCGCGAGGTCGGCGCGCTCGTCGGCGACGACCCGCGATGGGACGAGCCGCTCATGAGCCCGCGCCGGCTCGACGCCGACGACAGCGACTCGATCCGCAGCGGGACGAGCAGCGTCCTGAGCGGGCCCCGCTCGTCGAGCCTGCGCGCCGCTCGCCTGCGCGAGGACATCGAGAAGGAGGCGCTCCGCATCAAGGAGCGCGCGAGCCTCGAGGAGTTGCGGCGCAACGCGGCAGCGGCGTCGGCCGTCGCGGCGGGCCACCGCGCCGTCACGCCCGACCCGCCCTCTCGGCACTCGTCGTCCTCGTCGCCACCGCCTCAAGCCGCCCTGCAGCAGCGCGAGTCGTTCCAGGGCAGCATGTCGGGCATCCCGTTGTACCCGGGCGCGCCCGTCCCGTCGGCGTCTTCCCCGTCATCGTCGTCTGCCGCTCGGCCACCACCCGCTGCCGACTCGCGGTCGGTGCGCTCGCTCGGCTCGACTGCGACCGCGTCCGGCTCGGGCCCGACGGCCGGTGCGCAGGGCAGCTCGTCGGCCTCGGTCAAGACGAGCGGCAGCGGGTCGTACGCTGCGAGCGGGAGCCCGGCGAGTGGGAGCGGCGGCGCGAGCGCGAGGACCGAGTACGGCGCGAGGAGCGACCGGTCGCGGCAGACGCAGAGCAGGGAGTGGAGCCAGACGTGCTGGGTGTGGGTCAGGGACAAGGGCTCGGCGAGCGTCACGGGCGGGAGCAGCGGCTCGAGTGGCGGGGGCAGGTTCAGCAAGGCGCCGCTCATCCGCGACGTACGTCCCCTTCCCTCTTTCTCGTCCCTTGCCTCTTGCAGTATACTGACAGGCTCTTCTTCCTGCAGGTCCCGGCGGCGCTCAAGCGCAAAGGCGGCAAGCGCGAGTCGGCGCACCACCTCCTCTCGCCCGCCGAGGCGCTCCTCTTCAACGTCGACGACAGCCTCGCGGGCAAGGGCGGCAAGTCGAGCTCGAAGGACAAGGACAAGGGGCGGGAGAAGGCCGTCCTTGGGCCGGCGGCGGCCTCTCGAGACGGGCGGTGGAGGAGGGCGACGGGCGTGCTGCGCGACGATGGCTACTTTCGGGTCTTTGGCGAGGTGCGTCCTCACTCTCACAATCTCGCCTTTACCGCAACTTCTCACACCGTCTCTCACGCACGCAGAGCGACAAGGCGGTCGTGCACAACGTCCACCTGCCCTCGCTCGGCCGGTCCGACGTCCGCCTCGTCGACCACTCGCTGTTCGGCCGCCCCAACTGCATCTCGATGTCGCGCTCGCACGCCGCACCTCCCACGCCGCACCGTCACTCGTTCAGCCCGTCAGCATCGTCCCTGCCCTCGCCACCCCGACTCGACGAGACGGTGTACCTGTGCTTCCCCTCGGTCGTCGCGACCCAGGTGTGGCTCGTCATGGCGCAGTGCTTCGCCCGCCCCGAGTTCTACCTCTCGTCGGGCGCAGCCGCGCCTCGGCCGCTCCGCTCGGCCGTCGCCTCGGACAGCGGGACCGACAGCGCCGACGACGACCGACCAGACGAGCTCGAGTCGGGCTGCCGCATCTTCCGCAGCCTGCACCTGTCGATCGCCGAGGGACGAGCACTCGGCGAGCTCGCGACCGAGGTCGTGCGCCCCGGGCCCAAGTCGTCGTGGGAGCGGCCGGTCATCGACGACGACTCGACGCTCAGCAACATCGACTCGTACTCGCACTCGTTCGCGACGCCGGGCATGGAGCCGTCGCCGTCCAAGTCGGTGTCGTCGATGTCGCTCCCGCGGTTGGCGTCGCGGCACGGCCAGGACGGCCGAGACGGCGGTGGCGGCGGCGGCAGCAGCAGCAGCGGCTCGAGCGCCGCCTACTGCGAGATCGAGATGGGCGGCGAGGTCATCGCCCAGACGTCGGTGCGCAAGGGCTCGTCGCCGTACTGGAACGAGTCGTTCGTCTTCAGCGACCTGCCGCCGTTCGTCGCGCCGGTCACGATCCGGGTCCTCCAGATGGCCAAGCACTCGTCGCGCCCGGTCCTCATCGGCTCGGCGACGGTCCGCATTCCCGACCTGCCGCGGCAGCAGTCGATCGAGGACTGGTGGGCCGTCAAGCCGCCAACGTCGACCAAGTCGTCCGACGTCGTCGGCGAGCTGAGCCTCGGCGTCCGCGTCAACGAGGAGGTGGTCCTGCCGAGTCGCGACTACGACGCCATGCTTCAGGTGCGCCCGCTTGACCCCTTTCCCTCCTGTCTCTACTCTACGCAGCCCGAGACTGAAGCTCTTGCTCGCCTGCAGCTCCTCTCGGACGACGCCGACGCCGACCTCGCGACCGACATCGCCCACGAGTTCCCGTCCGACCTCGAGGAGGTCACCAGGACGCTCATGCGCATCTACCAGGCCGAGTCGGTCCTCCTGTCGCGCATCCTCCGCCTCGCCGACCTCGAGATCGACCACAACGCGCTCAGCCAGCGCTCGGCCGCCATCCTGTTCCGCGGCAACAGCATCCTCACCAAGTCGGTCGAGCTGTACCTGCGGCTCACGGGCGCCGAGTACCTCGACGCGTCCATCGGCGAGGTCATCCGCCGTATCGTCGCCGAGAAGGTCGAGATCGAGATCGACCCGATGAAGCTGCGCCCGGGCACCAAGGACAAGGAGCTGCAGCACAACGTGCACCTCTTGCGCGAGTGGGCCCTCACGCTCTTCCACGCCATCTACGACGCACGAGAAAAGTGCCCTCAGTGCGTCCTCGTCTTTCTCTGCCTGTCTATTCCGCCGAGGCCTGACTCGGCGTTCCTCTTGCAGCGACCTGCGCCAGATCTTTGCCCACATCCAGGGCGCTGTCATCGACAAGTACGGCGAGGGCGAGGACCAGAAGAACACGCGGTGGACCTGCGTCAGCGCCTTCATCTTCCTGCGCTTCTTCGTCCCCGCCGTCCTCAACCCCAAGCTCTTCTTCATCGTGCCCGGCCCGCCCGACCCCAAGTCGCAGCGCACCCTCACGCTCGTCGCCAAGACGCTCCAAGGGCTCGCCAACTTTTCCTCGTTCGGCCAGAAGGAGCCCTGGATGCTCCCGATGAACGCGTTCGTCCAGGACAACACGGCCGCCCTCGTCGACTTTATCGAGCACGTGTCGACGCCGGCGCCGTCGACGGCGTACCGCCAGGAGTGGACGTCGCCGAACGCGGCGGCGTACCTCGCGCCGGCCCGGCTGCGCAGCTCGCTGCCGCCGCTCGGCAAGGAGGGCGTCCCGCTCCTGCCGCACCTCATCGACCTCCCGCGCGAGCTTGGCGTCCTCGCGACGCGCATCGCCCGCCTCGCGGCCGACAAGGGCCCGCTCGCCGACCTGACCTCGTTGTCCGGCGGCGGCGGCGGCGAGAGTCGGTGCGAGACGCCCTCGGTCGCCTCATCCCGAGGCGGGCGCTCACGCCGCTTCGTCGAGCTCGTCGAGACGTGCATCGACGTACACGTCGAGTCGAGGCGGCGCGGCGGCGGCCTCGTGTCGCTCCCGCCGTACGAGGACCTGCGCAACCGCACGCCCGACCCCAAGACGCGCACGCGCCGGCTCATGACGGGTCGGCCCGCCATCGCCGACCAGTACTCGTCGGCTGCGGGCCTGCGCAAGGCGCTCGGTGTCCCGCCGCTGCCCCGCACGTCGTCGTCGGCCTCGTCGGGCGCCGGCGCCGGTGTCGGCGCAGGCGCAGGAGCGGGTGCGGGCCCGAGCACCGCCGCGAGTGCCACGGTCGACGGCGACGAGCTGCACATCCGCAACCCGGCGTCGAACGGCACTGGCCCGTCGCCGCCGCCCGACGTGCGCGACGAGCTGCGGCCCGCACCTCGGCCTCGCGAGGAGAGCGAGACGAGCGTGCACTCGACGGCGTCGCGCCGCACGCACCGCGGCTTCACGATCAACGGCGCCGACTCGCCCGGCGTCGCCGGCCTGCGCCACAGCGGCGGGTCGTACCCGACCAAGTCGTTCTCGACCGAGGACTTGTCGCTACTCGCGTCGCTCCAGACGGGCGACCTCGACGCGACGACGCCTCGCCGCGACGCACCAGCACCTTTCCTCGTCAGCAGCCAGACGATGTCGAGCCTGGCAGGCTACGGCGCCGTCGTGCGCAACTCGCTCGACGACGAGGAGGCCGACTCGCGCTCGAGCAGCGTGCGCTTGCCCGGCGACGCTTCGGCGGCAGGGTACGCCTTCCCGCCGGCCAAGACACGAGTCGTCACGCGTGGCGACCCGGCCTCGGCGGCGACGGCGACGGCGGCGCCCAGCTCGTCGGGTCGGTCAAAGAGCTCGGCCTCGTCGACCCGGTCGAGCCAGATCCCGCCGACGGTTCCGACAAGCCGGATCCGCATCACGCAGGAGACGACGACGACGACGACCTACGTGTCGGACCCGGCTCCTCCCGCCGTCGTCGGCGCCGTCGAGTTCGGCACGCAGCACCGGCGCTCGGTCCCCTACGACGACGACACGTCGCTCGCGCCGACGAGCCCGGACGAGGGCACGCCCTTCGAGTCGTCGTTCGGCACGTCAGCCTTTTCGGCGCCGCTCATGCGCGCCAACCCGAGCCAGTCGTCGCAGCACTCGATGCTGAGCGTCCTGAGCGGCCGCAGCCTCGCGAGCTCGGCGAGCACGGTCAGCATCTCGGCAGAGATCACCGCCGGCCCTGGGCCCGCCGCGTCGTCGTCTTCGTCGTCGGGAGCTGCCGCTGCGAGCGCTGCGGCCGTCGTCGGGCGCCGGGCGAGCTCGGCGGGCATGAGCCTCGCCGGCATGGGCCGGCGGGCGACGGGGAGCGTGAGCGGGCCGGCGGGTGGCGCGGGCATCTCGACGCTGCGAGACGACCAGAGTGACGGCGGGAGCAGTGGAAGGGGAGGAGGGGCGCGGCCGAGCGGCAGCAAGGGCGGGCTGCTCAGCAGGGCGATGGGGCGCAAGGGCTCGCACGCGAGCTAGGGCGGCGCAGCCGTGTCGGAGGAGGGCTCTCTCTCTCTGCCAACGTCGACTGCAACGAGCATCATCATCTTTCTGTGCGCGAGCGTCTGCAAGGAGGGCGAGAAGGTGAGGCCGAGAGAGCCGAGAAAGTGTCGAGGAGGATCTGGCGACGAGACGCTTTGACCGCTCGTGGACGCAGGTCCCAGACGTCGAGTAGCCGTCTCGACGAGGACGGTCAGAGCGACAGAACCCGGGATTTAACGATTCTCGAGCAGCTAGAGCGTCTCGCAGCTACCTCCTCTTGCTCGACGAGGCGAACTTCTCGGCTTTGATCGCGTTCTTTCTGGGTCTCGCTCAACTGCAAAGAGCTCCTCGTCTTTCTGCGCGATAAAGCGAGAGCAAGGCGGGAGAGCCAAGAAGGTGCGGGTGAGTTACGCCAGAGCCAGTTGACCTCTCAAACTCGGACACGTGAATCTCTCTTTCTCGCTCTCGGCGGCAAAGGACGAGGGGAGCTGCACTTGTATCGCATGTTCTAGACCCGCTAGATGATACGAAGGTTACTCAAGAAAGGGTACGACCGGATGGAGGCGCGAGGCTGGCGAGGGCGACAAAGACAAGGACGGTGCGTGCGGGCGTCAAAGCGGGACGTGGGACGGACAGGCGAGAGAGCGTACTGCCACGTGGGCGTGAATGACGCCAAGTGCGTCAGGAGGGAAGGGAAGGAGAGGGAGAGGAGGGAAGCAGAAGGGAGGGGAAGGGAGAGGGGGGAAAGGACGCTCGGGGCGAGCGAAAGAGAGGGAAGAGAGCGCGCTGAAGGCGACAGCTAGTACTCGATGTCGAGACCGGGCCATCCTTTCGAGGTGCACAGGCCGTCGTAGGCCGCGCTGATCTCGGTGCCGACGATCTTCGTGCAGTACTCGCCGAGCGCGACGAGGATGGCGATGCGGTCGGCCGAGAAGCCGAGGGCAGACAGCTGGACGTCGTTGAGCGGCCTGTGGGGCGAGCTGCATCAGTTGGAGTCCAATGCAGGAAATGCCAGAGAGAAGAGACGCACCAGGTCTCCTCGCTCGCGGCGTCCCACAGGTAGGCCGCCTCCTCGACCGAGAGGTAGACGACCGTGTCGGTGATGCTCGTGTTGATGCGTGCCAAGATAGGGTCGGCAGGAAACCTGTGGTATGTCCAAGGTCAGGCGAGGACGGCCAGAACGAACAGAGGAAGGCGAGCGCACCTCTCGATGCCGAACGTCCAGAGCATCTCTTGGCCGCCGTCGCCGGTCTTGCGCACATACCGGCTCGACAGGTAGGCGATGGTCTTGAGCGTGAGGGGCGAGATGCGCGGGTGAGCGACGTGGAGGATGCGGGTCGTGTTGGCGGGGACGGCGGTGCGGAGGAGGCGAGGGAGGGCAGACGTGAAGCGACTGAGCCCGTCGAGGTGGCGGCGGTAGCGGTGGGCGACGTCCATGTAGTTGTTGTGGTTGCCCTCCTTGAGGTACTGCGACTGTAGGGATGTGTAGAGGAGAGTCAGCTCGCTCGTCGAGAGGAGAAGGGGAGAGAGGTGGACGCACCGCGTTGCGCGAGGCCGTGACGCCAGCGCCACGGGGGAAGACGATGCGCTTGATGAAGTCGACTTGGCCGAGTTGCAGGCCGAGCGAGGCCGTGAGGAGGTTGAGCGAGGTCTGCGGGAGGAGATGAGCTGACGAGCGGGGAGGGGAGGGGGCGAGGAGAGCGAGAGCGCGACGGACCAGAGTAGACTGGTCCTGGTGCTTGCAGGCGGTCTTGATGGTGCCGTCGACAACGCCATCGCCCCACGAGGTGACGAGGTAGAGCTCGGAGTGGGCGAGGGTCGGGAGGCGGTCGGGGCGGAGGCGCCTGCGGTCGGCCGGCTTGAGCTCGAGCGACAGGCGGTAGTCGGCGAAGTCAAACACTGGCTGTTGACCCTCGGCGCGCTTGCCCGTGCGCTTGCTGTTTTTGACGCGCTTGTACTCGACCGGCTGCCCCCACACCGCCGCCGCGCCGTCCTCGCCCTCGAGGAGCCAGGTGTCGTACTTCAGGCCACCGATGAGGTCGCGGGCGGCGGCGGCACGGCCCGAGACGCGCGCAAAGGCGGACCACGCCTGCGGGAACGCGGTCTTGGCGAGGTGCTCGAGCTCGTGGACGCGGACGCTGCGGAGCGAGGAGGGGGTGGGTTCGTCAGTTGGTGTGGGAGGAGGGGAGGAGGGCCGCTCTGCCGGCTGGGGACGCACCCGGTCTCGACTGGGGCGGGCTGGGTGATCTCGAGGAAGAACTGGACGATGCGGTCGCGGTCGAGGACGCCGCAGCGACCTTGCTGGATGTTGACAATGCGCGCGAGGCGCTCAGTCGGCGAGGGCCACGTCTGGTTCATGACCATGTTGGACGGGTGCTGAGCTGAGTGCTCGAGTGAGGAGGAGGAAAGAGAGGGGGTGGCTCGAGGGGCAGGCCGCAACGGCTCGCGACGAGCGCACAGGCCTCGCGCCGCCGATCTTTCCGCCAGCTCGCTCGGCTGCTCGCCCGCTCTCCTCCCTCTTCCACCTTCGCTCGCGCTTCTCGCTCGCGATGGCTCCTACCGACCTCTTTGGCGCGCTCAAGAAGCGCTACACGGACGCCAAGTCCACCCCGACCGCTCCCGCCGCCGCGTCGACCTCCTCGCACCCGATCCCCCTCCCGCCCTCGACGACCTCGTCCATCCCCTCCTCGCTCGAGTGCGCCCTCACCGACCCGCGCGTCCTCAAGAAGAAGGAGCAGTGGGAGGGCACCAAGGACCTCGGCGGCAAGAGCAGCGCAGAGCGCTCGGTGCGTCCCCCTCTCACTCAACTTTATCCTTGACGCGCACCCGCCTGACTCTCGCTCGCGCGCCACCACAGCGTGCGCACCAGGAGTACGACCTCGCTATCGTCTTTGCGCTCATCGAGGCCGGCGCCCCCGAGGCGGCCGAGGAGGCGGGCAGGCTCTTGTCGCGGCAGGGCTCGTTCGGCGGAGGAGCAACCGGAGGCGGCAGCACGATGGTCCGTCCCCTCTCGTCCGCCTCCTCCCCTACAGACTCGACTGACGAGTCGCTCCCTCGTCCAGATGAAGCTGCCCGACTTCCAGAAGTTGGTGCAGGCCGCCTTCGGCCCGGACGACGTCGACCTCGCCATCCTGGCCATCCTCCACTACCGCGGCGCGAGCGTCTCGCACCCGACCCTCGTTTCCGCAAAGGAGCTCGTGCAGGTGTGCAAGGCGGCAGTCAAGGACAAGACGGACAAGGTGCGTCCCTCCTCGAGTTTGTCCCACTGCAAGACGAGCGGCGCGAGCTCACTTCTCGCTCTGCAGGACCAGCCGCCGGCCATGCCCATCGAGTCGTTCTTCGCCCAGTCGCCCCTCTTCTTCACGATGCACCTGTCCTTCAAGCAGGTGCGGGCCTCGCTCGTCGCCGTCGACGCGACCGAGAAGAGCGTCGCGGTCGACTTTCGCCTCCCGGCGACCAACATCCCGGTCCTCGATGCTCCGCTCCTCGACCTGTACCTCGACAACATCGATGTCGTCGGCGACAAGCTCGAGGCGATGGGCCCCGAGTGGCAGGCGGCCATGGGGATCGGGACCGGCGCTGTCGAGCCGTCCAGCCTCGACGCCGAGCTCGACGTCCACCGCTCGTCCGAGTTTGCGGCCGGCATGTCGATTCTGTGCGCTGCATCCGCGACCAAGGTGCGCCCGCCTCGTCCCCTCCTCTCGGCCCGTCCCTGCCCGTCGAGGCGGCCAATTGACCTCTCCTTCCCACAGTCGCACCTCGCCGCTCGGCTCGGCAACGGCTTCGAGCTGTTCTCCAAGACGTTCGAGATCAACTTCCCGATCCGCAGTACGGCCGACGGCTACGAGGCCCCAGAGCAGCTCATCGGAGACGTCTCGTCGCACGGTACGCTCGATCCTCTCCCTCGTGATCGGCCTTCTTGGGCTCGGACTTGGGGGCGTCGGCACTGACACGCTCGTCTTTCTCGCAGGCAACACACCGATCAACGTCATGTCGATGAGCAAGGTCGACGAGAAGGTGATCCGCGACACGTTCGGCGAGCGCGGCCACCTCGCCCACCTCGAGCGCGAGAGCCTCGCCGACGGCCAACACGTGCACGTCTTTGCGGTCGACGACGGCGACGAGACGTACAACCTCACGGTCGTCAACTCGATGCCCTTCTTTGCCAAGCTCAACCTCGCCCTCGACATTCCGAAGTACTCGGTCGCCTTCCTGTTCTCGCACCTCGTCTCGACGCCCTCGCGCCCCGGCTACGTCTCGGCCGCCTGGTCGCCGCCGTCGGTCGACGTCGCCCTCGCCGTGCCGAGTGCGTCCCACTTGCGGTGCCGCGCGCTCAAGTGCCGGGCCGATGTGGCCATGACGGCCGCCCTGTCGGCGCTCGTGCGCTTCCTCGCCGAGAAGGTCAACGCGGCGGGCAGGGCCAAGGGCAAGGGCAAGGCCAAGGGCAAGGGCAAGGCCAAGGTCGAGGCGATCGAGGCGCAGCCGCAGAGCAAGGAGGACGCCGAGTGGAACTCGTGCCTCAAGACCGACTCGCGCTCCTTCGCCATCGCCTTTTGGTGCGAGATGTACGGGTGCGTCCGCTCTCATTCGCTCTCCTCCACTCCACCGTCCTCGACCTGACAAACACCTGCCGCGCAGCGTCGACGAGGTCGAGCGCCTCGGGTACAGCAGGAAGGAGATGTGCGCCCACCCTTTCCGCTCTCTCCCTCTGTCACGTCCACTCACCTTACTCCATTCCGTGCAGCCTCGACGCGCGCAAGACGGCCATCCTCGCGCTCCCGACCCTCGTCGCCATCCGCGAGGAGCGCGAGCAGCGCCGCGGCTCCAAGTCGGGCTCGAACGGCGCGGCGACCTCGACGCCGCACCCGCAGCAGCAGCAGGGCAGCACGCCCGACGGCGTCAAGCAGGACGAGGCGGCCGAGACGCAGCCGCATGCGCAGCCGCACACGGGCGTCCACTCGTCGTCGTCGTCGTCGCGCGCGCTCGAGCCCGCCGTCGCGCCCCAGTCGACCTCGGCCGCGCAACCGGCCAAGAGCAAGGGCAAGGGCAAGAAGCGCGAGGTCATCGTCCTGAGCTCGGACGACTCGAGTGCGTCGGACGGCGAGGCGCCCCTGTACGCGTCGTCCTCGCGCATCGGCGGCGGCGGCTCGACCTCGGCATCGGCGTCGACGTCCTCGGGCAAGCGCCGCAAGGGTGCGTCCCTCGCGTTTCTCTCTCTGTCTGTCGCTCACGCGGCGACTGGACACCTGACAGTACTTCCACACAGCGTCGCTCACGCTCAAGGACGTCGTCGTCAACCGCATCATGGTGCGCCGCCGCGACGTTCGCTCCTCGGCCCGCACGAGCCTGACTCTGACTCGCGCCTGCAGGACATCTTCTCGCGCCTCGCCCTCGACGACGTCGTCGCCGCCGCCGAGACCGTCCTCGCGACGTACGAGCTCGACGGCGACACGCTCGCCGAGGAGTCGACAGGTGCGCTCGCGCCTCTCTCTCTTTTCCCTCTCTGTGCGTCGGCCGTACACTCGGACGTGCGGTTCCCTGACGTACTCTCCCGCCCACAGACGCTGTCACCATGATCGTCACGGCCACGGTCGGTGCGCTCGGGTACGCCGACTAGCGCCGCCTCCCCTCGCCCTCCTTGCCTCTTTCCCTCCTCTTGCTTCACTCGCCCGCACCGATCCCCTCGTCGAGACTCGTCCCGCCTCTTTGCCCGCCTCGCCCTAGTCCCCGCACAGTGCCATAACCCCGACTCGCGCGTCGCCGGCGATCGTCTCTCTTTCGTAGCTCTGGCAGCACCGAGTGAGATTATACGGCGCCATTTTCGCGACTCTTGCGCGCACAGCTTGTGAGCGCGTCTCGGAAAGTATCCTCGCGCAGAGTGTCCGAGTAGCTCGCTTCGAAAGGCGTCGACTTGGACCATGTGCGAGGTTGCGCAAGGGGCGCGAGCGCGGCGGCGCGGCGTCGACAGCGTGCGCGGCCGCCGCACGATAGCTCTCGGATCGGCTACCGAGCGTGGCCGTTGAGGGAAGCATCGAGGCAGGAGCGCAGGAGCGCAGGGACCCGAGCGCCGGAGCTTGCGACGAGGACGGCGCGAGCGCGAGCGGCCAGGGAGGGGCTCGAGCGCTCGCGAGGGCGAGCAGCGGGATTTCGTTCGCGACGTCGGCGACCGACTCGCCGTGAGTGACTGAAGCCGGTCGCTGCGAAGCTCGGCCTGCGGAAGCGAGAGAGAGGGCTCCTCGAGAACGAGAGAACGAGCGCGAGCGGGGGACAGCAAGCCATCGACGGAGCGACGACGGTCGCTGTTGACGACAGCTGTCACTCGAGAGGCGCTCGCAACGGGGCAGGGACAAAGGGACTGATGCGTTTCAGGTACAGGCCGGGAGGACGAAAATCTACTGCAGCTTGGCCTTGAGAAGGTCCTTGAGCTCGTCGGCGTCGGCCGCGAACTTCTTGATGCCTGGGAGAGGAGTAACGCGAGTCAGGGCCACGTCGACGACTCGGAGAGGAAGAGAGAGCAAGGACGCACCCTCGTGAAGCTTGTCAAAGGCCATCTGGTCCTGCAAGAGGGACCAACGGAAGGCCGGCTCGTTGTCGATGAAGCTGACCTTGTCGATGGGCTCGCCGAGGTCGCTCTTGGACAGGATGGGCTTGACCTCGTCCTGCATGCCCTGCAGCTCCTTGAGGAGGGCGGGCGCGATCGTCAAGAAGTCGCAGCCGGCCAACTCGATGATCTCGGAAACCTGCGTCGACGGGCGAAAACGAGTCAGCGTCGCGTGCGACGACACAGGGTGGTGGCTGCGTCATACAGCCCTGAATGAAGCCCCCATGACGATGGTGTCGTAGCCGTGCTGCTTGTAGTCTGCGAGAGAAGGAGAGAAGGGGAGGAGGGGAAAGAGGTGAGCGGGCACGAGGGGGGAGGGGGACGACGACGGCGCTCAGGGAGGACGCACACTTGTAGATGCTCGCAACCGACTGAACACCGGGGTCCTTGGCGCCGGCGTAGTCGCCGTCGGGCTTGTTCTTCTTGTACCAGTCGAGGATGCGGCCGACGAACGGCGAGATGAGGGTGACGCCGGCCTCGGCGCAGGCGACGGCCTGCTGGAAGCCGAACAGGAGCGTGAGGTTGCAGTGGATGCCCTCCTTCTCGAGCGCGCGGGCGGCCTGGATGCCCTCCCAGGTCGAGGCGATCTTGATGAGGATGCGCTCCTTGGGGATGCCGACCTCCTTGTACAGCTCGATGAGGTGCTTGGCCTGTGTGGGAGTGTAAGGTCAGTGACTGGGCTGAAGGAGAAGAGAGAGGCGTAGGCGACGCACCTTGGACTTGGTGCCCTCGGTGTCGAACGAGAGCGAGGCGTCGACCTCGGTCGAGACACGGCCCGGGACGACGTTGAGGATCTCCTTGCCAAACTCGACGAGCTGTGGGGCGCAGAAAGAGTCAGTCAAGGGCGCCAGAGAGGGAGGAGAGGGGGGAAGACGCACGAGGCGGTCGATGGTGTTCTCGACCTGCGAGTCGACGTCACTGCGAGGGGGCGTTTGCGCTCCGTGTAAGCTCTCCGGGTACACACGAGAACACGAGTGAGGAGGAAGAGCGACGCACCCGCCCTTGTTCTTGGCGTACTCGACGGCGACGTCGATGAGGCGGGCGTACTCGGGCTTCTTGACGGCGGCGAGGATGAGCGACGGGTTGGTGGTGGCGTCCTGGGGCTTGTAGACGGCAATCGCTGCAGTGGAGGAGGCGCAAGAGGCGGTCGACGCGTCAGGAGGCTGTGGCGCTCGAGCCGGACCGAGGGAGGACGACCGAGCCTGAGGGACCGAGAGAGAGAGAAGGGCGCGACGCACACTCAAAGTCGCCCGAGTCCGAGACGACGGTGGTGAACTTCTTGAGCTGCTCGAGGGTGTTGGACATGGTGTAGGTAGCTGCGGCGGGTGGGAGGAGGAGGAGGACGAGGAGCGAAGCGTCAGCGACATCGATGGTTCCTCGGGTGGCAGAGACCCGACCCGCGGCCTCGCTCGACCGCAAGCCGCACAGGGCGCACAGGGCGGTGGACGAGCGTGTGCTGGTCGACAGTGGCGAGGGAGCGAGACTCACGTGTGCTAGGGGCGAGTGTGGTGGAGGAAGAGGAGGAGCTTGCTCGGTTGTCGACCGCCAGCTCGCGCCTCGGCGAAACTCAAGAGTGGATGCGCTCATCCTCGTCCGTCGCTTCCCCAGACTCAGTGTGGCCCCGCTCCTCGCTCGCCAGAGCTTTTTCCTCCGGTCTGTCTCCTGCAGCTCTCGGTCCCCTGTCGAGCGCGCACCGCTCGAGCCCCTTGGTGAGCCGCGAGCAGCTCGCCCCTGAGCGCGACGCTCTCGGGCCTCGACCAGGCGCCACAGCGCAGCTCTCTCGCGACGCTAGGCCTTGCTCAGCTATGTACAAGAGTGACACTGCAAAGCGAGACTGGCTACAGCCACGGCTGCGCCCGCGACCGACGAGCAAAGCGCGACCTTCTCAAACACGTTCCGCCCCTCCTCTCCGGCTCCTCGCTCGCCCGCCCACCAGCTCACTCCTCGATCATGGCCCTCAGCCCGTCCCACACCTTTGCGCCCGTCGCGCCCTCGGCCCACGCCGGGCTCCCGAGCGGCTTCATGCGCTCGTTGCAGTACTCGAGCCCTTGGCTGCGCGCTGCCGGGTTGGCCGCGACGTACACGGGCACGTCGGCGTACGTCTCGGGCAGGTTGCCAAAGGGCAGGATGCGCGCCGCGAGGGGCCCGACGAGGTTGTACAGCGACAGGATCGGCGAGGGGACGAGCGAGGTCGACGCGAGGGCGTTGCTGCGGGACGGGGCAGGCGAGGGGCGAGTCAGGCTGGTGGCGCACGTGGAGAGAGGGGGGAACGAGAGGGACGCACGTAAAGACAAAGCCGGGGAAGAGGTGCGCCGAGCGCAGGTGCGGAAAGTGCTTGTGGAATTGCTGCAAGCGAGAGGCGGGAGCGCAAGGTCAATCTCGCACCCCAAGTCTCGAGAACGGCCGAGAGTAGAGGACTCACGACAGCGACTGCGTCCCCGAGCGCCGAGTCCTGCTTGCCCTGGCCCATGATGCGCCCGAGGAGCCACTTGTCGCGGTGCTCGCGCTTCTCGAGCTCGAGGTCGTCGACGTCGGGTTCGGGGCCCTTGGCGCCGGCGGGCGCGCACACGCTCAGCCACGTGTCCTTGAGCGTGTTGGACGACGCGAGGAGGTACGCGAGGCCGAAGCGCGACAGGGTCTGGACGGCAAAGTGGGCGTCGTGCGACGGCGTCGACGATGTCTGCGTGTAGGCGCCGTGCGGAGGACCACCTGCACGGGGGAGCGGACGCGTTAGGGACTCGCAACGTCGTGGCTGTGGACGCGGCGAGAAGGGGAACGCACCCTGGGTCGTGACGAGGTAGTCGATGCCGGCCTTGCCCGTCTTGCGCTCGAGCTCCTTGGCGACGCGGTGCACCTCGCTCACGGACCTGTCGCTCGCGTGCATGTCAGCTCGTCTCCCTTGAGAACACAGTGAGCGAGACTCGGGGACGCACGACAGGTCGGCCTTGATGAACTCGAACGTCTTGCCGTCAGCGGCTGCGCCCGCCTGAGCCCTGCAGCGGCGCACGACGTCCTCGCCGAGCTTCTCGTTGCGGCCGATGACGTAGACGTTTGCGCCGGCTTGAGCGAATCGGAGGCCGACAGCGGCACCGATGCCTTGGGCTGCAGAGCGAGGAGGAGAGGGTGAGCAAGTGGGCGGTGAGAGGGGAGGGATGGGAGACGAGGGACGCACTGCCACCTGCGACTGCGGCCGTCTTGCCCGAGAGGTCGAGCTTGTGGTTGTAGCGTGCGGCGTCGGTGGACGAGGGCATGGCGGGGCGAGGAGGGCGTCAGGTGGGGGAGGAGGAAGACGGGGCGGTCGCGGCGACGGGAGCTGGTGCGGGCTCGACTCGGTGGGTGCGGCCGGTGGCTGGAGCTGTGTCGGCTGCAGCAGGCGTACTCGCACTAGCAGCGAGGGTGGTGGAGAGTAGACAAGTGCAGTCGAGGCTCGGGCTCGTCTTGATCGGACAGCGCAACCTTCGTCCTCCCTCACCCGCTCGTGCCCGTCTCCAGCCATGGCGACCGCACAAGGAGCAGCACCACCTGCTGCACCAGACGCCCAGGGCGCAGGCATCGGCGGCGCCATCAAGAACGCCGCCTTCGCGTGGATCTTCGTCCAGGGCGTTCAATACGTCTTCACTGGTGAGCACCAGCATCCAGTGTCACAGCGTACCTCGCCAGGCACTCACTGACCACCTCCCTCGACCTTGCGCGTGCAGGCAAGAAGCCCTTCTCGACCCCGCCACCTCCTCCTCCCTCGTCCGACCCCACGTCCCTCGACACTCCCGACGGCGTCGCAAAGCCGGGCCCTGCCGCGCCGGTCAACGCCGCCAATCAGCAGCAGCAGCAGCAGCGCCAGGTCCAACCGCAGGTCCCGCCTCTTGTCCCGACCTGGCCCCACAAGTCGCTCCTCGACGTCGCCATCCGCCTCTCGCCCGAACTCGACCCGCTCGCTGTCGACTTGCGCGACTCGACCTTCCCTTCCGTCACCTGGACCGCCGTCGAGTACAGCAACACCAAGTGGGGCCACGTCTGGGAGACCGAGTGGGCCGTCCCCGATACCGTCCAGCACAACGCCTCGTTCTTCCTCGACGCCTTCGTCACCCGCACCGGCCTGTCGCCCGACCCGCGCGACGCGTCGTATCCGGGCAAAGGCGAGGTCCTCCACATCCGCAAGCGTGCGTCCCCTCTCTCTCCCTCTCTCCCACCTCGCGCACTCGGGAGCCGACGCCTTTCCTCCCCCCTCACGCAGCCCTGATTCGCTACGCGCCGCAAAAGCGCGTTCGCGCGACCAAGAACCTCTTGTCGGGCAAGGCCGACGACGACGAGGACGCCGCCGCCGAGGCCAAGGAGTACGAGGACTGGAAGAGCCGCCCGTTCGTGTCGTACTACTACCCGAACGTCACCCTCGAGCTCGTCGGCGACGCGGCCAACGTCGCGTACGCGACCCTGCCGCCGCCGGTCAAGCAGCACGTCCACATTGCGCGCGAGGGCGCCAAGACGTTCGACGACAAGCAGGCCTACTTCCCGATCCTGTTCCCCAACACGTTCTGGGACCTCTCGTCGCAGCTCCAGCCGGTCAACACGACGACGACCGTCCTCCCGCTCCGCGTCGAGTTCAAGCCGAGCGGCTACTTCAAGTTTCAGCTTCAGTCGACCATGGACGAGGCGTTCACCAAGCAGAGCGCGTCGATGGGCGGCGGGTCCGGCGGCGAGCTCGACGAGATCAAGCGCATCCTCATCGAGACCAACCCGGTCCTCCTCATCACGACCGTCGTCGTCTCGGTCCTCCACATGCTGTTCGAGTTCCTCGCCTTCGCGGGCGACATCGCCCACACGAGGAGCCGCAAGGGCCTCGTCGGCGTCTCGGTCCGCACCATCTTGACCAACGTCTTTGTCCAGTTCATCGTCCTGCTGTACCTCATCGACCGTGCGTCCCTCTCGTCCCCTGTCCTCCTCGAGATCGAGCTCGTGAGCCCTGACCCTTCGTTCGTCCACCCTCTCCTCCCCTCCTTCCTTCTCCCTCCTCCCGGTCCCGCACACGCAGAGAGCGAGGAGACGAACTACATGATCATCATGAGCAGCGGCATCGGGCTCGCCATCGAGGCGTGGAAGATCACCAAGGCGGTCGACATCAAGGTCGTGCGCCAGCCGGCCCAGTCACTCTTGCCCTACAAGGTCGAGATCCACGACAAGCACGTCCTCAACGAGGACGAGCTGCGCACCCAGGAGTACGACCGGGCGGCGTTCAAGATTGTCGGGCTCGGCACGACGCCGTTCTTGGTCGGGTGCGTCTCTGCGTCTCTTTCTCTCTTCCTGCCTTGCGAGGATAGCCGACTGACACTCGTCTCGCGCCGCAGGTGGACCATCTACTCGATGCTGTACCAGTCGCACCGCTCGTGGTACAGCTTCGTCATCCAGACCCTGACTTCGTTCGTCCAGGTGCGTCTCTCGCTCCCTCTCTCCCTCTCCCTCTTCTCGCGCCCCCTCGAGCCTCACGCCCTCGCCTCCTCCCTGCAGATGTTCGGCTTCGTCCAGTTGGTGCCTCAACTCATCATCAACTACAAGCTCAAGTCGGTCGCGCACATCCCGATGAAGGCCATGATGTACAAGTCGCTCTCGACCGTCATCGACGACTTTTTCTCGTTCATCATCAAGATGCCGCTCCTGCACCGCCTCGCCTGCTTCCGCGACGACGTCGTCTTCCTCGTCCTCCTCTACCAGGTCCGTTCTCTCCTCCTCGCGCCCTCTCTCCCTCCCTCCTTCCTTCTCCTTCTTCCCCTCTCCCTCCCTCTCTCGCCTTCTGCCAACCCGCCTTCCGTCACTGACACGCACCTCTCCCTCTCTCTTTCTTCCCGCCCGAGCAGAAGTGGATCTACCGCGTCGACTATTCGCGCGAGAACGAGTACGGCCAGAAGTTCGACGAGGACGAGGCCAAGAAGCAGCTCGACAAGAAGGCGCACGACGAGCAGGCGCGCATCAAGGCCGACGGCGTCGAGACCAAGAAGACGCAGTGAGCGTCGGCGAGGGAGCAGGGAGGGAGCGACAGGAGGGACGGGCAGTTGCTTTCTATCGCTTGGTTCAGGGCCTCTCGTACTTTGCAGGAGAAATGGGCAATCTTGGGTTTTCACTTCCAGCTGTACATTGTCGAGGAATTCGCTCGAAAGCCGCCGAGAGACGTCCTGCCTGCCTCGCCGCGCTCGAGCCCCGCTCGACCCGCTCCCTGCTCTACCCTCGCGCCTCGCCGTCGTCCTCGTCCCGCTCGCCCCGCAAGCGCGCCACCTCGTCGCGGACCCACTGCGGGATGAACAGGTCCTCGTGCAGGTCGGAGAAGGGCGTGTCGGGCGTCGGCGAGTAGCGCTGCAGGTCCGGCGTGGTGAGGCTGAGGGCAGGTTGATGAGGGAGAGGAAGTGGAGGAGGGTGGGTGAACGAGGGAAGTCAGATACTCGTCGGGCGAGGAGAGAGCGAGGGAGAGAGAGAGTGGGCGCACCCTCGCAGGTGCCGCAGGACGAGCTCGTCAATCTCGAAATTGCCGCTGCGCTCGAAGCTCGTCAATGAAGCTCGAATGACGGAGAGGAAAAGGGAAACCGAGAGCGCACCTGTAGCTCGAGCCCTCCTCTTCGAGCATGGCGAACGCTGCGTCGGCGACGATGGCCGGGTGGCGCGCGTTCTTGTCACGCCCCTCGCTCCCGATGAGCATGCGGATCGCCTCGGTCGAGATGTAGGTCAAGGGCCACAGCGCTGCGGGCGATGACGGCGGACGAAAGTCGTCAGTCGCTGCTCGACCGTCCTCGCAAACTCCTCGGGGAGAACGGCGGACGCACCGTTGACGCCGACCTTGCCTCGAAGCTCACCCGCGAGCCCGACTGACGCCAGGCTCATCCCGAATTTGGCCATGGCGTACGCCGTGCTGGGCCCGAGCATGGTCGGCTCGAGGTTGCCGCGTAAGGGCGGCGCGAGCGTGAGGATGTGCGGGTTGCGGCCTTGCGACGCCGAGTCGAGGAGGTGCGGGATGGCGAGCTGTTGCGGTGCAAAGATGAGTGTCGCTCGAGAGGGTGCGACCGGGGCAGAGAGGCAGAGAGCGAAAGTGCACCTTGGAGACGAGGAAGGTGCCGCGACCGTTGATGGCGTGCATGAGGTCGAACGTCTTGACGCTCGTGCTCTGCGAGTCGGTGAGCGAGATGGCCGACGCGTTGTTGATGACGAGGTCGATGCCGCCAAACTTGCTCGCCGTCTCCTCGATGGCCTGTAGAGCGATGTCAGCTCGACTCGGCGGCACAGGGGGCAAGAGAGAGGGAGGAGAGCGCACCTTTTCGACCTGGTCGGCCTGGCGGATGTCGACGACGAGCGGAAGAGCCGTTCCACCGGCCTCCTCGATGGCCTTGGCCGCCGTGTAGATGGTCCCGGGAAGCTTCGGATGCGGCTCGGCACTGTTGTAAGAACCGAGAGACTCAGCTCGGGTGGGCCGCGAACGGTCGAGGAGGGGAGGGGGAGGAGAAGCTCACGTCTTGGCGGCGATGGTGACTTGTGCGCCCCGGTCGCGAGCGAGCTTGAGGGCAATGGCGAGGCCGATACCTCGAGAGCCGCCCGAGCTGCGGGTAGGCGTGGAGGGTCAGCTCGAGGCGAATGTGGGGAAGGGAAGAGGGCGAGGGGGACGAGGAGAGGCACGCACACGAAGACGCGAGGGTTGCGGGCCAGGGGCATGTCGACAGAGGCTGTGCGGGTCGACGCAGGCTGGAACGAGCCAAGCAGAGGTTGTGGGAGGAGCGAGAGCTGGGGTGCCGGCTTCATCAGCTCGCCGTCCTCTCGCCTCGTCCCTCACCTCCCTCACAACGGTGAGTGCGTAGGGAAGGACCTCAGTCAGCACCACTGAGCCTGACTGCACCGCCCTGTCTACCTCGCGTTCGCCCACGCTCTGCCCTCGCACCCCTCGCCCTCGGCACGCGCCTTCCGCCACGACCGCACCTCGCCTCGACTTGCACACCAGCTCTGTCAGTGCGCATGACAGCCTGAAGGTGCGCCCGACTTTCCCTGAGCCCACCTCTACCCGCTCTGACCCTCTTGTGCCCAGCAGACGATCAACTCTCCTCACGACCTCTCTTGACGACCTTCACGACCTTCACGACCCGCACGACCTCGCACGACCACGCCACGATCCGCCCACGACCTCGATGAGCAGCAGCCACACGTCTGCCGCCGGCTGCCCCGTGCACGAGGCGCTCCCTCACGACCCTGTCCCCTTCTTCTCCTCGGGCGACATCAACTTCAATGCGCACGACGTCGGCTGGCTCGTGTGCGGCACACTCGCCTTCGTGGCGACCATCACGTCGTGTTGGCTCATCCGCAAGCACCTGGTCCGTCCCCTCTCGCACTCGGCCCAGCCGCATTCCGAGGTCCAGCCGAGCTGACCTCTGCGAGGCCCGCAGTCGTTCTACTACCACCCGACCGAGCAGCGGCACATCGTCCGCCTCCTCGCCATGCCCATCGTCTACGCCATCTGCTCGTTCCTGTCCTACTTCTGGTACCGCCAAGCCCTGTACTTTCAGCTCGTCCGCGACTGCTACGAGGCCATTGTCATCGCCGAGTTTTTTTTCCTCCTCCTCTCGTTCCTGTCGAACCCGCCGCCGACATCCGAGGAGCCGATCCCGACCCCGTACGCGACCAAGGCGGAGCGAGACGCCCAGCTGCGCGAGTCGGTCAAGGACCTTCACCTCCGCAAATGGATGTGGCCTCTCGGGTTCCTTAAGTGGCGGCCTGCTGGCGGCGGACCGGGCGAGGGCGAGGTGCGCCCACATCTCTCCTTTTTGTTGCGCTCGAGGTCGTTGCCCGTCGAGCCCGCACTGACTCGTTGCGCGAACAGGCCTTTCTCTGGTGGATGCGGGTCTGTATCGGCCAATATGTCCTCGTGCGGCCGCTCTCGACGCTCGCATCCGTCGTCGGCGAGGCTACAGGTGCGTCGCGTCGCTCTCTGGCTCTTTGGGTCCTTGAGCGCCGGGACTGACCCTTTCTCTCCCTCGCGCAGGCTACTATTGCCTCGTGCGTCCTCGTTTTCCCGCCTTTCTGCGCCTCTCACTGACTCTATCTGCTCCTGTCTGCAGGCTTCTTGGTCGCCGAGGTTTGTCCACGTCTGGGCGAGCGCAGCAATCACCATCTCGGTCACCATCGCCATGTAGTACATCCGGCCGCCTTCCACCTCCGAAGCGTCCTCAACTGACTTACTCGCCCATGCAGCTGCGTCCTCCAGCTCTACATGCCGCTTCGTGAACCTCTCAAGCCCTATCAGCCCGTCTTAAAGGTGCGCCCCGTCTCGCTTCGTCGTCTCGCTCGAGCGACTCGCTCACGCCTTCGTCCCGACGCAGTTCCTCTGCGTCAAGCTCGTCGTCTTCTTCACGTTCTGGCAAGAGACTGCCCTGAGCTTCCTCGTCACGGTCGACGTGCGTCTCTGCGCATCTCTCGGGCCCGGTCGCATCCACTGACTCGTCGTCGGTCCCTCAGGTTATCAAGAACCGGCAATATTGGACCGCCGAGGAGATCGTCGTCGGCCTGTCGGCGCTCCTGTCGTGCCTCGAGATGGTCGTGTTCGCCTTCCTCCACGTCAAGGCGTTCTCGTACCTTCCCTACCGCGCCCTCGCCCCGTCCGTCCGCTTCTCGCCCGACGGTCGCCCGCTCCTCTCGACCCCGGCCGACCCACCCCTCGAGCTCGACGCCGGCAAGACGCACTCTTTCGCCTCCTGGTCCGCCTGGAACGCTCGCGTCGCGGCCCGGGATGCCGCCCTCTCGCGCCTCGCCAAGCCTAAGCCCCCCTCGGGCTTTGACCCCTCGAGCGGCGCCGGCCCGCGCAAGGCCGACGGCCTCCCGCTCTTGCAGCAGACGCGCAAGTGGCCGGCGCTCCTCGCGGCGCTCGACTTGCGCGACCTGTTCGGCGAACTCGGCGACGAGACGAGGTTCGTGCTCCGAGGCGGCAGGGTCGACGAGGCGGCGCTGCTCGAGGTGCGCCGGCGCGACGACCTCGAGAAGGCGTTCGGCGAGAGGAGGCCGGCCGTCAGAGGCGGCGACACCGCGTTCGGCGACGGCGAGAAGGAGGGAGAAACGGCGGTCGAGCGCGACCTTCGGCGGCTGCGCGAGGGTCGGTCCCGCCCATCGTCGCGCACGCGCCTCGCCGAGGACGGCAGCTTTCTCGCTCCCGGCGTCACGAGGCCGGCGGCACAGCGAGCGCCGGCAGCACTCGCCGTCCTCGAGCGTGAGCCGGTCGACGAGCGTGACTCGCCGGCGCCCGGCTGGTGGGCGTCGCTCCGCAGCGCCGGCTCGCGCCCTCCTCGTCCGCCTCTCGACAATCGCGGCACGTTCGAGCAGCTCCCTCGTCTCGACTACGACCGCCTGCCTGTCAAGAACGTGTACGCCGTCGTCGGCGACAACTGGCACATCCCCGTTCCGCCGGCGCATCGGGCCGGCACGCCTCTCGGCACCTCGTCCCGCCACCAGCAGTCGCACGCACAAGCTCGTCGTGCCTGTACGTCTCGCAAGGAGCCCTCAACCGCGTCGTCCGCCGCGCCCTCGCACGACTCGTTCACCCACCTCCCGCGCACGAGCCTCCGCCCAGCCTCCTACGTACCGCCACACCGAGCGAGCCCGCTCCCATCGCCACCGCCATTCTCGCACTTTGACCGGTCATTGCCGGCGTCGCCGCCGTCCAGCACGTCGAGCCGCACCATCTCGGCGCACGCCGGCAAAGCTCCTCCCGCCTTCTCGACGCCGCCGGCGGCCCTACCTTGCACCTCGTCGCGCACGCAATCTCACGCGCCAACGCCACCTTCTTTGGTCACGTCGCGAGCGTCGCCGCCTGCGACAGTCGCCCTGGCGCCGCCCCCGGCGGTCCTGCTCATGGCGAGCGTCGAGTCGAGGCACTCGCACGGGCTTCCTCCCGGAGCCATGCCGCCTCGTTCTTGAGCTCCCACGCCTGAACCCGATACCCCCTCGCTCTTTGCCCTTAACTCTCGCACCCTGTCCTTTGTTTACCCTCTTTCGCAAACCTAATCTCGTTCCTGTTCTCATTACTCGTGCTCGCACTCTCTCTCGCGCTCTATCTCGCGCTCGGACGTTCAGAATCTCATTCGCAATGCAACACCTTCTCGCCACCGTCGCCCTCTGCGACTCAAGCGCCGTCCGGCTCGACTGAGAGAGCCTCCTCCTCGTCCTCCTCCGAGTCGTCGAGCGCGAGCCAAAGCGCCCTCTTGACGTAGTCGACGAGACGAGACGACGGCGGCGACGAGGGCAAAGACGCCGGCTCTTGCTGCGAGATCTCGTTGCCGGCGGTCGAGGGACGTGTCAACGAGAGGATCTGGATCTCGGCCTTGCGCTGCAAGTGAAGCATGAACTCGAGCTCGCGCCTGCGCTCGCCGGACCAACAGTCAGTGTTTGGTACGAGAGAGAGGGAGAGAGAGGAAGAGAGAGGGTGACGCACCTCCAAGCGTCGGGGAGGTCGTCCTTCTTGAGCATCGAGAGCGCTTTGACCCTGTCGGCCTTGGTGAGCGGCAGGAGGTCGTCGCGGTCGACGCCGAGCGCGGCCCACTCGGTGCCCTTGATGCCGAGCCACTGCAAGCGCGGTACGACGAGGTTGTGCGCATCGTGCGACTGGAGGGACGAGCCGTGCGCGTAGACCGACAGGATCGACAGGCCGTGCGGGTCCGAGTCGACGAGGGCGAAGATGGGCGTGCTGCTCGAGGTCGCAAGGCGAGTAAGTGGCGGGCCTTGATCGAAGCGAGAGAGACGAGACGCACAAGGGCAGGTCGTCCGAGAGGCGCTTGAGGAGCTCGCGCGTCGCCAAGTCCGGATAGCCCTTGCCGGTGAGAAGGACACCGGCGCCGAGCTCGTCGTCGTCCAACAAGCTTGATGAGACGAGCGACTGAAAGACAGCCTGCGAGTGGACGCGTCAGAGTGAGTCGAGAGACAGGAGAGGAGAACTGCCGGCGCACGTCTTTTTCGACGACGAGCACCCACTTGACCTTCTCAAGCTCGAGGCGGTCGACGAGCGTGCCCGGCGGGACCAGCGTGCCCTGTAGAGGTCAAGGGTGAGGTCCAGACGCTGAGGGTGAGGGCGGCGGTGAGACGCACCCGGTCTGCAGAAGAGAGCTCGCTGCCGTCGGTGAGGACGAGCTTGACGGCGCCGGCGAACAGGCCTTTTGCGGTCGCGACGACGTTGAGGTCGCTGCGGCGCACACGTAGCGATGCGGCGAGGTCGTCGACGAGCTGCGGAAAGGGCATTAGTGCCGAGAACGCGAGGGAGAGGAAGCGAGACGGCGCACCGAGTCGACAATGGCCTGCTTGACGAAGAGGGTGACGTCGCGGTAGAACATGTCGCGCTTCGTGTAGACGATGCCGTTCTTGAGCGCCTCGAGGACGAGCTCGACGACCTTGAGGAGGCAGGCTGCGCGAAGAGAGAGTCAGGACCCGGCGCTCGTTCAAGGGGCCCGAGCGGCAGCTCACCGAGTTCGCGGGCACCGAGGCGCAGGTTGCCGCCATGACCGTATCGGCGAGGAAACTTGATCGACTGCGTCTTGCTGCGCTCGGCGTTGACCAGGGCGGACGACCTGCTCGAGCTAGAAGTTAGAGCGGGCGACTTGGGAAGGCTCCGAAGGTGGCTCGACGCACTCGTTCTCGCCACCGCGCCGGACCAGAACGACCTCGACCTTGCGGATCGTCGACTTGTGCGCCTTGAGCTGCTGCTGGGAGCTGCCGCTGATCTGCTCGCTCGGCTCAGGCGCGACGGCGTCGACCAGTTGTCCAAGGACGGCGAGCGCGAGGTGCTCGAGCGAGTCGACGATGGCGAACCTGCCCAGGAAGGAGGCGTCACTTTGAGTCCCTTGAAGGTGGGAAACGGATCAGGCGAAAGGTAGACGCACCGACGCTCCTCCTTCGACCAGGGCACGCCAGTCTTGGGCGAAACCTTGGGCAGCGGCGCGAGTCGAAACTGCCGGCGCTCCGTCTCGACCACCTTCTGCTCGACCGCCTCGCCCACACCGAGCGCCTCGACGCCCTCGATGGCCGCCTCGGCCCGGTCCCCTGCCCTCGAGCCGTTCGCGCCGACGCGCTCGTCGTCCTCGCTCGGCGCTCGACAGCCCTTCTTGTCCACGACCCGCCTCACACCCTCAGTCGGAGAGCGCGTCGGCTCGACAAGGAGGCCCGACTCGCGCTCGTGTGGCGGCTGAGCGTGCGGATCGACGTAGCCGAAGAAGGCGTCCATCTCGGCCTGCGTCGGGCTCGCCCGCCGCTCGATCGAAGCCGCCGCTCCGGCGCAGGTGTCGCGAGGTAGTTGTAGGACGAAAGGGATGTCGGAAAAGGGAGGCGAGGTCGAGGGCTGGGGCGGGGAGGGTTGGAGGAAGGGCGAGGGTCGGTGCGGCGGCGAGCGAGAGGACGACAGCGCCTTCTGCGAGTCGATGTCGCCTGCTCCGACGGCGGGCTGCACCTTTCCGACGATGACGAGGGGCGAAGGCGACCGCGAGAAGGCGAGGAGCTGGTCGTCGTGCGGGTTGAGCGAGTCGAGGTCGGGCGGGGAAGGGGTTGGCGGCGCCGGCGAGGGGGAGCGCGAGCTGCACTCGGAGGCCGACGAGAACGAGAGCGTCGGTAGGTCGTCGCTGAGGTGCTCGGCGGTGTCGCTGAGCGCGTCGAGGTACAAGTCGTCGTCGGATGCTGCTCCATCGTCTGCGAGCTCGCCCTCGTCGACGACGCCTCGCCCGGCGCCGCTCATGCCGTCGCCGGCCTCGTCGACGAGTAGGCTGAAGGTGGAGCTGGCGACCGACGCACTGCGCAGGCGGTGGAAGGCGGCGCGTGGGGCGCCGGCGAGCGAGAGGTTAGTCGACTCGCTCGCGTCGTCGACGGCGTGCGGCTCGGGCTCGTCGGTCCAGCCCGGCAGGTCAAACAGGTCCATGTCGGGTCGACGAGTGACGAACAGGAGGGGGAGAGTCGAGAGCGAGAGGTGAAGAGAAAGAGGGAGAGGAGGACCGGGCGCTCGACGATCTCTCACACGCCGCAAGCTCTCGAAAGACAACGAGGACGAGAGGAACAACAAGCACGACACTGCGCATGCATCATCCTTACCGCACGCGCCCTGGCCCCTCACTTGGACGTGCTCGCGCCAGGCTTCCCGATCCCGCCGCCCTTGGGCACGTGCGAGAACGCGCCCTCGGCGAACCACTTGGCGTTGGCCTCGTCCACCTTGCTGCGCATCTTGCTCGGGTCGACGAGCTCGAGACCTGCAAAGGCGAGGGCGAGGGAGAGGGTCAGTCAGGCGAGCGCAAGATGGGGCGAAAGGGAAGGGCAGGGACGCACCCTGCACGGGCGTGAACGCGAGCGACGTCGCCAGGCCGGATGTTGCGGTACCCGACACGGGCTTGATGGACGCGATGCGGCCCTTGGCCGACTTGGACAATTTCGCTGCGGGGGTGTGGTGCTGGTCAGTCCTGCTGGGCTCGGCAAGGGAGAGAGGAGGACGGAAAGAGGGGACGCACCCTTGCTCCTCGCCTCGGCAACGTTCGCCCGCACCCTCCCGCTCGACGACCCGATCATGCCCATGCCCTGCACGTCGTCGTACGCGCCGACCTCCTCCTCGGCCTCGCCGAACTTGAGCCGGTTCTGCAGCTTGCGCAGCTCGGTTTGCGCGTACGCCTCCTTGGCCTTGCGCGCGCTGTGGACAACGCAGCAAAGAGTGAGCTCGACGCACGAGGCAAAGAGGGAGAAGAGGACGAGAGAGTGGACGCACCGCTTGCCGCCTCGCCGGTTCTTCTTCTGCGCGTCGGGCCTCGGCAGCGCCTTGGTCACCTTGCTCGGCGCCGGCCTCGCGAGCCGCTCCATCTCGCCCTCGAGCTTGCCCTTCATCTCCTCGCCGAAGCTGCCCGTCGGCGCGCTCTTGGCCATGTCGACCCTCGCCGCGAGCGCCACCTTGGCGCCCACCTTGCGCTGCGCCTTCATGCGGTCCTCGTTGCGCGTCTGCTGCACGAGCGGGCACTGGTAGATGAAGCCGGTGTGCAGGCGGTCGACCGAGTGCGCGGCGGTCGAGAAGCCCGTATTGGCGCGCTTGACGGCGCCGAGGAGCTGTGGACGAGAACGAGAAGGTCAGGGCGGGTCCGACAGCGCGAGGACTGGCGAGACTGAGACGTACGTAGATGTTCGAGTGCGGGATCCGGACGAGGCCCTGCAGGCCGCCCGCGATGCCGAGGATCTTGGTCGCCGTCTGCGTGCCGACGATGGCCGAGATGTTGGGCGCGAGGAGCGTGATGCGCGACTCGACGTACTCGAGGATCTGCAAGGGTGGCATGTACGTCAAAATGTGCTCGCTGGAGGGGAGAGGAGGCGAGAGAAGGGCGAGCGCACCGTCCGCTTCGACTGGTCGAGGCTGAACATGAGGTCGACCGCGCCCTTGACGACGTTCCACTCGGTGTCGGACAGCTGCTGGCCCTTGGTCGTCGCCGCCGTCACCTTGACGGCCATGACCGAGCCCGAGGGAAGGATGCCGGCGATGTCGCCTTGCAGCTCGGGGCCGTTTCCGAGCGCGAGGATGACGCGGCAGTAAGGGAGGGGGGACGAGACGAGCGAGTCGAGCTCGGGGAATCGGGGCAGGTAGTGGTCGCGGATGAACTGTGTGCGGCGGAGCGAGTCAGGATGGTGCCGCGAGGCGAGAGGGGAGGGAGAGCGAGCGCACCTTGTGGACGACGAGCATCTCGTTGTCGATCTCGACGCTCAGGTTGTTGGCCTGCACGATGAGGAGGTACTCGCTGCTCTCCTGATCGCTCGCGAGGTTCGGGTCGGGGTTCTCGCGGTAGTGCTCGATCTTCTGCTCGAGGTGGAGCCGACGAGGGGAGGGGGATGAGGAGGGGGCGGGGTCAGCTTAGTCGCACGGGCAGAGCGCATGCCAGAGAGAGCACGGGACGCACCTGGAGGACCTCGCGCATCGTCCTGCTGCCCTGGAGCCGCGCCACCTTGCCCACCTCTGCGACGCCGGCCAAGTCCATCGCGTTGACCGCCTCCGGGTCCACCTCGTCTGCCGGGCGCACGCCGCCTTCAGGGACGTGCACCTCGCCTGCAGCACCACCGAGGAGCGCCTCGTCGACGTCGCCCGCCTCGCCGTCGCCGTCGTCGTCGCCGTCGGCTTGTGGTGCGCTCGTCGAGGCGGTGGCTGCGCTGGGCCCGGCCATGGCGCTGTCGAGCTCGTCGTCGACGTCCGAGCCGCTGCCGAGGTCGTCCAGGTCGTTCATGAGCTCATCGGCGAGGCTCGTCATGGTGAGGTGAGGGAGCGAGTTGGGTGAGGAGCGAGAGGAGCTGGCGGACGAGAGCTTGCAACGACCAGGTCATCCAGCTCGGCTCTACGTGCTGCTTTTCTCTCTCTCGAGGTCGACATGATGATGTCTGAAATGCAGTACAACAGCTGGACAGAGACACTAGACAAGTCGACGGTCAGGCGGCGGTCGACACCTCGGAGCGGACAAAGTTGCGCCGGTTCAGAAGCGCACCTGCGACGTACGTCGAGGAGGAGGGTCAGTACGACGTCGTGTGGATGCGGACGGCGGAAGAGAGACGAGAGAGGAGGACGAGGACGCACCCTTGAGCGAGCGGATGTCGGCCTTGAAGTTGTGCGTCACCTCCTGGAGCGCCTTCCTCTCGCCCGTCGCCGTCGAGCTGCCCGGCGCGCCGTACGCGCCGTAGGGACGGTACGTGTGGAACGTCTGCGCCGAGTACGTCTCGGACTCGAGGTACTCGTTGAGCGTGACGAGCGACCGCATGAGCATGCCCTGCGGCTGGACGAGGTTGGACGGGTTGGTGAGGCCGCCTGCGTGAGGCGAAGTGGTCGAAGGGACGGAGGGTGTGGCGGCGGCTTGAAGCTCGGCGTAGAGCGAAGCGAGGGAGGTGGTGAGGGGCGCGAGGATGCGAGGAGGTGGGGGCAAGGTCGGCTCGGGTGCTGCTGCCGCCGTGTCGCCTTCTGCCGCCGCAGCCTCGCCCTTGTCGAGCAACGGCTCCTTCTCCGCGTCCTGCGCCTGGCCCGCCGGCTCGCCCGCAGCCACAGTCTCCTCCTCCGGCTCCTCCTTCAGCTTGCGCCTGAACTCGAGCGCGTCGGCTCCTCCCAGCCGCGCGATGCCCGTCGAGGTCGTGAACGCCTTGAGCACATCAAAGAGCTTGGTGTAGGCGGCATCGTGGATCGAGAAGAGGCGAGAGCGGGCCTTGAGGGCGACGACGAGACGAGGGAAGATGATGGTCTGCACGAGAGGGGCTCGTCAGCTGCCGCTGCGAGCCGAGAGGCAAGAGAGAGAAAGACGCACCTTGTAGACCCAGGCGACCGCTGCACTGATGGAGCCGCCGATGAAGACGAGGGCGGCGAGGGTGCGGAGGAAGGTCGGGACCGACGAGTTTGGCGCGTATGCCGGGGGTGCGGCGAGGTACAGCGGGGCTTGAGAGTAGTTTCGGGGCGGTACGGGCACCTGCGCGCGGGTCCAGGGTCAGTGACGAGGGCGGGACGAGTAGCCGGACTCGGACGACGGACCGGTTGACGAGTGGGGGCCAGGGGCGGCGCAGAGTCGCTCGACGAGGCTGGCGGGAGCACAGACGAGCGCACGGCGTTCTCTGTCGGCTCGGTCGGCGGCTGCGGGGCTTGCGACATGGCGAGAGACGGTACAGCGGGTGAGAGGCGAGAGCGAGAGCAGCTCACGGGCGAGACCACGCTCACGCTCGACTCGCGCCGGCTCAACGACGACAGGTGCGATGCAAGAGTGTAGAAGTACAGAGGACAGCGCTGCTACGGGACACCTCGCTCAGGGCACGACCGCCACGCCCGCGCTCCTGCAACTGCCCAGCACACTCTTCGCCAGCGACTCGAGCGGGATGTGCCGCAAGTGCTCGTCGCGCTGCTTGATCTTGGCAATCTCGAACACGTGCTTCATGCTCAGCGTGCCCGCCGGAGCCACGTTGGGCCGCCCCGTCTCGCCCGAGCCCGTCTCGATGCCGGCCGCCGTCTTGACGAGGTGCATCGTCGGCGGCGACTTGGTCACGAACGTGAACGTGCGGTCGGGCTGGATCGTGATCAGGACGGGCGTGGGCGTCCCTGCGACCAGGTTGGCTGTTCGTGCTGCGAGGGCGACAGGCAGAGGTCAGCTCGAGGGGGAAGCTCGAGAGGGGAGAGGACGACGAGCGCACCGTTGAACTCCTTGACAAAGTCGATGCTCTTGACACCCCTCGCACCGAGCGCAGGACCGACTGGAGGCGCCGCAGTAGCCTTGCCGGCCGGGACGACGAGGCTGCAGCCGCCAACAAGGACGGGCGAGAGGGAGGAGAGGAGCAAGAGCAGTCAGCGCGCGCGCGCGCAGGAGGACAGGCGGCGGTGCTCACCGGACGATCTGCGCTGCTGCTTGTGCTGGCTTGGACATGGTCGCGGCGAGTGACGAGGGCGAGGAGGGGAGGAGACTCGCACCCTCCTCTCGCGCCTCGACCACCCGCTCCACTCCGCCCACCTCGACGAGCGGAGCTTGTGCAGCCACCGAGTACACCGGCCACGCTGTAGCAGCCGCTTGCGCTTGCGAGCGCGACCCTGCTCGCTCCCTCCATCGATTTCACCAACCTCATCTCCTCGAGCTCTTCGCCCAGTTTGAGCTCCGCCAACAGCGCCGGGCGCCGTCGAGACGCGACCAGTGCATGCCAGGTGGGTCAGTGGATCCGATGCGCTCGCTGTGCGCGGACGTAAGCGCTGTCCCGCCCTCCTTCCCCGGCTGCGCTCGTTCTTCATCCTCGCGAGGCGGGCGTGCCACTCGCGGTCGTCTCCTACTTTATGTGCTGCCTACGTGACGGAGGCTATACTCCTGCAGCTTTGCTCTCGAGCGCGGCGCGGCCCCTCGGCCTGCGCGCTGCTCTCGAACGGCTCTCGCTTTCGCTTTGTCGGCCCTCGTGCTGGCTCACGGCGGCCTCTCTGTCCGTGTGCGCCACGACAGAACGCTCTCCTCCAGTGGCAGGTCGAGTCGGCCGCACCGAGTGCGTCTGCTGCCTCGCCTCGCCGGTCGGCTGCGGACGATTCCTCGCGCTCGATCCCGTTCCCAGCTGTCCGCGGTCCTGCTCCGCTGCTCCGCTTCCTGGGCTCTTCACCTGAACGCGAGGATGCACTCTCGCTGCCTCGGTTGCTCGGCGGCAATCGAGCGATGCTCGCACGAGAGCGGGCGCGCGAGCTGGAGGACAAGAGGTCGATCGCAAAGTCGAGTCTGAGCTTTTTCGCTAGAGCGCTTGCAGGCTTGGGTAAACCCCATTTCCGAACGCAAGGTCATTCATCGGTACATAGCCGAGTCGCACAGGGCAAAGCGAGTTAACAACGAGACACCCGCCATCTCGCCAAGTCGGTCGCGGCGGCCGAGGAGGAGGAGCGCCTCTCACGTTCGTCGAAACCGCCGCTACCCGTCGCCTGCACCTGCTAGCGGTCCCAGCAGCTGAACAGCAGCTCCGTCGGTCCCCGGCACGCAGCCACCGCAGCCCCATCAGCGCTCACGCCGACCCGGGCCCTCATCCCTCATCGCCTCGGCTCCGGCGTCACCGACTTTGTACACGGCCTCGAGCGACACACTGCGCACCCTCAGCAGCCTCGAGTACCGCCTCTCGACTCGATCCGCACCCGTCGACCGCCGCACGCCGCCACAAGCCGCCGCCGCCGCAACTCGCGCGCCATGGCCTTCAACGGCATGAGCAGCCTGCCGGCCGTCTCGCAGCGCTCCCTCAGCATCACCGCGACCCAGTTCTCGTCCTTCGCCACCCCTGCCATCACCGTCCCCTTCCCCTCGGTGTACGGTGGCCAGAGCCAGATCCCGTTCACCTTCTCCAACACGGCGAGCTGGGCCGCGACCCGGGTCCCGACCACGCTCGGCGGCGCAGCGGCGACGGCCGGCATCCACTCGATCAACTCGCAGGCGAGCGAGGCCGGCTACCGCACGCACGACTACGGCAACGGCGGCGGCGGCGGGAGCAGCTGGCCGACCTGGGCGACGGCCGTCATCGCCTCGGGCGGCGGCGTTGCCCTCATCCTCATCGTCGTCGGCCTGTGCTGCTGGCGCCACCGCCGCAAGCAGAAGGCGGCGAGGAAGCGCGCGGCGGCGTTCGCGGCCGGCGGCGGCGGGTACGGCGTCGGCGACGGCAAGAAGCGGCGCAAGATGACCAAGCACGGCGCCGGCGTCTACACCGAGAAGCAGCCGGTCGCGGGCCGCAACGACCCTCGCCGTGCGCGATCGGCGGCGGCGGCAGCAGCAGCTCTCGGCGGCGCAGGCGCGGGCGCGGCGGCGGGCGCAGGCGGGCGGTCCAAGTCGCGCGGTCGGCGCGCGGGCAACCCGTACGACTATCCTCCCGCCCTCACGCCCGTCGGCGCCGGCAGCACGCCCGATTCGCCGTCGCAGTCGCAGATCCGCTCGCGCGACCTCGCGGCCCTCGGCATCGCCCGCCCCGTCTCGGCCTCGCCCTCGACCCGTCGCCAGCGCGAGTACGACCTCGCGACGCACCCGAACGCCTACCCGTCCGACTCGACCGCCTTCCCGCAGTTCGCCGTCCCGCGCGAGCGCCGCTCGCGCGAGTTTTCCGGCGGGTCCGACGGCGGCCTGCTCCCGCCTGCGGCCGGGTTCGCCTACCAGGAGGGCGACACGCGCCAGGCCGGGTACCAGACGCCGCCGCGACGCTCGCCCAATACGCGGTGGGGCGAGTATGACGACTCGCCCGGCCAGCACGGCTCCCCGGCGCGCCTCCTCACGAGCGGCGGCGAAGCGCGCGGCCAAGCGCAGGGCTACCTGTACCAGGACGACACGCCGAGGAGCAGCTTGACGATGTCGACGAGGGGTACGGGCGGCGGCGCGTACCGGTGGGACCAGGACCCGCACCTGGGCGAGCACATGCCCGACGCCGACGAGGTCAATGCGGCGCTCGGGCGCGCCATGATGGCCGACTCGGCGTCGTCGCAGGGCCACGGCGGCGGCATCGGCATGGCCTACGGCGAGCCTGGCGACGGCGGGCACCAGGCGCACGACCCGCACGCGCTGTCGGCGCACCGGTACGGCGTAGCGCAGCACGCGTCCGAGTTGCGCCGCTCGACGACGCCGACCTACCCGCCGCCGATCCCGTCGATGGCGTCGACGTCGCGTGCCGCATCTCGACAGGGCGACGTCGACTCGGCGAGGACGTCGACGTACGCCGCGAGCCACGACGGCCGGCGCCACCTCCAGCGCTCGACGACGCCCGACTATGCGCCGGCGGGCGGGCTCGGCGCGCCTCTCGCTCTCGGCGGCGGCGGCAAGGCGGCGCACGAGCGGTCGAGCAGCGGCGAGTCGGCGGGAGCGTCGACACGCGAGGGGAGGAACTACTCGCGAGCGTCGACGTACGCGACGGCCGAGGACGACCCCGGCGAGGACGAGCACGGCGCGCCGAGGGGAGCGTACGCGAGGTAGACGGCGAGGCGTCTCGATGGCTGAACCCCTCTCCCCTTCCTCGTTGCCCTCCTCGTCGTCGACTCTCGTCCGCCTCGCTCGAGGCTCTTGGACACTCTTCCCTCTCCCTCTCTCTCCGTGACTTTATCTTGTCGTATCTACTTGTAACACAGAGACACTGTCGTGCATGCAGCTGAGCGCAAAGAGAGAGAGACTCGAGCGGGTTGATGACGGAGACAGCTTCGCTCGAGGAGAGGCGCCACCACTTGCCGACCTGAACCACCTCCCCTCTCGCTACTCGCAGCCATGGTGAGTGCACGAGAGCCTGCACTGTCTACCAGAGCACCCTACTGACCCGCCGTGCTTCCCCCGCAGTCCACCGCCTCTCGCCGCCGCCTCGGTTCGTCGTCCTTCCCTCGTGGAAGCGCACCTCCCGCGCCGCTCGAGGGCCTGCGCTGCCTCTTAAGCTGGCACGGCCGCAGCACAGCGAACGTGCGCTGACCCTGCCGCCTACCCCTCGCAGTGCGCGACTTCAAGAAGCTGTCGTCCGACCCGCCCGGCGGCATCTCGGGCGCTCCTTGCGCCGACAACATCATGGTTTGGAACGCCGTCATCTTTGGCCCGGGTGCGTCCTTCTTCCACCTACTGTGCCGTCCCCTCTCAGGCGGGCACGAGGGGAGCTCACTCTCGCGACCCTCCTCCACCGCCCTCTCCCGCTCACCTCGTCCATCCTCTCCCTTCCGCGACTCGCCCTCCCCCTCGACCCGCCTCTACGACGCAGCCGAGACGCCCTTCGAAGACGGCACGTTCCGCCTCGTCCTGACGTTCGACGAGTCGTACCCGAACAAGCCGCCGGTCGTCAAGTTCCTCTCCAAGATGTTCCACCCGAATGTGTACGCCAACGGCGAGCTGTGCCTCGACATTCTCCAGAACCGGTGGAGCCCGACGTACGACGTCGCCGCCATCCTCACGTCGATCCAGAGCTTGCTGCACGACCCGAACCCGAACAGGTGCGTCCCTCTTCCTCGACTCTGCCTGCCACTCGTCCTCGCCCGAGACACGGCCCTGATCGTCTCTCCACGATTCTCCACTTTCTTGTGCGTCTCTCCACCCGACCTCTCGCCTGCACCCACCTCGCCTCGCTCGCCGCCTCGATGTACCTTCTCAACCCGTCAACAGCCCGGCCAACGCCGAAGCCGCCCAGCTCTACCGCGACAACAACAAGGAGTACGTCAAGCGTGTCCGGGCGACGGTCGAGCGGAGCTGGGTCGACGAGGACGTCGTCGAGTGAGCTTTCCGAGGTGGATTTCTCGTCTGTGTAGCTGCGTGTCTTTGCCTCGCTGTCCCTTTCGTTGTATCACTGCGCACGCTTCTCTCTATCCTTGACTCGCGAGAGCGGCCATGACTTCTCGCTCGAGAGCTACACAACGAGTACCGCGTCGGCCGTCTCACCGCTTGAGGTCCTTGCCAAACTCCTCGCGCAGGTCCTTGCCCTCGACGACGAGCTTGCGCGCACGCTCGAGAAGGCGCTCGATGCCGTCGAGACCTGCAAGGAGAGATCGTCCTCGGCTCGTGAGTTTGGCGCTCCAGGTCGCGCCAGACCGGGAGGAGCGAGAAGGGACGGACCGCGCTCGAGTTGGTCCTGGCTCGGGCCGAACGAGAGGCGGACGAAGTGGCTGGTCGGCGAGTCGAACAGGTTGCGGCTGCGAGGGCAGAACGTGAGTGACTGTACGACGAAGATGGACTCTGGTTGATGGTAGAGACGCACCGATGCGAGGGATCTGTAGGAGGACAGGAGGGAAGGGATCGAGTCAGTACGAGACGAGGGCAGGCTTCCCACGGCAGAGAGAGGAAGAGGACGCACTCAGGTCAAAGAAGCAGCCCGGTACGACGATGACTTTCTCCTTGAGCGCCTCCTCGAAGAAGACGAGGCCGTTGTCGAGCGGCTGCGGCAGCTCGGACAGGTCGAGCCACACGTAGAAGGATGACGTCGGCGGCCAATTGACGGCAAAGCCCATCTCGCGCAACCGGCCGACGACGTAGTCGCGTTTCTGGCGGAAGTGGCGCTGCAGCGCGATGCGGTCCTGCTTGACGCGGTCGCGCTCGAGGAGCGGGAGGGCGGCAACCTGGAGGACGTGCGACGCGCCGCCGTCGAGGAAGCCGCCGCTCTGGCCGAGCGCCCGGACGAGCGACTTGGGCCCGACGACCCAGCAGACGCGCCAGCCGGGTAGCCGCCAGCACTTGGTGAGGCCGTTGATGAGGATGACCTGCGCGAGGAAAGGCCGACGGTCAGTATCGAGAGAGAGAGAGAGAGAGAGAGAGAGAGAGAGAGAGAGAGAGAGAGAGAGAGAGAGAGAGAGAGAGAGAGAGAGAGAGAGAGAGAGAGAGAGAGAGAGGGAGGGAGAGAGAGAGAGGGATAGAGAGATAGAGAGAGAGAGAGAGAGAAAAGGCGAGGGAAGGGGAGGAACGGTGACTCACGTTGTCCTCGTTGACGTCGTCGACGAACTCGGCCGCCGACACCTGCGCGCCCTCGCCGAGGTCGTACACGTACTGCTCGTAGACTGTTACGAGGTGACGGAGAAGAAGTCGAGGGGCAAGAGAGGGGAGCGCGAGAGGGTGAAGGTGGACGGGGAGAAGGCGATGGGGCAGGGGAAACAGAGATCGGCGGGCGTCGGGAAAGGCGAATGAGAGAGTCCGTCTCGGATCGTCGCTGCGGAAGAGGAGGAGAGAGGGCGCAGGACGCACACTCGTCGAGGACCATCGTCGTGCCCTGCCTCGACAACTCGACGATCCGCTTGAGCTCCTCGCCGTGGATGACCTGGCCCGTCGGGTTGTGCGGGTTCGAGAGGAACAAAGCTGTGATACCCTGCTCGCGGATGAGCTCCTCGAGGTGGTCGATGCTCAGGTGGTAGCCATCCTCGGCGCGAAGCGTGGTCGGCAGCGGGACGAGGCGCTTGAACGACGAAAGGAGCTGGTCGTAGCTGCGCGCGCGGGCTACATCAGGAACGTGTAGGAAGATGGCAGCGTGCGAAGGAGAGCGGGCGCACCTGGTGTACTCGGGGATCCTGCGACGGGAAGACGAAGAGGTCAGGCCGCGGCTTGGGTCGCCAGAAATTCCCCGCCAGGATAAAGAGGGAGCTGGACGTACGTGTAGGACACAAAGACGTCGCCAATGACGCTCGCGACTCGAGTGAGGCCGGCTCGACCGCCCGGGACGATGCAGACGTTCTCCCAAGTGTACTGGCTCGCCTTGTCGGCGCGGTACGTGTCGTTGTAGTAGGCGGCGACCTTCTCGCGCAGCTCCTTGACGCCCGTCGTCGGCGCGTACTCGTTGACGTCGTCGCCGATGGTGGCCGAAAGGTCGGCGAGCGAGATCTTGTCGGGACGAGGCGAGGAGCCTTCGATGTGGGTGACCTCGGGAGCGCCCTGACCCTGTGGCGAGGCGGGGTGTCAGACACAACGTTTCGACAGGACGAAAAGGGCGACACGGACAAAGTTGGCCCACTGCGTGCGGCGTGCGGCTGGGTCAGCTCGGAGGTTCATGAGAGGAAGAGGAGCGAGATTCGGGGCGCACCTCGTTGCTCCCTGCAGTCCAGCCGTTGGCCATCGCGCGCTCCGACACATAGATGACGCCGGTCGAGCCAGGCGGGACGATGCCGGGCACGTCGTGGCCCTCCTTGTCGTCGGAATGGTGGCCGTGGCCCGGGACGGAGCGGAAGAGCTGCAGGGCGGCGAGTCAGTCACCGTTCTGCGCCCGAGAAGGGCGGGCCTGGGTGCTGCTCACCTTGTGCGCGTCCGAGTCGTCTTCGTCTGCGCGAGGGAGTCGTAACGAGCGTCATCAAGTGCACGAAAAGGTGGGGGTGGGGACGAAGGAGAGGGAGGAAGGGGACGACGCACGACGCGAGTGGTCCTTGACGCCTTGTACGAGGCGCTGTACTGGTGTGCTTGACATGGCTGGATTGGGCCGTGGGAGCTGTGGGAGCGAGAGGACGACGACGCGCGTTTGGTCGGTGTCGCTGGCTGCGCACCTCGATTCAGCCTCGCGCTCGCTCGATTTAGCTCGCGCGTGATCTGCCAGTAAGCGCCGCAGTGCTCAAGTTGAGCTGCTCGGGCAAGAGCCACAGCTTCGTGCGAGAGATCGGTCGCCGAGGGAGGAACGAGGGGAACTGATGACGGACGCAGCCGGCCACGGCTCTCGAGCGCTATTGCAGTAGCTCGCTGTGCTCTCGCAAAGCTTGAGAGCACCCTGTCCGCGCCACAGGCCTGCCTGAGCCCGACGAGAGCGAGAGAGGGCCGTCGGGCTGAGCTGCAAGGCGGACGGGCAGCTCTCGCCTCACCTCGCCCGCTCGACCGCCCAGTGGGCCAGCTAGAGCTGCGCGCAGACCAGCAGACACCTCGCCCCAGCCGGTCACACCCTCGCCCACCGCCCGCGCGCTCTCCCACCCTCCCCACTTCGCCGCCGGCCGCGTCCCTCACCCGAGCTTCCTCGCCTCTCGCCAGCTCGCCCAGCGTGCGCCGCCACATGCCCAACAAGTCGCGCGAGCACATGAAGCAGGCGACGCTCAAGCTCCACTCGACCGGCCAGGTCTCGCTCAAAGGCCGTCCGCCTCGCGCCACCGGCGCCTCGTCGCCCTCGCACCACCGACCCCTGCGCCCGGCCCACGCCGACTCGAATTCGACGCAGGGAGGTCGACGCGGCGCCACCGCGGGCGGGCGAGCGTCCTCGTCTGACGACGACGACGACGCCGACCCGGGCCTCGAGGCGGCGGCGGCTCGCGAGCAGGACCTCGAGCAGGAGGGCGGACTGAGCAGCGGAACGGGCAGTGGGAGCGACAGCGAGGTGGACGCGCAGGTCGGACGGGCGAGCAGTCGGGCGAGGGAGAAGGGCGCGCAGAAGGCGGCGTCGAGCGAGGACGACGACGACGACGACGAGGTGCCACACCGACGGTCCCCCAGCGTGCGTGCAGCCCTCCCCCTCGTCTTTCCTGTCCGTCGACTGACACGCACACTCCCGCAGAAGACGCGCCGCAGCACCAAGGCCCCATCGGCCCCCTCCCTCCGCCGCCGTCCCCTCACCCCCTCCGCCTCCGACTCGGACAACGACATCCTCCCCGTCAGCGGCAAGAAGCGCGCTCGACCTCGCTCGTCCTCTACTTCGGCTTCGGAGCAGGCGCCTATCCGCCAGAGCTCGAGCAAGACCAAGAAGCGCGCTCGCGCCCCGTCATCCTCGTCGGCCACGGCCTCGGAAGACGACGACCTGCCCATCCCCGAGTCGATCGTCGCCGACAACAAGCGCCGAGCCTCGAAGCGTGAGCACCAGCAGCAGGACGCGGCGCTGCGCTCGTCGGCCAAGAAGGACAAGGCGCAGGGCGCCAAGAAGCGCAAGCTCGCCGCGCTCACGCAGGGTCGACGCGACCGCCGCAGCGCCGACGAGGAGAGCGACGTCGACTTTGTCGTCGAGGACGACGTCGTTCAGTACGACTCGAGCGCGCAGGAGGAGGAGCAGCCGGCGCCCGTCAAGAAGGGCAAGGGCAAGGCCCGTGCGCGGGACGAGGACGAGCAGGAGGAGAGCGACGAGGCGCCGGCACGTCGCTCGTCGTCGTCACAGAAGGAGAAGGGGCGGCGGGCCAAGGACAAGTCGCGCGAGGAGGTCCAGCGCGAGCTCCTCGCGACCGACTCGGACGGCTCGGATGCCGACGTCGGCGGCTCGTCGAGGCGGCGCAAGAAGGGCTCGTCGAAGCGTAAGAAGCGTCGGCGCCCGTCGAGCGACGAGGACGACGAGCCGGACGACCTCGAGATCCTCGACGAGGAGACGGTGCGCGAGAACAAGTTCCGAGCGCGGCAAGACAAGTCGAGCCGGTTCGCGCAGCTCAAGGCGGCCCGAGAGCGTGCGTCCCTCGCCTTCTCTCTTCTTCTCCCCCTCCCACAGTCGAGCCTTGACTGACCCGTCGCGTCCCGTGCAGAACGCGCCGCCAAGAACAAGGCCATCGTCCTCGACTCGGACGACGAGCCGCCCTCGACCGCCAAGGTCGCCTCGTCGCAGGCTCGCCACCCGCACTTCCTCGGCGAGACGTCGTCATCGGGTTCGAGCTCGGACTCGGGCTCGGACGAGGACTCGGACGACGAGCCGGCGCGCCCGAGAATGGCGACCGAGGACCTGAGCGAGGACCTCGACGGCTTCGTCGTCGACGAGAGCGACGGCGACGACCAGGTCGTGCACTCGTGGCGCGAGAGCGTCCGCGGCCAGTCGCAAGGGCTGCGGTACTTTGTCAAGAACTACCTCGCCTACCTCGTCTTCCTCATCGTCGACCCGCAGTGCGACTGGCTCGCGTCGGACAAAGAGTGGAAGGACGCTCACCAGCGCGTGCATGCCCACCTGTCGGGCCTCCTCAACTCGCTTGTCAGCAGCTCGGCGTGGAAGGTGCGTCGCCGTCGTCCTCTTTCGGTCTCTCTTCCCCATTCTCTCGGTCGCCGTCACTGACACGTCTTTGCCTGCAGCCCAAGTTCAAGCACGCCGTCGACACGCGCCCGGACATGTACCTCGATGCGCTCGAGTCGGAGGAACGCGGCGTCGCCTGCGGTGCGTCCTCGTCGTCTTTCCGTCCCTTCTCCTCTCCTGCGCCCGAGACTGACGCCTCGATCACTCGCAGACGCCTGCACCATGGGGAAAGCCCGCCACTCGACGTTCCGCGCCACCGTCTCTGTGCGTCGCCGACTTTCACTCGGTCCCCCTCGGCCGGCCTAGCCCGCACTGACCCCTTCTTTTCCGCCGCCGTCGCAGGGCCCCAAGTACGACCCCAAGACGCTCCAGCCCATCGACGCCGAGGTCGACTCGTCCGACGAGAGCACCGAGGCCGACGGACGAGGAGGACGAGCGCGAGCGGCGTCGTCGGCGCAACAAGCGGTCCGAGGACAAGATGTACGAGTTCGCCCGTGCGTCCCGCTTTCCTCTTTCTCTCCCCCTCGCTCCTGCGATGCGACGTACTCACTCGTCACGAGCGCCGTGTCCGCAGTCGGCGCATCGTGCGCAGCTCGCGCCGAGGTGTACCACGACCTGCGCCACTGGGCCTACAACACGCGTCAGCGCCTCGTCGACAAGCTCGACGCCGTGCGCCACTCGCTCCCCGCCCTCGCCGACGACGCTCCGCTCGGCACGTCGACGACGCAGGGCCGCGACGAGCGCAAGAAGCAGCGCGAGCGCGACAAGGCGCGGCGCGCGCGCGAGGCCGGCCGGCTCGTCGAGGAGCTCGAGCGCCGGCAGGTCATGGGCGACTTTGCGAGCAAGCTCGTCGACGAGATCGAGAAGGCGCAGAAGGCGTTTGCCAAGTAGCACGGCGGGCGGGCCGGCGAGAGCGAGCGAGCGGGTGCGGTGCGAGGGAGGGTCGGGCGACGAGGCGGGTTCGGCGCAGCTTTCTCTCGGTGTAGCTTTCCCCTCTCCCCCCTCTCCTACCACCTCCCTCTGTCGATGTGTCAATGTCGCTTCTCGCATTCCCTCTCGATGCGTCCTCGAGAGCGAATCGAGTTTGGGAAGGTCGCGAGCCAACGACCTCTGCGGCTCGCCAGCGCGCCGCCGCCGCCATCTCGACCGCTCTCGCAGACACAGTGCGCGATGGACGAGTCGAGTGGAAGGAGGAAACGCCTTGCGCCCTCGCTCGCGAGCTCTCGTACTCTCGAGCCGCTCTCGGACAGACAGCGCGAGGAGAGAGTGAGAGAGTTGCGAAAGGTGATTCCCAGGGTGTGTAGATGTGGCACGGAACAATGGTAAAACGGATCTGCCTGCGTGTGGATGCTCTTGCTGCTGCGCGTTGTCGTCGTCGTCGTCGTTCTCGCTCGCTCGCTCCTCGGCGCCCTCGACCGTGCTGCGCTCGTCGCGGGACAGCTTTTACTCGTTGAGCTTGGCGAGGATCTCCGAGTCGCGGAAGAGGTGGTACTCCTGCAGGGGACGCGAGGGTCAGTGAGGCTCGACACGGGAAGCCCGATCGCGCAGAGCGAGCGGCGACGGCGTCTTTCGAGCTGCGCCGCCTCGCGCTCGCCTCGCTCGCTCGACGGGAAGAGAAGGCGGGACGGACCTCGTCGCCGACCTTGACGGGGACGCCGCCGAAGGCGGGGAGGACGACGCGGTCGCCCTCCTTGAGCGAGACCGGGTGGAGCGAGCCGTCCTTGCGGGGGGCGCCCGGGCCGACGGCGAGGACGGTGCCCTCGGGGGGCGGGCCCTGGGACGCAGCCGAGGGGAGGTACAGGCCCGAGGCGGTCTTCTGCTCGGTGGGGGGGAGGGGGAGGTGGTCAGTCGAGGTCGAGGTCGAGGGGGGAGGGAGAGGAGGGTGGGGTGGGGGACGCACCTCGACGACCTTTGCGCGCTGGATGAGGACGCGGTCGAGGAGGGGAGCAAGCGACTTGATGGACTTGATCGAGAGGGACTGTCGTCGGGGAGGTGGTCGAGGGGGAGAGGAGGGTGAGCTCGGGAGGACGAGGAGGGGGAGCCGAGGCAGAGGGGTGGGACGAGGGAGTAAGAGGGCGCGGTGCTCACCATGGCGAGTGAGACGGTGAGCGAGTAGAGCGAGGAGGAGGGGAGAGAGGCGGCCGAGGATCGCAACCGAAAGTCGAAGAAGGCCGGACGCTCTCCTCCTCTCTCCTCCTCCTCCACTCCAACCCGTGCTGTTCGAGATGCTCCGCTCTACCGCTGCTGCTCGTCGCGCCATCCCCGGCGCCCACACCCAGGTCTCGGCCCGCCGCTTCGCCCACAAGGTGCGCCCGCCTCTTCCCTCTCCTCATCGGCCCATCTCGCTCACTCTCCCTCACCGGCCACAGGAGCTCCGCTTCGGCAACGAGGGCCGCCAGGCTCTCCTCTCCGGCGTCGACATCCTCGCAAAGGCCGTCTCGGTCACCCTCGGCCCCAAGGGCCGCAACGTGATCATCGAGCAGCCGTTCGGCGGTCCCAAGGTGCGCCTTCCCGTCCTCCTTCTCCTCACCAGGACCGACCAGCTCACTCGTCCACCTACGCGCAGATCACCAAGGACGGTGTCACGGTCGCCAAGAGCATCACGCTCAAGGACAAGTTCGAGAACCTCGGCGCTCGGTCCGTCCTCTCTCTCTCCCACAGCGCCTCTTCTTGTCGGCCTGACTCGACTGACTCGTTGTCGACGCGCGCAGCCTGATCCAGGACGTCGCGAGCAAGGCCAACGAGGAGGCCGGCGACGGTACCACGACCGCCACCGTCCTCGCGCGCGCCATCTACTCCGAGGGTGTCAAGAACGTCGCCGCCGGCTGCAACCCGATGGACCTCCGCCGGGGCTCGCAGGCCGCCGTCGAGGCCGTCCTCAAGTTCCTCGAGGCCAACAAGCGCGCCATCACGACGAGCGAGGAGATTGCCCAGGTCGCCACCATCTCGGCCAACGGCGACGAGCACGTCGGGTCCCTCATCGCCCAGGCCATGGAAAAGGTCGGCAAGGAGGGCGTCATCACGGTCAAGGAGGGCAAGACGATCGAGGACGAGATCGAGGTCACCGAGGGCATGCGCTTCGACCGCGGCTACATCTCGCCCTACTTCGTCACCGACGTCAAGTCGCAGCGCGTCGACTTCGAGAAGCCCCTCATCCTCCTCTCGGAGAAGAAGATCTCGCTCATCCAGGACATCCTCCCCGCCCTCGAGACGGCCGCCCAGGCCCGTCGCCCGCTCCTCATCGTCGCCGAGGACATTGACGGCGAGGCCCTCGCCGCGTGCATCCTCAACAAGCTCCGCGGCCAGCTCCAGGTCGCCGCCGTCAAGGCGCCCGGCTTTGGCGACAACCGCAAGTCGATCCTCGGCGACCTCGCCATCCTCACGGGCTCGACCGTCTTTACCGACGAGCTCGACATCAAGCTCGAGAAGCTGTCAGCCGACATGCTCGGCACGACGGGCTCGGTCACCATCACCAAGGAGGACACGATCCTCCTCAACGGCGCCGGCGAGAAGACGCTCATCCAGGAGCGCTGCGAGCAGATCCGCTCGGCCATGAGCGACTCGGCCACGTCCGACTACGACCGCACCAAGCTCCAGGAGCGCCTCGCCAAGCTGTCGGGCGGCGTCGCCGTCATCCGCGTCGGCGGCTCGTCCGAGGTCGAGGTCGGCGAGAAGAAGGACCGGTACGACGACGCGCTCAACGCGACGCGCGCCGCCGTCGAGGAGGGCATCGTGCCCGGTGGCGGCACGGCGCTCCTCAAGGCGTCCCAGATCCTCGGCGACGTCGCGCACGACAACCTGTTTGACCGCAAGCTCGGCATCAACATCATCCGCCAGGCCCTCACCAAGCCGGCCCGCACGATCGCCGAGAACGCCGGTGAGGAGGGCTCGGTCGTCGTCGGCCAGCTCCTCGAGAAGTACTCGGGCGACTTTGAGATGGGCTTTGACGCGTCCAAGGGCGAGTACGTCAACATGATCCAGGCCGGCATCCTCGACCCGCTCAAGATTGTCAAGAACTCGCTCGTCAACGCGTCGGGCGTCGCGTCGCTCCTGTTCACGACCGAGGCGTGCATCGTCGACGCCCCCGAGGACAAGGGCCCCGGTGGCGCCGGCGGCATGGGCGGCGGCATGCCCGGCGGCGGCGTGGGCGGCATGGGCGGCATGTTCTAAACGCCCCCTCCCCCTCCCCTCCTCCCCTTTTCTCTCCCTCCCTTTCCTCGCACCTACGCCATCCGTATCGCACTTCCGCATCGCTCCCCCTCCCCCTTGACGCCCCCAATCTCGTCCCCTGCTCGCGGCTGCGACGCACAGGGTCTGTACCACCAGCCGGCCTCACCTCACCCCCTTCCCCTCCTCCTCACTCGATACAAACTACTCGCAAAAGAGGTCTCGTTCGTTCAGTTGCACTTTCGTTGTCGCCGCGAGAGAAAGAGAGCGAGAGCGAGAAGCGAAAGAGCTCCCGAGAGGTCGCTTCTGAGAAGGGGCTCGACCGCAAGACAGTCGACGCGCCTCCCGGCCGGCTCGCTGCATCGCGCCCTCGTCTGTCTTCCACAGTACGTCGATAGCGTCGATGACAAGGCGTCGCCCTTGCGCTCAAGGTCGCCAAGGCGCGGTCCGTCCGCCTCTGCGCGTCTCCTCTCATCGACCTTCCCGAGTCGAGCCTCTCATTGACTCTCTCTCGTCCCTCTCGCAGTCTCGACCACGAAGAGTGCTGTGTATCGGTCGAGACGTCGCGGCACTTGCCGCCGAGCTCAACCTCGAGCGCTCTCTCGCGAAAGTGAGCCACGGCCTTCGCAAGTGTGAGGCGCGGCCTGAGCGTCGAGCAGAGCGTCGAGCCGGCGAGAGCATAGACATGGGCTCGACTCTGGCTTCGCCCGTCTGCAATCGACGTTCTCGATGCCCGTGCTCGACTCTGGCGAATCTCGCATAGCTTTCGGCTCGCTCGAGGTGAGGGTTGTGACGAGGGTTCGAGCGCTTTCTACGAGTCTGCAGCTCGACGAGGTCGAGTACGACGTCGTCGAGGGCGAGCGAGAACCTTCAGGACCGCTCTCCAGCTTTCGCGACCCCGCGCGCGACAAGCACGCAAAGGAAAAGCGAGAAGAAGGCTCGGGAGCAAGTCGAGGAGGAGAACGAGATTTGCGCAGCCTGCAGGTGTCGGCGCACTCTGCCGCGCTCGTGGGAGACTCAGAGAGACGCGAAGAGAGAGCCCGAGAGCAGAGGAGCCGACAGGAAGAGCTGCACTCGAGTCGCTCCTCGACCAACTTGAGAAGGGAGACGAGGCTCACAACTCGCGCTCTACAGGACCAATTGGCTACGAGAGCCGCTCGATTGCACCGCAGACACCTCCTCGTCCGATCCCGCGCAAGCAGAACGCCGTAACCCTGCTAGATCAAGAGCTAGCGTTTGAGCGAGGGTGCGCAGGATCCCCCTGTTTTTAGGAGGTGGCCGGGCGTACGGGCGCTCCGCAGGGGTGCGCGCCGTACGAGCGGCTCACCAGAGTGCGCCCGCTGCCCACAGGGGCACGTGAGGGCGGGCGCGGCCTCGTAAAGACCCGTCCGCGACGGCTCGACTCGCTGAGCCGTCGGGACGAGTGCGACGACGAACATGAGCTCTCTGCGGTCTGGAAACGCTCGACAGAGACGAGGAGAGCTTTCGAAGAGGAAATGGCGCCGTCGCGCGGCGCAGCTGGGGCGCGAGGGGAAGCTTTCGAGGCCGAGAAGGGGGAGGTGCCATCGAGGGCGCGACTAACCTGCGGCGCGAGGTCGAGGGGGTCAGCGCTCGCCCAGTAAAGAGCACAGGCCTTCTCAGAGGTTCTGGACGCAGGAAGAAGAACAAGAGGGACGCACAAGGAGGTGGATGTGCCCGCTCGAGCATGAGAGCCGCCCTGCACCGGCCGGCACGTCCTTGAGAGCCTCGCACACGACACCTGCACGTGCGACAGGAGCAAGTCAGGTCAATGACGCGTCGTGGATGCCTCGCGCGAGGCAGGCGAGTGCGAGGAGAACGCAGAAAGGGGGCCAAACACGAGGAGGGTGGGGAAGAGGACGACGCACCCGACGTCCGAGACCCGCGCAGAGCCGCTGTCCTGCCCGACGTGCTCCTTGATGCTGCTCGAGTCCTTGACGACCGCGCCCACCGGTCTACGAGTCGTTGTCGCCGATCTCGAGACGTGGGAGGACGCCCGACGCTGATGAAGAAGTGGCGAGACGGCGAGGGCTCGCGGCGGCGTGGGTGCAGCTCGTGCCCTTTCCGAGGTATGCAAGCACTCGTACGAGGCGCAAGTAGCCAGCTCAGCCGAGAGGGCCGTGTGGTAGAGAGGAAGATAGCGTTCGGCGCGGTCCAGGGGAGGTCTCTCACCTGCTCGTACGCTCACGCCGGGTCTGTAGCGCAGAGCACGAAAGCGCGACGTGGTCGCGTGCTGTGCGCCGCCTCGAACGGCATCGAGAACGCTGTCTAGAGCAAGCAACTCTTCTCGACGCGAGTGCCGTCGTCGAGACAAAGCGAGCGAGAGAACTCGAGGTGCCCACCGCTCGCTCTCTGGTACGACACACGACTGCTCGCCGTTGCACTCTCTGCTACTGGGAAGAGTGAGGAAGGGAGGTAGCGAGGAAAGACAGGCTGGGACAAGAGGGACGGCGGGATTAAAGGGCGAACGGAGGACAACGGCGAGAGGATAAGTCAAGAGGGGAGGGGAGGAGCGCAAGGTCGAAAGAAAGGGAGACGAGAGCGACAAGGTGCTGCCAGTGGGGAGAGGGCGGGCGATATTGGCCGACGAGGGCGAAGCGAGGCGGGAGAGGAGGGGGTATCGCTTTTTGGGGAGGGGTATCGAGGGAGGCCGAACGAGGCCGACGAGTAGAGGCGGAAGTGCTCGACGACGAATCAGGGGAGCGCGTCGGGAGGCGGCGACCGTGGACTCGCTTAGCCGAGGACTGCGTGCGAGAAAGAGAGAGTTCAGGGCGCTGCTCACGACAGGGACAGAGGCACAGCGGAAGTGGACGCACCGTACATCGACGCCCAGCAGAAGAAGCCGAAGAAGACGGGCAGGCTCAGGTTGTCGTCGAATCCGAAGAAGTCGATGGCCTGCAGGAGGAAGGAGTCAGGCGTACTCTCAGTCATGCACGCGCCGAGGCAGAGGACGCCGCCCGGCGCAAAAGACGCAGAGTGCACAGCTGACCTCGGCGAGACCTGCCGTGAGGCCGTTGACGATGACGAGCGTGTTGAGGTCGAGCGAGCTGTTGTTGATGAGGCAAGAAGGAGGGGCAGAGAGTCAGTCGCCGCCGGCGCTACCGACGCACGCCCGTGAGAGAGAGAGAGAACATGCGCGACGTACCTCTGCGGGTTCGGGAGCCTGTGGATGCCCCACGCGGCGAGCGGGTCGCCGTTGACCTTGCCCCTCCACACGCTGCCCATCCTCGCCGGGAGCCAGCTCACGTCGCCCTCGTCGCCGAGCGCCGCGTACCGGCTCCAGAAGACGTGGCTCGCGCACATGCCGACGATGACGGCGGCGAGCGTTCCTGCGAGCGACTTCTTGGCGCCAAAGACGGTGCCGGCGAGCGGGAGGCGAGGCGTGTAACGCCCAAAGAGGCGGCCAAACACGGACGCCGACGTGTCGCACAGCGACAGCATGATGATCGACAGGACGGCGATGTCTGTGGGCGTAGGCCATGAGCGACAGGCCCAGGGCGAGAGTGGGGAGGGAGAAAGAAAGAGGGACTGACCTCGAGGGTAGAGCGACAGGCACCACAGGACGCCGACGAGGTAGTAGATCGTTCCGTTGACCGCATCTGTTTCACGATCGAGGGTCAGTGGGCTCTCGCGAGGGAAGAGAGTGAGGAAGGGCAAGCACGCACGCCGTTCCGACTCTCGCTGCAGGAGGAAGAGTGTGAGCCGGACGGCCCGCTCGGGTCAGGGGGCGAGGAAAGGGGGACGCACCATGAAGTAGCCGAGGGCGTTCTCGTACGTGTGCTCGAACCAGGTGGAGCGGAACCGGAGCAGGTCGGCGGTGCCGACGACGAGGGTGGCCGAGCCGAGGACCTTGAGCAAGGTCGGGACGTGCTGGTGCGAGGTCCAGAGATACAGGACGACGAGCGCGATGGACGAGTGGAGGAGCTTGCGCGGGATCTGCGTGCGCAGTGAGGGAGAGTGAGCCCGGGGACGGGACTTGCGCATGATGAGATGAGGACGACGAGGGAGGGGAGGGCGAGCGCACCTCGAGGCTGCGGGCGGGTACGGTGGTCAGTGTCGAGTCACTCAGTAGAGGGTACTGAGGCGCAGAGATGCTCACCCAGAGCGCCACCTGCCGCGGTCGACGCGGTTGCTCGAGCCCGAGCGGGGGGAGGACGACGAGGCGGCGGCGCTGGCTGCGGGTTGCGCGAGCTTGTCCTCGCCGGTGGCCTGGCCGTTCTGTGCGCGAGTACGGGAGCGCAGTGCCATGCTGGGTCGAGTGGTGGCGAGAGAGAGGCGCGGGGAGGAGCGAGCCATTCCCCTCCCCTTGTTCTCGCACAAGCTGCTCGTGCGTGGGCAAGAGCTGCCATCAGTGCGCTCAACTCGCTTGAGAGCACCATCTAACTCGCGCCCCGCCTCGTCGCCCATGCCCTTGTCCTCCTCCTCGTCCTCGCCTCGGACGCGGTCGCGTGCCTCGTCCAACATGGCCGCATCGCCAACACGGGCATCGCCACACCCTCAACGGTGAGCCTCGAGCTCCCCTGAACGTGCGCTCCACCCGCCAGGCCAGGCTGACCTTGTCTCTCTCCTTCCGCAGCGCGTTCAACGGCGAGCTCTTGCGGCCCTACCTCAAGCGCCTCCTCGAGGCGCCCATCATCACGGGCGCAGTGTGGGACAGAGACGCACAGGCGCTGGGCATGCGGGCAAAAGACATGGCCGCCGAGGTCAAGCGCAGGATGGTCGGTCCGTCGCCTCGCTCTCTCGCCTTCCTCTCGTCGTCGTACAGCTCCAGGGAGACTAATTCACACGGCCGCATGAATGCAGACATCGAGCCGGCAGGCTACAAGTACCTGTGCCACGTCTCGTGCGTCCCCTCCGTTCCTCTCAACCTTTCGCCCTCGTGCCGCTCATAGACTTCTCGTTCTCGCAGCGTCACCGAACGAGGGCAGGGCAGCGCATCGGCAGGCGCAGGCCGAGCGTTCCTGTCGACGTACTGGGACGCGTCGAGCGACGTGTGCGTGAGCGAGGTCTTCCAAAATGTGCGCTCCCTCCCCTTCCCTTTCCACAGTCTGGCCGGGCGAGCGAGTGAGCTGCTGATCAAGCTGCGCCCACAGGACTCGGTCGTTGTCACCATCCTCGCCGTCGCCATCCGCATCCTCTACTAGCGCGCCACCGCCCACCTCGTGCAGCCTCGCCCTCCTCGCTCGAGCCCATCATCTCGGCCGCAACTCTCTCTCTGTACCTTGTTGCCGACAATAGCCCTGCATCTCGCACATTCTCTCACTTTCTCGCGTCGCTGAGAGAGAGCGCATCGCCATCGAGAGAAGAAAGCGCGAGCCTCTACTCGTTCCACAACCTCGCCTCCTGGAGCTCTACTCGACCGGCCATCTACCGCCGCCGCGCATCTAGTACACCTCGAGGATGTAGCGCTCGTCCTCCTTCAGGGCTTCGATGTGCTCGGCGGCCTGATCGGCGGACATGCCGACCGTGGCGAAGGCCTTGACGAGCGCCTCGTAGACGTCCGGGACGGGCCACTGTCGGCGGCGCGAGCGAGCGCGTCGAGGGCAGGCGACGAGCATGACGAAACGAGGTATGCGTGCGAGAGAGAGAGGAAGAGGAAGAGGAAGAAGGAAAGAGAGTCGTCAGTGAGCTGATCGCGAGGAAGAAGGCGAAAGAGGGAGGGAGGGGACGAGGGACGCACAGTCGGGCCGCAGAGGTAGAACGCGCCGTCGTCGAGCATCTTGGCGAGCAGCTCGGCGTCCTCGTTCATCTTGTGCTGGATGTAGACCTTCTTGTCCGAGTCGCGCGAGAAGGCCAAGCCGAGGTGGCTCACGACGCCCTCCTGGAAGTACGCCTCGAGCTCCTCGCCGTACAGGTACTCCTGCGCGCGGTGCCGCGAGCCAAAGTAGTACAGCATGGGGCCGACCTCCTTGCCCTGGGCACGCTGCCACGCGCGCTCCTGGATAAAGGCGCGGAACGGCGCCGCGCCGGTGCCGAGGCCGGCCATGACGACGGGCTGCTCGTCGCGAGGCGGGAGCTGCGCACGCACGTGAACGAGAGAGTCAGTCGTCGAGTGCGCAGGCGAGGAGGACGGAGCGAGAGCGGGCGCACCTTCATGACCGAGGGCTTGACCGACGCCATGACCTTGTCGCCCGGCTTGAGGCCGGCGAGGTAACGCGTGCACTGCCCGTAGCGAGGCGAGCCTGCGCGACAAAGAGAGAGAAGTGCATCGAGTGAGCAACGGGGAGAGCGAGGACGAGAGGAGAGAAGGAGAGGGACGGACCCTTGGGGGTCTGCCACTCGACGGTGACGATGAGGAGGTGGACGCTGTCGCCGACAAAGTTCTGCGACGACGCGATCGAGTAGTGCCTCGGCTTGATCTCCTCGATCTCGCGCACGAGGTCCTCGACCGGCGGGCGCGCCGACGGGAACTGGCGCATGAGGTCGGCGTACGTGACCGTGTCCATCTCGGACAGCTTCTTGAACGTCGAGTGGCCATCGGGGCACGCGATGAAGCGCAGGGCGCGCTCCTCGTTCTTGTCGGTCGCGTACCGCGACAGCGTCTCGTAGAACGACTTGCCCGGCTTGCCGAAGATGTCGAGGTTCTGCTGGAACACCTGGAAGACGGTGCGCTGCTCGACCCGGGTCGGGTCCTCGCGCGACGGGACCGAGATGACGGCCTCGGGCTCGAGCCCGTACCACTCGAGGAACTGCTCGACCTCGCCGGCGTCGTTCCAGCCGTGGATGCCGAGCGCCTCGCCGATGGCGTACTTGAGCCCGGTGCCCTCGGTGCTGAACTCGATGTGGAACACGTTGCGATCGTACGTGTCGGGCGTCAGGCGGCGGTTCTCGGTGACCGTGATGAGGAAGTTGCGCTCGGGGAGGTCCGGGCGCAGCTTGTCCTCGAACGCGCCCTCGAGCGCGAACGCCTCGGGGAACAGGAAGCGCTGCGCCGCGTGGTGCCACGCCTTGTGCTGGTTGCCGCCGGCGATGGTCGCGACCGGGTCCGAGAAGGTGCGGTCCGGGTTCGGGCCCGCCGCCGTCGCGACGAGCTGGGTCGGGAGGGCCGCCGGCTGCTCGACCTTGTTGCCCTCGTCGTCGACCGGCTCGTCGGCCCACGACGGGACGACGTCGACCTTGGTGAGCGCGTTGCGGACGGCGCCGTTGACCTCGACGAGCTTGGCCGCGGCCCAGTCGGCGAACGTCGGCGTCTGGGCGAGGAGCGTCACGAGCTCCTTGGCCGAGATGGTGGCGGGCAGGTACAGGGTCCAGAAGACGACCTCGGCGACGGCCGACGCGGCGACGCCCTGCGCCTTGGCGACCTTGTCGGCGTCGATCGCGAACACGTGGCCCTTGCCGCCGTCGGCGAGCTCGACGAGCGCCTTGCGCTGCGCGTACGGGAGCTTGGTCGCAAAGTCGTCCTGGGTCCAGTTGCCGGCGACGACAATGCGCGTGTCCTTGCTGACGGTCGCGGGCGAGAACGGCGCGTACGCCTTGAAGACGCTCTGCGGCGAGCCGATGAACAGGAGCGACGGCGCCGACGTCTCGACGATGGACGACACGGTGACGTCCTTGGCGACGTTGGCCGCGTTCTCGAGGAGGAGCGCCGCCTGCTGGAGGCCGGCCTGGCGGAAGTTGTCGTACTTGACCTCGAGCTTGGCCGAGACGCCCGTGTCGGCGGCGGCGAACGTGCGGGCGAGCTGCGCCGGCACCGTCTCGGTCTTGCCCGAGCTCGCGTCGACGTCCCAGAAGACGGCGAGCTTGGCCTGGGCGGGCAGGAGCGCCTTGAGCTGGGCCGGAGCGGTACGGGCGCCGGCGAGCTTGGCGACGCGAGCGGCCCAGTCCTCGACGGTCGGGACCGACGCGCCCGAGACCGGCAGGGCGCGCACCTTGAGCGACGAACCGGCCGACAGGACCGACGACAGGACCTCGTCGAAGAGCGGGCCGGCGGCCTCGCCCTCCTCGACGAACGCGTGGAGCGACTTGGCCGACTCGGGGACGGCCCTGAAGAGCTCGTCGGCGCTCCACGGGGCGAGGACGCGCACCGAGAGGACGCCGACGTCGGTCGTGCCCGACGCGGCAATGGCCGCCTTGGCCGCCGCCGAGTAGGCCGATGCCGGGAGGACGAGGACCTTGGTGGCGGACGACGAGCCCGAGTACGAGAAGTACGGGAGCGCCGACGCGAGGGTCGCCTCGAGCGACTTGGCGGCCTTGATGGCGGACGTCGCGGCGAGCGGGGCGAGCTGGCGGCCGGCGGTGAGGCCGTCAAAGACGCCGACGAGGTCGAACCCGGCGGCGGCGACGCCCTTGGCGACACCGGTCGCGACGTGGGCGGCGTCCTCGGCCGTCTCGGAAAAGACGACGGCGCCGTTCCAGCCGCCGTCGGTGAGCTGCTTGGCGCCCTCGAGGACGGCGGCGAGGTCGGGAACCTGGGTGAGGGTGGGCTCGCCCGACTCGTCGGTGGCGAGGGACGACGTCTGTGCCGAAACGTGGACGCTCAGGGCCGAGCGCTTGGTCGACTCGGGGAGGCTGAGGAGCGAGGGGACGAGGGCGAGCAAGGCGGAGCTCGAGCCGAGGACGGCGACAGGCTTGGAGCCGGCGTTGCTGGCGGCGCCCTTGCTCGTGTAGGCGCCCGACTCGACGAAGCCGACGAGCGAGGCACCGGCACCTGCGCGGACCTGCATCTGGAACACGCGCGCGTTGCCCTGCTCCGTGGCGACGTGCGAGAGCGAGTCGCCAAAGGGAGCGGTCGGGGTCGAGTCGTAGACGAAGACGGCCTGGGCCGACGTGAGGCCGTCGCGCTCGACGAGCTCGTGAACCGACTGGAGGGCTGCCATCCTGTCGACAGGTGGGTGAGGACGAGGGAGGACAAGCGAGAGCGAGGAGACTTTGGATCGCGTGCGAGCCGAACGAGCCGGGCGATTTGGCGCCACAGCCGCGGCACCTCCTGGTGGACGTCTGCAGCTTCGAGAGGCTCGCCACAGGTTCCCTTGCACAGGTCTGCAAGCCGATGGACTCGCTCGAGGTCGAGAGGACGAGAGCAGCCGCGAGTCTCGTGTTTCAAGCTGATGACTCTGGCGACAGCTCGCTCTCGCGTCACCTTGCAGGCCAGCGGGAGGGGCTTTGGGCTCTGAGAGAGTGTACTGCAGACCGGCGCATTCTCTGCTAGCACTCAGGGGGAGTACAGAGTCCGGCTGCTTGCGCTGGCGGACGGCGTCGACCTTGGCTCACCACGCACGCCGCTCTACCGCCAGCTGCCTCTGCCCAGCACCAGTGCTGCACTGCGCGGTGCACACAGCTCCGCCGCCGCTCTCCGCCTCGCCAGCAGCGCCCGCGAGACGAGATGAACCCCTCCCAGTCGTCGCTGTCGTCGTCGGCCGGCTCGCACCACAGCCCCGCCGTCGGGTCGAGCCCAAGCCCAGCCTCGTCGCCGTGGAAGCGCGTCGTCGGCCGCCTCTCGCGCAAGAGCTCGCACGCCAACCGCGCCCGCTCCCCCTCCGACTCGTCCTCCCCCGCTTCCCCATCCTCGTCCTCCCCCGCCGCCGACCTCTTCTCGCCCGCACTCGCCGCCAACGCCCTCAAGCACAGCCAGAACCGCCCCTTCTACTCGAGCGGCAGCGTCAACTCGTCGGCCACCGGCGGCATGCACTCGCCCGGCGCCGCCTGTGCGAGCTCGCCGGCCCTGTCGGCCCAGGACGGCTACTTCGGCGCGCACGGCGCAGCGACGGCGACGGGATCGTCGACGTCAGTCGGAGGAGGAGCAGGAGGAGCAGGGAGCGTCGGCGCAGCCTCGCCGGCGCTGAGCGCGAGGAGCTTCAAGGCGCCGGGCATGGGCAAGGAGAACTCGTCGTCGTCGAACAAGGTCAAGGGCGACAAGTACCGCTCCCTGTCGCGCTCGCACCGCGGCGGGCATGCGGCCGAGTCGCCGCTTGGCGTCCCGCAGACGGCGAGCCCGACCCAGGCCGGGTTCCGCATCGCCAGCCAGCCCGCCGTCACCTCGACGCCGTCCCCGAGCAGCAGCGGCGGCTCTTCTGCCGCACGCTTCCTGCGTCGCGTCGCGTCGGCGCCAAACGCCAAGGCGCTGTTCGGCAGCGGCGGCATCTTTGGCTCGTCAGCCGGCCAGTCGCTGCCCTACCCGTCGAGCAAGAACGCCTTCCTGTCGCCGTCCCAGCGCACCGAGCCCGTGCCTCCTCTGCCGACCGGCGTCATCCCCGTCGGCGACCTGCACGACTCGGGCGTCTCGTTCGGCACGAGCACGCCCAAGTCGACCCCGTCCCCCAAGGCCCTCGCAGGCTCGAGCGCGTCCGGCGGCGGCGGCGGCAAGTCGTCGGCGTCCGACCGCGCCCAGTCGTCGGCGAGCTCGGGGCGTTCGAGTGGCGCGCAGCAGCCGCAGGTCGGCAGCGCGAGCGTCGCGTCGCTGCCCGGTCCGCCGCCTGCCGTCGGCATGGCGCGCCAGGCGTCGCAGGTCTCGCAGGCGTCGCAGGACTCGCCCACTCGCTCGCGCTCGACGCCGCACATCGCGTCGGCGTCGCTCCCGAGCGGCAGGTCGCCGCACCTCGCCTCGTCGGCTCACCTCGCGCCGCCGTCCCCGTCTGGTGGCGCGACCCTGTCGCTCAACAACGGCGGGCTCGCCGGCTCGCCTCGCGCTGCGTTCCGCCGCACCTACTCGAGCTCGTCGATCCGGGTGCGCAACCTCGAGGTCGGGCCGTCGAGCTTCCACAAGGTCCGCCTGCTCGGCAAGGGCGACGTCGGCAAGGTCTACCTCGTGCGCGAGAAGCAGACGCACAAGCTCTACGCCATGAAGGTCCTCAGCAAGAAGGAGATGATCAAGCGCAACAAGGTCAAGCGCGCGCTCGCCGAGGAGGTCCGTCCTCGCCGTTCCCTCGCCTCTCGCACGACCCGTCCCTGACCTCTCGTCCCGTCCACGTCGAGCAGGAGATCCTCGCCGGCTCGAACCACCCGTTCATCGTTACCCTGTACCACTCGTTCCAGTCGGACGATTACCTGTACCTCTGTGCGTCCCCCTTCCCTTTCCTTCCCGGCGCCTCGTCCCGACGAGCGCTCGTCCTGATTCGTCCCTGTCCCCCAGGCATGGAGTACTGCCTCGGCGGCGAGTTCTTCCGAGCGCTTCAGACGCGACCGGGCAAGTGCCTGCCCGAGGAGGACGCCAAGTTCTACGCCGCCGAGGTCGTCGCCGCGCTCGAGTACCTCCACCTCATGGGCTTCATCTACCGCGACCTCAAGCCCGAAAGTGCGTCTCTTCTCTCTTCGCTTGGTCGCCCTCGGTCTCGGACCTGACTCTCTCGACCGTCCGCCTTTCTCGCGCACAGACATCCTCCTCCACGAGACGGGCCACATCATGCTCTCGGACTTTGACTTGTCGAAGCAGGCCGACCCGAACGGGCTCGGCGGCGCGCCCGCCGGCATCAAGCTCTTTACGCCCAACGGCGTCCCGCTCGTCGACACCAAGAGCTGCATCGCCGACTTCCGCACCAACTCGTTCGTCGGGACCGAGGGTGCGTCCCAGCTTTCTCTCTCGTGCGCTCTCTGGACTGTGCCCGGATGCTCACACTGATACTCTCCCTACGCAGAGTACATCTGCCCTGAGGTCATCAATGGGCGAGGCCACAGCTCTGCCGTCGACTGGTTCGTCCTCCTCGATGACCGTCTCTTCTCCCCGTCCCTTTCGATGAGTCTGACCCGGCCCCTTCTCCCCCTCTTGCACACAGGTGGACCGTCGGAATCCTCGTGTACGAGATGCTGTACGGCTGCACCCCGTTCAAGGGCTCGAACCGGCACGCGACCTTCTCGAACGTGCTCCGCAACGAGCCCGGCTTCCCCGACCACCCGGCGACGACGACCCTGTGCAAGAGCCTCGTCAAGAAGCTTCTGTGCAAGGACGAGCACAAGCGGCTCGGGAGCCAGTCGGGCGCGAGCGAGGTCAAGCAGCACAAGTGGTTCGCGAGCATCAGCTGGGGCCTGCTGCGGCACCAAAAGCCGCCCATCGTCCCGCAGATCAAGTGCGTCCTCGTCTCACTCTTGTCTCCTCGGCGACATTCGACCTGACGTCGCTCGTCGCACGCGCAGGAACGCCGAGAACGCCAACTTCCGCTCGATGCGCGAGTCGGCGTCGCTCGACCTCGAGGGCCAGGCCTTCTCGTCGCCGTGGCCCGACGGCCAGGACGGTTTCCAGCACACGCCCGTCCCGTCGCCAATGGCGACGCCGAGCCTCGCGCAACCTGGGTCGGCGCTCGGCTTTGTCGAGCCGCCTGCGCCTGCGCCGCCTGTTGGCGGCAAGGGCCACCGCCGCGACAAGGCGCAGACGGGCGAGGCGTCGAGCGACGTCGAAACGCCAGGCACGTCGACGCCAACGAGCGCCTAGTCGCGCCGTCGTCGTCGCGCTCGAGCCGCCTGCGCCCCGCACCGACCTCGTCTTTCCCTCTTTCGCCTGCGCCCTCTTCCACTTCACCTCGCGCCTTATGTCGACTCGCACCTTCCTCGCAACGACCTTCACGCCTGTCACCCTCTCGTCGCCGTCCCGCCGCCTCTCACGCCGTCGTCCTCCCCGTCCGTCTTTACGTCCGTCGCGCCGTCGTCGTCCCTCGCGCCCTTGTTGCCACCACTTTTCGCCACCACCACCGTCGTTACTCGCAACCGCTTCCTCGTCCTCTTCTCCTCCCTCTCGCGTCACCCTTTGCCCCGTCCTGGTTGTTCTTCTCGCAGTTCTACTCCCCTTTTCCCCCTCTCGCACCCCCCCTCTCTCTCTGCAGGGCGCACGCCGTTGCTAGACGAGGTATTTTGCCTGCTCTCCTCTTGCCCTCTAGGGACACTCGAGTGCTATACGAGCCGTGCACATTCTCGAGCGAGCGACTTGGAGGAAGAGAGCTCGAGCAAAGAGTCGCGCTCGCTCGTTTCGAGGCGGGTGTCGAGCGTGCCGGGTGCGACGCTGTCACGAGAGCGAGCGAGTGCCAGGCAGGGCAGCACGTACGACCGCGACCAGCTGGAGCGGAGAGCTGTGTGGGGAGGCGAGTCGAGCTCTCAGCTGGACCCTTTTCCTCCGACGCCTCATCTCAGCTCCTCGCTCGCTCCGCACCGCTGCGGACACTCGAGATACCCGCACACATGTCGTCGCCCAACCCGACGCGCGTCTCCAACCTCGTCGCCCACCACACGGCAGAGATCGAGCGCGTCTCGCCCACCTCCTCGCCGACCCAGGCTCGCGCTCAGCTCCCCGCCGCCGCCGACCAGCCCAAGCAGCCCAGCTCGCCCACCCCCAAGGGCAAGGACCTGCCCGTCGAGGGCGAGCTCACGGCCGCTGGTGACGACCCGGCCAAGGGCGACGAGGGCGCGGCGGCAGCAGCACCGCCGGCGAGCAGCACCGGCGATGCGACCAACGGCGCACCGCTCCAGGACATTGCCGAGGGCGCCGAGACCGACTCGGCAGCGGCAGCAGCGGCGGCGGCGGCAAAGAAGGGCGGCGACGGCGAGGCGGCACCTTCGCCGGCCAAGGGCGACAACGACGACGGCGAGGGCGACGACGACAACGAGGCGGCAAAGGTGCCGTACGTCGCCGAGGAGATTGAGGTCCCGCTCGGCAAGCTCAAGGAGGGCATCGACGCCATGGGCCCGACGCAGCAGGAGATTGTGCGCACCAACTTGCAGCGGGCGGCCGACTACCCTAGCGACCTTCCCCTCAGCGCTTCTTGGAGTGCGTCTCCCTCTCTCCCTTCTCCCCTCTCTCTCGTGTACTCGGAGCGCAGCCTGACCTCGCCCTCGTTCTCGCGCGCAGCCCTCTTCTTCTCGGACACGTCCGGCGCGGCCAAGAGCAACTCGGCGGCGGCGACCAAGGAGGCGTACCACGAGGGCATCAACCCCATCTTCTCGGCCAAGACGGTGCCCGAGCTGTGCGGCCAGTACAAGGCGTTCAAGCAGGCGCCCAAGTCGAAGCGCGCAAAGGCGGGCGACCCGGAGACGCTCGGCCTCACGCGCCCGGGCATGAACCTGCACTTCTTCCGCGCGGGTATCAACCCCACATGGGAGGACCCGTACAACGAGAAGGTGCGCCCCCTCCCCTTTCTCAGGCCCTGCGTCTTGTCGGTCCGTCTCGCGCTCGTCGACTGACCTCTCTCTCTCTCTCGCAGGGCGGTCGCATCACCATCTCGCCCTCTGCCGCCCTCTTCGACAACATCTACGAGCGCCTCGTCTTCCTCCTCGCCGGTGCCGCCCTCGAGCTCGGCACCTCGGACCTCCTCTCGACCGAGGGCCCCTCGCCCGGGTCCAAGCGGCCGCCCACGCCCGGCCCGCCGCAAGAGGGCCAGATCAACGGCGTCGTCGCGAGCCGTCGCGCACGAGGCGACCGCATCGAGATCTGGCTCGGCGGCCGCGAGAAGAAGACGGCCGTGCCGATCGAGTGGCTCGACCGCTTCAAGGAGGTGCTCGCCGTCGAGCTCGACATGCCGGAGCTCAAGTCGAGCAAGTACAAGAAGCACTTTTAGGTCGGCGGGCAGGGTCGACCGAGGAGGCGAGGGTTGTAGACGGACGTATTTGTGCAGCTCGCGCCGAGAAATGCACTCATCGACAGCCGCGTTCGCTCGCTCGGACCTCTTCTCTCTCGAGAGCAGCTCGGCCTGGATGGCTCAGCGCAAGGTTCGAGACGCGCTTCTCTCCTTAGTGAGTGCTCCCTTTCGAGGACCTCGCTCGATCGGAAAAGAAGCCTCTCGGGTCGTCGCGGCAGGAGAGAAACAGAGAGAGAAAGTGTCCGCAGACGAGCATCTATGGTATTGCGCGCGAGCTGGGAGACTCGTAGCAACGAGGAACAACCGATGGGGCAAGAGAGAGATGGAGAGACTGAGATGTCCCCCGAGGCGGTACAACAAGGGGAGGGACGGCCGGCCAAGAAAGAAGGGGATGACGAAGGGGGAGGAGGCTCAAGCCGGCGTGACGACGCCGCTCTTCTTGACGCCCGCGATCGTGGGCGTGGTGGTGCCGCTCTTGACCTTCTTGGACGGGATGCGCTGCGAGGTAGGGCGAGAGGGAAGGTCAGGACGACGGCTCGAGGAAGAGAGATAGAAAAGAGAGGGCCGACGCACGAGCTTCTGCTTCTCGTGCTCCTCGTCCTCGTCCTCCGTGTCGGGCTCACGCACGGCACCAGGGATGGTGCTCGAGAGGAAGGCAACTGCAGAAGGAAAGGGCGCAGGGTCAGGAAGAGTCGCTCGACGGCGACGACGACGAGGAAAAACGGGAGCGAGGACGCACGAGTGCGGGCACGGCGACGGTCCTCGCGCTCCTTCATCTGCTTGCGGGTGAGCTTCTTGCGGCCCTTGGCGGCCTTGAACTTGAGCTCCTCCTCGACGCCGTCGATGGTGGCGGCAGCACGAGCCTCGTCGCCCGAGCCAGCCGGCGTCTCGGCCGGGGTGGCGACGCCAGGGGTGCCCGCAGGCGTGTCGCGAGCCGAGTTGGGGTTCGACTCGAACGCGCCCTCGACGACGGCGGCCTTGCCCTTCGTCGTCAGGCGACCGGCCTCGACGTTCCAGATCTCCTGCAGGGTGGCGATCGACGAGCGAGGTCAGAGAGTGCTCGAGCATGCGAGGGAGAGAGACAGAGAGGGAGAGAATGAGGACGCACACTGCATAGCGCGCCGATGAACTCCTGGTTGTGCGAGATACAGATGAAGGCGCCCTCCCACTCGCGGATACCGACGGCGAGACCGCCAAGTGCGTCACGGTCGAGGAAGTTGGTCGGCTCGTCGAGGACGAGGCACTGGGGCTTGGACCACATGGCGGCGGCGATGACGACCTTGACCTTCTGGCCGCCCGAGAGACTGCGAGCGAGAGAGGAAGAGGGTAAGTTTCCGAGTCTGGTTGAGGAACGACGACGACGAGGACAGCGGGACGCACCCCTTCATCTCGTTGTACTCGGCGATGTCGCCGTCGAGGCCGACGCCCTCGAGGTGCTGGCGAACAAGCTTGACGCTCATCTCGCGCGAACCGGCACCCTCGCGCGACGCCTCGTGGTCGTCAAACTCCTGGACCATCTTGGAGAAGCCGAGCTCGAGGAGGCGCTCGCGAGGCACGAACGCGTTGTCCTGCGGGAGGGGGAGAGCGTGTCAGGGAGGAGCACATCGAGAGAGAGGAGGAGAGGGAGAGAGAGAGAGAGCAAGGGCGCACCTTGTGACCCATCCCCTTCCATTTGATCTCGTACGTGTAGCTCTTCTTGAGCTTCTGACGACCGATGATCTGCTCGATGAAGCGCTGCTCGCCCGTCTTGGCGACGACCGGGATGAGGAGCTGGGCCTCCTCCTCGGGCGTGAGCTTGCGCGACGCCTTGTACGCCTGCTCCTTGTCGATGCCCTCCTGGTAGCGCCACATGATGTACTGGACGGCCGACTTCTCGACGTGCTGCTCGATGTGGTGGAACGCGTGCTGGGCGACGTAGGCGATGCGCAGGTTCGGATGCTTCTCGACGCGGCCCGTGTCCGGGAGCGTCTCGCCGGTGAGGAGCTTGATGAGGGTCGACTTGCCCGCACCGTTGGGGCCGACTGCGAGAGGAACGAGGCTGTCAATGCGAGGCTCGCGAGCGAGAGGGGAGAAAGAGAGAGAAGGGGACGCACCGACGCCGACACGCGACGAGAGCGAGATGGCGACGCTCGCGTTGTACAGCTGAGGCTTGGCGGCGCCCGGGTACGTGAACGTGCAGTCGGTCATCTTGAGGATGGCGCGAGTGCGCGAGCGGACGCCCATGAGCGAGCCCGGCGACGGGAAGGTGAACTTGACGACCTCGTCCGACAGGGTGTAGTACGTCTTGCCCGCAGGGTACTTCTCGACGAACTTGGCGAGGTTGCCGCGGTAGTACACGAGCTGCTTCTTGTGGTAGTGGATGATGTTGGAGCAGACGGCGTCGAGGAAGCCCGAATCGTGCGAGATGATCATGGACGTGACGCGGGTCTGCGACTTGAGGTCTGTGCGCAAGAGTGAGGCACGGTCAGGGACGATCGTCTAGAGGAGTAGAGCGAGACTCGGGACGCACAGTCCTGAAGCCAGTGGACCGACTGAACGTCCAAGTGGTTGGTCGGCTCGTCGAGGAGGAGCAGGTCGACCTTCATGAGCATGGCGCGAGCGAGGGCGACACTGCGAGGGGCCAGAATCGAGATTCAGTGACGGCTCTGGGTCGACGAGAGGAAAGAGAGAGAGAGAGAAGGGACGCACCGCATCTTCCAGCCGCCGGAAAGCGAGATGATCGACACGTCCTGGCGCTCGGGCGAGAAGCCCATCTCCTCGAGCATGTCGCGGACCTCCTTCTCGGTCGCGTTGATGCGGGGCTCGTCGAGCATGAGCTGGCACACGGTGATGCCCGACTCGTCGCCCTCGATGTCGTGCTCGACGTACGCCGCCTTGATGTCCTCGGGGAAGCCGTCGATCTGCTTGCGGTTGATGGCCTTGAGGAGCGTCGACTTGCCGCAGCCGTTGGCGCCGCAGATGCCGTAGCGGTGGCCCTTGCGGAGCTTGAGCGCCGTGTGGTTGAGGAGGAGCAGACCGCCGTACGCGAGCGAGAACGGCAGGTCGATGAGGATCTCGCCCTCCTCGTCGTCGTCGTCGTCGGCGCCCTCGACGCGGTTGCGCTCCTTGTCGACGGCGACCCACTTCTTGAGGAGGTCGAGCGAGATCTCGTCGGCGGCGTCCTTGCCGACAAAGTGGGCGATGTAGGGCCCGACGTACTGGTCCTTCCACTCGTGCTCGCCGAGCGCGCGCTTGCGCACGAGCTGCGAGATGGCGTAGGCGGCCGTCTTGATCGACGCCTCGACGAACGCGTCGGGCTTGTCGCCCGACTTGGCCTCGACGGCCTCGACGAGCTGCGAGTAAGCGGTGCGCTCGTCGCCGAGGGCCTCGGACAGGTGGTCGATGGCCGGGATGGACGCGCCGACGATCGACTTGTCGACCGCCTTCTTGGCCGTCTCGGCGAACGCGCGGATCTCGGGAAACGCGGCCGACTCGATGATGCGCTCGATGCCGGGGAGGACGGCGTCGCAGTGCGCGGCGGCGAGGTCGGGCGTGCGGACGAGCTTGAACAGGTTGGTGACGAGAACGACCTGCAAGAGAGGGAGAGCCCGGTCAGTCTCGTGCTCGAGGGTGAGGGAGAGAAGGCGAGAGGGCAGGACGCACAGTCTGGCGCTGAACAATGTTGCCCTTCTCGGCGAGGGCACGCTTGAGCAGCGGACCGACGACGGCGAGGGTCGGGCCGTCAACCTCGCGGACCCAGACGGTCGACGACAGACGCTTGATGGCGGCCGGGACCGTAGTCGGGTCGGCCATGCAGCGCACGAGGTCGGTCGTGAACGGCTGAATGTCGGGGTTGGTGAGGACGTTGCACAGGGCGACGGCGGTCTTCTCGCCGGTGTTGGCGACCTGCAGATAAGGAACCGAGTCAGTCTCGAGCTCCAGGGAAAGAGGGAGGGGAGGGGACGCACCTCGGTCTTGGTGTCCTGCATGGCCGGGACGAGGCGAGGGACGTAGTCACCGAGGCGCTCGGCGACCTGGTCCTTGGCCGTGATGGCGAACATGGCGATGAGCTCGAGGGCGCCGACCTTGCTGCGCCACTTGGCGTTCGACTCGACGTAGACGAACAGCTCCTCGATCATGCGCGGCGCGACCTCGGGAGGCGGGAGGCGCTGCAGCTGCTTGGCCGCCTTCTCGGCCGCGTCCTTGATGCTCGCCGTCTTGCCGGCCTCCTGGAAGTTGTCGAGGATGCACGGGAGGAGCGGGATGTAGTACGGGTCGACGCCGCCGAGCGCCTGGCCCGTCTTGCGGAACAGCTCGTCGAACGCGACCATGGCGCCCTCCTTCTCGAGCGGGTTCTTGGCGCGGGCAGCGCGCTGCAGGTCCTCGAGGATGCCGTCGGCGGCGAGGGACCGGACGCCGTGCGAGACGACGTGGGCGGCGACGGCCGAGGCGGCCGTGGTGCGCGACGAGCGCGTCTTGGCCTCGTACAGGGCCTGGAGGAGGGCCGACGGGGCGGCGGTGGCGTCACTGTCGATCCTGCTCAGGGTCAGTACGGGGTTGCACAGGGCGCGAGGAGAGAGCGGGGGACGCACGACATGGCTGATGGCGGTTTGAGGTGAGAGAACGTGGGTGGGGGGAACGCGCGAGGCGAGGGAGCGACGAGGCGGCGCAAGGGGGAGCGTCTAGGGGAGGCTGCAGACGTCTAAAGGTGCCGCGGCTGCTCCTTGGTGCTCGTGGTGAGCGGGTGACTGTGAAAGTGGGGGCAAGGGGAGAGTCGAGCTCGACGCGGCTCGTCGCTCACTCGACCAAGTTCGAGCTCGGCGCGCCATTCACAAGCCTCGCATCGTCAAAAACCAAAGACACATCGACCTCGCGCACTGTCTTGTCCCGCTCTCTCGTCGATGCTGCCCACCAGTCACCGCTCAAGCTCGCTCGGAAGAACGAACCGAGCGCGAGCGCGAAAAAGGCGGCTCTCGAACCCTCTCGCTGGACGCACAGGAAAAGGGAACGGCGACGTATTGCATTGAAACTGTCTTTTCGAGGAGGAGGGGTACTGCAAAGAGTCGAGCCAGGTGGAGCGGTACAGGTGCGAGGGGTGCGGGAGGGAATCGGCGACGAGGAAGAGGAAAGCGAGACGCCGCCGCTCAGAAGTAGGTCGGCTCGCGCTTCTTGAGGCCCATGAGGACGCCAGTAGGCCTGTCGGACCGTGCGCGAGTCAGGAAAGGTGACCGAGGAGGAGCGAAAAAAGAGCGCGAGGGAGAGAGAGGACGCACTTGCGCAGGAACCCCTCGACCGTCGGCATGCCCTTGTCCGGCTCGGCGAGGACAAAGTCGTAGCGGTAGTTGAGCGTCGAGATGAAGCAGAAGAGCTCCATCATGGCGACGTTGCGACCGACGCACGACCGCGGGCCGTACGAAAAGATGTTGAGCGCCTTCTCGAGCTCGCGCGCCTTCTCCTCCGAGACGAGCCAGCGCTCGGGGCGGTACTCGTCGGCGTCGTCGCCCCAGACGCTCTTGATGCGGTGGATCGAGTAGGACGGGACCGACAGGACGGTGCCGGCCGGGAAGACCTCGCCGCAGACCTCGGTCTGCAGGGAACGGGAGGAAGCGGCTCAGTCACGGCGCGCGTAGGCTGAACGAGAGGGAGTGGACGCACGTCCTGCTGCATGATGCGGGGGAGGCCCATGCCGGACGTCGAGTGCAGGCGCAGCGCCTCGTTGATGCACGCCGTAAGGTACGGGAGCGACTTGACGTCCTCGTACTCGAAGACGCCCGACATGCCGCGAGGCGCGAACGTCGCGTCGAGCTCCTCGCGCAGCTTCTTGTACGCGTGCGGGTTCGAGACGATGTAGTACATGATGGCGCTGCGAGGGCGTCGAGGCGGGTCAGTCGAGAGGACTCGAGTTTGGGAAGGTCGACCGAGAGCAGGGGACGCACCAGGACGAGTTCGAGGTCGTGTCGGAGCCGGCGATGAGCTGCGTGAGGGCTGTAGGCGAGGAAGGAGGCATCAGGAAGGGATCTCGAAGGCGCTGTGCCTCGGCGAGGAGGGACGCACCCTCCATTGTGAGCTCGGGAACGCCCATCGCGTTGCCGTTGGCGTCCTTGCCGTTCTGCAGGTGCGACAGGATGTCCTTGCGGTCACCGGCACCCTTCTCGAGGCGCTCGTTGACGCGGGTGCGGGCGATGCCGGTGAGGTTGTTGACCGACTTGAGGCCGCGAGCGTACCACGGGTCGACGTACTGCGGGCGAGCCAGGGACAAGTCAGGGCGCGTTCGCGACCTCGTCGATGCGAGAGATGTGAGAAAGAGGGGCTCACCTTCATGTAAGGGCGGATCCAGGGCGGGAGGCAGCCGAGCGTCGCCGAGTACTCGCCGCGCTCGTTCAGGATCTGGACGCCGCCGGCATCTGCGCGAGGCGTAGAGAGTCAGGACCCGAGCTACACCCAAACTCGCTGCTCGAGAAAGAGGAAGGGACGCACAGAAGACAGTGCCGTCCTCCCTTGTGATCGCGACCGTGTCGGCGCCGTCGCGCTCGACCATGTCGAACGGCGCGCCGAATGCCAGGTCGCCGATGATGTCGAACGCGAGCGCGTTGTACCAGTCGAGCGTCTCGACGACGGCGTAGCCCTTGAGCCGCTCGCCGTACTTGGACGAGGTCTGCGCCTTTGCCGCCTTGTCGCACAGGTCGTCCCACTTGCGGAGGAGGCCGCGCACGGTCGAGTTGATGTAGGGCTCGAACTCGCGGACGCTCTTGCTGTGGATGGACAGCGCGAGACTCGTTAGGGACCGACCTGAGCGACGACAGGGCGAGAAAAAGGGGACGCACGGCGCGAACGTGTGCGAGACGATCTTGCGCTTGCGCGTGTGCTCGGCGCGGTCGCGCGTGTTGAACAGGCCGCGGACCTTGGACGCGACAAAGGCGTCGTAGAAGTCGGCCTTGATCGAGCCCGAGCCGTGAGCGTACACGATCGGGAGGGCGGCCGGGTCTGCGAGGGGCGGATGGGGCGAGTCAGTGTCGTCGTTCGGGGCGGCGGCTTCTGCCCTCGACGTCGGAGGATGTAGAGTGTGGCTCACCGTTGATCGAGACCTCGTTGGGCGCGATGCGCACAAACTTGCCGAAGCGCTTGTGCTGCTCGTGGACGACCTCGCTGCGGTGGCCCTTGCGGACCTGGCTCGCGATCCACCAGCGGGTGAAGCCGGCGGCGGCGGGGCCCTTGTACTTGCGGAGGCCGGCGCGGGTCGTAAAGTGCGGGATGGTGCAGTACAGGAGGACGACGAGGAGCGGGGCGGCGAGGACGAGGGGCACGTAGCCCGACTTGAGGTGCTGGACGAGGGGCCCGGCGAGGAAGTCCATCTTGGTGGTCGTGGCGGCTGCTGAGGAAGGGCGCTGGTGGACGGCGAGGGGCGAGGGAAGAGGAGGCGAAGGTCGAAGGCAAGCCGAAGTCGGGTGACGAGCGGGCCTGGGTGGACGGCGGGCTGGAGAGCTGGCGGTCGGGTCGCGGACGGTCGACGGGGGGGCGAGGGTCGAGTCGAGCGTGTGCGAGTGCGAGCTAGGTGACGAGAAGAGAGAGCAGGGACGGGGGAGGAGTCGTCGACGAGCTGGGGCTCCCCCACCTCGTCGGCACAAATCTCCGGCCGCCAATCGGCGCGGCCGCCGTACGCAAGCGCGGCATCCAGCCCTGAGACGGGCGCTCACCTCGGCACTCGCTGCGCGGCTCGAGTTGGTGCGCGCTGCCCTGAGCTGGCGTACGACTGCATCTGTATCCAGACCTGCTGCACAGATGAACCTCTCGAGCGAGTGCTGCGGACGACCGTCATCAGCTGCCGAGCCTTCGAAAGCGTGTGTTCGCGTCGACCTCGCTCTCGTCGACAACCACCCGAGCCAGCTCGAGCCGCGCACCCGACATGGCCGACTCGTCTGCAGCCGCCGCAGCCCACCACGCCCAGAACACGCAGACCATCGTCGAGGCGGCCGCCGCGACCAAGCCGACGCCATCTGCCATCAACCCGCTCCTCGCGCGCGGCAAGCTCAAGAAGCCCACAAAGGGCTCGAGCACCAAGGGCAAGAGCAAGGCCAAGCTCGTCAAGGACGTCACAAAGGCCCGCCAAGACGAGCTCAACGTCGTGTCGAGCGGCGGACCCGACCCCGCCGAGGAGGGCGAGGTGCTCGACTTGGCCGACCAGCTCCTCGACCAGCTCGGCGGGCACCTCGACGACGACCCGTCCACGACCACGCCCGCACCCGTCCACGCCTCGACGAGCCAGCCGGCGACGCCGAGCAACGCCCTGAGCCCGACGCCGAGCCACGGCAGCGGGCACTCGACCCGCGAGCGCTTCAACGGCTTCAAGGAGGACCTCAAGGACGCCTTCATGCCCAACCGCAACACGGACACGGCCGGCGAGCGCAAGCCCAACCGGCAGCAGGCCCGCAAGGTGCGCCCACCGTCTCTCTCTCTCCGTCTCTCTCGGCCGGCACCTCGTCGCGGGCACTAGCTGACCCTCGCTTTCTCGCCCACTCGCCGCAGCTTCGCAAGGCCGACCACTTTGAGCAGCAGCGACGAGACGCAGAAGCCGAGGTCGTCGCCGAGAACGACCGCTCGGTCGAGATGGAGAAGCAGGCCATCGAGAACCAGTGCCGCAAGCTCAAGGTCATGATCAAGGAGATCGAGCCCGACGGTCACTGGTGCGCCCCCTCTTTCTCTCTGGGCCTCTCGCTCGCTTCAGGGCGCCAAGCTTACGCCCTCCTCGGACCCTTGTGCAGCATGTACTCGGCCGTCGCCGACCAGGTCAACTTCCTCAAGCTGTCGGTGCGTCCCGGTTCCTTTCTCTTCGACAGCGCCGCCAAGCTCGGACGCCTGCTGCGTGGCCGACAGTGCGAGGGGCGAGTCAAGCATAACCGTCGCACTGACCCTCTCGCCTCGTCGAATCTGCAGCCCGAGAAGGTGACGCACCGCGACACGCGCACGAAGGCGGCGGCCTACATGCGCGCACATCCAGACGAGTTCCTGCCCTTCTTGCCGAGCGAGGTCGACCCTGAGAACATGATGAGCCCGAGTGCGTCCCCCTCTTCCCGTCCTCTCAGGCGAATCTGCCGGTCGCTCGGCCCTGTGGGGCGACGAAATTCACGCTCTCTCCTCCGCTTCGCAGACGAGTTTGCGCGGTACTGCGACACGGTGGAGAGCACGGCTGAGTGGGGTGGCGAGCCCGAGGTGCGTCTCTCGCTCCTCCTCCTTGGTCACGACGGCCCTCTCTCCCCCGTCGTCGCCGCGCTCACGAGCTACCTCTCGCAGATCCGGGCACTGTCGCTCCACTATGAGGCACCGGTCATTGTCGTCCAGGCTGGGACCGAGATGGTCGAGCACGGGTCCGACTTTCCGCGGGAACGAGCGATGCTCATCTCGTGCGTCCCTCCTCTCTCTTCCTCTCGGTCCTCTTCGTGCGTCACGAACTGACAGCCATATATCTGCTCGCAGGTATCACCGCAAGATGTACGGGCTCGGCGAGGTGAGCTTCTCGTCCTCATCCTCGTCCCGGACGACGCGAGCCCTGCTCGTTCAGCGGGCTCACGTCCTTCTGGATCAGCAAACTGACCTCTTTCTCGCCCGGCGACCCTCAACAGCACTACAACTCTCTGCGACCGACGACCCACGGCGCACCGCATGTCCTGCCGCCCGCACCGACCGCAGATGCGCCTCTCGTCGCCCGGGTTCCGGCCTGAGGCGCACGGCCTCCCCTCCTCGCCTGCGCCGAGCCGACTCGTCGACACCGACTCGTCTGTAGCACGTCGAACGCCGAGTCACTCTTCCAGCATCGGGCCTGAACGCGCGTGCACGAGAGCTTTCGCGAGTGGTTCCCGTGCGAGAGCGTCGAAAGCTGGTCCCTCTCTCGGAAAGCTCGCACACCGGGTGCCTCTCTTTACCCATGCCATGTCTGCTTGGCGAGAGAGAGCGACTTGCGGCGCAAAAGGTGAGCCGGTCGAGACGAATCGAGACGGCCGTGACGACGGCTGGGCCGGCTCTCTCTCAGCCAACAACTCGCCTTGTACCGCCTGAGCTCTCCAACAGCACAGCAAGCGAGTCTCGCGCCTCCGTGCCGTCTACCGACCGGTCCACCTCGCTCCTCTCGCACCGCCCTCGACCAGCGCTCCCGACCACCTCGGGCTCCTCACGATGGTGCCGCATCCGCTCGAACCCGAGTCGCCGCCCGACCGCCCCTCGCACCACGTCGTCCACCCAATCACGGGCACCGTCACCTACCGCAACCCGTGGCCGAGCGCGTCTGCCCCGACCGCGTCGGAGCTCCTGTTCGGCGGCGCCTGGCTCGGCTGGCCCAAGTTGCACCTCAACAAGCACCCCAAGGCGCGCGAGCTCAAGGTGCTCGACCCGGGCGACTGGGGGCGGGCCAAAGTGCGCGAGCTGCGCCGGGAGGCCGAGGGCGACGGCACGGGCAAGAAGGTCGGGTTCGCGCGCTCGACCTGGCTCGGCCACGCGTCCGTCTACGTCCAGCTGCCGCTCGACGTCGCGCCGGACCCGCTGTCGGGTCTGAGGCGCAGGAGCGTCGACGGCGAGGCGGACGAGGCCAAGGTGCGCGGCGGCGGCAAGGGTGCCGTCGACCAGGAGGACCGGTACGCCGAGGGCGAGGGCACGACGCTCAAGCTCCTGTTCGACCCGATCTTCAGCGAGCGAGCTGGGCCGACGAGCTACACGGGCCCCGGTCGGCTTCGCGCGGCGCCGTGCGAGGTGCAGGACCTGCCCGGCGTCGACGCCGTCTTGATCTCGCACAACCAGTCCGTCTCGCCCCTCATTCTCCTTACCCCCAACTAGCGACCCAGTCTGACTCTCTTCCTTTCCGGCACAGCTACGATCACCTGGACGCCGGGAGCGTCAAGCAGGTCCTCGACAAGTGGCCCCGAGCCAAGTTCCTCGTTCCTCTCGGTGCGTCCTCCTCTCCTCCCTGTCTCTGCGCGAGACGTCGGGCCCTGACATTGCTCGCTCGAGGACAGGCAACAAGCAGTGGTTCTTCGCGAGCGGCGTCCCCCTGTCGCAGATCATCGAGCTCGACTGGTGGCAAGACGTCGACCTCACGCCGTCCGACTTTGGGCTCGTTCCTCCTCCTCTCGCCGCACCGACACCGCCCGACGAGGACTTCTTGAGCGGACAACAGGGGCGGTCGCGGTCTATGCGGAGCGAGTCGCCGAGGGAGAAGGAGCGAGTGCGCTTCACGTGCGTGCCGGCTCAGCACAACTCGGGTTCGTCCCCTCTCGTCCTCCTGTCCGGCCCCACTCGCCTGCGGCAGTCAGATCTGACTCTCATCGTGCAACAGGGCGCTCTCCCGCCGACCAGGGCTCGACTTTGTGGTGCGGCTGGGTCGTCGAGCACCTCCTCGAGTCGGACGCGCCTAGCCCGGCGCCCTTCTTCGGCCGCGGTGAGACGAACGACTCGGCCATCACGACCGCCTCGACCGCCTCGTTCGTCTCTGCGCCCGACGCGGACGAGGTCATCGCCGCCATGGCCAAGTCGGTCCTGGTCGAGGAGCCCGAGGACGGCGACTTTGCGGTCGAGGAGGACGACGACGACGGCCTCAAGGCGTCGCCCGCGCATGACGGCCGCGCACTACTCGAGCCGCCGTCTATGCGCAGCTCCCCGCTGTCGACGCCCGGCGGCTCGAGCAACGACCTGTCGCTGCAGCCGACCTCGAGCACCGCGACCACCTCGTCCGACCCGGTCCCGGTCGCGCCGCTCCAGGTGCCCCGGCAACGCCGAGGCTCGCGCAGCGTCGACACGTCGCCGTCCCGACGCGGCTCGGTGTCGCAACTCCTGCAGCGCTCGTCGTCCTTCTCCAAGTCGCTCACTCGCCGCCTGTCGAGCGCCGAGCGGCCGGCGCTCCCGAACCGGCGCGGCAGCCTGTCGACGCCGCCTGCGCCGCCGCCCCTCTCGCGCTCGAGCAGCTTGCGCATGGCGCGCGAGCGGCAGCACGCTCGCGAGGCGGGCAGCGAGTCGGGCCTGCTCGACGTGCCGAGCCCGTCGGCGGCGGACGGGCACGCGAGCGGCACGAGCTCGCCCGGCGAGCCGACTGCGCTCGGCAAGGTGTCGGAGCCGCCTGCGCCCGAGGCGGACGAGGTCGACGAGGAGAAGGTCGCGGCCGACGAGCGGGCGCGCGAGAGCGCGGCAAAGGCCAAGCGGGCCGAGGAGGAGGTCGGCAGGGCGGTTCACGAGGGACGATGGAGCAAGAGGGTCATCCGCAAGGGCGCCATCTTCCACGCCGGGTGCGCTCCCTCTCTCCACCCTCGTGAGTGGGGCCCGGGACCGAGGACTGACTCTCTCGACCTTCCCGACGCCGTTTCTCTTGCAGCGACACGGGCTACCGCCGCCACCGCCGCTGCCTGCACCCGGTCTGCCCGGCGTTCGACGAGATCGGCCTCAAGTTCGGCCCGTTCGACGTCTCGTTCGTGCCCATCTGGCGCGGCGGCAGCCTCGGCTTCGTGAGCGCGATTGGCCTTCGAGTGCGTCCCTCTTTCCCCTTCCTCCTTCTTCACGCCTCTGGGCCTCACTGACTCTGGCTACCCGTACAGTTGCATCACGAGAACATCTCGAGCGCGCTGCACGGCTCGCCGGCCGACGCTGTCGACATCCACCTCGACGTCCGCAGTCGCAACACGATCGGTGAGTCGCCCGTCTCCCTCTCGCTCTTCCTCCTCTCCCACTCCCTCTACGCTCGACTGACACACACTTGGTCCACAGGCGTGCACTTCGGCACGTTCATCGGGTCCGAGTCCGAGTCGCTCGAGGCCATCATCGAGTTGCAGGAGGCGGTCGAGGAGGCCGGCGTCAAGACGCTCGACGACCCAAACGAGGACGAGATGGGCCGCATGGGCGTCATCGACATCGGCGAGACGTGGTGCTCCGAGAGTGCGTCCTCCTTCTCGGTCTGTGTCGTCCACGAGCGTGTCGCCAACCTCCTCTCCGTCCCGCAGTTCACAACCTTCTTATCGTCTCTTAGCCACGGTGGCTCGTCTCTCTCTGTGCGTGTACCCTCTCTCTCAAGTGTCCTGAGCCGCATCACAGCCACTGACCCTCGCGTCGCCCGTGCAGCTGGACTGGTCGCCCTCCCTCTCGCCGTTCACCTGTCGTCGCACCCTGTACTTCCCCCCAGACTCGCCCATAGACTCTTTACCTCCTGCACAGCTATCGGTATCGACTCGTCGAGCGTCTGTAATTGCAGCCTTGCCGCGAGCTGAGGACGGGACCGTGCGAGCGTCTGTTCGCTCGAGAGAGCACTGTCGCGCGCCTCGCGCTCTCGCCGGGCAAGTTCAGCCGGTCTGGTCCAGCTGCAGCCACCGTCTGGCGAGCAGCGAGTCGCGCAAGACCGGGCGCAACGACGAGGTGCCTCCGCCTCGCTCGGCCTTCGTGCGTGCACCGCCTTCGGCTCTGGCTTCTCTCGACCACCCACCTCTCGAGCCAGGCCCGACCGCTGCCGCACATGGCTGCCGAGCCGCACACCGCACAAGCCGGCGCACCAGCACCCGCACCCGCACCGCCGCCGTCTCGCCTCCGCAGCCTCGGCGGACGGCCACGGGGGAGCCGGCCGCCCTCCTCGCCCTCGCCAAGCCTGTGCCGTTCCCGCCCCTCGACCTCATGCACGACCGCACCCGCACTGTCACGCACGCCCTCGCCCGCTCAAAGCGCGCCGCCGAGGGCGCAAAGGGGAAGGAGCGCGCCGACGACGGCGGCGGTGCTGCGGGCTCACAGTTGCGGTGGAAGGCCGGCGTCGCACCGGGCCAGGCGGCGAGGAGGCTCTTCCCCAAGCCCAACTTTGCCCAGCGTGCCTACCGCCGCTTCTTCATCAAGCGCGACCTCAAATACGTGCGTCCACCTCCCTCCCCACGCGTCGACCGCTCTCGGCGGAGGCCGCCTCTCCCTTTTCGTGCGCAGTCGACTGACGAGCATCCTCCCTTCGGGTGCAGGGCCGAGCATGGACGCCCGAGGAGTTGGACGAGGCGGCGGCGCGAGGCAACTTTCCCCACAGGCCGAGCGACCTCTTCCTCAAGGTGCGCCCCGAGCCAGTCCCGGTCACGAGGAGGCTCTCGTCAGAGCAAAGTTCTGACCATCTCCTTCTCTCCGGCGCATGTAGATGTACTCGGACGTCCTGACGTGCCTCACGCGCGACCCTCTCGCCGGCAACGTGTCGCCGTCCCTCATCGGCACGCAGGGCACCATCCCGCTCAGCGTCGTCTCGACCATCCCCGACATCATGCAGCACTACCACGACTGCAGTACGTCCAAGTGCTCGCCTCTCGGGAGCCTCGTCGACGCTCGGCGCCGTGACTGACCCCTCGTTCCTCCTGCAGTCGTCCTCGCCGAGAAGGAGGTCTTCCTCGTCACGAGTGCGTCTCGTCGCCTTTTCAGACCATGGACGAGGGACTGACCCTCCTCTCTTTCGCCCACAGACTACTGGCAGTGCGTCTTCCGCCTCGAGACCCGGCCGTCGACGCCCGCACTGACCCCGGCTTCTCCTGCAGGCCGTCCGACTCGGTCAAGAAGGTGGCAGAAGGTCTCGTTGAGCTCAACCGGCGAGTGGGAGAGCGCAAGGGCGAGCGCATCGTCGTCAAGGTCATGTGGGACCGCGGCGCCGTTCAGCAGCTGTGGCAGTGCGTCCCGTCTTTCCCGTCCCCTCGTCCTGCCTCGCCGCATCATCGTACTCACACACTCGTCACGCAGCAACCACGTGTCGGTCAAGCCGGAAACCTGGGCGCCGCTCGGCCTGCCGCACCCGAAGGACGTGCCGAACCTGTCGATCGAGGTCATCAACTTTCACCGTCCGCTCCTCGGCACGTTCCACCAGAAGTCGCTCGTCGTCGACCGCAGGGTCGCACTCCTCAACTCGAACAATATCCAGGACCGCCCCAACCTCGAGGTGCGCCCCCTCGCCCATCCTCACTCCGAGCAAGACTGACCCTAGCGCTCCTCCACAGATGATGGTCCACCTCGAGGGCCCTGTCGTCGACTCGCTCTACGACAACATGCTCATCAGCTGGGACGAGTCGCTGTCGCCCACCCTCCCCTGCCTCACCGAGCCGTCGCCGACCTCGCACCCCGACCTGTTCCCCTACACCTTCACCGACGCCAACCCGTACCTCGCCAACATCGACGTCGCCAAGGCGGCCAAGGCGGCCCGCATGCTCCTGAGCCGACAAGCCGCCGAGGCGCAGAAGGGCGAGCAGCAGGCCTCGCTCGCGCCGCCCGAGTGGTGGCGCCGCGAGAGCGCCGTCGGCCACGCCCACAGCCCGGGCCTGCGCCCGTTCTCGGCCCACGGGCTCAGCGGGCACCCGCAGGCGCACGCCGGCGGGACGAGCGGCGACGCGCACGGCGGCGAGGGCAAGTTTGCAGCGCTCGTCGCCCAGCTCGTCGAGAAGGCGCGCGAGGAGAAGGCGCGGCTCGCGCTCGGCATGTCGAGCATCATGGGAGAGGGGCAGCGGCACCCGCATGGCGGCGAGGACGCGGCGGCGGCACCGGCGGTTGGTGCGGCGCCGCCGCACGTCGTCGAGAACGGCGAGAGCTTGGCCGACAGTGGGTTCGACGGCCGGTCGAAGCGGAGCGAGGACAGGACGGTCGTCAACGGCGAGGGCAACGGTGTCGAGGGAGGAAGCAAGGGCAACCAGGCGGCGCTCGCTGTACACACCAACGGTGCGTCGGTCGGTCCTCTCTCGTCGACGCTCGTTCCCCTTTTTGACTGACCACGTCTTTGACCCCCTCAGACCTCCACCCGGCCTCTTCTGCCACGTCCGACCCCAACCCTCCCGGCTTCAACGACCCCGATGCTCCCGAGCCGACCGGCGCGACGCTCAAGCACGCGCCGCCGCCCAAGATCACGCCCGACGGCGCGTCCGACCTGCCGACCTCGCCCTCGGGCACGCCCAAGAACGGCACGGCGTCGAGCGCACGACTGCGCGCGCTCAGCAAGGCGCTCAACGCGGGCGCCATCAACCAGATCGACGCCGCCATCGTCGACGAGAAGCTCATCCACGACTTCAAGCCGCACATGCTCCACCGCGCCCATGCTCCTTCTCGTGCGTCACCTCTCGCCCCTCTCCCTGAGCGTACGACGACGATCTCGACCTGACTCGTCCCCCTGCCACAGCGATCTGCCTCGTCAACCGGCGCCCGCACGGTTCGCCCGGCCACAACGACATCCGCTGCCCGCAAGCGGCGGCATGGCTCGCCGCGCTCAAGTTTGCCGAGAAGAACGTCTTCATGTGCGTCCCCTCGTGCCTCTCGAGCCACCTAGACTCGCCGTCGACGTCACTGACTCGCGCTCGACCTCGCCTGCAGCCAAACGCCGACCCTCAACGCGGCGCCGATCGTGCGAGGAGTCGTCGAGGCGTGCGCGCACGGCGGCAAGGACGGCAAGGGCATCCCGGTCACGCTCTTCCTCGGCCTCGGCTTCAACGACAAGGGCGAGAGCATCCCGTTCCAGGGCGGCACCAACGAGGAGGTCGTGTTTCGCCTGTACGGCCAGCTGCGCAAGCTCGGCAAGGAGGGCAACCTGCACGTCTACTGGTACACGGGTGCGTCCCTCTCGCACTCTCTCTGCCTCTTGTTGGGTGTCGTCGCCGCTCACGCGCTTTCCTCTCGCAGGCAAGGACCAGATCCGGCCTCTCAACGCGTGCGTCCCTCTTTCCTCCTCTCGGTCTCGCCGCGTCGTACTCACTGTTGCCTCTCTCGTACACAGCATCCACAAGTCGAGGAACTGCCACGTGCGTCGCCGGCCTGTTCTCGTTCTCGCGTCCGACGACGTGGTCGCTCACGCCGCGCTCACTCGCAGATCAAGTTCATGTCGGTCGACGGGCAGTGCGCGATCGTCGGCAACGGCAACCTCGACTCGCAGTCGTTCTGGCACTCGCAGGAGGCCAACATCCTGGTCGACAACCCGCAGCTCGTCGCCGACTGGATGGACCAGCTGCGCACGAACCAGTCGACGCACCAGTACGGGCGGGTCGACACGGACGGCATCTGGCGCGACCCGTCGACGGGCGAGGAGCTCGAGAAGCCCAAGGCGATCGGGTGCTTCACGGCCATGCGGGCCGTCATCTAGTCGAGGAGGCGGCCGAGGAGGAGGAGGACGGACCCTGTCTCGCGACGTCTCTTTTTGCTTAGTTAGTCGCGTCGTCGGTGTAATGCTGTTGTCGACTGTGCCCGGGTGCGCTCGCGCGAGAGAGAAAAGCGGCGGGTTCGGCCCTTCGGCGGCAACAGCGAGCGCGAGGTTGACCTTGTCGTCGCCGCGGATCTCACGGCCTCGCTCTCTCGTCCTCACACCGCACATAGCTACGCACACCATGTCTGCCACTCGAGCACGCCACGGCGCAGAAGACGAGGAGATTGCCTGTGCGCTTGCCACTCCTTCCCCGCTCTCCTCCGACGTCGTCGCTCACCCTCGCCTCCCTCTCCCGCCGCATGCAGACCGCCTCCAGGTCATGGGTGCACGCGAGGGCTTCATCAAGGTGCGCACGCGCTCGCCCCACCTCTCTCGAGACGAGCCTGAGGCGCCTCGCTGTGCCGAGCGGCCCACCCCGAGGACGAACACTGACCTCTCGTCGCATCGTGCACGCAGGGCGCACTCGTCGGTGGTACCCTCATGGCACTGTGCGTCGCCTCTCGCCTGTCCTGTCCCGTCCTCTCCTTTCTGAGCGACCGGAGCTGACCTCTGGCACCGCCTCCCTCGCAGCGCAAACTGGCGGTACGCCGAGCAACGACTCTCTGCCTGTCTCTCACCGAGGCCATGACTGAGTCCTTGGCATGCAGCTTCCCTTGGGTGCAGCGCCAGACGCTGGCGGGCAAGACGTGCGTCCCCTCTTCCTCCCTCTCCCTCTCCTCCTCGGTCCGCACTCGGGGACCTGCGCTGACTCGCTGCCACCCCTACAGGTTCCTCGCCTCTTGGGTCGCAATCTTTGGCGTGCGTCGGACTTGCCCAACGACGCCACGAGCAGCCGACTGACCCCACTTCCTCGCCCCTCGTCGCAGATGGTCACCCATGCCGGTCCGTCTTCTCCTTGGGCCCTCTCTCGCGCGCCCGGCCGTACCTCGTCCTGACTCTTTGTACCTGCAGATCACTACCTGCTCGAGTGGGAGCAGCAGCACCGGGTGCAGTCGGAGCGGTGGCGGACGATGGCGAGGAACGGTCCGTCTCGCTCTCCCTGTGTCTCTCGCCGCGGTCGCTCAGGCGGCTGCAGCGTGCGCCTCGAAGCGGCGATCGCGCAACTGACCTTCAACTCGTCTCGCAGAGCTGGCGGCCAAGGGTACCGTCCCGTGCGTGGTCTTCCTCGCAGCATCGCGCACGAGCCCCTCGCGCAGCCACTGAATCTCTCCCTACTCCCGCCTCTTCCTCCCTCCCCCGCTCTCCCTCGCCCTTCCCCGACACGCAGGTCCGAAACCGCCATGCGCGCCTGGAAGGCGTCGTACGACGCCAAGCTGCGCGCGACGCGCGACGCGCAGACGACGGCGCCCGAGTCGCCCGCGGCCGCAGCTGCGCCCGCCGGCATCGCGAGCGTCGAGGGCGGCAGGAGCCAGGTGCTGCAGGAGCTCGAGGCGGCCAAGCACGAGAAGGAGGGCGGCGTCGATGCGCCGAATGCGTGAGGAGGCGAGCGGGCGGTCGGGCAAGGTCGAGCGGGTCGAGCGAGGGTCGGCCGACGAGCAGCGTGTCACATAGATTTCTCCATATTGTTCAGAGAGCGTGTTCGAGGCCCGAGAGCGTCGTGGTTGTCGCAGCTTGGCGAGGCGACGCAGCCGAGGAACGAGGAAGAGCGTCTCCCACCGGTTTCCTCCCTCGACGCACCTCGTCTCGCTCAATTGAGCGAGTGCAGGCTGTGCAGAAGGTCGCCTTCAACCCGCTCGCCGTCCCCAAGGCTCTCTCGCTCGACGTGCCGGACGAAATGCGGTCGTCGAAGGCTCGCTCCGCCTTGCGCTACGACTGGAGCCCGCTCAGAGGCGAGCCTCGCGAGCACGACTGAGCACGCTCTCGAGGTTCGTCTTTCGGCCACATCTATCGACGTGTAGCCGAGCGAAAAGAAGAGACGGCGGCGAGAGCGTGCGCACGGACCTGCTCAATCTCTCGCGCTTGCTCTCGCTCTCGCTCAGGCTCTGGTTCGTCGGGCCAGATGCAATGCAGCGCTCGAGCCGGCTACTACACGTCCCTGCGCAAGATGGCGACGCCCTCGGCATGGTGCGTCTGCGCAAAGAGGTCGGCGGCCCTGAGGCTCTCGATCCGGTACCCCTTGTCGCTCGAGCCCTCGTCCTTGTGCGAGTTTTTGACGAGCCAGCCAATGTCGCGCGCCTGGGAGCGCACGTTGCACGACACGTAGATGATGGTGGCCGGCTTGAGGTTGAGCAGCTGGCGCAGGAAGGCGTCGTCGCAGCCTTTGCGCGGCGGGTCGATCAGGACGGTCGTCTGGTCGCGCGGGAACTCGATCGACTGCGCGGTGGTGCGTGCAAGAGAAAGAGTCAGGAACGCGCTCGACAAGAAGAGAGAGCGAGAGAGAGCGACGACGCACGCCAAAGATGTCCTCGGCCTTGCCGTCGCGGAACCCGACCTCGCCCCGGCCCTCGCCGTGGTTGTACGCGGCGTTCTTCTTGGCCCACACGATGCTCGCCTTGTCGATCTCGATGCCCTCGACCTTGTCAAACAGGTCGGCGAGCGAGATGGCGAACAGGCCCGAGCCGCAGTAGGCGTCGACGAGGTACCGCTTCGGGGCCGACGGGTCGGTCGACTTGGGCCCGATGGCGGACTTGACGGCGTCCATGAGCGAGGGCAGGATCGAGGCGTTGTTCTGCGCGAGTGAGAAAGGGAACGAGGGGGGAGAGGGAGTCAGTAAATGAGGGACGAGGCGAGAAGATTCTCAAGGAGGGCGAGAGGACGCACCTGGAAGAACGAGCCCGCCTTCTGAAGCTGTCGCGGCGGGCGCAAGGACGAGACGACGAGTCAGTGACAGGCTCTTCTTGAGAGAACGAGAGTGAGAAAGAGAAGGCGCTCGGACGCACAAACTCGACGTCTCCCACCTGCTCGCGGACCGTCTCGTGGTGGTCCGTGACGCAGATGTGCTCCTCGGTCGACGGCGCCGTGTAGCAGCTCGGGCGCACCTCGGCGGCGCCCTCGGGGCGCGGCGGGAGCGAGTCGCGCAGGAGGATGGTCGCGCCGCGCTTGTAGGCCGAGATGTCACGCTTGACCTTGGCGCGCTCGTCGACCATGGCCCGGTTGATGACGCTCGTCGCTATGACGCACTCCTCGATGTCGACGATGCGCTTGCGGCCTTTTTGCTCGAACCCGATCGTGATCTCCCACTCCTTGTCCTTGTCGGGCTCTTGAGCGGCGGCCTCGCCGTCGGCGCCGGCCTTGGGCTTGCGGCGGTTGCGGTTCGGGTTCTTGGACGGCGGGACTTGAAAGTGCGGCGTGAGCTTTGTGCGGTAGCCGTACTCGAGAGGCGAGGGCAGGGTCGGGCCGATGGCGGGGACGAGGGAAGGGTCGAGGCCGGAGAAGTTGGCGAACGCGCGACGGACGACCTCGCGCTTCATCTCGAGCTGCTCGTCGTACGCCAGGGGCTGGTACTGTGCGGCGAAAGGCGGCGAGAGAGGGACAAGAGTCAGTCGACTGGGTGAGGTTCGAGTTTGAGAAGGTCGAAAGCGAGGGCGCACCTGGCACCCGGAACACTCGCCAAAGTACTGGCACTGGACGCGATTGCCGAACTTGGCGCGGACGGCATCGAGCTTGGCCTTGGCGTCGCCGACAAAGAGGCGGTCGGGCAGCTCGTGGACGTCGGCCATGCGGCGCGGGCTCGGCTCGAGGATGTCGACGAGGTCGGCGTGCGACATGAAGTAGTCGGGCTCGTGGCGGTGGACGTGGATGCGGACGCGCTCGCCCTCGAGCGCGAACGGGATCTGGACGAGTCGGGTCGGCTTGTCGGAGCCTTCGGGCGTGAGGAGCGCGAGACCGTCGCCTGCGAGAAGGGAGAGTCGAGTGAGCGCTTGGTCCTCGTGTTACGGCGAGAGAGAGCAGGGGCGCACCGTGATCGTTCCAGCCGACGACCTGCACGTCGAGGTCCTTGCCCTGGGCACCCTGGCCCCACTCGCGCTCGGCCTCTGCGACCCAGTCCCTCGCCTCGTCGTGCTGGAGCCGGGTCAACTCTGCGACGCGGTCCTCGCCGAGGAGGGCGACGACGTCGAACGCGCCGGCCTCCTCGGCACCGCCGGGCTTTGGCGGCTTGCCCTTGCGCTGGCGGGGTTTGCGCGGCTGCTTCGGGTGCTGGTGGGTCAACTTGCGCGGGCGGGGAGGTGCGTCGGCGGTGGTCGTGTCGTCGGCGGCTTGGGCGGGCGCCTCGACGAGGACGGGCGGGACCGAGACGGGGTCCTCGACGGTGAGCTTGACGCGCTTCGAGTCTGGGTGGTCGGCGGCTGCTTGAGCGGATGCGGGAGGTTGAGGAGGCGGAGGAGGGGGAGGCGAGGTCGACAGGGCGCGCTTGGCCGGGGCGTGCGCAGACATGGCCGGTTGGGCGTGTCGGGGTGGGAGGCGAGTTGAACGAGCTACGAGAGAGCGAGCTGCTCGTGCGAGCATGCGACGACGGCGAGCGAGATCAACCTCGTCCGCGAGCTCGACCCGCCGCGCCTCCCCGGATCTCGCTCAACCCTTGGTGCGCAGCTCAGTCCGTGCAGCTCGAGGCGCACTCTCTCGCACAGCCGTGGCAGGAGAGCAGGAACGCGCAGGGAGCGAGCTTGCTCTCGCGCTCGCACGGGATCCTTTCCCTCTCTCTCGCAAGCGGCCCGACCTCGTGCACAGGGGAAACGCAACCTCCGATTGCCAGACGACCATCATTACCGCGGCATGACAATCTAGAACTGGAGGGCCTGGCCCTTCTGCTTCCTGTGGGTCGGCACCGCGGGCGAGAGCGAGACGGCGCGGCGGCGAGGGGCGACGAGGGCGAGGGCGGCGAGGGCGAGAGGTGCGGGCGAGAGGGCGGACGGGGCGCAGGGCGGCGGGTTGGGCGTGATGGCGCAGGCGAGCGGGGGCGGGGGGAAGATGCAGGGCGAGCGTAGGTCGGCGAGGGCGAGACGACGTGGGTGGGGGCGAGGACGAGGCGAGGGGCGGCGCGATACGGCAAGGTAGGTCGAAGGCGGTGACAAGGGCGAGGCAGTGATAGGTCGAGATGGGCGGGGAGGGAGAGGAGAGGCATGGTGAGCGCTGCACCTCGCGAGGGGAGGGGGACCGCCATCTCGATCGCGCGCGAGACGGGCGAGGGAGAGAGGACGCACTTGTCACCACCGAGCTCGAAGTGCTTGCAGCGCTTGAGCGACATCTGCATCTTGTACTTGCAGACCGTGCACTCGAGGCGGAGGACGACCTTCTTGGTCGTCTTGGCCTTCTTGTGGAAGACCGGCTTGGTCTGACCACCGTAGCCTGTGCGAGTTGGGGGGAGCAAGGGTCAGTGTCGCTCGCTCTGTACCGACAGAGAGAGAGACGAGGGACGGACCGGACTGCTTCCTGTCGTAACGACGCTTGCCCTGAGCGAAGAGCGACGCCTTGCCAGTCTTGTACTGGGTGACCTTGTGCGGGGTGTGCTTGCGGCACTGCTTGCCCTTGCAGTAGGTACGGCGGGTCTTGGGAACGTTGACCATCTGCGAGAGGGTAGGCGACGAGTGAGCGGGTCGGGTCGAGGAGACGAGAGGGGAGGAGGCGAGGGAGGCGGTCACGCACCGTGCTCGAGTCCTGTGTGCGGGTCGAAGGGCCGAGGAAGGGATAGAGGGAGGGCAAACGAGGTCAGCTGTGTGCTCTGGGCGACGGCTGGGCAAGGTCGCGTTGCTCCTCGACGCGGCGACGACGAGCGAGCTCAAGGACGCGGCAACCGGACGCTCGCTCGCCCGCGTGGATGCCCGCCCGATCGTTCCAACCGCAAGACACGGCCCTGGCTCGCGCGCGCGCCCTCGAGCGAGGCCCTTGCGAGCGTAGCCGTGCGGCGAGGCCGTCCCTGCGCACCGGCTCGCGCTCGCCGACGCTCGTCGCACGCTCGCGCGGCCTCGCCAGGTGCTGCCGCGGCGGCGGCATGGTGCAGGACGGTGTGCGAGTGGACGTGCGGCATCGAGAGGGCGCAGGTGTGGCGTGTCGAGTTGTCGAGTGGGTGCGCCGAGTTTGCCCCGGGGGTGGACGAGGCGAGGGCGACAGGTCGGGGGGCAGGAGACAGGGGGCGGGAGGGCGGGTGGTGGCGCGGTGTGGCGAGTGGTGCCGGGATGCAGCAGTAGGCTCACCTGGCAAGCGGGAGTTGGGTCCGAGGAGGAAAGGAGGAGCGGCCGCTGTCGCCTCGTCCTGCAGCCACGCCGGACCGTCGTCCCTCGCCTCGCTCTCTACGCCACACTTGCTGCGTGGACTTGCGGCTCGTGTCTCTGCTTCTCAGCACCCACTCGTCACACACCTCGCCGCTGTCCTCGCTGCCTCGTGCGAGTCGACCTCGTCCGCCCCACCTCGTCGAGCGCAGCCACCAGCTCGAGCGCCGCGACATGGGCAGCGCAGTCTCGTCGGTCGGCGACGCCGTCGTCAGCGCAGCCACCTGGGCCACCGCCCCAGCCTCGACCGATTCGTCCGCTAGCCCACGCCGCACCGACTCGTCGCTCGACCACGCCGACGTCCTCGACGTCCTCGACATCCTCTCGCAGCGCATCCCGACCGAGCTTGCCCTCGCCGTCGTCGAAGCCGCGTGCGTCGCATCCTCCCCTCCTTGCCCCTGCTCCGACTCTGTCTCTCCTCGAATCGACGCTCACGCCTCTTCCTGCGCGCCGCGACAGCGAGCTGTGGCCGGCGTACGCTCAAGCCTGGACGGGCGACGTCACCGTCTCGGCGGGCCCGCAAGGCCGCAGGACGGCACGCACCTGCGTCGTCTCGCCGCCCTTGCCGCTCATCGAGGGCGCACCCGAGCAGCTCGTTCGGCGCGTGTCCGTCTGGACCGATTCCCGGGATCAAGGTGCGTCCCTTTCTCTCGTCACACTCTCTCTCGTCACGAGACTGACATTCTCGCCACCCTGCAGGCTACTCGTCGTTCCCTCAGCACCACGGGACCCGCGAGGCCTCGTCGTCCTGGTTCGAGCTCGTCCTCCTGCGGCCCGTCCCTCCCCCTGCCTCCCCTTCCACGACCTCTCCCACCGCCTCTCCTCCTCTTCGCGAGCGCTCGCCGCCGCACGACCCGGCCCCAGACGATCGCGACCTCGTCGTCCTCCTCTCGGGCCTCTCGCTCGCGCCCGTCCTCGCCGTCCGCATCCACTCGAACCTCCACTCGACCCCGTCCTTCGTCCCCTTCACGACCGTCCTGTCGCGCTGGCCGCCTGCCGCGCCCGGACACGAGTGCGACCCGCCGACGCCGGCGAGCTGCGGCGCCGACGAGGTCGAGAGCGTGCTCGCCGCCGCGAGGGCCGGCGACAGGTTTGCCGTCAGGGCGTGCGCTCAGTACCCGATGTGGGTCAATCGGGTGCGAGGCGCGGCGGTCAAGGTCGAGGTGGCGGCGCTGTGAGGGTTCTCGGCGGCGTCGGCGAAAGCCTTTTCTCGGTCTCTCTCGTCCTCTCTATCTCTCTTTCTTTTCAGTCACTTTGTCGTACAGATGTGTCTAGTGTTGCATGCAGTAATAGTGTCCGTCCTCGTCGACTCGAGCGAGATGCTCGCCCCGCTCAGGCCTCGTCCGCTCGTCGTCGCTCCTCGCCCGTCCCGCCCCGCATCTGCTTCTCCCGCCGCGCAGCGTTGACCGGCGCCACCGCGTCGGCGACTCGGACCGTCTCGAGAAAGACGTCGCGCCAGAACGCCGCTGCGTCGACCGACTCGAGGATCAAGACGTTCTTGCCGTTGCGGCCCCAGTTCGACTCGTCCGGGTCGAGCGACGCCTTCTGGTACTGCGAGAGAGCGCCGAGGGACGTGACGAGAGTCAGTCCGAGGTCTGAGAGGGAGAGAGGGGGCGAGGGAGAGTCGCAGACGCACCTCCCACAGGTCGACGACAGTCGCCCCGAGCGAGTGCGTCCCGGACAGCTCGACGTCGACGCGGTACCGCTTGCCTGCGACGGGTCGGGTACACCTCGTCAAGATGGTGCGCGCAAGGGGGACGTGGCAGGGGGAAAGAGGAGAAGGCGAGAAGCGGACGCACCCTTGAACAGCTCGGGGTGCGACACAAACGCGACCGCGAGCGCGTCGTGCAGCGGCGGACCCTCCATGCCGTACTTGGCCTTGTACGCCTCGGCAAAGAAGGCGAGGTTGGTCGACAAGGTGTGCCGCAGCGGCGTCAGGGCGCGAGGGAGAGTCGAGTTGCCGTTGGTCGGCGTGAGGGGTGGGGTCGGGGGAAAGTGCGAGGGGAGGCCCTCGAGGAGCTGGCGATGGATCGTGGGCGTAAAGAGGGCCGTGTGTGTAAGGTTGAGAGGCTGCGCGCAGACAGGGAGGGAGATGGGGAGGTCAGTGCGCGGCGAGGCGGAAAGAGGCTTGAGAAGGCCGTCACGCACACAAAGGATGACGGGTACCGGGGCGTCAAAGACGATGGATGCTGCATGAGGGTCGCAGTAGACGTTCGACTCGGCGACTGGGCTCTTGTTGCCGCGGCCCTCTGCTCCCGCCATCGCGACGATGCGGGCGACCTTGTCGACGAGCAGGTCGGGAAACACTTGGGCGAACAGGGCGACGTTGGTCAGGGAGCCCGTCGCGATCAGGGTCATCTGCTCGCCGTCTTGAAGACCCCGACAGGCGTCGGCGAGACCGAGAATCGCGTTGCCCTTGAGCGCCTCGGCTTGCTTTGCGGCGACGGTCGGATCGCTGCGCACGCTCGACGAGTCAGTCCGCCGTACTTCAGACTCGGCAAAGGTGAAAGGTGGACGTACGACATGTCGAGCAGACCTTCGACGCCGCCGAGCCCGTCGACGCCGTGCACGGACGCGCCCTCCTTGGGCCGAACGAGGAGCGGGCGCTCGGCCCCCTTGTGGACCGGGGTGGACGCGATCTGCTCGGGCGTGGCGAAGGAGCACAGTACTCGCACGGCGTTGTAGGCTGCGAGGGAGGGAAGACGAGTTAGTGAGCTTCGTCGGTGCAGGAACGAGCGCGAGGAGGCGGGAGAAGGACGCACTCATGTGCTCGATCGTCGCGTTGCCGTGGACCTGAGGGACGCAAGACGTCAATACAGGCGCACGAGAGAAGGCTCGACGAGCGGGGCGCACCGAAGAAAGGCCGAGGAGCTCGAGAGAGGGAAGGTGAAGCGCGAGGAGGATGGCGACGAGGTCGTCTCGCCCTGGGTCGCAGTCGAGCCACACTTTCGTGCGCTTGGTTGCTGCAGGCTCTGCAGACATATTGCGCGTCGACAGGTGGTCGGAAAGGCGTGTGCCCGGCTTGGCGACGATGCGGCGCTAAGCGGGTTCGTGTTGCCCTCGGAGTCGGAGCTCGAGCGGGCGGCCGAAAGAGGGCAGCGAGCCGGTCGAGGTGGCGAAGGGACGAGGCGGCGTGTGGTGTGAGCGAGGGGGCGATGCGTGCGAGGGCGAGAGCCGACGCGAGTCGACAGGCGAGGGAGGAGCGAGAGGCGAGAGAGCGAGAGCAAGAGAAGAAGGGGGCGAGGGGCAGCGCCAGTTGCGCAGCGGCGAGGGGCTCGCGAATTTGACGCCGCTAAACCACGCGGGGATCTACCGGTCGATCGCTCCAGGCCCGGCGGCCGTTGCCCTTCCGGCCGAGTAGAGCGGTCCGCGCGCTCGCCGTCGTCTCCGAGAGCGTACGAGCCCAGCCGAATGCGCGTCGGTGGCTCGCAAGATGGCAGCAATGGACGACGGACACAGCGGAACGGACCCTGACGGAAGGGAAAGAGCAGGGGCGACGAGGAGGACGGAAACCCGACGATCTGCTACTTCTCCCTCGCGCACTGCTCTACAACGTCTAAGCCCGCCCCACCGCCCCTCCTCAGAACCCGTCGTTGTGCAGCTTGCGGCACAGGGCGACGCACATGCGCTCGAGGTCGAACTTGTCCGGCTTAGCCGGCCGTCCGACCGGCGCATTGCCCGACGCCGACGACGACGAGGCCGAGGACGAGAGGCCCGGGGCGCCGTACATGAGCCTCGCGGTCGCGTTGTGCGCAAGGTTGTCGACGACGTTGTTGGCGGCCGAGGTGACGGTTGACGAGACGGCCGACGAGACCGAGGACGAGACGGCCGAGAGGGCCGATGCCGCAGAGTCGGCCGCCTTGCTCGACGTGGTCGCGATCGAAGACGACGACGACGACGACGACGACGACGGGCTGGATGAGGTGCCGGGGAGCTGGCGGATGATCCACGATGCGGCCGACGCGAGGCCCTCGGCGTCGTTAGGCGCGCCCTTGCGGACCTTGTCGTCGTCGGGCTTGTGCGCCTGCTCGTCCTCCTTCGACGACGGGGTCGACGGCGAGACAGGCGGTGCGGCGAGCGCAGATGCCGAGGTCGACGAGCCCTTTTCGAGCGCCTTCTTCTTGTCGCCGCCGCCGTTGCCGTTGCCCGCGCCGACGAGCTTGCCGACGAGCGCGTACACGTCCTGCCACTGCCACCCCTTGTCCTTGTCCTTGCGCTCCTTGGCCGCCTGCGCCTCCTCCTGCGCGCCCTCGCTCGCGCCGGGCGAGCCGTCGACCTTCTCGGCGCGCTCGCCGACGTGCGGCTCGCGCGTGTCGCGGATCTCGCGCCGCGTCACCTGCTCGACGGCCGCCTTGCTCGCCTCGGCCGAGCTGAGCCCGCTCGAGCCCCGCATCTCCCAGTGATCGCACGCGTCGAACGTGCCGAGGAACTCGCCCCACCGCGCCGACTCGATGCTGACGAGGCCGTCGTTGCCGCGCCACTCGGGAGGAGCGGCGCAGCCCGAGTCGACGCGAGCGCGCTCGGCGCCGTCGAGGACGAGCTTGGGGAGCCACAGCGGGTGCCAGATGGGCACCTTTTCGGCGCGCGCCGCGATCGAGTAGTACTTGACGGCCGGGTCGTCGGGCGTCGACGGGTTGAACACGTCGCGCAGGAACGAGGGCGCGAGGTTGGCGTAGGCGGGCGAGTCGAGGAGGTTGAGGAGGTAGCCCGTCACGCTCGCCGACAGGTTGAACGGAAGGCCCGGGAGGTGGATCGACGACTCCTTCTTGTCGGCCCTGTCGGCCTTGGCGTCGCTCTCCTTGGCCTTCTCGGCCGCTTTCTTTGCGGCGAGGACCTGCTCGCGCGACAGGATGGGCGCCTTGAGCGAGTACGGGAGCGGGATCGACGTGTCGTCGGGCTCGTCGAGCGACGCCGAGACGGACGGGCGCAGGTTGAGCGCCTCGTTGCCCTCGTACTCGGTGCCGATGCCGATGTTGGCGCGACACCACGACATGAACTCGGACCCGCGATGCGGCGTGCACAGCGTCGTGAGCGACTTGGGGTGGTACAGGGTCGGGCGGATGTTCGAGATGAGGTACCGAGCGTCGAGGCCGCCCTGCGAGTGGGCAAAAGGGGTCAGAAGACGCTCGCTACGCCGTGTGAGAGACACAGAGAGAGAGCGAGACGAACCATCGAGTGTGCGACAAAGTTGATGTCGCGGTTGAGGAGCTCGCGCGTCTCCTCGAGCGACTGGTGGAGCACGTGCGCCCGCTTCTTGACCGAGCCCGTCCTGCGAGAGGGAAGCCTTATCAGTACTCGCCCTTTGTCGAGATGAACGGGAGCGAGCGAGCGCACCCTGGGACCGCCGTGACGTAGACCTCGGCGCCGATCTTGCCACGCAGGATTCTGAGGAGGTCGCCCCAGTAGTGCAGGCGGAAGAAGCCCGGCCCGCGCACGTCGAAGCCGTACAGGCCTGCGAGAAGGTCGGCTCGTCAGATCCAGGAACGAGATAGGGCGGCGAGAGAGAGAGAGAGAGAGAGAGGGCGGGACGGACCGTGGCAGAGCACGATAGGGAAGCGAGGCTTGAGGAGCGGCTCGTACAGGGTCGGGTGTCGCACGAGCGCGTTGATCTCGCCATACGGGCTCGCGGGACGAGGTGGGCCGGGCTGTGGCGGTCTCGCGCGCCGTCCTTCTGGCGCACCGACCTTCTCGCTCGGGGCGGGCGCGGCCGGCTGCGGCACGGCCTGGGCGGACGTCGACGCGCTCGCGGAGGGTGCGGTAGATGAAGAAGGAGGAGGTGAAGACGGCGGCGAGTTCGAGTAGGCGGGAGAGGCGGGTGCTGCTGCGGGTTGCTCGCCGACGACGACCGACTGGCGGATGGTGCGGGTCGTCGAGAACGCTCTCGCGCCGGGCGCGCCGCCGTCAGACCTCGCCAAGTAGAAGCTACTCGCTCGCCGCGACGCGCTCGGGCGGGAAAGAGGCGGCGAGGGCGAAGAGGAGGTCGAACGTGGGTGGTTGGGGAGGCGGTCGTCGAGGAGGAACGGCAGCGCCGTTGCTCGCGGCGGCGGCGCGCACGCAAGGCCGCCGGCCGACGCCTTCGAACGAGCTCGCTGCGCGCCCGCTGCGGCCCGGACGGCCTTGACGCTCGTCTGGTCCCGCCTGACCTCGCTCGCGCCGTCCTCGCCGGTCCGTCGCCGCTTGAGGGCTCTCCTGGGCGCGGTGGAGCCCGCAGAAAGTGCCCTTGGCGGCGTAGGCCCGGCGTCGGCCCACAAGCCGGTGCTCAGGGGCACGAGCGGCGCGACTGGAAGGGCGGTCGAGGTTGCGGCCGACGCGGTTGAGGCAAAGGTGGTCGCGCCGGCGAGGAGCGACACGCGTTGGAGGGTAGGGTACAGGGGTGGCGGCATGTAGGCTGTCGAGCGTGTGCGCAGGCCTCCAGCACGGGGAGGGACTGCTTGTGGAGGAGCAAGAGAACGATGACGCGAGTCCACCGAAGTCGCCGCGACCAGCTCTCGCTCACAGACACTCTCGCGGGGCCAGACAACAAGAGGCGCGCAATAATGCAGTTGCATGACGTTGGCCAGGGCTAGAGCCCGAGGTACGGAAGAGAGAGAGAGAGAGCTCCGGGGCGGCCGCGGAGACGGCGCCCGGGCTTTTTGAGAGCGAGACTGCGAGGAAATGGGGATGCGGCTCGAGAGGATGCTGGAGATGCGAGTGACAGAGATGGGCGAGAGAGGGGAACGGGGGAAAAGGCGTGGCTGAAGAGGCGGATCGGCAGAGAGTTTGGTTGTGGGCGGTCGAAGCGCGAGTCGACGAGCGATACTGCGCCTAGTCGTCCTCGAGGATCTGCAGAAGGGACCAACAGTCAGTCTCTTGCACGTCGACGAGGCGCAAGAGGAAGAGGGACGCACGTCGCCGAGCTCGTAGCACCCGGCGCGCGACCGGCGCGCCTCGTCCTTTGCGCGCTCGAGCGCCTTGACGACGTCCGGGTACGCGTCGCGGAGCCTCGAGCGGCGGTCGATGCGGGCGAGACCCTCGCGCACGAACTGCACGTTGAGCGAGTTGCCCGGGCTCGCGAGCGAGTTGGGGTCGGCCGGGTCGAACAGCGACAGCGACAGGAGGTGCTGCTGGCGCTCGTCGACGTTGGCGACGAGCTGCTGGCCCTCGCACAGCTCGCGGAAGCGTTCCATGGCCTCGTCGCCGTAGCCCTCGACGCGCCAGTCGAGGAGCGAGACGAACGACAGGGTCGCGTCCTTGGCCTGGCCCTCGAGCGTCTTGAACTGGGCGGCGAGAGGGCGCAGGCGCGTGTACGGGACCGTCTCGGAGTTGCCGTCTGTGTCCGTCGTGAGGGCCGGGTCAGGCGCCGTCCGAGTGGGGGAGGAGAGGGAGCGAGAGGGACGCACAGTCGATGTAGACGACCTCGGCCTCCTTCTTGGCCGGGTTGGACCGGCGGACCTTGGCGCGGTACCACGTGTTGTCGACCGAGAACTTGGCGCTGACGAGGTCGCCTGAGCGCGGGACAAAGTTGCCCGGGACGGGCGCCTGCGCGTCGTCCTCGTGGAACAGGGTGAGGTCGCCCATGAGCTTCTCGAGCGCTGGGATGCCGCCGTCCTCGAGGACCTGGACCGAGAAGGAGAACGGGACCGTCTCGGTGCCGCCGCGAACCTCGCTCACGACGACGTCGAGGTACTCGGTGCGCTTGGGCGCAGGCGTGGATGCGCCGGCGGTGGACGAGTCGGCGCCGTTGGCCGCGGCGGCAGCAGCGGCCGGGTCGAACGAGGACCAGATCTGCGGGACAGACTCGAGCGTCAGGACGTGCTGGACGGCGAGAGGAGAGGAGACCGAGGGAGAGAGGGACGCACGTTGCGGCGAGCGGCCTGAGCCTCCTCCTGCGCGGTCCACAGCTCCTTGGCGTTCGAGTACTCGTCGACCTTGGCGAGGCCCTCGCGCACGAGCATGGTCGCGACGTCCTGGCCGTTGTAGAAGAGCTGCAAGGGGGACGAAAGAGTTCGTCAAGCCGGGCTCGAGGGGGAGAAGAACGGGGACGAGGTGGGACGAGGGCGACGCACTCGTCCGATGAAGCCGCCGCTCTTGTCGGTCGCGTCGACCGAGAACTCGACGTCGCGCTGGAGGAGCCGGCGGCTCGCGAGCTGCGCCGCCTCCTGGCCGTACGGGTCGCCCTTCTCGCTCGGGTTGCGGGCCGTGCGCGGCGCGCGGATCGAGCCGAGCACGAGCGTGAGCTTGACGTCCTGCTTGGGGATCCAGATCTATGCGGGCGACGAGGAGGTCAGGCGTCGCGTCTGGAGGAAAAGGCAGGAACGCGAGAGGGAGAGGAGGGACGCACCTTGAAACGCGAGCCGCTCGCGACATAGTCGACGACGCCCTGGATGCGGCCCTGGCGCTTGAACGAGCTGAGGAACGGTGCCGCCTTGGCCGCCGACTCGCTCGCGTCGACGATCCTTGGCGCCGGCGGCGCGTCCTTGCCCGCGTGGAGGCCCTTCTTGTCCTCGATGGCGCGCGCCTCGGCCGCCATGAGGCTGTCGTAGTCGCTCGAGCGGTTGTCGTCGCCCTGCTTGTGGCGCAGGACGCCGAGGAGGCCGCGCTCGACGAGGTACGCGGCGACGTTGGTGCCGGCGCCGGGCAGGCGCACGGTGGCGCACTCGCGCTCCTCGTAGTCGCCCTCGGCGGGCTTGACGTAGTCGATCGTGACGTGGACGGGCTTGCCGATGAGGCGCTTGCGCAGGAGCTCCTTGCCCTCGAGCTGGAGGCCGGCGAGCTTGGGGTCGGTCGGGCGCGGCTGGCGCACCGACGCGAGCTGGACGCGGCGCTCCTTGGCCGACGAGTCGCCCTCCTTGACGATCGAGAGCATGTCGGCGCCCCACACGCGCGTGACGGTCGCCGCAAAGCTGCGGCCCGAGGCGGCCGCCTGCTGGGCGGCGACGCGCGGGTCGGGCAGGTCCTTGAACAGGCCGCGGCGGTGCGAGCGCGCGTCGAGCTCGGCGCGGCGCAGCTCGGACATCATGGTCGGGGTCGGCGACGACGCGAGGAAGCCGGCGTGCCAGTCGACGATGCGCGCGAGGCCGACCGAGACGACGAGGGCGGCAATGTTGCCCGCCGGGTGGTGGACCGTGCCGAGGAACAGGTTGACCTGCTGCGGCGGGGCGGCGGGCGACGACGAGCCGTTGATCGAGGCCGGTGCGGGCGCCGGGGTCGGGAGCGACAGGAGGGTGACCTTGACGAGGCGCTGCAGGAGGCGGCTCTCGACGAAGAAGCGGCTCTCGTCGCCGAGCTCCTCGGCCATCTGGTTGTCGTCGCGGCCCGAGAGGTTGCCCGACTTTGGGGCGCGGATGCCGGCGATGCCGAGGTTGACGTACTGGTGGTACTCGGGCGAGACGAGGAGGCGGGCGCGGACCTGGGAGCCGTTGGTGACGCCCTCGACGATGGCGTCAAGCGGCTTGCCCTTGTACTGGGCGAGGAAAGCGACAGGGTCGGACGGCATCGAGTAGTCGACGCGGCGGTTGGGCGGGCGGTCGGTCGAGTGGAGCCCGCGGGCGAGGATGCGGGCCTCCTCCTCGAGGTCGCGCAGGAAGGCGCGGCGCGAGGCCGTTTGGGCCGACTCGTCGTCGTCGCCGGCCTGGTCGCGGCGCGGGGCGTCGCGGACCTTTGCCCAGCCGGCGCGGACGAGCTCTGCGGCAACGTCGAGGTCGTCGCCGCTGTCCGAGTGGGCGTAGACGATGCCAAACTCGAGGTTGTTGGCGGTCGGGATGGTGTAGCTGACGGTGAACGAGACCTCTTTGCCGACGGTGAGGGAGCGCAGGTAGTCGCGCGCCTCGAACGCCCACGGCTCGTCGTCGCGGTCGCGGGACCCGAGGCGAGGGGCGGTGAGGTCGGCGAGGTGGAGGACCTTTTCACGCGGGAGGGCGTCGGCCTGGACGACAGGGCCACGGAGGACGAGCTGTGGGCAGGGCGTGGTGGGAGGGAGAGGGTGAGTGGGGTTCGAGGGAGGGGGGAGTCGTGGCAGGGCGGAGGAGGAGCGCACCGTGTCGCCCGAGAGGACGGACTTGACGATGGCGGCGAGAGGTTGAGCGGTGGCCATGGCAGGTGGGGTGCTCTGGTGGCAGTCGATCGAGGGCAACCAAGAGCGAGCGAGAGGAGGGTGAGGACGAGGAGGAGGTCGACGACGCGACTGCGACGAGGACACGGTCGACCCTCCCTCACACATTGCGCCCGCCATGCTGAGCCTGTGCGGCTGCTCGCGCTCTCGGTCCTATTCGCCCGTGCCCGCCGACCACGACCACCCGCAACCGCGAGGTGCTGCCGCCGCCTGGGAGCTCCTCGCCGTCTCGTCGTCTTCTGGCCGCCCAGTCCACCTCGCCCTGACCCCACAAGGCCTTGCCGTCGTCAAGCAGCGCACAAAGGGCCCGCCCCACTTGCTGCACGGTCCGTCCCCTCCTCTCTCCCTCTCGCCCTTCTCCTCCTCGCTCACCCCCACTTGCTCGCACTGCAGCCTCGTCCACCGCGCACCGCATCATTCCCTACCGCAACCTCGTCGCCGCCACCGCCACCGCAACCGACTCGTCCCCTTCCTCCCCCTCGTCGTCGACCCGCATCTCGCTCTCGGCCCTCGTCCCCTCGGACAAGCGCAAGCCCGACTCGGCCCTCGCCCTCTGGCACCTCGACGCCGCCGTACACGACGTCGGCCGCTCCACCGACCAAGACGCAGGCGCCACGAGCGACGCACAGCACCCGGCCGCCGCAGCTTGGTGCGCAGAAGCCGAGCGGCGAGCGTACGCCGGCGTCGAGCGCCGCCGCAGGCTCCACTGCGTCGTCAACCCGCACGGCGGCAAGGGTACGGCCAAGCGCATCTGGCTCGACTCGGTCAAGCCCGTCTTTGACGCCGCAGGCTGCCCCTACCACGTCTCGTGTGCGTCTTCCCCTTTCGCCTTCGTCCTCGTCCTGCCCTCCCTCCCCCCTCGCCCTCCCTCAACGAGCCAACAGGACCTGACTCGCACTCTTACACTCACAGACACCGGCGCACCTGGAACGCCGACCAACGCGCGCGCGCTCGGCCTCGCGCACGACTCGTCGCAGTACGACGCCCTCGTCTCGCTCTCCGGCGACGGCATCGTGCACGAGCTCCTCAACGGCCTCGCGGCCCAGCCCCACTCGGGCGCACGTGTCCTCCGCGAGACGCCCATCGTCCACGTCCCGTGCGGCAGCGGCAACGCGCTCGCGACGAGCGTGTACGGGCCCGAGCGCGCCACCGACACGCGCTACGCCGCCCTGTGCGCCCTCAAGGGCTCGCCCCTCGCGCTCGACCTGTCGTCCTTCTCGCAGGCGTCGTCGGCGTCGGCGTCGTCGTCCCAGAGCGAGGGCGGGCCCGGGCAGGAGCGCACCTACACGTTCTTGAGCCAGGCGTTCGGGCTCATGGCCGACCTCGACCTCGGGACGGAGCACCTGCGGCGGTGGCTCGGTGACGCGCGCTTCACGTGGGGGTACGTGCAGGGAGCGATCAGGCGCAGGAGGTACCCGTGCACGATCGAGGTCAAGGGCGCGAGGTGGGACAAGGGCGAGTTGGCGCGGCGGCACAACCAGGGGTTGCTGCGGCCGGCGCGAGCGGCGGGCGACGAGGGCGGCGCCGCGTCAAAGACGCACGGCGACGACGACGACATGCCGGCGCCGACGCTGGTCGGGCGGCGCGAGGACGGTCGGGCTCACCGGCGGGTCGACCACCTCCCGGTCGACGGCGACTTTGGGCCGAGCGATGGCGGCGTCGACGGCGACGACGAGCAGTGGCTCACGCTCGACTTGACGACCGAGGGCGTCTTCTTCGCCTACGCCGGCAAGGTCCCGTTCGTGTCCAAGGACGTGAGTCGGCCTCGCTTTCCCTCGTCCTGTCCTCGTCGGACCGGCTCGAGCACCCTTACCGACGTTGCGCTCCACACACAGGTCATGATGTTCCCAGCCGCAGATCCCAACGACGGCCTGCTCGACCTCGTCCTCGTCGCGCCCATGTCGCCTCTCAAGGCGCTCACCGTGCGTCCCACCTTCTCTCCCCTCGCTCTTTCTCTCGACCTCTCGCCCTCTCGCCCTCTCGCTCTCTCGCGCCTCTCGAGAACGGACTAACCTCTCCTCGTGTCCCTTCCTCCCGGCAGGCCATGGACAACGCCTCGACCGGCGGCCTCCTCTCCCTCCCGTCCGTCACCTACTTCAAGTGCTCGGCCTACCGCCTCTCGTTCCCGCCTCCTGCACCCGGCGCCAAGGACGGCTTCATCTCGGTCGACGGCGAGCGCGTGCCGTACCGCGCGTTCGACGTCGAGTGCCACAAGGGGCTCGCGCGCGTCATGGGCTTTGACGGAACGTGGGGAGGGAGGAGCAGGATCGACGGGTTCGACTCGGGCGACGACGTCAAGGCGAGGTAGCTGCGTGCCGCTCGCGCTCTCGAGGAAGGGCTGCAACTATCGTCGCTGGCTCTGCTCTTCCGAGGCGTGACGAGGCGAGAAGGCGACGCGAGCGAGTGAGCGAGACGAGAGATACGAGGAGGGCACAGCGCGAGTTACAGACAGAGAGAGCGAGGGATAGACATGGTGTACAGCTCGACGTCGACGCCGACTGTTCCGCTCCTGCACGAGCCCGTCACTTCTTGCCCTCGCCCTCGCCCTCACCCTCGCCCTCGCCGTCCTTGCGCACCTTCTCGTGATAGTCCGACAGGCCATTCTTGAGCCCCTCGAAGCCCTCGCCACCCATCATCTGGAGCGCCTGGAGCGCCACCTTGGGGTCGACCTCGACGCCGGCGCCGCGCAGGGCCGCCATAAGGCGCTCGGCCGCCGCGCGCAGCTCGGGGTCGCGCGCGAGCTTGAGCATCATCGACATTGACGGCTTGTCGCCCGCTGCGAGGTCGACGCCCGTCTTCTCGCGCGTCACCTTGGCCATGTCTGCGACGCGGCGAGCGAGAGGGTGAGCGGAGGGGACAGAGGATGAGGGACGCGAGCGGCTCGGCCCTCGATGCGCGAGGACAGGACAGGGAAAGAGAGACGCACTTTCAATCGCAGCGATGACTTCTGGGCTCTGCTGTACGCGCTCGAAGAGTGGCGCCGTCTCGAAGAGGTCGTCCGGCGCGTGCTGGGCCGCCGCTGCACTCGACGAGCCGAACCCGCGGACGTGGCTGACCGGATACCGCAGCGAAGGCGTCCATGGTGCCGAGCTGGTGGTGCTCGGCGAGGGGTACCGGGAGGGAGATGATGAGGAGGACGAGGTGGCGTGCGACGCCTGGATGCGCGGCGCTTGGCGGAAGATGGTTGCGCGGAGGGCTCGAGGTGCGGCCTGCATGGTGTACGAGGCTGTTCGAGCTGAAGCCGGGGTGGTGGCGGACAAGGAGCTCGTCGTCGTCGTCGGCAAGACCGGCTTCATCTCCTTCTCGTCGCACCCGTCCGACGGCCCGGCAGACGTGCTCTGCGGGTCAGTACTACGGCAGGCTACAAGCTGCACCCGCGGCGCTGGTCTCGGCGACGTCGGCTCCCTCCTCCACCTTCTCCTCCTCCCCTCACTCTCGGCACGCTTTGCGGCCCTCGCCATCTGCTCGTCCTGCTCCGCGAGGCCAGCCTGTCGCCCCGTCGTACCCAGACGGTCGATCTGCCGAGCTACACGAGACGACGCGAGGCGTGCCCAGCTCCTGCTCGTGCATCGCAGCAACCGCCCTCGACTTGGGCCTCTCGTCCGGCCGCTCGCGTCGCTCGATACGCTCGAATCGCATTCGCTCCCGCGACGCTGCTGAGCTCCCGCTCCTTCGCGCCTTGCTGCGTCCCTCGAGCTGCCGAGGGCCGTCGAGGTTGGCACGTGCCAGGCGAGCGGCGAGGTCCGTCAGGGAGCAGGGCGTCGTCAAACCGTCCGGACAACGGGCGCGGAGGAGCGGCACCGGGACCAAGTTGAGCGGAGCTACAACGCGCTCCTTTCCGCCTCGCCGTTCGCCTCGTCTCGAGCTCAAGGAGGAGAGAGCTGCTAGTTATTTCTCGCTGGTCGACTCGCTTCCCTCCTTCACGTGAGACCCGCTTTACTAGCACGTTCACGCCAGAGCTTCCCTCTCGACCTTCTGCGACTAAGCAAGCTCAAGCGCAACGTTGGCGCCAAAGCAGAGACGAAGCGGAGGTCGGAGCGTGATCGCGTCGCACGATACTGCCACTGGCCCCGCACAGACCAATTTTCTCACCTCGGTCGGGCAAGCTCTTCGTCCGGAAGAGCGGCCGAGTGCGCGCCCCGCTTTCTCGCTCGCGAGCAAGTCAACAGCTGCGACGGCTGGACGGCGACAGCGGCCGGGCGGGAGCGGAAGGCTGTCAAAGCGCGCGAGCGAGCGGCGAGCGCTCGTGCCGCCTCGGTGCCTGTGCGGCCGCTCGACGTCGGGCTGCAGCCTGAAGCGCAGCTTCCGATTGCTCGCGTCGCAGCGCACGAGGCGAGGTCCGCGCACGGTGCGGCCGCCGCGGCGACTTGGCCGACTGTCGCAGCTTTCTCGAGCGAGCGGTCGAGGAGTATCAGCGATTGGCTCAGTTGTAGTGGAGTTTGACAGGCGTACAAGTGGCTTGGCCGCAGGAGAGATTCTCGCGAGGAACAGCAGTGGAGGGGAAGTGCGAGACGCCGCGGCGGGCGGGGAGAAGCCGTGGTTCTTCCTCGCCCGCCCACCGCTCAGAGGACGACGAGCGACCACCCAGCAGCCAGAGCGTGAGTCTCTCCTCCCCTCCACGAGCTGCGCCTGCGCCGCCAGTGCTCACGCGTCGCCGCCTCCCCTTCCGCCCTCCTCCCGCCCTCCGCACAGGTCCTCCGCCTCTCGACAGGCCCCAGCGCGCGAGATTGACGCATGCAAGTACACGGCGCCACCGACGAGCAGCACGTTGTCTTCAGCGACTTCCTCGACGACGCCGCGTTCGACTCGCCGCCTCCCTCATCCCCTTCCTCCTCCGCCGGACCTCTGCCGCCCGCAAAGCGCGTTGTCCCGCCTGCGCCACCGCGTCACCGAGGAACCCGCTCCGCATCCCTCCAGGCGTCTACCCCGACCGCCAGCACCTCGTCTGGCGACTCGCCCGGCGTGTCGTCCGACGCCGTCTCGCCCTTTCCTCCTCCCGAGACGGCCTTGACCTCGGCGTCCACATCGCCCCCGTTCGCGAGCACCGAGTTCGGCCACCTCGCCATGGACAACACGAACAACGCGGGCAAGATGCCCGACGGCCTCGAGCACCTCGCCGCGTCATGGGCCGCCCACCAGCAGGCGCTTCAGCACCACGCCGAGCAGCAGGCCGGCCCCGCCGCCGCCGCCGCCAACCCGTTCGGCATCAACGTCCCCTCGTCGGCCGCCATGGCGACCCCGCTCCCCGTCCCGCTCGGCTCGTCGTTCCCCCACCCGATCCCGCCCTTCCTCGCCGGCGCCGGCGCACCGCCTGCGCCCGGCTCGTCGTACCAGAGCCAGCTCCCCGCCGAGTGGATCCAGGCCGCCAACCTCGCCAACTCGTACGGCGGCGTCATGGCAGGGTCGCCCGCGCTGCCGCTGTCGGGCTTCCCGCAGCTCCAGCCGACGTCGCCGTACGGCCAGGGCCCGTCGACGCCGGGCGCCATGCCCTACCCGCCCATGATGAGCCACCTCGGCCACATGATCGCCAACCCGGCGATGGACCCGAGCCTGCACGCCCTCCAGATGAACCTCGAGGCGCATGCCAGGACGGCGGCGTCGCTCGCCGGCTCGGTGCCCGGCTCGCCCGCGCCGTACGATCTGTCGCAGCACCCCCAGCAGCCGCACCTTGCGGCGGCACTGCCGACGCCGAGCGGCGCGTCGAGCGCGCCGCACTCGCGCACGCCGACCGGGCAAGGTCGCTCGTCGGCGCCAAGCCGGCGTTCCTCGCAGCACAAGGCGGCGCGCAAAGCCGGCGGCGCCGCTACGCCTAAGGGCTCGGCCGGCGTCGACTCGCTCCACCAACGAGCGTTGACGAACGCGAGCCAGAGCCAGCACAACTCGCCGCTCGCCTCGCCCGGCCTACCTCCACTCGCGCAAGACTTTGCGACGTCGTCCTCGTCCGCCGCATGGTCCGGCGCACCCGCATCGGCTTCGGCAACGACGTTCCAGCGTCCCTATCCTCCCCTACCTCCTGCGCGCGGCGACACCGCTTCGGCGCCGTCGTCGCACCCCTCGAGCGCGCTCACCTCGCCGATCAACGCGTCCCAGCCCGCGTTCCCCAGCCCCGACAACCCTTCCCTCGCCAACCTGTCCCTGTACACGCCGTCTTCTTCGACGACCGCGTCTCGCGAGCAGTCGCCGAGGGCGTCCGGCCCTGTCGTCGACTACGACTTCTCCTCCCTCGAGCAGGACCTCGACCGGTTCTCGTCGCTCGGCGGCTTTGCCTCGGCCGCCGCCGCGGCGATGGCGTCGGTCGGCCCGTCGCATGGTGCGGGCGGGCACTACGGCGCGCCAGGCGGGCAGGGCAAACAGGGCAGCGGCAGCGGCAGCAGGCCGTCCGACGCGTACGGCGTCGGCGGCTACGGCGGGTCGTCGACGCCGCGCATCGCGCCCGACTCGCTCCCGAGCCCCCAGCTCGTCAACGACGTGCTCGGCGAGAGCCTGTTCTCGCCGCCGTTCGCGTCGGGCGGCGGCGGCGGCGGGCCCAACCGCTCGAGCCCCGCCGCGAGCGGGAGCTACGGTACGGGCAGCGCAGGCGCGTCTCCCGCAGGCGGGAGCGCCAACGGCGTGTCGGCATCGGCGGCAGGGCCTGCGGTGAGCGCGGGCCCCGGGTCGGTCGGGAGCCGCACAGGCGCCTCCCCCTCGGCGCTCTTCTTCACCGGCTCGCCGCTCGCCGACTCGCAGCCGTCGCCCGCCGGGTCCACCATCATCGACGAGGAGAGCGCCGAGGTCCTGAGCCGCAAGGACCCGATCGCCGCCCAGGTCTGGCGCATGTTCCACAAGGCCAATAACACGATGCCCAACGGCGCGCGCATGGAGAACCTCACGTGGCGCCTCATGAGCATGACGCTCAAGAAGCGCCGCGAGGACTCGGCGGCGGCGAGCGCGAGCGCGTCGGCCAGTGCGGCGCCGAGCCCGCCGACCGACGCGAGCCTGCAGCGCGCGATGGAGGCGGCGCTCGAGGAGCAGCGCGAGGAGACCGAGGCGCGCGAGGAGGGCCGCGACACGGTGCAGCCGCTCGCGAGCGGGAGGGCGGCGGGGGCGAGCGGTGGCGGCGGTCGCGGCGGTCGCGGCGGGCGCGAGCGGAGCAACAGCGGGGCGAGGAGGGAGCCCGAGTCGGCGCAGGCCGACGAGCCGGCCGAGGAGGAGCGTGGGCGCAGGAGACGCACCAAGAGCGGCGGTAACCAGGGCAAGAGCGCGAGCACGACGCCCGAGGCCGAGCAGGACGAGTGCGTCCCCTCCCTCGTCCCCCTTTTCGTTCGCGTTCCCTGTCTTGACCTTCTTCTTCTCCTCCTCGCAGCGCGTCGATGGACTGGCGCGCCATGAGCAAGTCGCGCTCGCGTTCGCGTGCGCCCGACATGATGGACTGGCGCGCTCAGTCCCGCTCGAGGTCGCGCGCGCCCGACTTCCGGGTCTCGGTCGCGCCACCCGCCATCGACGCGACGCCCGCGACGGCCAACTTCTCGCGCTTCTTCAACGACTCGGGCCTGCCGTCGCCCGTGCGCGAGGTCCCGAGCGAGGCGCCGAGCCCGAGCGAGATGCCGCCGCCGCCGGTCCCGACATCCGCCTCGTCGGCCTACCACGTGCCGCCCACCTCGACAGCCCCGGCGCCGCTCGTCATCCCGACCCTGCACGACAACTCTGCCGAGCTCGCCGAGCTCGCGACGTCGCTCGGCCTCTCGCCGCAGGACCAGGCGCAGCTCTTCGGCTCGGCGTCGGCGCGCCTCGACGGGCACAGCCTGCTCGACCTGCCGTCGCCAGGCGGCATGGCGTCGCCCCTTCCCCTCCACTCGGGCCTCAGCTCGTCCCTCCACTCGTCCCTCACGTCGCCCGTCGCCACCTCGCCCGCCCAGGCGTTCGCGTTCGGCGCGCAGAGCCCAGACGGCACCGGGCCCGACCCGAACCTCGCCGCCATCGAGAGCACGCTCAACCAGCTCATCAGCCTCCAGTCGATCGCGTCGCCCACGTCGTCGTCGTACGCGTCGACGCCGGCCCAGGCCAAGTCGCCGCTCTCGACGTCGTACCCGGCCAACTCGTCGAGCAGCGGCGAGCAGACGCCGCACTCGTCGGCCCACCACAGCCGACAGGCGAGCGCGTCGTCCAGTACCACCAACGTCGCCGCCAAGGGCTCGCAGGCTCAGCAGCACCTGCAGCAGTTCATCTCGGTGCGTCGCCGCTCTCTCGCCTAGCCTCTCCTCTCCTCTCCTCTCCTCTCCTCTCCTCTCCTCTCCTCTCCTCTCCTCTCCTCTCCACGTGCACCCTATTGACATTCCTCGACACTCGCAGGGCCGCAAGGGTACCAGCTCGACGGGCCTGTCAAGCTCGGCGTCGTCGTCGCGCCGCGTGTCGTCGTCGTCGAGCCCGTACCTCAACGCGACGACGCTCGCCCAGCCCTCTCGGCCCTTCTCGTTCGGCGCCGCCGCGAGCGTCGCAGCTGCAGCTGCGTCGAGTACGTCGTCGTCGTCGGCGTCGGGCCTGAGCCTCGCTCGTCCTTCCCGCACCGGGTCGTCGAGCGGCTCGCAGCCGCAGACGCCCTACGCCGAGCACTCGACGGCCCCCTTCTTCTCGGGCTCGGCGCCGGCTCAGCCCTCGGCCCTCGTCGGGTCGCCCAACCCGCCCCTGTTCGGCTCGAGCACCGACACGACCCACCTCCTGTACGACTACTTCCACGCCCAGAACAACCCGAGCCCGTACATGCCGTCGCCGTACCTCGGCCAGCAGCCGCTCGAGACGTTCGGCTCGGCGCCGACGAGCGTCGACCCGTCGCAGCTGCTCAACCACAGCGCCGTCGGGTCGCCGTACGGCTCGCCCGGCTCATCGGCGTGGGGCATCAGCCCGCGCTCGCTCGAGTCGCCCGCCAACGGCGCCCTGTCGGCCTCGCCCGACAACCACAAGGGCCCGACGGGCAGGTCGAGGCGTCCGGGCGCCGCGCGCGCCAACAGCGCCGGGTCGGTCCAGACGAGCAAGTCGGCGCCAGTCACGCGCGTCCACTCGCGGTCCAACACGATCTCGCTACCGTCGACGATCGAGGAGGGCAAGCCCCTGCACGTCGCGCCCGCCGTCGGCGGCGGGCAGGACGAGGACGACGCGGCCGACCTCGCAGTCGACGGCGGCGCAGCGCCGCCTCCTCCGGCATCGTCGTCGTCGACCAAGGGCCTCGCCGCCGGCGCCAAGAAGGTCGAGGCCGACGGCAGCCCGACGAGGTGCCTCAACTGCGGGACGACCAACACGCCGCTGTGGCGCCGCGACGGCGAGGGTCGGCCTCTGTGCAACGCCTGCGGCCTGTTCCGCAACCTGCACGGCGTCGACCGACCGGCCAACCTCAACACGGGCGTCATCAAGAAGCGCAACCGCAACCGCGGCCCCAAGGACCCGAACGCGTCGGGCAAGAAGGCGGGCGGTCGAGCCGCCGCGAGGAGGAACAGCGCGGCCAACAGCGAGGGCGGCGCGGCGGGAGCAGGAGGAGCTGCGGGCGCGTCCTCGTCGCACAGTCGCAAGGAGCGGGCAGGCGCCAACGCGCCGTACCCGAACGCGGCGGCCAGGGCGGCGCAGCAGGAGGAGTGAGCGGCACCCGGCGCGCTCTCGACGGGGCCGTGCGCGAGGACACTAGACGAGCCTCTCTGCCTCCCTCTCGCGCCGGCCGGATACCGTCCCCGTCTTTCCCTCTCTATCTCTCCCCCCCACCGCAGCAGCTCGCATAGACCTCCTCCCTCTTCCTCTCGCTCTCGTCGTGTCGTCCCTGGTTGTACCTGCCCTCCTCTTGTCTGTCCTGTCCCTGCCGTCGCTCTCGCATCACCTACAGCCTAGTCAAGTGCAATATTTCTCTCATTCTCATTCGACTGCTCGTGCCCGTCGAGAAGAGAAAGAGCTCTTGGTTGACGGTCAACGGCTCTCGAGGAGGAGCCGTTCTCGCACGCTCGCACGGGACAGCAGGACATGCAGGGTACGTAGGGCTACAACAGACGAGAGAGGTACTGCGAGAGAAAGAAGCGTGCCCGCCGCCCTCAGGCCTTCTGCTTGCCCTTGGCCTTGGCCGCTTTGGCCTTGCCGTCGCCTCCTGCGCCCGAGCCCGACCCGCCGCCAACTGCCGCCCCGCCGCCTCCTCCACCTGGGAGCGTCAGGCCGCCGCTCGTGCCCGCCGGACCCTTCTTGGTCGCCGCTGCGCCCGCTGCGAGGGCCGCGCCGCTCGAGCCGTTGACGATGCCGACGCCGGCGGCAACGTCGGCCTTGGCGGCGGCGATGTCGTCCTCGTCGGCGTACTCGTCGAACGTGTTGTCGAAGCCTCGACGGGCGCGCGTGATCTCCTCCTGCATGAAGAGGAGCTCGTCGAGGCGGGCGAGCTTCTTGGGGTCGCGGCGCAGGGCGAAGCGGAAGTCCTCGACCTTGACCTTGCCACGGTTGGTCGAAATCATGTGCGCTTGCTGGCACTGCGGCGGGTACGACAGAGTCAGCTTGCGCAGGCGAGGGTGCGAGGGAGAGAGAGCGGGGCGCACAAGGTCCGAGATGTGCTCGACGACGAGCTCCTCCATGAGGGCGATCGTGTCGGGTGCCGGGTTGTCGTCGCCGAAGCCGTACATCATGGCGCCCACTGTCGCAAGGGGGGCAGGGGCGAGTAAGCGGGTGAGAGGACGGCGGGGGAGATGAAGAGGGCGAGACGCACAGTCCTTGGCAAACAGGCCCTTTTTGGCCACCTTGCGCTGGGTGGGAGCTTTTGGTGGTGGCTGAGGTGCCGACATGGCTGCGCTCGACCCTGCCCAGGTGGGTGTGAGTTGAGGAGGCGATGAGAGAGAGAGGCCGCGAGAGGTTCATGCTCGTCTCGTCGCCGCACTCGCTTGCTGAGCTCTGATGGGACGAGTCGAGCAGCGCTACATCTCGGCTGCAGCCTCGCGCAACCACGCCTCGGCCGCCCGCCCTCAAGACGGCCTCGTCGCCTTCGCCAGCGGCCATCTCGTCGCCCTCTGGCAATCCGCCGTCCGTCCTCTCTCTCCCTCTCTTGCCTGCCTGAGCCGAGCTGAACACCTCCACACGCACCAGGACGAGCGATCTGCCGGGGTCACGCGCACGCTCGCAGGACACGGTGCCGACGTCGCCTCGCTCGCCTTTGCCCAGTCGGCTCAAGCCAGCGACTGCTTCGTGTCGGGCGACGCAAAGGGCGACGTGCGCATCTGGACTCAGCTCGATCGACAGGTGCGCCCACGTCCTCGCACTCTCGGAGCCGGCGAGGGCAAGCTCACGTCGTCCTCCTCGTCTGCCTCCCTTTCCCTCGCGCAGTGGACGACCCTCGCCGTTCTTCCCGCAGCGCACTCTGGCTCGGTGTCTGCTGTCGAGGCGGTCGAGATCCTGCGCGATGGCGGCGAGAAGGAGTACCTCGTCCTGACCGGCGGGTCGGACGGCGTCGTCAAGGTTTGGACCGTGTCGCTCGAGGGCAAAGGTGCACCCACTCTCACTCTCTCTACGTCCTTTTACCGTCGTAAGTTACTGACACTGCCGGCCCACAGCTTCTCTTGCGCAGACGATCTCGCTCAAGGGCAAGATTCCGCTCGCGCTCGCCTTGACCAACCTGCCGTCCTCGTCAAGTGCGTCCCTTTACCTTATACCTCGCAACGAGGGCATCATCTCTGACTCGAGTGTTGCTCCCATAGGCTTTCTTCTCGCTGTCGGCGGAACCGAGGCCCGCGTGCAGCTGTACACGAGCTCTCAGCAAAACCTCGAGGTACGCTCACTCTCCCTCGGTCGCAGTCCAAGACACGCCTGACCGGCCGCCCGTCACAGTTCCGCAAGTCGCTGTCGCTCGAGGGCCACGCCGACTGGGTCCGCTGCCTGTCGTTCACCACGCCGATCCCGCCCTCTGCCGACTCGACCGCGTCCACGTCGACCGCGTACGACATCGCGCCCGGCGAGGTCCTCCTCGCGTCGGGCTCGCAGGACAACTACATCCGCCTGTGGCGCATCAGCCGTCGGAGCACGACCGTCGCCGAGAGCGCACCCGCACACGCCGCCGCCGCGTCCGGGCTTGACGCCCTCGAGGAGGCGCTCGCCGCCGTCGATGACGGCGAGCTGCGCGTCAAGGCGCACGACTTTACCGTCGCAGGCGACGGCGAGTTCAGCTGCGCGAGCGAGGCCGTTCTGCTCGGGCACGACGCCTGGGTCACGGCGCTCAACTGGGCGCCCTCGTCCACGTCATCCACCTCGTCGCTCCGCCTCCTGTCCGCCTCGGCCGACCGCTCCCTCATCCTGTGGAACCCCGTCGCTTCTGGGCCTTCCCTATCCTCTTCTACCGCCGCACCCACACCCGCACCCGCTCCCTCGACCTCGAGCTCGAGCCCGTCCATCTGGTCCTCGACCCATCGCTTCGGCGAGTTCACCTCGTCGACCAACCTCGGCTTCTTCGGCGCCCTGTGGGGGCTCGACGCGCGCACGGTGCTCGCGAGCGGGTGGGGCGGCAGCTGGCACGTGTGGAGGTGCGGCGGCGCCGGCGGCGGTTCGGCGGGAGCGGGTCAGGAGGACGAGGAAGGCGACGACGGCGAGTGGGTGCCGCAGGTGGCGGTCAGTGGGCATCATGGGAGCGTCAAGCAGGTCGTCTGGGAGGGCGAGGGCCAATACTTGCTCAGCGCGAGGTGCGTCCGGCTCTCGAGCTCGTCGTCGTCCGTCCCCCTCTCACGATGAGCACTTCCTGACCGACTTTGTCGACGCGTACAGCTCCGACATGTCTGCTCGGCTACATGCACCTTGGCGGCGACAGATCAAGAACGAGCCTGTCGAGACTTGGCACGGTGCGTCCCGCACGGACCTCTCCTCCTCTCCTCTCCCCTCGCCCGATTGACTGACACTCCGACACCCTGCAGAGCTCGGTCGGCCGCAGATCCACGGCTATCCGCTCGCCTCGGTCGCCTTCACGTCGCCCAACAAGCGCCTGCAGTTCGTGAGCGGCGCCGACGAGAAGATTGTGCGCGTGTTCGACGCGCCGAAAACGTGGGTCCAGACGTTGCGGGCGCTCTCGGGCGTCGACGTCGGTGACGAGGTGCGCTCTCTTTCTCTGTGTCAGTCGCACAGAAGCCGTACTGACTCGGCGCCTTGTCGCAGGAGTCGCGGCCGATGGCGGCCAACGTACCACCGCTCGGGCTCTCGAACCGGGCGATCGCCAGTGCGTCCCCTCCTCCTCTCTCTCCTCCTCGAGCATACTCTCGAGCCAGTCTGACTCGCTCTGCAGCCCCAGCCGAGGCCGACAACCTCGCTCCCGCCTCGAACGACCCGTTCGACGCCGTCACGCCCGTCAACTTTACCGTGTCCGAGCAACCGCCACTCGAGGAGCAACTTCTCGGCTCGCTGCTGTGGCCCGAGGTGCGTCGCTCTCGTACATCTTGGCGCCCAGGTGTCCATCAGGCGGTCACTGACAGATCCTCTTCGCCCCGCCCCCTCGTCTGCAGGTCGAGAAGCTCTACGGCCACGCCTTCGAGCTCGTCGCCGTCGCATCTGCCCACTCGGCGCCGCTCATAGCGACCGCCTGCAAGGCGACAGCACCCGAGCACGCCGTCGTGCGCCTGTACAACACCGACTCGTGGCAGCCCGTCGGGACCGTTCTCGACGGCCATTCCCTCACCATCACCAAGCTTGTCTTCAGCCCGAGCTCGACCGGCGACAAGAGCGAGGTCGACAGGTGGCTGTTGAGCGTGAGCAGGGACCGGTCGTGGCGGCTGTACGAGCGAGGTGAGGGCGAGGGTCAAGGTGCGCTTTCTCTCTCTCTGGGTCTCTCTCTCTCTCCGACGACTTCCTCGTTCATCGCCCTGACTCGATTCATCCAGCAGGCGAGTACCGGCCGTGCGCAGCCGTCAAGTCGCACGCCCGCATCATCTGGGACGCGGCATGGGCGAGCGACGCGAGCTTCTTTGCGACCGCCTCGAGGGACAAGACGGTGCGTCCTGCTCCCGTCCTGGACCTGTTCATCGTCAAGAAACTGACTCGGATCCCTCTGCAGGTCAAGGTCTGGGCGCAGGAGGGCGCGAGCTGGACGAGCGTCGCGACGCTCAAGTTCGAGGACGCGTGCACCTCGGTCGCGGCGAGCTTTGACGAGGACAAGCGGTCCGTCCTGCCTCTCACCCTCGTCTGTCGCACCTCGTTCGGCTTCATTGACGATTCGCCTCGCAGGATGCACGTCCTCGCCGTCGGCCTCGAGAGCGGCGAGATCCACCTCTTCACCGCCACGCCCGACTCGCTCTCGAGCTGGACGCCGCTCGCCAAGCTCACCTCGAGGTGCGTCCCATCTCTCTCATTCCGTCCACTGCAGCGTAGTCCTGACGGCCCTGTACCTGCAGCGTCGCCCACGTCCTCGCAGTCACCACGCTCGCCTTCTGCCCTCGCCGCCCTTCCTCCTCGATGCTGCGACTCGCGAGCGGGTCAGACGACCACTCGGTCCGCATCTTCGACGTCGAGCTGTAGCTATGAAGATCTGCAAGCCGATGAATGAGCGTCGTCCGCGAAGTGCGAGAGCTTTTGCGAGTCAAACGAGGAGAGATGTGAGAGGAGCTCTTCCTGCCGGCTCATCCTCTCTCGAGCTCTCTCTGTCAGTGTGTCCGAGAGAGTGTTCGAGCGCGTCTCGGGTCGGAGAAAGCGCGCCGGCGCCTGTTGGCAAAGCCGACCTTGTCGACCTTCTCAACTTGCTCCGCAAGCTCACGCGCGCTTTCCCTTCTCACTTCTCGATTCGACAGAGTCTCGCGCAGCATTGAGAGGGTCCGATACAGACCAATGAAGCCAGAGTCGAGCCGAACTCTGCACTCTCGCCCGGCTCGCCGCTCGTGCCTGCGACGCTCAGGCCACCTTCCGCAGCTTGAGAAGGTCGACAAGCCTCCTGCCGCCGCCGACGAGTGCTCTACGGCGAGTCTTTCTGCGACCTTCACATTGCGCGTTCATGCTCTCTGCCTGGCCGCCTCGCAGCAGAGAGAACAGCTGTCGAGAAGCCACGCGAGGACGTGGCAAGAGCGAGCAAGCCGGCGTCGACGAACGAGGTGGAAATGGCAGTACGGCAGACATACGGGAAGGGGGGGTGGGGGAGGGAGTAGTACACAGAGATAGAGAGTGGACGAAAGACAGTAGAGGCGAAACTAGATCGAGAGTGAGCGCATGAAGGACGACCCTGCCCCGGTCGGTCGCAAGCTCGACCTTCCCCTCTCGCCGCCGGCTCTGCCGAACACGCCCGGGTCGATACCCTTGCGCGGGTCGTAGACGAGCCGCTTCGGCTTCTTGAAGGTCCAGCCGGCAAACGCGAGCTCCTTGCGCAGCTTGAGGAGGTCCTCGCCGTGCTCGGGGTGCTTGAGGAGCGGGTCGCGCGTCGTGGCGGGAGCGGGGACGCCGGGGGCGATCTCGGGAGGCGGAAGAGGTTCGTCGGCGATGTCGTCGTCGAAGTACTTGGTCGAGGCCGGGTCGCCGTTGAGCTGTGGGACGAACGGCGGCGTCTTAAGGTGCAGGGTCGAAAAGTCGAGCCCGCGCAGCCACGGGTGGTTGAGCAGCTCGTCGACGCCGTCGTTGGCGGGACCAGTCGGCTCTGCTACTGCGCCGGCGAGGAAGCCCGAGCGCTGCTGGACCATGACCGAGTTGGGGCGCCGGCCGCCGGCGCCAGACGTGCGCGAGCCGAGGCGCTCTTCCGGCTCGCAGATGAGGCGCGAGAGGAAGTCGACGGCCTCTCGAGAGACTCGAGGCTTGGCGGGGAAGCGCAACGACTTGCGCCACGACAGGATCTGCGAGAGGAAACGAGTTGGCCTCGTACGAGGAAGGGCGGTACGAGGGAGAGGGGGCGCACCTTGTTGCGCGTTTCCTGGCGAGATTTGCTGACGAACGGCGGGTAGCCAAAGAGCATCTCGAAGGCGATGATGCCGAGTCTGCGGGCAGAGACCGAGTCAACTCAGTCACAAAGAGAGAGGAAGGGGAGGTGGTGAGGAAGGGAAAAAGGAGACTCACGACCACCAATCTGACGCGACGCCGTAGCCTTGAGCGCGAACGACCTCGGGCGCCATGTAGTTGGTCGTGCGTGCGAGCGGGCAAGGAGGGAAAGAGTCAGGACATGAACGGCGAGACGCAGAAGAAGAGAGGACTCATCCACGACCGAGTAGGCCTGCTGCCGCCTGCCGAGGTCGCGCCAGATCAGGACCGAGCCCGGCGGCCCCTCCTCGCCCGGCTGCTCCGAGCGAGGCGGGTCGAAGCTCCTCCGGCTCGCAGTCGGGTCGACTCGGCCCGAGTCCTCGAGGTCGTAGCGCCAGAGGAGCTCGCGCCGGTGCTGGTCGTAGTACGAGCCGTCATGCGACCACTTGAAGTCCTGGGCGAGGCCAAAGTCGGACAGGCAGAGGTGACCGTCGGCGCCCAAGAGGAAGTTGTCGGGCTTGATGTCGCGATGAATGGCGCCGAGCGACTCGTGAGTCTCGTGCAGGGCAAGGACCATCTCGGCGACGTAGAACCTTGCCATCGACTCATCGACTCGGGGAAGACGTCCTTCTCGATCAACAGGCTCAGAAGGTCGCCGCCCGCCATGTAGTCCATCGCCAAGTACAGGTGGTCGGCGTCCTGGAACGAGTCTGCGCGCATGGACGAGATCGTCAGGGCTCTCGCTCGGCGACGCAGAGCGATAGAGAGAGAGAGAGAGAATCGGACGTACAGTGAAGCTTGACGGTCCAACGCGTGCTCGTCGACGCCGTCGCGTGAAGGTCACGCTCGGCCCGAATATGGCCCTCCTGGCCTGAGGGCGGCGCGAGAGGACGTGTACAGGGACAGGCAGAGATCGAGAGGTGGACGAAGGACGAGGAGGGAGAGGAGAGAGCGGTAGGGAGGAAGTTGGGCGGGAGCAAGACTTAGTCGCGTTCGCCGATGAGGAGGAAGAGGGGCGCGTGCGCACCCTTCTTGAGCATGTCGGCCTTGCGGATCTGCTTGAGGGCGTAAAGCCTGCGACGAGGAGATTCGAGTCAGTCGAGGCAGAGGTACACGCGATGCCGTCGTCGAGGACGACCGGCTCGACCGCGACTTGAGAAGGTCGATTTGGACGCACTCGCCCGTCCCGCGCTCCCTCACCAGGCTGACGACGCCGAACGCGCCGTGACCGATCGTCTTCAACTTGACAAAGGAGGCGACGCCGACTCGCCGGCGCGTCTCGCGCAGGGCCTCGCTCTCGCTCAGGATCCACGCGTCGCGCACTCGCACGCGCTCGGCGTCCGACAGGTGCAGGCGGGCGAGCTCGCGCTCGATGAGCGCCTTGCGCGCCTCGCGAGTCGGCTTCTCCTTGAGGAGGGCGTGGTACTTGACCTCGAGGAACGTCTTGCAGGCCACGGCGCGCTCGATGGTGGCGAGCGACGGGACAAAGTCGGGGCGCGAGAGCGGGTCGATGTCGTTGCCGTAGGCAGAAGGCGAGGCGACGGGCGGGAGCTGGTCGAACGAGAAGGGCGCGCCGGGTCGAGCACTCGCGTCGGGCTTGAAGCGGACAGTGGCCTGGAAGGACGCCGGCGCTTGCTCGGCGACAGGGCTGACGGGAGTCGAGCGTGCCACGATCGAGGCACAGGACGGGTTCTCGTGCAGGGGCATGAAGGGCGACGGCGATACGACGGCTGGGCCGACGCCGTGGTCGTCCTCGACGGCGACGTCGCTCGAGAAGCTCAGGTCGCGCTCGCCGGCGGTGCGGCTCGACGTCGCGCTACTCGTCGCCGACTCTGGAAGACCGTTCACGACCTTGAGCGGCCGAGGAGGAGCGTCGCGAGCGTAGTAGGCCTCGGCGACGCCGACCGCCCGGTGCGAGGCACGGACCGCGTCCTTGATCGGCTTGACCCAAGACGAGTCTGCGGGCAGCGACTGAGTGTGAGCGTCACACGCTTGATAAAAGACATCTGGGTAGACGCGAGGGGAAAGGACGGGGAAAGAGAAAGAGAGACGCACCTCCAACTTTGCCCTGCCCGTCTCTCTGCCACCGCCCGAGGAGCGCCGCCGCCTGGTCGGCGTCCGAGGCGTGTACCGTGTGCCTGTAGAGGGAGAGAGTGTCAGGCACGTCCATTGGGGCGAAATAGTGAGCCTTGAACGCACGCAAAGTCCCTCGGCCGGCTGATCATGTCGACGCTGACCCGCTTCTTCTGCCTCGCAGTGCGCGCAGGGCCCGCCGCCGCACCCATCTCGCGCGCGAACGGGTTTTGAACGACCATGGCGGGTGTCGAGGGCGTGCCCGCGCCGTTCATGACGCCGATCTCGAGCCTCGAGGGGCTGTAGAAGCGCGACCCGGTCGCGGCGAGGAGGTCCCAGAAGCCACCGTGAACGAGGATGCCGGACGACGAGGGTAGGGGAAGGATCGAGGTCGGCATGGCGGGAGGAGAGGGGACGTGGGGACGAGGTGCGGGAGCTGGCGCGAGAGGGTCGCTCGAGACGGCGACGGTCGAGCGGGCGGGCGTGGTCGGCAAGGGACGCGGTCCTCGCAGGCCTCCTCCCACTCGCGGCGGCGGTCTCTGCGCGGCCGTTCTGCCGACGAAGAAGGTCGAGCCGCGAGGCGGGGCGATGTACGAGATGGGCGAGGTGCCGCGGCGCGAGGTGGGGAGGACGGCGGCAGCGGTGCGGCTACCGTGTCGGGTTGGTGCTGCATCGTGCACTGCTCTCGAGAGCAAAGAGCTCGAGAACGGGGCTGGTGAGGACGAGGTGGACGAGGGCGTGTGCGACAAAGGGCCGAGGGCGCGAGCGGGAGGGCGAGTCGATGGCGAGGTCGTTGGCGAGTCGAGCAGTGGGCCGGGGCAGCAGGCGAGTAGTGCTCGTGTCGCGAGGGCGAATGGGAGAGCCACGAGCTGGAGCTGAAGAGCAACGAAGTGGTCGACAGCTCGGCGAGCAGCGCGGGGAGGGGGGACCCGGCTGAGCCGCGACCGAGGTGCGTGTGCAGCGTCCGAGTGACGCGCTGGCGAGAGCTGAGCGTGTTGGTAGCTCTGCGAGGAGCCGAGCCGATGAGAGAGGGACGGCTTCGAGGAGCGGGCGCACGTCGCACTCTCGCTCTCGGCCGGGTCGGCCACAGCTGGCACTGATCAAGCATCGTTGCTGCGCACCCTGCAAGCCCATCGTCGCCCCCATCCGAGTCCTCCTCGCACGCCTTAGGCGTCGACCGCCATCGCCTCTCCCTCTCCCGCCTCGACCTCCGACGCACCCGCCGTCGTCCTGCGAGCACGCGCCGCCGACCTCTGCTCCGCCGCCTCCTGCTCGTCGTCGGACGACTCGGGCTCGTCGAGGAGGCCCTCAGCACGCAGCCGCTCGAGCTCCTCAAGCGCGAGCTCCCTCGCGATGTCGCGGCGAGTCGCGCAGTCGCACACGGTCGGGAAGAAGCCGGGATCTGCAACGAGAGGTCGGTGAGCTTCGGGCCACAGAGAGAGGCGACGAGAGGAAAAGAGGGGACGCACTCGCGTCGAGGTAGGCGAGGGCGTCGGCGCTCGAGAGGCGCTTGGCCGTCTTGGGGTTGCCCGACTCGACCGTGCTGAGGACCATGCCGTGCGCGACGACCGAGGTACGGGTCAGGCGCTGGATGAGCTCGCCCGTGCGGTGGTCGATGCGCGGCTCGAGGACCGCCGACACGTGCGACACGTCGTGGCAGCCGCCGGCCTGGGCGTGCTCGAGCAGGTTCCGGACGGCGTCGACCTTGATCGTCGTGGGGCTGATCCACCGAGCGAGCCAAGGAGCGACGCAGTGGTCGAACACGCGCTGCACGGCGCCCGGGTCGAAGCGCGAGTCGAGGTACACCGCGCCGAAGAGCGACTCGGTGAGGTCGGCGACGGCCTTGGGCGGATCGAGCGCCAGCCAGTAAGGGCGCATCGGGCGCTGCTCGGCGACGGCGGCGACGAGCTCCTGGTCGTGGGCGAGGACGATACGCTCGCGGTACAGGCGCATGTTGAGGGCGAGGCCGTCGCTCGAGTGGGCGAGGAACTTGTCGAGGTCGAGCTCGATGGCGAGAGCGGCGAGCGTCTCGTTCGACACACAGGCGCCCTGCGACACAGAGAATGAGTCAGGACGTTGATCTCGAGAGTGGACCCAGGCGAGGGAAGCACCTTGAGCTCCGTGAGGTGACCCTCGCTCAGCTCGCCGCCCCACTTTTTCCAGCACTGGCGGAGGACGCAGAAGTCGAGAACCTGCACGACGCAAGTGTGAGTGACGGAACGTGCGACAGAGAGGGAGAGAAGGACGCACCGAGTCGCCGAGCCTGCGAGAGGGACGAGAGAGAGTCAGTGAGAGGCTCGACTTGAGGAGGTCGACGAGAGGAGAGCGGGACGCACCACTCGCAGCGCTCGAACGATACCGAGTCGAGCTTGGACGGGTGCGTGAGCGCCTCGGTGACGAGCGACGCGTGCTTGAACTTGTAGCCGAGAGCCGCCTCGACCGCCTTGAGCGCGCCGACGACGGGCGCCTCCTCGCCGGGCGGGCCGTACAGGCGCGCAAAGTCGTCCCAGACCGTGACGTTGCCGAGTTCGAGGCCTGCGTACGAGCGAGAGTCAGTCTGAAGGACGCTGAGAGGGCCAGGACAGGTCAAGGGGCGGATGGACCGAGCGCCTTGGCGACCTCGAGCGCAAGGTCGAAGCCCTTGTGGATCCCGCCGCCGTCGAGCGCCTCGTAGCCCGTCTCCATGCCCGCGCCGAGCAGTGCTTCGACGCAGTCGGCGATCGTCTTGTCGCCGATGACGGCCGAGGTAGGCGGAGCTGGGCCGGGCGAGAGCTGGAGGATGTTGGGCGGGAGGAACTGGCGCGAGGTGAACGGGCGCGAGGCGAGGTACGCCGGCAGGTTGGTCGCCTTGCCCTGCGCACGTACGAGAAGAATAAGAGTCCGTCGACAGAGCGAGAGAGCGGCGAGAGTGGGACGCACCGAGTCGGCCAAACGCGAGTTGTTGATCTGCTCGAGGCGGGCCCGATGGAGCGTGCCCTCGTGCGTCGTGCGGTCGTGCGTGACGAAGCAGGCCGTCGACGCCATGTACTTGAGGAACGCGTCGCCGAGGAGCTCGAGTCTGGAAAGATGTGATCCGCTGTCAGGGAGGGGAGGTTCGAGCGCGAGGGGCATAGAGGGGCAGGGACGCACCGGTTGTAGTCGAGCCCGATGCTCGCCGACGGGGTCATGAGCGCCGTGCGGACGAGCTCGTGATCGAGCTTGGCCTCGAATAGGCGCTCGTTGAGCTCGACGACCAGGCACCGCTGCTCGAGGTCGTGGACGATGGACGGGAGCATGTAGGCGGCTGCGGGTCGAGCGAGACGGTCAGTCGGCCCCTCGACAGCGCCGCATCGACGAGCGTGGACGTACTGCGAAAGATGGACGCCGGGAGGAAGTGCACGAGCGCGATTTGCGGGATGGCGAACCGGGTCGTCGACTGCGGGATCTCGGCGAGGTCAGAGGTCCCTCCCTCTCTCGTTCGACGAGCGAGAGTGGACGCACGTGAAGCAGCTTCTTGATCGTCGGCTGAACGTCGTTGCGGGGCGTTCGCGTGAGGTGCGTCACCGTCTTGGGCATCTGTGAGCGGCGCGAGCGACGGTGAGTCGCAAAGATCGGCGGGAACGGGCAGAGCGAACGACGACGACGCACGCGGCTGACCTCGAGCAGCGGCTGCTCGTCCTTGATCTTGACCGTGTGGAACTGTGAGGAGGCGGCGCGTCAGGGTCGACTGGGCGGGCTCGGGTGAGAGAGGGAGGGAGAGAGGTCGAGACGCACGAAGCCCTCGTCGAACGACAGGTAGCTGCGGACGGGTCAAGTGCTCGTCAATGGAGTACCGTTGGGCGTCGACAGGAGAGAGAGAGAAGGAGGGACGCACTAGTCCATGAGCGTCGCAAAGCCCGCCGCGCTCTGACGACCCGGCGGCAGCTTGCTGTTGGGCCCGAGGTCGTCCCGCACGCGCTCGAAGAAGTATCGACAGCCCTTCTTACCCTGGTCCACGATGACCGAGTCGTCGAGGCGGTCAAGAGCCGACGGGTCGACCGGCTCCTCCCTCGCACGGACCGCGCTCCATCGCCGCCCAGTCGAGGTCGCCCGAGTCGACGCCGGTCGCCTTGAGGTTGACGCCGTCGCGCAGGACGCCGACAAAGTAGACGAGGTCGAGCTCCTTGCGCGTCTCCTTGCCGTCGACCTCCTCGCGGGCGACGCGCAGGACCTTGTTGAGGATCGCCTGCCAGAGCTGGAGGGTGTAGCCCGTGAGCGCCTTGCGCTGCTCGACCGTCACGTCGATGGCGCCGATAGCGGTCGAGTAGACGAGGAGCGCCTCGCCGGCGACGAACATGGTCATGGGCGGGACGACGGGGAGGCGATTGCGCGTGAGGAGGACGACGGGGCGGTACCGCTGGCCGGCGTGGACGGCCTCGCCTTGGTCGCCGCCAAAGTGGAGGAGGGACGCATGGAGCGTCGTGACGTCGGCGCACGGCTCAACGGGCAGGAACGAATCGGCGAGCTTGTGCTCGTACTCGACCTGGCGCTTCTTGGGCGCGACGACGACGCCGGTGACGACGTCGACGACGTCGTCCGGCGGGAGAAACCGAGGCGGGAGGAGGTGCTCGTCGAGGCAGCCCGAGTTGCGCAGGACGACGCACGCCGTGTACGCCGCCTGGCGCTTGGCGAGCTTGGGCGTCTCGCGCAGCCCGCCCGTGACGACGCGCACCTTGCTCGCGCTCGGGAGCTGTACGGTGCAGCTGAACTGGCGGGCGCCGTACTCGTTGCGGCCGTAGTCGTTGACGGTGTAGCGCGGCTTGTGGAGCGAGAACTCGTCCGACTTGGGGAGCGAGCCGCAGTACCGGACGAGGAGCGACAGGGCAAAGTGCGGCGTGAGGAGCGCGCCCGTCGTCGGCTCCTCGATGTAGACGCTCGTCTCGTCGGCGCGGCCGAAAAGGTCGTCGCCGTCTTGGTCCTCGGCCTCGTAGATCTCGCGCGACAGGAGCCCGGCGACCTCCTTGTCGAACAGGGCGATGCGCAACAGCTTGCGCTTGTGCTCGACGTTGCCGCGCTCGAGGAAGACGAGGTAGTGCGAGCCCGACGCCCTGGCTCGGCCTCGGCTCTGGACGTACGAGATGTGCGTGTCGTACAGGTCGAACCGGACGCAGAAGTTGCACGGCTGGACGTCGAGGCCCTCCTCGACGACGCTCGTCGCGAGAAGCAGGTTGGTGCGGCCCTCGGCGAAGCTTGACAGGACGTCGGCTTGCTCGTGCCACGACATGCGCGGCCCGCTGCGGCGCGAGGTGGGTCAGTAAGTCGTCGCCGGCAACGGCCGAGGGGGAGAGGGACACGGGACGCACAGCGAGTTGCTGGCGGCCGTGCCGTGACCGGTGACGCAGTCGACGTTGATCCACGCGAGGTCCTCGTCGACCTTGGCGAGCTCGCGAATGATCTGGGCGAAGACGAGAGCGTCGAGTCGCCGGTTCTGCAGGCCAAGAGGGCATGAGCTGACAGTCACGACGAGCCGCCGATACAGAGATGCAGAGAGACTGGACGTACGACGAAGATGATGCCGCGGAAGGCTTCTGCGCCGTCCTTGCACGCCTTGAGGACGGCGATGAGCATGCGCAGCTTGGGCGAGAAGCGCTCGACGTCCAGCGTCGGCTTGTGCGCCTCGATGACCCTGCATGCGCACGACCGAGGTCAGTCACGACGCTTCAGAGCACGCACAGAGACGGAGGAGTTGGACGCACTTGAGCCAGTCCGGCAACTCGAGGCTGACCTCCCGCTCGGCCTTCTCCCTCAGCTCCTTCTTCATGCGCGCCTTGTCCCTCCTCCTCTCCTCCTGCTTCTCCTTGGCCCGTCTCGCGCCGTCATCAAGCGGCCCCACCTCCATCTCGAGCCCGAGGAAGGCGTCCTCGACTTCTGACGCCGACCCGTCCGACTCGTGCAGGGGCAGAAGCTTCTGGCGGCAGCGCTCGAGGGCGAGGTGCCAGACGAGGTCGGCGGCGTCAGGACCGTAGTCGTTGAGCCTGTATCGCAGAGAGAGAGGGAGAGAGAGGCAGAGTCAATAGTCGGCTCCTTGGGCGAGGGGGCGAAAGGGCAGGACGCACATCGTCTTGGCGCCGGCGTAGTAGCGGTCGAACGTCTCGTCGCGCACGATGATCTTGGACACGACCTGGTCGAACAGCTCGGTGCGGGCGTACGTCGGCGGAGCGTCGTACTCGATCTGGAGGACGGTGGGCACGGACGCCATGGCGCGCAACTCGGCCTGCGTCTCGGGTGGCGCCGTCACGAGCTTGGCGTCGAGGAGCTTCTCGAGCGTCTTGGCCTCGTCGATGCCGGCGTTGCCGTTGAGGGGCGACGCCGTCAGGCCGAGGATGCGCGGGCGCTTGTGCTTGGGCGCGCGGTGGTAGAAGTCACGCAGGATGCTCGCGAACGGGTGGTTGGCCTTGCTGTGGTGCACCTCGTCGAGGACGAGGAGCGAGATCTGCTCCATCTTGAGGAACCCGTGCGCGAGCGAGTCGAGGATGAGCTGGGCCGTGACGACGAGGCAGCTGCGCGTGGGTGGCTCGAGGTTGGCGACGACGCTCGCAGGCTTCGAGGAGAAGGAGAGGGGACGCACTCGAAGTGCGCAAAGTTCCAGTCCCACTCCTTCTCGCTGCACAGGTTGACGCCGAGCGCGCCAAAGAGCTTGCCGACGCGGAGCTTGGTGCTGCGGGACGAGGCAACGCCGTCAGACTCTGCACACGACGAGGAAAAGGGGAACGGAGGACGCACTTGCGAGCGATGGTGTCGGCCTGCTGGTGGACGAGCGGGACCGAGTTGGTGAGGAAGAACGACAGGCGAGGTGGCTCGCCGGCCTCGCGACGCTGCGCCTCGATGGCGTGGACCCAGTCGATGAGGAGGACCTGAAGGAAGAGGGACGAGTGTCAGTACGTGGACGGCGACAAAGGGAACAGTCGAGGGAGGGAGGGAGACGCACCCCGACGAGCGTCTTGCCGCTGCCCGTCTGCAGGACGGTGACGATGTTGGCCTGCTGAGCGCACTCGAGCAGCGCCTTTTGGTAGCTCGTCGGCACGAGCTTCTCGGCGAGCGCCTTCTTCTCGCGCTCCTCGTCGCCGTCGACGTCGACCTCGCCGTGGCCCTCGCCCGCCGTCGTCTCGCCGCCCGACTCGAGCTTGCCGCCGACGGCACGACCCGTCTTGGGCCGCTTCGGCACCTTGGCCTGCTGGACGTCCTCCCAGTCGTCGCTCTGCTCGTCCGACAGGTAGTCGAACAGCTGCGGCGCGCGCTTGAACTTCTTGGGCTTGCGCTTCTTGCCGGCGAGGATGATGGCCGCCGAGCGCAGGTCGGGCTTGGGGACGGCGCCGACGGGCAAGGAGAGCGCCTTGGCGAGTGCGTCGACCGAGGTTGAGGGCGCACCGACGGGCGCGGCGCCGGGCATGGGCTCGTCCTCGAACGCGGCGGTGACGGCGACGGCGACGGGCGAGGCGGGCGGCTCGGGCGCGACATCGTCGACGACGGGCTGCTCCTGCTCGACGTCGGGCTGCACCGACTCGACGACGGGTTCGAGCGCACGCGGCGGGGGCGGCGGCGGCAAGGCGCGCGGCGGTGCGGGCGGAAGGTCGAAGGACAAGGGGAAGGACGGCTTGGGCGCCTCGTGGGTCGGCGGAGCGGGAGGGAAGACGAACGCTGACGGGCGCGGGGCGAAGGACGGGAGGGTCCGGTAGTTTGCGAGCGGGTCGGTCGTCGGCGAGCCGCTCTGGCCCGGAGCGGCGCCCGAGGCGATGGTCGACGGGGAGGCGAAAGAGGCTGCTGCCGACGCCGCCGGCGCGATGACGAGGTCGCCATCGTCATCATCGTCCTCGCCGACGAGCGCGGGCGGCACGGCAACAGGCGCCGGCTTGTCCTCGCTCGCGACCGCCTTGCCCGGCTCGTCGTCGTCGTCGTCATCGCCGTCGTCGTCGAGGAGGAGGCGACGCCTCATCTCATCGGCGGCGACCTTCTGCCGCTTGGTGCGCGTCTCGCGGTCGTGCGCCTCGAGGACGTCGGCCGGCCTCGTGCCGAGGACCGAGTCGGGCGCGGGCGCGCCGAGGACCGAGGCGATGCTCGAGTTGAGGGCGTCGCCGCGAGGACGAGTGAAGGCGAGGGCGCTGCCCTGGCCGCGGACGGGTGCGAAGGAGGGGGAGGTCGAAGTGGAGGAGGTCGACTTGGAGGTGGTAGACGAGGAGGAAGGGCCGGCCTTGCTCTTGTTGAACTGGGACGCCTGGCTCGGGAGGCCGCCGGCCTTCTTCTTGCGGCCCTTCTTCTGGCGAGCCGACTTGGTGACCGTGGCCGGCGTCGCGGCGGCGATGGTCGAGGACGAGCCGGGGACGACGATGCGGCCGCGAGTGCCCTCGTCGCCGGCTGGCACGAGCTCCTTGGCATCGCGCTGCGCCTGGCGCTTCTTCTGCTTGGCGGCGGCGGCGACCTGGGGCGGAACCGGCGGCGGGCCGACCTGGGCAGAGGTGAGAGGGCGGGACTGGGTCGTTGTCGTCGTGTCGCGCGGCGGGTGGTTGACGGGGGCCGAGAGGGCCGACTGGACGGGCTGACAGTGCCTCGTGGCACTAGGTGCGCCACCTGGCGGGGGCTGGGGAGCCATGCGTGGCGGTGTGCGGGCCGTGGAGGAGGCGAGAGGAAGCGGGCGGACGGCGAGGAGCGAGCAACGACGGTGTCGCAGAGACCTGGTCTTGCTCTTCTCCAAGCCGAGCTGGCAGCACCTGCGAGCGTGCTACCGCTCGCGTCATGCTGCCACAGTGCATTCGAGAAGATCAAGAGGACGAACCGGCACCACTGGCCGATGAGGTCGTCTCCGCCTTGCCGACCGCTCTCTGCTCTGCTAGCTGCTCGTTCGACCCGCGCAACCGCTCAAGAACATGCCCAGGTACGTCCCACTCCTCTACCGTCCCTCCACCGTCCGATCTGACTCGTCCCCTCGAGCAGACTCGCTTCCGTGTTTGTCGACCTCTCCGGAACGCTACATGTCGGCGATGTGCCGACAGCCGGCGCAGCTGCAGCCATCAAGCGCTTGAGGAGTGCGGGCGTGGTCCTGCGCTTCGTCTCGAACACGTCAAAGGAGTCTCGTCCGTCCTCTTCTTCCTCGACCCCTCCCCCTCGCGCCCGCTGACGGTTCCCTCTGCGTGCACAGGGTCGTCGCTACTCCAGAAGATGCACAAGATGGAGCTGGACGTCCGAGAAGAAGAGGTGCGCCCTCTCTCTCAGCCTCGGCGAGCGCCCCGCAGACAAGCCTGACCCTGTCGCTCGACCGCAGCTGTTCACGTCGCTGTCGGCGGTCCGAGATGTCGTCGTCAAGCGCAACCTCAAGTGAGTCCCTTATGAGCCTCGGCGAAGATCGGAGCAGGTCCCTCATGCGCCCCTTCCTCCCGCAGCCCTCTGTACCTCCTCACCCCCTCCGCTCGATCCGACTTTCCTCCCGCCTCTCCCCCTTTCGACAGCGTCGTCGTCGGCCTCGCGCCGAACGCGTTCGACTACGAGCAGCTCAACGCGGCCTTCCGACTGTTGAGCGGCGAGGAGGGCGGCCGCAAACGAGGCGAGGTGCCGCTCCTCGTCACGCACAAGGCGCGCTTCTTCGGCGACAAGGACGGCAAGCTGAGCCTGGGACCAGGTGCGCACTCTCTCTCTCTGCGTCACCGTCCCGACGAGAAGTGACCCTGTTCCTCGGCGTCCGCAGGACCGTTCATCTCGGCGCTCGAGGAGGCGGCCGGGTGCGAGGCAGAGACCGGTCCGTGTCGCGTTCCCTCTTGCGACCGGCAGAGCGCCCTCCTGACCGCACGCCCGCACCCACCGCAGTCGGCAAACCCTCACACGCCTTCTTTCAGCTCGCGCTCGACTCGCTCGCCTCGCACGGCCTCGAGAACTCGCAGATTGGCATGGTGCGCCCGCCTCGCCCCTCTCTACGTCCTCCACAGACCTCGACTGACTCGCGCTGTCTACAGATCGGCGACGACGCAGTCCAGGACGTCGGGCCAGCCGTCGCGGCGCTCGGTTTCCGCCGATTCCTCGTGCAAACGGGCAAGTACAGGGCGGGCGACGAGGACCGGCTCGAGGGGGACGAGGGCGGCGACGCGCTGAGTGCGACGCCGGCGTGGGTCGGCAAGGACTTTGCGGCGGCAGTCGACGCCGTGCTGGCGGGCGAGCCGTGACGGACTTTGCGAGCGGGAGTACTAGCAACGAGGACCGCTTCGGCGTTGTCGGACGGCGATTGCTGCTGCGGAGAGTCTCGATCGACCGCTCGTTGAGTCGGCCAGTTTCTGCCGGCGCGCCGCCGACATGAGGCTCTGGACGAGTCGGCGGCGGCCGAATCCTCCCCTCTCTCTTCCACCCGCGCAACGACAGCAAGATGGTGCGTCCCGCCTCTCAAGCTCTCACAGAGCGTACACTGACCTGCTGCGCACCCACAGACTGGCCCGCGCACCCTGTACGACAAGGTGCGGCTCCCTCTTCCTCCGCCCCATAGTCCCCCGTCGGCACGAGGCTCACCACAGGCCCGCCCTTGCAGGTCTTCGACAACCATGTCGTCCATGCCGACGACAACGGCTCGACCATCATGTACATCGACCGTGCGTCCTCTCGCTCGAGCCGGAGGGGAGGAGCGCAGGTGGCGGTCGAAGATGAGGGCTCACCTTGCGTCGTTCCCGCCGCGCAGGTCATATCGTGCACGAGGTGACCTCGCCTCAAGCTTTCGAGGGCCTCAGCAAGGCCGGCCGCAAGGTCCGCCGCCTCGACGGTACCCTCGCGACCGTCGACCACAATGTGTGCGTCCCGCTCCCCCCCCGCTGCTCTCCCACCTCTGCGTGCCGAGCTGACAGTCTCCCGTCGTCCGTGCAGCCCGACTTCGAGCCGCAAGAAGTACACCGACTCGTCGAGCTTCATCAAGGAGTGCGTCGACTCGCCGCCCCGACCTCGCCAGCCCGACGAGCTGACCTCTCTCTTCCCCCTCGCAGGGCCGACTCGCGCCTCCAGGTCGTCACGCTCGAGGAGAACGTCAAGAAGTTTGGCGTCAACTTCTTCGGCATGACCGACCGCCGCCAGGGCATCGTCCACGTGCGTCGCCCGTCCTCCCTCTCCCCCACCAGGACACCTCATCTCGGCAGAGCTGACCGCTCTCTTCTCGCCTCCAGGTCATCGGCCCCGAGCAGGGCTTCACGCTCCCGGGTACCACGATCGTCTGCGGCGACTCGCACACGTCGACCCACGGCGCGTTCGGCGCCCTCGCGTTCGGCATCGGTACGTCCGAGGTCGAGCACGTCCTCGCGACGCAGACGATCCTCCAGGCCAAGTCGAAGAACATGCGCGTCCAGATCGACGGCGACCTCGCGCCGGGCGTCACGTCCAAGGACGTCATGCTGCACGTTATCGGCGTGATTGGCACGGCGGGCGGCACGGGCTCGGTCATCGAGTTCTGCGGCACGGCCGTCGAGAAGATGTCGATGGAGGCGCGCATGTCGATGGCCAACATGTCGATCGAGGGCGGTGCGCGTGCGGGCATGTTTGCGCCGGACGACATCACGTTCGAGTACCTCAAGGGCCGCCCGCTTGCGCCCGAGGGCGCCGAGTGGGACCAGGCCGTCGAGTTCTGGCGCAGCCTCAAGACGGACGACGGCGCCCACTTCGACACGGTCGTCGAGATCAAGGCGGCCGACATCCCGCCGACCGTCACCTGGGGCACCTCGCCCGAGGACACGGTCAGCATCACGGGCACGGTCCCGGACCCGGCCAAGGCCGCCAACGACGAGCAGAAGGGCAAGATCGAGCGTGCCCTCGCCTACATGGGCCTCGAGCCCAATCAGAAGATCCAGGACATCCCCGTCACCAACGTGAGCTCCCTCTCTCTCTCTCTCTCTCGTTCCGGTTCCTCGGCCCTCTCGAGCCGCCCGACCTGACTCTCTTTTGCCCCTCTCGTGCAGGTCTTCATCGGCTCGTGCACCAACTCGCGCATCGAGGACCTGCGTGCGGCGGCGTCCATCGCCAAGGGCCGCAAGGTCGCCGAGGGCGTCTACGCCATGGTCGTCCCGGGCTCGGGCCTCGTCAAGCACCAGGCCGAGCAGGAGGGCCTCGACCGCATCTTCACCGAGGCCGGCTTCGACTGGCGCGAGGCCGGCTGCTCGATGTGCCTCGGCATGAACCCGGACATGCTCACGCCCGGCCAGCGCTGCGCGTCGACCTCGAACCGCAACTTCGAGGGTCGCCAGGGCCCGGGCGGCCGCACCCACCTCATGTCGCCCGCCATGGCCGCCGCCGCCGCCATCGCTGGCCACCTCGCCGACGCGCGCAAGTACCAGCAGGACCACCGCGCCGGCGCACCCGTCCCGGCCGTTGAGATCTCGCCCGAGGCCGACCAGGCGCCGACGACGACCCAGCAGACGCCCGACGCGGCCGACGACGGCGTCGTCGAGTCGGCAGCTGCGCCCGAGGTGTCGGCGCCCGTCACGCAGGCCGCTGTGGGCATGCCCAAGTTCGAGATCGTCAAGGGCACGGCGGCGCCGCTCGAGCGCGCCAACATCGACACGGACCTCATCATCCCGGCGCGGTTCCTCAAGACGATCAAGCGCACCGGCCTCGGCGTGTCGCTGTTTGCCTCGCTCCGGTACAACGACGACGGGTCCGAGAAGCCCGAGTTTGTGCTCAACCAGCCGCAGTACCGCGACGCCAAGGTCCTCGTCGTCGCCGGCGGCAACTTTGGCTGCGGCTCGTCGCGCGAGCACGCCCCGTGGGCCCTCCTCGACTTTGGCATCCGCGCCGTCATCGCCTCGTCGTTCGCCGACATGTGCGTCCCCTGCCTCTCCCTCTCTCCTCTCCCCTCCTCAATCGCCCTCTTCTCCAGAGCCTCGAGCTGACTCTTGCCGCCCCCTCGCCATACAGCTTCAACAACAACATGTACAAGAACGGCTCGCTGCCTGTCGTCCTCCCCGAGGAGCAGATTGCCGTCCTCATCGAGGACGCCAAGGCGGGCAAGGACCTCGCCGTCGACCTCCCCAAGCAGGTCGTGCGCCGCGACAACGGCGACGAGTTCAGCTTCGACGTCGACGGCTTCCGGAAACACTGCCTCGTCAACGGCCTCGACGAGATCTCGCTCACGCTCGAGCACGAGGCCGAGATCAAGCAGTACGAGACCAAGCGCTCCCAGGTCTGGCCCTGGCTCGACGGCAAGCAGTACCGCGCCAAGAAGCTCGGTACGCAGAAGTCGGCGCCGACCTCGACCGACTGGTAGTCGGCAGCGCCGACGACGACGAGGCGGTGGAGGAGGCCTCCTCGTGGACCGGGGCGACGAGTCTGTATAGCATAGCCGTGCAACGAAAAGCCGAGCAGTTCCCAGGCAATCATGTCGTCTCTGTTGCTGAGAGAGAGCAGCTCTCGCCGTCGCTCAACTTGGTCGCGCCGAGGAGCTCCACCTCGTCTCGCTCCCTCTTCTCAACGCCTCACTCGCTTGCCGACTGCGACCAGAGCTGCGACCGCTACTCTCGCCAGAGCGTATCTGCTCGCCCCACGCGCGACCGCCGCTCCCCGCCGCCGCCTCGTCCTCGTCCTCGCGCCCACCGCCCGCTCCTCCCCACCATCGCCGGCTCGAGTCCTCGAGCATGGCCCCCTCGATCCGCTCCTTCCGTGGCACGCACCCACCGAGCAGCTACAGGGACCCGCAACTGTCGCCCACCCTCAGCGCCACCTCGGTCGGGACGAGTGCGAGCCAGCTGCGAGCCGACTTTGGAGATGAGGGCGGGCCGAGAGTGATTGTGACCAGGGCAGACGTGCGTCCAACCTTCCATCTCCTCTCGAGGGCTGTCTGCGCGGCGGAGAGCCACCCTGGACCGCCCTGACGAGCTTTCCTCCCCCATCTGCAGCTCCGCGAGTCGGTGTCGGCCTACGAGTCGCTCCTCTCGACCTCCAAGGCGTACCGCAACGCGCTCATCGCCCTCTCGACTGCTTCTACGGCACTGGCGGGCGCCATGGGAGAGTGCGCGCGGGTCAAGGGCGCGGGAGACGCCGGCGAGGGCTTGCTCGCCGCGAGCGGGCTCCACTACATGGTCGCCAACTCGGGCCAGGTCCTGGTGCGTCCAGCTCTCCCACGTTCCCAGTCGCCCTTTGTCGTCAGAGAACGAGAGACTCAGAGCACCTCGGGATGACGAGCTGAACCACTTCTCGCGCCCGCAGAGCGACACGCTGTACCGCTCGTTCGAGGTCCCGCTCATGACGGCGTACGACTCGTACGTGGCCGACATCGCCGCACGACACGCCGAGTACGAGGCGCTCCTCAAGGAGAAGACGACCAAGATCCGCGAGACCGAGGCCGAGAACCTGCGGAACGGCAAGAAGAAGGTGCGCCCCCTCTCGACCTCTCTTCCTCCTCCTCCCGTTGCGCGCATTCCTGACGCTTCCTCTCGTGCCTGTGACAGACTCGCAACCTCGACCAGTTCCGGGCGGCGCTCGCCAAATTGACTGAGCAGGTCGCCGAGGTCGAGGTCTGCAAGAAGAGCTACTACTCGGAGGTGCTCACGGGCGAGACGGAGATGTGGAGCATGATCGGCGGCAAGGTGCGCTCTAGCAGCTCTCCATCCCCTTCGTGACCTCGCTTGACGTCGTCCTCGCCCGCGCAGGTCTCGCTCCTCGTCCGCTCGACGCTCGACCTCGCCGACCGACTCGCCTCAAAGGCGACGACCGACCCCGTCATCGAGTCGATGCTCAACGAGCACCCTGATCCTTTCGACTCGTACCGCCTCGACCGCGCCGAGGAGAAGGCCGTCCTCACGATCCTCCCGCCGATGAATCTCGGCACGGGCCCGTCGAGCGCGGCCATGAGCAAGAGCAACAGCGCAGCAGACGTCCTCCCCAAGGACGGTCGTCAGCGCGCCCAAGGCGCAACGACGAGCTCGCCGACGCCGAGGCAGCTCGTCAACGCGCCCGTCTCGGTGTCGGACGTGCTCGGGCTCAACGAGCGCGACGACGACGACGAGCCCGCGTCGAGGCGTGTTCTGCCCCAGCACACCGCGCCGACCCAGGACGACGCCGGCTCACGATCGTCACCGAGCAGCGGCCGCCACTCGCGCCGACCGTCGCATGATCCTGCTCCCGCCGCCGAGCCTGCGACCTCGTCCGCCTCTTCTTCTCCCGCCCTCATCGCCACCGACTCGTCCGCCCTGCCCAGCTCCTCGTCCATGGCGACCGCAAACCCTTTCGACGCACCCTCGCTCCTCACCGACGAGTCGGCGCCGTTCCTCACCTCGTCCGCCGTCGCCTCGACCTCTTCTTCCGCCGGCACCACCGCGAGGGCGAGCAAACCGCCGCAGACGTCGCCGCGCAAGGCGGGTCGACGACGGCTCTCGCGCGTGAGCGAGGGCAACGACGCGTCGGCGGATCCGATGGCGGGCGACTGGGGCGCGCCGGTCTACGGGCGGTCGTTGTCGCCGGCCATGAACGGCGGGAGCGGGTACGACAGCGGCGAGGTGCGTCCACCTCTCTCTTCCTTTTCCTCGAGTCGCCTCTCCTGACGTCCTGTACGAACAGGAGGACCCGAACGGCTGGCGCGGATGAGCCCTCTCGTCGAATCGACCCTCGCCCCTTTCCGCCGTCCCCCTCACGTTCGCCTTTCCCCATCAGTCTCGCCCTTCCTTGTTGGCTGTCGATGTCGTTGTTCGTGCCTGAAACGTCGCAGTTGCGCAAAGCCTTGGTCGAGCACGCGCGAGCTGTCGAGAGTGGACCTCGACAACCTCGAGAGTTGCTCGCTTTACGGGCGCACGACTCATGTGATGCTCTCATGAGCAAGACAGTGCAAGTGAGAGCTCACGCAGAGCGGTAGAGAGCGAGTCGAGTTGCCCTCGTCCAGATCAGACCTGCGCCCGCGCTCTTCTCCCCTCCCTCACCGCTGCTCGTACACACCATGGCCGCCGCTGCTGTCGACTGGACCCGCATCACCTCCAAGCTTGGCCTCGGCCGCGGTGCGTCCCGCTGTCTCTCTGGGCCGGGAGGGAGCCGTCGCGCTGACCCCTCCATCGTCCTCCTCCCTCCTCCCCCCGACACCTCCCGCAGAGACGCTCGCCGAGCTGAACGCGTTCCGCTCGCGTGCCGCCGCCGCTCGTGCTGCCAACGCCGCCGTCAAGGAGCAGAAGGCCACCGTCGACTTTGAGCACTACCGCTCCGTCCTCAAGAACAAGGAGGTCGTCGCCGAGGGCGAGAAGCTCTTCAAGGGCTTCAAGGCCGTCGACTACGACGTCCAGGCCCAGCTCAAGGCCATTGCCGCTTTCGAGGCCAAGGCTGTGAGTCCCGCATCTGCCTCTCTCGGGTCGAGCGAGGACGGTCGAGCGAGGAGCAACGGCGGTGGGCGAGCTGGAGGAGCTCGTCCGACGAGTGTGGTTCTGGGCCGGCTTTGCGGCGGCAGGCGCACTGCCCGAGGAACGCGGGTGGGTCGAGCGCGTGTCGTCGCCGTGGGTGGGTCCTCGGCGGCGGTCGGTCGGGTCGAGGCGGTCGGGTCGTCGGACGAGGAGCACCACCACTTCGCCTCTCGCGCACGGCACTTTGCTGACTGGTATTGCCTCCTGCCTCGTACTGCAGGTCTCGTCGGCCAAGGAGGCTGCCACCAAGGTCGAGTCGGAGCTGTCGAACCTGTCGTCGACGCTCAAGAACATCGAGGAGGCCCGTCCCTTCGACCAGCTCACTGTGCGTCCCACCCACTCCCCTGTCCTGCGCCTACACGGCGTCCCACTCGTCGACGAAGCACCGCGCTGACCCTCCGCCTCTGCCCCTCTCGCTCCTCCCCTCTCGCGCTCGCCCCACAGCTCGACGACGTCGCCAAGGCGCGTCCCGAGATCACCGAGACCGTCGAGAAGATGGTTTCCCAGGGCAAGTGGACCGTCCCGGGATACACCGAGAGTGCGTCCTCCTTCTCCTCTCGTCGCGTTCGTGCGCAGGAGCCGGAACTGACTTCACGACCGGCCCGCGCGCAGAGTTCGGCGTGCGTCTCGCCCTGTCCCTCCCGCCTCGCCATTTTCGTCTGGCTCTCGTGCGACCGTCTACTGACTATCTCTTTGCGTCTCCTTTGCGCCGGTTCCCGCCCGCAGAACCTCAGTGAGCACCGACGATCTCTCGAACCCCCGATCCCCTTTCCTGACCCTTCTCTCCGTCCTCCCTCTCTTGCGCAGGCGCCATCTAAACGGGCAGAGTGTGCAGGACCTTGGTGTAGAGAGTCGGAGCGGGTACAGGCAAAAGCTGTCGATTTCTGTGACCCCCCGTCTCGGCGCGAGGAAAGCGAGAGATCTCGAGTCCGAAGACCGCTCGCGAGCATGGGCCGAGCGAGCGTGCGCTGGCCAACCAGGAGCCTGCCCCGTCGCCGGGTCCGAGGTACGGAGAGCGCGGCTCGGCGGTCGTCAGCGCACAGTCAGCGTGCGCCGAGCGCGCGCGCCAGTTGCAGTACGTGAGACGGAGCTGAGGGTTCCGCTCGACCCTCCGATCCCGCAATCTCCCCAGAGGATCGAGCGACGATGAGGCCGAACCTCCGCCGAGCGGCCGAAGTGCCGTTTCCCGCCTCCCGCCCAGTTTCGCGTTCGTCTCCTCTTGTCGTTCGCTCTCGCTACTTTGCCCAGGGTCCGGCAACTTTGTCCGTCTCGTCGCACCGGCACTACCTCACGCCCACTCGACCCGGCACCGCGCCTCACGTCGTCGCCAACCCGTCCCTCGCGCGCAACCATGGCTGAGGCCAAGCCGCGCACCTCGCCGTCGTCGTCCTCGTCGTCCAACGGGACGCAGGTTTCCGACAGTGCACCTCTCGACCTCGCCGCCGCCAAGTCGGGACCGCCTCTGCTCGCCCGCACAACGTCTCGCCCGGCGAGGCACGAAGACATTGCGTACTTCGACCCGAGTGGAGAGCTGCAGCGCAGCGTTTCTCGCCAGCAGGTGCGCACAGACCTCTCTTTCGACCACTCTCTCAGGATTGCCAGGCTGACCCCGGCGCTTCTTCCCGCAGACGTGAGCCTCGACGTTCCATCTCGTTGAACGCGTCCCCCCAGATTTCGAGATCGCCCAGACTGACCCGCTTCCGTCGTCGGCAACTTGCAGCGCCAACTCGCAATGGTCGACCGCGACGCAAGATGCGACGGCCGACGACTTTGACTTTGAGAAGCACCTCAAGGTGAGCCGCACCGGCCCTCCTCCTCGTCCCTTGCCGTCGTCGTTCGAGACCGCCTGAAACTGACTTGCTCTTCCCTCCCTCGTCCTCCCTCCCTCTCTCTCGCAGCACATCCTCCGCAAGGCCGACAAGAACGGCGTCAACCGTCGCGACCTCGGCGTCACGTTCAAGAACCTGACCGTCAAGGGCGAGGGCTCGGGCATCTCGTACGGCTCGTCCCTCACCGGCACCCTCAAGAGCATCCCGGCGCTGCCCCAGACGCTCAAGGCGGCTCGTCACCCCAAGACCAAGGTCATCCTCGACGAGTTTACGGGCATGGTCAAGGCCGGCGAGATGCTCCTCGTCCTCGGTCGCCCCGGCTCGGGCTGCACCTCGTTCCTCAAGACGCTCGCCTGCCAGACCGAGTCGTTCAAGGAGATCGACGGCACCATCTCGTACGACGGCGCTGCGCCCGAGGAGATGGCCAAGCACCACCGCGGCGACCTCGCCTACCTCCCCGAGGTGCGTCCTCCTCCCGCTCGAGCCTCCTCGATCAGAACGCCTGGACTGACTCTTCCCTCCCCACTAGGACGACGCCCACCTGCCTCACCTGACGGTCGGCCAGACGCTCGACTTTGCGGCTGCTGCCCGTACGCCTGCCGTCGGCGGTCGTGTCGGCTCGCGCGAGGAGACGATCACACGCAAGCGCGACGTCCTCCTGTCGCTGTTCGGCCTCAAGCACACGTTCAACACCAAGGTCGGCGACGACCTCGTTCGCGGCGTGTCGGGCGGCGAGCGCAAGCGCGTCTCGATTGCCGAGCTCCTGTCGACGGGCTGCAAGATCGGCTGCCACGACAACTCGACCCGCGGTCTCGACGCCTCGACCGCCGTCGAGTACTGCCGCGCCCTGCGCATCGCGACCGACCTCGGCAACCTGACGACCATCCTGTCGATCTACCAGGCCGGCGAGCAGCTGTACGAGCTGTTCGACAAGGTCTGCGTCATCTACGCCGGCCAGCAGGTCTTCTACGGCCCGATGGGCGACGCCGTCGCCTACTTCAAGGACATGGGCTACGAGCCGCAGCCTCGCCAGACGTCGGCCGACTTCCTCGTCGCCGTCACCGACCCCAAGGGCCGGTTCGTCCGCGACGGGTACGAGGGCCGTGTCCCCAAGACGGCCGAGGACTTTGTCCGCCACTGGAAGAAGAGCGAGCACTACAAGCAGCTCGTCGACGAGGTCGACCGCGAGCTCCAGCACCACGGCACCGAGCAGGGTCAGCAGCGCATCGAGAACTTCCGCGAGAGCGCGCGCGCCGACATCGTCAAGCGCCAGAGCCCCAAGTCGTCGTTCCTCATCTCGTACCCGTGCGTCCCTCTTCCTCTCTCGCTCCGGCGTCCCCCTCGTCCTCGCCTGCATCGTCACCGCCTCGCCGTTGCGGCGTCGTGCCGTACCAAGCGAGCCGAGACTGACCCGAACTCGAGCACCCTCTTGCAGCATGATGGTCCGCCTCGCCATGAAGCGTCGCTACCAGATGCAGATGGGAGACATCGCGACGCTCGCCATCGTCTCTATCGCGGCGCTGTTCCAGGCGTGCGTCCCTCTCCCTCGACGACGAGACGAGCCGAGAGTCGACCCGGGCACTGACTCTCCCCTCTCCCTGCAGGCTCATTGTCGGCTCCGTCTACTTCCAGATGCCCAAGGACACGTCCGGCTTCTACTCGCGCGGCGGTGTCATCTTGTACGTCGAGCTCGATTCGCGCTCGAACCCCCTCTCCCTCCCGGCCTTCCCAAGTCGAGCGTCCTCCTTTCACCGGCCCGCTCCTGACGCTGTGCCTCCCTCACAGCTTCGCCATCCTGTACAACTCGTTCACCGGCATGGCCGAGATTACGTCGTCCTACTCGCAGCGGCCCATCGTCGTGCGGCAACGTGGCTACGCCATGATCCGCCCGTCCGCCGACATTCTCGCCATGACGCTCGTCGACCTGCCGTTCAAGGCCATCTCGATCATCGTGTTCGACATCGTCCTCTGTGCGTCGCACCCTCCTCTCGCGCCTGTCGAGCTCGCCGGGCTTTGCCGGCCTCGCTCGCTCGCTCCTCGAGCTCTTCGGACGCCTCCTGACGCGTTCTTTCTCCCACGCAGACTTCATGGCGGGCCTCGGCTACACGGCGGACCAGTTCTTCATCTTCTTGGTGCGTCCTCGCCCTGCGCCCCCTTCCCCCCAACGTCCTCTCGACCCGTTCCCTGGCCTGACGACGAGCTCGCCCACCTTGCAGCTGTTCACGTACATCACCAACATCGCCATGCTCATCTTCTTCCGGATGCTCGCGTCGGCCAACCGGTACGAGTCGAACGCGACGACCGTCGCCGGCCTGGGCGTCCTCATCATCGCCATCTACGTCGGCTACGCCATCCCTCGCCCGTCGATGCGGGTCTACTTCCGGTGGCTGTCGTACGCCCAGCCGGTGTCGTTCGGCTTCGAGGCGCTCCTCGCCAACGAGTTCCGCAAGCTCAACGTCCCGTGCGCGCAACTCGCGCCGTCCGGGCCGGGCTACGCAGGCGTCGCCACCGCCAACCAGGTCTGCACGACGGCGGGCTCGGCGCCGGGCCAGACCATCGTCCGGGGCCTCGACTACCTCGAGGCCAACTTCGGTTACAAGTGGTCGCACACGTGGCGCAACTTTGGATTCGTCCGTCTTCTTCCTCATCTCGTGCGCCTTCTCGAGCACGACCCTGACCCTCGTCGTCCCCTGTTTTCCCGCAGATCTTCGCCTACCTCTTCTTCTTCTTGGCCATCAACCTCATCACGTACGAGATCCAGCGCGACGAGACGGTCGGCGGCGGCGTCATGCTCTTCCGTCGCGGTCACGCCCCGAAGGAGCTCGTCGACGCCATCGAGGGCGCCGGCTCGGGAGGCGACGCCGAGAAGGGCGACGCCAACGCCCGTCCCGAGCTCGACACGGCCGTCGACGAGAAGGAGAAGAACGCCGCCGCCGACACGCTCAAGTCGGCGTCCGACGTCTTTACGTGGCGCAACGTCAACTATACGGTCCCGGTCAAGGGCGGCGAGCGCAAGCTCCTGTCGGACGTCTCGGGCTACGTCGCTCCCGGCAAAATGACGGCCCTCATGGGCGAGTCGGGCGCCGGCAAGACGACCCTCCTCAGTGCGTCCTCCCTCCCTTTTTTTCGCCTCTCTCTCTCGCCTCCCGATCGTCCGCTCACGCTCTCGTCTCGCCTCGCAGACGTCCTCGCGCAGCGTGTCAGCGTCGGCGTCGTCACGGGCGACATGCTCGTCAACGGCAAGCCGCTCCCGCAGTCGTTCCAGCGCCAGACCGGCTACTGCCAGCAGCAGGACACGCACATGGCCACGACGACGGTCCGCGAGGCGCTCGTCTTCTCGGCCCTTCTTCGCCAGCCTCGCACGACGCCCAAGGCCGAGAAGCTCGCCTACGTCGAGGAGATCATCAAGCTCCTCGAGATGGAGGCGTACGCCGAGGCGCTCGTCGGCGAGGTCGGCATGGGCCTCAACGTCGAGCAGCGCAAGCGCCTCACGATCGGTGTCGAGCTCGCCGCCAAGCCCGCCCTCCTCATCTTCCTCGACGAGCCGACCTCGGGCCTCGACTCGCAGTCGTCGTGGTCGATCATGCTCCTCCTCCGCAAGCTCGCCGACCACGGCCAGGCCATCCTCGCGACCATCCACCAGCCGTCGTCCGAGCTCTTCCAGCAGTTCGACCGCCTGCTCCTCCTCATGAAGGGCGGCAAGACCGTGTTCTTCGGCGACCTCGGCAAGAACTCGCAGACGATGCTGTGCGTCTCGCCGCTCCTCTCTCTCTCTCTGGTACCTCCTTCTTGCCCGTCCTGATTATGTGCGTGCCCGTCGCAGCGAGTACTTCCACGCGCGCAGCGACAAGAAGTGCGAGGAGCGCGACAACCCTGCCGAGTGTGCGTGCTCCCTTCCTCCCTCTCTTCCTTCCATTCTCCCTTCCCCCTGCATCTCTCCTTCCTAGTCAATCACGTGTCGCCGGCCCTTCTTCCGCTCGACGCTCGACCACCCGTTCCCGATCTCCCTCGCCTCCTCGTCGACCTCGGCCGGGAACTGACCGACCCTCTCTTTGTCGTGCAGACATCCTCGACGTCATCGGCGCCGGCGCGTCGTCCAAGTCGGACAAGGACTGGTCGCAGCTCTGGAACGAGTCGGACCTCGCCAAGAAGACGCAGGACGACATCGACCGGTTCCACGCCGAGAAGGAGGGGCAGGAGTCGGCCGCCGACAAGTCGCCCGACGCCGGCCTCAGCTATGCCGCACCGATTACGCAGCAGTTCACCATCGTCCTCAAGCGCGTCTTCCAGCACTACAACCGCGACCCGACCTGTGCGTCCCACTCCCTTTCTCGGTATCTCGACGACGCCGCACTCACGACTCTCTCGACGCAGACGTCACGGCCAAGCTCATGCTCAACATCATCGCCGGTCTCTTCATCGGCTTCAGTTTCTGGAAGTCGTCGCTCGACCAGGCCGGTACCCAGGTGCGCTCGACCTTCCCAAGTCGCCTCTCTCTCTCCCTACCCAGCCCTCGGACTGACGGCTCGACGCCCTCTCTCGACGCTCGCAGAACTTCCTGTTCGCCGTCTTCATGGCCGTCGTCATCGCGGCGCCGCTCTCGCAGCAGCTCCAGCCCAAGTTCATCGGCCTGCGCTCGCTGTACAACGCCCGCGAGCGTCCCTCGAGGATGTACAGCTGGCCCGTCTTTGTCGCCTCGGCCATCATCGTCGAGATGCCGTACAACATCGTCTGGTGCGTCTCTCGCTCCCTCGTCGTCGTCGTCTCGTGCCCGGTCCTGACCTCGACTTCCTTGTCTCGCAGCGGCACCATCTTCTTCGTCTGCTGGTAGTGCGTCCCCGTCTCTCTCTCTCTCAGGCTCGAGCCTCTCTGACATTCTCGCCTGCACCTGCAGCTGGACCGTCGGCTTCCGTGCGTCCCCCCGTCGCCCTTTTGACCTTCCTCGCCTCGCATCACTGACCTCACTTTTCCCTGCAGCCTACACCACCGACCGTGCTGGATACGCCTACGCGATGTACATGGTTTTCGAGCTGTACTACCCGACGTTCGCCCAAGGTGCGTCTCGCCTCGTCCGTACCACTATCGACCCCTCGACTGACCTCGCTCGGACCCCCTCGCAGCCGTCGCCTCGTTCTCGCCCAACGCCATGGCCGCCTCGGTCCTCTTCAGTACCTTCTTCTCCTTTGTCATCATCTTCAACGGTGTCGTTCAGGTGCGTCCTCCCTTCCTCGGGTCGACCTCAGAAGAATCGCGAGGAGGACCTGACCTGACTCTCCTTCCTCCCGCAGCCGCCGGTGCAGCTTCCCTACTTCTGGCGCTCGTGGATGTACAGGTGCGTCCTCGTGTATGTCAGTGTCTCTCGGCGCCGAGCTGACTCTTGCTCTCCCCGTGCAGGCTCACGCCGTTCACCTACCTGAGTACGTCCCCTCTATCTCTTTCTCATCGCCTTCCAGGGTCTCTCCCTGACGCTCGTCCTGCCTCCCCGCAGTCGAGGGTCTGGTCGCCAACGCCCTCGGTGGTCGTCGCCTCAGCTGCACGTACCCTCAGTTCCAGATCCTCAACCCGCCGGCAGGCCAGCAGTGCCTCGACTACCTCGCGCCGTACAACGCCGCCGCCGGCAGCTACGCCGAGGTCCTGCCCAACGGCGACTGCGGCCTGTGCACGTACGCGACCGGCGACGCGTTCCTGAGGACCTTCAGCATGAGTGAGTCGCCCTCTTTCGCTCTCTCGACTCCCTCAACTGACAGCGATGTGCCCTGCAGGCTTCTCGCACCGCTGGAGAAATTTTGGCCTTCTCTTTGCCTATTGCCTTTTCAACGTCGCGGCCGTCTTCGTCGGGTTCTACCTCTTCTCCATCTTCGACTGGTCCAAGTGAGTCGCACTGTCCACCTCCTCCCCTCCCCGCCCTCGACGTGCCACTGACACCCTCTTCCCTCCTTCGCAGGCTCTCGCGCAAGTCGACCAAGAGCAAGAAGAGCGACAAGACGACGCCGCAGGCCAAGTCGACCAAGGAGGGCGCCGTTCCGCCGCAGGAGCAGGCGCGCGATTAGAGCGCTCGCCCCTCTCTTCCCGCACCCGCATCGCTTCCACCTTTCGCCCTTTCTGTCGGAGCCGGACGGGCTGCGGCGTCGCTCGTCGCTCTAGAAGCCCCTCCCTGCCTCGTCCTCTTTCCCTCTCCTTAATCCCTGTTCCTCTCTCTCTCTCTCGCCACCTTTGTCTGTGCGCCTACATCTGCACTTTCCCTCCATTCACTGCAATCTCTCAGCCTCTGGTTCGTCGTAATTGGGTTGCAGCGAGAGCGCCGTCGAGCTTGAGAGATGCGCGTGTCGGAACCTTCTCAAGTTGCTCCTTCGCTGTCGACCTCTGTCGACGTTTCGAGTCGGGGCAAGCGGGACTGGGCGGCGGAAGAACAGATCTGCCCTTGAGCTGCGCTAGCGACTGACTGCATGCGCGAGTGCGCACCGCCCCGCTCGCTGCCTCGGATCCTCGGCGCAGCCTCTGCTCGACGACAACGAGCTGCAGACGCGCCAGGCTGCGCGCACGAGCACTGTAGCAGCCCCGATCTGCCCGCCTGTCGGGTCCTCTCGATGCCTGCGCTCGAGCTCGACCGCGACTCGCACCTCGTCCACCTCTTCTCGTCGTCGTCGTCGCGCGGGTCCCGAGCGACTCGCGCTCCTCGCCCACCTCGACGTCAACTAGCAGCGCTACTCAAGCGTCAAGAGCTCCCTTCGACCACCGGTGAGTCCACTCAGCCAGTCGTGCACACCCTCCAGCTCGTCCTCGAGGCGGGGGAAAAGGACCGGGGCGCTCGGTGTGGACCCACCTCGACCGCTCGCCCTGGGGGATCAGGACGCGCACTGACTCGCACATTGCATGCCTGTCCTCGCCTGTCGTTCGCCCACCACCTCGCCCTGCCCGATTCTCGTGCCGCCGCCGCCGCTCGCCTCCACCCCGATCCGCCGGTGGCTCTGACCAGGTGCGCAGCAGCTCTCTCCCCTCGTCGAGCCTCTGTGAGGGCTGCGGCAGCTGACTCGCACCTCCTGCGCCCTCTCCCTCCCCAGCCGGCGCGCCCGTCGACGAGCCCACGTCGTCCACTTCGTCCGAGCCCTCGCGCCAAGCCGGCCCGACCTCGACCACCTCGACCGCGACTGCGACCACGTCTGCCACGCCGTCCAGCTCTTCGGTCCCTGCGACGACGACCATGGACTCGCCCTCGACCTCGCCCGCTCCCGAGACCTCGTCCTCGCCTCCTGCCGAGGCGTCGACCGCGCCCGACCCGACCTCGACCGCCGCGCCAGACCCGACCACGACCCCGGCCCAGACGACGACCGAGCCCGCATCCTCGACGACGAGCTCCCCTGGTTCGAGCGCTTCCCCTCCCGCATCCTCGTCGACACCCGAGCCAACCTCGTCCTCTCTTCCCTCCCCTTCCTCTTCTCCCTCTTCCTCAGACCCGCCGTCTTCTAGCTCGACCGCGACCACACCGCCTAGCTCGTCCTCGTCGAGCACGACGACGCCGCCGCCGTCCTCCAGCACGGCCGCCCCGAGCTCGAGCAGCTCGACGTCCGCCCCACCCGCGAGCAGCTCATCGACGAGCGATGCTCCCTCGTCCTCCTCGTCGTCGCCCGTCGCCACCGAACCTCCCTCGTCGACCGCCGAGCCGACCTCGACCACCGACCCGGTCGCGAGCGCGACCGAGAGCGCCACGACGACCGACGCTGCGCCGACGAGCTCGACCGCCGATCCGACAGTGGGCAGCTCGACGACCGCCGGCGCCGATCCCGTTACGTCTGCCCCTGCTTCCGACGTCGAGTGAGCCCCTCTCCACCCTCTCTCGGCCTGGCGGCGAGAGCGCGAACTGACCTCGTCCCTCATCGCCTCGTCGCAGAACCTCGGCCGAGGAGTACACGCGCACGTCGGCGACCGAGTACACCCTGACGACCTCGGGCACGGTCGTCGTCATCACTTCGATCGTGACCGCCGTCGTGATCGGGCCCGACCCGTCGAGCACCGCCGGCGGCCGCAACCTCAACGGCGCCGACGCCGGCTCGCAGGCCTTCTTCGACAACACGGGCGCCGTCGCGGGCACGTTCGTCGCCGTCGGCCTCGTCGCGGCAGGCGTCATCGTCGGCCTCGGCTTCTTCTTCCTGCGCCGCAAGCGCCGGCGCCAGCTCGACGAGGACATTCGCGTCGCGGCCGGCGGCGCGGGCGACGGCGGCGCGGGCATCAACCGGTTCGAGGACGAGGACGAGGACGAGGAGTCAATCGGCGGCGGCATGGGCGGCGGGAGCGAGGGCCACCTGTCGAGCAACTACATGAGCTCGTACGGGACCGTGCCCCTGACGGCGGCGGCGGCCGGCGCCGGCCTCGCGACGCGCCGCTCGAGCGGCGGCGGCACGACCGACTGGGGCCCGCACCCGGGCGCCGCCGCGAGTCGTCCGTCGTACGATCTCGGGCACTCGCCGGCGCCGAGCCAGGGCTCGATCCTGCCTCCCGTCGGCGGCGCAGCCGGGTACGGCTACGGCCCGCCGGCGAGCTACGGCGCGTACAACGGCGGCGCGACGAGCCACGAGGGCGTCCTGCACGACAACTGGGCCGAGTACGTCGAGAGTGCGGGCGCGGGCGCCGGTGCGGGAGCGGGCCTGTACGGCGCAGGGTCGGCCGAGGGCGGCAGCCACGAGGGTTTCGGTGCGTCCCGATCTCTCTCTCTCTTCCTTCTGTTCATCTTCCTCGAGAGCCTGAGACTGACCTCGTTCGTGTGCGCGCAGCTCCGATGAACGCCTCGTCCGAGGAGTCGCACTTCTACCCGAACGGCGAGATGCAGCAGGTCGCCTCGTTCCGCAACTCGCTTTACGGCAACGCGTTCGACCCGTCGCCCGGCGCCTCGGGCAACGGCAGCGCGTACGGCGGCCTCCAGCAGGAGCCGGCGCCGGCGCCGGCGTCGGGCGCGCACGGACCTCGCGCCGACGAGCGGCTCGACCCGGGCGCAATTCGCGCCGTCGACAACCACAGCGCGACGAGCTTGGCCGACGATACCGACTACTCGAGGAGGATCCTGCGGTACGTCCCGTCGCCCTATGTCGTCCTGTCGAGCCGACCTGACCCTTGTTCACCTCGTGCAGCATCGCCAACCCGTCGGGCTAGACCCTCCTCCTCCTCCTTTCTCTTCCTCTCCCCAACCTTCCCTTGACGACACATCACGATCACGTCTCATCAAGTCCAGAGCGCGCGCCATGCCGTACCTCGTCCTCAGCGCCGCTCGGCCCCTTTCATCTTCTCTGCATTTTCCCTTTGCCACGATCCCCTCGCACCGCATCTCTCTCTCTCTCCCCCCTTCTGTGCACAGCTGTAGGAGCCCGCCCTCTCTTCCTTGTTTCCCCTCATAGACGCTCGTTCGAGCGGCGTAACGCGCTGCGCCCAGTTCTCGCTTTCCTTCTTCTCCTCTCGCTCGACGAGACGGGGCGAGGCGATTCGAAAGCAAGAGAGAGAAACAGAGAGCTCGTTCCAGACGGACCCAATAGATGCTGCTACAGACCGAGAGAGAGACAGAGAGAGAGGCGAGGAAGAAAGTGTCCATCATCGTGCACGGCCCGCTCAGGCGCGAGAGCTCGCCTCGGCGTCGAGGTTGGCGGCGAGGCCCATGGCGAGCGCGAGCGAGTCCATCGAGGCGCGAGGGTCGGCGGTGCCGCTGTCGGTCGAGGAGGCGACCTCGGCGTGTGCGCCGAACGGGTTTGAGGCATCGTCGTCGACGGCGGACCGTGCGGCGACTCGTGACGGAGCTGCGAGGAGAAAGACAGTGTCAGTCTGCAGCCTCATGTCTCGAGCAGGCCCGGCAGGAGACCCTGGCGAGCCCGCAGTGAGAAACAAAGACGACGAACCAGCTTGAGCCGCAGGAGCAGTCGCGACCGGCGCGACCACCGTCCTCTCGGCCTGCACGAGCACGACCTGCTCGTCGCCCTCGTCGTGCTCGTCCTCGCTCTCGCCCACCGTCGAGCTCGCGTAGCTCTGCCGCACCGACCCTGGGCCGTTCTCGCTCCGAGGCACGCCGCCCATCGTCGACTCGCCGCCGGCGCTCATCATGCTGCGGCGGTCTCGCTCGTCGAGGTCGTCGTCGTCGTCGCCGGCGTCGGTAAAGCCGTCGTCGCCGAACCCGCTCGGGAACCCGAGCTGGAACGGGATCTGGCTCAGGCCCGAGCCGAAGCCGCTGCGGACCGAGATGGCGGCGCTTTGGACGCGCTCGGTGCTGGCGCCGGCAGTGGCGCCGGCAGACGAGGACGAAGGAGCGGGCTTGGACGAGGTCGGGCGCTGGCCGGCGAAAGGGAGGAAAGGTGCCGGGAGCGGCTCGTCGTCCTGGTCCTGGCCGTCGCGCCCGTCGACGATGGACGGCGCACGGACCGACGCCGAGTTCGTCGACGCCGCGCTGCTCTCGACCGCCGCCGTCACGTTGACGGGCAGGCCGAGGCTGACCGAGCTAGTGCTCGCGGCGCGCGTGCCGGCCGTCGCGCCGGCCGACGACGTCGACGGCGCGAGGAATGGGATCCCTTCGAGGAGCGACCCGTCGCTCATGCCGCTCGCCGTCGAGTCTCGGCTGCCCGAAAGCGTCATCGGCGTGCTCGTGCGCGCGCCCGAGCCCGCCGTCGCGCGGACCGTGCCCATGCTGCTCGAGGGGCTGACGCCGGGCGACGCCGACCAGGCCGACATCGTGCCCGTGAGCGGGCGCACGTGCGACCCGGTGTCGAACGCCTCGGACGATCGAGCGCTCTGCGGCACGTCGAACGATGCGCCCGAGGCCGTGTTCGGCAGGCGCGGGCTCTTGGCGCCGCCGCCGACGCCGCCGAGGGCCGAGGGCGAGTTCGGGTTGGTGAACGTGACCGTCTGGCCCTGGAGGAACTGGACCGAGCCCTCGTCCGACAGGGCCGAGCCCGTCGTCCACCGTGACGTGTCGGTCGCCGACGAGCCGGGGCGCGAGCGAAGGAGCGTGTCGTCGTGCGCGTCGCCGCCGGGCGTGACGGTGCCCTGCGACCCGAGGCGCGAGTGCCGCAGCGACGAGCGGTTCGAGTCGTCGAACGGGTCGACGCTGCCCGTCGGGCTTGTCGGGCTCGTCGTCGGCGCGTCGTGAGCTGCGCCGCCGAGCGTCGTGCCCGCGCCTCCGATGTGGACGAGCCCGGCTTGGCCCTTCTGCAGCTCGACGCGCCGCACACCTTGCGCCGACAAGGGCGTGATGATTTGGGGCGGGTCGAGGATGTACGACATGGTCGACGTCGCCGAGCGCGAGGTCATGGTCGACATGTGCGACTGGGCCGAGCGCGACCGCGGGTCGCCGAGGACCGACATGCCGCGCCCGCCCGTCGGCGACGTCGAGAGGAACGACAGGTTGGGCGACGAGCCAGGGCTGCCGCTCGAGGGCGGCAGGACAGGCGGGAGGGCGCCGCTCGAGGTGGGCCTCGTCGGCGACGAGGGCGACCCAGCGAGCGGCGACGAGACCTTTGGCGTGTTGGGCAGCTTGAGGTCGAGGCCGGGCGAGCGCGGTGGGCGGATCGGCGCGCCGTTGGCGAGCGTGCCGTGCGGGACGGCGGGCGTGTCGGGCGTGAGGACGGGCGGGAGCGGGTGCAGCTCGATGATCTCGGCGCCGGCGAGCGCGAGCGAGTCGCGGCTCGCCATGCTCGTCGGGATCGACGCTCGCAGCGCCTGGGCGTGGCGAGGAGGCTGCGCCGCGTCGCTGTCGCGGTCGCGGCTCGAGGGCGACTCGCCGAACGCGCCGCGCTGCCCGTCGGCGATCGACATGGACGACGAGTGCGGCGGGATGTAGGCGATGGGGATGACGTTGGTGTGGGACGAGCGGAACGAGTAGTCGGACGTGTGGATCGAGTTCGAGTCGTCAAAGTCGCCGATGGACGAGCGGTTCTGGTCGCCGAACGGGTTGTCGTCCTGCGGTTCACGTTCGCGAGAGTCAGTGCGTGCTCGTGAAAGAGAGACAGAGGGATGGTTTGAGGACGCACCTCGGATGTCCTGCCCGGGGTGAGCGCGCCGCCCTCGCGAGCCGCGCCGGGGCTCGTGTTGCGGCGGTTGACGCCGTCGCCGCCGGCCGTGTCGATGTGGAGGTGGACCGACGAGCGCTTTGTGGCGACGTCGGTTTCGCCGGGCGCGAGCTGCGACTTGCGCTTGTCGGCGAGTTTGCTCTGGCGGTGCGAGAGGTGCTTCGAGTAGCGCTTGCGGCTCGCGGCGAGACCTCGGGGCCGCCACCAGAAGAAGTAGACGGCGGCGAGGACGACGGCGACACCGACGACGCCACCGACGGCCCCGCCCGCGGTTGCGCCGGTCGAGGGCCCGCCGCCGCCGCCCTTGGTGCTGCTCGAGCCCGTGTCCTGGCAGATGCGCTTGGGGCAGGCCGAACACAGGCGGCTGGTCTGGACGCAGCTCTGGCCGGCAGGACAGGTCGGGCAGGCGTTGATCGGGTCGGTGCAGGCGAGGCAGTTGGACGACATTGAGCGCGTGCGAGAGATGAGGACGAGGAGGGGGGGGGCGAGGGGGAAGCGAGAGGCGACGGGGCGGTGGGCGTGGGGACGAGGCCGGCTCAGTCCACTGTCGAGGTACAGGGCAGCACCGCTAGCACTGGCGCGGGCGTGTTGGGTGCGAGAGCGAGAGAGAGCCGGGCGGGCGGTTGTCCGTTGTGCTCGCAGCAGCTCTGCCAACGGCTCAACCAACCCTGTCTGGATTGCAGTCCTGCCGTGCATCTACTCGCAAACACGCTCAAACGGCCGCCCTACACGCGCCTGACCCAGCTCGTTCCGGTGGCTCGTCTTGCCCTCTCTCGCTCATGCTCGAGCGCGACAGACCGTGTCTCTCTCGCGCACAGAGCTGCCGTACGGCCTGCGTACTGCTGTGGCATGTAAAGAAGCTCGCTGGCACGCGACGGGTCCTCGGAGAGTGGCGCCAAGTGCGCGAGAGCTCGTCGAGGCGAGGGAGTTTGCTGGACGATGGCTCGAGTGCCACCTCGGCTCGTGTTGGGCTCGTCCGCTCGCCCGAGCGTGCACGCATAGCAGGTGGAGCAGTTCGCCGCGCGAGAACCCGGATAGCGACGCGCAGAGTGCGAGCGCGAGCCAGAAGCATTCGAGCAGAGAGGAGGCGCACGGCGCCATTGTCGCCTCGAGTGGACGTTCGGCGGGCTCGGCCACCTTCGCAAGACGTACGGCGGTCTGGGGCGCAAGGCGCAGGCAAGGCCGCTCTGTACTCGAACCGCTGAGGGCCGAGCGAGCAAGCAGCGCCGAGAGCAGGGCGGTCGGACGAGGTCGGCATGGGCGCGCGATCGGCAAGGTCCGGCGTGCTGCAGTGCACTGCTGAGAGGGTGCAGGCTAGTCGAGAGCCCTGCCTGGCGGTGTTGAGCAGGTCGTCGACAGAGGCTTGCGATGACGGTCGCTCTCGTCCTCGCTGGTTGCTCTCGCCTCGCTCTCCCGCACCGACTGGCCCGCCCACCATGCTGCAGGCTAGCCCCTTGAGCGCAGTGCGCGCCTGCCTGCGGTCGACCGCACCTGCTGCCCAACCAGCGAGCGGTCCACGGCCGCCCTTCGCCCGGTCGTTCGCCTCGACTCGCCCACGGCTCGCAGCTCCCGCCGTCTCGGCCGATGTGGACCACTACGGCGTCCTCGGCGTCCACAAGGAGGCGACCCGCAAGCAGATCAAGGACAAGTTCTACGAGGTGCGTCCGCGCTCTCCCTCCTCCTCCCTCGACTCGTCGAGCGACGCTGACCTCTCGACATCGGCCAGCTCTCGCGCAAGCACCACCCAGATGCGCCCTCGACCTCGTCCGAGACGCCCGAACAGCGCACCGAGCGCTTCCAGCAGGTGCGTCCTCAGTCGCCTCTCCTTACGCGACCCTTGAGCCCTCCCCCCACTTGCGTCGGCTGACCTCGCTTCCCTCCCAACGCGCAGCTCTCGCAGTCCTACAGCGTCCTGTCCGACCCGTCGACCCGCCGCTCGTACGACCTCGCCCGCACTGGGTCGGCCGTTCCTCCTCACCGTCGGCGGCCAGGCCACCCGGGCTACACGGCCGCGTCCGGCGGCATGGGCTACAGCGGCGCCGAGGGCCGGGCCGACGGCGCGTGGACCGACAACGACGAGCGGCGCACGCGCGCCAACTATGCGTGGCAGCACCCGTCGCGGTCCGGGTTCAAGTCGGCGGGCGAGGCGGCCGGCGGGCAGGCCCAGGCGCGCACCGACCCGTTCGCGTCGCGCCGCTCGAGGGCGACCCAGTCCGGCAGCGCGACGGACCACTTTGCGACGTACGCGGCGCGCCAGAGTGCGCGTGCGGCGCAGCAGGCGACGATGGGCGGCGCGGCGGGCGCTGGCGGGAGCCACTATCGGGCGGGGACGTCAGTGTTCGGCGCGGCCAAGGCCGAGGAGGAGAGCCGGCTCATCAACGACAGCTCGACGATGCGCAGTGGTCAGGTGCGTCCCAGGCTCCCTCGTCCCCTCTCTCGACCGCGGCCCGTCACTGACTGGCTCTCGCACGCCGCGCAGGTCGCGTTCGTCTTCCTCACCGTCTTCTTCATCGCCTACTCTTTCTCGCACCGCAAAGACAAGGAGGACCGGATTCGGCGGTAGACTACACGCTTAGATGCTGCAACGCAAGCGCAGACCCGTCATTCGAGCCCACCGTGAGCGAGAGCGAGAGGACTTTGCCGCTTTCTGCCTCGTGCGCAGTACCAGCGTAGCGTTGACGGTGTCTAATGAGGCATGCTCGAGAGCTTCAGATCGTTCGAGGTTGAGCGGAAGGTGGTTGTCAACGCCGCCGAGAGGGCCACGAGCCTCCCGCTCGAAGCACCTACACACGCACACCAGCACCGGCGCTGCCACCAGCTCGCAGCAGCGCAGCTCCCCTGCGACAGCCTCACGCCTGTGCTCTTCCGCCCAGCGCCTTGCCGCCGCCGCCGTCGTCGCTCATCTCCCGCCCTCATCGCCGCGACCTCCCCCGCTCCAGCACACCCTCGACCAGCCATGACGCTCATGGACCCGTCCCAGGGCACCGAGATGGAACGCCTGTGGGCCCTCCTGAGCGAGCTCTCGGCCCAGCTGTCGCACAACCGCCAGCAGACCGAGGAGCTGCATCGACGAGCCGAGGAGCTCAAGGTCCGTCCCTCTAGCCTCTTGAGGGCCTGTCAGCCGCCGGTCAGAGACTGACTTGCAACCGTGCTCGCAGGCCCAGGCGGTCCACACACAGACGGGCTACACCCTCCGCCGCTTCAACCTCGACGTGAGCCAGGGTGCGTCGCCAACCTCTCTCTCTCTCCTGCTCCTTGCGGGCGGCAGATGCGGGAGCGCACAGACTGACACAGTGCCATGCCCACACAGAGGAGTTCGAGTCTGAGCTCGAGAAGCTCAACGTGTCGCTCGTTATGGAGAACCAGGCCCTGCAGCAGGAGAACCGCCAGCTGTCGAGCCTCCTCAAGGACTACGAGAGCACGCTCGAGGCGGTCATGGGCAAGTTCCGGGCACACGCAGTGCGTCCACGTCGTCTCCCTCTTGTTGTCGAACTGGAGCCAAGATTGACCTTGCCTCCTCCTCCTCCAGCACGCGACGCAGCAGCACCACCTCGACCTCACGCGCCACTACGAGTCGCTCCTTCTCAACATGCCCGTCTCGATCCCTCCGCCAGCCGACATGCCCCAGGACCCGAAAAACGCCGAGGCGCCTCCGATCGACCCGCTCCACCTCCAGCTGTCGCTGTCGCACCTCGCGTCGCTCGTGCGCAAGGCCCTGCGCGCCCTCCAGGGCGAGGACCCGGACGACTCGACGAGCCCGCTCCTGCTCCCGATGGGCATCGGCCAGGCCGCCGAGGCGCTGTCCAAGGCGTTCCCCGGGCCCGGGTCGGCGGGCGACCACGACGCGCAGCTCGGCGGCCCGCCGTCGCCCACCTCATCGATCGCGTCCTTCTCGTCCCTCGCCTCGTCGGCCTTGCACGCCCCGCCATCGGCGTTCGGCGGCGAGTCGGGCGCCGCAGAAGGCGCCCCCACATCGTCGTCGGCGGACCTCGACCGGCTCCTCGCGTCGCACCACCCGTCGACGGCCCGCTCGCGCATCCTCGAGTCCGAGGGCGGCTACATCTCGCGCACGGCGACGTCGGACCCGCACTACGTCCCGACGACGTCGACGTCGTCGCTCGTCGCGTCGCCACCGCTGCCCGGTCAGCCCGCCGTCGTGCGCGACGAGATGGCGCTCCGCGGCCTCGGGCCCCTCGACGAGCCGCTGCAGCGCGAGATCGAGCTCGAAGCGTTGCGCAAGGAGAACGACGAGCTCAAGCGGCTGCTCGGGATCGCCGACGAGGTCGAGCACGAGGCGAGGGCGAGGGAGGAGCGCGACCGGGCCGCCGACGCCGACAGGCGGCAGCGGAGGAGGGATCGCGACGCGGCCGATGCGGCGGCAGGTGCTGGGCCGAGCGCGGTCGACGAGGTCGAGGAGCGGTTGCGGCGCGAGGAGCTCGAGCGCGAGCGGCAGAGGGAGGCTCTCGCCGAGGAGCTCCTGCGCGCCGCCGAGCGCGAGGACGAGGAGAAGGCGGCCAAGGAGCAGCGTGCTGCAGCTGCCGCCGAGGGCAAGGGAGGCGCGACCGCGGCGACCACGGCCGCAGCACCGGTCGAGGTCGACTCGGCGACCGTCGCAAGCACGAGCGCCGTCGACGACGAGGAGCTGCAGATCTAGCCTCTCCTCTCCCTCTCTCCCTCCCACTCTCTGTCCTTGTCCACATGCTCGTCACGTCCTCGTTGTGTAGTCCCTCCTCTCCTCAGCCGTGCAGCCTCCCCTCTCGTCTATACCGCCGTTGCCAATACCCTCGAGCCTCCTCTACGTCGGGCTCGCACGCTCTTTCTCTCTCTCCTGCGTCGTCGAGAGTGCGAGAGGGACCACCGTGTTCCATCGGGCGAGCCTGCGCCTCGAGCGACCGGTCCCGCTCGGTCCTCCTACTGCGTCTCCTCGAGCGTCTCCTGCGTCGACGGCAGCCCTCCTCCCGCTCCTCCCTCGTCGCCCTCGTCGTGCTCCTGCGAGTCGACGACCGTGTCCTGGCTCAGCGGCGGGTACTCGGGCCCTGCCGCCAGCTCGTCGGCCCGCTCCTCCTCCTCCTCGACCGCCGCCGCCCCGTCGATGCCAGCATCGACGTCGTCGTCGCCCTCTCCTCCTCCCTCATCGTCGTCGTCGTCCTCCGGTCCAGGCATGCGCTCGTCGTCCGACCCAGCCGCCCACACGAACCCGCTCGAGCCCGTCCTGCCTCCCGGCCCCGCCCCGTTCCCACCACTCGCCGCTGGCCGCAGCGCCCGCTCGAGCTCGTCCTCGCTCCCCGACGCATCGACATCGTCGTCGGTCTCGTCGTCGTCGTCGGCATCGCCCGCGCCATGCGCATGAAACAGCGCGTCCGCCGCCGCTCGCACCTCTCTCGCGCGCGGCCCGCCCTGCGCGCCGCCCCAGGTCGGCCGCGGCCGCGCCTGCGCATGCGCCGCCGCGTGTGCGACGCCTCCCGTGCCCGGATGCGACCCTTGACCAGGACGCAGGTGCGGCTGCGGGTAAGGAGCGCGGCCGGCGCTGCTCCACGCGCCGTGCACGAGGTCCGGGTGCGTGTGGTCGTCGAACGGGAGCGGCGGCGGCGGCGGGAGCGCCGAGAAGCTCGCATGGGCGCCGAGTGCGAGGGCGGGGGCGTGTCGCGAGAGAGGCGGAGGTGGGTGGGTGCGCGAGGTGGAGGAGGAGGAGGAGGAGAGGGCGGGCGGTGGTGCGGCGAAGGAGAGGGTGCTTGGCGGGCGGGAGGACGTCGACGGCGAGGCGAAGCCGGGAGGGGCGAGCGTCGTGTCCGAGAAGGCGGCGCTCGAGCGCGCCGAGTAGGGCGAGGGCGAGGGTGCGAGTGCGCGTTGGCGACCGGACGGGAGCGTTGACGGGCCGAGGGGGTTGACCGGCGGGGCGGCGTGCGACGACGGTGTGGAGCGCGTTCCGGGTCCACTCGACCTTGGAACGGGGAGGAAGGACGACGCCGAGGGGGCGCCGGCATCGCGGCGAGGTAGTCGAGCGCTCGAGCGCAACGAGGTGCGTCGGCCTCGCGCGACGGGCGGGGCATCGCCGGGCGGCAGATCCCCCTCCGAGTCGTCGTCGCCGTCCGAGTCGCCGCCGTGTGGCGAGACGAGGTGGCGTACGCCGTGAGGCTGCTCGTGAACGGCGGCGGCGTTCATGTCGAGCGTCGACGGGAGGCCCTGGAAGCGGTCGAGGAACTCCTTGGCCTTGCCGGGCCCGCGCTTGTCGTTCTTGGCCGGTACGGGAGGAGGTGGACGTGCGCGCTGGGGGCGTGTCGAGCGAGAGGGGCGGGGAGGAAGGTAGGGAAGGTCGTCCTGGTCGGCGGCCTTGCGCTTGCCGAGCTTGACGGCGCTGACCTCGATCGCGATCGGCTCGACCTCGGCGGGCTCGCCGTCGTCGTCGGCGTCGTCGAGAGGGGGCGGCAGGTAGGCGGAACCGTCCCGCTCGCGCGCCTCGTCGGCGCGGAGAGCCGCCTGCCTCCAGCGCAGGCGCCGCTCGTCGGTGCGCCTCGCCTGGGCGCGTGCGACGGTTTGGGCGTGAAAGGGGCGGAGGTAGAGGTTCTCGAGCTCGGCGAGCGAGTGGTGGATGCGGTCGTGGGCGAGCTTGAAGTGGGCGTCTGAATGGAGATTCGACCGAGGTGGGGAGGGGCGAGTGGGTCAGCGACAAGGCGACGGGGCGGAGCGGGAGGGGCGAGAGGGCGAGCTCACACTTGACCCGGGTGCTCAACGAGTCGCGCAGCTGCGCAGGTGGAGGATGGGGGGAGAGAGGGCGCGGGTCAACATGAGGCGGACGACGAACGGCGAGAGAGGACACGCACCTCGTCGACGGGAGGGAGCGCCGCGCCACCCTGCACGCCGTAAGGGTGCGGTGCTCGTGGCATAGGCCGAGCTGGCCCTGCAGCAGCTGGTGCCGAGGGGTGAGAGCAGAGGCCAAGTCGCCTCTGAGGTCAATCGCGCGGCAGCACCGAAATTCCTGAGTCGCGCTCTCTGTGCTCTGCTAGCGGCTGCGGTGGTCTCTTGTGCGTGTAGCAAACGCCCCTGCGTCGCGCAAACTCGTGCCTCAACCGCGTCTCTCGAGCGAGCGGGCGAGCTGTCTCAGGGAAACCTGGCCGGCGCCGCCTCGAGCGCGACCAAGAGGCGGCATGGGTAAACGCGTCGAACGTACTCGCGGGCAACGACATCGCAAAGCTGACATTGCAAGGGCTGAGGGAGAGAGAGCGGTCGAGGCCGAGTCGCTGGAGAAAGGGAGCTCCGAGGGAGAGAGAGCTCGTCCTGCACCCGCTGCTCGCTCTGCGACGTGCGAGACCTGCTGCGAGCGACCATCAGCACCGACCCACCCCCCAGGCGCCACCCAGCCCGCCGCCGCCGCCTCGTACCCATCGCCGCACTCCGCTCCACCTCCGCCGACCTCGTCAGCTCGACGCTCCCCGCCCCGTCCCTTGCCCGCGCCTGCACCCCGGCCGGCCGCCATGCTCAAGTTCTTCGGCGGGGTCAGCAGCGCCCCCGACCAGACCACCCCAAAGGCGTCCGACCAGCGCAACCCGTTCGACTTCTTCACCCCCTCGTCGCGCAAAGGCTCGGTCGCCAACCAGGGCGGCCACCTCGCCCCGACCGCGAGCGGAGGCAGCTCGGGCACGGCGACCGCCGTACCTAGCGGACAGGCGACCCCGGCTCAGCGCACCAGCGTCTCGACGCCGGGAGTCGGCTCGCCCGCGGCCGCCTCGTCGTCCAGCGGAGGAGCGAGTGAGCCGCCTGCGACGCCGGGAGCTGTGCCGCCGACGCCTGGTGGGACGGTACGCAGCCAGCCTACGACCGGTGCGTCCCACGCGCTCTCTCTCCCTCTCTAGCGTTCTGGGTTGGCGGATCCGGGAGCACCGGGCTCGCTTCCGAGCGCAGTTGCTGACGCTCGCTCTTGCCCCTCCCCTCCTCCCTCCTTCTCTCTCCCACCCTCGCTCCTTGCCGACCGACCCTCCTGTCCGCCGTCGAACGCGCGACCCCTGTCCGCCGCCCGCGCCCCCTCGTCCGTCCGACGCAAACCCCGCCCTCGCCGGCCTCGCGCCCTCCCCCCCACCTCGTTCCCTCTCTCTCGTTCTCTCCGCACTCGTCGTCGCGCGCAATGGCCACCACGACCACCTCGTCGTCGCGCACTCGCCGCACCGCCTTCCTTGGCTCGTCGTCCACCGCGGCCGACACTCCCGACACCGGCACCGCCTCGTCCTCGCCGTCACCCCTCAATGCTGCGGCCTCCGGTTCCTCGTCTCGTCCGTCCGCCTCCGCCTCGCCTCGACACTCGACCTCGTCGACCCGACCCGAACTCGAAACCGCCTACTCGTGGTCGTCCTTTACCTCGTTCGCGTGGTCGACCCCGCCCGGCTCGGTCGCCTCGTCGCCCATGTCGACTCCATCCACCTCGACCCTATCCGCCGTCGACCACCCTTCCCCTGTCGCTCCACCTACCGCGTCCGACGTCGCGCGCGCAGCCATCTCGCGCGCCGAGCCCGACTTTTCGTTCAAGACGCTCCCCGGCGCCCTCACCCGCCGCCAGACGTCGCCCAACGCGCCAAAGGGCCGCCTCGTCGTCAAGCTCATCTCGGCCCGCCACCTGTCACCGCCCTCGCACGCCTCGCGCCCGTACGTCGTCGTCACTTTCGACCAGAACGAGTTCGTCTCGCGCGAGCCCGTCCACGAGGAGGGCGACGAGGCCGTCGGCATCGCCAAGCCCAAGCCCGCCCAGCTGTTCGCCCTCCAGGAGCAGGGCAAGCCCGAGGGCCTCAAGCCGGGCGCGCTCCCGGCCTTGCCCGCCGGCTCGCCCAACCCGGGCCAGATGGCGACCGAGCAGCTCGACCCGGCGACGCCCGCACCGCCGTACGCGTCGAGCCTCATGAGCAAGTCGCCGTCGAGCGCGCTCGGCAGGTCGCTCGAGGGCTACCGCAACGGCCTGTCGCCGAGTTCCGCGAGCGCGAGCGCGTCGGCCGGCGGCGCCGAGTCGTTGGCGACGCCCGGCCGGTCCGAGCGCCCGTCCCTCTCGCCCGTCAACACGGGCGTGTGGAACCCGAACGACGACCCGACTACGCCGACCGGCGCAGGTCCCGAGCCGCAGGGCGGCATCCTCGGCGTCGGCGACGACTCGATGGCGTACAACCCGACGTGGAAGCACGAGGTCCAGTTGTGCGTCTCGCGCTCTCTACTCGTCCCTCCCTGCCTCGTCCTACGCGCTCGAGACTGACTCGGTCCTTGACCCCCTCGTCCGCAGCGACGTCATGAACGAGAAGAGCGTCCTCCAGGTCCAGATCTACGACCGCTCGATCGAGGAGGAGTGCTTCCTCGGCCAGTGCGAGATCCGGCCCAAACTCGTCAACAACCACACGGTCGACCAGTGGTTCCCGCTCACGGCCCGACCGGGCGAGGACCACGAGGTGACGGGCGAGATCCGCGTCCAGATTCGCTACGAGAAGGCCGACGTGCGTCCCCCCCTTTCCTTCCCCCTCGCCCTCCTCGTCCGCCTCGAGACTCGTCGAGACCCCGTCACTGACTCGGGCTCTTGTCCTCGCACGCACGCAGGCCAAGAAGGGCCTGCACCCGAACGACTTCGACTTCCTGCGCATGATCGGCAAGGGCACGTTCGGCCGCGTCTTCCAGGTGCGCAAAAAGGACACGCGGCGCATCTACGCCATGAAGGTCCTGTCGAAGCGCGAGATTGTCGCCAAGAAGGAGGTGGCGCACACGATCGGCGAGCGCAAGATCCTGCAGCGCTCGAGCGACTCGCCGTTCCTCCTCGGCCTCAAGTTCTCGTTCCAGACCGAGACCGACCTGTACCTCGTCATGGACTACAAGTCGGGCGGCGAGCTGTTCCACCACCTGCAGAAGGAGGGCCGGTTCACCGAGGACCGTGCGCGGTTCTACACGGCCGAGATCGTCCTCGCGTTCGAGCACCTGCACAAGTTCGACATCGTCTACCGGTCCGTCTTGCTGCCCCTCTCTCTCTCGCCGTCACGCGCAACGACACTGACTCGTCGTCGTCGCCGCTCGCAGTGACCTCAAGCCCGAGAACATCCTCCTCGACGCGACGGGCCACATCGTCCTATGCGACTTTGGCCTGTCCAAGCCCGACCTGCCGTCAGACGCCCTCACCAACACGTTCTGCGGCACGACCGAGTACCTCGCACCCGAGGTCCTCCTCGACGACAACGGCTACTCCAAGATCGTCGACTTCTGGTGCGTCCCCCTCTCGCTCCTCCCCTCGTCGTCGCTCTTGGCTCTCGATCTGACGCTCGACCTCGATGCAGGTCTCTCGGCGTCCTCCTGTTCGAGATGTGCTGCGGCTGGTCGCCATTCTACGCCGAGGACACGCAGCAGATGTACAAGCTCATGTGCGTCCTCGAGTCCTCCCTTTCCTCGTCTCCTCCTCGCGTCACTGACTCTCTCTTGCTTTCGCGCAGCTGTTTCGGCAAGGTCAAGTTCCCGCGAGGCGTCATTGGCGAGGACGGCAAGCAGTTCGTCAAGGGCGTGCGTCCACCTCTCCCTCCTCTCGCGCTCGGACCTCGACCTCGGCAGCGGAAACTGACTCTTCCCTCGACTCACACAGCTCCTCAACCGCAACCCGAAGCACCGCCTCGGCGCACAGCGCGACGCCGCCGAGCTCAAGGAGCACCCCTTCTTCAAGTCGATCGACTGGGACCTCCTCGCCAAGCGCCAGATCCCGCCGCCGTTCAAGCCCTACGTCGACTCGGACGAGTCGGTCGCCAACTTTGACCCCGAGTTCACCGAGGCCAACCTGTTTGACGAGGCGCCGCACGACGTCGAGTGGGACGACGACGACCCGTCGGCCGACTGGATCGACCGCGCGCGCATGCTCGGCGGCCGGTCGCACGACCACGGCGGGGCAGGGCACAAAGAGGGAGCAGGAGCTGGAGGTGCACCGGCGCCGGCGCCGCTCGAGATCAAGCAGCAGCAGCGCACGAGCCGGCCGGCGGCGCAGCCTCTGTCGAGCTCGATGCAGGAGAACTTCCGTGCGTCCTCTCTTGCTCTCTCTCTTCCTCTCTATCTTGCGTCGAGACTGACTCGTTCGTGTTCTCGCAGGCGGCTTCACCTTCTCGGGCGAGACCGAGTCGATGATTCACCATGCGGCGGGCGGGTTCAGCCGACTCGGCCTCGAGGAGGACGACGACCCTGCGGCGCCGGGCCAGATGAACGACGAGGACCGACGGCGGTTGTCGGGCGAGTCGACCCGGCGGCAGGGCAAGAACGGCGGCGCAGGGGGAGCGGGAGGAGGCGACGACGAGTGGGAGGACGAGCGGTAGAGTGCGCCCTCTCTCGACCGCGTGCGTCGGCCCTCGACGGTGAGAGGCTCGACGATGATGGTGCGCAGCAGCGACGGCGATGGCGACGACGCCAAATACACCCACGGACCCTCCTTTTCCTCTTTCCTTCCCCCTCCTCCTCCCCTTCCACCCCCCTCGATTTCCCTGTGCATGCCTTCTCTCTCGCAGCGACCCGTATTTTCCTCCCCTTTCCTTGTCCAGCATCTTCCCCTCTTTCTCCCTCTGTTCATTCGTCTCTTTCCGCACGAGCGCAAGATGCTCGTTCCTCCTCCTCCTCCTCGCACCCTTCGTAGCATGATCCCTCTCCCTTCTCGTTACTCTCGCGAAGGCGGAATGTACTCTCTTGCGACGTCCACCTCTCGTCGCGCTCGTCCCGGCAGCGGGTCTCGAGAGGCGAGAGCAAGCTCGAGAGCATCTTCCCCGCTCGGACCGGTTCAGCCCCTCTTGTCTCTCGCTCGCGCTCTCTCTCTCGCGCGCGCGCTCTCGACGATCGTTCGGCCGTCTGGCCTTGCACTCTGTCAGGCTGCCACTCGAGAGCTCGCTCATCGACGACGGATCTGAGAGCAAGCACAAGCGGCGGCGAGAAGAGCCAGCGAGCGAGAGGGGAAGCTTTCTTTCACAGCTGAGGGGGACGTACAACGTCGCTTTACGTGTCTGGGCTCTCTGGGTCGTTGCTCATCGTGAAGAAGTGTGTACAACGTCGCTCCAATCATCTACGCTCCGGCTCGTCTAGTAGCCCCACAGCTTGCTCGCGACCTCCTCGACGCGCCGAATGCCCTCCTCCATCTCGACGCGGTCGTTATACGAGAAGGCGAAGCGGAAGTGGCCGACGGCGGGCTCGGCGCCGCGCTGCGACGTGGTCGCCTTGCCCGACGACGCCGGGACGACGTAGTACGAGCCGGGCGTGAGAAGAACCTGCGACGGTGAGGAAGAGCGAAAGTCAGTCACGGTGGATGGCGAGTGAATCATGAGGGAGAGAAAGGAGGAGAGAGAGCGAGGGGAAGGGGCCTGGGGGAGGAAGATAGAGTGGAAGAAGAGGGGCGCGAGCGAGGACGCACGAGGTTGTCGGCGAGCGCCTTCCACATCTCGCCCATGAAGGCGTTCTCCGGGTCCTCGTGCTGCGCAGTCTGGAGCTCGCGGAACCGAGGTGCGCCCGACAGGTAGAACTTGATCCAGAGGAACCTGCACGAAGAACGGTCTCGAGGTCAGTCCCTGACACCTCGACGCGACGGCGAGAACCTCGACGACAGAAAGAGAGGGACAAGAGACGCACATGCCGCCTGCAGGGGGCACGAAAGATGCCACCGGCGCCTGGTCGGGCTTGATCGTCGCCGGGTCGGTCCCCCTCGGGTACAGCGCGACGCCCTCGCAGCCCGGCACGGCGCTCGCGTACTTGTCGGCCGGCAGCGCGACGAAGCGCTTGGCGAGGGCGGCGCACATGATGTTGCGGCGCAGCTCGTACGAGTCGCGCAGGTTCGAGAGCCACTGGAGGTACCCGTCCTGGCCCCACGTGTGGAGGAGCTGCGACACGATGGCCATCGACCACCCGCTCGGCGTCTGCGACTCGACCTCGGTGGCGCGCAGGAGGCGCTCGATAAAGATCGGGTTGGCGACAAAGTAGCCGAGGCGAGAACCGGGCGCGAGCGTCTGTCAAAGGGGGGAGAGCGAGGTCAGGACGGTCTCGCAGTGGCTCCTCTCGCCCATAAAGTTCTAGAGAGAGACTGCGAGCGAACCTTGGAGAACGAGTCGAGGCGGATGACGCGGCCCTCGTAGTCGTACTTGAGGAAGGACGTCGCGAGCGTCTTGCGGAACTGCTCGCCGGTCTCGGCGACGGGGACGACGGGCTCGGGCGTGATCTCGAACTCCCTGAACGTCAAGCACGAGTACGGGCCGTCGTCGACGATGATGATGTCGTACTTGCGGCACACCTCGTAGACGTCGCGCATGCGGTCGCCGGGCATCGACAGGCCGGCCGGGTTCTGGCCCTGCGGGATCGTGTACAGGACCCTCGGACGACGTTCACCCGGGTGCGTCGTCTCCCACTCGGACAGGACGCGCTCGAGGTCGTCGGCGCGCAGGCCGTGCGCGTCCATCTTGACAGGAACGCCCTTGCAGCCCTCGGGGACCCACGGGCCGAACGACGACGGGAAGCTGAACTCTTCGAGCAGGATGTAGTCGCCCGCGTCGAGCAGGAGGCGGCACACCTTGGCCCATGCCGCCGTGTTGCCCTCGTGGAGGAGGATCTCAAAGTTGGAGTAGGCGGGCGAAAAGACGTCGCGCGTGAACTGGTGCAGCCAAGCGCGCAGCTCGGGAAGGCCGAGCGAGTGGCCGTACTGCTGGACCGAGTTGAGGTCGAGCGCGCCCTTGACCGGCGCCGTCTTGGGGATCGTGAGCGTCAACTGCTCGTCGACGGACGGCACGACGCCGTGCTTGAGGTCGGCGTTGGCCGGGTAGACCGAGACGTTGGCCTCGGCGAACGGGAACAGGGAAGGGTGCGGCAGACCTGCAGGATCCAAGGGTGAGCATGGCGCTCGACGAGGAGGTGGAGGACAGGTGCAGCTCACCGCCGGCGAGCGAGATCATGCCGGGCTGGGCCATGTAGTTGAGGATGTCCTTGAGCGGCGAGGCGAACCGGTTGCGGGCGATGCTGTTGAGGTGGTGCGACAGGTCGATGGCCTTGGGCAGCTCGAGAGGGACGGTCATCTGCGTGGACGAGGGAGCGAGGTGAGTATGGCTGCGCGGGTCGCGCTTGGAGCGGGATCGGGCAGTGCGCACCTTGCACGGTAGGCTGGCGGGGCACAGCGACAAGCAAGCGAGTGTAGAAGCGAGCAAGAAGAGCGAGCGAGGGGCGGCAAGCCAAGCGGCGTGCCGAACGTGCCGGCGGCTTGACTCTCAGCAGCCCGGGACCGCCCGACCAGGCTGCGAGTTCTGGCAGAGTGCTTCCTGAGCTCTACAAGGGCCGACCCAGCCCGCAAGAGCCTTTGCGGCGAGCGAGACGAGGAGGAGCTGATGAGAAATCTCCGAATCGACCGCCCCCGCTGCATCGCTCGTGGAGAGCTGCGTCCTTGCTCGCCTGCTGTAACGATAGCTCCTGGGCCATACACCGCGCATCACAAGCTGCCCGGCGGGGTGCGCGACGCTGCGCAGGATCGCTCTCGCCCGGGACGAGACCTCCTCTCTGCTCTCTCGCTCTCCACATCGCTCGCCAGCATGGACGCTTCCATGCAGCAGGTGCTCCCAGGCCTCTGGATCGGCGACTACACGGCCGCGAGCAACCACGCCCTCCTCGAGGAGCACGGCATCGCCTGCGTCGTCTCGTCGAGTGAGCTCTCCCCTCCTCTCGATCTCGAGCCCACGGCACCCGTGAGCTCCAGAGCTGACTAGCATCTCGTCCCACAGTGCGCCAGGAATACACGACCGCGCCCGGCGTCAGCCTGCACCACGTCGCCGTCGACGACACCGACAAAACCAACCTCCTCGAGCATGTTGTCCCGACGGCCGACTTTATCGACTCGGCCCTCACCAAGGGCGAGAGCGTGCTCGTGCATTGCCAGGCCGGCGTCTCGCGCTCGACCACCCTCGTCGCCGCGTACCTCATGCTCAAGCACGGCCTCAACGTCGAGCAGGCCCTCGACAAGATCCGCGCCGTCCGGCCCCAGGTCGAGCCATCCGAGGCCTTCATGATGCAGCTCGAGATGCTCGAGCGGTGCGACTGCGAGTGGGACCCGGTCAAGTGGCCCGAGCAGCGCCGGTTCCTCATGTCGTTCATGCAGTCGCAAATCATGGGTACGCCCCGCGCTCTCTCTTCCCCATCCCTCTCGTCTTGTGCGCTCAACCTGACTCTGGTCGTCAACGCAGAGGGCGCCTCGCCGTCCATCATCCTCGCCTACTACCCCTCGCCCGCCGCGACGCCCAAGGAGCGCCGCGAGAGCTTCAACATGTCGATGTCGACCCTCCCTCGCCCGCACATCTCGCCTCCTGCTTCACCCTCGTCTCCTCGTTCTGCCACCGCACCCAACACGGCCGCCATCGTCTCGGCGCCGACCTCGCCAGCCTCGACGTCGGGCCAGATGCCGCCGTTCCCGATGCCGCTCCCCGAGCTGTCGGCTCCGCCAGCCCGCAAGCGGCTCACGCCCCGCAAGGTCGAGCCGCAGGAGGACGTCGAGCAGCAGCAACGGCGCATCGAGCGGCCTGAGATCGAGAAGATCGGGACGAGGGAGCAGGTCGTCGTGTCGGGGCGCCGGGTCCGGTGCAAGATGTGCAGGTGCGTCCCCCTTTTCTTTCCTTCCTCTCTTCTCGAGCACTTTCCGTGCACCTCATCCACGAGAGCGACCTGACGAACTCGACTCTGCAGGCGAGAGCTGGCTGCTCGCGACAACATCGTCGCGCACGAGCCCGGCAAAGGGCAGCAAGCCTTCGCGCCCAACCGGCGCGACATGACGGCCTACCGCGCCGAGGTCGAGAAGCGCCGCCTCGACGAGGCGCGTGACGCGGCAGCGCTCGCTGTTGCGAAACCCGTCGCGCCGCCTGTCGCACCTGCGGCCGCTCAGCCGGCGGCGGCGACGAGCCCGGCGACCGATGCGCAGCCGCCGAGCAACCCGCTCGCGGCGCTCCGCATCTCGCAGCCCCTGCAGGGCATGCGCGTCGTCCAGCCCCGAGGCCCGCCCGTCCTGCGGCCGCAGCCTGTCGCTCGTCCGGCACCTCGCAAGACGTCGCCTCCCGCCGACGCCGATGCCGCCACCGCCACCGCCGCAGCGCCCTCGACCGCCGACGGCGAACCTCGGCCTGCACCCGAGGCCGACGCGTCGCTCTTTCCCGCCGCCGCCACATCATCTGCCCCAGCCTCGACCTCAACCTCGACCTCCTCCGTCGCTCCCCCCTCGTCCGCGCCTCGCGTCGACCCTCCCCTCCTCCCGTCGCACACCTGCTCGTCCTACTTCGTCGAGCCCCTGAGCTGGATGAGCCCGGTCCTCGAGACGGGCGTCCTCGCCGGCAAGATCGTCTGCCCAAACTCGAGGTGCGGCGCCAAGTTGGGCAGCTTTGACTGGGCCGGCAGTCGTGCGTCCTCCTCTCTCTCTCTCTCATCTCCTTCTTCCCTTTGAGAAGCACGGACTGACGCCGAGCCCGACGTCCACAGAGTGCTCGTGCGGCGCCTGGGTCTGCCCCGGCTTCGCGCTCAACGTCTCTCGGGTCGACGAGGTCTCTGGCTGAGTCGCTGCACCTGAAACTCGAGCGAGCATTTTTATCTCTCTCCGTGTCTGTCGAGAGCTGCTTCAGAGAGGCGGTCGAGGTTTGCGCTCGCTCTCTCGTTCTCTCGAAAGGGGCTCGTGCACAAGCAAACGGTCGTTTCACGCGCTCTCTCCTCGTCGCTCGAGATGCACGGCATTACCCTCGTCCCCTCTCTGCTAAGCAAGAACCCGAGGATCCCTCGCCCTCGACGAGAGCGCGCCTAGTCGTAGTTCTTGGCCGAGCCGCCGCAGCAGCTCGCGAACAGGCCGGCCTTCTTCTTCGGCTTGGCCGCCTCGGCCTTGGGCGCCGGCGCCGACGTCGCGGCGGGTGCGGGTGCGGCCTCGCTCTGGGGCGCAGGAGCGGCGGCGGGCGTCGACTCGGCGGCAGGTGCGGGTGCCGGGGTCGGGTCGGCGGCGACGGGCGTGGGCTCCTTGGCGGCGACGTCGGCGGGAGCGGCGGCGGCCGACTCGTCGACGTGGTACGGCTCGGCTGCGCGTAGAGGAGAGAACGAGTCAGTGACCGCGCGTGCGAGAGAGAAGAGGAGAGGAGAGAGGAAGGCAGGACGGACTCTGCGCAGGGACCGACTTGGCGAGGACGGGCTCGCCCTCGGCGACAGTCGGGGCGGTCGTCGCCGACTCCTTGGGCGCGACGGCGTGCTTGGCGAGGCTGTCGACGAGGGGAGAGAGCGAGTCAGTGCCTGGACCTCGACGAGAAATGGCAAAGGTTGCGAGGCGAGGGAGCGGGACGAGGAGAAAAGGCGCGACCGAGACAAGGACAACGCGAGACGGGGCGTTCGACAGTTGCACGTGCTCGCTACCCCGTCCTCGTCGCCCTCGCCAATGCCCTCGAGATCAACCAGCCCATTTCCATTCCAGCCGCTGCTCCTCCTCGCCTCGGAACTGCTCGAGGGGGAACGGCTTCTCGTAGAGGCAGTGGGACGGAAGCTTACGCAGTCTTCTCCTTACCAGCCTCAAACGTCGCGACCGTCTGCGTGAAGAACTTGGCCTGGTAACGGGCGACGTTGAGCTCCTTGGCCGAGATGGCGCGCGAGCCGTCGCCGCCGGCGATGCCTGCGGCGCCGTACGCCGAGCCGCCGACGATCTCGCCGTTGTCCGAGAGCTCGGGGGCGGCAAAGCCGATCGGGACGTAGATGCTGTGAGGAGAGAGGTCAGTGCGAGGCCTCTAACTCGTCGAGGAAGGCCAGGAACCGCTTAGCTCACATGCCATGATGCGCCATGAACGGAATGGTGGTAAGCGCCGTCGATTCTTGTCCACCATGCTGCGAGGCGGTCGACGTGAAAATGCCGCCGAGCTTCCCGACGAGGGCGCCCGACGCCCAGAGGCCGCCGGTCGCGTCGAAGAAAGCCGACACCGCGGCGGGCGCACGGCCGTAGCGCGTGGGGAAGCCGAACAGGAAGCCCGAGTACTTGGTGAGGTCCTGCGGCTTGATCTCGGGGTGGTCGGCGCGAGGGGCGGCGTGCATCTTGCCGCGGATCTCGTCCTGCGAGCGGCGCCGGTCGTGAGCGCTCGTTCCGCCACCGTCGAGGAAGAACTCTAGGACGTACGCTCAGGATCTCGGGAATCTGGAGGAGGTCGACCTCGGCGCCATGGGTGCGAGCCTCCTCGGCCATGGCCTCGGCGAGGGTGCGGACGTGACCGTCTGGATGGGGGGCAAGGTGGGTCAGTGGGTCGCTCGAGAGCCGTGCAGGAGGTTGTGTGGGACGTGGCACAAGACGAGAGGGAGGTTCGACTCACAGGTCGAGTACTGCTCGTTGTTGGACGAAGGGGAGGAGGAGAGGGGAGCAAGTCAGGGCTCGGCGACGATGGCGATAGGAGGACAGGACGACGCACGTAGATGACAGCGATCTTGGCAACCCTGTGTGGCACGGTCGGGCCCAGGCGAGGCGAGGGAGAGTAGCGAGGTGGAGGGAGGCAGGTGGGAGGAGGGAGCGGGGCGAGAAGGGGGGGAACGGGGCAGGGGCAAGGTCAGTGCGGGTCGCTCAGGCAGTCGAGAGAGGGATGCAGGGCACGCACATGATGAGCTCGAGACTGGGCTTGGTGTGGTAGAGGAGGGAGGAGAGCTAGTTCGTTCGCTCCACCACCTTCTCCCCCTCGGTCCCGGCTCCGCTTGCCCTTTTCGGCCGCCTGCTTGATGAGCGGCTCGTCTTGGTCAACTTTCCAAATCAAGTCTCGTGCGGGAAGCGAGAGCGCCGCTCGGCCCCTCCAGCTTGAGGGTCAAAACGCCGCCCGCGAAGAGCTTCTTTCGCTCTCGCACGCATGGCTACGCTCGTTCCGACACAGTCATCCTCGAGTGACAGAGCTCTCGCTACAGCTGCCAAACTCGGGCCCCTCGCGAGCTCACCTCGCCGCCGTCCGGCGCGACCGCCGCGACCCTCGTCCAGAACACGCTCTCCTTGAGCCGCACCACCTCGCTCCAGCACCGGTCCTCCCACCCTGTCGCGCTCGCGATGATGTCGCCGCCGGGCACGACCTGCCCTGCTGCGCCGGGACCTGCGCCGGCGAGGGAAGGGTGCCGAGGCGGCGGCGTCGGGTGCTGCGCCGAGTCGACGACGCCGGCGCCGGTGCGTCGAGGAGGCGGTGGAGGGGGCGTCGATGGGCGAGAGACGGTGGGCGAGTTGCGCGCCGACGAGCGCGAGGGGCGCGGCGGTGCGGCAGGACCGCCTTTGCTCGACCCGGCCGAGAGCGATGTCGACGAGTCGTTCGAGTTGGCCGTGAGCGCCGGCGACACGTCTGCGCCGACACCTCGCTCGTCGCCTTCTGCGCCGCCACCGCTGCTGATGCTGCTCGCGCCGCCGAGGTCGCCGCCCTCGGGCTCGACGATGCGCGGCGTGCCCTTGTCGCTCGCGTCGTGCGTGTCCTCGGCCTCGAAATCGCGCGCCTGCACGCTCACGTCGCCCGCCTGCTGCTCGAGCCCGAGCTCGGGTTCACGCTCGTGCTCGTGCGCGCCGACTGGCCCGAGCCCGAGCCCGTCCTGCGCCTTGTCCTGCGCCGCCGGGGTCGACGACGACGCCGTTCGGGGCGTCGCCGGCTTGGACGCCGAGCTGCCGCGCACGGGCGTCTGAGGCTCGCTGCCCGAACCGCCGGCGCCGTCCCGTGCGCCTTGGCCGAAGCGGAAGCCCTCCTCAAGGAGCAGGCCTCGCTCGATGACGCGGATGTAGGTCCAGAACTCGCACACGGCCCGCAGGCGCGCGAGGCAGTACGAGGGGCAGACCGGGTAACGCTGCGTCGCCGTGTCGGACGCGCGGAACAGGTGGACGAGGAGGAGGGCGTCGTGCGGGTGGTGCGAGGCCGACGAGGCGGGAGGAGGGAACACGAACGAGTCGCTCGACGACGACGAGTGGTGGTTGTGGTACGACGACGACGTCGACGTGGCCGACGAGAACGTCGGCGTGTTGCTCGACGACGTCGAGCGCGAGAACAGGGACGAGCCAAACTTGCGCATCGTCTGGTTGACGCTCGCGACGCTCGGGACCACCTGCTGCGGCTTGAACCCGCGCACGACGCCCGAGTTGGGGAGCCACTTCTCGAGGCTGCACCCGCACAGGGCGCACTTGTCGCTCTGGAGGTCGATGCCGGCGTGGAGCGGCTCGATGAGGAGCGTGCCGTCGACAATGGCCTGGCCGATGCCGCGCCGCGACAGGAAGCCGAGCCCGGGCGCGAGGTCGAGGCGCAGCGCCGGGTCCGAGTCCTCCTCGACGCAGCGCTTGAGGAACGGCTGCGAGAGGTGCGTCGAGAGGAGGAGGTGCGGCGACAAGAGCTGGGCGGGCGAGAGCTGGACTTGGGGGGGAGGGTCGGCGGCGAACGCGCGTGCGGCGAGGCCCGGGTGCGAGAAGCTCGCGTCAACGGGGCGAGTGAGGGCGGTGACGCGAGTCTGGCGCAGGTAGGTGATGAACGACAGGAACTCGTGATACGGGAGGACCGAGGTGAGGAGGCGAGGCGCCGACAGGCCCGACGGCGACGGCTGCGCGGTCGAGATGGCGAGCGCCTTGGTGTTGAGCGGCGACAGGTGCTCGCCGTCCGAGAACATGATGGCGCCGACGTCGCCCTCGCCCGACTCGAGGCCCTCGCTCACGTCCTCCTCGACGGCCTCGCCGTGCGCCGACAGGCGCTGCTTGAGCTCGACGACCTCGGCGTCGCGCTTTTCGAGCTTGAGGACCGTCTCGCGCAGGCTGACCTGGACCTCGTCGAGGAGGGCCTGCATCGACGCGTCGGCCTCCTCGAACGAGCGCATCTTCTCCTCGGCGCGGGCCCGCGCGACGCGCTCGAACGCGACCATCTTGTTGGCCTCGGTGAACAGGTTGCTCGTGAGGCTCTCGATCTCGGTTTCGAGCGCCGTCTGGGCCTGGACGGCCGTCTCGCGGTTCTTGGTCTCCTCCATGACCTTGGTCATGAGGCGCTGCATCTCGCCCTGGACGTGGTTCTGTAGCGTGTGGGTGCAAGCGCAAAGTCAGGACATTGCTCTTGTAGAGCTCGACAGAGGGAGAGAGGCTCGGGGACGCACCTTTTCGACCCAGCCGCCGGCCTCGATCTCCTTGTCCCACTTGACCTTGTCCTGCTCGAGCTGGGCGACGCGTTGGCGCAAGCCGCGCACGGCCTCCTCGTTGTCGTGCAGGTCGTCCTCGAGCTCGCCGCGGGTCGTGTAGCTCTTTACGAGCTTCGAGTTGAGGCTCGTGACCTGGCCGGTGAGGTCGGTGATCTGGCCGCGCAGGAAGGCGACGAGCTCGTCGGGTGAGCTGGCGTCGGGCTCGTCGAGGTCGGCGTGCGAGTCGGTGCGTGGCAGGTGGAGGGACGAGGTGGATGCGGCGGGGGCAGGGTGGGCGGCAGACGAGGGTGGGGAGGAGGACGAGGGAGGGTCGGCGCCGTCTGCGCGAGCGGGGGCGTGCGGTTGCGGATGTGCGCCGTCGTGGTCGGCGTCAGGGTGGCGTGCGTCGTCGTTGGGCGTGTCGGGTGCGGCCTCGGTGTCGTGGAAGTCGTCGTTCGAGTCGGCCACGCTCGCTGCCGAGTCGGCGTGAGCGGGCGAGAACGAGGGCTCGTTGCCGGCGTCGCTGCCGGGCATGGTCAAGGTGTGCTTGCTCGCTGGCCTGGCGGGCGGTATGGACGAGCGCGAGAGGAGTGAGGAGGAGGTGGGGGACGACGACCACAGGTCTCGCCTCCAGGGGCGCTTCTGTGGTAGTTCAAAGTGTTGGATACGATCTCGAACGCTTCTTCCAGCAACTCCATCCTGCCCGCGAGGGGCGAGAGGTGCTGCAACTCGGCGGCCTCGTCCTCGAGGGAGGGACGACAGCGGCCCTGCTCTCGCCACGGCTCCTCACACGCACAGCTGCGGCCTGCCCTTGCCCGACGCGCTTGCTCTCGATCTAGCCACGCCCGCGCCGACCTTTCACAGGTGAGCCCGTCCTCTCCTCCTCCTCTCCCCTCGCCAAGATTGGCGCCGCCCGCCTCGCCTCGTCAACCCTCTCAAGCGGGTGCACGAGAGCGCGTGCCGTATCTTTGAGCCCCCAGGAGTGCTTCCGAGGCGCCGCACTGACTCTCCGGCCCTCGTACACGTCCACAGCTTGTCACCTCCTCCGCCCGCTCATCAACCCCCCGCGCTTGCCGACCACACCCGCCTCCAACACCGTCATGGGCCCGATTCTCACCCCTTCTATCCGCCGTGTTATCCAGAACATCCGCCAGGTCGGCCCCAAGCGTGCGTCCCCTCGTCTCACCCTCCCTCGTCCTCCTTCTCTCCTGCGCGCCTGCTGACCCCGACTCTCTCGCCCGGCAGAGGCATGGCGTGACCTGCAGTACATCGGCGACTTCAAGGCGGGCAAGTTTGTCGGCCAGGACGAGTGCGTCTCCCCCTCCCTGCCCGCAACGCGTCGAGCATTCTGCGCGCGCTTAGTCCGACTGACCCTCTCGCCCGCTACGCAGGCACGGCAACCGCTTCTTCGAGAACCCGGACGAGACCCTCTGGAGGCACCGCTGGGTCGACTATGCCTCGGTGCGTCCTTTGAGCCCCTTTGCCTAATGAGCGGCGGTCTAGAAAGCCGAGGACATCGTGTCGCTGACTTGCCTCGGCACCCATCTTCCCTCCCTGCCCGCCCCGCACCTCCTCCGTCGCCCGAAACAGCACGACTACAACGCGTCGCAGATCACGCCCGAATGGCACGCGTGGGTGCAGCACGTCCGCCACCTCCCGCCGACCCAGGACCCGGTCATGATCGCGTCCAAGCAGCGGTGGATGACGGTGCGTCCCGCTCGTTCCTCGCCCTCTCAAGAGCTTGCCTCTCGTCGCCCGACCCGTCACTGACCGCGTACCCTGTCGCCCTCGCTCGCCCGCAGCCCCACACGGAGAACCTGACCGGGACCCGAGGCGCGTTCAAGACGTACTCGACGACCAAGAACAAGGTCGACTCCTGGGAGCCCAAGGTGGCTGCGCGCCAGTAGCCTGTCCCCTGCCTCCTTCCTTTTCGTCGCCCTCTCGTAATCCTCGTCCCGAACCGCGTGTCCGCCTCCGTTGGGACCCTTTCGCGAGCAGCATGTCGAGAGGCTCGTCTTGCGGCAGCCCAATCACGCCTCGAGCCCTTGTCGTGGGTCGGGCGACGGGCCGCCACTCTCCGCCACTGCTTCGTCGGGTTCGCTGCCACGTGCGCGTCTCGAAGCTCGAGTTTCCCACGGTCGGTCCTCGGAGCGATCGTCGCCCTCGCACTTTTTGACCTTTCGCCTGCCGACCTCGCCTGCGCGCCCGGCACGGCCGGGCAGAGGCGATAGCGACGCTCGAGCGCTTTGTGCTAGTTCCCGAGCGAACGGCCGCCGACAGCTGCGGCCGCGCGGCGCGAGGGCAACTCGGGTCCTCCGTCGAGAGCTCTCGCAGCTCGCAGCGTGCTCTCGCTCGCTTCTTCTTCTTTCCTGCGCGCTCCTCAGACTCGCAGTGACCATGAGCTATCCCTCGAGCTCCACCTCCATCGCCATGCGCAAGCCCAAAGGCCTGTCAAAGGGCGCCGCCTGCGTGACCTGTGCGTCCTCCCTCCTTTCTCGGCCGACCCCACTCCCTCGGGACCTCGCTCACGCTCTCTCCCCTCGTCGTCACGCAGGCAAGCTGCGCAAGGTCCGCTGCGACGCCGTCAAGCCGGCGTGCACGGCGTGTCGCCGCTCGGCCCGCTGGCGCGGCGACGACGCCGTCGGATGCTGCTACGTCGAGGCGACGCCGAGGCGCAAGTCGAGCAAGTCGCACCACGACGACCTGCTGCGGCACTGCCTGCGCTCGGCGAGCGGCGACAGCACGGCGTCGTCGTCGGGCGTGTCGACACCGTCCTCGGAGCGGTCCGAGCGTGCGTCCTCCCTCTTTCTCTTCTTCCTCATCCTTTGTTCGTCGATGGCAGGCACTGACTCGCATGTTCGACCGCGCAGACCCGTTTTCAAACCCTCCCTCGCCTGCACTCCTCGACCTCGAGTCGCTCCTCGCCTTCCCAATCCCGTCCTTCCCCGCCATCACTTCTTCCACCTTCGCCCTCCCCGAGTTGCCGCCTCTCGACGGCACGTTTGCCTCGAGCCTCGATGCGTCGACCAAGGGCAAGGCGTCGAGCATGGACGCGCTGGCGTACCCGACCGACATGGACCTCGACTCGCTCCTCCTCGACTTGGCCTTGTCGCTCCCTCTCCCGACCTGGCCGCCTGCGCTCGACTCGTCGACAGTCGTCAGCGACCCGAGCTTTCCAACCATCGGCGGCGTTGCCTGCACGGCGCCTCAATACGCCTCGGACCTGGTCGCCTCGCCCTCGTCGTACCTCGACCTCGACTTCGACCTCGGCCCCTGTCCCCCTCTCTCGCCCTCATTCACCGCCTCGTTCGACTCCTTCGTCGCACCTCCACCTCCTCTCGAGCTTTCTCTACCGCAAGGGCCCGGCCTTGCGCTCGCCGAAACGAACCCTCCTGCGCCCTCCTCGACCAGGTCCCTCCCTCTCGCTCGCCGCGCCGCACGCCCCGAGCGTATCGCCATCCCCAACTCGGACCCTGCCGATCCTTTCGCGGCCGCCTTTGGCCAGGCGCTCGCCGAGCGGCTGTGCAGCGGTGCGGCGCAGCTCGAGTTGTGATTCTCCTCCCTCTCCCTCGCCTTCCCACCCTTTGTGCACCCTAGATCCGTTGTCAGTGTCGCCTGTAACGAGTCTGCTCCTTTTAGTCCTCTCTTGGTGCGAGAGGAGAGCGCCTCGAGCGCGAGCAAGTCGGGCGCTCGAGCCCCTTTGACCTTCGCGACCTCGTCGACCTCGACCCCTTCGTCCGCTTCCTTGCCTCCGCATTTGCTCGCGCCTCTTCATCGACGGACGAAGCTAGTGCTCGCCGCTGTCGACAGCTTGGATGCGCTCGCGCCCGCAGTCGCTGTCGATCCGCCTCGAGGATCCGCGTCGGCGACCGGCGTCGAGCTTCCTGGCTTGAGCGCTGACGGCGCTCGTGGCCGTCGAGGCCGACTTTGGTCAGCGTTCGTCGGGCGTGGACGGACGACGGTGCCTGCACTCAAGGGCCTGTGGTGCCTACAGCTCGTCGGTTCGCCGGCCTCGTCCTTGGCTTTCCTCTCCTCGACCTGCCTTCCACCGTCACGCTCTCCCCTCTCGCGCTCGCTCTCTGGCAGAGCCGACATCGACGTTTTCCTTCTGTGCATCCACATCGCTCAGCATGGTCTGGCGCAATCCGTCGCAGGCGACCCTCAACCGCGGCCCGGAGCCCGACGCCTCGCGACCGGCCGACCTCGAGCGCAGCAACACCGGCACCTCGATCTCGACCTTCTTCTTCGGCAAGGCGACTCGTCACACGGTCGGTCGGCGCCCCGACGGCGACAGGACCGCACCCGCTCCGCTCCTCCCCTACCTCGCCTCGCGCTCCAACGCCTCGCCCACGCTCCCCCTCCGCGCCTCGAAGCTCCTCCAGGTCGAGAAGCTTCCGCGCGACGAGCGTATCGTCGCGTGGCAGGCCGGGCGCGACGACGAGCTCGGCGGGCTCGAGCGGTGGCGCGCGCAGGTCGCGCGCGACGTGCGTTGGGAGGAGGACGAGGCCAAGTCGAAGGGCGAGGACGTGAGCGCCGTCGTCAGCGACTTCCAGAGCATGTTGGAGACGTCGCGTACGTCCTCTCTCTCGCTCTCGAGGGCGTCCAGCAGCAGTACACTGACGAGCAAACTCGCCCGCAGTCTTCTCAACTTCGTTCGCGGTCGGGTCGCTCAAGCTCCCTCCGTCGCCGCTACAGCCCGACTCGCCCGTCGAGCACCTCGACCCGCTACATCGCGACTCGATGACGCTCCCGCCCGACGTGCACGCCGACGACGAGATCGAGCGGGACGAGAACGGCTTTCCTTTCCCTCCTCCTCGCGACGCCTCTCTCGCCGCCGACCAGCCGCGCACCATCGTCCGCAACGAGATAGACCTCGTCCCGCCGACGGCATACCGGTTCCCGACGAGCGCCGTCCCGCCGACGCCGCCGTTCCCCTCCCTCGTCCGCGTCGAGACCGCTCCGCCGTCCCCCATCTCGCCGCACGAGCACGTCTCGCCTCCTCCTCGATCGTCCTCCCTCCCGTTCCACGACCTCCTGCGCGTCTATCCATGCCCATCGCCCTCCCTCTCAACACCCTCGCCCTCGTCGCTCGCCCCCTCTCCCTCGCACACGCTCCCGCCGCACTGCGGCCTCGTCCCGCCGAAAGCGGCCGCGCTCCTCGGCCTGTTCGACCCCTCGGCCCCCCTCCTGCGCCACGGCGCGACGGCAAGCCGAGCGCGCAACGACAGCGGCGACGCTGGGCGAGCGACGGCGGCCGAGAGCGCCGGATACCGCGACTCGCTCGACTTGACCGACGCGGGCACGACGTCGTCGGCGCTCGTCGCGCCGAGCTACGGGACGGGTTTGAGCCTCGGCACCGGGCCCGGCGGCGGGTACCGCTCGGCGGCGGTCGGCGTCGCGCACGCGCACGCGCACGGCTCGAGCCTGTCGTCGCTCGCGTACTCGGCGCCGACGAGCTACGGCGGCGGCGGCACGGGCGGCGGCGACGGCGCTCGACGGCCCAAGCTGTCGCTCGACATGACACGCGGCGCGCCTCGCCTCGTCGCGAGCCCGTCGACGCCGGCGGCGAGGTCCGGCTCGGGGAAGGGGCTCGTGCTCCACCGCGCCGGCATGTCGTCCCTCCCCGAGCTGCACCACCCGCCCTCGTCGTCCATGTCGTCCTCCTCTCGCGACCCGCACGCCCACCGCTCGATCCACCCGGCGCCGGCGGCGCCCTGGGCGACCTGGGAGGCTGTCGAGCACGGCGACGAGCTCGAGGAGCTCGACCTCGACTCGAGCGCGTCCTCGTGCGACGCCGAGTCGGCCGTCGACGGCTTCAATTTTGGGGCGCTCGCGCACCGCGTCGTCGGAGCGAGGCGCAGGAGGAAGAGCAGCTTCAAGTGACGTGGCGCGCGGCGGCGGCGGGGCGACGAGGGACGAGGTGCGCGGGCTCGCGATGCCGGGCAAGGTAGAGCGTTGGTGGCAGGAGGAGGAAGGGGAGGAGCTGGCGGAGGAGGAGAGGGTGGCGCCGTGCGGACGCTCGTGCGCAGCTTGAGCCGAGGCGGCAGTCGCGCCGGCGGGCTCGTGCGCGCTTTGAGCGGCCGCAGGACTGAGGCGATCGAGCGCAAGGCGCCGACGTCGGACGCCACGGGCGAGCAGGCGGTGCTCGACCGGCGCGCGAGGAGGAGGACGAGGGACGAGTGGGAATTCGGGAGCGCGGCGATTGACGGGAGGATGCGGCGGTGAGGGGGCGTGCGACGGCTCTGAACCTGTAGCGACTCAAACACAAACAGACACTGCGATCAGTTGGCTCATCGGTCGCTGCTCTCTCGGTCTCGGTGCGAGGCGAGAGGGATAGTGCGATGCTTCTTTTTGCGAGGTCCGACTGCTACGAGGAGGGGGTAACGAAAGGTTTACTTGGCCTCGAGAATGGCCTGGACGATGTCGCCCTGGGCCGTCTTGAGCGCCTTGACGGCTGCGAGGGCGTGAGAGAAGAGGGTCAGTCGAGGGACGGAGGGAGGGGAGGACAAGGCAAGGCGGCGAGACGGGGACGCACCCTTTGCCCGGTCGCAGTTGGCCTGGCTCATGACGACGTTGATGTCGTCCTCCTCGAGGCCCGACTCGTCGACGTCGCCCTCGTCGGCGGCGTCGGTGGCCGGGGCCTTGCCCTCGGCGACCGAGCCCTCGCCGGCCTGCTGCTGCTGGAGCTGGGCCTGCTGCTGCTGGAACTGCTCCTGCTGAGCCATCTGGTTGATCTGGGCGAACGGGTTGGCGCTCGGGTCCTCGGGCTTGCCCTCGCCAAAGACGATGTAGCAGTCCGAGATGGGCCTGCGCGAGTGAGGTCTGGTGAGCGGGTCCGAGGGGGGACACAGTGAGGGGGGAGACGCACGACTTGAAGACCTCGGGCGAGCTGATGGCGACGAGAGCCTGCAACGAGGGGGACAGGGTTCAGCTGATGAGAGTGGGAGGAGGGAGGAGCGAGAGGTGGGAGGACTGACGCCCTTGGGCTTCTTGATGACGACACGGTTGATGCCCTCGACCTTCTTGAGGCCGAGCTTGGAGAGGGCTGCGAGGTGCAACGAGGTGAGCTGGGAGTTGGGCGGGGTGGGAGAGGTGGGAGGAGAGAGGGAGACGGACCACGGCGGGCCTTGGTCTCGCCACGGCCGAGGGCCGAGTTGGCGTCGGCGACAGTGTTGCCGTTCTCGAGCTGGGCGTCAGACATGATGTGGGAGGGTAGCTTTGAGCGTGTGGGTGGAGGGGGAGGATGAGGGGAGGGAGGGGAGGACGAGACGAGACGAGCTTCCCCTCGACCGCAACACCCTCACCGCCTCGCTCTGTCACCCTGGCGTGGACTGTCCAGGACAAGCTCGTGCTCCCCGCTCTCTTGGCCCTCGCTCTCGTCGTCGCCCTCGTCGTCGTCGACCACTCCGCCGACAAGCTGCTCCCCGCGACCCGACTCCGTCTCTCGCTCGCCCACCTCGCCAGTACCGCCGCTGCGACCTCGACCATGGCCACCCCGACCTACCTCGACAAGCTCGCACGCGACAAGCGCGACTTTGTCGCCGCCCTCGACACCGGCACCGCCCAACACTGGGTCGTCGCAGTCGGCAACGAGGCAGGAGGTGCGTCTCTCCCTCCTTCTCCCTCTCTAGCCTCGAGCACACCCTCACTGTGACACACACAGACCTCGACTCTCTCGCGTCGGCCCTCGCCTACGCCCACTTTGCCGCACAACGCGAGCCCGCCTCGTCCGCCCGCCGCTTTGTCCCCCTCGTCCTCACCGCCCGCACCGACCTGCACCTCCGTCCAGAGAACGTCCTCGCCCTCGAGGCAGCAGGCGTCACGAGCGACCTCCTCGTCACCATCGACGACCTCCCGAAACCCTCGTCCCCTCCCTCGACCCTCGCCCCAGGCGCCAGCTTCGCCCTCGTCGACCACAACTCGCTCCTCGCCCCCTTTCGCTCCAACCCGTCCGACCCGTCCGACCCGACAGACGACGCGCGCGTCGCGTCCATCGTCGACCACCACGCCGACGAGGGCCGGCACCTCGGCGCGAGCCCGCGCCGGATCGAGGTGACGGGCAGCTGCGCGTCGCTCGTCGCCGACCACTTTCTCGGCACGGCCGCCGACGGCAACGTGCACGGCGAGCTCGACGTCCCGACAGCCCTCGCCGACCTCCTCTTGTCGTCCATCATGATCGACACGCGCCTCAAGCTCGTTGCCGACGGCGGCAAGGCGACCCCGCTCGACGTCTCGGCGCTGCACGCCCTCCTCCCGCTCTCGTCCTTCGCCACCTCGACCACCTCGTCCAGCATCAACGCCTCGTCCCCCTCGGCGACCGACCCGCCCTCGTCGGCCGCGCTCGCCGCGCTCAAGGCGCACAACGACCGCCTCGGCCGCGCCAAGGAGGACGTCGCGCACCTCTCTGCGCGCGACCTCCTGCGGCGCGACTACAAGGAGTACCTCGTGTCGGGCGTGCGCTACGGCCTGAGCACGGTCCCGCTCGCGCTGTCGACCCTCCTCGAGGCCGACCCGTCGCCGTCGATCGCGCGCGCGGACCGCGTCACGCAGCTCGTCGCCGCCGTGCGCACCTGGATGGACGAGCGCGAGCTCGACATGGCCGGCGTCCTGACGAGCTACGTCCACGTCAAGCGCAAGAGCGGCAAGGAGGGCAAGCACCGCCGCGAGTTTGCCCTCGTCCTGCGCGGCCGGGCGGCAAACGCGGCGGCGCTCGAGGGCGTGTTCGAGACGCTCGAGGGCGACGACGTGCTCGAGCTCAAGGAGTGGAAGGACGCGAGCGAGTACGGCGTCGCCGAGGGCGGGTGGGGCGAGGGCGAGCGCGCCGACAGGTGGCGCATCTGGCAGCAGGGCAACGACCGCGCGACGAGGAAGCAGGTCGCGCCGAGCATGAAGGGCGCCGTCGAGCTCGCGGTTGGGGCCGAGGGCGGCGAGGCGTAGCTGGGCTTGCGCTTCTCTCTCGAGAGAGGACGGGCGGCGAAACATGGACGCTCAGTTTCAGTGCCCTCAAGTGCGAGCGTGCGAGCGAGAGCGAGTCTAGAAAGGCACCCGCGTCCCGAGTCCTCGCCGCTCAGCCTCGTCAACGACGAGCCTCGTGATGGCGACGTCCATCCCGCCGACCCCGACACACTTGAACAAGCTCCTCCCGCTGCTCCTCAACTGCTCGACCCGCTCCCTCGTCTCGTCGTCGTCGCGCAGGCCGCCACTCGCCGGGTCGAGCAGCGCGCCGACCTCGACGAGCTGTGCCACCGTGACGTGCGCCGCGATGAGCTCGCCCGCCTCGGCGAGGCAGGCCGGCGCCGAGTCGACGAGGAGGGTCGGGATGTGCGGCGCGGACGGCGAGGCGGGCGAGGGCGCGATGAGGGAAGGAGGGAACTCGCGCATCAAGGGCGTGTAGGAGCCGACTGTGAGTGCGAGGGCGTACGCGTCAGGGAGGGCCCGAGAGAGTCGAGACGAGGAGAGAGAGGGGGACGCACTCGCGTTGATGTGCACGCCCGGCTTGAGCGCCTCGAGCGAGAAGAGAGGCTCGGTCGAGGGGACGCAGCTGTTCGAGGCACCGAGAGGGAGGGAGAGTGCGTCGTCGGCATTGACTCGAGAGGGCCTGAGCGCGAGAGGAACGAGCCGACGCACGTGCAGATGATGTCGGCGCCCTCGACGACGTCGTCGGCCCGGTCGCTCGTCACGGCGTGTGCGACAATCTTGCTGAACTCGGCTTGCATGCGGTCGAGGAGCGCTTGCGCTCGAGGCGAGATCGAGCGGACGACGAAAGTGACCGAGGAGATCGAGGGAAACAGCTGAAGGATGAGGCCTGTGGCGCCGCATTAGGGTCAGTATCAGTCTCGAGTCGAGAGAAAAGGAGAGAGGGAGAGAGGAGAGACGCACGAGCGTGGTAGTAGGCCTGAGTCCCGGAGCCGAAGACGACGAGCGAGGTGGACGACGGGTCGGCCAGGAGCTTTGTCGCGAGTGCAGAGGCGGCACTGCAGGGAATGAGGTGACGTCAGGTTACACTATGGTGACGGCATGAAGAGAAGAAGAGGGACGCACGCTGTCCGGATGCCTGTCAAATCGGCGGCGTTGACGCAGGCTCGGGTGAGCCCGCTCGCCTCGTCGAACAGGAGCGTGGTGGCGGGCAGTCCCGGTATGCTACACGTCGGTTTGGGCACGCTCACGACCTTGACGGCGGTTGCAGGACCCTGTGCGCGTCGAGAGAGGTGTGCGTCAGTCTCAAAAAAGGAGGGATGGGCGCGAGCGCTCGACACGAGCGAGAGGGGACGGACCTCGGACGTGGTAAGCCTCGACGGCATGTACAGGGTCTTGTGCAGCGCAGACTCGGTCGCGACGCGCTGTGGAACAACGCAGGGTGAGCTCGTCGCGTCCAGGGAACGTGCTGAGAGGGCGGGTCCGAGGACGCACTTGAGGGTTCTGGATGGCGAGCGGGTCGACGGCCGGATTGGAGATGGCGGCCATTGTCTTACCGAGCATGGTGCACTGCGAGCCGAGGCGGTTAGGGAGGATGCGCGGTCGAGTGGGGGCGGAAGAGGGGGAGGGGGAGGACGGACGAACGAGTCGGCAGGGACCGAGGCGGTGACGGTAGCGACGTCGCCGGCCGAGAGGACGAGGAGGGACATGGTGGGGCGTGGCTGCTTGACACTGGTCCCGAGCGCGGCTCGAGGAGAAGCGAGAGGACGACGAGGAGGACGGCTCGAGCGAGGGTGGCACCGAGGCGTGGTTGCGCGAGTGTGCCGGTGCAAGAGTAGCTTGTCGAGCTGGTAGCAGGCTCCCAGGCGGTCCAGGAGGAGCGAGTCGAGGAGCAGGGTGCGTGAGTCGTCGCGTCTCGGGTGTCGGCCCTCTCGCTCCCGTCCTCGTCGCCTCCACCTCGCAGAGCGTGTACTAGCTGCTCGAACCGCCAGCTACTGCCTCTACCTCGACCCGGCCGAGCCCGCGACCACCACAGCCATGTGCGTCGCCCCTCTCTCGCTCCTCCCCCGCCTCATCACCGTTCCACCCTCGACCCTCGCTCCCCTCGCCCACCCAGCCCCAGGAGGGCATGCAGCTCACCGCGCTGTACTCCACAGGTCCGCCTTCCTCTCGTCCATGGGCATCGGCGCCCGCAACAACAACAGCGCCCGCAGCCCGTCTCGTCCCCCCGCAGCCACCCCCCCTCCTCCGCCTCCGCCTCAAGCCTCGCAGCCGCAACCAGGCCAGGGCTACTCGAACGCGCCCTTGCCTCGAGCCCAACCCGCCAACGGTCCCGCCCAGTCGGCCAACAAGCAGTCGAGCCCGCTCTACCTGTGCTACCCCTTTGTCAAGGCCGCCCTCGTCAAGGGCAACTTCAAGACCATCGTCGCCCTCCCCAAATGTCCGTCCCCCCTTCCTCCCTCTCGTGCCGGAACGGGCTTCCTGACTGCCGGCGACGGCTTCCTTGCAGACGTCGACGTCAACGAGTGGGTCGCCGTCAACCGTGAGCCCTCCTGTCCTCCTCGGCCCTCTCTCTCTCGCGCGCGCGACCTTGGCAGCTGACACGCTCGCCCCTCACAGTCGTCGACCTGTTCAACAACCTCAACCTGTTCTACGCCGTCGTCACCGAGTTCTGCACCGTCGAGAACAACCCGACCATGTCGGCCGGCCCGGGGTGCGTCTCGCTCTGCCTCGTCGGCCGCGGTCTCTCTCACGAGAGCGACCCGCTGACTAGCCCTCGCGTGCGTGTGCAGCATGGACTACACGTGGATCGACGCGAGCCGCAAGCGGGTCAAGCTCCCGGCGCCGCAGTACATCGACTACGTCCTGACCTGGGTCGAGGGCTTGATCAAGGACGAGGCCGTCTTCCCGACCAAGGCCGGCCGCGAGTTCTCGCCCAACTTTCCCTCGGTCGCGCGCCACATCTACACGCAGCTCCTGCGCATCTTTGCCCACCTGTACCACGCCCACTACGAGGTCTACGTGCACCTGAGCATGGAGGGCCACCTCAACAGCCTGTTTGCCCACTTCCTCACCTTCGGCCGCGAGTTCGACCTCCTCGAGCCCAAAGAGTGCCGCGCCCCGAAGGAGGGGTGGCCTTTCGTCATCGGCGACCTCATGGACGTGCGTCGCGACTCTCCCTCTCTCCTCACGGCCCGGCGGCGCGCACTCCTGGTGTGCGCGCTGTCCTCGGCCTGTAGTCGTGGGTGGTCCTGACTCTCTCCTCGTACCGCAGGCATGGCGCGGTCTCGGCATCCTCGAGCCCTAGACGGCGTGGCACGCGCCCGTCAGGCAGGTCCTGCTCGCGCCCTCGTTCCCTGTGCGTCCCACTTTGCCCCCTCTTTCACGTCTCGCCGAGCGCCACTGACCTCGTCGACATCCCGCAGCCTCTCGCACCCACCTCACGCTCTCGCCGCATCCTCTTGCCGACCCTTCTCTCCCTCCACCTCTTCGCATCCGTAGCATTCCCTCCCTCTCTTGCCGAGTTGCTGTATTTCGACGACCGCTCTCGTTCTCTCTCGAGTCTCGCTGCGCACGTGCGAGAGCGAAAAGATGAGACTGGGCTGGTTGCGTGCGGAAACCTGTGCGGTCCTCCTCACGCCGACCCTGGTCAGCTCGTCGTCGCTTTTCCGCGCCGGCCCAGCTCCAGTCGAGCACCGCCCGCCGCCTACCTGGACCATGGTGCGTCCCGACTGTGCCCTGATGAGCCTCGCGGTCCAGTCCACTGACAGCTTGCTCCTCCCCTCGCCTCCACTCGTCCTTCCCTCTCGCCTCGTCCGACCCTGGTCCCGCCTCGTCGCCATCTCGTCCACGGTCACGCTCGGCGCACTCGCCGTGGCGGTGCAGGACGAGGAAGCTACCCCTGCATGCGGCTCGGGCTCGCCGTACGACGGTAACCTCGGTCTGCGAGTCGGCGCCATCTTCCTCATCCTCGTGCGTCCCCGCCCTCTCTCCCGACCCGTCGTGCAACCCACACCGACCTCTTGACTCGCCTACGCAGGTCACGAGCGGCTGCGGCACCCTCTTCCCGGTGCGCTGGACCCCATCTCTCCCTCCCCTCCTCGCCCAGAGAGGCTGACCCTCGCTCCGGCCACAGGTCCTCGCCCGTCGAACGCGATTGCGCATCAGCGAGTACGTGTACAACAGCTTCAAGTACTTTGGCAGCGGCGTCATCATCGCGACCGCCTTCATCCACGTGCGTCCCCCTCCCCCTGCGCGCCCCTCGAAACGAGCGCGCCTGACCCACCTCTCCTCCTCGCAGCTCTTGGCGCCAGCTTTCGATGCACTCGGCAGTGACTGCTTGACCGGCGCATGGACCGGTGCGTCTCTCGTTCCTCCCGCCTCGTCCCCTCACCCGGAGAGAACTGACCGTTCCTGCTCCTTCCCACTCGCGCAGAGTACGACTGGGCACCCGCGATCGCCATGGCCTCGGTCTTTGGCATCTTCCTCCTCGAGCTCATCGCGACGCGCATGGGCCGCTCGTTCCTCCAGAAGCGTGGCCTCAAGGAGCACGACCCGCACCGCGCGCGCGGCAACGAGGTCGTCGGGCACACGGGCCACGGCACGCACGCGCCGCCGAGCGGGACGACGACGGGCCTGGCGAGCGCGGGAGTGGCGCCGGCTGTTGCTGGTGCGGGTGCGGATGCGGGCGCGGCGGGCGAGAGCATCGAGACGGTCAAGAGCCGGGACGCGGTCGTGCAGCCGCAGGGCGACCTCGAGGCGGGAGGCGAGCTCAAGCCGCACGCGCATGGGCACGCGCACGACGGCGAGGACGAGGACGAGGAGCTGCAGGAGAGCGCGGTCGCGCAAATCATCGGCGTCGCGATCCTCGAGACGGGCGTCCTCTTCCACTCGTGCGTCCTCCTCTCTTGCTCTCTCTTCCTTCCCTCCCCTCCCCCTTCCTCCATCTCTCCTTCTCTCTCTCTCTATCATGTTCGCGCCCGTACTCAGAGCGCCCGAAACTGACTTTCTGCCCTCGCCGACAGCTTCGTCATCGGCCTCACGCTCGCTGTGAGCGACAACCTCGGCCCGCTTCTCGCGGTCCTCACCTTCCACCAGACGTTTGAGGGCATCGGTCTCGGCAGCCGGCTGTCGGTCCTGCCGTTGCCGCGCAAGTACAACTACGGTGCGTCCAGCTCTCCCCTTTCGCCGTCGAGCAGGTCCTGACCATGACTCTCTTGCAGTCCCGATTGTCGCAGCTCTCGTGTACGCCTGCACTACGCCTCTCGGCATCGCCGTCGGCCTCGGCATCCGCACGACGTGAGCCCATTCTCCCTTTTCCCCTCGACGAGGCCACGTGTCTCCTCTCTCGCCCTGTCAAAGCCACGAGACTGACTCTCGCTCGCTCGTCTGCAGCTACAACCCCGAGTCAGCCGTCGCGAACATCGTCGCCGGCACGCTCGACGCGACCTCGGCGGGCATCCTCCTGTGGGCCGGCCTGGTCGAATGCCTCGCGCACGACTTTGTCTTCTCGACCGCAAGTGCGTCCTCACCTTTCTCTCTGTCTCTCTCTCTTCTCTCGCTCCTCCTCGAGGCGACGTCCTGACGCTCTCGCTCCCCGCAGTGGCCGAGGCGTCCAACGGCGAGGTGTCGTTCGCCGTCTTCTTCCTCCTCCTCGGCGCCGGCTTGATGGCGCTCCTCGGCCGGTGGGCATAGACGTTTCCCTCGCGACATACAGCACCTCCGTCCGTCCATACCCTGTCTGTAGATCAGCTGCATCGCTCGAGAGAAGGAGCTGCAACCACTGCTTCGCATCCAGCAGCGTGCGCCGGCTCGAGAGACTCTCCTTTCGCGAGCTCATTGTCCCAGAGGAGCTGCAGCTGCTTCGTGGACAGCTTCTGTTGCCAATCACGCGCTCGAACAGCCGAGCGAGCCACTGCGAGCCGGACGTCGGCGCGAGCGGGAAGTCGGCACCTCTTCCCTCTCCCCTCGACCACCTCGTCGCTCTGAGTGAGGCACCGCTGCCCTCAGCAGGTGGAGGACCTTGCTGCAGAGCCCTCAGCATGGCCGCCGAGCCCAGCCTGGGCGTCAACCCGTCCCTCCTCACCCTCGACCCCGGTCCGCCCGTCGATGAACTCGGTGCAGCACCGGCCGCGCTCTCGCGAGAGGCGACGCCGGAGGAGGGCGTCTACATCGTCGGTGCGTCCCATCCCTGATCCTCTGGCGTTCCAGTCGGCAGGCAACTGACCCATGCTCGACCCCCTCACCTCCTCTCGCCCCACCCCCGCGCCGCCCTCGACATCCCCCTCTACAGACAAGATCGTCGACTTTTGCCGACACGACAACAAGGACAAGGTGCCGCAGGACCAGTGGATCGACCCGCAGCGTCGCTGGGAGATCCGTTACCTCGTCTCGTGCGTCCTCGAGCGCCTCTCCTCCCCACTTGCGGCGAGTTGTACTGACTCGATCTTGCGCTCGGCGAGCAGGTGGATTGACTATGGCCCAGAGGAGTGTGTCCTCCACGACTTGGGCGACCATCGGGCCCCTCTTCGCCGTTCAGAGCTGATCCTCCTCCCTGCCCGCCGTGCCGCAGCAACTCGTGGGAGCCGCGCGAGATGTTCGAGTCCTGGGTCGAGTCGTACGACCAAAACATCGCCGACATCGAGGCCGCCGACCCGGCGCACCCCAAGCTCGCCGCTCTCGAGAGGGAGGTCAAGCGGCTCAACTCGCGCTGGCGCAAGCAGGAGAAGGAGCGCAAGCGCGAGGAGCGCGCCGGGCGCAAGGTCAAGCCGGCGGAGCGCAAGGTCAAGGAGGAGGAGAAGGACAAGGGCGAGGAGCTCGAGGGCCAGGGCGAGGGCAAGAGCCGGGCGCAGCAGGACGAGGGCAAGGCGGACGACCGTGGAGGGCCCAAGCCGGTGCGTCCCGACTTGACTCTCCACCTCTGCGCATTATTTCGTCATACTAATGTGTACGTGAGCGTTCGCAGAAGCGCACGAGGTCGAGCACGTCGCGCGCCAACTCGGCGGCGTCGAGTTCGACCCTGGCGGGCAGGCCTGCAGGCCCGCCCCCGACGAGAACTCGCCGTACCCGCCGCTCGGCCGTCGACGGCGACATCGACCCCAACGCGTGGCACGAGTACCTCGAGACGAACGCGCCCCCGTCGCTGCGCAAGCTCCGGTTCACGCCGCCGCCCGAGCGCGACGCCAACGGCCGGCTGGTCTCGCCGCCGTCCGACAGCGAGCGCGGCAACATCGTCGACGAGCGCGTGGCGAGCAGCTCGGTCGGCCTCGGCATCGCCGGTGCGGGCGCCGAGGACACCGACATGGGCGAGGCGGCGTCGGCGCCGGCTCGAGCGACGGTCGGGACCGCCAGCCAGCTCCTCGCCGGTCGTGACGCTCACGAGCAGCGCCGCTCGACGATGACTGCCGGCGGCTTCGCCGGCAGTGACGACGGCGAGGGCAGCGACGACGCGGTCGCGGCTCGGCCCACGTCGTCGAGCGTCCCGACCGCCGGCTTCGGCGGGTTCGCCCACGACGACGACGACGAGAGCGACGACGCCGGCGCGGGCCCTTACTTCCCGCACCTCGTCCCGCTCGTCCCGTCACCGTCGCAGCAGCCGAGCCTGTACGTCGCCCAGGCCCAGGGTGTCGCCGGCTCCGCCAGCCTGTCGCACGACGTCAAGCCCGACCTCGTCTCGCCTCGTCTCGACGCCGACTACCCGATGGAGGCGACGACGGTCGGCCCGGCGCAGGAGGACGGCGCGACCTGGCGCGATGACGAGCGCGACGGCGAGCACGAGCGCGCGCCCGCCGCCTCGGCGTCGACCGCCCTTGGGCAGGCCGGCGGGTTCGCCGACAGCGGCAGCAGCGACGAGGAGCCGCTCGCCGACGTCGTCGCCGCTCGGGCCGCCCGGCGGCCACTCGCGAGCGCACTCGCCGACGCCGAGGACGAGGACGAGAAGCCGCACGTGTCGGCGTCGCGGCCCGTCGCGCGTCGAGTTTGGGCGGGCGACAGCTCCGACGACGACGACGACTTCGTCATCGTCGATGCACATGCGCCGCCTGCAGCTCTGCCCCCGTCGTCGTCGTCGGCGCCGGCGGCTCGGCCGGCTCAGCCGTCCGGCGGGTTCGCCCAGGACAGCGACGACGACGACGCCGCCATGTCGCCGCCGCTTCAAGCGCCGGCCGTCTCGCCGCCGCCGCCGCAGCAGCAGCAGCAGCAGCAGCCGGTCGCCGCCCCGAGCAACATCCCGCTCGCTCAGCCGGCCGAGTCAACCCGGTCCGAGGGCGACGGCGCCTCGACTTTGACGACCAACGTCCCCCTTCTCGTCAACTCGACCTCGTCCAGTCGCGCTAGCGCGAGCCGGCGCCGGTCGCCGTCGCCCGAGCAGCCAAGTCGCCCGTCGACCGGCGGCCCGCCGTCGAAAAGGGCGCGCACGAGCAAGGACGTGCGCTCTGCAGGCGTCGACAGCTCGGGCGACGGCTCTCGCGACATGTCGCCGCCGACCAACTCGCGTGCTCAGCAGCTCAAGCGGCTCAAGATCCCCCGCATCGGCCAAAAGCCTCCCGCACCTCCTCCACCTCAGCCTCCCCCCTCGTCTGCGCCCTCGCCTGCCGCCGACACCAACCTCCTGCCCGCTCACTCGCCGATCGCGATGGCCGCCGGCGACCGAGGGCAGCCCGTGTCGGCCATCTCGAGCGAGACGTCCTCGAGCGACGCGCACGCCCGCAAAGTCCTCGACCCGTTCAACCATGGCGTCAAGCGCGCCAAGAGCTCGGGCGGCTACATGATCATCAACGCCGACCTTTTGCGCGACAAGAAGCTGTCGTCTTCACTCGCGCCGGGCGCGCGGTATCCGCCCGACGTCGTCACCGAGGTCGACAAGATCCGCCACCTGTGGGGCATCCGGACGCCCGGCGTGCCCGTGTTCGGCGTGTACGACTTTGACGGCGCCATGCACCTCGACGGCGAGCCTCGCGAGGTCTACATCACGGCGCCACCCGACGAGAACGTCGCCGGCCGCGACAAGAGCGCTCGGGCCCACCTGTACGACTATGAGGCGCTCCAGCTCGTCCTGTCGTCCATCAAGGGCGTCAAACAAGCCGACTCGGCGCGCGACTCGGTCACGGCCGTCTTTGTCCACGCGTCGCAGCTCGGCAAGGTCGGCCGGTTCCCGGACGGCCTCCTCGCGCTCGAGCGCTTCCGAATGGCCGAGAACGCCGTCTTCTTCGTGTACGGCGCAGGCGAGGACCGCAAGAGGGCGATGCGCCCCTTCTGGTTGCCGAGTGCGTCCCCTTTTCGTCGTCGTCGCCGTCGTCGTACCCCTTGGCCGCGATCGAGACTCCTGACCTCGATTTCCTCCTCCAGTGACGGCGTTCTCGTTCACGTCGGCGGCGTTCTACCTCAACCCGGCCCGCATCTCGGCGCTCATCAACGAGGCGCCCAAGATGTTCTCGAACCTCGGCCACCGCACCCAGTTCCCGTGGATCCCGTCGCAGTACTTCCTCCGCGGCGGCGCGTTCGGTCCCGCCGCCGACATGGACGGTCGCGAGCCTCGTGTCCCGCAGCAGCAAAAGTCCGTCCGTCTCCTCGTGCCCCTTGTCGAGCCCCGACCTGATGAGCTCTCGCCCACGCAGATCCGCCCGTACGGTCGACCTCCACTCGCTCGCCCACGAGGGCAAGCTCGCCGTCGCCGCCGTCGCGCCATGCAGTACAAGGTCTCGCAAGTCGATGGGCTTCCCCGACCTCGACGACGGCCCGGGCTACCACGACGAGAGGTGGGCGCTGCTCGACAAGACGTACCCTCCCTCTCAGTGCTTCGTCGACCTCAACCGGCTCCAGCAGTTCGTCTGCGCTTGGCGGGCCGACTACACGCAAGTGTGCGTCCACTTTTTCGCCTCGACTCTACCTGTCGGACGCCTTGACGAGCCTGCACTGACCTCTCGACCTTGCAGTCGCCGTTGGCTCGTCATCGCCACGCCCGAGGAGTTGGCCACATGCTCGGCGCTCGACGGCGTGCGTGAACTCTCTCTTTCGTGCCCGTCGGTACCGTCACTGACTTCGTGGCACGGCGCAGATCTACCTCTTGTCGGTCGAACATGCTGAGGATGCCCTCGGGCTCGCTTGATTTTCCCTCGTCCTCGCGCCTCTTTCTCTCCCCCTCTCTTTTGTTAGCGCGTCCTCCCAGCTTGCGTCTCGCCTTCCTTGTGTAGTTTCCCTTGTTGATGGTCATTCCCTATGATATGCAACCAGACTTTCGAGCGAGCGTTTTTCCCCACTTGGCCGTCGCACTTCGGCTCGGCACGGCTCGCCGACCTTGGCCTCTCCTCTCCCTCTGTCCACCACCAGCTCGCTCTCTCGCACGCACACCAGCCCCGAGATGAGCCTCTACACGCCGACTCGCCTCGTCAGCAGCTGCACCCGCGCCGCCGCTCGCCCACGAGCGCTCGCTCTGCCCCCACACGCCGCCGCGCGGGTTGCCGTCGCTCGCGCCTACTCCGGCTACGCCGCACACCTGACGGGCCTGACAGAGGACCAGCTCGAGGTGCGCCGTCGTGCCCTTGTGTGTCCTTCCGCGCGGCGAGAGCTCACCCGGTCCCTCTCGCCCCCCCGCAACAGCTCCGCGAGTCGGTCGCCTCGTTCGCCCAGAAGGAGATCGCGCCCATCGCCGCCCAGACCGACAAGGACAACGCGTTCCCGCTCGACCTGTGGAAGAAGCTCGGCGACATGGGCCTGCTCGGCATCACGGTCGCCGAGGAGGACGGCGGACTCGGCAAAGGGGTGCGTCCCGGCAGCTCTTTCTCTCCTCTCCCTCTGCGGCGTACTGACGCTCTGCGCCCGAAACAGTACCTCGACCACCTCGTCGTCATGGAGGAGCTGTCGCGCGCATCTGGGTCGATCGCGCTCTCGTATGGAGCCCAGTGCGTCCGCCGCTCTCTCCTCGACCCTCGACCGCCGCATCTGACCCTGTTCTTCCTTCCAGCTCGAACCTCTGCGTCAACCAGCTGAACCGCCACGGCACCGACGAGCAGAAGAAGAAGTACCTGCCCGGCCTCCTGAGCGGTGACGCCGTCGGCTCGCTCGCCATGAGCGAGACTGGGTCCGGCAGCGACGTCGTGTCGATGCGGCTGCGGGCCGAGAAGACGTCGCGCGACGGCGAGGAGGGCTACATCCTCAACGGCCAGAAGATGTGGATCACGAACGGGCCCGACGCCGACGTGCTGCTCGTCTACGCTAAGACGGGCGAGGGCTCGAAGGGCATCACGACGTTCATGTGCGTCAACCTCTCTCCTTCTCCTCCTCGCCCATTCCCTTACTGACGTCGACAGCCCTGCAGTGTCGAGAAGGGCTTTGAGGGCTTCTCGACGGCTCAAAAGCTCGACAAGCTCGGCATGCGCGGCAGCAACACGTGCGAGGTACGTCCTCTCTCCTCGACGAGCTTCTCCTCGACCTTTGCCTGACGCCTCGTCTTTTGCGACGCAGCTCGTCTTCGAGGACTGCTTCATCCCGTCGAGCCAGGTCCTCGGCAAGCTCAACCGCGGCGCCGCCGTCCTCATGTCGGGCCTCGACCTCGAGCGCATCGTCCTCAGCGGCGGCCCGCTCGGCCTGATGCAGGCAGCCTTTGACGTGCGTCCCCTCTCTCTCTGATGCTCGTCTCCTCTGTCTGCGAGCCAGCCGTCCTGAACCTTGTCCTCGCTGTCGCAGTACGCCATGCCGTACGTGCACGACCGCAAGCAGTTCGGCGAGCCCGTCGCGCACTTCCAGCTCATGCAGGGCAAGATCGCCGACATGTTCACCAAGGTCTCGGCGTCGAGGGCGTACCTCTACAGCGTTGCCCGAGGTGCGTCGACCTGCCTCTCCCTCGGTCGTCGTCCGCTCGAGGACGTTTACTGACTCGCGTTCACCTGCAGCTTGCGACGCAGGTCACGTCTCGAGGCGGGTGCGTCTTCGTCCTCTTCTCCCGCCCGTCCGCCGAATTCACTGACTCGTCGCGACTCGCTGCAGGACTGCGCCGGCGCCATCCTTTACTCGTCCGACCGCGCGACCGAGGTCTGCCTCGAGGCTCTCCAGATGCTCGGGTGCGTGCGACGGGTTCCTCACCTCGACGACTCTCCATTCACCGGGCCGACGATTAACGTCGACTATCGCTTGCAGCGGCAACGGCTACACGCATGACTACGAGGTCAACCGGTTCCTGCGCGACGCGCTCTTGTACAAGGTCGGCGCAGGGACGCAGGAGATCCGCAGGATGCTCATTGGGAGGGAGTTCAGTGCGTCACCTTTCTCTCCCTCCCTCCCTGTCGCTCTGTCTCGAAGAGTCGGGAGCTCGCGCACCGTCCTCTCGGGCTCGAGCGAGCGCACCCGTCCTGCCTCGCCGGCCCAGCCAACAACCCGCAATCCCTCGTGTACCTCGTACATAGACCTGACTGACACCTTGCACGTCGCGCCGAACAGACAACGACTTTGCGTCGGCGTGAGGAGGGGAGAACGAGGCGGGCGTCGAGGAGGAGGAGAAGCTGGTGCACGACCTGTCGACTGTACGACTTTCGCGGCGCAATAGCAAGCAGTGTCCACCTGTGCACGCGTTCCCTCTCTCGTCCTGTACCACGGCGCGCAGTCTGAGCGACAGTTGAGAGCTTCCGAAGCTTGCTCCGAGCGAGGAGAGGTCGAAGCGTCGTCCACGAAAGGCTCATCCTCGGTGCCGCCTGCCAGTCCCAGCTTGCTCTTGCGCTTGCATGAGTAGCGCACAGCGAGCGGGTGCACGAGCGGACGACGCAAGTGCACCGCCTCGACTCGGCCGGCCGCTGCGACGTTGGCGGGCAACAGCTCTCGCTCCTCCCAGCTGCGCCCTCCCGACTAGAGCGCTCGTTCGATTGCCGGATCTCCGACGGTGAACCTCAAGACACCGCCGACGCAGCCTCAGCAGCCCGCCCTACGATCCTCCGCCTCACCTCGTCCTCATCTCCCCACCTCTCCTACCCGCCTCGCTCCTCCACCATTACCGCTCGCCCGACAATGGCGAGTGCACCACAAGTCGCCTGTACCACCCTCGGCCTCTTCATCCTTGACCGCTTCGAGTGGCGTACCCTGGGCGACGACGGCTCGGTCGAGGCGACCACGCGCGAGGACGACATCGTCGGCGGCGGCGGCACCTACGCGATCCTCGGCTCGCGCATGTGGCTGCCGGCGCAGCGGGTCGGTATCGTCGTCGACCGCGGCAACGACTGGCCGGCCAAGGTCGAGCGCGAGCTGAGGGCGTACGGCGACGACATGTGGGAGTTCCGCGACAAGCCCGACGAGCCGACGACGCGCGCCCTCAACCTGTACACGGGCGAGCATCGAGGCGAGTCACTCTCGACGAGCCCCTTCCTTCTTCAGCCGTCCAGCACTGACTCGGGCTCCTCCTGCGCCTCCCTCGAGCAGATTTCCAGTACCTCACCCCTCGCAAGCGCCTCGAGCCAGATGACCTCCCTCCCCGGCTCCGCACCGCCCAGTACCTGCACTTCGTGTGCTCGCCGACCCGGTCCCTCGTCATCGCCTCGCAGCTGTCGCCCGACTTCTCGCCCTCGCTCGTGTACGAGCCCATCCCGGACCGCTGCGTGCCCGCCGAGCTGCCCGCCCTGCGCGAGGTGCTCCCGCGCATCAAGGTGTTCAGCCCAAACCACGAGGAGGCCGCCGCCTTCTTCGGCATCGGCGTCGGCGAGGTGGCGGCGAGCGGGCGCAGCGGGATCGAGGACGTCGCGAGGAGGTTCTTCGCGCTCGGGGCGGCAGACGTCGTCCTGATCCGGAGCGGGCCGCTCGGCGCGTACGCGGTGCGGAGAGGGAGGGAGAGCGAGGGCGTGTGGGTCCCGGCGTACCACTCGTACGAGGACGGGAGGGCGACGGGCAAGGTCGTCGACGTGACGGGCGCGGGCAACTCGTTCTTGGTGCGTCCCTCGGTCTCTCGGTCCTCCGGCGACCCTTAATTATCGTGTACTCACGCCCAATATCTTCGTCGACGCGCAGGGCGGGCTCATGGCCGGTCTCGTGCGGCATCCAGACGACCTCGTCTCGGCCGTTCAGTGCGCATCCATCTCTGTACGTCTCTCTCTCTCTCTCCTCCTTTTGGCCTTTTCTCCTCTCTCGATACTCTCATGAGTCCGTCTCTGACAGGCTCCGACACCCAGGCCTCTTTCACGATCGAGCAATTCGGGCTGCCGCAGCTCTCGCTCGCCGACGACGGCACCGAGCTGTGGAACGGCGTCAACCCGGCGGTGCGGCTCGACGAGATGCGGCGGCTGCAAGGGGAACAGCAGGGGTCGCTGTAGATGAGGAGCACTGAGATTACAACACGGAAAAGCGTTCTGCGCGCGCAGATCTGGACAAGCACCCGCTCCGACCATCCTCTCCTCCCGCTCGCTCGCTCACTCGCTCCCGACCTGCTCCACCTTGGGCTCCGTCACTCGGACCGCTCACGAAGCCTCGGCGGGCGCCTCGCCCGGCGCTGCGCCAGCCTCGAGCTTTGCGCGGCTCGCGGCGAAGAGCTGCTCCTGGAGGGCGAGGGCCTCCTCGGGCGACATGCCGTTGCCCGCCGCGCGCTTGGCCTTCTTGGCGCGCTCACCCTGCGGGTGAGAGCACATGCGAGGTGTCAGACGAGGCTGGATGGAGCCGAGAGAAGAGAGGAGCGAGGGCGCACCTTTGCGAGCTCCTTGTGGTCCTTGAGGACGTCCTCGACGCCGGCGACGAACTCCTCGAACCCGAGAGCCTGCAGATGTCGACAACGAGAGTGTTTCAGTGTGTGTGTGCAGAGCGGGAGGGGCCGAGAGAGGACAGAGCGAGGCGCACCTTGAGGGCGTTGACGACGTGGTCCGGGAGCATCGTCTTCTTCGAGTCCTTCTCGCAGATCTCGTTGGCCTCGGACGCGACGGTGAGGACGAACTCTGTTGGTCGGTCGGGCAAGAGGGAAAGGCAGGCGCGTCAGCTGAGTGCGAGAGGAGGAGGAGAAAGGGGAGGGGAGGACGGACCCTTGCAGCAGTCGGTAATGAGGTCCTTGACCTCCTTGGTCGCGGTGAAGCCTTCGGGCAGGAGCTCTGGTGGACCGAGGCAAGGTCAGCAAGGACGAGGTGCGGGCGAGGCTGGAGAGGGCAAGGAGGTGGAGGAGGAGGGGGGGACGGACCTGCAACGAGCTTTGCGACGGTGGCCTTTGGGAGCGAGACGTCCTCGTCGGTGCCGGTTGTGCGAGGAGCTTCGTCGTCGCTCATGGCTGGTGCGGTGGGGAGGTGGAGTCGTGGTCGAGCTGATGAGGAGGAGGGCCGGGGCAGGAGGAGCGACGACCGGTTGCTCGTCCTCCATCTCCTTCGCTAGCCACAGAGAGCCATGTCTGTCCAGGTGCGCACTCTGCTCCCCTCTCTACCCCTGCCCGACCCGCCCTGACTCGTCCCCTCTTCCTCCCTCCCTCCCTCGCCTCCTCCCCCTCCTCCCACCATCTCTCACAACCCACACCTCGCCCTCTCGCCCACCTGCCCTGTCCCGCTCGCCAGCCCGTCAACCCCAAGCCGTTCCTCTCGGACCTCACGGGCAAGCCCGTCCTCGTGCGCCTCAAGTGGGGAATGGAGTACAAGGGCTACCTCGTCTCGACCGACAACTACATGAACCTCCAGGTCCGCACTGCCCTCCTCTCTACTCCCGGTCCACCTCGTCCGCCAGCTGACCCAGTCACCCCCGCCGCAGCTCGCAAATACCGAGGAGTACCAGGACGGCCAGTCGGTCGGCTCGCTCGGCGAGGTCTTCATCCGCTGCAACAACGTCCTCCAGTGCGTCCTGCCCCCTTCCCTTTGCCTCTCCCTGTCCACCTATTGACAAACGCTCCGCCCACAGCATCCGAGGAGCCGAGGACTAGAGGCTCTGCCCCGCTGTCCAAAGCCTCGACAACCTGTTTGCCTCCTACGACCCGCCCTTGCACCGCAAAAGGGGGCCATTGCTGTACCTGAGCCGCTCCCCTGTACCAACACCGATACCTCCCCCGCATCTCCATGGCACCCTGTCGCCGACGAGCTGGCGACGACCTCGCGTTGTCGCGAGAGAGAGCGAGAGGAACCGGAAAGCGTTCTGCGGTCGCGTCTCTGCCCCGCTCGCGGTCCCGGCAACGTACAGCGGTACTCGAGAGCTGATTTGCGGCTACACGAGCAGAGGAAAGCGAGTCGCCGTCGTTCCCGTCGGCTCGCGCGCGACCCGGCCGAGGCGCACTTGGGCTCGCAGCTCGTCCTCTCGCTCCCAGCTCCACCAGACTGAGTACACCCGCTTGCGCCAGCACCAGCAGCCGCCCAAGCGGCCATGGCGACCCACGCTGCGCCAGGCGAGGCCGGTGCTGTACCCGCTCGTCCTCCCCCGCATGATGCGCCATCAGTCGACGCTCACGCAGCATCGCCACCGCCTCTGGCCGAGGAGGCGGCCGTCGTGGGCCTCGAGTCGGCACCTCTATCCGGCGAGCGCACCTCCTCGACCGCGACCGCGACACCGACAGAGCCTCGCAAGGTCGGCGGCTCGCGCGACTTTGGCTTCCTCCCAATCCCTCGCCGCCTCCAGTACGACTCGGCCCGGCCCTTCCACTTTGGCCTACTCCTCAACGTCATCTTTGCCTTCGCGGCGACGTTCAGCGTCGGTGCGTCGACAGTTCGTCCTCGTCCTCCCTCCTCGAGCAGAGCTGACCGCCTTGCACCCTCCCCTGTCCTCTCTATCTCCACCGGTTCCCCCTCGCAGCCAACCTGTACTATCCTCAGCCCATCCTCATCGTCCTGAGCGACAACTTTGGCGTCTCGTGTGCGTCCCTCGTCTCCTCCTCCCTCTCGACCCCTTCCTCAAGCGTGACGATGCTCACGTTTCCCTACCGTCAGATCAGAAGGTGACCAACATCCCGACGCTCCTCCAGGCGTCGTACGCGCTCGGTCTCGCCTTCATCTGTCCCCTGGGCGACCTCGTCAGGAGGAGGCCGCTGCTTCTCCTCGTCGTCGCGATCGCGGCCATTCTCTCGCTGTGCGTCCCCTCTCCTCCTTTCCAAGACTTCAGACGACGACCTGAGACCTCTCCTTTGGCAGCATCTTGGCCGTAGTGCCCAACGTGACGTCGTTCCAGGCGATCAGCGTGCGTCCCCTCTGCTCTCCTCCTCGGTCGGCGAGGCGCACCCCGTCGCTCACCTCCTCTTGCCGGCCACAGTTCTTCCTCGGCGCCGCTTCAGTCACGCCTCAGATCCTCCTCCCTCTCGCCGGCGACCTCGCTCCTCCCGCACGGCGCGCCTCGGCCCTCTCGATCGTCCTCGCTGGCCTCCTCCTCGGCATCTTGCTCGCCCGGGTCTTAGCGGGCCTCATCGCCGAGAAGGCGAGCGTGAGCGCCTTGTACTACATGTCGTTCGGGCTGCAGGCCCTCATCTGGGTCCTCGTGTACGCCACGGTGCGTCCCCTTCCCCTGTTCCTCGGCGACGAGTGCGCCACAGCCACTCATCCTCCTCGTCCCGTCACTCGCAGGTACCCGACTACCCCGCAAAGAATGCACACCTGAGCTACTTTGAGATCCTGTGGAGCATGGCCAAGGTGCGTCTCGCCCTCTTGCCTCGAGAAGAACGCCCCGTCTGACTTCGAGCTCGCACGGACCCGCAGTACCTCGTCACCGAGCCGGTCCTCGTCCAGGGTTGCCTCATCAGCGGTGCCGCGTCCATCATCTTCAGCTGCTTCTGGACGAGCAGCACCTTTCTCCTGGGCGACATCTACGGCTACAACTCGTGCGTCTCCTGTCTCCCTTTCCCTCTCTCGACCCGACTGACGCCTCTTGGCCCCGCCACTCAGGCTCGAGATCGGCCTTTTCGCCCTCGTCGGCGTCGCAGGCATCCTTGCCGCACCGTTCCTCGGGCGCCTCATCGACGGGCTCGTCCCCTGGCTCGGCACCCTCATCGGCATCGTCGGCATCCTCGTCTCGCAGAGCATCTTTACTGGCGCGGCGGCGAGCTCGATCGGCGCCGTCGTCGTCGTCATCTTTGGTGCGTGTCCTCTCTCTCGCCTCGTGCTTCCTGGGAGGCAGCGGCGCCGGCGCTCGACGGCCCTGGACCTGACGACCTCGCCCTCGCGCAGTTCTCGACCTCGCCATGCAGATGCAGCAGGTGTCCAACTCGACGCGCATCTTTGCCCTGTCGTCGGCGGCTCGAGCCCGCCTCAGCGCCGTCTACCTCGTGTGCGTCTTCGCGGGCCAGCTCATCGGGACGGCGGCCGGCACGCGCATCTACCTCGACGCCGGCGGGTACAGGGCGAGCGGCGGCTTCTGCGTCGCGGTCGCAGGCTTCATGCGTGCGTCCTCACTTTCTTCTCTCTCAGCGGCGTCGGCGGCGCCCTCCCTCGAGCCCGCGATCCTCGCCCGGCAACCGCCCTCTCTCGTCCAGCGCTTACTCGGCTTTCCCTCGCCCGTCCGCAGTCGTCGTCCTCTCCCTTCGTGGCCCACACCTCCCCGACAAGCGCTGGGTCGGCTGGGCAGGCGGCTGGGAGCTCAGGAAGGCCGTGCACGAGCGCCAGGTGGCTGAGAAGGAGGAGGCGGCGGCGCTCGACGGGCCGGGCGCGGCAGCGATAGAGGGCGACGAGGGCAAGAAGGTAGAGCTCATGGAGAGGTAGACGCTGTTGTCATTTGTATCGAAGAAGCACACGCAGCGAGAAAGTCGTGGCGGCCGAAGCGTCGTCGGCGCAAGTTCGGCGCGAGAGGACGAGGGGCGAGCGATTTTCCGGGCTTCGTGGGCCGCATTGTGAGTACGAGTACGACGATCTGGTCGAGCCTGATAGGGCTACACCATCGCTGCTGCGCCAGAGTCGAAAGCGCCCCCACCCTCGGTTCGACGCGGTCCGCGGTCCGCGTCGAGGGCTTCGTTCTCTCCTCCCACTCGCTCGGCTGCCCCGCTCAGTGCACGCCCGAGGAGACTGCTCCTCTCGCTCCAACCTGCGCTTGCCAGATCACCGCCGGCCGTCGTCCTCGCTATCCTCGCAGCCTCATCGCCCGCGCAACTTCGGACAATGCTCTCCGGCTCCGACGTCGCAGCGCACAGCTCTCGACAGAGCTTGTGGATGATTATCCACGGCAAGGTGCGTCCCGGCGCTCTCTCGACCCTCTGCGCGCCGCTCTAGAGCGAGCGCAGCCACCCCTCCCCGCATTTCGTGCGCTCACCCTTCGCCGCCGCCCGTCGCAGGTGTACGACCTCACCGAGTTCGCCCCGAGCCACCCTGGAGGCGAGCGCATCCTGCTCAAGTACGCCGGCAAGGACGCGACCGAGGAGTACGACCCGATCCATCCGCCTGGGTGCGTCCAACTCTCTCGCTCTCGAGCGGGCCGCGTTCTCGCCACGCCCCTTGGAGCGCACCTGACTCACTCGCACTCTGCACAGAACTATTGAGGGCGCGCTTTCGCCGGACAAGCACCTGGGCGACGTCGACCTCGCCACGCTCTCGGACGAGCAGAAACCTGTCGAGCAGCCCGTCGTCAAAGCCCCGACGGGCGAGGCGCCCGTCACCCTCGGCGCGTGCCTCAACCTGGACGACATCGAGCGCGCAGCAGAGCGACTCCTCAAGCCGAAAGCCTGGGGTGCGTCCCGCCACCTTCCCCTCTCACGACGTCCGGCCGAGGAACTGACTCGAGCCTTGTCCCGCGTTCACAGCCTACTACCGCAGCGCAGCAGACGACGAAAAGAGTACGCTCGCTTTCTGCCGCCATGCTCTCCCTTCCTACACGCACTGACCTTCTTGCTCGAGCAGCGTACGACTGGAACCGCGAGGCGTTCTACTCGGTCCGGTTCCGCCCGCGCGTCATGCGCGACGTGACCCAGGTCGACCTCACGACGTCGCTCCTCGGGTTCGAGTCGAGCCTGCCAGTGTACGTGTCGCCTGCAGCCATGGGCCGCCTTGCGCACCCGGACGGCGAGAAGTGCCTCGCGAGGGTGGCGGCGACGCACGGGATCCCTTACATCGTGCGTCCCTCTCTCTCTCTCTCTCTCGCAAGTTCGCCTACTGACAGGTCGAGCCCACGCAGGTGTCGGCCAACGCCTCGGTCGGGTACGAGGAGCTCGCGTCGATGGCGGCCCAGTCCGGCCAAACTTTGTTCTACCAGGTCCGCCTAGCCATCCCTTCCTCGCCTCTATTCTCTCCTGACGCACGATCTGACTCGTCGACCCGCTCGCAGCTGTACGTCAACCGCGATCGGCGCAAGAGCGAGGAGATCATGCGCGCCGTCGCGAATGCTGGATACAAGGTGCGCCTCTCTCTCTCTCTCTCTTCCTGCAGCTCCATTTTCTCGACACTGACACACTCTCTTTCCTGCAGGCTATCTGCGTGACTGTCGATGCACCGGTGGCGGGCAAGCGCGAGCGCGACGAGCGGGCAAAGCTGGACGAGGAAGCGGTCCGTCCACTCCTTCTCTCTCTCCCTACCCTCGTTCCACACGAGCACGTCGCCCGATTATGTCCACGTTGGAGCCTCGTCTCGACCTCGAGAGCTCGTTTCGAGCAACGTCACTGACGCCGCGTGCGCCTCGCAGGCGTCCGACCCGAACCTGCAGAAAGCCGTCGCCCACACCGGGCCAGACGCCCCGGATGCGCCGCAGGACGAGTCGTCGCAGGGTATCGCTCAAGCTCTCGGCAGGTGAGCACCGTCATCTTTTCGACCGAACTCTGCCGCACGAACTTACCTTCTTGCCTTCCTCCTCCCCTCGCTCTCTCTTTCTTGCGCCCGCCTTCTACGACAACTGCAACTCGGACGCCTCGACCGACTCGGCCTCATCCATCGCTGCGGCGATGTTCAGCTACGTCGACGCGACCCTGAGCTGGACCGACATCCCGTGGATCCGGCAAGCCTCGGGCGGCCTCCCCGTCATCCTCAAGGGCATCTCGACGGCCGAGGACGCCGCACTCGCGGCGCATCACGGCGCGAGCGCCATCATCTTGAGCAACCACGGCGGGCGGCAGTGCGAGGGCGCGCCGAGCAGCCTCGAGACGCTTCTCGAGATCCGCAAGTTCGAGCCGCAGGTGTTTGACCAGCTCGAGGTGTGGGTCGACGGCGGGTACCGTCGCGGGACTGACATCCTCAAGGCGCTCGCACTCGGTGCTCGGGCGGTGGGCATTGGACGACCCTGTACGTTCTCTCGCTCCTCTCTCTCCCTCCCGCCCTTCCTCCTCTTCGTCTCGCCTTCCTCTTTCCCTCGCCTCTCCCTCGCGCTCTCTCTCTTTCTCTCTCGACCTTCTCGTTCGTCAATCAAGTCCTGACTTTCGTCCTCGTCTCGCGCGCAGTCATGTACTCGCTCGCGTTCGGCGACGCCGGCGTCAACAAGGTCGCGACCATCCTTCGCGACGAGCTCGCGCAGAACACGCGCCTCCTGGGCGCCACCAAGCTCGACGAGATCGTGCCCTCGATGCTCAACACACGCGAGCTCGAGGCCAACTTGTGGAACGGGCCGTACGAGAGCCCGGTCAGCAAGTCGCTCCTCGCCAAGCTGTAGTTCCTCCCCCGTCCCGAGATGCACACTGGCTGTTGTTTAGCTTGGCCTTGGGCTCGTTCGACGGCACGAGAGGCCTGAGAGTGCGAGAGAAAGCTTGCGCAGGCGAGCCGGTTTTGGAGAGAGAGGAGGGAGAGCCGCAACCTCGAGAGCTGCAACCTCGAGAGCTGCCAGCTCACGCGACGAGCAAGATGGCGCAAGTGTGTCGTGGGAGCCTGACAAGGCCGTACGGCTGCCGAGCTGTACCGTGAGCGACGTCAGGCTCGAGTCGAGTGAGAGAAGGCAGTCGAGCTGCGCAGGCGCTGTTTGTGAACGCGAGCTCGATTCTCTATGCGACATTAGCGTCGGTGCTTGACCGGCGGGCGAGAGTACACACTCGCGCCCTGCTCCTCGTTGACTCGGTACGTCGCACGTCCAACCCGCACAGCTTGCGTCTCGCTCGAGCGGGGGTCCGTGCACCGCTCGAGAGCCTTCTCCGGGCACGCAGCTGGGCGAGGTCCGAGCGCGACCTGCTCCAGCTCGCTCTGGCTACTTCAGCGTCGTCCCAGAGCGTTGACGGCGTCGGCTGGGCGAGGTCGGAGAAAGGAGAGCGCGAAGCGAGTTCGAGAGCAAGTTGAGGAGGACGACGAGGTTTGCGCTCTCGGACAGCGTGGGCGCGTGTCACGCTGCCCGAGAAGAACTCAGGTGCGCTCTGTGAGAGCCTCCGAGAGCACGGGCCGACAGGAGGGACTGCTCTCGTCCTGCACGTCGACCGCCTTGAGAAGGCCGCGCTCAGGCATGCAACTCGCGCTCTACAAGGTGAAATGGCTCGGGAGACGCGCTCGATTGCACCGCAGATACCTCCTCGTTCGATCGAGCGCGAGCAGAAGGCCCCAAACCCTCTAGATCAAGAGCTAGCGTTTGAGCGAGGGTGCGCAGGATCCCCCTGTTTTTAGCAGGTGGCCGGGCGTACGGGCGCTCCGCAGGGGTGCGCGCCGTACGAGCGGCTCACCAGAGTGCGCCCGCTGCCCACAGGGGCACGTGAGGGCGGGCGCAGCCTCGTAAAGACCCGTCCGCGACGGCTCGACTCGCTGAGCCGTCGGGACGAGTGCGACGACGAACAAGGGCTCTGTGCGGTCCGGGAACGCTCGACAAAGACGAGGAGAGCTTTCGGAGAGGAAACGGCGCCGTCGCGCGGCGCAGCTAGGGCGCGAGGAGAAGCTCTCGGAACGAGAAGGGAGGTGCCATCGAGGGCTCGACTATCCTGCAGCGCGAGGTCGAGAGGGTCAGTGCGCAGCTCGGCGAGAGGCATAGACCATCTTGAAGGCTGTAGAGTGGAAGAGAGGACCGACAGGGACGCACAAGGATCTGAACGAGCCTCGCTCGAGGTCGAGAGCCGTCCAGGCCGCCCGACACGTCCGCCCGACCGTCGTACGCGACCGCCGCACCTGTGACAGGATCAAAGTGAGTCAGTGACGCGTCATAGACGCTTCGTGCGCGCGCGGAGGCTGCGAGGGAGAGGGAGAGGGGTGGCCAAACACGAGGATGCGGAGCGGAGGGGGGACGCACCCGTCGTCGAGCCCCGCACAGCGTTGCCGTCCTGCCCAAAGTACTCTGTGAGTCTGCTCGAGTCCTCGTCGACCGCGCCCACCAGTCCACGAGCCGTGGTCGCCAGTCGAGAGAGGTGGGCGGACTCGGGGGCTGATGAGGGCGAAACGCGGCGGCGAGCGCTCGCGGTGGAGCGGGTGCAGCTCGAGGTCGTCACTGAAGTGTGCAGGTACACATGCGAGGCGCGCGTCGCCGGCCCAGTCGAGAGGGCGGAGTGGTGGTGAGGGAGCCGGCCCTCGGCTCGCTCGAGGCCAGCTCTCTCAAGCGTTCAAGCGCGTCCGCCGCCGCCAAGAGCAGCACCGACCGATGCAAGCGCTGCTTCGGTGACAGGTCTGCGAGTAGCTCGTCTAGCGAGGCGAGCACGCGCGCGAGAGGCACAGCGGACCGTGCACGCGAGCACGCTTTTGACTCTCGCACGACGGCGGACTCACGAGCTCGCCCAGGGACGGACGACGACGACGACGTCGAACGATGCGAGAAGAGTGCGTGAACAACGATTCGAGAGCAGTGTCCGAGGGAAGAAGAAAAGAGAGAGAGGGAAGAGGAGGAGAGGGGAGACTATGCGACTTCTACGAGCTGGCGAGGGGGGTGGGGCACAACGTGGACACAGGGAAAGGAAAAGGGGCGAGGTACGCAGGAGGAAAGAACGAAGGAGGGTGAGGTGGGTCGGGCGACTCACTGCGCGAGGGGGAAGGGGTGCAAGGTCGGGTCAGTTGCGCTCCTGGACTTTCAGGTAAGACGACGACGACGCTGCCGCTCGGACGTCGACGTCGACGACGCGGCCCATGCAGAGCGTGTAGAAGAAGGGCACAAGGGAAATTCGGGACGGACCATGACGATACTCGGCTCGAGGATAGAGTTCGAGACGCTCTTGTGCGGCAGAACCGAAGCACCGTTGATGAACACCTCGTCCTTGATGTTGACGTCGTCACCGAGAACGGTCGTCCCCTCGACGCGTGCCCACTTGCCGACGGTCGAGGACCAACCGATGATCGAGCTCTGGACGAACGCGTGGTCCTTGATGCGGGCGCCGTCGAGGAGGACGCAGCGCTGGAGGCGGGCACCCTTGCCGACCGTGCAGTTGGGGCCGACGACGACGTTGGGCCCGATGGACGCCGAGGGGTCGACCTTGGCCGACGGGTGGATGATGACGTTGCCGGCCGTGACGGCCTCGTGCTTGGCCGGGTCGGCGAGCTCGGTCGACTTGCAGGCGGTGAGGTACGACAGGTAGAGGCAGGTGCCCGTGAGGTAGTCTGTGTGGGTGCCCGGCATCAGTACGAGGGCTCCTGGCGACGAGCAGAGGCTCGACCGCAACGGCCGCTTCAAGGAACGGCTCGGTTCGCCCGACCCCTCTTGACACGCAAGAGAAAGAGAGAGTAGGACGGACCCTTGGGCTGGCCGATGTCCATCCAGAAGCCCTCGAGGTCCATCGAGTGGAGCTGGCGGTCCTTGGCCATGGCCGGGAAGACCTCGCTCTCGATCGAGGTCGGCTTGACCTCGATGCGGTTGAGCACGCTCGGGTTGAAGATGTAGATGCCGGCGTTGATGCGGTTGCCGACGTACTCCTTGGGCTTCTCGACGAAGCGGTCGATGGTGCTCTGGCCGGGGACGGTCAGGACGACGCCGTACTTGGACGGCTCGTCGACCTTGGTGACCTGCGCACGTCCAGATGCATCAGTACGTGTGCTGCCAGGGGACGAGAAGAGAGCGAGGACGCACCATGAGGGTACCCTCACCGCCGTGCGCCGTGTGGAAGTCGCGCAGCTCCTGGAACGGGTACGAGCAGGTGACGTCCGAGTTGAGGACGAAGAAGGGTGCGTCGTCCTTGCCGAGGATGTCGCGAGCGAGGGCGAGCGGGCCAGCTGCGAGGGACAAGGCGAGAGTGAGCGGGCGCGGTCGACAGGACGCGCCTCCTCCTCGTCGCCGCTCGAGAGGGACGCACCCGTGCCGAGGGGCTCGTTCTCGACGGAGAACGTGATGGTGATCTGTACACGTACGCGCAGGAGGACTGGTCAGCTCGACACGTTCCGCTGCACCGCCTCTCTGACAGCTCGGCTCGGGGCAGGGGAAAGGGATGGCTCGTCTCGACGCACGCCGTACTGCTCCTCGTACTTCTTGAGGACAGCGATCATGACCTCGGGGCGGCTGCGAGGCGAGTGGATTAACGAAAGGTCAGCTCTCGATCGAGATCGTCGACCGCGGTGGGCAGAGCTGGAACCCCGCAAGCTCGAGCGAGGGGGGGTCGAGCTGGCGGGCTCGGCGAGAGGGGAGGGGGGAGTGTGCGACTCACTAGTTGACCGCGAGGACAATGTGCTTGACGCCAGCCTGCAGGAGAAGGAGCGCGGTCAGCTCGACGAGGTTGAGCGAGGGAACGGGGACGAGGACGCGCCTTGACGAGGTTCTCGACGAGGTGGAGGATGATGGCCTTGTTGGCGAACGGCACGAGGGGCTTGGGGTACGTGAGCGTCAAGGGGCGGAGACGCGTGCCGAAACCTGCGGCAACGCGAGCGCGAGAGGTCAGTCGCCGCGGACGAGGGGACCAGGACGAGGGGGTGGGTCGCGTCGACGACGACACGCGCTCGAGGGACGCACCGCCAACGAGGATGAGGGCCTTGAGGTCGCCGGGCATCTTGCGAGTTTTGTAAAGAGGGTGGAACTGCGCGGGGCGGGGGGACAGCGAGGGAGCGAGGGGGGAAGGGAGAAGGAGGGAGGGTGAGCGTGTCGGCGTTGGAGGCGGCGCGTCGCTCGACCCGCATAGACGCACGTCCTCCGAACAAGAGAGGGACAGAGCGGCACTCACAAGGGGTCGGTGGAAGAAACAAGGGCTGCGCAGAGAAGAGCGAGGCAAACTGGGTCAGAGAGAGGAAGGAGGCCACCGCAGCGAAGCTCTGCGCCTCTGGACGTGCGCCGCACCGCCGCGACAAGCACGCGCGCTCGCCGACGGGTTCGAGCGGCTCGTCTTCGCACCTTCCACTTTCGTCTGCGGGACACGACGAGGGGCACGCACGAGGGTCAAAGCTGGTAACGCGGGTAGTTAGCTCGGAACACGACGAAGCAGACACAGAGCAGGCGAGGCGGGCGAAGCTGGTCGAGCAGCGGAGAGAGCGAGCGTCTTCCCCGCCATGTTTCTGCTGCCGGGCAGCCACCCTCGTTTCCTCCAGACTCTTGATCGCGCACCCCGCATCGTCCAAAGCTTCCGACGCAGCGCCGCCGTCGTTCGCTCGTCCTTGCGCACGGCCCGCTTCCGCTTCTCGTTCGTCCTCGGGCCCGGCTCGTCTGACATCGAGAAGGGCCACGTTGCACAACATAGAGAGGTCTACACAGAGTCGCTCGCCCGTCCCCGCGAGCCGAGAAGTGGCTCGCTCTCCCCCGCTGTGGTCCCCGACGCAGAAGATGGCTGCGCACCCGCCTCGTCGCCCGCTCGATCCCGATCCTCATCGACGCGCGCACCGCGGTACAGGACAAAGTGCTGCAGCATGAAGAGGACGTCGAACCCGAGCGCGAGGAGGCCCAAGCCGCTGTGACCGCCGAGCGAGAGAGAGAGAGGAGGGGAGGGGAGGGCGACGAGGTCAGTCGACGACGCCGAGCTGCGAGGGACAGGGCGACGCACAGCTTGCCCGGGTTGCCGATGATGCCGCGCAGGTCGCCGTCGACCCACGAGTCGATGACGAGCTGGATCCTGTCGACGAGGGAGCGAGGATGGGAGGGGAGGGCGAACGAGGTGAGCTTGCGACTGCGAGGACCGCAGAACAAGGCGGTAAAGGGAGAGAGGGTGACGCACAAGGACAAGACGCCGCCGGTAAAGTCGAGGAGGATGTTCTCGATACTCCAGCCGACTGTGCTCTTGCGGCGGTAGTTGATCCACGCCTGCGGCAGCATTTTGGTCGTCGAGATGTACAGCTTGACGTAGCTGAGCCACAGGATGAGGTCGAGCGCAAGTATGCGACGGGTCGCGACGAGGATGGTGCCGAGAGCGATCGAGCCGAGCAGAAAAGTGAGGACGGCGCCGTTGAACTTGGACAAGCGTTGCTTCGGGTCGCGCTGCGGAAACGACGAGGGTCAGCGTCGACTTGCACGCGCGCACCCGTGCCTCGAGAGAGAACAGAGAGAGAGAGAGCGCACCTTGTAGACAAAGATGGACCCGAGCGTGATGAGCGAAAAGACGAGGGCGTGGACGGCGAAGGCAATGTCGTTCGCCTGCGCCTGCGGGTAGTGCCCGTCGTGTCGCTCGCCGTACTGCCTGCGGACCGTCGGTGACGCGTAAAGAGCGACGTTGTAGACCTGCAGAGAGCGAGCTAGAGGTGAGCATCTACGAGTCGGACAAGGTGCGCTGAGGAGGAGGGGGGCGACGCACGGTGTAACAGGCGAAGCCGAGTGGGTTGAGGCTGAAGAAGTCCTGCGTGTCACTCGAAAGAGAGTCAGTGGGCGTTCAGGGCGTGTACCTCGCGCACACTGTGCGAGCGTAGGCCCTCGCGGCGAGTCGCCTCTGCAAGGGGAAGTTGGGACGCACGATGCTGAGGCCCTCGACCGACTTGCGCCGGTAGTTGATGATGAGCTGGGGATAGAAGCTGCAGTCGAGGCGGAGGGAGAGGTGAGAGACGCGGCGCAGTCGTGGGACAGGGAGCGAGAGGGGGACGGACGAGGGAGTTGGAGGAGAGAGGGGCGAGGTCAGCGTCATCGAGGCCCAGGGAGAGAGTGATGCGGGTGGGACGCACGATATGGACCATGCGGCGGTTCCGATCCATCCAAGGATGCTGCAGGTCGAGGTCGGTGAGCCAACTCGAGGTGGAGAGATGAGGTGAGGGAGAGGTGGGGGGACTCACTGCGAGAGGGCGACCCAGCCGTTGGTCATGGCGGCTGAAGGTAATGTTCGACAGTAGCTGGAGCACCAGCACGCAACAGCCCGTCGGACAGAGCTGCGAGGAGCGAGAGAGGGACGCCTGTCGTCGTCTTCGAGCTCTCTGCCTTCGCCCACCCTCTCGCCCTCTCGTCACGCCAACGAGATGAACGGTCAAGGTCAGCCCTTCCGTGCAGGTGCTCCTGCTGCCGTCGCAGTCGAGTACTCGTGTGCCGGTGCGCCCCCTTTCTCTCTCTCTCTCTCGCCTCCCTCCTCCTCCCTTCATCTCGAGCTGATCAACCCGTCTCCTCCCTCCCCCTGCCCCGACCCTGCCACCTTCCCCGCAACAGACTGCGCTGCCTCGAACGAGATCAAGGCGCGCGAGCCCATCCGCTGCCGCGAGTGCGGCTGCCGCGTCATGTACAAGAAGCGCATCAAGCGCAGTGCGTCCCCTCTCCCTCGTCTCGCCCCCAGTCGCACTCTATGTCTGTACAACGCGATCCTCAGACTGACTCTGCCGCCTCTGCCTCTCGTGCGCGCCCCTCGTCGCAGTGGTCCGTCCTCTCCTCCTCCCTCTCCTCTTCCTCGTCAGGTGTCTGCCTCGACCTGGTACACAGCTGACTCATCTTCTCCCACCCGCAGGTCCAGTTCGAGGCCCGATAGGCGCCTCCGCAACAATGCCGCCAACGTCAACGGTCGCACCTTGCCCCGTCACCTCGACCTCGGCGGCTCCTCGACTCGACCCGACAGCCCGCCTCTCCGACACGCTCTAGCGCAGAGCTTTTCCTGTACCACCAGCGACCTTTCCCCACCTGTTGCATCACTGCACGTGTCCAGCATGTCGCCCGGCGCGCAGAGCGCTCGCCGTCCGGAGAGTCGTCGGCAAGGCGGAGGGCTCGAGCTGTCCGGCTGCCAAGCTCTCGCTCTCCCGCCGAGGAAGCTCATCGCGCACGTCACGACGACACAGGAACACGATGCCGAGTGGCGCGAGAGAGGCTCTCTGCCGAGAGGCTGACCTGCTTGAGGGAAAGGCGAGTCGCACGGTGCGCCTCCTGGAGCCTCGGCTGTGCGTGCGCGCCGCACTCTTGCGCCGACAGCGAGAGCTGCACTTTCGAGTACGTCTCGATGAGAGCGCTCTGCAGTCCTTCTTGCACGAGGAGAGAGGAGCAAGCCGCCCCTTGCCAGTCGACAGCTCGCTCGCCCTCAGCGCACCTTTGGCGCCGTCCGACTCTCAGCTTGGCCTCGCCCGTCTACAAGGGCGACAGCTGCGCCGCTCTTCCTCCTCGAACGCGCCGGTGCACACGCTCGCCGCACCACGTCAAGCCCCCGTGTGGCCTGGACCACTCGCCCTTGTGGGTCGCCGCCGGATCGCCCTCTCGCCTTCACACCTCGCTCCGCTCGACTGCGACCACGACTGCGACCTCGACAGCCACTCGGTACGGCCTCGGAGCAGCTTCAACAGCGACCCGCGGCGTCAACGAGGGCGAGAACGAGCTTGTGAGCCCCCTCGTTCGATCACCACTTCATCGCGTGAGTGTCTCGTCTCCCCCTTGGACCAGCGCAATACCGGGAACAGCGAGCGACCCGCTCCGCAGCCACACCTGCGTCCTCCTCCACCGCGACCTGACCCCGTCCCGCCTCCAGCCGCCAGCGTCGCCTCCTCGACCACCTCCCGGCTTTCCGCCGCCGCACGGCCACAGCTGGCGACAGCGCCGACACGACTGCTCCGGCACGACCGACCACCGCCGCCGTCCTCGCCGCAAGGCGCCAGCAGCAGCAGCAGCGCCGCACACCTCATGCCGGACCTCGACCCTGTCCTCGTCGCTCGCCGTCCTGTCCCTCCCATACCGACCCGCCCGCCTCGTCCCCCTCGTCCTCCCCGATCCTCGTCCCGTCCCCGCCTCAAGCGCACCAGCTCGCCCCGACCCGCCGCTCGCAGGCCGAGCACGGTGCCGAGCGCGAGCGACCTCGAGGCGTTCGTCGACGCCGACGACGGCCTCGGCGGCCCTGCGCTCCCCGTCAGCGAGCCGTCGCCGACACGCTCGTCCGACGCGAGGTCGACCACGTTCGAGCACGGCAGAAACGCCTCGCTGTCGAGGTGCGACGTCGACGCCCTCGTGTGCGTGTCGGACTCGGCGCCGTTCGTCGCTCGGGCGCAGGCGCGCTCGCCAGTGCCTGTAACGGAGGCCGCCGAGCCTGCACAGGCGCGCCACGAGCAGGTGGAGCGAGCCTCGGGCGGGCCGGGCGCAGTCGTCGGCGACGAGGCAAACTTGTTTGGCGAGCCGCGGTACCGTCGGGCGTGGCAGAGCAGCGGGCCGGCCAAGATTGCGCTCCCTCGTCCGGTCGACGCAAGCCGGCTCGAGGCGCTCGACGTCAGCTACGACGACCGGTCGCCCGGCGCCGTGAGCTCGTACAGCCCGCCGCCGCGCGTCGTCTCGATCTACAACCTCGTCGAGGTGTCCGAGTCGCCCGTCGAGGGCGCCCACTCGCCGCCGACGAGCCCGCTCCTCAACGACGTCCTCGGCTCGCCGACCACCTGGACGCGCGCCTCGCCATCTCCGAGGCTCGCCTCGTCCGTCCCGTCCACCTCCGCCTTCTCGGCAGGCTTCGTCCCTCGCCCTTCCACCCACGCCACCTCCCCCCTCGGCACTCTTCCTCCCTCTCCCGATCCTATCACGCGCCCGCCGACCGCGCCCGCATCTCTCGAGCCGCCGCCGACAATCCGGCGGTCGTCGGGCGGCCTGAGCTCGTCCAAGTCGGGCCGTCGGCTGTCGGCCCTTCTGTCGAGCAGCTTCGGCCTCGGGCGCAGCCGCACGAGCCTCGTGCTCCCCAGCGAGGCCGACGAGCAGCCGGCGCTGCGGTCAAAGGGCCCGTCCCGCCCGCGCCCGCTTTCGAGCGACGGCCTGTCGGCGTACCAGCTCCCGCCCGGCCTCGCCTCCGGCAGCTTGCCCCTCGACGATGATCCGCCATCGCCGCAGCCGCTCCGCACATCCTCGCCCTCGCCGATCCACCGCCTTCCCTCGCCCATCCCCCTCCCTGTACCCGCCCTCGCCTCGCTCGCGCGCTCGTCCGCGGTCGGGCGCACCTGGCGCTCGACGCTCGCGCCCGAGACGTACCAGCGCCTGTCGCTCGAGTACGGCACGGTCGAGATGCGCCGCCAGGAGGTCATCTTTGAGCTGTGCGAGACCGAGCGGGCGTTCGTCGTCGGCCTGCGCGGCATCGTCGCGCTCCTCGCGACGCCGCTGCGGCGCGCCGACGGCGCCTGGCTCGACCTCGTGCCGCAGTCGGTGTCGCGCCTGTTCGAGTTCCTCGACGGCATTGTCGAGCTGCACGCGGGCATCAGCGCCGCACTCGACGAGGTCCGTGCGGCGCAGGCGCCCGTCGTCGCCCGCGTCGCCGACACGTTCGCGCCGTTCGTCGACGGCCTCGCCGTGCACCAGGCGTACCTCGTCCACCTCGAGGCCGTCTCGGCGCTCGTCGACGACCTCGTCGCGGGCAAGCTCGTGCGCCCGTCGTCGCTCCACGAGCACCGCCACGCGCAGCAGCAGCTCGACGGCGCCGAGCGCGCGCGCGACGGCGAGCTCGGCGAGTTCACGCGCTTCCTGCGCGCGCAGAGCCGCAGGCCCGAGTGCGGCGGGTTGAGCTTGGCGAGCTTCCTCCTCAAGCCGGTCCAGCGCCTCATGAAGTACCCGCTCTTCTTCCATGTGCGTCTCCCTTCCACTCTTCCTTCTTCCTTCTCCCCCTCGTCAACGTGCGACTGACTCGAGCCTCTTCACGTCATGCAGCAACTTTGCGAGCTCTCGCCCGTCGGTCACCCCGACCATGCCGCCACGCACGCCCTGCACGCCTCGACCGGCGCCATGATCCTCGCCCTCCAGGAGGTCAAGGCGCGCGAGGACGCCTACGCCGAGCTCAAGGTCCTCACCGCTCGTCTGCGAGGCGTCCCTGACGGGTTCCGCCTCGCGAGCCGGGACCGCCGAGTCGAGCTCGAGGGCTCGTTGCGCCTCGTGCACCTCTCTGAGCGAGACCGAGCAGCGCTCGAGGGCTCGTCGTCGTCGCCTTTGGCCCCGGCGGTCGCGGCGGGCGGCGTCGGGTCCGGCGCACGGCGCGCGAGGCCGGCGGCGCACGACCAGTCGAGGCCGATCTCGACCGTCAGCGTCGACTCGGGCTCGAGCCTCGGCTCGTTGGCGTCGGCATCGAGCGGCAACTCGACGACGGTGGGCTCGGAGCCGTCGACGGGCCCAACGACGCCGGCGTCGCTCTTCAGCTCGCCGAGCCCGCCGAGCTGGTCGCGCCCGCTCCCGCCCCTGTCGTCGTCGTCGTCGAGCGACAAGCGCCTGTCGTTCTCGGGACCCTCGTCGAGCCTCGCTCCGGCGTCGGGGCGCGCCGCTGGCCAGGGTGCGTCGCCGAGATTGAGGACGCGCGCTCGCGAGTCGAGCGTCCAGGTGTGGGCCATGTCGGACGTGCTCGTTCTCGCCCAGGTCGGCGGCGTCGAGACGTCCAAGGTGCGCAAGAGCGCCAAGACGCTCGAGCGCGACCGGGCGAGGGACGGCAAGGAGGCGCCGAGGGTGCTCGACGGCGTGGGTGTTTCGAGGGTCGTCGCGGTCAAGGACTGGTCGGGCAGGACCGGTGCGTCCACCTCTCGCTGTCGCACTCGTCTCGGGAAGCCTACTGACGTACATCGCCCCGCAGAGCACGAGTTCCTCGTCCAGGTCGACGTCGTTCCCGTCTCGAGCAAGACCCAGCCTGTCTCGATCTCGTCGACCCTGCCGACCTCCCTCTTCCTCACGCTCGCGCCACCGACCCCGAACACGTCGTCGCAGCAAGCCCTCCCCACGGCGACCAAGCAGGAGGCGTTGTTCCAGTCCTGGCTGCGCGCTTTGACCGCCCTCTCCGCCACGCCATCTTCCCCGCCTCGTCCTCGCCGGCCGCCCCGCACCACCGCCACACTCGTCTCGTCGCCCGCATCACCTCACCCGCGAGGCTTCACGGCCGAGGAGAGCGCGTGGTGGGCACGCCGGCTCGCCGCCGTGCGGCAAGAGCTCGACGAGGCCGCACGACTCAAGCTCGCGGCGGCGACCGTCCCTCCCCGGCCGCCTCGTGCGCAGCTCAGTGTTGGGCTCGGCTCGGAGTCGGCGGCGTTCCGTCGGAGGACGAGCGGGTGAGTCGAGGCAGGGCGAGGGAGGACTTGTATCCGGATCGTCGCGCAGTTGTGCGGTTCGCTGTCATTGTCTCTCTTGCATGCTTCTGTTGTCGAGCCTGTATCGAATCGTTGACCCTCTGTGCGAGAAAGGCGAGACTTGGTCGAGAGGAGCGAGCGGTACGTGGCTGTGCAGGAGTTGCCGAGCGGTCCCTGTCCGTCTGCGCTCCAGCTTCCTCTGAGCCGCGGGTGTTCTCTGCTCCGACGAGAACTCCTCACCCGACTGAGCAGCACCAGATCCAGCCCACCGTCGACGACGAGAGCGCAGCACCTGTCGCTCAACCGCCGCCGTCGCGTCGAGCCCTTCGCCCCCTCGTCCCTCGTCCCTAACTAGCTCGCCTCGTCCGCCCTCCCGCTCAGCAGAGGCAGCGCCAGCCCACGATGAGCTACCCGCCGCCGCATCAGCAGGGCTACGCCGACCCGTTCAACGACCGTCACTCGCCCGCCGGCCCCCGCCCGCAGCCAGGTGCCTTCGCCGCGCCGACCCCTCCTCCGCCTCCGCCCGGCTCGTCGCCGTACGGCCAAGACCCGCCCTCGTCCCAGGGCCACCTCCAGCGCCCCTACGCCCACCACGACAACCCCTCGTACGCCTCGACCCTCCCGACCGGCAGCTCGTACTCGCTCGCCGGCGGCCAAGGCGAGAAGTGGGCCGGCGACGACCACTACCCGGACGAGGACACCGAGAGCAAGACGCCGCTCCGCCAGGACTTTGCCCAGGCCCCCTACGACCAGGACCAGCCGCTGTGAGTCGCGCGACCTCGTCCCCACCTCCCTCCGTGCCCCATCCGCTCTCTCGATGGTCGCACGCAGCGGGCGTGCGAGGACCTCAGCCCGCGTCCTCGGCGTTTACTTCATGCCTCTAGCCTCGCGACCGTCCCTGACATTCCGCCGTTGCGCGCAGGTACCCGGCGGGAGGGTTCACGCCGCAGCCTGCGGGCAGCTTCTCGAGCTACCCGACCAACGGCGCCGACTACTCGCAGCAGGGCCACCAGAGCCTCTCCCGCAAGCAGACGTCGGCCGAGGTGCGTCCCTGCGTCCGCTCCTTCCTCGCGCAGAACGAGCGGCGACTGACTGGACCTCGTTGCGCCCGTTCCCCTCGCAGGCGTGGAAGCAGCGCCAGGTCATCAACCCGCGCCGTGCGCAGACCAAGAAGGTCAAGCTCACGCAGGGCAACTACATCGTCGAGCACCCTGTCCCGACTGCCGGTGCGTCCTCCTTTTCGCGCCCTTTCGAGAGCGCTCAGTCCTGACCCTGCACCTTGGCCCGCAGTGCGCAACGCCAACCTCGCCAGCAACCCTCGTGCGTCACCTCTACGCCTCTCGTCTTGGGACGATCGTCGACCCTGACCCACTCATATCTCCTGCAGATGGCGGCCCGACCGAGTTCTCGCACCTGCGCTACACGGCGGCGACGTGCGACCCGAACGACTTTACCGCAGCTGTGCGTCCCCCTCCTTGCCCTTCTCTCAGTCTCTCACGTGGACTGACGACCTGCGCGTGACCTGTAGAACGGCTACAGCCTGCGCGCCTCGTCGTACGGCCGCGAGACCGACCTGCTCGTCTGCATCGTGCGTCCACCTCTCGCTTTCTGGGTCCGTGTCGCTCGCCGAGCCGTCTACTGATCCTCCACCTCGGCGACTACGGCGCACAGACGGCCTACAACGAGAACAAGATCCTCCTCGCGCGCACGCTCCACGGCCTCATGCTCAACATCCGCGACATGTGCCGCGGCAAGTGGAGCGAGTTCCGCCAGAAGGCCGAGCGCGGCGGCGTCGAGGGTGGGCGGCAGGGCGAGGCATGGAAGCGCATCGTCGTCAGCCTCGTGTTCGACGGCATCGACCCGGCCGACAAGAACACGCTCGAGTGCGTCCCTCGTCCCCTTTTCTCTCTTCCTCGGTGCTCGTGCGGCCCGACTGACGCCTCGTCCGCCTACAGTGTGCTCGCGACTATCGGCGTCTACCAGGACGGCATCATGCAGAAGTCGGTCGACGGCAAGGAGACGGTCGGTGCGTCGCCTCTTCCGCTCCCTCTCTTTCGACCCCTCGTGTCCCTCTCCCTCCCTCCTGTCCTCTCTCGGATCTCGAGCGCTCACATCAAGCTACTCCCTCACAGCCCACATCTTCGAGTACACGTCGATGCTCTCGGTCTCGCCCAAGCCGGCGCTCGTCGAGCCGCACCCGGGCGACCCGAACAACCTGGTGCCCGTCCAGATGATCTTCTGTCTCAAGCAGAAGAACGCCAAGAAGATCAACTCGCACCGCTGGCTCTTCAACGCGCTCGGGCGCCACCTCAACCCGGACGTCGTGTGCCTCCTCGACGCCGGCACCAAGCCGGGCAAGCGCAGCATCTACTACCTGTGGGAGGCCTTCCACCACGACAAGCACCTCGGCGGCGCTGCAGGCGAGATCCACGTGCGTCTCACGACCTTATTCCTCCCCCTGTCGCGTCGACGAGGCCGAGCCTGACCTTCCTCGTGCTCGTCTCGCAGGCCATGCTCGGTCGCGGCGGCAAGAAGCTCCTCAAGTGCGTCTCCCCTATCTCTCTCTCGCCTAGCCGCCTCACTGACGTACCTTCCCGTCACAGCCCTCTCGTCGCGGCGCAGAACTTCGAGTACAAGATGTCGAGTGCGTCCCGCTCTCTCCCTCCCTGCTCGATCTTCGAGCCTCGCTCACCGCGCCTCTCCCACCTCGCAGACGTCCTGGACAAGCCGACCGAGTCGGCGTTCGGCTATGTCGCCGTCCTGCCCGGCGCCTTCTCGGCGTACCGCTTCAGTGCCATCCAGGGCCGCCCGCTCAACCAGTACTTCCACGGCGACGGTACGCTCGCCGCTCGCCTCGGCCCCAAGGGCACGGACGGCATGAGCATCTGGACCAAGAGCGCGTCCTCATTTCCCTCACCGACTCGTCGCGGCCCGTCCCTGACAGCTCGAGCCTCGCCGCAGACATGTTCCTCGCCGAGGACCGCATCCTGTGCTTCGAGCTCGTCGCCAAGGCCAACGAGCGGTGGGTCCTCGGCTACGTTAAGCCGGCCAAGGGCGAGACGGACGTGCCCGAGTCGGCCGCCGAGCTCATCGGCCAGCGCAGGCGCTGGCTCAACGGCTCGTTCGCTGCCGGCGTCTACTCGCTCGTCCACTTCGGGCGCTACTACAAGAGCAACCACGGCATCATCCGCCTCTTCTTCCTCCACCTCCAGGCCATCTACAACACGATCAACCTCATCATGAGCTGGTTCGGTCCGTCCTCCTCTTCCTCCCTCTCTACGTCAGGTCGCGCTCGCTCGGACCTGCCGTCACTGACTCGCCCTGCCCATCTTCTCGCAGCCGTCGCCAACTACTACCTGACGTTCAGCATCATCATCACGATCGTCGGCGACTCGCTCGTGCACCCGAACGACATTGCCGGCGGCGACCCCGACACGATCAAGTGCTGGGCCGGCTCGTTCCTCGAGGACGACGGCAGCGACAAGTTCGACTGGCTTGCCCTCGTCAAGTGAGTCGCCTGAGTCGGTTCCTGAGCATGCGGCCGAGGTGTACCGCGAGCGCGACCCTGACTAGCCCTCGCCTTGGTCTCGCAGCTGGCTCTTCAAGGTCATCTGTGCGTGCCCTCTCTCTTAACCCCTCTCGCCCTCGTCGCCCGTCATCCTGACTCTTTGTCCCTCTCCAGATCTCGGCTTCCTCGCCTTGCAGGTCATCCTCGCGCTCGGCAACCGCCCCAAGGCGGAGAAGCGCGCCTACACCATCTCGATCGCGGTCTTTGCCTTCTTCTCGCTCTACCTCATCGTGTGTACGGTCGTCCTCACCATCAAGGCCTTCTGTGTGCGTCCAGCGTTCCTGCCTCTCGTCGCCCTTGTGAGCGCAGAACTGATTCGCTCGTCGCCGACCCGCTCGCAGCCGATCGGCTCCCTCCTCGCCAAGTCGGACAGCGGCAACGTCAGCGTCTTCCTCGGCAGCACATACGGCCCCATCTTTGCCGGCATCGCCGGTACTTTCGGTGCGCTCGACCCCCTTCCCTCTTTCCTCTTTTACCTTCCCTTTCCCTCACTGACGCTCTCCTCCCTGATCAGGCGTCTACATCATCTCGTCGCTCCTGTACCTCGAGCCGTGGCACCTCCTGCACTCGATGCCGCAGTTCCTCCTCATCGCGCCGTCGTTCACCAACATCCTCGTGCGCCCGGACCGCCTCTCCTCTCCGCTCCTCTCGGCCTTCTCGCTCACGCATGCCTCGCCCTATGCAGAACATCTACGCCTTCTGCAACCTGCACGACGTCTCGTGGGGCACCAAGGGCTCGGACAAGGTCGAGGCGCTCCCGGCGGCCAAGTCCAAGGCGGACGGCGAGGAGAAGGTCGTCGAGACGCACGAGCGGGTTCAGGAGGGTGCGTCTCTCGCCCTCTCGCCTTCTCTCCCTCGTCCTCGCACCTTACTGACACTCACGACGCCGCAGACATCGACTACAGCTTCAAGGCGACCGTCCTGCGCGCTGTCGAGACGTTCGTCGAGGAGGAGGAGGTCACGACCCCGACCGGCGACGACCGCAACAAGACGTTCCGCACGCGCTTCATCTGCGTCTGGCTCCTCATGAACGCCGTGCTCGCCCTCGCCATCACCAAGTTGAGCGCGACCGTGCGCACGTACTAGTAAGCCCCTCGTCGTCGTCGTCCACAAACTCGTACCGGATCCTTACTGACCTTGCCGCTCCGTTCGCAGCTTCCAGGCCATCTTGTGGATCACCTTTGGGCTCTCGATCATTCGCCTGAGCGGCATGCTCTGGTGCGTCGACTCGCTCGTTCTCTCGACCTCGCCAGAGCGTTTCCTGACCTTGTCGACGCCTCGCAGGTACCTGTTCGGCGAGTGGACGTTCCGCGCCGCTCGCTTCTGCTCGCGCTCGCGCAAGTAGTCGGTGTCGCGATGGAGGAACGGGAGCAGGCAGGAGGGAGGAGGAGGAGGTCGACGGACACTGGCTTGGATTTTATCACCCTCTCTCGCTTTTCCCCGCGACTTGCTGTGCTCGTCTGCACTTGTAGATGTCGTTCCGCTCTCGCTGTATTGCACGCACTCGCAGCCTTGCACTCGAGAGGAGGGAAAAGTCGGCCGCCGCTGCGACGTCAAGGGGCCGCGACCTCGCTGCTCGGCTCCAACCGTCTCTCGTCCTCTCGCCCGCTCAGAGACGACAAGCAGCACTCGCATGGCATCCGACACTTACCCGCACACGTTCACCTGGTGCGTCCCGCCCTCCCGCCCTCTCGTTCGTCCGCCCTCGCCCTTCATCGCTGACCTCGTCCCCCCCACACTTCCCTCGCCCTCTCCCTCGCGGCTCTGCGTGTACAGGAAGGGCTGGGGCAGCACTGTCGTTGTGCGTCCTCTCTCTCGAACCGCGCCTGCGCGCCCTGTGACCGTCGCTGACTCGCATCTCCCTGCCCCCAGGCCACCGGCACCTTCGACAACTGTTTGTCGCCTTCCTCCCCCTCGAGCCTGTTCAGGCGACGCGTCATTGCCGTCATCGAGCAGACAACTGACTCTTGCGCGCACTCCCTTCCCCCTTTGCGCCGCCGCCTACAGGGTCCAGGTGCGTCCCCTTCTGCCTCCCTCCCCTCGCCATCACGCGCCGCATTTCCTGACGCGTCCTCGCCCCTCGCAGTTCGCTCCCGCCTCTCAACAAGCAGCCCGACGGCACCTTCGCCGGCCAGATCGGCGTCCCGTTCGGCAACAAGATCCTGTACAAGTTCGTCGTCGACGGCCAGTGGGTCAACAGCCCCGACGACCCGACCGAGACGGATGGCAGCGGCAACGTCAACAACGTCTTCCAGGTCCCCGACAAGACGGCGATCGTCGCCCAGGCGACCCCGACCGACGCCGCCCTCCCCGTTCCCGAGTCGTCGTCGACCGTCGCCGGCAACGTCTCCGCGCTCCCCGCCACGTCCGTCGCCGCCGGCTCGACCAACACGTCGCCCGCCCCGGGTGTTGCTGCCCAGGTGCAGGCCAAGGCGGCCGAGGCGGCGACGACCGCCCAGGACGTCGCGTCGCAAGCCCAGCAGAAGGCCGTCGAGGTCGCTCCCGTCGTCAAGGACCAGGCCGTCGACCTCGCCAACAAGGCGAGCGAGACCGTCAAGCCGGCTGGTGCGTCGTCTCGTCCACCTCTTTCCCTCCTTCGAATGAGCGGTCACTGATGAAGCTTGCTCCCGCAGCCGTCGCCATCGGTGGTGCCGCTGTTGCGGCTGCCGGCGCTGCCGCCGCCGGAATCGCCGCGCTCGCCTCGTCGGCGACCGAGACCGCCAAGGACGCCGGCAACGTCGCGCAGGAGAAGGCGCAGGACCTGTCGGCCAAGGCGCCGTCGTCGACGGCCCCTCCGCTCAACAACATCGACGGTGGCCCGACGCTGCCCGCCCCGACCGAGAAGCCCGTCGCGCCGCACGACACGCCCATCACGACTACAACCAACTCGCTCGCGCAGCAGTCGGTCCCGACGGTCCCGGCCGCGTCGTTCGTCGCGAGCCACGTCTCCGAGTCGGCCGCCCCGAGCACGACCGAGGCCGCGCCCAAGTACGACGAGCACACCGCCGTCGTCGCCAAGGACGACAAGGCGCCTCTCGCCGGTGCTCCCGTCGCCGGCGCTAGTGCCTCGACGTCGAGCGGCGTCGCGCCCGTCTACAACGAGCACACGGCCGTCGTCGCCAAGGAGGGCACCACGCCGCAGGGCCCGTCGACGCCCGTCGCCGGCTCGAGCGCCGAGAACTACGTCTCGGGCGGCGCTGCGCCGCAGGAGGACGAGCACGCGCCCAAGGTCGAGGGCCTCGTCGCCCCCAAGGAGCACCCCGAGGACGCGCCCGCCATCGCCGCCGGCATCGCCGCCGTCGGTGCTGCCGTCGCCGGTCTCGGCGTTCTCGGCCACAAGGCGTACGAGGTCGTCCACCCGCACGCGCAGCACGCTGCCGCCGCGACCAACCAGTCGCTCCAGGACGCGGCCCACACGGCCGACGCGTACCTGACGCAGGCTCGCCAGGGCGGCGAGCAGCGCCTGCACGACGCGCAGAAGGCGGCGCACGACGCGGCCGTCCACGCGCAGCAGCAGGCGCAGGCGGCGTACGAGCAGGCGCAGGCGCAGGCCGCTCACGCCCGCGAGGGCGTCCTCGGCGCCGTCGGCTACGGCAAGAAGAAGGTCGACGAGGCAACCACGCCCGCACCGACGTCGTCGACGTCGACCGCGACGCCTGTCGCCGCCGGGATCCCCGACAAGGAGATCTCGCCCTTGCCGGCGAGCGAGGCGCCCGTCGCGACTGGCAAGCCCGACCCGCACCCGCCCGTCACCAAGGCGGTCGTCCCGTCGGCGGCGAGCTCGTCGACCACGACCGAGGCGCCCAACGTCCCCGAGAAGGAGATCACGCCCCTCCCGGCCTCGGAGGCGCCCGTCGCGTCCGCCGACAGCAACCGCGTCCCGACCGACCTCAACGCGGTCGTCCCCAAGCCGTCGCCCATGTCGTCGTCGTCGACTAGCGCGCCGGCGCAGCCCGCCTCGACCGTCGAGGCCGTCGCTCGCAGCCCGGCCGCAGTCGCCGCTCCGACCTCCTCCGCGTCGACGAGCACCCCGATCGTCAAGGCCGCGGCACCTTCGCCGCCGCCTGCGCAGCCGCTCCCGGCCGCTCCCGCCGCCACGTTCGCCCTCGCGCCGCCGGTCGCACCCATCGAGCCCCCCTCGACCGCCAAGTCGGCCGTCCCGGTCGCTCCTGCCGCCGCTCCCTCGGCTGACCTCGTCGCTGCGCCCTCGGCCACGACGGCAACTACGTCCAAGCCGACTGCCGCACCCTCCTCGACGCCCATCGCCGCCGCTCACGCCCGCTCGCCGACGCCTCCTCGCGCCACTCCCGCCTTTGCGCCCTCGAACCCGTCGACGCCGCAAAAGCCCGAGACGTTCACGACGGCGCCGAGCACGCCGGCGAACTCGGTCGGTCGCGCGTCGGGCGTCCAGGCGCAGCAGGCGTCGCTCGGGCAGGGTGCTGCGCCGAGCAGCCCGGCCGTGAGCGAGACGGCGAGCTCGAAGGACGGCAAGAGGCGGAGCTTCTTCTCGAGGGTGTTCTCGAGCTCGAGCAAGAAGGACAAGTGAGGACGGGCCGCAGAGACTTGGTAGACAGACAGATCCCCTCTCGTTGGACGTTGTGCGACCGCGTGCTCCTCTTTTCCCCTTTCCTCGCCTCTTTACCCCTTCCTTGGCTAGCGTCTCCTCCTGTTAATGCGTCTGTGTTCCTGTTCCCTGTCTGGCGCGTGAGAGACTCGCGGCGGCCCCCTCGAATGAGCCTTCTCAAGTTGCTTCCCCTCGACCTTGCTGTACGCTCGGACCCCGGCTCCCCCCTGGCTCTCTCGACCGCTCGCTCCTCGAAGCTTGCGTACGTCGCTTCTCGAGCAACCCGAGCCGCGGACAGTCCGCGGACCGGCTCGTGTCCGTCCCGGAGCTTCGTTCGGTCGTCCTCGTCGTCCAAAGCTCTTCCGTCCTCGACGTCCTCGACCCTCGCTCTCGCTCCACAGCCTCTCGTTCGACGGCAAATGGACATGAAGGCCGCGACCGAGCTCATCGTCTCGCTCTCGACCGTGTTCGGCACCATCTTTGTCGCCCTCGCTCTCGCCGGCGCACGGTTCGCCTTCCGCCGCAGCCGAAAGGCGCGCGCCGTGCCGGTCGACCCGACGTACGAGGAGACCAAGGTGACGCTCGTCGGTGCGGGAGCTGCCAGGGCGGGCGAGCAGGACAAGCAGGGCGCAGAAAGGTGGTTCGCAGGGTCGTGGGGCGTGACGCCGGTCGCGAGCGAGGGTCCGGGCGGCACAGCGTGCGTCTCCCCTCTCCTCTCAGCGCGTCTCTCTGTGACTGTCGCTGACACTGTGCGACGTGCAGGCAATACCTCGGCGGCTGGTGGGGCCTCGACGCTCCTTCAAACGCAGGTGCGTCGACTTGTCCTTTTCCTCCCCTCTCTCGATTCTCTCGCCCGCCTGACGGCTCCCTGAAACCCAGGGTACCCTCGCACCTCGTCGCCCACCCACGTCGAGGACGACCAACACTCGACCCGCTCGACCGCCACGTCCGGCATGCGCGAGTCGCACTTTTCGCGAGCCTCTCGAGCCTCTCGCCGCGCCGACAAGCTCGCTCGCGCAGCATCGGCGGCATCGAGCAAAGCAGCAGGCAACGACGTGCGCAAGAAGGAGAAGAAGAAGCCGCGCGTGAGCAAGACGACCGAGTTCGGCGCGTTCGAGCAGGACGCCGGGGTCGAGGTGGACGAGGCGGAGGACCGTGCGCGGGAGAAGGAGGCGCTCGTGCAGCAGTGAGCGCCTGACGAGCAGAACTGTAGCCTTTGCCCCCGTTCTGCAAGGCCTTCTCGCTCTCCATCTCAAGCCGCCAGACCGGAAAGCCCGTGGCGACGTTGCTGTGCGCGCGCGCAAGAGGGGGGACAGAACGGGAAGAGAGCGAGAGAGGGGACTGCAGTGCGACACGGCGTAGAAAGGCGGAGTGGAACAAAGAGGAGGAAAGAGAGGAAAGAGAGGAAGAGAGGGTGAGGGAGAGGGAAAGGGAAAGGGGAAACGACGACGAGGTCCTCGACATCTAAGCACTCGCCGCCGGCGCCGCCTGCCCAGCAGCAGCGCCACCTGCAGCAGCACCCGCACCCTGCGTCACGCCATTGCCATTGGCTCCACCGCGACCGCCGCGCCCGCGAGGCCCACCGCCCCGACCCCTGCCGCCCCTCACGCCCGGCCCGCCGTGCGGCTTGCCCTCGCCATTGCCGGCGCCGCTCTCGCCGCGGTGCTCGAAGCGAGGAGGCCTCGGGCCACGGTGCTGCTGCTGCTGCCCGCCCTCCTGCTGCCCACCCTCGTGCTGGCCGCCCTCGCGACGCTGGAACGACTCGCTGCGGCCCTCGCCGCCGGGTCCGCCGGGCCCGCCACGGCGAGCGCCGCGGAAGAAGCCGCCCCTGCCGCCGCGGTGACCGCCGCGAGGCGCACCGCCCTGGCCGGTGCCCGTGCGGCGAGGCTGGCGAGCAGGCTGGAAGCCGTCCGACGAGCCGGCCGGGGTGCCCGGCTGAGCGGCGGTCGACGACGGCGCAGGCAGGCTCACAACGGGGACGGGCGGCGCGAGCTCGTCGAGGTGAGGCAGGCCACCGTCGCCGTCGTCCTCGGCGGCCCAGTCGAGCGTCGGCTGCGACTGCTGGTGCGACTGAGGCCGGGGCTGCTCGAGGTGCGCAAAGCCGTTGGGCGCGATCGGCGGCGCAGCGATCGAGGTGGGCGTCGTCGGGACCGAGGTCGACGGCGTGTCGCGGCCGAAGCTGGCGTCCGGGGCGGGCGTGCTCGGCCCGCTCGGGGGAGGAGCCTGCGCCTCGAGCGCGATGTCCTGCGCCCAGTGCTGCACCTTCTCGTCGGCCGGCGGCGTCGCGACGTCCTGCGGCGCGGTGCCGGCCTCGACCTCGGACGGCTGCATGAACGAGGGCGGAGCGGGCGCCGACGACGACTGCGGGACAGGAGGGTGCACCTCCTCGGTCGCGCCGTCGACGAGCGCAACGACCGAGTCGGCCTTGGCGGCAGGCTCGTTCGACTGGGCGACGAGGTCCTCGACCGACTCGTTGGCGACGGCGTCGGTCGGCTCGGGCGCGGCGCGGGCGTCCTCGGGCGGCGCCGTGAGGCCATGGACGAGCTCGCGGATGCGGGCGTACGTGACGCCGGTGCCCGGCAGGACCTCCTCGTCGCGACCGTCGAAGATCTTGGCGAGACGCTCGAGCGCGCCGTCGTCGGCGCCGAGGAGAGGCCCGTTCGAGAACGCGTCGAAGAGCATGCGGACGACGGCGACGTCCGAGCCATTCGCGTTGGCGACGATGGGCGGCAGGATGGGCGGAGCAAAGGCCGACTCGGCCGGGTTGTACAGGGCGTGAAGGCGGAGGAACTGGAAGAGGAGCGACAGGTGCTGCTGCGCCTCGGTTTTGGCGACCTGGACGGCGGCATCGATGGCGCGCGACTGCTTCTTCTCCTCGACGGCGGCGACGCGCTTGTTGCGCTCCTCGTCCTGCGCCTCCTCGGCCTGTGGAACGCAAAGGGCAAAGTCAGGGGGGCCGGTCTTGGGAAGTAGGGTACGACAAGGGGACGCACCTTGAGGATGACGAGCAGCTCGTTGAGCTCGCGAGCGACGGCCTCGAGAGCAGGCTTGCCCTGGATCGCACGCTGCTGGTCGGCGTTGAGGGTGCCGACGCTGGCCTCGTAGCCCTCGATGCGTTGCTGCGGTCGAGAGAGGGCAAGTCAGCGTCTTTGCCCCGCACTGCGGGCGGCGCTCGCGAGCGAGAGAGGGCCAGGGGGGCCAGGGCTGGACAGAAGAGAGTGTGAGACGTACAAGCTTCTTGGTGGTGGCACGGATGCGCTTGTGGCACGCCTCGACGGCGTTCGTCTTCTTCTCCTCGACGACGAGGTCGTCGTCCTCGACGGGGACCTCGGCGATGGCCGCCTCGCGCTTGTCGAGGCTCGAATCCTGCGGGCCCGAGGTCGCCGACGGCTCGAGAGCGCCCGCGAGCGGGACCTTGTGCTTGCTGCTGCGCTTGCGGGGCTTGGGCGCTTGCTGTGGGGCGGTGGAAGGAACCGACAGGCCTGGGATGCGGCGAGGAGCAGGTGCGGCGGCGGCGGTGGGCTCTGTGACGTAGAGAGAGCAGTTAGCTCACGTCTAGACAGCTCGACCGGCCCGCTGGCGTGGTCGCCGTGCGCAGGAGAGGCGGGGAGGGGTGACGAGGACGAGGGGACGAGAGCGCACCCGCTGCTTCAGTGGCGCTCATGGTGTGCGGTGGACGCTGATCTGGGTGGACTGGTGGAAGGCTAGAGCTGTGTCGGTGCGCAGGGGACGATGTTGAGCGAGAGAGAGAGGGTCGGCGGGGAACCCTCGTCGACGAGGTCCGCTGATGAACGACAAGCTCTCCACGGCTCTGCGCGGTGCGCGCTGCGTGCGCATTGCTCTCTCAGTAGCTTCGTACGGCATCCTGAAGCGACAGATCCCGCCGCAGGGCGATCGAGCGACAGCTTCTCCTCGTCGGCTCACGAGCTCTCGCAAGCTCTCTGACGGCGGGCACGGCTCTCGACGAGGCTGAATCGACGGCGAAAGACAGGGTACACATCGTCACGGCTACGCACGAAAGAATGTCGAGAGGGCGAGGAACAGAGTGCGAGGCAGACAGAGGACAAAGCGCGAGGGACGAAGGAATCGAGGAGGGAGGGGACGTGGGATGAACAGAAAAACGAAGCGCGCGCACACGGCCACTGGGACCCGACACCCTCACGCCTCGAGCGTCGCCGCCGCCAACTTGCCCTCGAGCTGCTCGACGTGGAGGAGCCCGAGCGCGTGCGGGCCCGTCTTGGTCCCGCTCCTGCTCCTGCCGCCCATCGGGCTCGCCGTGCCCGGCAGCCCACTCGCCCCAGGCGTCGCCGCGCCGCCGGCACCGCCGCTCGGCACGTCGGCGAGGCGCTCGCCCGTCAGCTCGGCGAGGCGCTCCTCGTTAACGAGGTCGGCGTAGCTCGCAAAGCTGAGCTTGCGCGGGTGCGGCGCCGCGACCGGGTTGGCGCCGAGCTCGTGCGACGGCGAGTGAAGCGGCGACGACGACGAGAACGGGTCGTCGGACCCGGCGTGCGACCCTGCCGGGAACGGCATGAGGTGCGAGGGGCGCAGGGCCGACGTGAACGACGCCGACGAGTGCGACGTGCTGCGCGCCTGCTGCACCTGGGCGGCCGCGTGCGGGACCGGCGGCGACGAGGGGGCCGAGTTGCCCGCTGCGCCGCCGCCGCCGACGCTCTCGGGCGACGTGGCGCGCGCCGCGCCGAGGAAGGGCGCGCCGAGCCCGGGCTTGCTCGCCTCGTTCTCGAGGGCCTCGGCGAGACGCTGCGAGAAGGGCCCGCCGAGCGATGCGGGAGGCGGCGGCGGGCTTCCACCGCCCGCCGAGGTCGGCGGCGTCCCGACGCTGAACGTCGAGCTCTCGGGCGATGCGGCGCGCCCGCCCGAGCCCGAGTCGGGCGAGAACGACCTCGAGCCGCGTGTGGGCGACCGGCTCGCGTTGGCGTAGACGTGCGAGAGCGGGTGCTGCTGCTTGTCCTGCGACTGGCCCTGGTGGACGAGCGGCGGCGGCTGGCCGTGCGCGACGGCGCTCGGCGGGACGACGGGCGAGCTCCAGCCGCTGCCGGCGACGGCGTCGTACTCGGCGTCGAGAGCGAGTGCGGCCAGGTCGCGCGACGTGATCGGGTCGCCGTCGGCCGCGATTGAGAGGGCGACGGCGGCCTCGGTCAAGACGGGCGGGACGGCGACGTCGACCGCCTCCGAGGGGCTGATGTGGTGCGAGGGCGCGAACTCGACGTCTGTAGGGCGACGAGGACGAGGATGGAGGAAGGAAGGGGCACGCAAGAAGATCAGCTGCCTACTCGGCCGACGAGAGAAGGTGACGCGCTCGAACTCGAGAGAGAGGTAGGGGACGCACCGCGCTCAAAGATGTGGCTCAGGTCGACCTGGCTGCCGCTCGTGCTCAACATGGTGCCGTCCTGCGCTGCTGGAGCCGACGGGGACGAGAGGCCCGCGTCCGGACCGCCGCCGCCGAGCGCCGAGCTGCTGTTGCGAGTGCGAGTCGGGCTGACGGGCTCGTCTCCTGCGAGGCCGCGCGCGCCGGCCGACGGTCTCGGGCTAGTCGGGCGCGAGAATGACGGGGTCGGAGGGACGCTCGGGCTCGACGGGACGACGGGCGATGGGCGGGACAAGGCGGCTTGCGGGTTGGCGGCCGCGTGCGCCGAGGACGAGACGGGGACGTGGGGCGAGCCGAGGGGGGACGACGCAGCAGCGGCGGGAGAGCTGAGCGCGCTCAGGCTCTGGGTCGTCGCGGGAGCCGGCGAGCGCGAGCGGGTGCGGGCACTCGCAGAGCGGGCCGAGGTGGTGCGCGAGGTGGGCATGCCGCTCAGGGTGGCGGACCTGGACGGCGAGGGCCCGTCGTGTGCTGTCGACAAGGGCGAGTCTGCTGGTGCGTCGGGGAGCACGGGCGAGTCGACGGTGATGGACGGCGAGGCGACAGACTGCTCCGCATCGAGGTCGAGGGCGGTGGGGGGAGCTGTTGGGGACGGGGTCAGTCTAGGTGCGCATGTGCGGCAATGTAGAGTGCCTGGTGCGCACTCACACATGAGCGCAGTCGAGGCAGATCCAGGTTGAGATGGGAGGCGGACGACGACGACGAGGTGTCCGCTTTCGCCTCGAGGCTCAAAGGCGGACCCCCGCGCAGCGACCGCCAGCTTGGTCTCCGAGGGTCCCTGCAATTTTCCTGGCAACGGTCCGCGAAGATCCTCGCTCTCGCACTCACGCAGCTCTCGTCGGACCCGGCACCGCTGCGAGACGAAGCGCGAGACACTGCGAGCCCGGGCGCCACGTCGTTGCAAGTCCTCGCGCAGACCTCCTCGCCAACTACCGGCGCTTGTAGATGCACGGGTTGAGCAGCGTCGACGCCTTGCGCGTGCGCTCGGCCGCCGTGTTGACGTTCTCGACCGCGTCGGCGCCGCTCTTCTTGACAAAGTCGAGCAGGAGGAAGTGCGTGTTCGAGTCGTCCTGCGCAGCGCGAGAGGATGCGAGAGGCGTCAGGAAGGGTGCGACAGAGGGTCAACGACGGACGAGGACGGGGAGAAGAGGGCGCACCTTGTGCGAGAGCGAGAAGCCGAGCGCGTTGACGAGCTTGACGAACTCGTCGACCGACGTGAACCGGCTCGTCACCTCGGCGATCTTGAGCACGCCGCTGCAGGGAACATGTCAGTGTCAGTCGTGTCGTGGCGACGAGGGCGGAGAGAAAGAGAGAGCGGACGGACCCGTCCTTGAGCACCCGCTTGGCCTCGCGCACCATCCGGATCCAGTCCGTCCCCATCAGGCTCAGGCAGCACACGACGGCATCGACGATCTCGCCGCCTGCGTCGCCACCGGGCAACGGCACCGACGAGCACTCGGCCTCGACGACGTAGCTCGACTGGCTCAGGAGGTCGAACGACGCGACCTTGAGCTGCTTCTGCGCGACGAGCTTGGTCGGCACCTTGAGCGACGGCATGGCGGGCAAGCTTGCCGCGGCAGGAGAGGTGGTCGGGACGAGGGTGCGTGCGAGAGCGGCGTCGCCGCAGCCAAAGTCGGCGATGAGGGCGTTGACGGGGAGGGACGAGAGGAGCGCCTGCGCGATCAGGGCGAGCGGGTGGACGGGCCAGGTCGCCGCCTGCGACCGGAAGCCGATGTGGTACTGCAAGGCATCCAGAGAGTATCAGGGTGTATGTCTGCGCGAGGGAGGAAAGACGAAGAGAGAGAGACGGGGACGCACGTCGTCGAAAGCGCCCTCGTCCTGCATGAGCGAGTAGGCCTCGTCGCCCGACGTCGTGTACAGCTGCTCGTTGAGCATGCGGAACTTGCCGCCGGCGAGCTGGGCGCGCAGCTTGTCCTGCATCGAGCCCGACTTGCCCGCGCTCGTCGCCGTCACGACCTGGCTCGGCGCGACGTGCCGCTTGGGCGGCTGCGGGAGCTGCGCGACGGCGGCGCTGACGGGTTGCGGTGCTGACGCGGGTGCGGGTGCGGGCGAGTCAGGCTGCTGAGCGGCGCCCTTGCCCTTCTTCTTCTGCCGCTTGCTCGGCGGAGCGGCGGCGGCGGGGGACGGCGCCGGCTCCGGCGCCCTCGACGACGGCGCGCCCGACCCAAGCGGACCTTTGTTGGCGCCAGTCGCCGCCTTCTTGGTGTCCTTCTTGCCCTTGGCGGCGCTGTTGCTCGACTGCGCCGGTCGCGGCGACTGCTGCTGCTGCTGGTGGCCCTTGGCGCCCGAGGCACCCTCGGCGGCCTTCATGCGCTTCATGAGCTTGTCGAGGTTGATCTCGGCAGCAGGTACAGCAGCGCTCTGGCCGCCCTGGTGCTGTGCGGCGCCGTCGTTGGCGGCATTCGAGCTCGACCGCTTGCGCTTGTTGGCGCTGGCGGGAGTCGCTGGGGCGGGGGCGGCCGAGGACGAGGCGACAGGCGACTTGGCCGAGAGGTTGAGGAGCGGCGTGTCGAACAGCATGGTGGTGTGCGTGACGCAAGGTCGAGCTGAGGAGATGAGAGGCGGTGCTCGCCTCCTAAGTCCCGCCCTCGAGTGTTACCTCCCCTGAGCCTTTCCGCATTACGAATCTCGCTTGACTTTGATTCGCCGTTTCAACTCGCAGTTCTGAGCCGATTTTGCTCGCTCGGAATGACCTGCGATGCGGCGCGCGTCTCGTCCGGCTCGCGCACGGTCTCCTTCAGCTCGCTCGAGAGCGCAAGGCTGTGATTGCGAATGAGAGCGGGCGCAAGCTGTTTTTGGTCGCGGCCTCCCCTCGAGCGAGCGAGCGATCGAGCGTCCGAGTCGCACGTGCAGCTGCCTCGGACTCCCTCTTGCTCCCTCTCCCCACCGCTCACCGACAGCGACTCAGGCATGCAGGCCGTGCTCAGCAGCAACCACTTCTCGGCGCCGACCATGGACCCGTTCGAGGCGCTCGCCTCGTCCGACCCGGACGCGCCAGCTCCTCCGCCCGCCCGCATCCGCCCTTTCAACCCGGACAAGGACCTCAAGCTCACGCGATACCTCGTCGGCGCGGCCGTCATGGAGCCGTGCGTCCCTCTCTCTCTCTCTCCCACTCCCGCCGTCGAGCTGTGTCGAGCGAGGCCGCCGCTATCTCGCCCTCGTGGAGGGTCGCCCGACCGGGTCTGTCGAACGTGGTTGCCTCGTGCGCGCTGGACGCAGCTTGCGAGAGGTCTGTCAGAGCGGTAGCTCACACGTACACCATGCGCGCAGCTCGTCCCAGGCCAACCAGGTCGCCCTGTTCAAGCCCGCGTCGCTCCTCGTGTGGGCGGGCCTCGTCCACCTCCTCATCACCCGGGTCGCCAACGGCTACCCGGCCGTCGTGCACAACTACCTGTACCCGCACCTGCCGAAAGCCGTCAACGACAAGGCGACCATCCTCCAGACCCTCACCGACAGCCTCATCCTCATCCCGCTCGTCCTCGCGCCCGCCATCATGATCCTCGCCGTCTTCGAGTGGCGCCACCGCAACCTGTTCGAGATGGAGATGCGCCGCGCCATCGGCGACGAGGACATGCGCGACGTCGAGGCCTACTACGACGTGCGGCCCGAGCCGGCGACGACGGCGAGCGAGGAGGGCGACAAGAAGCCCACCACGCGCGCTCGCGCCAAGCAGCAGCAGCAGGTCAGGCCGCAGGGCGAGGGCGACAAGGCGGCGGCGGGCGCGGCGAGCCAGCCGGCGCAGCGGCAGGGCTTCTGGGTCCTCGAGTACGACAACCGCCTCATCGGCGCCGTCGGCCTCGACGGCAGCAAGCCGGGCCGCCCGCTCGACTCGGTCGTCGACCTCCTCATTGCCGCCGCGAGGGAGAAGAAGGAGGGGCGAGGCGCGTCGACCGATGCGGCGGCGTCGGCCAAGAAGGACGACTCGGCGACGACGACCGCGACCGAGTCGACGTCGACCGACAGCACCCTGCGTCCTCGCGGCGCCAATGCCCCTTCCGTCTCGGTCACGCCCCCGACGCCGGTCTCGGGCGCCCCGCCCTCGCCCTTCACGCTCGACCCGTCGGCGTCCCTCCCGCAGGGCACGCTCCACATCCGCCGGTTCGCGACCAGCATGTCGTTCCGCACCGCTGGCATCGAGGACGACCTCCTCGCCTTTGTCGCCGACTACGCCTTTGCGCCCGCACCCGAGGACGGCGAGCCCGGCCCGGCCCCGGCGCAGCAGCTCGTCGTCGCCGTCCTCCCCGACGTCCAGAAGTCGCTCCGCAAGGCCCTCGCCCGCAACGGGTTCGAGCTCGTCCCGCGCGGCTCGGAGCTTGACCTCGCGCAGTCGGGCGCGGCGAGCGGCGGCGCCGGCGCCGGCAAGAAGAGCTGGGCCGCGAGGTTGTGGCCGGTGAGCCTCGAGCAGCGCACGATGGTGCTCCGGCGGGCGACGTGGGAGGCGCGCCAGGCCAAGGAGTAGCAGGACGAGGAGCGCATGTACTAGTACGACGTTGCGATAGAGCTTGAGCGGGTGGTCGTTGGGCGTGTCCTGCAAAATCACCTCGGTTCCCTCACGTGTCGTCCTCGCTTTCGCGCTCGCGCTCGCTCTCGTGCCCGGCTCGCGACCTCGCCGAGCTTCTCATCGTTGTCGCGAGTAGCTCTGAGCGAGCCGTCGCTTGCCGTCGGCTGTCGCGAGGTCTCGGCGAGCTCGCAGCGAAGGGGTTCGAGCGCGGGCGTTTTCCCGGCCAAAGCGAGAGCTTAGAACGTTCCCGCTCTCTCTCGACAGAACAGGCTTGGCGCAGAAGAAGCACACGGCCGCCCGAGAGCCGTTCTCACGGTCGCCGACGGACTTGCCGCGACGAGGAGTTGGAAGTGTCTCGCCAGCTCTGCTCCGGTTTCCTCACGCTCTCTCGCTCTGACTTGTTGCCTGGCGCCCCCAAGCTCGAGCTCTGCTGTGTCTGAGCTGCTCGCCGTGCTCTCGCACGTCCCGAGCGAGCGGCGGTCGAAGGAGCTCTCGTGACGGCGGCGGAGCTGATGAGGATTTCTGGCGTCCGTTGGACAGGGGCAAGGCTGGTTGGACGACTGCCTGGCGGCCACAGAGGCTCGTCTCGACGTGCTGTGCCTTCTTCGCCGACCGCACCCTGCTGCGGTGAGAAGTCGAAGAAGGCGGTCTCCTGTGCACCTCCGCCCGACGTTCGAGGAGTCGACGGCGACCGTTCTCTTGCTCGCCGACGGACGAGCGCTCAGCTGCGCCGTCTTCTCTCGAGGATGGCGGCTTCACACACTTAGCGCACTCGCGGCCGTCCGCACAGGCTGCGTCCGAGCCTTCCTTGCCTGCTCGGGCTTGGTCGGCCAACTACCTTTCGCCCGCCGAGGAAAGTCGAGATGGAGGATCTTGACTCAGGAGATCTGTCTGCCAAGCTGCGCATCGTCCACGACACGAGCGCGCCGCTGCCGAGGACCGACTCGCAGCGAACGTGAGAACTCGTGCTTTTCGAGGTCGGCTGCCGCTTGATGACCACCTCCTCCAAGAGGTAATCGGAGCTCTCGAGCACTCTACCCTGTCATCGGCTACCAAGGCACGCGAGCCTGCCCCGAGCACAAGCTCTTTGCCGCGGCGGCGACGAGGAAACGCTTCCCACCCCTCGCTCGGGCCACGGACGAGTGACACGGCTTTGGCTCTCGGGCGTGCTCTCCCTTCTCTTCCTTTCCTTCACCTCACTCCAGAGCTCTCTCGACAGCTTCTCGCCGTCGCACTCGCCTTTCCGCCTCGCCTCGCCTTCCCCGACCGTCGTCCTCCTCGACGAACCCACACTCTTTCCACATCACCCTCGCTTCTTTTGCCACCCTCGCCTCTCCCTCTCCACGTTCGACATCTTCATCATGCGTTTCATGCGTCTCCTCCCGATCCTCGGCCTCGCCGCCAGCACTGCCACCGCGCAAATCATCAGCATCCCCGGCCTCGACCTGAGCCTCCTCGAGGACGTAGGTCGTGTTCTTTCCGTCCTTTATCGTCCCGAGGGCTCGCAGACTGACTCGATGAGACGCACACAGGGCGCCCTGATCAACCTCGACCTTACCGCCAACCTTCTCGGCGGCGGAGGTGAGTCTCCCCGCTGCGCACGAACCCCTTCCGACGGGCAGCACGCTGACCTTCGTGCCGCCTCGCCTTGGTCACAGACTGCAACGGCGCGACTGTCGGCGTCTACACGGCGCTGCTGGGGCTCATCAGGGCGTGCGTCTGCGTCAACATCCTCCAGCCCGGCGCCGGCGAGGCGGCGTGCCCTGCTGTGAGTTTAGACCTGCTCTTCCTCTCGTCCGTCCTCGGTCGGTTCCGGCGACTGACACCTGTCACTTTCACCTTCTGCAGTGCCCGTCGGGAGCTAGCCCTGTCTGCGGCAGCGCCAAGTGCGCCTGCGCCTGCCCGTCCGGCACGTACGCCACGCCCGACGCCTGCGTGCCGAACACCAACTGCCCGGCGCCCAACGTGCTCGTCAACAACGGCCAGTACTCGACGTGCCAGTGCGCGTCGGGCTTCGTCTCGGACGGCGCCGAGGGCTGTGTCGCGGTCGGACCCTCGGCTCGCGCCCGCTCGCGCCACCGCCGCGCGCTCAACGCCATGCCGCACGGTCAGGACGTCTTTGCGCCCAAGTCGTCGGGCGGCCGTGCTGCCAATGCGTGCCCGAGGGGCGAGACTGCTTGCCCTACTGCGTCGGGTGCGTCCTCCTCTTCCTCCTCCTCCCTCCCGATTTCTCGCGCGAGGTCAGCGACCTGACGGTCCTTTCTTTCCCCTTCTTCTCAGGCGGCTTCGAGTGCATCGACACCTCGTCGAGCCTGACGTCGTGCGGCGGCTGCCCCGGCGCCGGCGGCGAGAACTGCCTCGCGATTCCGGGCGCGCTCGCCATCCAGTGCCTCGACTCGCAGTGCCACGTCGGTACGTCGCGCGCGTTTCTTTCCTCTCTACCATCGACGAGGTCTCTGACACGCTCTCGACGTCCTTCGCAGGCTCCTGCTTCAAGGGCTGGCGCCACTCGAAGGAGCGCAACGGTCGTTGCGCCTGAACGCGCACGGGCCTCGGCTCTTCCTCGTCCTCGGACCTCTCTTCCTCCCCTTCACCTTCTGGCCATCTCGCCTATTTTTGATGCCCCTTTGCTCTCGAGCACCTAGATACCTCGCGGCCCTCCTCTCTGTACCCTTCTCCCCCCTTTACGCACCGCACGAACCCCTTCTTCCTTTCGCCCTCGCCCCCCCTTTTCCCCTCGACTCGACAGCCGCGAGCTGTGTAGCGTTAGCTTCCTTTCTTCAGCCTCGAAGCTGTAACGCGTAGCGTGTCTGCGCCTTCTCTCTCTTCTCGAGCGCGCGAGTTTCGAGAAAGAGAGACCTTCTCAAATTGCCTGCGACCTTCTCTCGCCGCTCGAGTATCGTTCCGAGGCGAACAAGCGTGTTGCACAGAGACAGATCAAGCACTACCAACCCTCTCGAGGCTCTCTCCCACCCGCTCAGCCGACCCTGCTCGCCTCGGCGCCCAACTCCTCGTGCGCCTCCTCCGAGGCAACCTCGTATCCCTCGCCCGGGAACGACAGGGGCCTCCCCGGGTCGCCGCGCAGGAGCTCGCCGCCGTGGCGCCAGTAGGCGGGGAGGAGGCGGTGCAGGGCGGCGAGGGTCCACAGCTCGGCGACGCGCGGCGACGAGGACGAGGGCGACGAGTGGAAAGGGACGAAGACGAGCTGCGCGAGGTCGCACTCGAGGACGGCGGGCGGCGAGACGAGCGCGTCGAGGTGCGACACGTTGAACGACTCGCCGAGGTCGACGACGAGCGACAGCGGCGAGTCGCTCGAGTCGCGCTCGAGGGTGGCGGCGTCCTGCCCGCCGCCGAGCGCAGCGACGGCCTCGCGCGTCGCGAGCGGCGGAAATTCGTGCGACGCGTCGAGCGGGAAATTGCGCTCGTGCGGGCCGAGGTGCAGGCGCACGAGGCGGCGTCCGTCGCTCGCCGCCGCCGGCGCGACGAGCTCCCACCCGCGCAGCTCGCGCGCGCAGCGCTCCTTGTGCCCGACCCGCCACGTCCCCTCCTGCTCCGGCTCGCTCTCACTGCTCGCTCCCTCGCCGACGGCGAGCTGCGCCGTGTCGACGACCGCCTTGAGCACGGCCGTCGAGCTCCTCGGGCGGTGCGCGCGCTCGGCGTCCTCCCACGCCCGCTGCGCCTCGGCCTCGCGCTCAAACTGGGCGCGAATGCGCTCGAGACGCTGACGCGTCGCGTCCTCCGGGTCGGTCGGCGGCGCGTCGGCGGGCGCACGGTGTGCGTCCGGCCAGCTGCGCTCGGGAACGGCGGCAGCGGTGGCGGACGAGCGCGGCTGAGCCTCGTCGGCATCGTCGTCCGAGTCCGAGTCGGGTGCGGCGAGGCTGACGTTGCTGAAGACGTCTGGGAGGACGTCGGCGGGCCGAGCGACAAAGTCGGGGACGACGACGATGGGCGAAGACAAGGTCGAGTCGGGCGACGGGAAGAGGCGCTTGACGGCGGGACCGAGCTGCGACGCGTTGATGACCTCCTTGAAGAGACGCTGGACCGGGTGAACTGGACGTGCGCGATAACGAGAGTAAGTTGGCCGTCGCGAGGCGAGAAGACGACGAGTTGGGCAGGGTCGGCTCACGCTGCTTTGCCGCGACGTTGCACACATCGACGCACGCCTCGATGCCGGCGTTGTGACCCGGAATGACGTCGCGCGCCGCGAGGAAGCGGAAGAAGCTCTTGATGACCGGCGGCGCGAGCGAGAGCGTCGGCGTGTACCTGCAGCGATGACGAGCGTCAGTACGGGCCCGCCCGTGCGGGTACAGGCAAGGGGAGGGGACGCACGCGTCGTTGTACCGGTTGTCGAAGAACTTGGCGAGCCTCGGGAGCGCGAACACAACCTTGGCCCACTCGTCCTCGGACCGCTCGACGATCTCCTCGATCTTGGTCTCGAGCAGCTCGTTCTCGCCGCCGTCGCCGCCGTCATTGTCGTCGCCGTCGTCCGAGTCGACGTCGTCGGGCTCGGGGTCGTAGCCTCGCAGCGGCTGCGAGCCGTACTTGGCGCGCAGGACGGGGACGTTGATCTGGAAGAAGCGCAGGACGGCCTGGTAGACGACGCGGCGGTCGGCTGCGATAGGGCAAAGCGTAAGTGTCATCCTCCGTGAGACTTGACGAGCCAGCTAGACGAGGTGCGGGGCGACTCACGGTGGCCGAGAGAGCGGAGCGAGCGGAACTCGTCGCAGCAGCGAAGGAGGCGCAGGTCGTACGGGACGTCCCTGCGTATGCGAGTCGAGTCAGTTCGGGGTCGTGACAGGCAGAGGGAGAGAGAGGGAGGGACGCACTGGTCGTAGCGGCCCTCGTCGTCCGGGTGAGGCTCGCGCTCGTCGAGGTCGTCGTCCCACCCGCCCTTGGTGTCCTTGCCGATCTTTTTGCGCGGGAGCTTCTTCCTCCTGTGGCGCGGCTTCGTGTCCTGGGCGCCAGGCTGGTCGGCTGCTTGTGGGTCGGTCGCCGAGACGGACGGGGGGTCGGGCGGCGGAGGGAGCGGTGGGCCAAAGACGACGGGGCCGGGCGGCTTGGGCTCCTTCTTGCGGCCGTAGGGGTGGCGCTTGGGTGGCATTGTAGCTGGTTGAGCGCAGCAGGGGCGTGTGTCGAGGAGAGAGCGAGGCGAGCGAGGCGCGGACAGAAGCTCGTCGTCGCGGACCGGGCGGCGGCCTCCTCTCGAGCGAGCGAGCAAAGCTGCGACACCTGCTCGAGCGTGACTTGCGGCAAGCTACCGCGCTGCTCTCGCACTCGGCGACACCTGAGAGGAAGCAGAGACCGGCCGCGGGCGGGCGCGAGGTGGACGAAGCGAGTCGACGCGGCACCGCCCGGCGCTGGCCGTACTGGCCGCGCTTAGAGAGCACAAGAGCTTTGCGAGAGTAACACTCTGATCGCACGCGAGCCTGAGTGAGGCGGCTGCCGCGGTTTGCGCCCGAGAGCTGGCTTCATCTCTCGCTCTCCTTTCGCCGGCCACTTCCTCGTCGCTCGTCACACCATGCCCGGCAAGGTGCGCACTACAGTCTCTCCTCACCCGTGAGCACTACTGACCGCCCTGCCCGCAACAGCGCACCCAGTCCTCGAAGCGCGCCGCCACCCCTTCCTCGTCCAAGCACCGCTCGTCCACCTCGGCCCCGTCCAACCTCAAGCCCTCGCTCCTCGGCCTCAAACCGCCCGTCAAGCCGTCCAAGAAGGGCTCCGCCGCCGCGGGTCACCACAAGGCGCGCGACGCCGACGTGCGCGCCCGGCTCGACAGCGACCGCGACGCTCTGAGGGCTGCGCTCGAGGGCCCAGACAAGGTGCGCACGCGCGCTCTTTCTCCTGTCGTTCAGCTGTACTTGGCATGGCTGACGACTTGCAGGACCGCCCGTCGCAGAACAAGGCGCTCGTCGAGAAGAAGGAGGCGCCCAAAGAGCTCGCGCGAGGAGGCGACTCACTCGCTCAGTCGATGGACGAGGTCCTCGACCTGTTCAGCACGGCATGATCGGTACGCCCGACTCTCTCTTCACGACGCGAGTCGTGCGGCCCGCAGCGAGGACCGCCCTGACCTCTTTTTTTGCCTCGCAGCTCTCCTCCTTCCGCCCTCCTGCTCTCCTCTCGCCCGCCGAGCTGTTGTTGTACTCTCCACACCCTCTTGAGCATGTCTCGAACCTCGCACATCGCAACGCCGTACCCTTGCCTCGCTCCTCGTCACTCGATCCGGCCCTCCCTCTCCCTCGTCCGCTGCATCGCCTCCCTCACCTCGTCCACGCTCCACCTCGCCCGCCCGTGCAGCTCCTCGACGAGTCGCTCGACGAGACGCTCTCGCATGAAAGCCGGGACAGGAAGCGCGCCGCGAGAGACTTTGAACTCGACGCGCTCGGGCACTTTTTGGCGGATCTCGGACCCGGCGCAGTGGGCGAACCAGGCCTGGTTGATGAGCACTGCAAGGGAGAGGACAACAAAGCCGTCAGTACCGGCTCTTTGAGGCTCGAGAGGGCAAGATTGAGAGACGAGAGGGCGGAGAGAGGAAGTGCTCGGACGCACCGTCGAGCTTGGCGCCCTGCAGCTGCCGCATCTGGTACCCTCTCTCATCCGCCGACGGCACAGCGTACCGTAGCCCGAGAAAGTCCTTGGCGAGCACCGTCATAAAGTCGTTGTGCAGCCTGGGGCGCGTCGACTTGTCGGCGAGCGTCGGCCAGCACCACTCGGCGAGGTGCCGCAGGTCGATGATGTTGCGCGGCTCGCAGCCGTAGAAGGTCGGCTTGGCGATGATCTCGCGCAGCCACCCTGTGCGCAACGCAAGTTGGTCAGTCGGTACTTCGGACGCCGCAGGCCCGACGAGGAGGACGAGCTCGACGCACAGCCTGCTCCGAGGATCTGCTTCTCGATCTTGTCGTCCTCGAGGATGCGCTTGAGCTCGTCGGGGAACCCTGTGTCGTGCGAGAGGCCCGAGTCAGGAGGCGTGCGCGAGAGAGAAGGAGAAAGTCGGGAGGCGCACGATCCATGTGGGCGAGGTGGAGCACTGCGCGCCGGTCGCCGTTCGTGAGGGTTAGTGACCGCACGCGCACAAGCTCGACGACCGAGAAAGAGAGAGCAGGACGGACCGATGACGCCCTCGCCGTCTGCAACGCTCAGGACGCCGTCCCTCACGCTCGAGCTGTGCCTCCCGCCCAAGTGCCGCTGCGTGCTTGTCGCGCCCGGCGTCGCGCCCGCCTCCGGGTCAATGCTCAACCGTCTGCGACATAGAGGCGTACCTGTCAGCTACGTACGAGGGCGAGCGAGGCTCGCGCGAGAGGGAGGAGGGGGACGAACAAGCTCGTCAAGGTCTCGAGGACGGCGTCGGCGTCGTCGGCGTTGTTGACGACCTCGACGACCGGGACCGGGTAGGTGCGCCACGCCTTGCGCCAGTTCCACTCGGGCAGGAGCTTGACCGGGTCGCCGCGTTTGCGAGGGGTCGGGGTCGAGGCGAAGGTGCGGCGGGGTGCGAGGGCGACGAGGGCGGGCGCGTCGAGGGTTGTGGGGCGCATGGTGGGACGCAGGTGGGTACAGGTGGCCGTACGAGCTGCTGCTAGGCCTGCTGGACGGGCGAGACGCGAGCTAGTCGACCTCATCAGGTCGCGTGAGGCGGGGAGGCGGTGCAAGGTCGGGGGCGAGGTGCCGTGGCCGCACGTTGGCGCTGCTCGTGGATAGAGCAAGTGCAAGCACCTCGGAGGCGAGCAGAGGCCCAAGGCAGCTGCGAGGCGACGAGGAAAGCTCAAGCCGCAGTCTCGCGCTTCCCCTTTGTCGTCTCGGATTCGCTCGCTCTGCATGCACTCGCGCTCTCGCCGGCCGAGAAGAGAGATCTCTAGCGACAGGGCCGGGGTTGCATCGACACGGCAATATCTCGAGGAAGTGGAGCGAGAGGGGAATGTACAGGGGAGAGTGGGTGTGTGCAAGGGTGCGAGAGCGAGCGACGCCGCTTTACAGAGGGGGAGGGCCCTGCGGCCCTGCGTTCATGGCGGCCGCCATCGCCTCCTCGCTCGCCGACTCGAGCGACAGGCCGACACCGAACTTGGACGTTTGCTGCAGGCGAGGGGCAAGTCAGTTCGTGTCGCCAAGGGGACGAAGAGGAGGGAGAGGGAGCGCACCTTGACGTGGTCAATCTCGCCCGCGACGTTGAAGGCGAACGCCGGGCTCAAGCGCTGCTCGAGGAGGGCCGACACCTTGCCCGTCGAGTCGGCCTGGCCGCGGAAGGTCGCCTGCCGGAAGTCGTACTTGACGCCGGCGGTCGCGACGGCCTTGCGCTCGCGCGGGTTGAGCGCCGGCACGCAGATGAGGTCGACGCCGGCGTCGATGTTGGCCGCGAGCTTCTTCCAGTAGGTCGCCTGCCAGATGCCCTGCGACATGATCTGCGCCGTCGCGATCCACGAGTCCTTGGCCGCCTGCCCCTGCTCGTCCTTCTTGACGTCGTGCCACTTGGCGATGTAGCCGACCGAGCAGTCCTCCATGTCGGGCGTCGGGCGCTGGTACAGCGTCTCGACACCGACCGCAAAGTGCGGCGTCAACGACTGGAGGTAGGCGGCAATGTACGACCCGGTAAAGTCGGCCGGCGACGGGTTGTACGACTTGAGCGACAGGGTGTAGTCCTTGCCGACGCGGTCGTGCTCGAGCGAGAACATGGACGGCGCTGCGGCACCTGCGGCGAGCTGCGACAGGGCGAGAGGACGGCGTGAGTGTGCGACTCGAGGGAGATGGGAAGAGTTGGAGGGGAAGGGACGCACCTGCACCGACGCCTTGGTCGTGTCCCTCGGGGACCAGCCGTAGTTGAGCCTGCCCGTGACGCTGCCCTCGTTGTCGACCATGCCCTGCATGAACACCTGCGAGTGGGAGAGGGAGAGGGTCAGTGACGGCGTCCCTGGTTGGGCGCAGAGGTCGAGGACAAGGCCGGCGCACCTTGGAGGTCGCAAAGACGGCGCCAAAGTTGTACGTGCCCGGGTTGATGCCGCCCATCGGGCCCGCCGAGCCGCCCATGGCGAACGAGTGGGTCACCTGGAAGGCCGGGACCTGCGACAGCGTCTTGGACAGGTCGGCGCGGGCGCCATCGAAGGTGTAGTTGGTGAGGTGGGTGACTGCAGGAAGGTGCGAGGTGGTGCATGGCGGGCAGAGGGTGGAGCGATGATGGCGACCGGGGAGAGAGAGGGAAGGAGAGGGGGGAGGAAAGCCATGTCAGCCGATGAACCCTTCGCCGGCCTCTGGGGGTCGCGCAGGGGCCAGGGAAAGGTCGACGCACGCTTGACCTCGCGCCCAAGGTCCTCGTGCTTGCCCGGCTCGGGGAGGTTGAGGCGCTCGCGGGCGGCCTCGAAGCGGTCGAGGATGGAGCCGACGGGCGCGAGCCACGACGGCAGCGCGCCTGCGTAGGTCGGCTCGGGTACGACACTGCCAGGGAACGGCGCGGTGAACTGCGGGACGGCGGCCATGGCGAGCGGAGCGGTGTGGACAGAGTGCGGACGCCGCTCGCCTCTCAGCTCTCGGCGAGCGCAAGCTGGCTCGACCGAAAAGGTGACACTCGCTGTCGCTCTCTCCCTCTTGAGTCCCGCAGGTACGTCGGTACTTCGAGACACAATGCAATGCAAGTTGCAACGAGAACCGACAAGAAGCTGTACACCAAGGAGCGGGCTCCGACAAACTGACCCGCCCGCTCGTCTCGCCGCCCTCGCCGACTCACAGGTCCATCGACGTCGGGTTGGCGTCGTCGCGATTCATGATGCGGTGGTACTGCGGGCGAGGAGACGGGCGCGTGAGCTCGACGTCGGCGCGGGACGAGAGAAGGAGGGGGAAAGAGGAGGCGCACCTCGAGCAGGAGCCGGTACATGAAGATTTCCATGTCGACCCATCGCCTGCAGGGAGGAGGTACGCCGTCAGTCTCGAGGAGAGCGGGAGAGGTCGCGCGAGAGAGAGAGAGAGAGGAGGGCGCACCAGTGCGTCTCGGCCCACTTCTTGCCCGCCGTCGCAATCTCCTTGGCGAGCGCGTCGTGCCCTCCCTGCCCATGCTCGTCGCCGAGGAAGAAGGCCATGATCGGGTACAGGTCCGAGTAGTCGGTCTGGACGGGTACGTAGCTGCGCAGGGACGGCATGATCGACGAGGTCAGTCGTGTTCGGCGAGGTCGGGCGAGGGTTGGAGAGAGAGAGAGAGCGAGACGCACTGGACCCAGGGCTGGATCATGTCCTGGTACCACTCGGGGAAGATCGTCGACTTGAGGACGAGCGAGTTGGTGCTCATGAGCCTGTGCGCGAGGGTAGGTGCGGGTCAGGCCCGTCCTCGCGACGAAGACGACGACGACGACAAGGAGGCGCGAGAGAGCGAGAGACGCACCTGTGGAACCGACCGCTCCACCCGTTGCCGTCGACGTCGAGCATGTACTTGTACTCGTTCTGCTCGTCGGGCCCCATCCACCCGCTCCAGTTGAACTCCTTCTCGAACGCGTCGCACACGGCCGGGTCGTCGCACTGCCTCGGCCGGTCGAGGAACTCAAAGTCAAAGTACCGCAGCGCGAGCGCCTTGTTGCGGCCCGTGAGCTCCTTGACCGGGCCGAGGTCGGTCGCCGTGTCGTCGGGCGCGTACGGGACCGTCACCTTGCCCTTGGCGAACGGCACTGCGGAAGAAGGCTCGTCAGGTCGACGTCCTGCATCGAGGCGAGAGAAGGAGGGACGCACGTCGACAGAGCCTCGGGCGCTGGCTCCACTTGCGGAAGTGCTCGATGTTGAGGTTGGCGCCCGTCGTCGAGCCTCGCCAGACGAGCTTGTTGTGCTTCTTGTCCTCCCATTCGGGGTCAATCCCGAGCGCGTAGTCGTACTGGTCGACCGGCGGGATGAGGAAGTCGGTGTGGAGCGACGTGATGGTCGAGACGAAGATCGGGTAGATGAGGCCGGGTCGGGGGCCGGGCCTGCAGGCGAGGGACGCCGCACGGTCAGGACCGCTCGTCGAGGACCGACAATGCGAGAGAGAGAGAGAGAGAGAGAGGGACGCACCAAGCCGTAAAGCCGTGGATGAGCTGGTTCTCGGGGTGGTTGCACAGGTCCATGGCCGGGACGTGGTCCTTGATGAAGCTGCGGGTCCTCGGCGGCGCATACACGTCGCCCGACGCCATGCGGTCGTCGTACGACGGGACGTTGCGAAGCGGCGAGTCGGGCGGGCAGATGCGCGCCCAGCCGTCCCATTTCCAGTCGTCGCGATAGTCGTCGGCCTCCTCGTCGGACAACACTGCGCGAGGGAAGAGCCTCAGTTCCGCATTCAACTGAGGACCGAGACGCTTAAGGAGAGAGAGAGGAGGGACGCACAGACGCCCTCGCGCGCAGCCTTGCGGTGCACCTCCTTCGACTCGCCGCTCATCGTGCCCCACGGCACGTCGTGGCCGGTAAAGGTGACGTTCATGTCGGGCAGGAGCTTGGCGATGCCGCGCAGGAGCTTGAGCATCTGGTCGGGCCGCTCGTTGGCGCTCTTCATCGGGCCGTGCGCCTCGAGGTGCTTGCCGTGCCGCTTGACCTCGACCGTGAACGTCTTGTCCTGCGACGGCGGGGCGAGACGATGGTGAGCTCGTCGTACGACGTCGAGCGGGGAGAGAGAGTAGGACGCACGGTGATCCAAAAGTCGTCGTCGAACTGGATCTTGTCGTGGCGGGCGACCATGGTCGACGGGCGCACGGCGAGGTACAGCTCGACGCGGTCCATCATGGCGTCAAACTCGTCGACCATGACGAACTTGTGCTTCTGCGCGTACTCGAACCACTTGTCGAACCCTTGAGGCGGGCGGCGCTTGTACCGCCGCTCGTACTCGTCGACGGCCTGCTCGAGCGTCTTGCTCTGCCGCGCGACCTTGGCGTCCCACTCGCGCCGGGCACGCTGCACGAGGTAGTGGATCGCGTGCGGCTGGTTCTCGACGTCGGCGGGAGGCTGCGGCTTGGCGCCCGGGCGAGTCTGGGCGCGGTAGGCCGGGTAGAACAGGTGGCCGAAGCGCTCGCTGAACCGCAGGCCGTCGAACGGGGAGCGCTTGACGCCCGACTTGCCCGACACGCCGTCGCACTCGTCGCGCCAGGGAAACAGGAGGCACAGGCGGCTCTGGTCGCCCTTGACCTCGATCGGCGACAGCTCGAGCGCGTCCTCGCGGTCGGCGTCGTCCTCGCGGCCCATGACGTCGCGCCCGAACCCGCCTGCGGGCATGAAGCGCGCCGCACCTCGACTGCTGCTCGAGTTGGCGACGAGGAACACGACGCCGCTCGAGGCGAGGACGAGGACGACGACGGCGAGCGCCTTGCGCCAGCGGCCGCGCAGGCGGAGGAGGGCGCCTGGCCCGGCGCTCGCGAGGCCGGCGAGGTTGGACGTGCGGATCGAGACACGCCTTGACGAGGTGCCGCCGAGTGCTGGCGAGCCAGAGAGGAGGGGCGAGCTGCCGAAAGCCGACGACGAGGTCGAGGGAGATGAGGAGAAGGGCGACGAGCCGGTCGACGGGACGCTGGCGTAGTACTGGCCGAACTGGGCTGTGAGCCGCGGGCTCGACATCTGGCCAGCAGATGCGCGCTCTGGTGCGGTGGGTGAGGAGGACGAGGAGCAGAGCGAGGATCGTCTCTCGGCTCCGCACTCTCTCGACAACTCTCGACGACGGGGCGATCGCAAAAGAGGCCGGTCTGCAAGCTCGTGCGGCTGGTTGCTCGGGTCCGTCCCGCATGCCCTCGGTCGTGCGCTGCTCTCGAACTCGCTCGTCGACCGCGGTGCGGGACCGGCACTCTCGCTCGTCCCGGCTCAAGCCCCTTCCGCCTCTGGCAGTCGCACCGAGATCGTCCACGGGAAAGAAAGACCACACAGCCCGTTACACACGGACGCTTACTACAGGCGGTCGCGGCGAGGCGAGGCGAGAGAGCGAGAGGAGGGGTCCGGGTGGAGGAGGAGAGGCGGGCGGTCGAGTCGGGTCGAGGTGTAGGCGCGGGAGGTGGACGAGTGAGGGTGCAGAAGTCAGCGACACGATCCTGATACGTGTCGGCGAGGCCGAGAGACACCCAGGGCGAGGAAAGAGGGACGCACAGCCTTCATCTCGGCGTCCTCCGACTTGGCACCGGTCGTCGACTTGCGCTGCGAGAGGGGACAACAGCGAGTCAGTCGCCTGCACGAGCGAGACCCTGTGCACCGCCTGAGCGGACACAGGCCGAAAGAGGGCGAAAGAGAGAGCCGGGACGGACCTGGAGAAGCGCCTTGCGGTCCTTGTCCATCTTGACCTTGGTGATGACGACGTTGGACGGGTTGACGGGGATGGGGACGGTGGCGCCGTTGCCCTTGTCGCGCGAGACACCCTCGACGAAGACACGGAAGTGCTTGCGGTTCGAGGTGTTGATGCGGCCCTCGCGGCCCTTGTAGGTGCCGCGGACGATCTGCGACGACGGGGCGAGGGTGCTCGTCAGGACACCGCGCTCGCTCGTGGCCTCCGAGAGAGACGAGAGGAGACGCACCTTGACCTCGTCATCCTTGCGGATGGGAAGCGAGCGAACCTGTGGACGCGAGAGCAAGGGTCAGCCCGGCTGCTCCTGCCCCACCGACCTCCCTCGCGACGCCGTGTCCCGCCCGAACGCCTCGCCCACCTCGTGCGACTCGAACCGAGAGCGTGCGACTCACGCCGTGCTCCGCGCGAAGCTCCTTCGAGAGGGGCGCCGACATGATCTTGCGGCGGACCGACGAAGGGGCACCGAAGTGCGCCTTGTGGGCCTTACGGGCGGAGATGGAAACGACTGGTGGGCGTAGTGTCGAGCATGAGGGGTAGGTCGAAGGTGCAGGCGGGTCACCGAGCGGTGGTGGGCGGGTGAGAGGACAGGCGGTGCGGGTCGAAGGCGGCGGTGAGGAGGGGGAGGGGGGACAACGAGGTCAGTATGGCGTCCTGTCGCGACGAGACTCGCACTCGCGAGGCCCTGCACGCTCTAGCGCCCTCTCTGCGCCCACCGCGCGCGCCCTCGAGCGGGTCCGCGGCCGCGCTCGCGTGCGCTGCGCCCGGACCTGCATGCGGCCGCCTCGCCCGCCACGACCTCGCTCTCGCGCCCCAGGCGCGTCCATCTCGCCGTGCGGGTCGGAGCCGGGTGCGGCGTGTCGGGAGCGCTCGAGCGCACTAGCGCGAGGGGTGGTGCGGGAGTGCTGGTGCGGCGCAAACTCGGTCGATGGGGGAGGAGCTCACCACCGGCGGCCATTGTGCTGAGCTGTGTGAGGGGCGGGGGGAGAGTGAGCTGGGTGGCCTGGACAAGGTGTCGGTCCAGCTAGGCGGCAGCAGACTCACATGACAAGACGGGGAGAAAGCGAGGGTCGCGAGGCGAGCTCTCCGCCTCCTCCTCCTCCCAGCCGCTCCCTCTCTCCACCCTCGGCCCTCGCTCCACCGCTATGGATGCACCTACCGTAGCTAGCAAGGTTGAGCTGCACCCGCAACGAGGGTCCTCGCGGCGTCTCGGCTCGCCCGCTGGCCAGCTCGCGGCTCACCGCCGTCCTCATCTCGCTCGCGGCCTTGGGGCATGCGCTCGCCGAGCCCGACCTGGCGAGACGCCGCTCGAGCACACCTTGCCCAGGACAAGGGCTCTAGCGCCATCGGGACCTGCGCTGCGACCCTCGTGCTTCGAGCGCAGTCTTCGCCCTCCTCGCTCCGCTTTCCTCGCTCGCTCTGCGGCTATCGCTACGGTCACGCTTCCGATACTGGCCTCGCACGAGATATCGCGACCTCCTCGCGAGCATCGCTGTCGCCCTGTGCACCTCATCGAGGCGTCGACTCGCCTTTTCCGCGACGAGCTGCACGGCAATCCCACCCTCGAACCCGCACCCACCGCGCCCCGTCCTCCTCCAGCCTGCATCTCAGCACTCTCACGAGCGCGTATACTCACGCCCTCGTCATCCCCGGAGCGCCTCGCCGCTCGCCCCGGCGCCCGTCGTCGAGCTGGCTCAGCAGGTCGTCCGGGCGACGAGACGCTGTCGAGGAGCTGGGACACCTCTCAAACTTCTCGCAACGAACCTGCTCGCTTCTGCGCAGCCGACGAGCCGTCTGCCCACGCGGGCTCGAGCCAGGCCGCTCTGTGCCGCCGAGCGCGAGAGAGCGCAAGGGCGAGGGGAGCAGGAGACACGCAGCGGCGCGAGAGGGTGACCGAGACGCGCCACCGACGTATCCGAGCAATCGGTGGAGCGGTCTGCCCCGGTCAAAGGGTGGGAAGCGCTCGTAGAGAGCGTTGAACCGAGAGCGAGAGCGGCATTTCGCGTGGGCGGCGCGAGAGCGAGAGGCGTCTTCCCAGGGCGGGGCGAGGGCGCGAGCGCAAGCTCTCACATCCCCGCTACCGACGAGGATGCTTAGACAGCGGGCTTTGCGCCTGACGACAACGGCAAGCTCTCGAATCGAGCAGCGCAGACGGCGGAGAGGCGCAGTCTGAATCAGAATCAGCGCTCGAGCCCCTCTCGCAGCCTCGCTCGCGCTCGCCCCGCTCTCACAGCTCGCTCGCTCTCTATGAGACTGCTGTGAGCGGGGCTCAGCGACGGACCTGACTGTCATCCGCTGCGAGTAGAACGCGCTGGCTCGCAGAAAATGCCGCTCTCGCAGGCGTTCTCGTGCGTCCAAGGCACTGAATCTCTCGTTGCACTCGAGCTAGAACGCCCCACCCTCCTCCAACTTCTTCCTCAGTGCCCTCCTCAACGCCTTGGCCCACGTCGGCGGCATGCCCTTGAGCGCCTCGCCGTCCTCCCCAACCTGGTCCTTGACGAGCTCGCCGAGAAGGTCGTCGAGGTCGTCAGGCGACGAGGCGATGTCGAGGAGCTCGTCGGCGAGGGTGAGGTCGATCGACGGGTGGTGGAAGAGGGCGAGGTGCTTGACGAAGGCGAAGGGAGAGGGGAGGGAGAAGAGGAGGTGGGCGAGGGAGGAGGGGTCCGAGGGCGACGGCTGCGCGAGGAATACGAGGCCAGGGCTCGTAAGTGACGCGCACACGTTGCCGAGAGCTCAGAAAGAGAGAGCTGGGCGCACCTTGACCGGGTTGAGGGCGGGCTTGACGTCGTCGTCCTCGTCGTCCTCGTTGAGAAGGTCGATCACCTCGAGCTGGTCGTCGACCTCAGCGACGAGCGACCTGCTCTCCTGCCGCCGCTCCGCTCCTGCCGACACCGACACCGACCGTGAACGCTCGGCCTGGGAGCGGGTGGGCGTGCGCGAGGCGGATCGCTCTGCTGCTGCCGAGGCGAGGACGGGACCGGCGGCGAGGTTGATGTCGGCTTGCCCGGTCGTGGAAGAGAGGGCGATGCGGCCTGGCTCGGGCGATGAGCCCTGCACCTGCGAGGGGATGACGAGGTCGGCTCACTCCCGCTCGAGAATGAGAAAGGCAGAGAGAGAGGGGACGCACCTCCTCCTCGCCCTCGTCCTCGTCCTCGTCCTGCATTTCCTCCTCCGACACAGCCCGGCCCTTGCCCTTGTCGACGTGTCGAGGTTGGTCGTGCGACTCGGTCTCGATCGGGGTGGTGGAACGCGCGGCGGCGTCGTCGTCGGCCGAGGCGGTGAAGGAGGTCTGTGCGGCGGAAGGGGAGGGCGAGGGCGCTTTGTCGGGCTCGTCGCCAGTCGCAGAGATGGTGTAAGGAGCGACGTCGGCGGCGTCGGCGGCGTCGGCGGCTTGTGCCGGCGAGACGTGAGCCGCCGAGCCTTGCTGAGCCGAGCGAGGTCGCGAAAGGGTCGGGTCGAGGAGGGCGAGCTGCGGACGAGGAGTGCGGACTCGGGTTAGGTGACCGTACGCGAAGGTGCGGCTCGCGAAGAGTGAAAGAGGAAGAGCAGGGCGGACCTTGATGCGCTTCTTCGGCGGCTCAGGCGACGCCGCGTCCCCGTCCCGCTCCCTGCTCGGCCCGCCGGGCTCGTCCTCGCCGCTCGCCGCTCCTGCCCCTGCCGCCTCGGCCGACATGCGCCCATCCTCAGGAGGCTCGTTTGCGCGCTCGCGCTCGTCCACGGGCGGCGCAGCCTGGCGAGCGGCTCGTGCGGCCTCGGCCTCGCACACTGTGAGAAAAGCATGCTGGGGGGGAAAACGGCTTCAGTTCCATGCATGATGAACATGCGAGAGCGAAAGAATGCGCGACGCACGTCGCCGGCATCGAAAAGCCATTTGTTCTTGTTGGCCTTGCGGACGACAACTTCCGACGCGTGTGGCGGGAAGAAGCATTTGACGTCCGAGAGGATCTGCTTCTGCCGCACGACGTGCTTGCGCATGGCGACAACGTTCGGCGGGCCGGGCACCTGGCCCAGGCAGCCGAACATGTTGCGCGCCCTGCGGAGCTCCTTGAGCGCGGCTCTCTTGGCGTCGGCGAGGTACTCCTCGTAGTTGTAGAAGCGCCGCCCATGCCCGAAGATCTGCCCGGTACACTGCGAGTGTGCCGACTTTGACGACACGACCTTGGCGTAGAGCGGAAGCGGGTTTCGAAGCTTCCAGTCGACCGACAGCTCGTACGCGCAGTTGTCGCGACGGCACCAGAACGCCCGACGCTCGTAATTGCCGTCGAACGACGTCTTCATGCCGACCCTGCCGCGTGTCCATGGCCCTGGACGAGACCCACGTGGTCAGCGAGGGTGCGGGCAACGAGGCGAAGTGGGAGAAGGTCACGCACAAGTTTGGGCCTCGACGACGCGGAACATGCAGAAGCCACCGTCCCATGCTGGCAAGCGGTCGCCGACGGCGAGGCTGCTGGCGACGTCGTCGAGCGTGCGAGGAGGCGAGTTGGGCATGGTGCTGGAGCGGCGGCGAGCGAGGGCGAGCGGGCGTAGTGCGCAGCGGCAGGCGATAGCTGAAGCTTGTGCGAGTGGCTGGGTGACGCAGGTTGGTATTGCAGTGCCGCCGTCGTCGTGTGAGAGCAAGAGGGAGATGAGGCGGGGAGGCTGGTGCCAAACTCCGAAAGGTCGCGAGCGGCTCCTCTCGCTCTCTCTGCGCAGCTCGCTTACCTGCGGTCGAGCGCTCACTTTGAGCACGAGGCAAAGCCGAGTCGGTGCCGCCCGAGAGCGTCGTCGAGGACGCTCATCTCTCGGCTGCTCTTAGCTCTCGACTCGCGGCGACGACGACGAGAGGGTCTATGCGAGTGGGTTACAGCGTACCGCGACGACGAAAGGACGAAGAAGGGAGAGCGAGGCGAAACTAAGTACGGGCGAGGGCGAGGGCGAGGTGGAAGGAGGACGAGGAGAGAGGAGGAGGTACAGCGGGCGCGGTGGACGAGCGACGAGGTGGGACGGGCTCAGAAGATGACTGTGGGCATCAAGGCGAGCGTCAGTGACACGCTCGTCTCTTCAAGGCGGACGCTCGCCATCGAGGACGGGCGGCGCCAGAAAGAGAGAGAGAGAGAGCGACCGACGCACCGTCCTCGTCCCGCTCGTTGAGCAAGTCCCCTCCTCCCTCCTCGTCTCCTCCGCCCGCAGCAGCACCCGAGCCGTACTTGGCCTCCTCGTCGGCGGCCCGCTTGGCCGCGTCCTCCTTCTCCCTCGCCGCGTTGTCGCGCTTCTTCTTTGACTGGATCTTCTTGAGGCGGAAGAACTCCTCGCGGTCCATCTCGTCGAGCCTGCGGGTGCGTCGAGGCGAGGTCGATCGAGTCGGTCGTCAGGCCGAGGAGAGAGGGAGAGAGAGAGGGGGGCGGCGCACTCGGAGTTGATGTACGAGATGGTGTTCTCGAGCCGAGGGATGACGACGTGCTCGAGCGCGTTTACGCGGCGGTTGGTCATCTTGATGACCTCGTCGAGGATGACGAACGCCGTCTGTGTACGTCGAGGGGCGGGCGACGAGGTCAGGACTGGCCTCGAGGCGAGCCGCACGGGCCGGGGGAGGAGGGAGAGAGCGAGGGGCGCACCTGGAGCGACGCGAGCTCGACGAGCGTCTCGACAGCTTTGGCGAACGTCTCGCGGCAGCGCGTGATCTGCTGACCGCCGCGGCCGAGGCCGGTGAGGCCGAAAGCTGCAGAGCGGGAACGAGGTCGACAGTGCGGGCGAGGTCGAGGAGCGCGAGGTCGGGAAGGCGGCCAGGAAGGAGAGAGACGTGAGACGAGGAAAGGAAGGGGGGCGGATCAGTCAGGAGAGAGACGACGAGAGAGAGAGGAGGGAGAGGGACGGACCTGCTGCGCCTCCCGCCTGCGGGTCGCCTTGCGGGGTGCGGACGGCCTCAAAGGCGGGGAGGATGGTGCCCGATACGTTTTCTTGCTTTGCTTGAACGCGGAACGAGGCTTGTGCGACCGACTCCTGGATCATGTAGCTGATGTCGCCCGTGGCGTAGGTGACCTCTGCGAGCGAGAAGGCGGCGAGCTGCATGACGCGGCCCATCTTGCGCTTTGCGTCGTCGATCTTGCCGAGGATGGTGCGGAAGCGCTGCGGGTCGGTGGACGGTGTGGGTGAGCGTGTGCGCCCAGAGAAAGTGAGAGGTGGGGGAGGGGAGCGAGGGTGCGGACCTTGTTGAGGGCGTCTGATTTCTTCTTGAGGAGCGAGTGGCCGGTCTGGGCGCCTTTGAGGCGGGTCTTTGTGACGGTCAAGTTCATGCGGGTCGGGACTGGGTGCGGGAGGGGGGTCAGCGGGGGAGGAGGAGGCGGAGCGGGAGGAGGGGAGGGAGGAGGGGGGTTGAGGACGCACAGACATTCTCGCGTGCGCCCTTGCCACTCATGGCTGTGTCGAGGTGGCAGCTGCGGAGAGGTAGCGGGCTGGAGGGAGCGATGAGGATGGACGAGGCGGCGACGACGACGACGACCTCGAGTTGGTCTCGCTCCACCTCACAAAGCCCCGTGAGTACCCTTCGCGTGGTCAACACAGTCACATAGACTGACCCTTGCCTGCCACCCTTTCCCCCCTGCGCCCCTCGCCCTCTCGCTCGCCTCGCCCCCCTCCCCCTCCCCCTTCGCCTCGTCGTCGCGTCCTTGGCCTCTCGCTCCCTCGCCCCTGCGCCGACCGTCCCACTCGATCCCCGACCTGCGACCAGTGTCCACCATGTCGTGCGTCCCACTCTCCCACTTCGACGTCCCCTCCCCCCTCGTGCCCCTCATCGCCCACCCTCGTCGCCTCCCGCTGAACCCCTCTCGCCCCGATGGCCTCGTACACGTCCACAGCGGCTTCTTCAGCTCCATCTGGAACTACATGTTCGACGTCCTCGCCAGCTTTGGTCCGTCCCACCTCTCTCTCTCCTCTCTCTCTCGATCTCACTTCGTCCCGCCGACTGACCTCGCCGTCCTGCACTCCTCCACAGGCCTCGTCAACAAGGTCCGCCCGCCTATCCTCGCACGCTTCAAACTCGCACTGACCGCTCGACCGCACCCTCGCAGAACGCCAAGATCCTCTTCCTCGGTCTCGACAACGCCGGCAAGACGGTGCGTCCTTGCTCTCTCAGTCCCTCGTCGTATCGGCAGTACGCGCCGGGGCTCTCTCGCGAGCTCTGCGCGTGCTAGACCCCGATCACGCAGGCATCACAGCTCAGCGCGCTCACGCCGTCGTCAATCGCCCGCAGACCCTCTTGCACATGCTCAAGAACGACCGCCTCGCGACCCTCCAGCCGACCCTGCATCCGAGTCCGTCCCCTCGCTCTCTTTGGCGTCCATCGTTCACCGACGTTCCCGTACTGACGAGCCCTGTGGCGCACCGTGCAGCATCCGAGGAGCTCGCGATCGGCAACGTCAAGTTCACGACGTACGACCTCGGCGGTCACCAGCAGGGTGCGTCCGCCTTCCTCGCCACACCGGTCAGACCGATCTGCGACAGTCGCACGGCGTACTGACCTCGAGCGTTCACCCTGTCCCCGCACAGCGCGCCGCCTGTGGAAGGACTACTTCCCCGAGGTGGACGGCATCGTCTTCCTCGTCGACTCGCAGGACACGGAGCGCTTCCACGAGTCCAAGGCCGAGCTCGACGCGCTCCTCGCCATCGAGCAACTCAGCAAGGTGCCGTTCCTCATCCTCGGCAACAAGATTGACGCGCCCGGCGCCGTCAGCGAGCAGGACTTGAGGCAGGCGCTCGGCATGTACACCACGACGGGCAAGGTGCGTCACGCTCGCTCTCTTTCACTCTCGCGGTGTGTCGGTCGCGCGAGGCCCGCACGAATTCGGGCCGTCGCGCTCGCCGGCTGCCCAGATGAGAACGCGCACTGACCCCTTCTCTTGTCGCGCTCGCAGGGCAAGGTCCCCCTGACCGACATTCGCCCGATCGAGGTCTTCATGTGCTCGGTCGTCATGCGCCAGGGCTACGGAGAGGGTGCGTCCCTCGTTCTCTTATCTCTCTCCCGCCACTCGTCCTTTCCTTCCCTCCTGCGTATCGAACTTCGAGCCCCTCGTTCGACGTTCACTGACCTTCTGTCGTCCCACGACCCTGCAGGTTTCCGCTGGATCGCCCAGTACATGTAGATGCGCGCTCGAGCCCTCGTCTGCGCCCGTCCCCCCTCTCTCGAGACCTCCTCCCACCTCTTTCTCGTCCTCTCCCTCGTCCTCTCCCTCTCGCCGTCCTCACGACCCTCTTTCCCCCTCTTCGTTGGGTCCCACCCTCTTCTCTCCTCCTTCCCTCGTCCGTTCTCGTCCCCACCCTCTTGCACCACACCCCCCTCTCGCTCTCGCTCTCCGTCTTCGCCGGTTCGTCTTCCTCCGCCCACCCTCTCGTGAAAAGCATGTCTGTGCCCCGCCTCTTTGGTCTCTCGCGAGAGAACGAAAGAGAATGAGAGACGAGGCGAGAGCAAGAGAGCGCTCTCGTCTCTGACGGGAACGAGGCAAGAGAGAGGCAGAGAGAGGAACGACGGGCATGCACGGGTGGGCGACGAGCGAGGGCTGTACAGACACACAGAGGGGAGACATATCTTTGCTACTGACAGACGGGTAGATCGAGAGCTCGAGCGAGACGAGGGAGAGAGAGAGAGGGAGGGAGAGGGGTTCTAGCTGATGGCCCGAATCGACGGCTCGTCCTCTTCTTCCTCCTCCTCCTCGTCCTCCTGCCCCTTGTCCTCCTCGTTCGCCGCACTCGTCGACGCCGCCGACGCGCCGCCGCCCTCGCCCTCTGCCGCGAGCCGCGCAATCTCGAACGAGCTCGCCAGCTCGGGCAGCTCGACGGCGGCCCGTGCGCCGCCGCTCTCGAGGCTCGCCGCGCCAAAGTCGAGCTCGAGGAGGCGAGGAGGACTCGCAGTCGCGGTGGTAGAGGTCGAGGGTGGCGTCGAGGTCGAGGAAGAGGAGGGAGGAGGAGGGGGACGAGGAGGCAGGGCGCGCTCAGGCTCGGCGAGTGGGGCCGGCGTCGTCAAGCCGCTCGTGTCGTCCTCGGCGTCGGCCTCGAGGACGGCGCTCAGCGTCTTGGGGTCGGACGCTGACGCCGACGAGGCTGGAGGGGCTGGCGGTGCCCGGGCGCCGAGGCGGTCGCGAGGGCGCGTGCGGCGACGGGCCGCGAGCGACGCGGTCGAGGGGGACGAGCTCGCTGGGACGGCGGCAAACTGCGTGCACACAGAGAGAGTCAGGTCGTCGATCGGAGAAAGGAGAGGCAAGAGAGAGAGGGGACGCACACCCTCGCCCGTGAGACGAGCCATGAGCTCCTGCCCGCTCGCGAGCAGGTCGTCGAGCCCACCTCCTCCTGCGCCTCGCCTTGCCGCCTCGCCGCCGTCGCCTCCCGCAGCGAATGGCAAGGGCGACGGCGCGCCCCGGCCCGGGCTCGTCGGCGACGTGCCGAAGTCGACGCCCTCGCTCTCGGACCCCTCGCCCGCACTCGCACTCGGCACGACCGACGGCGCGCCCGCATCCGGCGCCGGGCCCGTCAAGGCGCCCTTGCGCCGCTTGTCGCGGCGGACGGCGCGAGGCGTGTTGAGCGTCTGCTCGCGCAGCGTCTTCATGTACTCCTCGACGAGCGAGTCGGACGTGGCGAGCCGAGCGGCCGCCGACGCCTCGAGCTCGGCTTTGCGAGCCTGTGTGCGCGCGAAGAGACAGAGTCAGTGATGCTCGGAGTGGGCGAGAAGGAGACGAGGGACTGGGACGCACAGCGGCTTGTGCGGCCTTGGCACGGGCCTCGTCGAGACGGCGGTTGTCCTCGCGAGCTTGCTGCGCACGGGCCGACGACGGCGTCAGTACGCGAGGCTTCTCGACAGAGAAAGGAAGAGAGAGAGAGAGAGGAGGGCGCACCTTGTACGACGTGACGAACGTCTTGAAGACGCTGAAGAACTCCTCGGTGCTCGTAATGCTCTTGACGTCCTCGCCGTACAGGGTCAACGCCTGCTGGTACGTGCCGTCGGCGAGCTGCAGCGTGTCCTTGAGCGCCGCGAGTCGCTCCTCGGCCTCGCGCCGGAAGCGGAACATGCGCCTCGGGAACCCGTCGTCCGGGTGGAGCGACGACAGGTCGCCAAAGTCGGCGTCGAGCAGGTTCTCGAGCGCCTTGTGCTGCTCGACAAAGTCGACGAGGCCGCTGCGGACGTGCTTGAGGTCGGCTGTGGGCGAGGGAAGACAACGCTCGGGCGGGTCAGGCACGTTCTCGAGAGATGGGAAGGGAGGAGAGAGGGCGAGGACGGACCCTTGAACGCCTCGGCAGGCTTGGCGAGCTCGTCGAGGAAGCGCTCCGTGTCGGGCATGGTCTGCGTCACCGTCTTGGCGAGGAAGTGCAGGAGCGTGCGGCTGCTCGACGCCGACGACTTGGTGTCGACGAGCTTGTTGATCGACGTCACCTTGAAGCCCTGGGCGTTGCCCTTGTGGCCCGACGCGTTGAGGAAGTTGCCGAGCATAAGGATGAGCTGCGTGTGTACGAGGGTGTCAGTCATCGGCCGGGTGAGGCGAGATGCGAGGGAGGGAGAGCGAGGGACGCACCTTGAGCAGCTCGGCAAAGTGAGGCGCCTCGAGGAGCGACTTGGCCGCCTCGTACACGCGCAGCGCCTCGTCCTCGAAGCGGACGATGTTCTCGAGGAACTTCTCGCGGTAGATCATGGCGCGCAGGCGAGGCTTGAGGCGGTCGATGCGCAGCAGCTCGACGAGGAGGCGGTCGGCCGGCGCGAGGAAGTCGAGCTCTTCTTGCGGCGTCGACTTGTACAGGTTGAGCTGCGCTTCTTGCTCGGGCGTCGGGAGGACCTTGAGGAGCTCGCCGAGGTACTCCTCGCCGAGGCCGTTGTCGTAGCGCAGGATGCGGCCCGCAGCGATCTTGACCTTGGTCAGGGCGTCGTCGTTGGCGTCGCCTGCGGGCTTGAGCGCGAGGATCTCTGCGGCGCGAGGAGGCGAGTCAGTTCCAGAACCTGTTGCCGTGACGAGGAGAGAGACGAGGGCGCACCGATGTTCTGGCGCTGGCGGACGTCGAGGCACGACGTCAGGTCGGCCTTCTTGCGCTCGACGGCGAGCTTGACCGTCTGCTTGGCCCGGAAGTCCTCCTCCATCGCGTCGAAGATGCCCTGCTGCCGGAGCAGGTCGGCGATCTGCGGGTCCTGCGCTGCGCCCTCGCGAGCCCAGATCGTCGACGCGAGCCCGTGCGGCGACACCTTGTCCCACTGGAACGTCTTGAGCTGGCGCTGCGCGACATCGCGCTTCGACATGGGCAGTCGAGGTGCGCCGGGCGGTGGCGGCGGACCGGGCGGACCGGGAGGGGGAGGTGGCGGCGCGCCAGGCGCTCGAGGTGCGGGAGGAGGTGGTGGAGGAGGGGGAGGAGGGCCTGCTGGGCTCGCCGGCGAGCCTGGCGACCGCTCCTCGCCCTTGCGAAGCTTGGCGCGGCCGGCGAGGACCTCGTCGAGGCGCATCGTCGAGCCGCTCTTGACGGCGCCGCGAGTCGGAGGCGGAGGAGGCGGCGGCGGCGGAGGAGGGAAGCCGCCGGCGACGGGAGGTGGAGGAGGTGGCGGTGGTGCTGGCGGCGGTGGCGACGGCGCAGAAGAAGTGGCTGCTGCGGCGTCGAAAGGAGGAGGAGGTGGTGCGGGCGGCGGTGGAGGAGGAGGAGGTATACCCGCGCTCGCCGTCGTGACGAGCGAGGGAGCTGGAGGTGCCGGCGGTGCGAGGGGCGGTGGCGGCCGGCGAGGACCGCTCGAGACCGGCACGAACGCGGACGACGAGTCGAACGCGCCGTCGAACGTGCCGTCGACCGGGCCGAGAGACGGCGTGGTCGACGGTGTCGGCGCCTGGACGACCGGTGTGGGAGGGACAGGGAGGTCGTCTCGGCTCGTCGAGACGGACGACGTCGGCAGGGCGAAGAACGACTCGGAGCGCAGGACCGTCGGCGACTCTGGGTCGAGCGAGGGCGTGCTCGGCGCCGTGCGGTACGGGCCGACGAGGTACAGCGTGTCGGGCCGCTCGCCTGGCTCGAGGGTCGACGAGGGCGAGAGGCTGCCAAACGACAGGTCGCGCATGCCGAGCGAGGCGCCGCCTTGGTCGAGCCCATCGTCTGCAACCGGCGAGTCCTCGGCGCGCTCGACGACCGTGTCCGGGAGCGATACGCCGACGTCGGACGGCGCGATCGAGGTGGGCGCGGTCGACGTCCCGCCGGTCGCCGCGTGGCTGACGTGCGAGTCGGTGCGGATGCTGTCGTCGTCGGCGTCGGCGTCGGTCGAGGCCCGAGCGGGCGAGGTGCCCATCTTGAGCGACGCGTCGCGGATCGCCTCGGCGAGGGTCGGCCGGCGCTGATGCGACATGTGCGCCGTACTGCGCGTCGAGCGAGCGGCCGAGGGAGAGGTCGACTCGAGGATGGACGAGCGCCGCTTGGCCTGGGGCGTCGCGTCGAGGTCGCTGTCGGGCGAGAAGGTCGAGACGGGCTCGGGACCGAGACGGCGTACAGGCGTGCGTTGCGATGGCGGCGACGGCGATGGCGACCATGCGGATCTCTGCAGGAAAGAGACAGGGTCAGTGAGTGAGGGAGGAACGAGAAGGATCGAGCTGGCGACGTACAGGGTCGCGCTGACCCTCGGACAGTCGGTCCTCCGTCTCTCCCCTCCTCGCCGAGATCTCGCTCTCGAGCCTCCTCCTCGCGCTCGTCATGCCCAGGAGCGACTGGCCCGGGATGGCCGGGAGCGGCGCCTCGCCGGCGACGCCGCCCTCGAGGATCTGGATCGTCTTGCTGCGCTGCAGCTGCTTCTCCATGCGCTCCTGCAGGTCCTCGTCGACGCCGTCGAGCAGGCCCGCCTTCTTGAGCCGCTCGTACAACATGCGGTTGTCGAGGCGCAGCGCGGCGATCTGCTCGAGGTAGTCGCGCTCCTTGTTGCCAAGCTCGGCCTTGGTCGCCTCGGTCGCGGCGCGCGACGTCGCGAGCGAGCGCTCGATGCGCGCGAGCTCGTCCTTGAGCTTGCCGACGTTGCCGGCGGCGCCCTCGGCGAGCTCCTCGCGCAGCTGCTCGACCGTCGCCTTGAGCTGCGCGACCTGGGCGTGCGCGTCGTCGAGGTCGTCCTGCGTCTCGGCGAGGCGCTCCTCGTCGCCGAACGAGGCGATGATCTGCTGGACGCTCGAACCGAGGAGGTGCGAGAAGTCGCCGTCGAGCCCTTTGCGGTCCGTGACGACGGCCGACACGAGGCGCTCGACGAGCTGGAAGTGGCGCATGCGCTGCTCGGGCTCGGTCGGGAGGAGGAGGAGGTGCTTGAGGGTCGACAGGAGGAAGTCGCGGGCTCGGCCGTCCGTGTTGGCGAGGATCGCCTCGAAGCAGCCGCGCGGGTCGCTGAAGTTCATGCGGACCTCCTCCTTCATGTGCTCGGCGAGCTCGAGAGCGTCGAGCTCGGCGTCCTCGTAGTGCTCCGAGATGAGGCGCTTGAGGTTGGCGTGGTCGAGGACGAGGTGCTTCTCGAGGATGCGCTTGAGGCCGGCGAGCTCCATGGCGGCGCGCAGGTGCATGCGGATCTTGAGGTCGCGCTCGCGCAAGAGCTCGCGGATGAGGAGCATGTTGCCGACCTGCAGGCGTGAAGAAGGAGGGGCGTGAGTGACGTGCGCTTCGCGACGACGAGGTCCACGAGGGCAGAAGGAGAGCGAGGACGCACGGCATAGTCGGCGAGGGCCTGATCCTTGATGTCGGCGCCGAGCGCCGTACTCGCCGCGACGCCCTTGTGCAGGTCGCGAGCGCCTCGACCTCGCAGGCTCATGATGGCGTCGCTCGCGCCGACGGCGCTCCCGAACCGCCCTCGCCCGTCGATGGCCGCCTCCCAGAAGAAGAACCAGCCGTCGAACTTGCCCGGCAGCCGACGCGACGAGGAAAAGTCGTCGAGGCCCTTGAGGACGAGATTGAAGCCGCGAATGCGGTCGCGCATGACGAAGAAGGTGAGGAGCTCGATGACGCTCTTGCGGGTCGGGATCTCGCTCGCGAGCGACGCCGTGATGGGCGAGATGGACGTGTTGTTGTCGAGCGCGTCTCGTGCGCCGTCCTCGTGGTTGAAGAGCTGGCGCAGGCACTTGATGATCTCGGCCTCCATCGCCGTGTCGGGCTTGCGGTCCGAATTGTCGGCCTTGTTGATGTTGTGCAGCGCGTTGCCGAGGACGGCCTGGCCCTTGAGCGCGATGAACGTCTGGAGCCATCTGATAAGAGGAGGACGAGGGAGGTACAGGGCGCGACGAGTCAGTCCCTGGCCATCGAGGAGGTCCGAGCGAGAGAAAGGCGGACGCACTTGAGCTCGTAGGTGCGCAAGCACACGCCGAGGCTGGCCACCTGCTGCTGCGTGATCGAGCCGTTCATGAACCGGCCGATGTACCACTCGGGGCTCTCGTTCTTGCCCCAACTCGGCCCCGCCGTGCTGCCGCGGACGCCGACCGACCCGCTCGCGACGCTGCTGCTGCCGCCGCCGGCGCCGACTCGCGGGCTCGACACGTAGTCGGACGACCCTCCTCGAGCGGCGCCGACGGCGGGAGCGCTCCTCGCCTCGACCGGGCGGTGCGTGAGCTTCTCGCGCGCGTTCTTCCACCGCAGGTACGCGTCGTTGTAGATGAGCGTCCACTTCTTCTCCTGGTCGAGGCCGCGTGCGGCGCCGAGCGCCGCTGCCGACGTCGTGCCGATGCGGGCCTGGAGCTCGTCGAACATGGCGTCGATGAGGGCCGGGTCGGCGGGTCGCGGGAACCGAAAGTCGGACGAGTAGGGGGATGGGGCGGCGTCGAGGTACATCGAGTCGTGCGAGTTGTGTTGAGGGGTGCGGGATGCGACGGAGGAGGCGGCCGATTGGCGGCGGGGCATGAACGGGAGGGTGCTGGACATGGTCGACGAGGCGTAGTCGCCCTTGGCGCCCGAGCGCGAGCTCGCGACCGTGCCGTTGTTGCTGGCGGGTCGGTCGACCGAGCGGAAGGACGCCATGCGCGACAGGCTGGGCTGGCGAGACACCGACGAGAGCGAGTCGCGCTCACCCGAGGCGGACGTGACGCTCGCCGACGAGCGCTCTCGCTGCGGCGACATCGGCGGCGCTCGACTCGGGTCTGGCGACGCCGCCGACGCGCCCGAGACGCTCCCTCGTGCTTCTCGCCCGGCGCCCCGGTCGGACGTCGCGCCGAGCGAGTCGACCCTCCTCCTGCTCTCGCGCTCGCCGCCGCCGTGCCCGTGCCCGCTCGACGTGACCGAGCGGATCGAGATGCCGTCCGGCGAGTGGGGCCGACTCGCGCGTGTGCTGCTTCCGCTCCCGCTCGCGCTGCCCCTCAGCTCCTCGGCCGTCTCCTCCTCAATGCCCAAGCCCATCGGCGGCCGGGCCGAGGCGGACGCGCGCGACGGCGGCACGTTGCCGAGCGCGTGGCTCATGCGCTCCTGGTGCGTCGTGCGCGGGCTCGTCGTGCCATTGTCGAACGGGCGAGGCTGGCCGGGGAGGGGGAAGGCGGACGAGTAGGGGAAGGCGCTGGCCCGGTTGGCGGACGACGTGGGGTGGGCGTGAGCCGCCGCCGCCTTGGTCGGGGACGAGGTCGGCAGGCGCTCGTACGGCACACTCGAGATGTCGTCCAAGCCGGCCGCCGTGTCGAGGGTGAGGGCCGACTGGCGGTGAGGCTGGGAGGTGGACGAGGACGAGGCCGACGACGCGGGGCGGCCGAGGCGCTTCTTTTTGAAGAGCGCGTCCAGGGTGACGCGTTGGGCAGAGCTGGGCGCCTGCACGAGCCGTCTCGGGGTTTACCCGCTGTGTGAGAGAGGCTGGCTCCGAACTGGCTGATGAGGAGGCGGGGGTGGGTGTTGATCGCCTTGGTGCGCCCTGCGTGGAGCGGTGGGCGTGTCGGGAACGCACTGGGTGGCTCGAGAGAGGCTCTGGCAGCAGTTGCCGGCACTGGTCTGCGGCTCTGGTCGGAGGCGAGCGGGCAAGGAGAGCGTGAGCCTCTCGCGCTCGCGCTCGTGGGCTTACGGATCGCTCTCGCCTCGCCCGAGCTGGACAGCGTAACAACGAGCCGCACAGCGACAAGGCAGACGACGTGAGAGTGCCCGAGAGACGCGGGGAAACGAGGAATCGAGTGCACAACAACGACAAGAACGACGACCGAGAAGAGGGCCGCGAGCCCGAAAGAGGGGAGAAAGACGGAGGAACGAGACCGAGAGCGTGCGCAAGAAGGGAGGGAGGGGAGGGGAGAGGGGAGAGAAGCGTCTAGCCGCGACGAGGCGTCGACGTCTCGCCCTTTGACGCCGAGACGTACCGCCCGAGCGCCGGATCCCACCCGCCCGAGACGAGGCGCGCAGCCGGCGAGTACACGAGGTCGGCCATGCGCGTGTTGGCCATCGGGAAGCTGCGCCTCGTCGTGCGTACGTCGGTCGGCGGCGCCGACGAGCTCGACATGTGCCCGACGGGCGACCCGGGCCGCTTGCGGCCGGACGACGACGCCGCCGCACCACCCTCGGCGAACGCCGACGACGCTCGACGTGCTGTCGAGGCGGGAGGGGCGGCCATCGAGGCGCTCGCCGCCGAGACGTACTTGCCCGCCGCTGCGTCCCACCCGCCGTTGGCCGCGACCGCCGCCGGCGAGTAGATGAGGTCGCGCAAAGGTCCGGCGATAGGGAAAGACCGTCGCGTCGAGCGCACGCCGTCGGGCGGGGCCGTGGAAGTGGCGGGCGCAGGTGCTCGCCCGCTCGAGCCGGTCGCTGCGCTTGGCGGGCGCGAGGTCGAGGCGGATGGTGCGACTCGAGGCGTCGACGGAGCTGGGGGCGTGGCGAGAGACGGTCGGCGAGCGGGCTTGGCGACAGCGACAGGTGCGGGCTTGCGCGCAGGAGGAGGTGGCGGAGGAGAAGGAGAAGGGGTCGGGTGGGGCGTCGGCGAGGGACGGCGAGGCGGCAAGGGGTTGTGGGACGGGTCGCGGGCCGCCTCGAACTTGGAGATGTCTGTTGAGAGAGAGGGTCGTCAGGGTCGTGGGCAGGGAGAAGAGGAAGGAGAGGAGGGGAGAGCGTACATCTGCCCTTCTCGTAATCGTACCCTCCCGTTGCGGCGAGCGTCTCGGGCGCGTACAGCACGTCGGCGAGTTTGCCCGGGAGAGGCTGCGACCTCGTGCGTCTCGCCTCGAGCGACGGCGGCGGGCCAGGCTGGCTCGCCGCCGATGCTGCCGCCGCCGCGCCGCTGCGGGTCGTGGACCGCCGCCGCTCGCTCGCCGACGCTGCCGGCTCGGCCGCCGAGATGCGCGCCTTCTTGTTGCGCGCGCCCGACGCCGACGCGGATGGCGCCGTAGACGAGCCGGCCTCGGCCGTCGACTGGTCGGACAGCTCGGGCAGCTTCGAGTGCCGCCGAGTCGAGCGCGGGTTGAGCGACGGCCCGGGCGACGGTCGCGACTCGTTCGACGTGCGGCCCCTGCGCACGGTCGACCCCGACGACGACGCCTCACCGCTCGCGGACGTGCTGGCCGAGGTGGTCGCGCTCGGCTTGGTCGACTCGGCGGCGTGCGGCGGCGTCGGCGCGGTCGAGCTGGGCGTCTGCGGCTGAGGCCTGTCGATGTACAGCATGTCAGTCACGCACAGGGTCGAGAGAAAGAGACAGTGGCAGGGAGAGAGAGGACGCACGGTGCGCAAAGAAGCATGAGCAGCGCCGCCGCCGCATCCTCGGGATCCGACGGCGGTACCCTCGGCCGTCCCTCCTCCTCTGGCGCTCCCTCACTCGCGGCCTGCACCTCGCCAGAAGGTGCGACCGCGCCGCCTTTTCCCTGCTCCTGCTCGTCGTCCTCCTCGCCCGTCTTGGGCTTTTCCTCCTCCTCCTCCTCGTCCATCATGTCGACCGGCGCCCGTCCACCGCTCGGCTGCCGCCCGTCGCCGTCGTCGCCGCCTCCCCCTCCCCCTCCTCCTCCCCCGCCACCGCTACCGCCGCTCGACGAGCCCGCCGCCGGCCTGGAAGTACTTCTAGGGCCCCCTTCCTGAGAGGGGCCGCTCCGAAAATCCGCCTGCTGGCCCGACGAGCCGGCTCCTGCTCCTGCTCCCGCGCTGGCGCCGCCCGAGTCGCTCGGGACCGAGGCGCCGCCGCCGACGACGCCGTAGAAGTTGGACGTCGGCGCCGAGATGGGCTCGTGCGGCGCGTCGTCGTCGCGGTCGCCGTCGCCGTCGGCCTTGGCCTTGCAGCGGGAAAGAGCGTCCTTGTTGTCGTCGATGTCGTCCTCGAGCGACGCGCCTCGAAGCTGCGGCGAGTGCGACTCCTCGATCGGGGTCGAGGTCGACATGCCGGCGTCGCAGGCGATGCTGCGGAGCGCGACGGTCGCAGACGGGGCGGCAGACGCGCTGGTCTCGGTCGTGAGAGAGCGGCTCGAGCGCGTCGGGGCCGCCGAGAGCGTGACGCTCGTGGACGACTCGGCGCGGTGGCGGGACGAAGCGGGCATGGTGAAGGGGAGGGGAGAGGTGGGGCCGGTCTTGGACGACGACGAGCCACCTCGCGCACGCCGTGCGGGCGAGAGCATCGCCTCGACCTCGTCCTCCTCCTGCGCCTCGACCGCCGCCGCCTCCTGCATCGCCTCGTCCTCGTCGCCCTCCTCGGCCTCACTCAGCTCGCTCGAGTCGGCCGCCTCGTCGGCTCGCGCGAACGCCGTCACCTGCCGGAGCTTGGTCGACTCGGCGCGCCCTCGAGCGGTCACAGGCTCCTTGCCGACGGCCGCCTGCCGCTTCGAGCTGCGCTCGCCGACCCGCACCTGCTTGAGCACGACCTGGCTCACACGCGGCTTCTTGGCCTTGCGAGGCGAGCCCGACGCCGAAGGTGCGGGCGACGAGTCGTGCGCGGCGGTGGTGCTCGAGCGAGGGCGTCCGCGCTTGGCGGGTGCGGCGGCCGAGGTCGAGGTCGAGGCGGTCGCCGAGTCGGGCTTGCGCTTCGCGTCGACCTTGGTCGAGGCGGCGTTCTCGCCGACCGACGACGTCTTGGGGCCCTTGTACCGCGCGACGCGCTTCTTGGGGTCCCAGTCGTAGTCGCGAGCGTAGCCCGGTGGCGGGGCCAGCTTGGGCTGGACGATGAGGCGAGGCTGCCCTCGCAGCGCGTCGGCGGGCGAGAGCTCGCCGCGTGTCGGGTTCATGCGCGACGAGCGCGGGCGAGGGCGAGCTGGTGCGCGCGCCGAGAGGGTCGGCGTCGAGGCCGAGCGAGACAGGCCCGCAGCGCGACCTGCGCGAGGGGCGGCGGCGCCGGCGGCGGCACTCGTCGAGGTCGAGGAGCGCGCCTCGTTGTAGTCGGGTGCGGCGATGGTCGAGGCGCGGCGAGAACGACGAGAGGCGGGCGTCGGGGAGGAGGCACGAGGCTTGACCGCCGCGACGGCTCTCGGGCGTGCCGGCGCGAACGCGCCCTGCTTGAGCCTGGAGACGTCGATGTGAGGACGTTGCAGGCATCATGAGAGAGAGAGACGAGGACGCACTGCTCGCAAGTCGCACAGAGGCAGGAGGCGTTGTCGTGCTCGAAGTAGTGCTCGCCTGCAGGGACGACAGGGTCAGTCTCGGCTCTCTCAGACGACGAAAAGGGGCTTCTAGGGACGGACCGTAGTGCGTGAAGAGTTCCTCGTCCTTGGCGACGTCCTCGAGGACCTTGAACGCCATGTTGGTGCCCGTGAGCTGGAACTCGACGTTGTTGCGGCAGTCGTGGTTGACGAACCGGGCCGGGCCGAGCAAGAGGCAGAAGCACTCTTTGCGCTGGCTCCACAGGACCGAGAAGTCGCTCCTGCCGCCCTCGTCGCGCATCTCGTCGTCCTCCTCCTCGGTGAGGTCGGCGATGCCGCCGCGCAGGTTGACGACCTCGCCCTTCTTGAACGCCCTCGTCGCGAACACGCCGACCTCGATGAACGTGCTCGGGTCACGACGGAGCTTGGCGGCGACAGGAGGCGGCATCGGGCGGCTCTTGGACAGGCCGCGAGGGTTCTTGTACCGGTCCGTCTCGTGGAAGGCGATGCCGCTGTCGGGACGGAGGGCGATGATGTAGCGCTTGGCGTGGTGCGCGAACAGCGGCTCGTCGTCCCACTTCTGGTTGAACGTCTTGACGCACGGCAGGTTGAGGAGCGTGTCGAGGCCGTCGGGAACCGAGACGACGCCTTGGCGGAGCTGGATCATGCAGAAGGGTGCGGGAAGGACGAGGGGGCGGAAGCAGGTCAGTGCCGTGCGAGTGAAGGGCAGGAGGATGAGCAGCTCGACGAGTTGGAGCGTGTCGGTCCCCACTCTGTCCCCTCCACGAGGCCAGCCTCCCCGGCCGAGCCCAACCCTGTCGCCTCGCCCGCGTCCTCTGTCTCCTGCGCCTGCTGTTCCCGCTGTAACTCCTCGCCCTTGCCCTGCCCGAGTCCACGCGAGAGAAAGCGCGCAGGCTCACCTTGTCGACGAGCTCGCGCGCCGAGGCGACCTCCTTGTCGCTCATGCGGAGCTCGCGCGCAAAGCGCATCATCTTGCCCGTCGCGCGGCCGTCGAGGCGCGGCTCGTTGAAGATCGAGTAGTCGAGGAGGAGCTTGGTGAGGAGGTCGTCGGCCGCCGAGAGGAACCCGACCGAGGCTTGCGCCGACGAGGTCGAGGCCATCGCGAGGCGAGGCGGGCGGGGCGAGCGAAGGCGTGGGCGAGGGCGACGGCGGGCGCGTTGTGCGCGAGGTGAACGAGCGTGTGCGCCTGGCGAGGGCAGTCGAGGGTGCGGCGGTGTGGACGAGAGGAGGGGGACAAGTTGGTCGAGAAGCTGAAGCGACGCGATCGGCGGTCGACCACAAAGGCTCGCTTCTCTCGCGTCCTGGGCCAAAGACGGGCACAACGACATTGCAAGAGGAGACTGCGCGATACGACAAGCGTGCGAGAGAAGACAGGGGAGCGGCAGGCCAAAATCAAGAGACAGAGAGGCTCGCGCGCGCAAGTGCGCCCGCTCCTCAGGTCGACGTCGGCGGCTTGTCGTCGAGGAGCTTGGTGACGACGCCGAGCGCCTTGGTGCGCCCCTCGCGGAACAAGAGCCGCTCGCCGACGTGGATGTGCTCGGCGGCGCGCATGAAGCGCAGCTGGAGCGTCGCCCGGTCGCCCGTGCGGATCGCCTGCTTGTCGACGATGTGCTCGACCTGGACCGTCTGGCGGATCGCGCCGATGTGCGCCATGGCCTGGTACCGGCTCGTGATCATCGTGTTGTGGTACAGGATGAGGACCTGCGCCTCGAACCGGCGCGTCGCGACCGGCGGCAGGTCCGTCTTCTTGGCGAGCATGGCCATGCCCTTGCGCACCTGGACGCGCTTGATGCGCTTGAGCGCGAGCGTGACGGCCTGCCCGGCCTCGGCGTACTCGACGGCGACGCGCTTGCGCTGGATCGACTTGATCGTCGCCGGGATGAACGAGTCGACCGCGTCGGGCCCGAGCCACATCGTCTGCCCGGGGCGGACCGAGCCCGACAGGATGACACCCGACAAGACCGTGCCGACGAACGGGACCGAGTAGACCTCGGACGTCTGGAATTCGAAGTCGGCGTGCACCGGGTACAGCTGCTCGGTGTTGGCGGGGCGCACGACGTTGAGAAAGGTCTGCGCGACGACGAGGAACTGCGGTCAGGCTCGCTCCGACACCTCTGCGACGAGGACGAGGAAAAGGTGGACGCACTCTGAGCAAGCCGAGTCCCTCGCCCGTCAAGTTGCTGACCCGGAAGATCGGGCACGCCTTCTCGGCCGCAAAGCCCGACGCGAGCTCGCACGCCATGCCCTCATCGTTGACAAAGACGGGCTTCTTGCGGCACCCGGGGCTCTTGAGAATCCTGCGGGAGAGGCGCACTGCGTGAGCTCCTGCATCGCAAGGCGAGAGGGAGAGGAAAGTTGGGGACGCACTTGACGAGCTGCTTGACGGTCTGCTCGTACACGGGCGCAGGCGTCATGTCGACCTTGGTGATGACGACGACGATCGGGAGCGACAGCGCTAGTGCGACCGAGAGGTGCTCCTGCAGAGGGAGAGCGAGAGTGAGTGACTGTCCTGGCCCGAGAAAGGGGCCCGAGCGCTCGAGGGCGCACCTTGGACATGCCGATCAGGCCGGCGTTGGCGCCGACGATGAGGAGGACAAAGTCGGGTGCGGTGCCCGTCAGGCCGGCGAGCGTCGTCGCGAGGTAGCGCTCGTGCCCGGCGAGGTCGGAGAAACTGACGACCTTGAAGGCCTGTGGGCGAGGGAGAGGGCAGGGTCAGTGTGTGTCGCCAAACAAAGGAGGCAGGACTCGAGAGAGAGAAAGGGTGTGGGCCGACTCGCCTTGCTCGCCGTCGTCTCCCAGATGGCCTGGACGCTCATGTGCTCGGCGGGGACGATGATCTGGCCGCGCGCGTCCCACCCGACGATCTCGTTGCCGATTGACGACGTGCGGCCCGACTCGGCCTCGTGCTTGTGCCGGAACAGGCTGACGCGAGCTCGCCCGCGGCCGTCGTCGAGCCGACCTCGGGTGAGGACGCCGAGGAGGGACGACTTGCCGGCGTCGACGTTGCCGACGACGGCGATGCGGCTCTCGAGGAGCTCCTCGGCGCCTTCTGGTCGTCGCCGGACGAGGATGCGCAGCGCCTTGGCCCGCCACCGGGTCGCCGTCTCGGCGTCGTTGACGGCGCTCGCCGTTGTCGTGAGCTTGACGCCCTCGTCGGTCTTGACGTTGCCCTTGTCGTCATACGGGTTGTGGAGGATGGTGACCTCGCTGTTGAGGTTGGCCGCAGCCTGGCGCAGCGTCGAGAGGACGGTGTCGACCAGAGGAGCGTCGAGGACGGCGGCGTTGGCCTGGTCGAGCGTCGCCTTGGGGTCGGGCGTGTCGAGGAGGGCGGACGCGGTCGTACTGGAAAGAGAGGCCGGGTGGATCTGGGCGTGCGAGAAGAAAGTCAGCGGCGGTGCGTGGAGGAAGGGGAGAGAGGTGCGCGCACCTGGAGAACGATCTCGCCGCGGAGCCGGGTGAGGGTACGGTCGAGCAAGGCGGCCATGGCGGCGAGCTCGGCATCGGTCGGGCTCGATAATCGGTCCTGGACGGTGCTCGGCAGGGTCAGCGTGGGTCGTTGCCGGTCCCGCCCCCACATGTCGACGAGCGAGGAGGAGAGGAGAGACGCACTCGCAACGCGCAGCCGTCGTGGTCACCTGGCTCGCCTTGTGCATCGAGTTCGAGGTCGGTGAGCTTATCGGCGAGGTCGTGCGGTGCGTGATCGCTGCTGGCGAGGCCGGTGTGGACCTTGGCCCGACTCGACTCGACCTCGTCCTGGAACGCGCGCAGCGAGGGTCGCTCCTGCGGGTCGGTTATTGGATGGCCCAAGGCACGCTTGTCGAAGCGGGTTGACATGCTCGCGCGAGGTCGAGCGTGGGTGGCGGGAGCGACGAGTCGGGAGGACGACGACGACGACGACGACGACGACGACGACGACGACGACGACGACGACGACGACGACGACGACGACGCGGCTCTCTGGCTCTCCAGCTCGACTTTTGCGCCAGAGTGCAGCTTGCACAGCTCCATCACGACCAGCTCGCACCTCTGAGCCACACCTGCTCGTCGCCTCGTCGCTCGTCGTCGTGTCCGCCGGCTTCCCCGCCAAGTTGCTTCGGCCGGGTCCTCGTCCTCGCTCGTCCTCGTCGCCCTCTTCCTCCTGTGCCTCGAGGTCGACCTCGCCGTGGCAACCACTGCTCGCCGCCACCCATCGACCGCCCACCGAGGTCCACGCCGTGGTGTGAGGCGCGTGATTGCCCGAGCCAGACGAGACACGCCGGTCTGAGCGCTCGTCGACGTAGACGATGTTGCGAGTTCCGCCTAGGCCCCCCTCCACCCACAGGCGAGCCCATCACTCCTCCAAATCCCACGCCCCGACTGTCTCTCCCTCCCTCCACCCCTCCCTCCCTCCCTCCCTCCCTCCCTCCCTCCTCCCTTCCCAGTCGTGGGCTTACTATGCCAGCGCCGCCGACGACGGCTGGACCGCCCAGCAGTCCAAGGACGTGTGGTCCCAGGTCCGCTTCCGGCCGCGCGTCCTGCGCAACGTCGACGGCCCGCTCGACCTGCGCACGCGCATCGTCGGCAACGAGAGCCGCCTCCCGTTCATGATCTCGCCCGCCGCGATGGGCAAGCTCGCGCACAGCGACGGCGAGCTGTGCCTCGTCGAGGGCGCAGGCCGCGTCGGCATCGTCTACGCGCCGTCGAACCACTGCTCGGTCGCCCACCACGACCTCGCGGCCGCCGCACGGCCCTCGCAGACCCTATTCTTCCAGCTGTACGTCCACCGCGAGCGATGGAGGTCCGAGAAGCAGCTCGCCGACGCCAACGCCATGGGCTTCAAGGCCGTCATCATCACGGTCGACGTCGCCGTGCCGGGCAACCGCGAGCTCGACCTGCGCACGGGCCTCGACGACAACGCCCTCACGCTCGGCAACGAGGGCGCAGAACTCGGCCAGAAGGGCACGCTCGCGGTGGCGACGACGGCGGCGTGAGTCTTGTCTTCTCTCTCGTCCGCCTCGCCCGAGTCGAGCGTGCCGCACATGCTGCGGTTCTTTCCCTCGCACAGACCTCGACACTGACTCTTTCCTTCCTCCCTCTGCGCAGGACCATCGACGCGTCGGTGACGTTCGACGACATCGCCTGGGTCAAGAAGGCGTCGGGCGGGCTCCCCGTCTTGGTCAAGGGCATCCAGTGCGTCGAGGACGCGCTCGCCGCAGTCGCCGCAGGCGCAGACGGGCTCGTTCTCTCGAATCACGGCGGGCGACAAGTCAACACGTACGTCCCCTCTCGGCGCCTCGCTTGGACCCTCCCTTCCTCGTCCGACCGCACCTGACCCTCCCCCTCTGCCCGCCTCGCGCAGCGCCACCACGCCGCTGGAGATCCTCCTCGAGCTCCGCCACCACGCCCCGCACCTCCTCTCGTCCACCGACAAGCTCACCATCATCGTCGACGGCGGCGTCCGTCGCGGGACCGACATCGTCAAGGCGCTCTGCCTCGGCGCGCACGCCGTCTCGCTCGCGAGGCCGTTCATGTACAGCCTCGTTTACGGGCCCGACGGCGTCGAGAAGGTGGCGCGGGTCCTCGAGGACGAGGTCGTGCGCGCGATGAAGCTCCTGGGCGTGACGAGCGTCGGCGAGTTGGGCCCGCAGTTCGTCAACACAAGCAGGCTCGACCGGCTGGTGTTCGGGGGCAAGCTGTGACCGCACGAGGTGCTGCATCGTCGTTGTTGTCGCCACTCGTCCAGGAGGCGAGCGCGAGAGGAAAAGGTGAGACAGGAGCGCCGCTCGAGCCTCAAAGCCGTCCGCCTCGGTCCACGGACGTTCCGCGAGCTGCCCGCGCCGAGCTTCTCCCGCTTCTTCGTCTCTCGCCCTCGAGCACTCGACGCTCGACTGCCTGCACGAGGCTCGCTCGAGCCAAAACTCGCCCGCCGGTCGACCTTCTCAAGTCGCGCCCTCCCCTTCGCCGCCGTCCCCTCCTTCCGCCGTCCGCCCTCGCCTCGCTCGTTAACGATGGAGCCCTTCCGGCCCTTCCGCCCAGACGACGTGCGGCACCGCCGCTTCTGCTGCTGCGTCCCCGTGCGCTGGGGCGTCCTCGCCCTCGCTCTCGTCGGTGCGACTTTGGCCGCCTGCCTGGGCATCGCCGCCATCCAGCGCCTGTTCTCGCCCGAGATCAACCCGTGGAGGGCATGGCTCGAGGTCGCCAGCATCGTGCTGTGGTTCTCCCTCGTCGTTCTGTGCCTTTACGGTACGTCCTCTTCTTGCCTCTCCCGCTCTCGGCCTCGAGCCGGGCGTGCCCTCGACTGACCTCGTTCTCGCTCTACAGGATGGGCAGGCGGCATCAGCCAGAAGAGGGAGTGGGTCGAGTGGTTCTACGAGCTCGTCTGGGTGCGTCGAGCGCGCCCTCTTTCGAGCGGAGCGTGCGCGCCGACTGACTCTTTGCGCCCTTCCTCTCGCCTCCCGCAGTGGCACCTCTGGTTCAACATCGCGGTCGGCATCTATCTCCTCGTCGTTCTCGCCCTGCCGACGTCCAAATCCCTGTCGGCGCAAATCTGGTGCGTCCCGCTCGTCCGCTTTAAGCGCGCGAGGAACTCTCGCTCACCCTCCTCCATCGCACGCAGCTCGAAGTTGGCTCTCGACAAGCTCGACGCCGAGCTCCTCGTCGACTTTACGGCCGCCGACGCTGCGTCGACCGTGTCTCTCGAGTGCTTCGCGGGCGTACGGAGCGCGCTTATCCTCCTCGATCTGGTCCGTCTCTCCTGCCTCTCCAACCTCGCTCTCGCCTCTCCTGACCAGGTCCCTCTCTCGCAGGCTTGGACCATCGCCATCCTCATCCAGCTGTGGCTGTGCCTCGTCAGCGGGCACTACCTCGACGAGCTCGCCGACCGCGAGGCGGCCGAACGCTTCGGCGTCGACATCGAGAACCCGAACCCGCCGTACGTGTTCGTCCCTGGGGACGACGCGCAGGAGATGCGAATGATCGCGGCGATGGAGGGCAGGACGGCATCGAGGAAGGCGAGGGCGTTTTGAGGCGCTGGTCGAGGGAGAAGGAGGTGGAGCCAGGGTCGTGCGGGCGACAGCGTAGCATGGGGACTAGACCGGCCGGGTGCAGCACTTTTGACAGCCCTCAAGGAGAGAGTCGACCGCTGGAAAGCTCTGGCAGAGCCTGCGCATCCCCCCGTCGGTCATCTCAGATGAAGAATGGGGGGACCGCGAGAGCAGCCGATGCTGCGCGGGAGCGCGATATGCGCGGCACATGGCCTCGAGAAGGAGCTTCAGCAGCGTACGAGAGCACTGGGCAGCCCTCTGGAGCGGTCGCGGTAGAGCCGGTGGAGGGAGAGCTCGCGAGCCGACGAGCCGGAGGTCGATTCGGACTCTTTGAGCGCCATGTCGCGCGCCCCCTCTTCGACGGCCAGCAGGCGGTCAAAGCCGCCACCGTACGAGCCCGTCCAGCTCAAGCAGCCGCCACGACCGCGCTGGTGGCAGCTCGACCGCGCAGAGCGCGACCTCGTCGCCCTGTCGTTCGCCGTCAAGCTCCTCCTCTTCCCGAGCTAGTGCGTCCAGCCCGAGTCCCTGTCTAGCACGGTCACGAGCTCACTCGCTCCTCACACAGCCGATCCACCGACTTTGAGGTGCACCGCAACTGGTGCGCCCTCGTCTCTCCTCCTCCTCGACCCGAGTCGGACCTGACCGATGTGGGGGGTCGCGCACACAGGCTCGCAGTCGCGCATTCGCTCCCCTTGACCAAGTGGTACTTTGATGTGCGTACGGCTTGGCCCCTCTCGTCGCCCGCACGCGAGCTGACCACCTTGCGGCCCTGCAGACAACGAGCGAGTGGACCCTCGACTATCCTCCCTTCTTTGCCTTCTTCGAGCGGGTCCTGTCTGCGTTCGCCTACGTCGTCGACCCCGAGATCGTGCGGCTCGACAACCTCGGCTATGCGGCAGGCGCCGCCGTCGCGTTTCAGCGTTCGACCGTCGTCCTGTCCGAGTTGGTCCTCGTCCTCGCCCTCTTCCGGTGCGTCCTCCTCTACCGTTTTCGACGAGCGGACATGACCTGATTGAGCTCGTCCCCTTGCAGGTGGGCCCGCACGTCGCAGACGACCGACTACCCGACCGCCCGCATCATCGCCGCCTCGATCCTGTTCCACCCGGGCCTGCTCATCGTCGACCACGTTCACTTCCAGTACAACGGCTTCCTCCTCGGCATCCTCCTCTGGAGCTTGATCGCCGCTCGACAGGTGCGTCCCTACGGTCTCGCCAGCAGTCCCTGTTCGAGGCTGACCTTCTAGCCGCGCAGGACAACTTGTACGCCTGCGCCGCTCTCTTTGCGACACTCCTCAACTTCAAGCACATCTTCATCTACCTCGCCTTGCCCTACTTTGTCTTCTTGCTTCGGCGACACTGCTACCCACCAGGCGGCAGTACGTCGTCGTCGTCCTTCCTCGCCCTCCTCGCGGCCTGTGTGACTGACCCTGTTCATCCCGCCCAGACTTCCAGATCGACCGCGTCGTCGAGCTCGGCCTCATCGTCGGCGGCATCTGTGCCCTGTCGTTCGGCCCTTTCCTGCTCGCCGGTGGGCCGTCGCAGATCCGCCAGATCTTCTCGCGTCTCTTCCCCTTCCAGCGAGGGCTCAACCACGCCTACTGGGCCGGCAACGTGTGGGCCCTCGTCAGTGCTGTCGACAGGGTGCTCGTCAAGTGTGCGTCCGCGTCCTGTCCTTCCCTCTGCTCGTTGGCGTGTCCCTGACCTCGCACGGCCCCTTCCCTCGCAGACCTCGTTGCCCGAGGCTGGCCCGTCGCCCAAGAAGCGCTCACGTCGTCGTCTCGCGGCCTGATCGGCGCCACGACCTTTGGCGTCCTGCCGAACGTCTCGCCCCGCCTCACGTTCGGCCTGACGCTCGCCCTCACGAGCGTCTTCCTCGTCAAGCTCTGGTTCGACCCCTCGTTCAAGCGGTTCCTCGACTCGGTCGTCCTCGCCGCCATGACGAGCTTCCTGTTTGGCTGGCACGTCCACGAGAAGGCCGTCCTCCTGTTCTTGATCCCGCTCAGGTGCGCGTCGCTCTCTCTCTCTTCAGCTTTCACGCTCTCCCTTGCCGACTGACTTTCTCGCCCGCAGCTTGACCGCGACCGACGACGACAACCACTTCCGGGCATTCGTCGTCGCGACGACGGCGGGCGTCTTTGGCCTTTTCCCCCTCCTCATCAAGCCCGCCGGTACGTCGTCCCCTCTCCTCGCCTCCCCTCTTCCCGCACGAGGCCTGACCTCCCTTTTTCTCTCCATCTCGCAGAGACGCCGGTCAAGGTCATCTTTTCGCTCGTCTGGGCCGCTCTCGTCGTGCCACAGCTGCGCCGGGTCGTCTATCGCCCGCTGCCGAGCCTGTGGACCATGATCGTCGACAAGGCCGAGGCGGCGTACCTCGTCGGCTTCGTCGGCTTGCAGATCTGTGCGTGACCTCTCTCCTCTCCCTGTCTTTCTACGCGACCGTCACTGACGGACGAGTCGGCGCGGAACTGCAGATACCTCCATGCTCCACTCGATCCTCTTCCCCTCGGCGCCCATCGCCGCCGCCGTACCAGGCCTCATCACCTGCTCTGCCTCGTCACTCGCCAACGGCACTTGCGTCGGCCCGGACGCAGCCGCACAAGTCGCCCAGGTCGCCGAGTCGAGCATGGAGTTTCTGCCCCTCATGGCGACGAGCGTGTACTGCGCCATCGGGATCGTGTGGAGCTGGATGAGGTTGAGCTGGGGCTTCTTGACGAGCTAGAGGGCGACGTCGTCGAGTGCAAGGACCCGGTTGTGAGCTCGTGGCCGCAGCCGTGCGTTGGCGAGAGAGGCTTGCCCTTCGCTCGCTCTCCCTCTCTCTGTCACGTTCTCGCTCTCGATGAGCGAGCTCTCGCAGGCTCCTACGAGTCAGAGAGGCACGAGAGAGGTCTGCAGTCGCGAGCTCGAGGCCAAGAAGCTGCGCGAGGAGCGTCCTCTCTTGACGAGGTCCGAGCCACCGCGACGAGGGGCAGAGGCAAGGAAAGATACGGCGGCACTGCAACGGCACAACACGACTGCGACTGCGACTACCTGATCTATCTGCGGTGCTCGGGGCCCCTCCTCGCCCTCCCTCAGCCGAGCCTCGCCGCCCGGGCGAACCTCCTCGCGAGCCGATCCTCGTCGTCCTCGTCGTCGTCGCTGCTGCTCTCGAGCTCGCCGCGCTCCTCCTCGGCACGCTCCTGGTCGCTCCCCTCCATGTCGGCCTCGCCCGGCGGCGCCCCCTCGTCCTCGGCACCGTCGCGCCGCGCTCGCCGACCTGACTCGGCACCGTCGTGCGCCGGCGCCTGCCCGTCGCCGAGCGCGACGAGCGCGTCGTTGATGAGGACGGCGCGCTCGATGCGCTGACTCTTGAGCTCGACGACCTCGGGCGTCGAGTCGTTGTCGAGCAGCTCGAGGTCGCAGTAGGTAGCCTCGAGACGGCGCAGGAGGCGCAGCTCGAGCGTGCGGCGCGAGGACGAGGGTGGGGAGCGCAGGATCGAGGCGTAGGCATTCTCGAAGAGGGCGGCAGCTGTGAGACGGAGAGAGAGGCATGAGTTGATGCCGCAGGACGGGCGCGAGCCTGAGAGAGAGAGAGAGGGACGCACCGCGAATGAGGACCTGCCGCGTTTCTCGCACGAGGTCGTTCTCCGGCACGATCACCTTGTCGTCCCCGTCTCCGTCCTCGTCCTCCTCGGCGCCCTCGCTCGTCTCGCGCATGCGCCGCTCCTCCTGGAAGCCGACCTGCCGCCCGAGGTAGAGCGCGCCGACGGCGTCGAGGAGGACGCGCCCGAGGCCGAGCAGGACGTTGCCCTGCGTGCGCTCGTACGGCGCGATACGGCGCAGGGTGCGCTCGACGACGCGCTTGACGTCGCGGCGCTGGCGCTGGTCGATGTCGCGCGACTGGAGGACCTGGGCGTGCGCGCTCGCGGCGTCGACGAGCGCGTTGGCCGACATGGACGCGCTGACGAAGCGCACGTCGGCGACGTGCGTGGCCCAGTTGAGGCGGCGAGACCAGGTCGAGGGCGAGCCGGGCGTGAACGGGAGGAGCGACGAGAGGTCCGACAGGAGGCGCGCCGAGCCGAGGACGGTGCTCGCGGTTGACGACGAGGCGTGTTCTCCCTCCGGCGAGAGCGGGTCGATGGGCGTGAACAGGGCTGCGGAACAGTGACGGTCAGAAACGTGGTGCGGGAGAGCAAGGGGAGAGAAAGGAGAGGTGGGCGCACCCTGGACGTTGCGCCTGCAGGCGAGGTCGAGCTGGTCTGCGAGCTCGTCGTCGCGCACGACCGTGTGGCCTTGGTCGTCGACGCAGCTCGCGAACGCGCGGGTCGTCTGGGTCCTGGCCCACTCGGCGAGCATCTCTGCGGCCCAGGCCGGGACGGGCGACAGGTCGACGGCGGCGTGCTGGCGGTTCGGGTCTTGCGGGCGGGTCACGCTCGGGACCGAGTCTAGTGCCGGTGGAGGCGGGAGGCGCAACAGGTCGGCGGCGCGGCTGAAGTGGGACAGGGCGTCGTCGAGGCGGTCGGGGAGGGCCGAGGGGCGGGTGCCGTCAAACTCGCCGACGCGGGCGAGGGCAAAGGCGAGGCAGTACTCTGCCCGGGCCTCGTCGTCTGGCGAGAACTTGCGCTGCTGGTGGTTGTGGTGCGGGTCGCCGAAGAGGAGCGGGGTTGCGGCGTCGACGACGGCGACGAGGGCGTCGCGGGCCTGGAGCGAGTTTGGGCCGGCATGACCGGTGGCGAGCTCTGACCGGAGTGCAGGCGTGTTCAAGGCGGCGTCTGCCTGCTGGCGCAGGAGGACGAGGCGGTGGATCGGGGCGGGCAGTGGAGGCTGCGACGACGAGCCGGCGGCGAGCGACGCCGAGATGGACAGCGGGATGGTCGACGCGTGCGACATGCGGCTAGAGCTCGCTCGCACGGGCACGCAATCGAGCGGTGTCGAGAGCGAGGAGAGGAGCCGACCTCATCTCGCTCGCCGGCTCATCCGCCTCCGGCTCTCGCTCCTCGTACACCGGCCACCTCGCTCGAGATGCCATCTGCGAGGGCCAAGAGCACTCAGGGCCTACCCTCGAGGCCACCCACAGCTCGGCCAGCCACCTCGAGCGGCGAAGACGGCTCGCGGGTCGTCGCCATCCTCCCAGCGCGGGGCCCAGGCCGCGACGTCGGCCTCGTCTCGCTCGAGGTCGACACCGGTCACGTCCACCTCACCCAGTTCACCGACTCGCCCACCTGGGTCAAGACGCTCCACCACTGCCGCAACGCGCGCCCAAAGGCCATCCTCCTCCCCACCAGCGCCCTCTCGACCGCCGCCCGCACCGCCGAGCCCGAGCCCGACGACACGGACGACGTCGAGCACACGGCCACCGCCGCCGCCTCGAGCGCACAGGTCGCCATGCTCGTCGACAGCCTCAAGCTCGACTGCCCCGACGTGCCCCTCGTCGCCGTCCTCCGCAAGTACTGGAACGAGCAGGCCGGGTTCGAGTTCCTCACGCAGCTCGCCGTGCACGACGACGAGCGCCTGTCGACCCTCAACGTGTCCAAGGCCAAGTGGTACGCCCTGAGCGCCGCCGCCGCCCTCTTCAAGTGGCTCGACTCGACCCAGAGCCTCTCGTTCCCGCCCAACTCGCTCCGCATCCGCTACGCTCCTCTCGACGGCACCTGCCTCGTCGACACCGAGTCGGCAAGGAACCTCGAGCTCGTCGCCAACGTGCGTCCCCCTCTCGCGCTCGTTCCCCTCGGGCGAGCAGACCTGACAGTCCCTCGCCCCGACCAGGTCCTCAACAAGAACTCGAAGCAGCACCTCCTCGGCATGCTCGACAAGTGCCAGACGCCCATGGGCACGCGGCTCGTGCGCCCCCTCTCGGCCTCGAGGAGGCCAGTGCACCTGACTGAGCCTCGTCCCGCATGCGCGACCTAGCTCCGCTCCAACATCCTGAGCCCGCTCACCAACCCGAGCATCATCGACGGCCGTCTCGACGCGGTCCGTCCCTCGTCCTCTCCCGGCCTGCGCGAGCAAGCCCGTACTGACTCGTTGACCCTGCAGGTCGAGGAGCTCGTCAACTCGGAAGAGCGCTCTCGCGCGGTCCGCAAAGCTCTCGAGGGGTGCGTCCCGTTGCCTCTCACCTTCATTTTGCCCGACTGACGATCTGCGTGCGTGGACAGGCTCAAGTCGCTCGACCTCGACAAGATCGTCTCGCGCCTCCTGTCTCCCATCCGGACCCCCTCAACCTCCTCCTTCCGCGCCTCGACCTCGTCCCTCTTCCCTCGTGCGACCGTGAACCAGGACCCGTCGTCCCGCATCGCGTCGCACCTCGCCCACCTCCTCCACCTGCGCCAGTTCCTCTCGTCGCTCCCCAAGCTGCGCGCCGCCGTCGAGCACGCCGACGCACGCCTCTTCGAAGCCGTCGACCGCGCCCTCGCCGACGAGCAACTCGACCGCATCGCCGACGTCATCGCGTCGGGCGTCAACCCGGACGTGTGGGCCGCGCAAGGCGGCGACGGGCCGGGCAGGAAGGGGGGCGCGGCGGCGGCGGGAGGGTTGACCAAGCGGCACGCGAGGCTGTTCGCGATCAAGGCCGAGCGCAAGCTTCTGTGCGTCCCGACTGTCCTTCCTCGTCATCCTCTCTCCCCCCTCCTCGACGCGCACTGACCCCTTCCGCCCCGACCCCGCAGCCTCAACGTCGCGCGCGAGACGTACCGCGAGAACCTGAGCGACGCGCACGACCTCGGCGACACGCTCCGCTCCACGTTCGCGCTCGAGACGGTACAGATGGTGCAGGTCGGCGGCGCCGGCGGCGGAGGAGCCGGCGGCGGGTTCGTTTTTGTCATGAGCCGCGACGAGTGGGACGACAAGAAGGGCGAGATGGCGAGGGCCGTCACCAACGTGGTGCGTCTTGTCGATCTTTCCCTCTCTCTTCGAGGACGAGCGCTCACAGAGACGATGCGCGCAGACGGTCAAGGGCAAGAAGGTCGAGTTCTCGTCGCTCGAGCTCAAGAAGCGCAACGCTCGCCTGCACGACTCGGTTCAGGAGATCCTCATCATGTCGTGCGTCCCTATTTCCCCATTCCTCGAGGCGACGTAACTGAAGCCGACCCCGTTGCGCAGGGAGGAGATCCTCGAGGAGATGTTCTACGACATCAGGGGCTGCCTCGGGTGCCTGTACAAGGCCGCCGAGGTCATCGCCATGCTCGACATGATCTCTTCGTGCGTCCCACCCTCTCTCGTCCCTCTTCCCTAATCGAGCGTCACGCTAAAGACGCCGACGCTCGCAGGTTCGCCGAGGTCTCGAGCAAGAACGAGTACGGTGCGCCCTCACCTTCTCTCCCTCTCCCCGGCCTGCAGGCACTCACTCAGCCGCTCGTGCAACAGTGCGCCCCGAGTGGACCGACACGCTCGCGATCAAGGCCGGCCGTCACCCGCTCCACGAGCAGTTCCGCATGTCGGACGGCTCGTTCGTGCCCAAGTGCGTCAGCGCTTCCCCTTTGCCCTCTCGAGGTCCGTGCCCTGACGATGACCGTCCGCAGCGACACGTACGCGAGTGACTCGGCATCCTTCCAGCTCATCTACGGCGCCAATATGAGCGGCAAGTCGACCCTGCTTCGCCAGATCGCTCTCCTCCACGTCATGGCCCAGGTCCGCTCTACCTCTCTCTACCGCTCCCTCCCTCGCCTGTCTAGACTCTGACCGACGTCGTCGTCTTGCAGATCGGCTGCTTCGTCCCGGCCCTTTACGCCTCGTTCCGCCCCATCTCGGCCCTCCTCACCCGCCTCTCGAACGACGACGACCTTGCCGCCTCGCTGTCGACGTTTGCGAGCGAGATGAGCACGATGAGTATGATCCTCGGTACGCTCGGTGCGCAGCAGGGCGAGAGCGGCGAGGACGGGTCGGCCCACTCCCTCGTGCTCGTCGACGAGCTCGGGAGGGGCACGAGCCCTGAGGAGGGGGTCGGCATCGCGCACGCCGTCGCCGAGGAGATCATCAAGAGCAAGGTGCGCCTCGACTCTCTCTACTCGTGTCGCGCTCCGCATGTCCTCGACTCACCGCCTTGACCTCCCGCAGGCGTTCTGCTTCTTCGCGACGCACTTCAAGGTGCGCACACCCGGCCTCTCTTCCCTGTATTCAGTGACTGACTCTCTGTATCGCCGTCCTCGTGCAGGAGCTCGCCGTCACGCTCCCATCACGGTACCCGAGCGTCGTCTCGCTCCACCTCGAAGCCGAGGTGCGTCCTCGTCTCGCCGGCCTCTCTCTCAGCGGCACCTGACCCGGACTGCCGCCCCGCAGATCGACGAGAGCCAGCCCGACTTCAGCATCACGTTCCGCCACAAGGTCCGCGACGGCGCGACGCCGCTCACCCACTACGGCACGTCCCTCTTCCCTCCCTTTCTTTTCCGGTCCCTCTCGCAGCCGATTGACGAGCCTCACTCATGTCTGCAGGCCTCGAGCTCGCCAAGGTCGCCAAGCTGCCCTCGCGCGTGCTCGACGTCGCGCGCGTCGCGAGCCTCACGCTCGAGAACTTGGCCGAGGACGGGCGCAGGAGAAGCAGGGAGGGCAAGCTCGCGCGCAGGAGGCGGTGCCTGCTCGAGGTGCGTCCCCCTCCTCTCTTCGACGATCTCCTCCTTGTCGCGGGCGTGGCCCCTGACGTGGCAGCTCGGGTTTGCGCAGCTCAAGACGACGCTTAAGGACCTCGCCTCGAGCAAGGTGACCGACGCCGACATGCTGCGCGGCCTCATGCGCCAGCTGCAGGACGACACGGTCGCCATGCTCGCCGAGACGATGCAGCCGGCGCGCTCGTTCCCGGCGGCGATGGACGTCGACGCAGTCGCCGAAGTGGAGGAGCGGTCGGGGCGAGACGAGCTCGAGGACGGCGACCTGGCAGCGATGTCGCTCGCCTCGTCGCAGGAGGACGTCGGTGGGGCGGATCAGGAGGGAGCAGCGGTGGACGAGGTGCTCGAGGACGTCGATGCGACGTGCGAGGAGGGGCTCGAGGCCGGAACGGAGGAGGAGGACATGCTTGCGTTCGACTGAGTTGTCCGTAGCCTTGTTGCTGTCGCGCTTGTCGCTTTGCTTGCACTCAGGTCTGCCTTTCCCGGCTCGCGAGTGACCACCGAAACTGAGAGACACAACAGCGCGCGACCACGAGCGACGCGAGCTGAGCACACGCTCTCGCTCTCCACACACCGCTCCACTCGCCTGGTGCGAGTCAGAGCAGCACAGCACTCTCACAAGACACGCCCACGCGACCTCAGCGCCTCGCCCGCTGCAGCAGCCGCCGATCCACCGCGCGCCGCCCTCTTCGCGTCTCCACCCTCCGCCGGCGCGACCACCGCCCCAGCCACCCGCCTGCACGCCTGCAAGTTGCGCGATGTCGTCGATGGAGGTCTCCTTCAGCGGCTCGCCCCCGCCCACGCTCGACCCGACCTCGCCCGCCGCCGAGTCGTCCTCCCCATCGACCGCGCGCGCAACCTCGCGTCCGCCTCCCGCCACGGCCGGCACCGAGCCTGCCCCGCGCACCAAGGTGACGCGCACATACGGCCGCAAACCTGTCGAGGACGCGCCGGCGGTCGCAGAGCCTGTCGAGGACGATGGTCGCGCCCTCGGACGCAACTCGACCCTCGTCATCCCCGACTCGGAGCCCGCCCTCAAGGCGCAGCACCTCTCGCCCGAGTCGGACGCCGACGGCGACAAGACGATGCGCGCGCGCCCGGTCCAAGCCTCGTCGTCGCCGACTCGCCGAGACGTGCAGTCGACCGACCCGACGAGCGAGGACGAGGAGCCCGTCAAGCTCGCCGGCACGCGCAACAAGCCGTCGATCGCGGCCGCCATCGTCAGCGACAGCGACTCGAGCGGCGACGATGACGCCGCGTCGGGCGACGACACGGGCGCGCTCGCGTTCCTCAAGCGCCGACCAGCTCTCGAGGACCTCCTCGCCGACGTCGACCGCGACTTTGACGCCCGTCCCGAGGACACGACCGCCGCCACGACCGTCCTCCCTCCCACCTCGTCGTCCCTCCCCCCGCTCACCATCACCAACGAGTCGGGCTCGTCCTCTCGCCCCACCTCCTCCTCCCAGCGCTCGCCCGCTCAGCGCCGCTCCGCCTCGCCCTCGTCCCCATCTCGCGACCTGGACGATATCGAGGCGCTCCTCGCCTCGACGCAGTCGGCCGACAGCGAAGACGTCGTGCCGACGGCGCGCAGTCGCGCCCGCAAGCCGCGCGCCGTCCTCGACTCGGACGACGAGGACGAGCAGGCCGACGCGCCGCAGCCGTCTCGCGCGCCCAAGCCCGGCGCGACGGCGCGCCGCGTCATGTCGTCGGACGACGAGGCGTCGACGCCGAAGCTGTCGGCGGCCGAGAAGGTGCGCCGGCTGTGGCAGAAGAAGAAGGACGCGCAGGACGCCGAGGCGCGCAAGCGGGGCCTCGAGCTCGCGGCGGCCAGGGGCGAGGAGTTCGTCGAGCCCGAGCCGGCGCCCTTCCTCGAGGACCTGATCGAGGAGGACTCGGACGAGCGGACGGGCAAGAAGAAGGCCAAGGGCAGGAGGTCGACCGAGAAGAAAGTCAAGGTGCGTCCTCGTTCCTCTTTCCTGAACCCTCGTTTCGCCGTCACTGACTCGTTTCACGAGTGCGCAGTCGCTCAGCAAGAAGGAGCTCGACGAGATGAACAAGGTCACGGCCGCCCTCAACCGTCGTGCGTCTCCTCTTCTGCCTCTTCCTCCCTCCTCCACCGATACTCACACTCCTTTTCCCGCTCCTGCAGAGCAAGAAGTGCGTCTCGTCGCGACCCGCAAGGTCGGCCTGTCGGTCTCGGACGCCCTGAAGCAGCACCATCTGTGCGTCGAGCTCTCCCTGGATCTCGCGAGCCGTCGCTCACGGCTTTCGTACTCTCTTCCACAGCTCGTCCCTTCCACCTCCCGTCGTCAACCGCAGCACGTTCACCCGCGGCCCCTCCGCGACCATCACCCTCTCCTCCTCGTCCGACGCCATCGTCACCTCGTCGCCGCCTCACGACCTTGTCGCCCAGACGCCCATCCCCAAGCTCAAGCTCTCGTCCAAGGCGCTCGGCAAGCAGCGGGCAACGTCGCCCATCGCCGACGGCGACCACGATACGCCCGTCCCGCACCGCGTCCGCAAATCTCTCGCGCTCGGCGACCGGCCTGAGCGCAGACGGTCGCCCGCACCGACCGCCGCCGTGGCCCGCGACGACGACGACGACGACGACGAGCTGCTCGCGCCCGCCGAGATGATGCGCCGCGACGACGAGAAGCGCGAGAAGGCTCGTCGCGCGCAGGCGCTCAAGGACAAGAAGCGCGCCGCCCTCGCCGCCGCCAAAGCCGCGCAGGCCGACTCGGACTCGGACCTCGAGATCGAGATGCCCGGCGCGCCGTCGAGGACGGTCCGCGCGTCGTCGTCGCAGGCCGAGGACACGCTCGCCGCGTTCGCCCACACGCCCGCACGCCCCCAGAACGACCCGCGCAAGATGCTCGCCCGCATCGCCGGCGTCGACCTCGCGCACCCGCCGAGCGACGACGCGCTCCCGAGCGAGAGCCAGCTTGAAGCCGCCGGGCACGAGTTCGGCCGCCACCTCGACGCGCGGTACCACGAGAACCTCACCTCGACGCGCAAGAAGCACCTCCCGTCTACGATCCTCGCGTCGTCGTCCACCTCGCGCGCCAAGAAGAGCAGCCGGCCCGTCGAGATCACGCACGAGAAGCTCAGCGCCGGCCTGAGGGAGAAGGTCCAGCTGCAGGCTCTCGCCGTCCGCACGAGGAACGCGACGCGCGCCCGGCAGCGCCAGCAGAACGCCGCCGCGCAGGGCGACCAGCAGGAGCTGCAGTCGGTCGATGTCGACGCGCTCATCAAGAGCAAGCGCGAGAAGGAGGAGGCGGACGAGCAGATGGACGAGGACGAGGACGGCGACTACGTCGACGGTGGCGAGGACGAGGACGACGCCGAGGAGGGCTCGGGCTCGGGCTCGGAGCCGGACGCGCTCGGCAGCGAGGCCGACGAGCTCGCGCCGGCAACGGTCGCGACGGCCGTCAACGAGGACGGCGAGGACGAGGTCGACAGCGAGGGTGAGCTCGTCATGCCTCGCTCGTCGCAGAACTCGGAGCGCCATCTTCGGGCGACGCAGGAGGCGGCAGAGGACGAGGACGAGGACGAGCAGATGCCGCCGCCGCCAACGTCCCGACGCACTGCCCACAAGATCCGCATCGCCGACGGCGACGACGACGACGACGGGCAAGAGCGCTCGACGTCCGACACGCCTGCGCCGACTGAGCTCGCGCCGACCGAGGTCGTCAAGACGCCGTCCGTCGCAGCTCAAGCTCCGGCCAAGGTCGCGTTCGGCGACTTCCTCGGCGACGGCGGCAACGCCGGCGGCTTCTCGCAGTTCTTCGACTCGCAGTTCAGCCAGGGAGCAGGAGGCGACGACCAGGTGCGTCCACTCTCTCTCAATGCCGTCGAGCTTCTTGAAAGATCCCCCCTGACGCACCTACCTCTTCCTCCAGGTCGAGGGCTTCCTCCGTCCGGCCAACGACGACCTGTCAGCACCTGCGCCGACCATGTTCGCCGCACAGCCGCTCATCAGCACCGCCGAGCGTGCCGCCGACGTCGCTCGCCTCGAAGCTCGCGGCGGGTTCAACGATTTCGAGCCGGCAACGCCTCGAGAGCTTCCTGCGCCGCGCCAGTACATCAACGACAAGGGGTGCGTCCAGACTCTCCTCTCGATCGTCCTCCTCAGCAGCGACTGACCTTCTCGGCCGCCCGCAGCTTCCTCACCCAGACCCGCCCGGCCAACCTCTTCGACTCGCCGTCCGACTCGCCCGCCTACCACCGCCAGTCGATGTCGATGCTCGACTCGCAGTCGCAGGCGCTCGACGAGACGCAGGTCGCGACCGCCGAGACGCCGACGCAGCTGTCCAAAGACCCGACCCGACTGCGGCGCACCGCGGCGCTCACGTCGTTCGAGAGCCTCGCGCCTCTCGCCCCGACCGAGGTCGACTCGTCCCGTTCTCGCGAGGAGGCGACGCAGCTCGACGACGCGCAGGTCGACGAGACGCAGGACACGCAGGACGCGCTGCACACTCTGCCGTCGGCGGCGCAGCCGACCGCGCCGCGCAACGCGTTCGACGCGCTCAAGGCCGGCGCAGCCCACGTCGACGCGCCGGCCGAGGCGCAGCAAGTGCCTCGTCGCCGCATGCGCAACGCGTTCGTCGATGCCGAGGCGAACCTGTCGGACGAGGAGGTCGGGCTCGGTCTCGGCGGCCTGAGCGGCGACGAGGACGAGGACGGGCATGACGCCGAGCTCGAGTCGCTCGTCGACAACGAGGAGGTCGACCGCGACGTGCAGGACGAGCAGGACAAGCTCGCTCGCAGCCGCTTCCAGTGCGTCCTCTCTTTTTCTTTATCTCTTTCTCGGCGATCGGCGCACAGACCCTGACACCCTTGTGACCCCTGCAGGGAGGACCAGGAGAAGGCCGAGGCCGAGGCGATGAAGCGCGCACAGCGCGTCGTCGACGGCAAGGAGCGCCAAAAACGCGGCGCCTACGACCTGTCGGACGACGACTTTGACGACGAGTACGTGTCGCGCAACGGCCACCGCGAGAAGAAGGCTCGCGTCGAGTCGCTCACGATCGGCCAGCTCAGTGCGTCGCCGTCCCTCTCTCGTCCTTTCACACGAGCCATTCCTGACCTTCTCGATCCTCCCGCTCGCAGAGGAGAACGAGGAGACGCAGGCGTTCGGCAACATCCTCGCCCAGGGGTTCGTCCCGACCGCCAAGGTCGGCGAGTACGCGTTCCTCGAGACGCAGCACGGCCTGTCGGACGACGACGAGGACGGCGACGCCGACATCGAGGAGGACGACCGGGCGCAAGACGTGTTCGGCCGCGTCGACGCGCCCGAGCTGCGCGTGCGCTCGTTCCGCGAGGCGCAGGAGCTCGCCGTGCAGCAGTCGCGAGCTCGGCGAGCGCTCGACGAGGACGAGGACGTCGACATGGTCGCGCGCGACGAGCGCGACGACGAGACGTACGACGAGCGCCTCTTGCGCGATCGGTCGCCGCAGATCCACCTCGGCGCATCGTCGTCACCGGCGGCGCCGCTCAAGCTCAACCTCAAGCACCGCTCGACGACGGTCGTCCAGGCGACCCATGTCGACGACTTTGCCGATCTTGACGTGCGTCTCTCTCCCTCTCTTCCTCCTCCCTCTTCTTCTGCAGCCCGACCTGACTAACTCGTCGCCGACGCAGTCCCAGCTCTCGGTCTTCGGGGTCCAGCACGGCACGACGGTCAAGTACAGCGAGCGCGACGAGTCAAGCATCACGACCAACAATGTCGGCGGCGGTCGCAGCGCAGTGTGCGTCCTCTCTCTCTCCGCCCGGCTCTCTTCCTTTCAGAGCCTCGTCCTGACGTGCCTCTTCTCCAGGACGAGCTTCAAGCGCACGACCGTCACGACAACCACGACCACGGCGGCAGCGGCGAGCAGGCCCGGCGCAAAAGGCGCCAAGTCGGGCTCGGCGCTCGGACCTCGGCCGAGCAAATTCGCTGCGGTGCGCAAGGGTGGGTTTGCGTAGAGGAGGGTGTCGAGGGGCGTGTGTGCCTTACGTGTGTCTAGCTGTCTATCTTTGCGACTCGAGCATTCCTTCTTTCTCCGCCTCTCTCGCGCTCGCCTTCTCGCCTTGTCTAGTCCTCCCTGTTGCATCGCAGCTCTCCCACTTTGCTCTCATCTCTCGTCTCGAGCTATCGACGCAGGCTGCAAGGGCAAGGAGAGCGACGGGAGCGACGAGAGCGACAAGTCGACGAGCGACGCTCGAGAGCTCTCGGGAAGATAGTCGAGCGGACTCTACCAGAAAGGTCCCGCAGATTCGGGCGCATCGTCGAATACTCGTCTCGTCGAGTCGATCCCGCCTCGCACCGTCGAGAAAGAGCGAGGTTGCACAGCGAGAAATCGTGTCCCTCCTCCTGGACCTCCTCCTCGACGCAGAGTCGGGCGGGCACTACCAGAAGTGTGCTGCAGATTGGGGCTCATCGTCGAGTACTCGTCTCGATAGGTCGATCGAGCCTTGCACCGTCGAGAAAGCGCGAGGTTGCACAGCGAGAAGTCGTGTCCCTCCTCCTGGACCTCCTCCCGACGCAGAGTCGAGCGGGCACGACGAGAAGCGTGCTGCAGATTCGGGCGCATCGTCGAATGCTCGTCTCGTCGAGTCGATCCCGCCTCGCACCGTCGAGAAAGAGCGAGGTTGCACAGCGAGAAATCGTGTCCCTCCTCCTGGACCTCCGCGTCAAACCTCGCGAGAGACCGTCGCTGCTCACAAGATCCGGCCAGATCTCGCCAAATCTCGCGAAGCTTGACCAGATCTCGCTAGATCTTGCGAGATTCAGCGAGACCTTGTCGAGCGACGAGCTAGCGAACGAGGAAGCTCTCGAGGGACGCGAGGGGTGCGAGCGACGGGCTGACACTGCTCGTTGCACCCTCTATCGATGCTCACGGGCTCGAGCGCTCTAGTAAAACATGACGGTGTGGAGAAGCTGGTGCGGATGCTGCTCCTGCTGCCGCGCGAGGATGTCGTCAATCTCGCTGTCGAGGTCTCTGGACGCCTCGATCTGCGGGCACGACGAGGATTCTTATGAGTCAGGTCCCGGAACGAGTTGAGACCGAGACGAAAGAGGGAACGAGTCGACGTACCGCCGAGCAGAGGTCGAGCAACGCCTTGCCGGCGATGAGGGCCTCCTCGTGGTTGTCCTTGATCTCGACGTTGATGACGTGCACGGGCCGGTTCAGCTCGCCGCCCTTGGTGAGAAGATCTGCGAGAGTGGCAGAAGGACCAAGAGTCAGTACTCGCTGTCTTTCGGTCGTCGATACAGCCGCCGAGGCCGGAGAGAGCGAGGACGCACCGTCGATGACGGCGTCGTAGCACCTCTCCTCGCACGTGATGACGACGTCGGCGACCTGCGAGCTCTCCTGCCACCGCTCGGGCGCCTGCTTGATGCGGCGGTTACGGTCGAGCATGTTGAGCAGGCCGTTGGCCGTGTAGCTGCGAGGGCGGGAAGGCGAGGGTCAGGTCGGTAGGTTTTTGAGGCGATAGAGAGGGGAAGGGAGACGCACAGCCGCTCGTCCTTCTGCTTGAGGTCCTGGTACATGTGCTCGTAGGGCGTGCCGAACGCGTAGATGTTTGGGCGGTCGACGCTCGGGCCGGGAAGGCGCACCGCCGAGCCCGTACCCGCCGAGATGACGCGAAAGTTGGCCTTGCTGCGAGCAGAAACACCGTCGTGTATCAGTCGACGCTCGTGCGGAGAAGAACATGGCTGAACGGTGGCGAGAGAGAGAGAGAGGCGGGACGCACGCGAGGACGTTGTGCCCCTCCATCGAGCGGTTTTGGTTGCTGGCGCACACGACGCAGAACGTGACGCGCTTGCCGCCGTGCTGCTTGTCGGCCTCGTTGGCGCTGGCGGCGGCGTTGAGCGACTGGGGCGGCGGCGTCGCCATCGGGGTGGTTGCCGAGGGCGGGGTGACGGTCGCGAGACCTGCGGCGGGCGGAGGAGGAGCGCCATAGGACGGTACGCCGCCGCTGTTGTACGACGGGTAGCCGGCGGATGGAGGCGGACGAGGCTGCTGGCCGTACCCGGACGGCGGCGGGGCGTTGTAGCTGTTGGGCCCGCCGTAGCCGGGAGGAGGAGGAGGAGGAGGCGCAGGAGCGAGACTGGCTCCTGGTGCGGGGGCGGCACCGCTCGGCGTGCCGTTCAAGTAAGGCGACGAGGTGCGCTGGGCGTGCTGCTCGCGCATGCGCAGGCGAGGGTCCGACATGGTCGACCGGTTGACGGAGCTGATGAGGACGACGAGGGACCGCGGCGGGCGACGGCCGGCGGACAGGCGAGGCGGCGTTGGTCGGTCGAGACGTGGCGAGCGCTGTCGGCGACTGGCAAGCGTGGCTCGTGCCGCCGTGACCGAGGTGAGAGCGAGAGCGACCTGGGGACTAGGCGGCGCGCGCCGGACCAACGTGCCAAATAATAATCGCGAGCTCATCCAAATAGCACTCTCGCCTCGCGCTCTCGTTCATCGCTTACGAGGGACGACGACTGCCGGACGCTCTCCCAGCTCTCGAGGGCACTCGCGTCGAGAGAATGCGCTGCGCTGCATCACGAAAAGCGACTGAAATCGAGCGGCGACGGCAAGCCTGCACTGCCCGCCCCGAGCGAGTCGAGCCCTGCGAGCGATGGCGAGCGAGGTCAGTCTCGAGGTGCGCGATGACGAGGGAGAACGCGAAAGGAAGGAGGAGGACGCACAGTGCGGCCAATGCTCGCCTCCTTGCGAGCCGTCCATGCCGGCGAGCTGCTGCTCCTCGCCCGCCTCGACCGACCCAAACCCACGCCTCTCTCCCCCACCTGCCTCGCCGACCACCGGCGCTGCACCGCCCTGCTGCAGCGGAAAGTCGGTCGCAAAGCTGACGAGGTTGAAGAGCGGGCTCGGCGCCGCGCCGTACTCGGCTCGGCCTGGCGGCGAGGCGTAGTTGGGCGGACCTTGACCGGGATCTTGCGCGACGTGGCCGGCGAGGTAGTGATTCTGGGGAGGAGGATATGGTTGCGGCGCCGAGGGAAGTTGAGGAGCGTGTGCGGAGGAAGGCGGGCGGTGGGCGTGGGCCGGCTGGCCGAGCGGCATTTGGCGGTACGACATCTGCTGCGGCTGCGGCTGCGGCTGCGGCGAGTACGCGCTCTGCTGCGCCGGGTGGTGGTGCGCCGAGAGGTACATGGCAGCGGCCGTCTGCGCCGAGACCTGCTGCGGCGGCGTGGGTGGCTGCTGATGCGACGGCGGCGGCGGCGGCAGCGGGTGCTGCTGCTGGTGCTGCTGTGGCGGGGGACGGCGCAGGATGGGCGAGTCGAGCGGGTGGTACGCCTCGCTCGGTCGCGGCGGGAACATGGTGACGGGAGGAGCCTGCGCCGAGAGAGCCGGCGCGCCGCCGAGCATGTGGGCGAGGACGGCGCTCGGCGATGGGCCCTCGGGCGACAGGCCCTCGCTCGCCGGCGAGCTTCGAGCGCCGCTGACGACGCCGACGGCCGCCTTCTTGCGCGGCTTGCGCTCGAGCCGAGTCGGCGGCCCAAGGATGAACCGGCTCGCGTCGGTGCCCTCGGCGAGCGCGTCGCCCATGTCCTCGCCCGGCCGACCGGCGCCGAGCCCGAGCGGCACCGAGATGACGTTCTGGAGCGACAGGTAGGCCTTCTCGCGCAGGACGTGCAGGCGCGGGACGAACGACGCGACGGGTGCGCCGCCGGCGCCCGCGCTCTCGAAGATGGCGACCGCCTCGTTGAGCTGCGACCAGGCGTGCGGCGCGAGCATCGACCGAGGGCTCTTGATGACGAGGCTCGCCTGAGCGACCGAGCAGGCGTAGGTGTGGAAGAAGATGCTGCAGGCGGGGAGGCAAGGTCAGTCGACCGTCCGACGAACAGGCTCGAGCGTACGAGAACGTCGACAAGGAGAGAGAAAAAGGGAAAGGGGGACGCACTGCCACCACCGCGCGCAGATCGGGTGTAGCCTCGTCCACGACTTGGCGACCGCGAGCAAGTAGACGGCCGTCTCGAGCGAGACGGCGGCGACGCTTGCCGCCCATGGCGACTTGAGCGGCTCGTCCGAGTTCTTGAGGAGCGCCTGCGCGAACGCCGGCTTGTGCAGGTAGACTGTAGGGAGGCGGAAGAGGGTCAGGGCAATCCGAGAAGAAGGGTGGAAGGAGAGGAAGAGGACGACGCACAGAGGACCTGGGAGAACATGGCGTCGAGCGTGTGCGCCCGCATGACAAAGACAAGGTCGTACTCGTGCTCGTGCGGCTCGGGCGTCGGCGGCAATTGAGGAATGCCCGACGGCTTGGTCACGAACGCGTCGGCGGGGAGCGCGCCCGACCGCCACTCGGCCGGCGTCTCCTTGACGAGCTCGCGCAGCTCCTGGTCGAGCCCGAGGATGGTCGAGTACGACGGTGTCGCGACCGAGAACGCCCGGTCGATGACGCGACCGATGAGCGTCCCGATCCGCCACTTCTGGCGCTGGTAGCCGTCGGCGTCGGCGGGCATCTGGGTGTCGAAGTGGGCGGCCTGGAGCGTGTACGGGCGCCCGCTGATGAACGCCTGCATGCGCTCGAGCGTGATGAGCTCGTAGAAGACGCGCCGGCGGCGGTTGAGCTCGACGCCGGTGAGGCCGAAGCTCGACCCGTCGCGGTGCAGGCCCTGCGTGACGAGCATGCGGCTCGCCATGCCGAGGATGGGCCAGAACGTCTCGGCGCCTTGGTGAAAGTCGTGGCTGTTGAGCAGGAAGTTGGCGCTGAGCTGAAGCGTCTGCACGCCGGCGAGGGTCGAGTTGGCGAGGAAACGCGACGCAGCCAGCGTGTTGTGCGCGAGGACGAAGTACTGGTGCGCGTTGGCGTTGGGCGTGGCCGGGGCCGACGGGTCAAAGACGCTGCCGAGCGACAGGATGATGAAGACGGCGGCGAGCTTGGCGCCGTGCGGGTCGTGGGGCGAGTAGGCGGCGACGAGGTAGTCCTCGTAGAAGACTTGCTCCTCGAGCGGCGTGAACTGGAACGACAGGTACTTCCACTGCGAGGGACGGAGAGAGAGAGAGACTCAGGTCAGGGCCGTCCTTGTCGTGGCGCGAGAGAGCGAGGGAGAGCAGGGCGCACATAGTTCTCGGCAAGTCGGCGTCCCTCGGCCTCGTCGGGGAGGTACCCGCGCAGTCGTTCGAGCTCTGACGCCTTCGGGTACGCGTTGCCGAGCTGGATGTACGGGAAGCGCGTGATGCCGTCGCCGAGTGCGGTCGGCTCGTCGGCGAGCGAGCTGTGGTCGCTGTCGTCCTGCTCGGCGTTCTCCTGCGGTGGGAGGAAGGGCTCGAGCGTCAGGATCCGGCTTTGATGATGCTCGAGGAAGGCTGCGACGCACGTCGTAGTAGTAGGCCGAACCAGCTGACGTGCCGAGGAACCGGGTGCGCCCACTGTCGGCGATGCTGAGCGACCCGACGCCGACGAGGACCGACTCGACTGCGGCGTCGCCCGCCATTTGCTCTGCTCCCTCCTCGCCGTCCGAGCCCTGCTCCTCGTAATCTTGACTCGAGTCCTCGCGCGGCTGGGCAATCTCGGCCTGGAGCGCCTTGGTGACGGTCGTCGAGCGCTTGGTCGCCTCCTCGAGGTTGAGCGGCGGCGGGATCCGGTCCTCGGCGCCGAGGTCGCGGATGGTCGACTCGAGCTGCTCGACTCGGCGCAGGAGCGCGCTAAACTCGGCGGCGATGCGGACGGCACGACCAGGAGGCTTGGCCGTGCCAATCGGGCAGATGTCGGCGCAGTCGCGCTTGCGGCAGGCCGTACAGGCTGTGGGCGGTGCGTCGGGACGGCGTGTGTCGGCAGATGATGTATAGGGAGGCGACACGGTGTGTGAGGGGGACAGGGAGGGGCGAGGGAAAGGTCACGACGACCGTCAGTTTCGGCGGACAAGGGCGGAAGGCGGAAGAGGTCGAGAGGAAGAGAGGGACGCACGAAAGACGCGGTCGCACTTGAGCTTGAGCCTGCGAGGAGGCACAGGATGGTCAGTACGTGACTGAGCGGACAGCGACCGACCCGGACCACTTGTCCCCCGCTCGACCTCGAACTCGATCGGGTGGAGGTGGGAGTGCGAGGTGGTGGAAGCTCGCGACTCGAGGAGAGAAGCTGGGGGCGCACCTTCTGCACTCTGCGCAGCTCAGTGCTTGTCGCTGTCGGGAGCGCTTGGCCGCTGTGCCGCCTGCGGAGGTGGCCTGCATCCTCATCAGAGGGCGGGGCAAGTTTGGGGTGGTGAGCTCCCGTCACGCCTCGTGGGCACGGCGCAGGCCGTCGTAGAGTTGCGATAAGCTCACCTTGATGTCTCCTGCCCCGACTGGGCCCCTCTTGTCGCCGGTACGAGGTGCGCTGTCCATGGTCGACGGCGAGGCGGGCTCGGCGCGCGCTCGAGGTCGGCACGCGAGGCTGGTGGACGGCGCACTGGCGCAGGTGCGCGCGAGAGGTGGTGTTGAGGTGACGAGCAGGCACGAGCAGGCAGGTGCAGCGCTGGTCGGTGAGCGGCAGTGTGTCGAGAGAGCGAGCAGGAGCTCGATCACGTCGCTCGCGCTCGGTTCTCTCTCGAGATGCAGACAACCTGTCCCTCGCTGTCCATGAGCGAGAGAGTTGCCTGGACAGAGAGAGAGGGAGAAAGCGGACACGCTGCCCTCGCACGTGCCGCTCGCGGTCGAGACTGTGCGAGACGACGCTCTCGGGTCGCGGCGAGGCGACAGTGAGCTCTAAACGGCGTCGAAATACAGAGGAGGATCTACTGTCTAGCACTGAGCAACAGGGAGGAGGACGAGGGCGGGATGAAGGGGAGGAGGAAGAGGGACCCGCTCAGAACACGACGACCTGGGTCGACAAGTCCCAGCCGAGCTCGGCGAGGTGGGTCGACACCATGTCCTGCATGGCCGGAGGCGCACACATGAGGACGAGGGCGTCCTTGGCGGGTGGCGGGAGGTGTCGCTCGAGGTGCTCGCGCCCGATTCGACCGCGCGACGACGGCCAGTCGTCGGGACCTTGCGACAGGACGAGGTGCTGCGCGTACCGGGTCGAGCCGGCGACCTTCTCGAGCTCGTCGAGCTCGGCGCGCATGAGGATGTCGGCCTCGGTCTTGTTGGCGTTGAGAACGTGCACCGTCGTCGTCGCGTCGTGCGGGTCATGGACGATGCCGCGAAGCACCTGCAGGATTGGCGTAATGCCTGGGGCGAGGCAGGAAGACGTCAATTCAGGAACGAGAGAGGACGAGGCCATGCCGCTGCGCCGAGGTGCGGCAGGAGAGAGAGGGACACAGAAAGACGGGGACGCACCGGAACCGCCACAGATCATGCCGACCTTGGTCACCTTGCGCTCGACGCCGCGCCACTTACACGTGCCCTTGCCTGCGCAGAAGAGGAGCGAGCTCAGTCACGACGTCGGAGAGAGGCAACGGGAGCGAGGGAAAGAGGACGCACCGAGCCACTCGAACGAGCCGAGCGGGCCCTTGAACTCGACGACGTCGCCGACCTGCAGCTCCTCGAACCCGAGCGACATCTTGCCACCTTGAGGGTACGCCGAGGTGCGGAAGTAGACCTGTCGGCGGGAGAGAACGTCGGTCAGGGCAGGTTTCGCGAGCGGCCGAGGAAGGATGGCTCGGCGCACCTTGATGAGCAGGTCGAGGAAGCCCTCGGCTCCTTGACGAGATACCGGCGTGTAGGCGCGCTGCACGAGCTCGCCCTCGAGCGGCGGCCCGTCGCTCGGCGGGCCGCCGTCTGCTCGGCCGGCCTTGCGCCGCAGTCGCGCGTAGACGTGCTGCCCGACGGGGAGCCCGAGCGGCTGCTGCGGGTGCTCGAGGGCGAAGCGGTAGATGCGCGAGTCGTGGTTGACGTAGTCGATCGAGACGAGCTTGGCGCCTTTCCACTTGGACTTGGACAGGAAGGTCGGGTCGAGAGGTGCGGCGGCGGCGGCGGCGGTGACGGCGGCGGCGACGCCGACAGGTGCTGGCGCCTCGTCGACGACGAGCGTGCCGATGTGGAAGTCGGCGAGGCGCTTGCGCGCGTCGATCGAGTGGACCGCCATAAAGTCCTCGGTCGCGTCCTCGCCGGCGACGATCGTGATGCTCTCGGCGCCGCCCGGGTGCTCCTTGAGGAACGGCGCGCCGTCGTAGACCTGGCCCTCGACGACGAACCACGGCTCGCTGTCGGTGTTGTGCGCCTTGAGCTCGGCGAGCGTGATCTTGCGGTCGACGCCCGGCTTGATCATGACGGACGGCGGCTTGAGTGCGACGACACGGGCGACCGGCTCGTGCTGGGACGACGACGACTTCTCGGTGAAGGTCGGCTCGGCGGGATCGAGGCCGTCGTCCTTGAGGCGCTGCATCCAGCCGCCGGGCTGCAGGCCGGGCATGGTCGGGTGCTCGAAGCGGAGGACGGTCTCGCCCGCCTTGTTGATCGAGCGGTGAATGACGACGCGGAACCACCAGTTGTTCATCATGCCGGTCGGGCTGCAGGCGGCGAGGACCGTGAGCGACGATTCTCGCGCAGAGAGAGGAGAGAGAGGAGGACGTCGCGACGCACTTCCAGTACATCGTCTTGCCCATGAGGTGCAGGCTCTCGTCCATGGCCCGCACGGCGACGCAACTCGAGTCGGCGAGCTTGTCGACGGCGACCTCGAGCTTGTAGAACGCCCAGCAGAACGACTCGTCGCGCTCGTGCATGTCGAACGAGCCCCACACCTTCTTGTTCTCGAACTGGACACGCCGGTACGCGTCCTCGGGGTACGAGAGCTGCGCGAGCGACCACGAGGCGCCGTCGTCGAGCGTGACCTCGACGCGCGTGACCCGACGACCGCCGCCGGCATAGACGTAGCCCTCGACGACGTAGTGCTGCCCGGGTAAAGGCGAGGGCGAGTCGTTCGAGGGGGCGGGAGAAGTTGAGGCGACGACGAGCTGCTCGTCGTGAGCGGGACGAGCGATGGCGGCGTTGACGTTGAGGTCGTTGATGATGTACTTGGGGTCGTGCCACCAGTCTCGTTGCTCGCGAGCCTCCTCGCCGGTGAGCGTAGTCGGCAAGACCTTGTTGTCCTGCAGGAAGGGGGGAGGACAAGGGTCAGGACGAGGAGGACGAGGAGGGCGGGTCGAGCGGCACGGCGGACGCACCCAGAAGTGGAGGTAGTGCTGCGACTCGTTGTCCGAGATCTCGATCTTCTTGAGCCACTTGACGCTGCGCCCGCCGATCTGGCCTGGTACGACGAGGCGGAGCGGGAACCCGTGGTCGGGCTCGAGCGCCTGGCCGTTGTGGGCCCACGCGAGGAGCATGCCCTTCTCCTTCTGCCGCGCGGCGCGCAGGCGCTGGCTCGTGCCGTACTTGCCGTTGGGCAGGTCCTCGGCGCCCTCGAAGATGACGTGCTCCGGTCGACGGTAGCCCGGCTCGCCGAACTGGCCCTCGGCGCGTGGGCGCACGTAGTCGAGGACGTCGGCGAGGTAGACGCCCGTGTAGAGCGCCGTCGAGAGGCCCGCCGGGCCCCATGAGAAGCCGAGCGACTTGCGGACAACGTTCTGCTCCTTGCGGCGGTTGCCCGCGCACACGAGCGTGACGGGGAGCGTGACCGTCTTGAACTTGCGCGGGTCGACGAGGTCGGCGAGCGTGAGGGTGCAGGGTCGCTCACACAGGCCGCCGACGTCTAGCGTCCAATTGAGGCCCTCGTCGGCCGTGACGCGCGGAACGACGCCGTGGTTGCGGACGTAGTGAAGGCGAGTCGGCGTGAGGAACCCGGCGGCCCACAGGTCGGGCAGCGACGGCTCGCAGTTCAACGGGAACCGGCCGGTGAGGCGCACGAGGGCCTCGTCGCGCGGGATCCACTCGTCGGGCGTGCCCTTGGTCGCCGAGTCGGCCTCGAGGGGGAGGTTGCTCGTCGACGGGAGCAGGGGAAACCTGTGGCGCAGGTGGTCAGGACTCTGTGCGGCTTTAAAAGTGGGACAGGCTGTGCGGCTTTGACAGCGGGACAGAGGACGCACTCGACGGGCAGAGGCGCGGGCGAGTGTTCAGCTGGGCCGACGTGCTGACGGGCCAGGGTCGGGGGGTAAAACGGCGAGGGAAGGCCGGCGCCGCCCAGGGCGTCGAGCTTGGGCGATGGCGAGCGGGTCGTAGCTGCCGTGGACGCAAAGGACTCCTCATCGGAGGAGGTGGACGGCGAGGGAGGGGGGGAGAGTCGCATCGTTTGATGAGGCGAGGGGAGGAGCTCTCGTCTCGCGCGAGGACTCTGCGCGGGCTGGCAGGCTATCAGAGATGAACGCTGAGCTGCTTGCAGGTCCGCTCGCGCTGCTGCAGAGCCCCGATTGTGGACAACGCCCCGTCCTCTCGCTATCTCCACGCCGAGTCCGCCGTCGGGATCCGACGACGCGAGCATTTTGCACCCAGATTTGCAAAAGGGTCCGGTGCCGCACGAGCTAACTAGCGCACCGGTCCGTGGACGCAGCCGTCTGGCACCTTCGGCCGTGGCTGGCGCGTCGAGATAAGCTGCTCGCTCGGACCCAGCCGCCCGCTGCGCATTTCTCGAGTCGAGGAGGCGAGCGGGCGAGGTCGCAAACGAGGAACGACAAGGAGGTGCACGTCTAGAAGTCTACAAGCATGGTACTGATGAACCGAGAACCAGTCGGGAGAAGCACAGACGACCGTCGGCAGCCCTCGCTCACCACTCGAGCTTGTGCTCGCCGCACGCCTTGTCCGCCTCGCCGCACTCGGTCCCAGCCGCTTTCTTGTCCTCGTCGACCTCGCCCGTCGGGCCGATGATCCTGCAGGAAGGACTCGAGTCAGTATCGGTCGGCGAGAGCGCACAGTCGGCCGCAGAGGAGGAGAGGGAGTGGACGTACTCGATCTTGGTCGCCTGGTTGCGCCCGAACGCCTCGGCGGTCGCCTTGCGCACCATCCACTTAGACGATCTGCAGCGAGGGGAGAGGCAGAGTGAGCGTGTGCTCGGCTAAAGAAGAGAGAGAGAGAGGGAGAGGGAGACGCACCCGATGAGGGCGTCGAGCTGGTCGGGCGGCGGCAGCTGCACGAGCAAGGTACCGTTCTCCTCCTTGACGTCAAAGGCGAGAATCTTGTACTCGTCGTCGTTGAGGCAGTCGCCGTTGTCGAGGCGGAAGTTGCGCTTGTGGAGCGGGCACGAGACGTAGAGGTGGCCGTTGGCGTCGTCGCCGATGATGCCGTGCTCGAGGATGAAGGCGCGCTTGTCTGCGACGGCGATGAGAAGAGTTGGCGAATGCTCGGGAAGAGAGAGAGAGAGAGAGAGAGGCGAATGCTCGGGAAGAGAGAGAGAGAGAGAGAGAGACAGAGAGAGAGAGAGAGAGGACGCACGAGGGCACATCTGCTGGGTCGAGAAATAGCCCTTGCGAGGGACGTGGAAGATGGCGAGCTGCGTGTCCTCGCCGTACCGCACGGCGCAGCTGGTCGTGTTGTCGTCGTTCGGCGACAGGTCGTCGACGGTGGCGAGCGCGACGTACTGCCACTGCGAGCGCGGCGTGCGGATGTCGCTGTCGACGAACCGCTGCCCGGGGAAGGACTTGGGCCAATCGGCGGGGCGCTCTTGACCGCGCTCGACGATGAGCTCCGAGCCGATGCGGCGCTCGTCCGTATTGGCGAACTGCTTGAACGACTTGCGCAGCTCCGGGTCCTGGATGGCCACCGCCCACTCGTCCTGGTACGTGCTGCGAGGACGGGACAGGGCAACGAGTCAGGACGGTCCCGACGAACGCGGTCGAGTGAGGAGAGTCGCACGCACCCGATGAGGTTGTCCATCTCGGCCTCGAGGTCGGCGCAGATGCCGAGCTCGTCGTCGATGATGATCTTGCGCAACTTGTCGACGCCGCCCTCGAAGCTCTCGACCCAGGGCGCCGTCCTTTGCAGCTTGTCGGCGGTGCGGATGTAGAGCATGAGCTGCGAGAGGAGATGCTCGTCAGTGAGGTCGAGATTGACAAGGAGAACGAGAAAGTGGGACGCACGAAGCGGTCGACGAGCCGGACGACTTTCGTCGGCGGGACGTCCTTGGCGAACAGGACGGCGTGTCGGGGGTTGACGCCGCCGTTGCCGCCGATGTACAGGTTCCAGCCTTTGTCTGCGAGTGCGCGAACGAGGGGGAAGACGAGGAAAGTCAGTAAGGGAGGACCAAGAGGACCGTCGGCTCGAGGAAGATGCCGCACCGGTCGCGATGAGCCCAAAATCCTGCAACGAGACACGGCGTCAGGGCCGCACGGCGAGAGGAGATAGCGAGAGGGGGGCGCACCTTGGACTGAGCCTCGGCGCACTCGCGCACGCAGCCCGACACGCCGCCCTTGAACTTGTGCGGCGAGCGCACGCCGCGGTACCGGTTCTCGAGGTCGATCGCGAGCCCGACCGAGTCGCCGACGCCGTAGCGACACCAGGTCGAGCCTACGCACGACTTGACGGTGCGCAGCGACTTGCCGTACGCGTGCCCCGACTCGAAGCCGGCGTTCTGGGCGACCGACGAAGAGACGAGGGCGTATCGGCGAGTGGGGCGGGTAGGACAGCGTGCAGGTGGTCGTGAAGAAGTAGGACGAGGGGGAGGGGGAGGAAAAGGGAAAGGGAAAGGTGTCAGGAATGAGGGAGAGGAAGGAAGGACGAGCGACGAGGGGGAAAGGGGGACGCACGATGAGCTCCTCCCAAATCGCCGGCAGGTCCGCCTTCTGCGCGCCGAACATGTCGATGCGCTGCCCACCAGTGATCTTGGTGTACAGGCCGTACTTGGACGCGACCTGGCCGATGACGATGAGGCCCTCGGGCGTGACCTCGCCACCGGCGATGCGGGGCACGACCGAGAAGGTGCCGTTGCGCTGGATGTTGGCGAGGAAGCGGTCGTTCGTGTCCTGCAGGCCGTGATGACGAGGCTTCATGACCATCTCGTTGTACAGGGACGCGAGGATCGAGGCGATGGCGGGCTTGCAGAGCTCGCACCCGGCGGCGCTCGGCTCGACGGCGGCGGCCTGCATGATCGAGCGAAAGTCGCGCAGGCGCTTGACCTTGACGACCTTGAACAGGTCGGCGCGCGACATCGGGATGTGGATGCAGATGCTGCGCGAGGAGAGAGAGGCGAGGGCGGCGAGGTCAGTGCGGGCCGAGGAGGGAGACGACGAGGGCCGAGAGACGCACTTGTTGCTGACCGTGTTGCCGGCCTTCTTCATCTCGCTCTTGAAGATGTTGGTCACGAGTGGCACGCAGCCGCCGCAGCCCGTGCCGGCCTTGGTCTGGCACTTGACCTGGGCAAAGTCGACGACGCCCGACTTGACGCACGCGCTGATGGCGCCCTTGGTCGTCGCGTGACACGAGCAGACGACCGTGTCGTCGTCGAGGTCGGCGCCGTCGTCGTCGTCGCCCTTCTTGGCGCCGAGGATAAACTCGGACGGCGGAACGTCGAGCTTCTTCTTCTTCTTGACGATCGAGACGAGCTTGGTGAACGCGCCGGTATCGCCGATCATCTGAAGAGTGGGCGAGGAGGAGAAGGAAGGCGGGAGGGGGTAGGGAAGGGCGAGGAGAGAGGAGGAGAGCGGTCAGGGGCTGACTTGGGAAGGTCGACAAACAACGAGGGCAGGAAGAGCGCGACTCACGATGCCGCCGACGAGGTGCGCACCGTCGCTCGTAAAGACAAAGTTGCGGTACGTCGCCGAGATCGGGTCGCGGTACGTGAGGCTCTTGAGCGGGTCGGCGCGCGTGTCGCGAGGACGCTTGCGGTGGATGGCGACACCCTTCTCGCGCTCGACGCGCTCGGCCTCCTGGAGCATGCGCTCGTGCGCAAAGTAGTCGCCGAAGGACGCGACGTCGACGCCCATGAGCTTGAGCTTGGTCGACAAGTCGGGCGAGTTCATCGTGCGGGGCGCGTGGCCGGCCGTCTGGGTGAGGTTGAACGCGAGGATGGACGCCATCTCGACGCCGGGGCCAATCAGGCCGTACGTCTGTAGGCGTTCGACGAGGTCAGTGAACGTTCTCGAGCTCGGTCGTCCTCAGGACGACCAAGGGCCACATCTCGAGAAGGACGAGAAAGTCGGGACGCACGTTTCCTCGCCACGACGCGCACTCGCCGATCGCAAAAACGTCTTGCGCGCTCGTCATGAGGTCGTCGCCGACGTCGATGCCGCCTCGGGGCGCGACCTTGATGCCTGCTGCCGCAGCGAGCTCGTCTCGCGGCGAGATCCCGATACCGTAGATGACCTGTCAGAAGGAGAGCGAGGTCAGTCTCTTGTCACGTTTGAGGTCGTGCGCGAGCCTCGGAAAAATAGGTGAGGATGGAAAGAGAGAGCCGTCAGACGCACCAGGTCGCTCTCGATCTTCTCGCCGTCCGCCAGCTCGAACCCGACAAAGACCTGCTCGCCGTCTCGCTCGCTCGTCATGATCGCCTTGGGCTCGCAGCCGGTAAAGACCTTGACGCCCATGTCCTCGATCTTGTGCAGGACGAGCTCGCCGGCGGCGGCGTCGAGTTGGCGGTTGAGCGGGTAGGCCTGGCGGATGAGGATGTTGACGTCGGGCAAGGTCGGCAGGTCGTAGGCGGCTTTGGCGGCTTCGAGTCCGAGAAGCTGCGAGAACGCGAGAGGCGTGAGTGGGGGCTCGGGCAAAGGGCGAGAGAGAAGCAGGACGCACCCCGCCGCCGACGACCGACGCTCGGGTCACTTCTGAGCGGTCGGCGTAGTCCATGATGGCGACGAGGTCGGCGATGCTGCGATACACGAAGACGCCCTTCGTCTGCGCTGCCTGCTGCGGCGAGACGTAGGGCGGCAGGGCGCCGCTCGAGCCCGTCGCCATGACGAGAAGGTCGTACCTGCGTGCGCCGGGACCGGTCAGGACGGCCGAGAGAGGGAGAGAGAGAGAGAATCAGGGCGCACTGGTAGACGTTGCCCTTGGACGTGTAGACGTTCTTGTGGGCCGTGTCGATCTCGGTCACGCGCTCGCCCGTGCTGAAGGCGAAGCGGTCGGGGAGCTGGGCCTGGTACCACGAGGGGCCTTGAAGAAACAGGTCCGACACGTTGCGGTGCTCAAAGAATGAAGTGAGGCCGACCCGGTTGTACGCCAGTACGTCCTCCTCGCCCTGTAGCCTCGAGGAAAGCGTGAGTCGCCCGTCACAGCTATCCCGCCCGTGACGAGGTCCTCGCACGGCAAGGAGAGGAGGGACTCACGCAGGTACGAATGAAGTAGCGGCCCTGGTCCTTGTCGAGGTCGAGCATCTTCTCAATGAAGGCCATGCCGACCATGCCGAGGCCCTGTGGGTGCGTTCGCCCGAGAGGGTCAGCTCCTGGACGTAGAGAGTGCTCGCAGCCTCGTGGGCGGCGAGGGGAGAGAGCGCGAGCGAGTTGTTCGACGACGGTCGTCCTCGTTGCGCCGGTGGTTGGAGAGAGAGGGGACGCACGACGACGAAGATGGTCTGGCGCCCTCCTGCTGGTGCTGGCTGAGGCTGTGTGCTGCTCATGGACGCTGGGTCGAGCGACGAGGTGGATGCGATCGGTGTCATGGCGAGTTGGCGGCGGCGAGGAGAGGAGGTCGGGGCAGGGCCGGCGGCGGCGGTGCTCGAAGGCTGGGGCTGCAGCGCGTAGCGGCCATTGCGATAGCGCGGGCGAGAGGTGCACAACTCGAGGCTGGCGAGAGATGAGGCGAAATGCGGGGTCGAAGTAACTCCGACGACGGACCTCTCGCACCGCTCGCTCGCCCTCTCTCGACGCTGATAGCTCTGCGCACAAGCACCCGGGCACTCACGCTCGCCGGGCCAGCTCGCCACGGCTGCGATAGCGGTCGCGCGCCGCCTCGCCTCGAGCTCGTCGTCGAGCTCCTCCTCCTGCGCCGCCGGTCTCGCAGGGCACACGGCCGCCGCCTGCGCGCCTCGTACCGCAGCGACGAGCGCGACCGCGCACCGCAACTTGCTCTGGACCGCCCACACGGTATCGCCCCTCGCCTCGCGAGCTCAAGCTCGCTCAAGGGGTCCGAGTCGTCCGTCCGCTAGCGGCGCTGCACAATCGTCGTCCGGCGTCGGACCTTTCCTCTTCCAGGCCAGGCCTCGTCCACCATCGTATCGCCGTCGTCGCACGTCAAGGTACCGGCCTCGATACGACCCTCGTCGAGGCGTCGTCGTCCTCGCCGCCGTCGACTATCCTCCTATCTCTCTCCCCCTTCTCGTCCCGCACTCGCCCTCCCTCCTTCGTCCTCGACCACCTCGTCCACCTCTACGACATGTCCGACCTCGAGAAGCGCTCGTCGACGCACGACATCGAGGAGCAAGGCCTGAGCGACAGCGCCAAGCGCGCTCTGCACGGCGGTCCGCCGCCTTTCCGGTGGGCCTCGCTGTGGGAGCCAGCCCAGATCAACCCGCTCAACGGCAAGAGCTACACGCTCCCGATGCTGCGCCTCTCTGATCAATATGCGCGCAACTTTCATCGTGAGTTCCCCTCCCCCCTCCCCCCTTTTCCTCCTCTTCCTCCTTCCACGCTCCTCGGCGGCTCTACGTGCAGCGCCTGCCGTCTCAAGGACGAAGCGTGGCTGTACGAGCATGGACGACGGCAGAGGAAGCGGGGCCAGAGCTCAAGGGAGAGGTGCACGGGTCGTGGACGTCGTGGCGCCTCTTGAATCGCCTACTGACCCCTTTCCTCGACCTTTTGCAGTCGCGTGGCTCGGGTTCTTCGTGGCGTTCCTGTCATGGTTTGTGAGGCCTATTCCGCTCGTCCTCAAGCCCGTTCGCGCCGGCCTCGCCCCTGTCCTCCTCGTCGTCACCCTCGCCTTCTCCTCCTCACCCTCGCCAACCCTTTGCCGCCGATCCCTCCCGCCCCTCGCCTTCCTGTGCTACAAAGGAGCCTTTACTGACGAACTTGAGGCGCACAGGCCTTCCCGCCGCTCATCCCCGAGGCGATCAAGAAGGACCTCAAGCTCACGAGCGAGCAGGTGCGCTCGAGCCGCGTTTTCTTGCCCTCTCTCGCCGACGCTCACAGCGTTCGGTCGCCCCAACAGGTCGGCAACAGCAACATCGTCGCGCTGCTGGCGACGCTCGTCGCACGCTTCGCCCTGGGTCCGCTCGTCGACCGATTCGGCCCGCGGTACACCATGGCGGCCATCCTCGTCGCCGGCGCCATCCCGTCGGGCCTCGCCGGCGCCATCACCAACGTCAACGGCCTGTACGCCATCCGCTTCTTCATCGGCATCCTCGGCGCGACGTTTGTACCCGCCTTGGCGTGGTCGACGGCCTTCTTCGACAAATCCATCGTCGGCACGGCCAATTCGTTCGTCGGCGGCTGGGGCAACCTCGGCGGCGGCGTCACATTTATCGTGCAGGTGTAAGTGTCGCGTCGGCGGACAGATTTCCAGGAATCCCTCGCTGACTCTCGCACCCTCTCGATACAGGGCCGTGTTCGAGTCGCTCGTCAAGGACCGCGGCCTCAGCTCGCACTCGGCATGGCGCGCAGCGTTCGCCGTCGTCCCCGTCCCGATCCTCCTCGGCACCGCCGCCGCGACGCTCTACTTCGGCACCGACCACCCCGCCGGCAAGTGGGCCGCCCGTCACACGCTCCCCGCAACCGCCATCGCCGCTCGCCAAGGCCACCTCGCGCAGCTCGACGCCTCTGAGCGCGCCGTCGTCGAGCGCAAGATGCACGAGAAGGTGTCGGGCGACGCCCGAGTTCAGGCCGTGTCGGACGAGGACGAGGAGGTCCGGGCCGAGATCCCGCTCGACGTTGCCGTCAACGAGCCCTTGACCTGGGCGAGCTTCCTCAACATCATCAGCAAGCCATACACGTGGCTCCCCGCCCTCATGTACATGACCACGTGCGTCCTCCTCTTCCTCCTCCTCCCCGCTCGGGCCTCTCCTGGTCGTTCCTCGCCATCTCTCCCCCTTCCTTCCCCTCCCTCGCACTCGCACTCGCACTCGCACTCACACTCTGTGACCCTGGACTGACCCTCAACGACCCTGCAGGTTCGGCATGGAGCTCGCAGTCGACGCCAACATCGCCTCGGTCCTCGTCGCCAACAACGGCCTCACTCAGCTCGAGGCCGGCTACTACGGCAGCACCTTTGGGTTCCTCAACCTCGTCACGAGGCCTGCCGGCGGCTGGTTCGCCGATCGCCTGTACGCCTACTACGGCATCAAGGCCAAGAAGTGGCTCACGGCAGCGCTCGGTTTCCTCATGGGCGCCATGTCGCTCGCCCTTGGGCTCTACACCAAGGCGTGCTGGGACGCCGGCAACCGGCCCAACCTTAACGTCACGATGGGCATCATCTCGCTCCTCGCAATCTTCTGCGAGGTCGCCAACGGTACCTGCTTGTGAGTTGGCCTTCCCAAGTTGAGCTCGAGCGAGTCTGACCTTGTCCTCCCCTCCCTCGCAGCTCGCTCGTCCCGCACTGCAACCCTTTCTCGAACGGCTTCTCGACGGGCTTGGTCGGCGCGATGGGGAACTTGGGCGGAATTGTGCGTCCTCCTCTCGCATCTCCTCGACAGGCGGCCGACTGACCCCTCTTGTCGACGCCCGCAGTTCTTTGCCTTGATGTTCCGCTTCCACGTGGTGCATGGCTACAACATCGGTGCGTCCCGGTGTCTCCCTGACTCTCCTCGAGAGCGTTCTCGAGCTGACTGCCGTCCTGCAGCCTGGATTGCCGCCGGCGCCTTCGCGATGGGCATCAACCTGTTCTGCGTCTTCCTCCCTACCCCGAAGCAGTAGCCGGCGTGCTGCTGCTCGGCTTGCCTATAGATTCAGCCTCTCGCGCTCTCGGTAGAGCTCTCGTACCCTCTCTATTTGTGTCATTCCCGCTCTTCTCTTCGTACTTCCCTACACCTGCAACGAGTCCTTGAGGTCGTGTTGTTCGCTTGCGACCGTGCCTCGTCCCGAGAGCCTGCGCAGCCCCGAGTCGAGCGACCGTGCATGGTCCGCAGCGCTCTCTCGGTCTCTCTCTCGCTCAACGGTCTCTTGCTGTCTCGCTCGCCTCTGTTTCGCTCACGCAGGCGCCGTAGGTGAGAGACGCGAGCTGCCGCTGCTTCTCAGAGCGAACGCGTCGAGTAAGGAAGAAAACTTGGGAGTAAGAACCGTCGAGGAGCGGTACAGCCGGATTTGCTCCTGGTCACGCTGTGCTGCGTCGCCTCAGCGGCTCGACTGGAGCTAAGAGTGCTGCTCGACAGGTCTGCATGGCCGACGCTGCGAAAGGGGAGCTGAGAACAGCGTTCTCGGGCGTCTTTCTACTTGGGAAGGCCCGCTTGGACCCTGTCTGGATCTGCTCTCCCTTCTCTATCACCCTCCCTCTCAGAGTCTCTCTTCTCTCGCTCTCTGTTCGGCCGAGCTCAGGGTAGCTCGACACCCGAGCTGGCAGCGGCGCGAGGAGGAGAGTCGGGCAGGGGCACGACCGGCGCTCGAGAAAGTACGGCTAGCTCATTGCGCGCCCACCCTGCTCCTTCGCGCCCTCGCCCGTCACCGCCATCGCGCTCTCGGCTCCCGACCTCGTCCCCCATCGCTCGCCAACCCTCTGCGCGTACCCCTCGAACGCGCTCTCGACCCTGCCGAGCGACTCGTCGCCATTGCGATCGCGCACGCCGTACGCCTCGGGCACGTCGAGGGTCCAGTCGGGCCCAAAGAGCTCGTACGTCGACGAGGGGAGGTCGGGCGGGATGGGCGTGTCGAGCGGGAGCGGGCGGCCGAGCTGCGGCGCGGTCGAGAGGGCGGGGGTCAGTGCGGGGTTTGGCGGGCGCTCGAGGGAGAGGGAAAGGACAGGGAGGAGGGACGCACAGCGACAGAGGTGAGGTAGGCCCATGCGCGAGCGGCGTTCGGCGAGTGGTACCCGCCGCCGCCGAGGAGGAGCGTGCGCTTGTTCCAGCTCAGGACGCGCTCAACGGCGAACCCGAGCGCCGACAGCGACAGGTTCCACTCCTGCAAGGCGAGGGCATCGATTCAGGTCCATGACGTGCGGGAGGAGAGAGAGAGAGAGGTAGGAGAAAGTGAGGCGCACCTTGCACGGGTCGCCGGCGAGCCCGTCCGTCCCAAGCTGGAGCACGACCGCGTCGGGCTGGAACGCCTCCTTGACCCTTTCGACGCAGCTCGCCCAAACCCTCCTGAGCGTGTCCTCGCCTGCGCCCGGCTCGAGCGGCACGTTGAGCGCGTGGTACGCGCCCTTTGCGCGGGGCTCGCCCGGCGGGCCGGTCGACTCGAGCGCGCCGGTCGCGGGGTAGAAGAGCGGGGCGTGGAGGTGGGTCGAGAGGGTGAGGACGTAGGGCGATGCGAGGAAGGCCGACTCGACGCCGTCGCCGTGGTGCAGGTCGAGGTCGAGGTACAGGACGCGCGAGATGCGCGAGGGATACGTGGCGGGAGCGCTCGGTGGGGGCGAGGATGCGGACGGGGCGTCGTCCAGAGGGCGAGGCGAGCTCGGAGGAGACGGGGAGGGCGAGGAGGAGGGAGGCAGCGCGCGCTGCGGCGCCGAGCGCAGCTCCATAATGGCGAGGACGATGTCGTTGACATAGCAGAACCCGGCGGCCTCGCCTCTCTTGCCGTGGTGACGCCCGCCCGTCCAGTTGATGGCGATGTCGGCTCGCCCGTCGCGCAGCTCCCTCGCCGCCGTCATCGAGGCGCCGGCGACGAGGCGTGCATAGTCGGGCAGGCCGGCGAAGACGGGGCAGTCGTCCTGGAGGCCGAGCGTGTCGGTGTCGGTCTTGCGGCGCTTGTTGGGGCGCTCGATCGAGTCGGAGGCGAGGCCGAAAGTGGGCTGGGGCGGCGGCGAGGAGGACGAGGAGGCGTCGCTCGAGGAGGAGGAAGAGGAAGAGTCGTCTGTGCGGGGCGACGAGGTCAGTGCGTGTTGGCTGGCACGGTAGCTCGCGTGAAAGGGAGACGCACCGTCGTGGGTGCCAAGGATGGCGTCTGGCAGGGTATGGTGCGAGGGGAGGATCAGCTTGGGAGGTTCGGGACGAGGTGGGGAGGAGAGAGAGAGAGAGAGAGGGAGCGCACCGATGTAGCGCGGGTCGTGGAAGCGCACAAGGTCGGCTCTCGTAGCGGGCTGTGGCGGGACAGTGCGTGCCCGGCCTCGCTCTGCGGGTGCAGCCGTGTCGGGGTCGATGATGATGAGGTCGAGGGACGAGATGAGGCGGTCCACGAGCGTGGCGCGGCCGAGGTTGGACGGGAGGCGGTCGGCTGCCTGAGTGAGTGCGTCCGAGTGGACGTAGCTGACCCTGCGCTGCATCCAAGCTTGCAGGTGGGTCGCAGGTGGGTCGCGCGAGGGCAACCACCGAGAGCGAGCTCCTCGTCTGCTCTCTCCCACTCGCCCGATCGCACCAGCTGCGCTACCGTGCTCCATCGAGGAGCCGCACTATGCCCGTCCGACCACCAGCGGTCGCCCCCTGGCGCGCCTGGGTCTCGTCCGCCTCGTCCTCGGCTCGCGTCCAGGTCCGTCCCTCTCTCCCTCGCATCCGGTCAGTTCGTGCGGGCCTACTGCCACGCAGTACAGGTCCCTGCGTCCCGGACCTTGTCGGCGATCAGAGCGCGCGTGTTGACTCCCTCTTGACCTCGACAGCGCGCGCCACCTCGTCGGCCCGGCCCGCCCTGCTCGCTGTGCGACAACTCGAGCCGCTCCTTGCACACCCTGAGCACCTCGACACCCCTCCCTCGACGCACGCCATCCCTCGCCCGCACCCGCTCGCCCATTCTCACCCTCCTCCGCACCCACGCCAACTACGCCCGCGATCGCCCCGACCCTCCTGCCCAGTCGCGCCAGCCCCAAGCCGCCCCGACCTCGCAGCAGGAGCAAGAACGCGAGCACGAGCTGTCCGAGGCGGCCCACAAGGCGACCCAGGCCCACTCGGGCCCCGAGGGCCACCAGAAGGAGGCGGCCCGCCGCAAAGAGGAGCAGGAGACTGGCGGCGCAGCGCACGCGACCGACGTCGGCAGGACCGACGACGTGAGCGACAAGGAGCAGTCGAGGCGCGACTGGGACATCATCAAGAAGCTGCTCCCAAACGTGTGGCCCAAGAACGACTGGAGCACAAAGACGAGGGTCCTTCTCGCCCTCGGCCTGCTCGTCGGCGGCAAGGTGCGCCCCTACCCTCTCCTTCTCACTCTTCGTCCTCTTTTAACTCTTCTCTCGACACGGCAACAGCTCCTCAACGTCCAGGTGCCCTTCTTCTTCAAGAACATCATCGACACGCTCAACGTCGAGATCGACCCGACCACGGGCCAGGGCGTCTTTGCCATCGCCGGCACCGTCATCGTTGGCTGTGCGTCCCTCTCCTCCTCCTCATCTCGTCGCCCCCGAGCTCATGGCCCCTCGTCGACGTCGCAGATGGACTCGCCCGCATCGGCGCCGGCCTCTTCTCCGAGCTCCGCAACGCCGTCTTCGCCAATGTCGCCCAGGGCGCCATCCGGCGTGTCGCGCGCTCCGTCTTTACCCACCTCCTCAACCTCGACATCGGGTTCCACTTGCGCCGGCAGACGGGCGGCCTCACGAGGGCCATCGACCGTGGCACCAAGTGCGTCCCTCTCTCTCTCTCTCTTGGTCGAGAGCGACAGCGACCTGACGTGCGAGCACACCCACAGGGGCATCTCGTTCCTCCTGTCGTCGGTCGTCTTCCACGTCGTGCCGACCGCGCTCGAGATCTCGATGGTGTGCGGCATCCTGGTGCGTCCCAGTCCGCCGTCCTGGTCGAGCCTGTGCCAGAGCCACCTTCCTGACCTGTTTTCGACGTCCGCCCTCGCGCAGAGCTACAAGTTTGGGTGGGACTTTGCGGCGGTGACGTTGGTGACGATGGCGGCGTACTCGTGGTTCACGATCCGGACGACGGCGTGGCGGTGCGTCCCTCTTTCCCTCTCTCCCTCGTCGGCGCCTCGTCGCACACTAGACTGACCCTGTCGACCTCTGCGCCCGCAGTACCAAGTTCCGCAAGCAGGCCAACGCCGCCGACAACCGGGCGGCGACCATGTCGGTCGACTCGCTCATCAATTACGAGGCCGTCAAGGTGCGCCGCCTCGCTTCCCTCCTCCTCTCCCTCGCACTCACACTCGTCGCTTCGCCCGCAGTACTTCAACAACGAGGCGTTCGAGGTGGCTCAGTACGACCGGGCCATGAAGGACTACACGAAAGCGAGCGTCAAGATCTCGACGTCGCTCGCGGCGCTCAACATTGGGCAGAACGTCATCTTCTCGTCGGCCCTGACGGCCATGATGTACCTCGCCGCCAAAGGGATCATGGACGGTGCGTCCTCGTCTCTCTCTCTCTCTATCGCGCTCGACCGAGGACGCAAGAGCCGGGACTGACTCGGCTCGGCCCTGCAGGGAGCATGACGGTCGGCGACCTCGTCATGGTCAACCAGCTCGTGTTCCAGCTCTCGCTCCCGCTCAACTTTCTCGGTACGCCCACCTCTCCTCTCTCCCTTGTCGTCGACGGGGCCAGGAATTGACCCCGCTCACGCCCCTCTCGCAGGCACGGTCTACCGCGAGCTGCGCCAGAGCCTCATCGACATGGACACGCTCTTCAACCTGCAGTCGGTCGGCCTCGCCATCAAGGTGCGTCCCGCTCTCGTCCCTCGCGTGCTCGCTGTCGAGAAGCACCCGCTCACCCTCTCGGCCCTGCGCAGGACTCGCCTACGGCCAAGCCGCTCGCGCTCACCAAGGGCGGCGAGATCCGGTTCGAGAACGTTGCGTTCGGGTATCACCCAGAGCGGCCCATCTTCCGCGACGTGTCGTTCACGATCCCGGCCGGCAAAAAGGTCGGCATCGTCGGGCCCTCGGGCTGCGGCAAGTCGACCGTGTTCCGCCTCCTGTTCCGCTTCTACGAGCCGTCGCACGGCCGCATCTACATCGACGGCCAGGAGCTGCACGACGTCGAGCTCGAGAGCCTGCGGCGCGAGATCGGCGTCGTGCCGCAGGAGACGCCCTTGTTCCACAGCGACATCATGCACAACGTGCGGTACGGCCGACTCGACGCGAGCGACGACGAGGTCAAGGAGGCGGCGAGGCTCGCCAACGTCAGTCGCACGATCGAGGCGCTCCCCGACCGGTGGCAGACCAAGGTCGGCGAGCGCGGCATGATGATCTCGGGCGGCGAGAAGCAGCGATTGGCTGTCGCGCGCCTGCTCCTCAAGGACCCCAAGATCCTCTTCTTTGACGAAGCCGTGCGTCCCTGTATCTCTCTATCCTAACCCTCTCAGCGACGTCGTCGACGAGCGAGCGAGCGAGTCCCTGACCACCTTGCCCGTCCCTCTCTCGTCCGCCCGTCCTCTCTTTCTCTCTCTCTCGCAGACGTCGGCGCTCGACACGACGACCGAGGTCGACCTCATGCGCAACATCAACCAGACTCTCTTGTCCAAGGCGCGCACGTCCATCTTTATCGCGCACCGCCTCAAGACGGTCGCCGACGCCGACCTCATCCTCGTCCTGCGCGACGGCTACGTCGCCGAGCAGGGCACGCACGCCGAACTCATGGCGCAGCGGGGCGTGTACTGGGGCATGTGGGAGCAGCAGAACGCGGTCGTCGCCGACGTGGCGGCGGCCAAAGAGGAGCCGAGCGAGGGCGAGGTCGTCGAGGCGGATGTGACGGCGCGGTGAGCGGTAGACCGACAGGCACATGCTGGACCCCTGTTGCAAAGAAGCACGCTGTTGTACTAGCTCTCGTGCCCGGCTCTGCTGTTTTGCAATCGAGACAGGGCCGCGTCGTCGTCTCCCTCAACCGCTCCTCGTCCCTCCTCGTACGACCCCGCCTCGCTCTCCCAGCTCGAACGGCTCCGGTGCAGAGCACAAGGAGCTTGCAGCACCACGCCACGATCCCCGCACAGCTCGCCGGTCGCCCTCGTCCGCCTCGGCTTCATCGCTTCGTCAAGAAGGACGCGCCCGCCCCTCAACCACCAGCCTCACAGGTGCGCTCCTCTTCCCCTGCATGGTCATCGAGGTCCTCAGATCTCGCGCCGGCGCGGGTACGTGTGCCGCGCGCGGCGAGTGTGTGGCGGCCTCACCTCGGTCGAGGAGGGCACCATGGAGAGGGGCGTGGTGACGACGTTGTGGAGAGCTTTGACGGGTGCGACAGCGGCCTGGGGCATGCAGCTGACGAGGCCTACGCGCCCGTCTGCCCGCACACGCAGACCTCGACCTCGCCTCCTCGACTCGCCGACTCGCCGACATGGCCGACCTCGTCCCGCACATCTACCACGAGACGGTGCGCTCCCCGTCTCCCTGTCTCTCTGTCATTGATGGCAGCCCTGACCTATCGTACGACCTGCAGCAAGAGGGTCCGTCCTCTCCTCCTTCTCCTCCTCGACAGCCCCTTTTCCCGAAACTGACCTCACCTCCTCACCCTCTACAGCGGGCAGCATGCTCTGCGGCCAGCACGCGCTCAACAACCTCTTGCAGTCGTCGCTGTTCACCGCTCCCGACCTTGCCGACATTGCGCGGCAGCTCGACGCGCTCGAGCAGGCGCAGCTCGACCCGGGCGTCCGACTCCGAGGCGACGAGGACGGCCTGGGCGGGAGCGCCAACTACGACGACAGCGGCTTCTTCAGTGTCCAGGGTGCGTCCTCTCCCTCCTCGGTCGACATCGGTCCGGCGAACGATGCCCTGACACGGTGTTTTCCCCTCGCGCAGTCATGGAGGAGGCGCTCAAGGTGCTCGGCCTCAGCCTCGTCAGGTGGGGCAGCAAGGAGATGGTCCACGTGCACAACCACCCCGAGTGCGTCCCCTGTCTTCCTCTCTCGCCTCTCGCCGCACGACCTGTCACTGACACGAGGCTCGAGCGCAGGAACATGGACGGCTTCCTCCTCAACCACCAGCTGCATTGGTTCTCGGTCCGCCGGTTCGGCACGGCCGACCGCTTCTACAACCTCGACTCGTGCATCCCTCAGCCGCAGTGGGTCTCGGCCATGTACCTCGGCCTGACGCTGCGCGAGGCGGAACGTCAAGGTGCGTCTCCTCGCCTCTTCCTCCCACTCGCGAGCGCTCACTGATCTCCCCTCTTGTCGATACAGGCTACTCGATCTTTGCCGTCGTGCCCTCGCCCGATGCCGGCATCACCGGCCTCCCTCCCTGCTCCGCCGCCGACCTCGCCCTCTCGCTCCCCGAGCCGCGCGGCACGGACGGCTTCCCGTCGCACCACGGCAACGGCAACGGCGCGTCGACCTCGGGCGCCCGCAACGGTGCGCAGCACACCTACTTCGGCGGCAACGGCCAGTCGCTCGCCGGCGCCGGCTCGTCGTCGTCGTCTGCAGCCGCCGGGTTCGCGCCTTCGGGCTCGTTGGGCGCGGTCGCCGGCGCTTCGAGCGCACGCAAGGGCAAGCGGCCCGCGTCGACGGACCCGCACCGCATGGACGAGGACGGCGGCGACGACGAGGACGACGTCGTCATCGTCGAGGGCCCGGACGGCGGCTCGAGCGCGAGCACGAGTGCGAGCGGGAGGCGTCAGAGGCAGCGCAGGAGGGTCGGCGACGGACCGCTGCGCGATGCGGCTGCGGACGGCACGGCTGGGCTCGGTGGAGCGGGACCGGGTCCGGGCGAGGAGATGAGCGAGGAGGACATGATGGCGGCGGCGATTGCGGCGAGCTTGAGGGTAAGCAGCTCGGCGGCGAGCGACGCCGGTGGGAGCACGGGAGGAGGAGCAGGCGGCGGCCTGGTGCGTCCTCTTCTGTCTCTCTCTACTGCCGCACAAGCCACTGACCCTCGTCGCCATCGTGCAGCAGCCCTCGCAGTCTCGCGCCGCCCAGTCCGAGGAGGACGAGTTCCAGCGTGCGCTCCAGGCGAGCTTGGCCGAGGCGGGAGGAGCGCAGGGCGCGTCGGAGGAGCCCGAGGAGGAGGACAGTCCGTCGCTCGAGGAGCTGAGGAGGAGGAGGGCGGCGCGCTTTGGTTGAAGAGGGCGGGGGACTGGCGTGCTTTGTGTACCGCTTTGCCTGAGAGTGCACACACGATGCTTTGCTTTCCCGTGCGCCCGAGAGAGCGGCGAGGCGGTGCGAGATGGTCGCGACGAGGACGCGCCTCTCATCAGCTCGCTCCCTCGTCAACAACCGCTCGCTGCTCCGCACCGCCACGGACAGATGCAGCGCCTCGCGCTCGACGCGCAGGGAGGCAGCACCAGTGCTGTCACCCTCGAGGCCCTCGCCCACGTCGCCAACTCGCTCGCCGAGGCTTCGTCAATCGTCGCTGGCCTCGGCGCAGGCTGCTCCACCAGCGCAGGCATCCCCGTGAGTCGACGCTCGGGGCGGAAGAACCACACGCGAGCCTCTCACTGACCACAGTGCGCGCACACAGGACTTTCGCACCCCTCGCCCCTCTTCCTCCTCCTCGCCTTCCCCCACATCACCGCCTCCCTCCTCCACCTGCACCTCGACCCGCTCGGTGCAAGCGACCAAGCACCTCTTCTCGTACTCGTCACTCGTCCAGCCCGACTCGCGCGCCGACCACCTGCGCTTCATGGCCGAGCTGCGCCGCACCACTCGCCGCGCCTGCCCTCGACCCTCGTCGTCCTCCTCGAGCGCCAGCGGCAAGGGCAAGGAGCGCGCCGACGACCCGCCGACACCCTTTCACGGGCTACTCGCCTCACTCGACGAGCGCGGGCAGTTGCAGCGCGTCTACACGCAGAACATCGACGGGCTCGAGCGTCGCAGCGGGCTCGCCGTCGTCGACCTCGCCCAGATGGCGGCGGACGAGGCCGCCGAGGACAGCGGCGAGTGCGAGATCGGGCACGCAGGGTCCTCGGCGACGGCGCGTGGCTCGTGGGAGGGCGTCGTCGTCCCGCTGCACGGTGGGCTCGACGAGGTCATGTGCGGGGCGTGCGGGTGGCGCGAGCGGTGGGGCAAGGCGCACAACAAGGCCTTCAAGAAGGGGCGAGGTGTCGACTGCCCGCGCTGCAGCGAGCGAGGTGCGTCCTGCGCTGTCTCTCTCTCTCGTCCTCTCGGCTGGCGACGGGGCTGACCTTCGTCGCCCGCGCAGTTTCCTCTCGGCGGCAACGGCTCAAGCGTGCGACGTCCCTTTCCCCTCTCGCCTTCCTCCGCCCTGCCGTCCTCCTGTACGACGACCCGCACTCGTCCACGTCCTCGGCGTCGGACCTCATCGCTTCGCTCGCGAGCGCCGACCTCGCCAACGAGCCAGACCTGCTCGTCGTCGCCGGCACGAGCCTGCGCATTCCGGGCTTCAAGAAGCTCGTCAAGCGCTTCGCGGCGAGGGTCAAGAAGGTCGGCGGGCTGAGGGTGCTCGTCAACCGCGAGGCGGTCGGCAAGGAGTGGGACGGCGTGTTCGACTACCACTGTGCGTCCCGGCTTCCTCCTTCCTCCTGACTGTGAGCCCGCCGATACTCATCAGCTCGTCTTCTCGCAGTCGTCGGCGATGCGGACGACTGGGCCGACGAGATGGTCGACTGGCTCGACGCGCTGTCCGTCTCGTGGCCAGCGCCCGAGCCCGACTCGACCTCGGCTCTCGGCCACGTCGACGTACCACCTCCTCACTCGCTCTTCGTCGCCCTCCCTATGCGACCCTCGCACGGCCTGTACTCGCCCGCGCCCTCGTCCTCATCGACCACGACGATGCTCTCCCTCCCCACGACGCCCCCTCGCTCCTCGCCCGTGCCGCTACCGGCCTCAGCGACACGAGCTCCGGCGGTCGAAGACTCGTGCGCCCTGTCGCCTTCGCCATCCGCATCGGCCAAGGCCGCCGACGAGGTCCAGCCGTTGCCGACCCCACCTCCCTCCTCGACGCTCCTCGCTCCAGTCCCCCTTCCACCTACTCGCCCTCGCCCTCGCTCCAGCAGCCCGCATGCCCAGCCTCGCGCCCAGCTGTCCGCGACGAGTGACCCTGCACCGCCGGCCAAGCGCCGCCGCTTCGAGGAACCCGGCTCGCCGAGCGCGGCGTCGCGACCGTCGGGTCACGGCGTGGGCATCGCCGAGCAGCTCGCCCGTGCGGCCAAGCGCGACGCAAGGGACAAGGTCGAGCGCAGGAGGGGCAAGGCGGCGAGGCGGGAGAAGAGGGAGCGCAGGAGGGAGAGGGACGAGCGGAAGAGGAGGGAGCGCGAGGGGACGAGCGGCGGCGATGGAGTGGAGCAGTCGTGAGCGCGCTTTCGTCACTGTCACTCTCGACTGGCGAGCGCTTGATTGGCCGTTCTTGCAATGTCTTCCTGACTCTCTGTCGCGCCTCGTCGGTGCTGTCTTGAGAGGGAGAGCCCAAGTTGCCAAGGGGCTGGGGCTTGGAGCCGCTGGCCCTGTCCGTGCTACAGGCCCTTTACACCGTGCCGGCGGTCCAAAAGAGGCCCAAGAGGACATGTTGCGCGAGCGCGAGAGGCGGATCCGGACGACGAAGGCGGGGAGCGCTTCACTCGCTCCCTACCGCTCCCCGCACAGCTCTAGAGGCACAGCTGCCCCTCACAGTCGGTCAGAGCACCCACCACAAAGCTCCTGCGACCTTCAGCAGTCCCCCCTGACCCCGACTCGACCGACCGCGTCCTCCTCAACCCGCGGCGAGCGATGAAGCGCAAGGGAGCCGGCGACACGACGGGCGTGGCCCAGATCAGCCCCGAGGGCATCACTGGGCTCGACGACGAGATGGAGGTGCAGCTGCTTGGCGCAGGGCAAGAGGTGCGCTCCCCGCCTCCCTCCCGTCCCTCTCCCCCTCCGCCTCAGCCGACTAACCTCCCTTGCACCGCATCTCCAGGTCGGCCGGTCCTGCTGCGTTATCAAGTACAAGGGTCGCATCATCGTGTGCGATGCCGGCGTCCACCCGGCCTTCTCGGGCATGGCCGCGTTGCCCTTCCTCGACGAGCTCGACTGGTCTACGGTCGACGCCATCCTCATCACGCACTTCCACCTCGACCACGCCGCCAGCTTGACCTATGTTATGGAAAAGGTGCGCCCTTGCTCTCTCTAATGTGCGGGGCGCGAGGCAGGGCACAGGACTGACTCGCCGCTCGCGCGGACTTGCACTTGCAGACCAACTTCAAGGAGGGCAAGGGCGTCGTCTACATGTCGCACCCGACCAAGGCCGTGTATCGCTATCTTATGAGCGACTTTGTCCGCGTCTCGTACGTCGACCCTGCCTTATTTCGCCCTCGACACCCGGACCCGGCCTGACTCTCCCGCCTTCTCTCCCTCGCAGGACGGCCGGCTCCGACGACAACCTGTTCACCGAGGCCGAGATGATCGCGTCCTTCAACGAGATCCAGTCGTTCGACTTTGAGCAGGAGATCCTTCTTCCGCCGTCCGACACGTCGTCTGCCTCGGTCCGCTTTACCTCGTTCGCGGCCGGCCACGTCCTCGGCGCGTGCATGTTCCTGCTCGAGATTGCGGGAGCACGCGTCCTGTACACGGGCGACTACTCAACCGAGGAGGACCGGCATCTCGTGCCGGCAAAGGTGCCCAACTGGGAGCGCCCGCCCGATGTCATGATCTGCGAGTCGACGTACGGGTGCGTCCTCGCTCTCCTTCTTCCTCCTCGACGGGCCTCCTGCGTATCTGAGAAACTGTGTCACTGACCCTCATGCCCCGCCGCAGTGTCCAGTCGCACGAGCCCCGACTCGAGAAGGAGGCCCAGTTCACGGGTCCGTCCCCTCTTCAGGCGGTGTCCTTCCGCCTATCGCGTCGTCCTGACGCCTCGATGTACACAGGTCTCGTCCAGTCGATCCTCAAGCGCGGCGGTCGTGTCCTCCTGCCCGTCTTTGCCCTCGGCCGAGCGCAAGAGCTCCTCCTCATCCTCGACGAGTACTGGGCCGAGCACCCCGAGCTGCAGCACATCCCGATCTACTACATCTCGAGCCTCGCCATCAAGTGCATGGACGTCTACCGGCAGTGCGTCGGCGCGTTCCTCCCCTCGTCTCGACTTGGCGACGCCTGACCACTCGAATCGGCCCGCCCTTCCTCGCTCTCGCAGGTACATCCACACCATGTCGCCCAACGTGCGAGCCAAGTTTGCGCGTGGCATCAACCCTTTCGATTTCAAGCGCCAGGACTCGTTCATCCGCCCTCTCGACCGCGGCATCTCGAAGCTCAACGACCGCAACCCGTGCGTCGTCATGGCGTCGCCCGGCTTCCTCACGAGCGGCGTCAGCCGTGAGCTCCTCGAGAAGTGGGCACCCGATCCTCGAAACGGCCTCGTCATCACCGGGTACAGCGTCGAGGGCGTCATGGCGAGGGTGCGTCTGGTCAACTTTCTCTCCTTTTCTCTCCGGCCCGACTCGAGCCTCGAGCTCACCCTCTTGTCCCTCCACCCGCATCAGACTATCATGAACGAGCCGACAGAGATCCATGCGCTCAACGGCGGCGCCAAGATCCAGCGGCGGTTGTGCGTACTCGCATCTCTCGCCCTCCTCCTCCTGCCCGTCCACGAGAATCCGACTGACGCTCTCCTCTGTCGCCCCACAGATCGGTCGACTACATCTCGTTCTCGGCGCACGTCGACTACACGCAGAACTCCAAGTTCATCGACGAGGTGCGTCCCTCGTTCGCGCGCTCAGGCCTCCTCTTTTCCTTCGCGCCCTTACTGACTAGCCGCCCTGCAGGTCATGCCGTCACACCTGATTCTGGTGCACGGCGAGGTCAACAACATGTCGCGCCTGCGCGCAGCACTGCGCACCCGCTTTGCCGAGCGCAAGAACGACGTCCAGATCTACTCGCCTCGGAACGTCGAGACGGTCAAGCTCAAGTTCCGCGGCGAGCGCATGGCCAAGGTGCGCCCTCTTCCTCTGGCGCCCCTTTCTGTCCTCGTGAGCGCCGTCTGACTCTCTTGCTTGCCTGCTGCAGGCCCTCGGCTCGCTCGCCAACACGGTCCCGACCCCGTCCACGACGGTCTCGGGCTTGCTCGTCTCGAAGGACTTTTCCTACACGCTCCTGTCGCCGGCCGACCTGCGCGAGTTCACTGGCCTGTCGTCGTCGGTCATTCTGCAGCGGCAGCGCCTCGCCTTGAGCGTCTCGTGGGACCTCGTCCGGTGGCACCTCGAGGGAATGTACGGCAAGATCGCGCAGGGCAAGGACGCCGAGGGCCACTTGACGCTGCGCATCATGGAGACGGTCGACGTCAAGCTCGTCGACAAGCACGAGCTCGCCATCGAGTGGGTCGGCGGCGTCACGAACGACATGATCGCCGACTCGGTCCTCGCGGTCGTGCTCGGCATCGAGGGCTCGCCGGCGAGCGTCAAGAGTGCGTCCACTCTCTCCGTCTCATTATTTGGACAAGTCTGACTCGGCCTCGCGTCCGCAGAGACGACCGAGGACCACCCGCACAACCATCATCACCCGCATCCTTACGCCGAGCCGACCTCGCCCTCTGCACCACCTCTTGACGTCGACGAGCCCTCAACATCTGCTCCCGACGCCGACGCCGACGAGGAGGCCGCGGTTCTCCCGTCTCGCCTCGACCGCCTCATCGCCTTCCTCGACTCGTACTTTGGCCAAGTCGAGCTCGTTCAGCCCTCGTCTACTTCGCCGCCGCCCTCAGCCGCGTCCACAACGGCAGCACCTCCCGCAGACGAGCCGGCCGCGGTCGAGCCGAAGCCGGAGCCCGTCGACGACGCGACGCTGCCGCCCGAGAAGGCCGAGGACGCGATGCAGGTCGAGGCGGTCGTCGAGGCGGACAAGGCGCTCGAGCGGCTCGAGCGGCCGCGAGCGCCCGTCATCAGGGTCACGCTCGACTCGTACCACGCCGACGTGCGCGTCGAGGACTTGGTGCGTCCTCGCTCTCCTCGCCAATCCTTTCTCCTCCTCTCGCTCCTCTTTCTCCCTCGCTCTTCTCTTCCTCTTTCGTCTCTCTTCTATCGTACACCTACTTACTATCTCTTCGTATGCGACCCTGCAGAGCGTCACGAGCGACTACGATCCCCTCAAGCGTCGCGTCGAGAGCGTCGTCCAGATCGCCATGGCCATCGTCACGCCCCTGTCGGCGCTCGCGCCCGGCGCGGCGGCAGCAGGAGGCGCGATTCGCAGTCTTGCGGACGACCTGCCCAAGGTTAAGCGGCGCGAGGTGGACGCGGTCGCAGAAAAGGGGCTTGAGAGCGTGCGAAAGGAGGACTCTTAGTCGCTCCCTTCTGCAGCGTCGCTCCTTTGCCTCGCTCTCTCGGCGTCGCTCTCGAGAACCCGAGAGGCTCGTGTCTGTGCTCTGTCGCGATTACTGAGGGACGGGGGACACTGGCTCACGCAGTACAGGAGCGGCCGAGCGCAGAGTAGGAAGCGGGAGGATGGCGACCGGCGCGTACTGAAAATGAAGAGGGAGAGGGAGAGGGACGACTACAACATGTGTACAGCTAGAGTGAGGACAAAGAGAGAGAGAGAGAGAGAGAGAGAGAAAGAGAGAGAGTCGAGAGGGATCTATGGACAAGGAGGAAAGGCGCAGGCTAAGCCACCGCAGCACTCGCTCCAGCCGCACTCGCGCTCGCCCACCACCTCTCCCAGCTCGCGAGCTCGACCCGGATGCGCTCGACACGCTCCTCGTCGACCGGGTGCGAGCGCAGGAGGCTCTCGGGCGCGGTCGTCGAGTGCGGGCGGACCGTGTGGGCGTGGGCGCGTGCGTGAGTGGTGGACGCCGGCGCCGACGACGACGACGACAATGACGACGGGTGGGCGACGCGGTCCTCCCAGAACGAGAGGGCGCAGTGTGGGTCGATGCCCGAGGTGGCGAGGAGCCTGTCGACGCGAGAGGGGGGCCAGAGAGAGAATTAGTTTCTGGCGGTCCGTGCACACCCGAGGCAGGAAGGGAGAGAAAGCGAGTCGACGACGCACCTGAGCGCCACGACGTCGGCCTCGCTCTCGAGCTTGCGGCTCTCGCACGAGTTGACGGCCTCGGCGAGGACGCCGAACCCGCCTTGGGCGCCCTCGGAGAGCGAACGTCCGAGCGCGTCGTTGATGAAGGGCCCGAGGAGCGCCGTCACCGGGTACAGGAACGTACGCAGGACTGCGAGCGGTTGCGAAGGAGAGCGGCGAGGGGGAAGAGTGAGAGTCAGGAGTTGCACGAGAAGGAGAGATGGGAAATCGAGAAGGAGAGGACGAACCGTCGGACGTGAGCCTCGCGAGGTGCGGCACCAACAGGCTCGAGCTCGCGTAGCTCTCGAGCGTGTGGCTCAAGGCGAGGTGGGCCAGCTCGTGCGCGAGGAGGACGGCGAGCTGACGCGTCTGGGCGTCGGTCGGGAGCGTCGTCGGCGCGAGGTGGGCGCGCAGCGGGTCGGCCGCGGTGACGGTCGAGGATGCCGAACCGTGTACGCTCGCACTCGAGGAGGAGGACAGGGCAGGCGGCGCCGTCGAGCGCCCGAGGATCTCGTCCAGGAAGCCCGTGTAGACGACGATGACGCCCCGCCTTGGACGCACAGCTGCCGCCGACGCCGGGCCCTGGCCCGAGCCGACGCTCTGCGCGTCGGGCCCGAACCCGAACGAGAACGCGTTGGCGTCGGGGCGGTCGACGACGAGCAGGTCGTACTCGAGCCGGAGCGGCGCCTGGGCGTGCCCGCCCGTGTGCGCGTGCGCGTGCGCCGAGTGGGCGTGCGCCGGCTTGGCGAGGACGAACTCGTCCGACCACGACGCCGAGTCCTCGCCGAGCGCTTCGGCGCGCGGCTCGAGCGGGAAGCTCGTCGGCGGCGGCGCGAGGACGCTCGGGCCTCGCCTGCGGGGCACGCCGCCGTCGCCCGCCGCGAGCCCGGGCGCGGCGCCCTGCTCGAGGGCGCGCAGGACGGCCTCGGCCCAGCGAACGCGCCAGTCGCGATGGTCGAGGACGTCGCCGCCGAGGAGGCGCCGGCGGCCCGTCGTCGGCGAGCGGCCCTCGTCGGCGAGGTCGAGGACGCGCTGCAGCGTCGCGACCCAATCGCGCGACGTGCCCTCGGGCACCGGCGCGGCTTGCGCGTGTGCGGGTACGCCGGCGCCGACGGCGGACGCGCCTGGCGAGGACGTGGGCGCAAGCACGCTGCGCACGAGGTCGGCCTCCTCGGCGGGCGAGAGCATGACGACGCGCCACCGGCCCGTGATGGGCGTGCGCTCGAGGCTCGCGAGGGCGACGAGCGCGAGGAGGACGAGGGGCGTGAGGACGAGGAGGGGCAGGCCGAGGAGGGCGTTCCACCGGGCGAGGAAACCGCTCGGGGCGGCGAGCGTGCGCGCGTGGTGCTCGAGGGCGCAGCGCCCGACGAGGGACGCCGAGAGCGACGTCGGGTCGCGCAGGTAGCGCTCGCGCAGGGCGTGGAGGATGCGGCTCCGGGCCGAGAGCGGCAGGAGGGTGAGGCTGATGCGGGTGACGAACGACAGGACGTTGAGCGCGGCGGTCGACTTGAGGAGGGACGCGAGGGGGAGGAGGAGGGGAAGCCCGAGCTCGAGAGGGGTGCACACGCCGGCGAGGGAGGTGGGCGATGGCGGCAGGAACGAGATTGAGGATCTCGGCGACGTCGAGAAGAGGCGTGCGGCGCCGGCACGCAGGGCGAGCCGAGCCGGCGCGCCGAGCATCGACGAGCCCAGGAACGACGACGACGACGGCGGCGTGGCCCGTGTCGCGTGCGGGCGAGCGTGGACCGCCTCGACCTGCGGCCGCACGGACCCCGTCCTGACGGCTCCCGCGTCGCACCTGCCGCGCCGCCCGCCGTCGCCCGCCGCCGCGCCGACCCGCAGCGCGTCCGAGTCGCACGCCCGCCACGTGACGAACAGGGCGCCGTTCTTCCTCGTGCGGAAGCGGTGCGCGCACCGGACCCAGTAGTGCGGCGCGTTGGCGCGCAGCCACCTCGGCCCGCGGTGGCGCCCGAGCGCGCCGTCGCCGCGTGGGCCGTCGCCAAGGCGGCTGCTGTCCCAGTTGAGGAGCCGCCGCCAGTGCGCGCGCCGGAACGCCTCGTAGTCGAACGGGCCCGAGCGGTGCGCGCCGGCGCCGGCACCTTCGCTCCTGCTGCGCCGCCCGCCGCCGCCGTCGTGCGCTCTCGCGCGGTGCGACAGCGCGAGGCCCCTCCTGCGGCGCGCATGGCCGACCTGGGCGCCGCGCAGGACGTCCCACTCCCTCCTGCACGACCTCGGCGCGCGCCGCTGCCCGACGCACCCGCCCTCGCCCTCGCCGACGTCGTCGTTGCCGTGCGCGCGCGCGTACGCTGCGCCGTACGGGCCCTTGCCCGCAAAGTCGTGCCACTCGTGGCACGCGTGGCGGACGTAGCTGGCCTGGCACGCCGGGTCGCGGCGGCGACGCTCGTTGGCGAGGAGGTACCACCACGACCAGCTGCTCGACGACGCTCGGCAGCCGCTCAGGGGCTGGGCGCACGAGGCCGGGTCGTGGCCGCGGCGGTAGCCGTGTGCGTGGCCGCTGCGGCCGTCGCCTCGACCGTTCGAGGAGGACGACGAGTGGGCGAAGCAGAGCGGCGAGGTCGGGTCGGCGGCGTGGTGGTCGGGCGACGAGTGGTGGCAGTCGTGGGTGCTCGCAGCGCTCGGTCCGGCGCGCGAGAAGGCGTGCTGGATGGGCGAGGCGCGCCATTGCCAGGCGGACGGGCGGTGCGTCTGCGAGAGAGGGCGTGAGCGAGGGACGCCGTGAGGAAGGGGCGCCGCGAGAGCTGAGAGAGGACACGACGACGCACGTTGCGAGAGCGGTGACGGTCCTGGGCCTCGACCTGGGCACGCGCGACCTTCCACCACCAGGGTGCGCCGCGAGCGCGCGCCTTGAGGAGGGCGTCGAGGACGCTCGAGCTGGCCGTGTGCGGGTCGGCGCCGTGCGCACCCTCGTCGCCGTGTGGGCGCTTGTCGTCATGCGCTGGCCGAGGTGGGCGAGCGGCGAGGGCGCGATGGTGCGGGTCGGTCGGGAGATTGTCGACGACGCGGCCGAGAGGACGGGTCGAGGTCGAAAAGAGGCGGGCGAGGTCGGGCGCACGGGGTGCGGGCGTCGGGGTGGTGTAGGTGAAGATGGAGCGGGCGATCGGGCTTGGGCGGATGGCAGGCCGGGGTGGAGGTGGGTGCAGGACGAGGTCGACGAGGGCGCGAGCGGGGCCCGGGCCGGGCAAGGCCAGGGGCGGGCAGTGGCGAGTGAGGAGATGCGCCAAGTGGGCCAGGCGGCCGCCCGGGTGCTTGCAGGCCGTCATGGCGAGGCGGGAGCACGTGGGCGAAGGGCGAGTTGACCCAGGGCGGGGCGCGGCGAGGGCGGGCCCAGGTTGGGGCCGCAGGGGTGCGCGAGGGTGCCGAGAGAGCACGAGCGCAGTGTGGGCCGTGCCAGTCGCTGGCTGGAGCGACCGCGAGCGAGCGCGCAGCGCGAGATGAAGATAGAAGTGGAGCATCCAGCTCGTCCTCCGCTTCCTCACCCGGTGCGATGCTCGCTGGACCCCAGGGTCTGTCATGTTCTTTCACATAGCTTTCAGCCAGCAGCACAACGCCCGGAGGCGAGGGAGACGAGGCGGCTCCTCGCTCGGGAAATTCACGGTCTCGACGTCGCTTGTCATCTCGCTCTCGCCTTGCCGCACACGACCAGGCTGCTGCCAGCCATGCGGCACCTGCACCTCGCCGCACTCGCGGCCTGCCTCTCCCTGGTCGCCCTCGCGCAAGCCCAGTCCAGTGCGCCCGCCTCGTCCTCCTCCTTCTCGGGCTCGGGCTGGGCTCCACCGACGCTCACTCTTGCTCTCTCCACACAGGCGTCTCCAACCTCGAGTCGTTCCCGACCATCTTCGACCCCTCGAGCACCGCCCCACCGACCTCGCCCTCGTCCGGCGCGACCGCGTTCGACCCCTCTCGCTTGCCCTCTGCGCCCGGCCCGGCCCTCCCCTACACCTCGTCCAGCTCCTCCTCCCAGTCGACCAACTCGTCGACGGTGCCCTCGCCCTCAGCCTCGCGCACGACCCTCATCTCGGCCTCGCACTCGGCCCTGCCCTCGCTCGACCCCTCGGCCTCCGAGTACGTCGTCACGAGCACCGTAGACGGCAGCGTCGCGACCGTCACCGTCACGAGCACGGGCGCACCAAGTGCGAGTGCGAGCGCGCAGGGAGGGCAGGCAGGCGGGTCGAGCGGCGCGGCGACAGCAAGGGGGCCAGGGAGCCGACAGAGTGGGGCTCAGGCGCTCTTGGTGGCGGTGGGAGCGCTCGTGCTCGCGCTCTGACTCGGCGCAGCGGCGCAAGTCGAACCCTGTCGTGCATGAGCAATGTTCGAGTCGGGCTCGGGCCCGTTGCGCGTGCGAGCCAGGCCCACTCGGTCCTCGTCCTTCTCTCTCTCTCTCTCTCTCTCTCTGTCTCTCTCTCCTTCGCCCCATCTCGCAGTCTGTAGCATATACCCCCTCGTCGCTCTCTCGTGTTGTCCCTCGTCGTGTGTGCTGCAAGTCGTCCGTTTATCTCTCCCTCTCGTTGCACTCGAGAGTAGAGACAGAAAGCGCTCGCTCTCGTCCTCTCAAACGCCCTCGCGCTCGTCTGCGCGAGCGAACCTGGGAAGCACAGCGTCATGTACGTGTTACAGGTGGACCTCGACTCGCTCGCTCGCTCGGCAGCTCACGCCGACGCGGCCACTTCGCCGAGCGCCTCCTGGACGCCGGCCTGCTGCGCGACGGCGGCCGCCGCGGGCGGTGCCGGCGGCTGCTGTGGCGGGACGTAGGGCGTGCCATCGAGGTTGATCTGGCGCACGCCGGACGCGTCGGCGACTGTTGGCGGGGGAGGTCGGGCGGGGCGCAGAGAGCGCGAGGGGGCAGGGAGGGAAAGCGTCTCAGTATCGGTGTGCGTGCGACGACGCCCGCAGGACAGAGAGAGAAGAGAGCAAGAACGCACCGCGGATGGTCCACCCTCCCAGGTTCATGATGAAGCGCGTCTCGAGCTCGGCGATGCACTTGCGCAGGAGGTCGAGCCCCTGGTCGAGGTCGGCCTCGGGGTCGTGCCACCGGTCCATCGTGCTCGTCGCAAAGTAGGCGCCGTAGCCGTGCGCCGCGTAAGGCACGTGGCCGAGGGTCCCGAGGTAGTCGACCCAGTAGAGCGACGGGGTCGACGTCGTCGGGTCGAAGCCGCCGAGGAGGAGGTTGACCGAGTAGGGCTTGCGCGAGCGCAGCGAGGTGGCGAGCTGGGTGCGGATCCACGCGGCGGCAGAAGTCGGGCGCAGAGGGATGTGGTTGCTGAGGGTGGGACGGCCGTGGTTGGGGCGAGTCAGTCCCGGGCTGCTCTGCCAGAGAGGTAGGGAGAGGACGGACCGGATCTGGTACAGGCGCAGGTTGCGCTCGACGTACTCGGAGAACTGGAGCGTGTCGCCTGGTTCGCCCGAGTCTGAAGGCGGTGCGCGGCGAGGTCAGCGAGCGAGTCGGAGAGAGATGACGCGGCGGCGGCGGCGGGGGGAGGAGGGTGTGGGAGGGTGCGAGGGGAGAGGGACGGCGAGGGACGCACAGGCCATGACGAGGTGCTTGCCGACGACGCGCTGCTTGTCCTCGTTGGACTTCATCTTGACGATGGAGCGGGCGGCCGAGGTGTCGGACGCGAGGAGGACGTAGTCCTTGCCGGTGATGCCAAACGCGACTGCAGGGGTGCGGTGAGGGGGTCAGGTGGGTGCTGGAGTGTCTTGGGGCAGCGAGAGTGGCTCACCTTCCATGGCAGGACGAGGTGAGAGAGGGTGGTGGAGGAGAGAGGGGGAGACGACGACGACCACGAGCTGATGAGGAAGCCCGCGACTCTCTCCTCGAGACGAGCTCGTGCGACCGCAAGTCTGTTCTCTGAGATATCGCTGTACTTCCCACGGCCCCTACACTGCACTCGAGCGAGGTGAGGCGACGTCGACCTGGCTCGCCTCGTCGTCTCCAACTCTCGCTCCTCCTCGCAAGCCCACAATGTCGTGAGTCGACTGCCTGCGCCCAGATCCGAGCCCAAACTGACCTCTCACACACCGGCAGCGGCCACGCACAAGAACCCAGCTCTGTCCCCGAGGAGTGCGCCGCCCCCGTCCTCGTCCTCCCCCACCTCGCAACGTGTGCTCACCGCCCTGCCTCCCCTCCACAGCGACCTCGCACCGACCGAGACCACCGGCTACAAGGTCGGCCAGCAGAAGACCCTCGAGGAGCTCGCTCGCGTCAGTCGCCCTCGCCCCTCTCCCGACGAGGCGGTGCAGTCGCCCATTCAGCGAGCTGACCTCTCCCTTGCCCCGCCCGACCCTCGCAGCTCGACGCCGAGGACGATTCGCTCGCACGGTGGAAGGCCTCGCTCGGCATCAACCCGGCCGCGTCGGCCTCGACCTCGGGTCCGTCCCTCTCCTCTCCTCCTTCTCGCCCGTCCTCGTCCACTGACCCGCTCTCGAGCACGAAACAGGCTCGGGCCCCAACGTCGAGATCCTGTCCTTATCGCTCACGGCCCCGTCGAGGCCACAGCCCATCGTGTTCGACCTCACCGACCCGGCAAAGGTCAAGAGCCTCAAGAGCAGTCGTGCGTCGCGTCTCTCCGTTCGCGAGGGCCCGCCAGTCGCACGTGTCCTGACTCGCACCTTTATGCCCTGCGCCTCCTCGATGCGCAGCTGTCGTCATCAAGGTCCGTCCTCTCCCTCTCGCCGCCCCTCTTCCCCGAGCCCCGACTGACCTTCTCGTCCGCTCGCAGGAGGGCGTCGACTACAGCGTCGAGCTCAAGTTCAAGGTCAACCACGGCCTCGTGTCGGGCCTCAAGTACCTGCAGGTCGTCCGCCGCATGGGCGCAAACTGTGCGTCGCTCGTTCCTCTCCTCTTCTGGCCCTCGACGCGCACCTCCCTGTGCGCGCAGGACTGATGCGGCGTGTTCCTCGGTCCCGCAGTGGACAAGCTCGAGGAGATGATTGGGAGCTACGGGCCGTCGCCCGAGCCGGTCGTCAAGAAGCTCGTCGCCGAAGAATCGTGCGTCGGCCGTCCTCTCGTTCTACCTCGCCGGCGTCGCCTCGATCGACGTCCTCTCGTCGTCGTCTTTGTCGTTCCCTGAGCCTCCACACTGACTCGCCTTTCCCTCGTTCCCTCTCTCGTCCTCCGCCCCTCTCCCGTCCCCCTCCATCCCCGCCTGCCCTCTCCTCCTCTCTCCCTCGCCTCGCCTCGAGCCCCTCCCGCAGGCCCTCGGGCATGATCGCTCGCAGCGGCTCCTACACGGTCCGGAGCCGCGTCATCGACGACGATAAGCACGTCCACTGCGACTTTGAGTGGGTCTTCAAGCTCGCCAAGGAGTGGTAGCTGCGGCCGAGCAGGCGGACCCGGGGACGTGCAGTGCAGTTTTATCAGTATGCGCCATGGCTGCGAGACGCGACGCTTGAGCGAGCGAGAGCCCTCCGCAAGAGAGAGAGAGCGGAGCGAGAGACCAGGTCCAAACGCGCGTCTCGAGAAGAGGGAACAGCCTCTCAGCTGTCGCGCCTCGAGCCACGTCGGCGGGCGACCACGTCCGCCGACTCTGCTGCTACTCGCGCCACGACATCTTGTGGCGCGAGCACCTCGAGTCGGCGAGGAGGAGGCTCGACCGCGAAAAGGTGTCCAGAACAGCCACGCTTGCTCTCGCAGATCAGGTTAGTTGCTCTCGACCCACAGAAGACGAGCGACACAGGGAAATCTAGCGCTTGTAGGCCCGAGAGTTGTACAACCTCGCCTCGTGCTGAGCTCCTCCTCGCCCCTCTCCTTGTCCCTCAAAGCTCGCCGCATCTCGCCCTCGCCCGCTCAGCCATAGCTCTGTCCCTCCCCTTGACCCCGTCTCACGCAAGCGCAAGCTCGGTGACGCTCGCGACGAACGCCGTCGTCGCGAGGACGCAGCGCACGAGGTGGAGCTTTGCCCAGCGCGTGCGGATGAGCGCGTCGTGCGAGGGAAGGACGGGGGTGCCTGCTCGAGTCGGAAAGGAGACGAGGAGCGTGTAGGAAGGGACAGAGTGAGGGGCAGGAGGGGCAAGAGAGGGGTGCAAGAGGGCGAGCGTGCGAGGAAAGAAGGGGAAGTGGACGAGTCAGTTTTGAGGTCTCGCCGTGTCCGGGATCGAGGTGTGAAGTACGAGAGACGTACGACCGGCAGTGCTGTCCCGCTCGAGCGCCTTGAGCGACCCGTTGAGGCCCTCCATGGCGACGACCGTCCACGCAAAGATGGCCAACGTCGTGGTCGCCGCCGCGCCGAGGACGCCCTGGGTGCTCCGCCGTCGAGTCAGTTCGCTCGCGCGGGTCAAGGAGGATCGTCGGGAGGCAGAGAGAGAGGGCAGGGACGCACCTTGCGGTGCCGAGCCACCCAGCCGGCGGGGAGGTAGACCTGCGGCGGGTGCACCGCCCAAGCCGCGTACACGAGGAGCGCGCTCGTCGTGGGAACGAGGGCGATCATGGTGGACTTGCCCTGCAAGTAGAGCTTTGACCAGATGGCCTGTGGGCGGCGAGAGCTGCGGTGAGCGCGACTCCAACTCGATGTGGGGGAACGGGAGGAGGGGGGTGAGGAAGGCGACGCACGAGACGCTGTGCGGGTGCGAGGGTCGAGTCGGGGCGGTACAGCGCGGGCCAAGTCCATGCAGGCTGCGAGCGGTGGTCGTCGTCAGTTGCTGCGAGAGGGACCGCGGGAGGGACGAGATGAGCGAGACGAGGGCTCACCACGCTCCAGGTGAGGCCGGCGCACAGGCCGAGTCCGACGCAAGCCGTCGAGCGAGCGAGTACGAGCGCTGCAGAGTCGGAGCCGGACATAGTGAGCGAGGGCGAGAAGCAAGCGGCACCCGGCCTCTCGGCCAGCTTCAATTTCTGAGGCTCGCTCTGCCTGTTCGTACGCTTCTTCACTCTCGTCAGACGCTCTCACAGGTGCAACAGACTGGCGCAGGACAAGCGAGAAACGAATGGCACTGCAGAACGACGAGGGGGAGAAAGGACAGGGGCCGAGCGGCTGCAACGAGGGGGTACAGAGGCGAGCAACGCCGCGCAAGGCTCACGCGCACACCAGTTCGATGACCGTGAGGACGAACGACGTGCCGGCGAGCACGGCCGTGCCGTGCTGAAGGCGGGTGAGCTCGAGAATGAGCGTGTCGGCTGCGGACGAGGCGCAAGAGGTGAGTTCCTGCGACAGGTGCACCCCTGCCCGACGTCTGGCGACACTGAGCTGGGGAGTCAGAGACGAGGGACTCACTGTCGAGAGGTGCCGCTGCCCCGTCCACCGCCGCGCCGGCCGTCGCCTCGTCGAGGTCGTTGTCCTCGACGTCGCTCTCGTCGCCCTGCGCCTCCCTCTCCTGCTGAGCGACCCACCCGGCGTACTCTCTCGTCGGACTCGCGCCCTTCCACGCCCCGGGCTCCATGGCGCTCAGGCCGAGGCTCGACCGCGAGCGTGCGGCGCGCGCGCGGTCGAGGACGAAGCGGCGCTCTTCCGCCGCGAGGACCTCGATGCGGGGGGCGAGGAGGCCGAAAGAAAAGGGGCGGGAGGCGATGATGAGGGAGGCCGAGACGGCGTAGAACGTCTGTAGATGCGCGAGGGAGGGAAAGAGGGAGAGTGAGAGGGTCCGGATGAGGGCGCAGTGGACGAGGGGCGCACCTTTCTGTTCTCCACCACGAGCCGCACGAGAGATGAGACGAGGCTGACGCTGCCGTACGCGGCAACTCTGGGTATCGGCGGCGACGACTCGACGAGGAGGGCGCACGAGGCGAGGAGGGCGGCGAGGAGGGGAAGGAGGATCGAGGTGGCGGCGGTCGTGTCGGCTTGTAGGCGGGACCACACGTGCTGTATGTGGCGCAACCGAGTCAGCGTGCGCGATGCGTCTGAGAGGAAGGGAGTGGACGGACGAGGCGAGTCTTGGGGAGGAGGTGGGGGCAGGCGAAGAGGGAGGGAACGGCGAGCACAGGCTGCGCGCACGCAGTCGGCAGAGTCAGCTGTGACCTGCAGGAGTGTAGAGAGCGTGGACGCACCACTGCTAGCAGCACGCCCGCCGTGATACCGCCAAGACCGCACGCGAGGGCGCGAAGGCCGAGCAGCGACGCCGAGTCTGCTGCAGCCTGCGGGGGGAGGGGACGAGTCAATCCTGCATGGCCGTGGGAGCTCTGCGACACGCACCATAGCTGCTGGCGAGTGTTGTGTTGAGGCGAGAGCGAGAGGAGGCGCGAGCATGCTCATCTCGGACGAGTTTCACTCTCGCTCTCTGTCTCTGTCTCTCTCGACGACGGCGATGGAGAGTTCTCGCAAAAGCGCTCCACGCGCAGATTGCAAGGGCGGAAAAAAAGGGAGGAGGGGAGGGGATCTGGCGGAACGAAGAGAGGAGAGGGGGATGAGAAAGAGCAAGTCACCGCCGACTGTGCGAGCCTATCTGTTTTCGGGTGTGCTGGAGGGGAACATCTAGAGGGAGAGAGGGAGTCTGTTTTTTTTGGGGTGTGGGTGTGGGAGGACAGAGAGGAAGGAGAGAGAGAGAGAGAGGAGGGGGGAAAGGGGGAGGCAAAAAACACCGGGCGAGGATGAGGGAGGCGCGACGAGGCACACACACGCACATACACGAGGGAGAGAGGAGAGAGGAACCTGGGAGGGTATCGAGTCCTGTTGGCGAAAAGTGGTGGAAGAGGGTGAGGGTGGACGGGGTAGAAGAGGGCCAGGCGAGCTAGTCGATGCTGAGTCGAGCGAGGGCATCGCGAACGGCGGGTTGTGCGACGATGGCGGACCGACGACGACGATGGGGCGAAGAGGAACGAGGCGAGAGGGCGAGGGTGAGGGGCGAGAGGGGAGGGAAAGGCGACGACGACCTCGACGACGACCGAGCACGAACTGAATCGCTGCCCGCCGTAAAGGCGCTGCACCTCCTCGTTCCCGAACCCTCGTCGCTCCCTCGCGACGCACTCCTCCATCGCCTGCGCCGACCGACGGGCGCCGCGCCGCTGCCGCGCACGAAAAAAAAGGGGGTGCGACGACTGCTGATCTGTGCTCAGGACCCTGGCGAAAAAGGGGGTGGGTCGAGGACTAGCAGATCGCGCGCGACCACGTCTCGTGCCCGAACGAGCGGCTCCTCGTGTTGGCGAGGTCGACGGGCGGGAACAGGCTGTACCCGCTCAGCTCGGTGACGCTCGCGCCAGCGGCAGCGGCTGCCGACGACGTGCCGACGGCCTTGTTGCCGTACTGGCGGCGCGCGACGAGGGGCGAGTCGAGCTGCGACGCGGCGACCGACGACGCGAGGCTCGACGCCGCACGCGTGAGGAGCTGGCGGCGGCGGGCGTCAAAGTGGAGCGGCGACTCGAGGGGCCCGCTCGCGTCGAGGTTGACGTGCTCGAGGTACGACGACTGCTGCGCCGAGCGGTGAGGGGTCGAGGGGCACTCGTCCATCGACGACGCGGCGGTCGCGACGCTCGCGAGCGACTCGAGCGACGACGACGACGCGCTCGACGGGAGCGACGCGGCGGCGGCGACAAGGGGCGACTCGCCCGTGACGACCTGGACCGACGGCGCCTCGACGCTGCGCTGCGCGGCGACGATGAGGCGGGCGAGCGCCTCCTGGACGGCGAGGCGCTCGCCGACGACACCGCGGCTCGAGCGGTAGTACTCGACGACGGCGCCGAGCCACGCGAGCCACTTGTCCTCGCGCAGGGCGACGTCGAACGACAAGGCCTTGAACACGTGCGCCTCGAGGGCGTTGACGTCGACGAGCGGGATGCCCGACACGGTCGCGAACGTCTCGTTGCGGTACGAGTTGTCCTGGAGCTGCTTGTTGGCGAGCATGAGGGCGCCGAGGACAATCTTGAACGGCGCCGCCTTGAACGACGTCGTCTGCGCGTCTTGGCCACGCTCGGCCGGCGTCGACGGGATGATCTGGTCGAGCGGCATGCGCGAGACGTAGTACAGGGCGAGCACGATGTCCTCGGGCGCGACGAGCGTCGCCGTCAGGATCTGCTTGACGAACGCGCGGAACGCGCTCGACGGCTCGACAGGGAACGCGGCGGCGGCGGCGGCTGCACGAGCCTGGCCCGGGAAGCCGAGGTCGGCGAGGCGCTGACGACGGGCCGCAGCGTCCGCGAACGTCTCGAGCGCCATGGCGCTGCGACGGTCGCCGATGATGCCAAACTGCTCGGCAGCGCCGTGGCTGCGACGAGGCCCGTTGCGCGCCGGCTGGCCGATGACGCCGACGGCGGCGGGCGCCGACGGGACGGCCGACTCGAGGCCGTGCAGGTAGCCGCGGCGGACGGCCTCCCAGACCATCTCGGTGGCGAGGTCGGCGAGAGGGACGGCCGAGAGCTCGACAGGAGGCGGCGGCGGGACCGACGACACGTTGGGGATGAGGTCGTAGGTCGTGTGGTGCTGCTGCTGGAAGGCGGTGACGGGCTCGTCGTGCATGGCGTCGGCGCGGTGGGGCGGACGGCTGTGCGACGGGTGGTCGTACTCGTCTGCGGAGGGGACACCGCGCGAGTCAGCGCTCTGTGCGAGCCTGTCGAGCAGGTAGCCCAGGTGCTCACTGTCGAGCGTGGCGCGCGACGCCGACTCGGCCCGACGGCTCTCCCAGGTGGCGCGGATCGCCTCGTCCTGGTGGTGCTGCTGGACCGACTGCTGCTGCTGCTGCTGGACGCCGTAGTGGGCGGCGGCGTACTGGGCGGGCGGCGGCAGCGTAAAGTGGGCGGCGGCGGCGGCCGGGGCGTGCGTCGGCGTCGCAAAGGCGAACCGGCTGCGCGCCTGCTCGACGGCGGCGACGGGCATGTGCTGCGCGACGGCGAACGCGGCGGGCTGCTGGGCGTAGTACGGGTCGAGCTGCTGGTGCGGCTGGCTCGGCGGGTAGAACTGCTGCGCCTGCTGCTGGCCGTGGGCGTAGGCGTGCACGTTGTAGGCCGGGTAGGCGTGGGCCTGGGCCTGGGCGGCGTGCTGGTGGAGCGACGCCTGGTGCTGGGCGTGGAGAGGGTCGTAGTGCGCCGCGCCGTAGTAGAGCTGCTGCTGCTGCTGCTGCTGAGGCGGGGCCACCATCTGCCACTGATGGTGGGTGGTACCGTCGAAGGACGGGTACACGGGGTGGGCGATCATGCGCTGGACGAGGACGGGTGGTCGAGGAGCGGCGGCTTCTCGAGGACCCGGGATTGTGCTGGTCGACGAGGTCGGACGAAGCACTTTTGGCGGAGGAGGAGGAGGACCGGGGTGGGTGGATCCGGGATGAACAGGAGGAGGTGGCGCTGTGGCAAGAAGAACGAGAGTCAGGGACCGTGTCGAGGCGGGCGAGACGAGGAGAGTGGACGCACAATGCGGAGGAGCAGGCGGAGGACAGCTAAGCCCTGTCTACTGAGCAGACGTGGAGGAGGAGGAGGAGGAGGATGCGGATGAGGGTGTGCTTGTAGCCGAAGAGGTCTGCGAGGACGAGGGAGGAGGGACGAGCGAGAGTCAGTGAATGCGCTCGCCTCGCCGGAGGAAGCGACGCCTCGTGACGCACCCTTGAACGCTCTTTGAACTTCCTTCCCGTCGAGTACGATAGACCTGGATCCAGACGACTTGCAGCAAGCTGCGCGCCACCGAGACCGAGCCGACCAGGGTGCGAGGGGGAGGGGAGAGCACAGGGTCAGCTTTGTCAGGGCCAAGTGCCGCGGACGGCCTCGGGGGAGAGACAGAGAGAGGCGGGCGCACCTCTGGAGGTGCAATCGACCGAGTGACCGTGACGCTGAGCGACTGCTGCTTGCGCGACGTGCTCTTGCTGCTGGCTCGGGCTGCTGCGACGCCTCGAAGATGGGCGACGGCGGAGGCGGCGGCGAGGGCGGCAAAGGGCTCGAAGGCGGGCGAACGAGGGCCTGGGAGCGCGCGTGCGGCGAAGCAGGTAGCGCCTAGGGCGTACGGGTGGGACTTGGCGTGCCGGGGAGGAGGAGGAACTGCTAAGGACCTCGACGACGGAAAGAAAGGGGAGCAGGTGGCCTCCGGCTCGGGGTCGGCGACCGCTTTTTCCTATTGCGCATTACCACTCGCCTTACCAGCTTTGCCTCAGTCCTCCACGTTGACCTCGCCGACCCGAGTCGTCAGCTCCTCTCGTGAGCATCGGCGACGCTCGCTCGACCTCGAGGGCGCTCTCGCTCCGACCTCTCGCTCTCTCCAGAACGGACGAGGACACGGTGAAAGCGCTTGTACTGCACGAGACTCGACGACAGAGGGAGAGGGGGAGAGGCAGACCCGGCTTGAGTCAACGTGCGCCTGCGCTCGATCCTCCTCGGAACGTGCGCTCCCGCTCAAACGCCAAAGATGCTCGCCAAGTCCGACACTTCTGCATACGGAGAGTTGCGAGAAGGCGCACACCGTCAGTCACGCACACGTTGTGGGTCCGGCTCGAGGAGGGCGGGAAAAGGGAGGGACGCACCGATCTTGGACTTGCTCTTGGGCGCGTTCTTGTTGCCCGAGAAGGCCTGCGTGACGAGCACCGAGAACATGCGTGAGTGAGGCTCGCAGGGAGACCGGCAAAGAGAGGCGAGGACGCACCTGGGCGATGAGCGCGTCCTTCTTGTCCTGGATGGCGAGAACCCGCTCCTCGACAGTGCCCTTGGCGACGAGCTGAAAGACCCGGACCCTGTCGAGCGTACAGTAGAAGCTGTCAGTCTCGGTGTCGGCGGAGGAAAGGGAGAGCGAGGGCGAGGACGCACGTCTGAGTCTGGCCGATGCGGTTGACGCGGTCGATGGCCTGCAGCTCGATGGCCGGCTGCCACCACCTGCGTCGAGAGCGTGTCAGTGACGATGGCATGGCCATGCTCCGTCCACACAGTCGTGACCGTGAGGCATCGAGATGAGGGAGAGGTGGGACGCACGGGTCCATGAGGAAGACCTGGCTCGCGACGGTCAAGTTGAGCCCGAGAGCGCCGGCCTGCAGACGTCGAGAGCGTGTCAGTGCCCGTCGCTCGTCGCCGTGAAAGAGGGAGAGGGCGCACCTTGAGCGAGAGGAGCATGACCATCGGGTTCTGCTTGTCGTTGGCGCTGCCCGCCGTCGCCGTCTTGTTGGGCGTCGTGAACGAGCGGATGACGTCGGCGCGCTTCTCCTGCCTCATCGAGCCGTCGAAGCTGCCGTGAGGGAGATGGGTGTTAGGGAAACGCGATGAGAGGCAGGGAGATGAGGACGAGGGACGCACCGACAGGTCGAGATTCCCTCGGCGTGGAGGACCGCCTCGATGCGGTCGAGGTGCGAGGTCCACTGCGAGCGAGAACTCGTCGTGAGTGAATGTACGTCTCGGCGAGTGCGGGCGAGAGAGAGAAAGACGAGCGCACCTGCGAGAAGACCAAGCTCTTGACACCCGGCGGCGAGCTCTTGAGGAGCGTGACGAGCGCCGCCGCCTTGGCTGTTCTCTCGACAGGCGCCGCGCTCCCGTGACGACTCGAGCTCGCGCCGCCGACGCTGCTTGCGCGCGACCCGCCGAACGGTGACACGCTGCGCTCGGCCGCCGGCGCGATGATGTGCTCGCGCGACAGGACGTGGTTGCACGCCGGGCACGCACTGCGGGCGTCGACGGCGACCTCGATGCTGCAGGCGTTCGAGGCGATGAGTGACGCCGAGGTAGAGGGACAGGGTGAGGGAGAGGAGGGACGCACCAGTTCTGGCAGAAGAAGTGCTGGCAAATCGTGATGCGCCCGTCCATCGGCCACCCGCCGCACGCGAGGCACTCTGCGCCCGCGTCGACGGCGTCGCTCAGGAGCCCGCGAAGGTACGACAGCTGCTCGGCCGACACCGGGCCCGAGCCGGACGGGATGCCCGTCGCCTTCTCGTGGTCGTGCTGGATGCGGGCGGCGAGTTTGCGGTCGCGAATGCTGCAGAGGGCTCGAGAGGTCAGGCCCGAGTTCCACAAAGAGTTGAGAGGAGGTGACGCACTCCTCGATAAAGTCGGCGGGGACGAGCGACGGGTCGCAGGCGAGCTGGCGCAGGCGGAGAAGAAGGCAAACTGGCGGCGCGGAAATTCGTGAGTGACAGGCGGCTTGGCGACGCAGAGACGAGGGAGCAGGGACGCACGAATGTGGGTGTAGCTCGGCTTGGCCGAACCGTCCTCGATGGACGCCTTGACGCTCTTGCCGACCTCGCTCGCGACCTCGTCGTACAGGGCGCGGTCGTCCTTGCCGAGGTCGACCTGGTGCTGGTAGCGAAGGACCTCGGGAAGCTGCACGAGCGGCTTGCCGTCTATGCCGACCATGTCCTTGGTGCTGCGCGGCGAGGGGAGCGAGTCAGTCTGGGGAGAACGAGGCGGAAGGGGCGCGAGCGTCGAGGGGCGCACCGACGCAGAGTCGTAGAGAGCACGACGGCCTGCGGGCAGGGCGATCAGGTCAGACTTGTACAAGGACGAGAGCGAAGAGAGAGTCGACGGACCCGCAGAGCCCGGCCTCGAGCCTCGTCGTCGACTTTGGTCACGCGCTGCTTCCACACGTCGGGGTCGTCGAGCGGCTTGCAGACGTGGAGGAACTGGACCATGGTGCCGACTGCATGCTCGAGTCAGGACGTGCTGCTCGGGAGTGCTCGAGGGGAACGAGAGGGACGCACGGTCGGCGGCGGCGTTGACGATGGGCGTGCCCGACAGGATCCAGCGACGTCTGCAGGTGGGAGCGTCAGGACGGCCCGGCGACAGAGACGAGAGGAGAGACAGAGGACGCACTCGGCCTTGAGCTGGGTGCACGCGCGAGTCATCTTGGCCTTGGGGTTCTTGATGAGGTGGCCCTCGTCGAGCACGACCCGGCGCCACTTGATCGCGTGCAGCGTCGACTCGCTCAGGATCTTCTGCTTTTTGCCCGGCGGCTCGACGTCCTCGTCGTCCTCGTTCATGTTGCCGAGCTTGTCCTCGGGAGCGCTAGAGCCCTTGCGCGAGTTGCTGCCCTCGACCTCGGCCGCGATCGTCTGGCTGCAGGCGCTCGGGACAGGGTCAGTGACGGGGCGCAGAGAGATAGAGGTAGAGAGACGAGACGGACTAGGTCGTGATGATGACGTCGTGCTTGCGGAGCTGCTTCTTGGTGAGCTCGCGGCCCTCGCCGTGGTAGAAGTGCCAGCTCAGGCGCTTCTTGCCGACATGCTGCTTGAGCTGCTCGGTCCAGTTTGACGCGACCGAGAGCGGGCATACTGCGCGAGGGAGAGGAGTGTCAGTCACCTGCAACGCTGAGAAGGGGAAGGAGGAGGAGAAGGGGGACGGACCGATGAGGGTCATGTCGTCGTAGCGCTCGTCGGGCTCCTCGGGCTCGTCGAGCACGCCCTCGCCCGTGTCGTCCGTGCAGATGAGCGCGACCGTCTGCATCGTCTTGCCGAGTCCTGCAGGCGGGCGAGATCGTCAGGTCCGGGCTCATCGGCGACGGGCGAGGGGACGATGGTTGACTTGCCCATCTCGTCGGCGAGGATGCCGCCGCGCTTGAGCTTGGGTGGGTCGCGCTGCGTCGAGTCGGTGACGACGTTCTGGTAGAAGGCGTAGCCCTGCGCGAGTCGAAAGGGCGTGAGTAAAGGGCGCGAGGGGGGGGGAGAAACAGGAGGCGCGAGCGCACGTCGTCGTCCTTGCGCATCCTCCAAAGCTGAACTGGCGGGTCCTCGACCGTCTTGGGGAGCTCCGGGTGCTCCATGCGGATCATCCAGGCGAGCCCTTGGCGCTGCGGGCGAGACGAGCTCGAGTGAGTCGGGCGCGACGGGGCAGTCGAGAGGGGGAGAGGAGCGGACGCACCTGGAACGGCATCAGGTCGGTCCTCATCGACCCGTCCTCCTTTCCCGGAGGACACGGATGTCCGGCGAGACGAGCCGGGTCCATCGCGCCCTCCTGGAACATGCTGCCGAGCATGTCGACCTTGTTCTTCTTGTCGAGGAGGACCGACGCCCGCATGGCCGCAGCCCGCGCCGGGTTCTGGGACGATAGAAAGGCTCAGAGACGACGCGATAGAGGGGAGGAGGAGGAAGAGGCGACGCACCGAGACGCCCTTCGAGCTAGTACCACCGCGCGCCTTCGACCCTGCGCCCGTCCCTCCCGCCGCGCCCTCTTCCTCGCCGGCCTCCTCCCAGAGCTCCTTCTCGGCCTGCTCAAGCGCGGCCTTCTTGTTCTTGTCGTCCGTCTTGCGCTTCTGCCGCTCGGGAAAGAGCCAGTCGAGCCTCGGATCGGCGGCGACCTTGCGCTTGCCCCAGATGTCGATGCGCATGGGCACGCTCGGGACGCCGATGGTGCTGCTCGGGACTGTATGGAAGAGAGGTCAGTACGCGCTGAGGGGCGAGGAAGAGCGGAAGACAGGGAGGGAGGTGGGACGCACTCTCGCCGGCTCGACCCTTGAGGTCGATCTTGCGCTCCTTGACGAGCGACGCCAGTCGCGCCGACAGCTGCTTGGCGACGAAACCGATGCGCTGACCGCGAACATGGCGGACCTCGATCGCGTTCTTGTCCGTGACGTTGTACGGGTCCTGCGAGAGCTCGGCGGCGTCAGTTGCGGCGTAACGAGCGTGCGAGGGCGGCCGGGGTGGGGACGCACACGGCGCAGCTCGACCTCCATGCCCTCCTTGACTGCGGTGGGGACAAGGCAGAGTAGGTCAGCGACAACCCGAAGCTGAACGAGACGCGGAGGGAGAGGGAGACGGACGGGTTGCGATGCCCCTCGCGTACTTGAGCCCGACAATGTTGGCCTTGGGAATGAACGCGAGCAGAGCCGTCTCGTCGGGGTCCTCGCCGCTCAGGACAGGCTTCTTGTCGTCGTCGTCGTCGTCGTCGCTGCCGAGAGGGACAGCACCGCCGCCCTCGGAAGCTCGCGCCTTGCCCTTGAGGTCGGGGCTGCTGGAGCGCGTGAGGTTGGGCTGTGGAGGTCCATGAATGGTCAGTTGAGGTGCACTGCTCGCTCCTGGGGCGGAAGAGGGGGCGCACCTTGTCATCGTCCTCGTCCTTGATGGCGAGGTCGAGGTCGAGCTTCGAGGTCGATGCGACGGGCTCGGCAGGGCGGCTGGTGCCCGAGAGGTCGTCTTCTGCCTTGACGGCCATCGTGAGCAGCAGAGCTCGACGAGGCGGTGAGAGGGCGCAGGACGAGCCGACCTCCCTCCGCTCGAGCCGAAACGACCCTCTCAGCGCTTCGCTTTCGCTCTAGACAGTGCCGTTCAGGTCTCGCGTAACGTCGACGCACTCTCTGAGGTGGATGCCCAGGGCAAGTGCACGAAACGATGAGAATTGGCAAGCGAGAAACGACGAGAACGAGGGGGAGGAAGGAGGCGGTGGAGGGAAAGGACGACTCGGGGGCATTGCGACTACGAGAGGGGTATGCAGAGAACCGGCGGCGCACAAGGGAGCGAGACGGACGAGTGGGGCTCACGCCTCGCCGCCGACAGCGATGCCCCTCGAGCCCGGCGCGCCCGGTCCGCCGACGCCGCCCTCCTGCGCATCGCCACCAGCGCCGCCGCCGACGAGCGGACCGCTCGTGCTGCCGCGAGCACTGACGGCGGCCCCAGGACCGTACGAGCGCTCGGCCTTGCGCGCGAGGATGTCGATGATGGGGCCGAGGAGGCGCGTAAAGGCCTTCTCGCCGAGCGTCGCGACGCGGAGGCGGCCCTCGCCGGGCCTGGCGCGGACCGTGGCGGCACGAGGAGCTGAGTTGATGAGTGCGAGCTCTGCAGGGAAGAGAAGGCGGCGTCAGGGAAAGTTGCCCGACGCGCAAGGCGCGAAGAGAGGGAGGGAGTGGGGGCGCACCGCCAAAGTAGTCGCCCTTGCCGAGGACGCCGAGGACCTCCTCGTCGATGCCGCCCTGGGCGTTGCGCTTGCGCTTGGTGACCTCGGCGCGGCCGCTCTCGATGATGTAGAAGTTCTTGCCGACCTCGCCCTCGACGACGACCTGCTCGCCCTCGTCGTACACCTTCTCCTCGAGGGCGTCGGCGATCTTGGCGCGCTCCTTGGCGTTGAGCTCCTGGAGGATCGACACCTCGCCGAGGAAGGCCTCGTACATCTTGCGCTTGCGCGACGTGTGCTCGACGAGGATCGAGCGGAACGTGACGCGGTCGAGGGCCCACATGGTGGCGCGCGACGTCGCGACGACCGTGGCGGCACGAGGCGCGTTGTACATGAGGGCGAGCTCGCCGAACGAGCCGCCGGGCCCGTACGTCGCGACCTTCTTCTCCTCGCCCGGCTGCGAGACCATGCTCTGGCCCGGGCCGGCGTACGAGTGCGTCGGCGGGCCGCGGACCCACACCTCGAACGTGCCCTCCTCGACGACGTAGAAGAAGTCGCCGACGGCGCCCTGGACGATGACCTCGGTCCCGGCCTGGACCGTCACCTCCTTCATGGCGTTGAGCACGTCCGTGTGCTGGTCGACGTCGAGGTTGCGGAACAGGAGGTTGTTCGAGATGGCCTTCTCAATGCGCTGGCGCTGCGACGGCGTCTTGGGGATGATCGTCTTGGGCAACGCCTGGGTCGCCGCGTCCGGGTCGAGCGACTCGGCGCTGACCGACGTGCGCCGGCCGAGGTTGTAGTTGACGCTCGGGACCGTGAGGCCGCCTGCGCCTGGACCCTGCTGCGCCTGCCCACCTGGGCCGCCGCCGCCGACGCCGCCGAAACCGCCGAACGGCGCGCCGCCCGTGACGCCCGGGCGGTAGCTCGGGTCGTCCCGAGGGTCGTCGACCTCCTCCTCCGAGTCGCTCGTCGGCGCGACAGCGCGCCCTTGCGTCGGCGCACCGACCCGCGACGCGCCGCTCTGGCTGAACCGGCTCGCGCCGGGCGCGGGCGCGTCGGCCGAGGACCCGGCGCGCGCGGGCCCGCCGCCGGGCGGGTACTCGGAGAACGGCGACGGGGCGTCGTCGCGAGGGCCACCGGGGGCGGCACCGAACGCGTAGCCCTGGTGGGCGAGGCTCGACGGGCGGGCGCCGGCGCCCTTGGTCGGCGCGGGCTTGCCGCCGCTCGGCGACAACGAGCGCGCGCCGGGCGTCTCGCCCGTCATCGACTTGGCCGACATGGGCGGCGTCGCCTCGCGCATGCTCGAGTCGTCGACGGACGAGCGCGCCATGCTGGACCGGCCCGGGTTGGTGGTCGACGACGAGGCCGACGCCTGGGCGCGTGTGGCGCTGCGCTCCTGCTCGAGGCGCTGCGCGAACCAGTTTGCGCAGAACTGGAGCGGGTCGGACGGTTGTGCGCGCAAGACCTCGCGGTTCAGGTCGGACAGGATGGCCGAGTAGCTCGAGGGGAGCGACATGGCGAGGGGAGATGAGGGGAAGGGGAAAGGTCGAGGTGCAGGACTGTGTGGGCGACAGCTCGGTCAGTTCCGAGGGTACCGTCACTGAGAGAGGGGCCGGGAGACACGCACAGGTCCAGCCGCTGCTGGTGCGAGGCGTTTGACGAGCTGCCAAGGGCGAGAGTTCCAAGTGGGGGAGGCGAGGTGTCAATGGAGGAGACTGGCGCGAGGGGGACGAGGGGACGAGCCGGCGCACCTGGAGGCGATGGGCAGTGGACGAGAGTACTCGCTGCAGGCGCTCGGTGGCTTGCTCGTGCTGCGACTGTGCGAGACGAGGGGGGACAAGGGGCGGGGAGGAGGCGAATCGTCGTCGGCGAACGGAAGGGGGGCGTGGGCGCAGGTCAGCTCTGCTCAGGGGGCTCAGAGAGGGGCGAAGTGGTACGCACAGGTTGCTGGTACTCGTCGACGTGCTCGTGTCGGGGCAGAGAGCAGTGACGGCGGCGAGAAGGCTAGCCAGAGCGAGGAGGCGGGCTCACCTCTTTCCAAGCCCGGCCGCGACCCCGCACTCTCAGCCGGCGCCTCCCCTTGTTGTGGCACGACTGTAATGCAGATCTGACTTTACGAACGCCAGAATACAAACCTGGCGACGAGCGATTCCATCTGCGACGAACGCGCGCTCAGGCCTCGTGCGCAGCTGGCTCTAGCTCTCGCAGCTGCTCTCGACCTTGCAACAAAGCACTTCGAACAAGCAAGAGAGAGGTGTCAGGTTTGGGGTCGACCGGCGCGCGCTCGCGGTCGAGGCGAGTCGAGCGGGCGAAGCGAGCTGGTCTCTCCGTCACTCTCACCAGTCACAATGTCAGTCTCTGCTGTCCTTGCTCGGCACCGCACTCTATCGTCCCCTTCGCCACCGACGCCACCGACCCACGCACGCCCAACGACTCGAGCGCGTCGCGCCGTCGCCGCCGTCGAAAAGCTGGACGAGGGTCGACCTCTGTAGCCCGCCTCGCCTGGAGCGGTCGGTGGACGGGAGGACGGCAGATGGGTTACTGCAGGTCGGCGGGCAAGCGCAGGAACGCTCGCCGTCGAGGAAGAGCGGCGGGTGCGGGTGCGGCGCGACCACGGCGACGACCTCTCAGCTCGACCCGACGGCGCTCGACCTCGCCCTCGGCGCCGCCCACCCGGCTCCTGCCGCGCCTTTTCGACGTCGCCGACACCACAGCAACGTCAACGACGAATCCCGCGCCCGCCCAGACCACCCCGACTGACAGCCACCCTCTCCCCCTTCGTCCGTCCACAGGGCGAAAGCGGCCGCAGCCCCTGCGAACAAGTCGTCGGCCAAGGGCAAGAAGAAGTGGTCGAAGGGCAAGGTCAAGGACAAGGCGCAGAACGCCGTCATCTGCGACAAGCCGACCTTCGACCGCATCATGAAGGAGGTCCCCACCTTCAAGATGATCTCGCAGGTGGGTGCTTGCACTCGATGGTCGCGTGCACGTCAGTCTGCGCCGTCACTGACTCTCTCCCTCCTCCCGTTCCTCCCGCAGTCGGTCCTCATCGAGCGCATGAAGATCAACGGCTCGCTCGCCCGCGTCGCCATCGCTCACCTCGAGAAGGAGGGGCTCATCAAGCCGGTCATCCACCACCGCGCCCAGCTCGTTTACACGAGGACGAGCGCCGACGTCGACGCCTAAGTCAGGTGCGTCAAGTCTCTCTGTCCGACTTGTGTGCGCTGCGAGGTCCGGGCACTGAGTTTCCTCCCGCCCTCTCTCCCTCCCTCGTTCGTGCCTTGTCTGTCCGCCGTAGCAGGGTCACTTGGTCTGCCTCTGTCTCTGTAACCGCGCCTTCTCGCAACACTTCGTCCGCCGCCGCGAGCCGAGAGAGCTTCGTCCGCTCGTGCCTCTCTGCCTCGTTCTCGCGCACAGCGTCCCCTCCCCGCTTCACGCGGGTCGCCCGTCGTTCAAGCTCTTGCGAGCGTGCAACGGGACGAGCCTGCCGACCCGTGCTCCTCTCGTTCGAGCGAGTGAGAGGCTGCACCGCCCGACCTGAGAGTTGCGCCGTGCAAGGCGGCGTCCACCTCTCGCGCGAGCGTGTGCCGGGCAGTGGGTGGCGGAACCATTGCGAGAGAGATACTGCACTGCAGCACACGCCAAGCGAGAGCCCGCGGCTGCTCGTCGTCCTCATCTGGTCGGCGCCGCCCTCGCGCTCCTCTCTCACTCGACTCGAGCATGTCTGCCGTTCTCGCCTCGCTGCCAGACCTCCCGGCCGTCGTGCAGCCGGGCACGACCCTCAACGGCAAGCGCATTCGCGTCCCGCCTCGCGTCAACCTCGGAGACCTGTGCGCGCACCTCCTCCCTCTCGCCCACCCACCTCTGGAGGAGAGCTGACCGCAGTCAGATCCGCCCGAGCAGTACCCCGAACAACCTCGGCACGGTCAAGAAGCTCCACGCGTGCCTGTTCCCCGTCGTCTACTCGCCCTCCTTCTTCGACTCGCTCCTCAACCCGGCGGCCCACCCCGAGGACTACAACAAGCTCGTCTTCTACCAGGACCTGCCCGTCGGCGTCGTCGTGTGCCGCCTCGAGCTGAGCGACGCCGCGACCCCGAAGACGCTCGCCGAGGCGGCCGCGGCGACCAAGGTCAAGGAGGTCGACGGCGCCGACAAGGACAAGGCCAAGGCGGGCTCGCCTGCTGCCGACAATGGCAAGAGCTACAAGCTCTACATCATGACTCTCGGCGTCCTCGTGTACGTCCCCCCCCTTTCCTCTCTCTCTGCGCGCGAAGCGGCCGCCTCGAGGCGACCATCGAGCTAACCTTGGTGCTCTCCCACCCTCTCGTACAGCCCATACCGCCACCAAGGTCTCGGCAGCAAGCTCATCCACCACGTCCTGACCTCGGCGGCCGCGACGCACGTCCCGCCCAAGCCCAAGAAGCCCGTCTCGAAGCCGGCGCCCGCACCGCCAGCGACCAACGGCTCGTCGGCCAAGGGCAAGAAGGGCGCCGCCCCGCCGCCGCCCGTGCTCGCCAAGAAGGACGACAAGAAGAAGGACGACGAGGACGAGGAGGAGGAGAAGCCACGCCCCAAGGTCGACAGCGTGTACCTTCACGTCCAGGTCGGCAACGACGACGCGAGGAGGTTCTGGGAGAAGTGGGGCTTCCAGGTCAAGGTGCGCCCTCATCTCGTCTCTTCTCCTCTCTTTCTCTATGCCTCGAGCGACCGAGCGAACACTCTCACTGACCCTCAACTCGGACCCCTTCCCTCCCTCCTCTCAACCGCCGACTCGCACTCGCTCCCGCCCAACGCCCCGCCGTATCCCGTGCAGGACACCGTCGCCGACTACTACCGCAAGATCGAGCCTCGCGACGCGTGGCTCCTCGAGCGCACGGTCGAGCCGCAGCTGTCCGAGGGTGCGAGCGCGAGCGCGTGAGGGCGCAAGCTCGGTCGAGCAGGGCGCAGGGTTGAGATCTAGAGGGTCTCGAGAGGAGGACAGAGTCAGTATCTTCGCAATTGCAAAGGCAGTTTGTCCGTGCTTGCGTCCTGCCTGGAGAGAGCAGCTCCCGGTTCTCTCTCGAGCTTTCCCGCTCTTCTCCCTCTCTCAACCTCTCTCTCTCTCTCATGCTTGGGAGCGTCGCCGGCAGGATGGGAACAAAAAATTGGGGCAAGCGTTACACCGAAAGGAGGGGGAAAGGGAGGCGCGAGAGAGTGACGGGGCGAGCTATTCGACAAGCTTGAGGAGGAGGGGGTGCACAGAGAGAGGATCGCGATGCCCGCTCACTGCTCGAGGTGCGCGTAGTCGAACCGGAAGTCGTTCTTCTTGCGCTGGCACCAGCTCCCTGTTGGCGGGCACGAGGAGTCAGTCAACGACGGCGCCTTCTCAAACGGCGACGACGACGACGACGAGAGAGAGAGAGAGAGAGAGGACGCACCCTCCCAGTCGAAGTAGAGGTACACGCCCTGCTCGAACGAGTCGGTGATGGTCGTCGGCTCGTTGGCGCGCTGGAACCACGTCAGGTACTGCTTGTGGAACCGCCACGACTGCTTCTTGAGCTCGTTGGCGGCGAGGTACCTGCGGGTCGTTGTGCCGGGTGAGCGGGTTGCGCCTCGAGAGTACGCTTGAAGGGAGAGAAAAGGGGAGAGACGCACTGGAGGTAGGTACCGGGGCAGTAATAGAAGATGTAGAACAGCGTGTCGACGTCGAGCTTGGCAAAGAGCGCCGGGCTCGCAAACTGGCTCGACGGCTCTTGCGGGTAGTAGGTCGGCGTCGCGTACGGGTTCCGCGCCACGTAGTACTTGGGCCTGCGTGCGAGAGTGTCAGTGCGGCGGACAGGGACAGGAGGGAAAGAGGCAGCGACAAGGGACGCACTTCTCGGCATCGAGCGGCTGCGGCACGTTGGCCATGCCGGCCTCGAGGATCTTGCTGATCTCGCCCAGGTCCTGGTCCCGCCGCATCGCTGCTCGTCGGAGAGGGAGAGGGGAAGAAGGGCAGATGGTCAGGACGGTCCTGCAGCGACAGGCTCAAGAGCGAGGCGCAGAGAAACGGGACGCACACTTCTGCTTGGCGCTCTCAAAGCTCGTGACGAGGTCGGCGAGACTGCTCGGCAGCCTCGCCTCGGCCGCCTGCCGCGCCTGCGCGTCCGCCTTGGCCTGCTGCGCTGCCGCCTGCTGCTGCTGCTGCTGCGCCGCCGCCGACGCTGCTGCTGCTCCTGCGTCGGCCGAGGATGGTGCGGGAGATGGGGAAGGAGGAGCGGCGGATGCGGGCTGCGGGCGATGGAGGGAAGAACGGGTCAGTGCTCGGAAGTTCACCGTGCGAGGACGACGAGGGAGGGGCAGAAAAGGTGGGACGCACAGCAGGGCTGAGCGACGGACTCGGTGCGGAAGGTGCCGCCAGCATGGGCGACGGCGCCGCAGACGACGCCTGGCTCGCGACCGACGCGTCGGGTGCGCTGCTCGACGCCGGCGCAGACACCGCAGGTGAGGGCGCCGACAGGCCTGGTGGTGCGCCCGTGCCACTTGGGGACGACACGCTCGGCGAGGCGGCGGCGTTTGCGGCGGCGGCGGCGGCGGCGTAGCGGATGGGCGGGAGAGGCGGTGCGGGAGAGGAAGAGGCGGCGGCGGCGCCTCGCGCCGCGGATGCGGATGCGGGACCCGAGACGGAACGAGACGGCGTCGGTGCGGCGGCTGGAGGACGAGACGACGACGACGAGGTCGAGTCGAGGCTCGCCTTCTTTTGCGGCGTCGCGACGGCGGCCGCCTTGGGCTTGGCGGGCGTCTTCTGCTCGTCCTCCTTGGCGGCGGCTGGTGGCGGACCCGACTTTGCCGGCGTCTTGGGTATGGGCGGAACGGGCGGTGCGGGCTCGTCGGCGACGGACGCCGACTCGTGCGACGAGTGGTGGTCGTCCTGGACCATGCCGAACGCGTCCTCCTCGTCCTCGAGGTTGAGCTCGTCGTAGATGCCCTCGTCCTCCTCAAAGTCCTCCTCCTGTGGCGAGCGGGAAGAGAGTGTGTCAGGTCGGTCGGCGCAGACAGGGAGAGAGAGATGGGGAGGGAGAGGAGGGACGCACCGTGTTGCTCTCGACGAAGTAGGCGATGTCGTCCTTGACATTGGTGACCGTGTCGGTCGCGAGGTTGCCATTCTCGAGCAGGCGCAGGATGAGCTCGAGGCGGTTGACGTGCCACTCGCGCCGCTCGTTGAGGCGCTCGAGCTCCTCGAGGCGCGCCTCGCGCTCGGCGTCCTTCTTCTTCTGCTTGGTGCCCTGGATCGTCTCAATCTCGGCCTCGGCCTGCTCGACTTGACGCGACAGCTCCTCGACCATGGTCTGGATCCACTGGCACATCTCGACCTTCTGCTGTTCCTTCGGGTCGAGCTTGGCGGCGGCGTTGAGGCCCTCCTTGGAGAACGCCTTGGTCTTCATCTCCTTCTCGCACGCCTTGAAGCGCTCCATTTGCTGCGGCGGGGTCGAGGCGAGAGTCAGTCCCTCTCGGGCGGGCGCGGGAAGGGCGAGGGAAGAGGGGGACGCACCGTCTCGATCAACTTGCGGTTGTCGATGAGGGGCTGCTTGTCCTTGATGTCGTTGCTCGCCATCCATGTCTTGATCTGGTCGCGTAGCCGCTGGAGCTTCTTGATCTGCGTCTTGAGGTCCTGCTCGAGCTTCTCCTTCTGCGTCTGGTTCTGCGACGTCTGGATCTTGTCGAAGATCTGCGGGTGGACGTGTCAGCTCGGCGCCGGTTCGGGCACGGCGAGAAAAGGAGAGCGAAAGGTGGACGCACACCCTCGAAGAGCTCGACCTGTGTCCGAGGCGAGAGGGCGAGGTGGAGGGACAGTCAGCTCGCGGACGGAGGCGAGGGGGGGGGGAGGAACAGCTTGACGCACGCCCTCGGTCACCTTCTTGAGGGTCTTGTCGATCTCGGCTGCAGGTGCGCGGGCAGGCTAAAGTCAGTACGAGGTCGAGACGGCTCGTCTCGAGGTGGCTGTGGCCAGTCGGCGATGAGGGTGCTCGGGGCCACTACGGCACTCGGCTGCGGCGCGACCGGGCCTGGAGCGGCCAAGGAGGCGGATGACGGGCTTGCTGCGCCACCTCGAGGGCGGTGCGCCGTGTCGGGGGGCAGCCGGGCAAGATGGAGGCGGGGAGGAGGAGGAGGGGGGAGCTCACTCTGCAGTTTCCGCGCTGCCATGATGAACGCGCTGCTCCTGGGTCGAGTCGATGTGCTGGCTGGACTCCGGTCAGCTGGGAACGGGAGCCAGGGAGTGGTGCGGCGGCGTCGAGAGCCTGTTGGCCCTGGCGCCGCCTGCGACGAGAACGACGGCGAGGTCGCCTCGGCAAACCAGCCATTCGAGGTGCACGCCGTCCATCTCACTGTGTAGCAGCTGCAGAGACCCGCCCAAAGCGCGCCAACGTGCTCGTTGCAAATTGACATTCTGCTTCAGTCTCTCCTCCTCGAACCGAGGCCGCAGCCGCCTGCTCCTGTACCCGACCCACTGCTCCTCGTCGTCTCCTCGACCGCGCCGCCGAGCCAGGTCCCAGCCTCAGTCGCCCGCACCCGTCCTCGCTCGCCCCGGCCCGCCCTCCTTGACGCCCTCGTCGAGCGCGCGCCGCAGCTTCTCGACCCGCTCGCGGCCGTTGAGGCTGCGCTGGTCGAGGATGGCGAGCGTCGAGTCGAGCTGCGCCCGGATGGGCTTGGACAGGCGCGCGAGCGCAGAGGGCGCCGTGCGGCGGAGGAGAGACAGGCGTTCTTCGACAGCTCTGCGGGCGAGGGTACGAGAGGCCCAGTCAGGGACGGCTCGAGAGATCGAGTCGGGTCCGACGAGGAGAGGCGAGAGAGAGAGCGAGACGCACTTCTGTATCCGGTCGTCGCGCGCAAAGAAGTAGAGCGGCACCTCGTCGGCCTCGCGCACCTGGTCCTGGATGATGGACCACAGGCCGAGCAGGACGAGGTCGCCCGTCGCGTTGGCGAGGTACTCTTCGACGCTCGCGACCTGCTTGTCCTTGAGCTCGCGGCTGACCCACTTGTGCATGAGGCCGTGCGCGGTCGCGACCGGCTTGGACGCGAGCGGGGCGCGTAGCGCGAGCGACAGGGTCTGGGTCGACGACTGGAGGAACTTGGTGCCCTCGAGCATGACGACGATCTGGAGGAAGGACGACAGGAGCGACGTGTCGCCGTCCGGTATCGACAGGCTCGCAGATATGGCGATCTTGAGGTTGGCTCGCAAGGCGCGCCTGGGTGCAGAGGCATGGCGAGGTCAGTGTGTCGCTCGGAAGGCACGGTGTCTGACCCACACCGCAGTACGCCGTCACTCGAGGAGAGAGAGAGAGGGAGGGGTAGGGACGCACAGGGTCGCCTTGGTCGCCGGCTCCATCATGGCGAGCTCGTCGTCGGTCGTGTCGTTGACTCGTCGCGACATGGCGCCGACGAGGAAGACCTGCATGTCGTGGTGCGACTTGCCGAGGCGCATGGCGTACACGAGCGGCAAGGGTTGGCCCGACACGAGGAGGTCGAACGAGCGCAGCTTGATGTCTGTTCGGCGATGGCAGGGGAGGGGGCGGGGAGGTTCTTCAGTCTCGCGTTGAGAACAGACCGATCATGCGGGCATAGAGAAAGGCTCGGGCGAGCGACGCACCGTTGAGGAGCATGATGTCGCGCCTCTCGATGGCGCGCAGGACCTGGTAGGGCTCGTACTCGCCGCGCTTGTTGAGCCCTTGCGATTTGTTCTGGCCCGTGAGGGCGGCAAAGAAGCCCTGGGTGGCGGACGAGGTCGTGGGAGGGGTAGGCTCGGGGGCCGGTGGGGGAGGAGCGGCATCGAGTTGAGAGTCGAGGGCGGTGGCGAGCGAGTCGGCGAGGATGCGCTCTTTGCGAGCGAGGTGGGCCTGCTTGTCGGCGATGCGGTCGAGGTGTTTGAGTGGCGGCAGGGAGCGACAGAGGCACTGTGGAGGGCGAGAGATGAGGAGGCGAGGCGGTGCAGGAGGGGGGCAAGAGGGAGGGGCGCACAGGATCAGTCGGGACTGGCCGTCGGCGTGGACGCTTCTCTGGCGCAGGTGGGAGCAGTGCATCGACCCAGCCCTGGTGATTGAGCATGTTGGTGACGAGGGGAGAGAGCCACGAGCGAACGACAGCGGCTCTCCCCTCGACTCTGCCCCGCCGCGCTCGTCCGGCACTCAGCATGGCTCACCAGACGCCTCCGGCCGCTCCCACCAGCCCTGTCCCGGTGCCGCACGTCCTCCCGCCAGTGACAAAGGTCCGCCTCGTCCTCATCTCTCGCCCACACCTCGGACCCGGGCTCACCCTCTCGTCGTACCCCCCAGTTCGTGCACGTCCACCCGCCGAACCTCACTACTCGACAGAGAGCCACTCGATTCTTGCACGGCGCACCGGGACGCGATGCCACCCTCGTTCGTCCTCCTTCCCCCACACGCCGCGCCGGGGACTTCGCCAAGGAGCGCAACTGACCTCGCCATTGCCTACAGCGCCTCGTACAGTACTCTCTACGCCTGTCCCTCCACCTGCGCCGCCATGCCTTGCCGAAACCGGCCCTCGTCCGCCTCCTCGCCGTCGTCTCGTCCCTAGCAGCCATCCGCCGGCTCCTCGCCCTCCAGAACCTCTTTGCGACAGCGGCCGGCCTCCCCTACTTTCCCTCGTCTCTATTAGGACTCTCGACAGCAACAGCCAAGCCCGCCGATTCGCCACCGCCCCACCCCACCCCACCTTTCTCCCGCCTCTTCCACCTCGTCCACGCCACCCTCGAGGCCGTCGCCGTCCTCGCCGACAACCTGTACCTCCTCTCGCGCCTGCGCCTCGTCCCGCTCTCGACACGCGACACGGCCCGCGCCGACAAGCTGTCCGACTATGCCGCGCTCGGCGCCGCCCTCGTCGGCCTCGTCCAGGTCCAGCGCGAGCGGCGCGTCCTGTACGCTGCCGGGCGCAGCGCTCGGCGCAAGACGGTCGAGGCCGAGAAGAAGCTCGAGGAGTACGAGTTTTGGGAGGACGCGGCGGCGTTGGGCAAGGGTCGAGGAGCGGGAGGAGCGGCCGGTGGGGCAGGGGTGGACGACGAGCGGCGCGAGGAGCAGAAGAGGCTCAGGGACCGGGTCAAGAGTGAGCGGAGGACGCTCAAGCAGCTGAGGAGTGAGGTGCGCGAGTCGAGGGTCGAGCGAGTACGCCTCGTCGCCGAGGGCATCTTTGCCGGTGCGTCCCTCCTCCTTGGTCCTTCTCCTCGCCTCGTCACGCCCTTACCGAGCTCACCATGCCTGCAGTGTACGACGCGCTCGACCTCGAGCGGTCTGCCGAAGCCGTCAAGAGCTGGGCGGGCATCACGGCGTCCTTGATCGAGTACGTCGACTTGTCCTCTGCGGTCCTCGTCCCTTTCCTCGTCCTGACTTTGCCTGCTCCGCCTCGCAGGTTCGGCCAGGCGTGGATGTCGTACGCGCACTCGCTGTCGAGCGCATGAGCCGTGCGGCGGTCGGCGAGAGAGGGTTCGATTGCGCCGCTGTACCCTCCGAGTGCGACTCGGGGGGAGGCGGGGGCTCCCTTCTGTACCTGCCGTGCCCTGCATCATCGAGTGTGTTGCGCCTCGAGCGAACCTTGAGCTGTCGCGAGCGAGCGTGCGAGGCTCGGTCGATCACGGTGCACGTGCGCCGAAAGTCGAGACTCGGAGTTGGCAGCGTTGTTGTCGCTCGTCCCTCTCGTCGCTCTCTCGCCCTCTAGACTTGCTTGTGTGCGCCTCGGCTGTGCTTTCCTTCCCTCTCGCGGTCGTCCCACCCCGCACCCGCCGCCCGCGCCCGCCTCAAGATGGCGCTGCTCGCCGTCGCCCTCGTCGCCCTCTTCTCGGTCTCGGCGGCCTTCCAGCAGCACGACGCGGCCACTTCGCGCTACGTGCGCAACAGCTACTTTGTCGAGGTCGATGCCTCGTCGAGCTCCCTGTCCAAGCGCGGCCTCACCCCCTTTGCCGTGAGTCCCTACCCCTTCGTCTCGTTCAACCCGCGCTCCGCCTTGGCGACGATCACAAGCTCACCGCCTCGCATTCGCAGGCCCTGAGCCGCACGCTCGCCGCAGTCGAGCGCAAGGGCATCAAGTACACGGTCCGCCAGCGCTTCGAGTCGCTCCCGGACGTCTTCCACGGTGCGAGCATCCAGGTGCCCGACGGCGTCTCGCTCGACGAGCTCTCCAAGATCGACGGCGTCAAGGTGCGTCCCACCCACTCATCCTCGAGGACGACACGCCAAGCCGGGAACCTGACCGACCCTCGAACACACAGCGCGTCTGGCCCGTGCAGAAGATCTACCTGCCGCGCGAGCCGGCCGTCGACGACTATGTCTCGACCTCGTCCATGGCGTCGCAGCGCCTCGCCAAGCGCACCTCGTCGTCGTTCGAGAAGCGCGCGACGACGTTCCCGCCGGCGTCGGCCTACGCCGGCGACACGTTCTACCCGCACGTCGAGACGGGCATCGACGGCCTGCACAACTCGGGCATCCTCGGCGCCGGCGTCAAGGTGCGCCCCCCTCTCGCGCCACGTCTTCGTACGAGAGCGTGTCTCCTGACTCTGTCGACGAGGCGGCCGTCCGCAGATTGCCGTTCTTGACTCGGGCGTCGACTACACCAACCCGATCCTCGGCGGCTGCTTCGGCCCCGGGTGCCACATCTCGTTCGGCTACGACTTCTGCGGCGACAACTACAACGGCGACAACACGCCTGTGCCCGACGACGACCCTTGTGAGCCTCACCCTGACTCGTTCGCCCGTTCCCGAGCCACTACTGACCCGCACGTCCCCCTCGCGCGCAGTCACGACCTGTACTAGCCACGGTCCGCCCACCTACCTAGTCCCTCGCCGTCTTGCGCGAGTCACTGACGAGCTGTTCGTCCCACAGGCACGCACGTGACGGGCATCATCGGCGCGCTCGCCAACCAGTACGGGGTCTCGGGCGTCGCGCCTCAGGCCACGCTCGGCCACTACCGTGTACGCTCCCTCTCTCTCACCTCGTCGTCATGATCTGGGCCTGACAGGCCTCTTGCGCGCAGATCACGGGCTGCAACGAGATCGCGAGCGACGACATTGTGCGTCTCCCCCTTTCCCTCGCACGGACCCTGCCCCGGATACCTTCTGACCTCGAGTCACGCGTCGCAGATGGTCGCCGCCATGATGCGCGCCCTGCATGACGGCGTCGACGTCATCAACGTCTCGCTCGGGAGCGTCGTCAGCTGGACCAACAACTCGCCGACCCAGATCATGGCCGAGTACCTCGCGAGTCAGGGCGTCGCAGTCGTCGCGTCGGCCGGCAACGACCGCACTGAGGGCCTCTTCTTTGCCGAGGGCCCGGCGGCTGGGCTGGCGACGACCGCCGTGGGCGCAACGTGCGTCTCCTCCTTTCCATCCCTCTCTCGCGCACGTTCCTCGTCCTGAGACTTCATCTCTTGTCCGCAGCGACCCGATCTACTGGGTCGCCTACAACGCGACGCTGCGCAACCGCGGCACGGTGCCGTACATGTCGCCGATGCCGTTCAACATCACGCGCACCTCGCTCCTGTACTTTACTTCGACCGACCCGAACGTCGCCAGCGATGCGTGCACGGCCCTCCCGAGCTCGACGCCGAGCCTCGTGAACCGGGTCGTCGTCGTGCGCCGAGGCGGGTGCGACTTCGCCGTCAAGCTCAACAACCTGGCCAAGGCGGGCGCGTGCGTCCCGCTCTCCCTCTCTCTCTCTCCCACTTTCTCTCCTCTTTCGCCCGCACCGGTACTGACTTTATGCCCTCTCGTCCATGCACACAGCAAGATTGTCCTCATCTACAACAGCCCCAACACGCTCACGTTGCCGCAGTTCAACGTCGGGACGACCGGGCTCGAGGCGGTCGGCGGCCTGCGCTACGAGGATGGCGTGCGGGTGCGTCCCGAGCTCCTCTTTCTCGCGTCCCTCTTCCACGTCCTGACGTCGACGCCTCGTCCACAGCTCCTCGACCTGTTCAAGTCGACGCCGAGGGGCCAGCCGATCACGTTCCCGTTCGGCCCTCTCGTCTCGGGCGTCGTCGACGGCGTCACCGGCGGCACTGCTTCGTGCGCACCCTCTCCCTCGTTCTCTCGAGCCTCCCGACACTGACAGAGGCGCCGTCCCTCAGGTACTACTCGTCGTACGGCCCGACCAACGACCTCAACCTGTACCCGTCCATCACGGCGCCGGGCACCAACATCCTGTCGACGGTCGTCGGCGGCCTCGGCATCATGCGCGGCACGAGCCAGTCTAGCCCTCTCGTCGGTGCGTCCTCGTCTTCCCTGCCGAGGGGTTCGACTTGAGAAGGTCAAACTGACCTTGCCTCGATTTGACCGCAGCCGGCGCGTACGCCCTCATCCTGTCGCAGCGCAAGAACGAGAACCTGTCGCCTCAGCAGCTCAAGAGCCTCTTCATGACGACGTCGGCGCCCATCCCGAACACGTACGGCAGCTCGACGCTCGACTCGGTCATCTCGCAGGGCGCAGGTGCGCTCCCTCTTCTCCCTCCTCGCGCCTCTCTCTCTTCCTTCCAGCTCTGACACCCTCCCTGAGCGCAGGTCGCATCGACGTTGGTGCCGCCCTCGCCGCCAAGACGCTCATCACCCCGGCCGTCCTCGAGCTCAACGACACGGGCTTCCCGAGCCGCACTCAGCGCCTCACGCTCTCGAACCGCAACTCGGACGCCGTCACTTACACGTTCAGCTCGACAATCGCCCAGGGCATGGCCACCTACGACAACGTGCGTCCTGTGCGCCGAGAGCGGGTCGGCAAACAAGACGCGCACTGACCCTCCCTTCCTTTCCTCGCGCAGGGCGTTCAGAGCGACGTGATCCCTTCCACCTCGCCCGACGACATCGACACGCCGCTGTTCAGGATCAGCTACTCGGACAACTCGGTCACGGTCCCGGCGGGCGGCTCGGCGTCGGTCACGGTCGTCTTCACCGCCCTGCGCTACTCGAACCAGCAGACGGCCGAGTTCCCGATCTACTCGGGCTTCATCGACGTCCGCGGCACGAGCGCGTCGGCGCAAGTGCAGGCTTTCACCGGTGCGTCCCAAGCCGGTCCTTGATCGTGGTACAGGCCGAGCGTGATCCTGACCGTCCCCATCATGCAGTCCCCTTCTTCGGCCTCGCGTCGCGCATGATCGACATGCCAGGTGCGCCCCATCCTCCTCTCCTGGTACGAGAGGACGTACCTGACGTCCCTTGACCCGCAGTTCTCGACACGACGGGCGCCGCTCTCGGCCCGAACCTGCCGTTCCTCGCCGTCGGCCAGGACATCGCCACGGCGCCTATCACCGTCTCTCGCTCGAACGCGCCCACCGTCTTCTTCCGCCTCGCCGGTGCGTCCTGCGACGAGCCTTCTCTCTGTGTTCCATCAAGCCCGAGTCGACCTGACGTCGTCTTCGTTCCCCTCAGCCGGCACTCGCCGCCTCCGAGTCGACCTCGTCGCCGGCGACATTGACTTCCAGGGCACCATCCCGTCGGTCACCAACCCGACATCGCGCCTCGCCAAGCGCTCGAAGAACGACCTGCGCCCTCGTGCGACGCCGGCCCTGTTCAACGACGTGCCGACCGTCGGCAGCATCTTTGCGCCCGACTACTACCCGCCTCGCGACTACCTCGTCAACGGGCCCTACCCCTACTCGGACTACGAGTACACGCTCGACGGCAAGTACACCAACAAGGACGGCACGCCGGGTACCGCGTCCGCCGGCGTCAGCTACCGCGTCCTCATCCGGTTCGTCCTTTCCTTCTTTCTCTCCTTCCCTCCCTCCTCCTTCCTTCTTCGTCGACGAGGGCATTCATTGACAACGACGACCTCTCCCGTCACGCCTGCAGTGCGCTCAAGATCACGGCCGACCCGTCGCTCTCGTCGTCCTACGAGTCGTGGCTCAGCACGCCGTTCCAGTACTCGTCCTGAGCCTCTCGCCTCGCCTCCCATCCTCCCCCTCCTTATCATGAGCATCAGCCTTCCGTATTTTGTTGGACCACGAGCGGCTCGCTGCAGTTTAGCGTCGTCCCTCCCCCGATACCCCTCCTTCGACTTTCCCTCCCTCTCGCGCTCCCCTATTCTTCCTCCCTCGCGCCGCATCTTGAGCCGTAGCCTCTTTGCGTCCCTCTCGCGCATGTGCAACTCGGTTCCTCGAGCGCTTATGCCCGCGTCCCTCGAGAGCGTGCGGCGAGATTCGACTCAAGGGCTTGCTCTCATTCTCGAGGTCAAGGGAGGAGGACGATGTATAATGACAGATGCGAGGACGTGACGAGGGAGAGCTACAAGAGAGGAGGGTATGCGAGGGGTACAGGGTGACAGAAAATGCGAAGAAGGGAGAGCGACAGGGTAAAAACGAAACATGCGAGGGTGGACCTCGTCGAGGGGCCCGAGCGCGCCTGGCGGACCACCCACCGGCTCCTCCTCAGACGCGCACCGAGCGCGCCTCGCCCATTTGCACGCCTCGCCACAGCTCGTACAGCATGATGTCGCTCCACAAGACGTGCGCGAACGTCGGCGTGCCGTGCAGGCGGTCCCGGGCGTGCGCCTCGTGGCCCTTGAGGAGCGTGCCGAACTCGTTGAGGCGGAACTCGGGATGAGGCGCGTTCGCCACGACGACGTCGTCGACGGCGCCGACCTTTGAGGAAGCCGAGGCGGCCGAGGCGGACGTAGAGCGGAGGACGAGGCCGCGCACGAGCTGGTCGATCTGGTGGACGCGGCTGTGGGCGAACAAGGGTGGTTCAGGCGTCGACGCGTTGGCCTTGCGAGGATTGATCTTGTCCTGTGAGAGGGGAAGAGAAAAAGAGTCAGGAACTCGATGCGGGGGAGAGAGGGAGAGAGAGGAAAGGGAGAAAGGCGGGCTCACGAGGAAGTAGTCCTGCTCGGCGACCTGGTCGGTCGGGTAGTGCATCGTGCGCCACACGTGCGACCTGGCTTGAGGGAACGCCGAGCGCACATGCTCCATGATCTGGCCGACGCGGAAGCGGTACCACGTCACGCGGTCCTTGCTGAGCTCGTCGGTCGTGCTGCGCCCGGCGGCGATGTCCTGCTCGGCCCAGCGAGCGAGGTCCCACATGCCGCTCGACACCTCGACGTAGTCGGGCGCGGTGCGGCGGCCGTCGGCGCGAATGTTCTCGACGAGCGGCTGGATCATGTCGTGAAGGCGGTGCTCGAACATGCCCGGCGCCTCGTACTGCGGCATGCGCATGGGCGAGTCGCGCCAGTAGTCCTCCTGGTCGAGGCCGAAGTGGAAGACCGAGACGAGCTGCAGGAAGCGAGAGACGGGAAAGTTAGTGACGGCTCGAATTTCGAGGCCTGAGCGGGGAAGGTTGGGCGAAAGGGGGACGCACGAGAAAGTCGAGCTTGGGGACGTAGCAGATCCTCGGCCGACTGGCATCGCGCACGACGCGGAACCCTCGCGAGTGAAGGCGCGACGGGCGACCGGGCGCGTGCTTGGCCTTGACCGGCTCGCGCATCGGCGCCGGCGGCGACCAGTGGTGGCCCGGGCGCAGGACCTCGGATTCCTCGCCCATGAGGATGCAGAAGTTCTCGACGAGCTCGCGCGAGACCGAGTCGCCGATGAGGAGCGCCGTCTTGTTCTGCATCCACGTAAAGTCGGACGCGTGGGCGTACGCCTCCGAGGCGTGGTGGTGGTGCAGGGTAACGTCGCGCAACTTGGCGAGGAAGTTTGGCGGCTGGCACGACGCGTCGAACGGCGCCCAAGTGGACCGGTCGGCGTCGTCCTCGTCGACCTGGAGCGTGCCGAAGGACGAGTACGGGTCACAGGCGGGCTTGGTCGACCGGACACGCGACATGAGCGACGCCGGCTGGTACGACGACCTGCAGACATGCGAGGAGCTCGTGAGTACGACTGCGAGCTCGAGAAAGACGGGAAAAGGAGGGAGAGAGAGGAACGCACTCGGGAGGAACGAGGTACGAAAGGAGGAAGACAAAGGCGACCGTGACGCTCGCGAGCGCCATCGCCGTGTACCACGGCCGCGGCAGGCTGTACGCCCGGCCTTTTGGTGCTGACCGCCACGCGAGCGGCGCACCTTTGCCGCCGACGGCGCCGAGGTCGAGCAGGCCCAGCCCGCTCTTCTCCGACTTGCGGTCGCGGTCGTCGTCCCACGCCAGGAGCGGCGGCGACGGCGGGAGCTGGATGACGCCGGTTGCCTCGTTGTACGACGGTGCGGGCGACGTGACGAGCGAGGCGAGGTTCGAGTGCGAGGTCGAGCTGCGACGCCGAAGGTGGGACGACATGGGCGAGCTGTCGTGCAGGTAGACGACGGGCATGCTGGTTGTCGTCGTCGTCGAGGGTGCGTGTGCGCTGAGCGTCGATGGCGCGAGGTGCGGGACGACGGCGGGAAGGGTGGCAGGACCGGCCTGACGGAGGAGGGAGGGTCGGGCTGGCGCGGTCGATGCTCGAGCGCGACGGGTGCGTGGGGCCGAGTGGGCGACTTGTGTGGGCGGGCACCGACGAAAGGAGCGACGAACGGAGCCGGGCTCGCGCTGGAAGAGGCGGACGAGGCGAGGAGGAACAGTGAGGAGGAGGAGGAGGGACCGAGGTCTGTCACAGCGCGGCGGCGGGCGGGCGGCGAGAGTCTGGCCAGGCACTTGCACGTCGGGCAAGGCGTCGGTACCGAGCGCTAAGCCAGCCGGCGAGAGGAGGGATCACCCGTGGCCGGGGCTGGCTCACTCTCTCGACCCGCCGCGGCGAGAATGATGCGGGACTCGGCTCGGGCAACGCTGCGATTCGACCCCGCCCCCTGCTTCAGAGTCGAGGTCTGCCCGCCAAAGGGCGAGAGACAGGGCAAGCGTGCGAGGTGACGGAAAGTGGACCTTCTCAATCCGGCGAGGGGGCGAGCGTTCAGACGCACTCGGCGAGCCGCACCGTTCCTCTCTGCAGCGATCTCTAGGTCTACGAGCAGGCTCCTCGACGACCTTGGAGCGCTCTCAATACCTGGGCGTGCCGCAGGAGGCGGGACTCGTCTGCCTTGACTTTCGCTGCGGGGCTCGAGCGCGCTCTTGACCTTCTCAAGTTGCTGCTCTCGCTCTTTGCGCACACGAAAGAGAGCGCTTCCGATTCATCTGACGCTCGGCGTCATTCATCAGCGTCGACAGCCCGTGCCGGGACCAGGAGAAACTGTCTCGCCTCGTCGTCGTCGTCGTGCGAGACAAAAGTCGGATCGCTCTCGCAGCGAGACAAGCGCCCCTCAGCTGTCGCCGGCTCGAGAGCAGAGCTGGCACTCGAGCTCTGCGACACCCTTGCCTCTATGCGCTTTGAGCGTGGGCTCGGGAGGCGACAGGGGAGACGAGCGCGCTCGTGCCTCTTTGCGTGCGTGTCGCTCGAGCTGCTCACGTTGCTCTCCCACGGACTGCTGCGCGCGAGACCAAAACCGGGTAACACTGATAGTCGCTGCGAGTCTACAAACCGTCTAATCGTGAAAGAAAGCGCGCGAGCTCTATCGCCCAAAGACCCGCTTCTCGAGGAACCGACAGGGCACAAAGACGACGGCGGCGACGGCCATGCCCGTCTCGAAGCCTATGTCGCCACCGGCGTGCGCGTCGGGGCCCGAGATCGCCTTGGCAAAGATGCCGCGGTACCACTGCAGGAGAGCGACCGGGAGAGTGGGCGAGGAGGAGCGTCAGTTTCGCTCGTACTCGAGGCAGCGACGAGGGCGCCTTGTCCGTCTGCACGAGGCGAGGGAGAGAGGGGACGCACGACCTGGTCCATGCCGAGGACGACAAAGGCGGCGCCGCAGAGCGACGCGAACAGGGCGGCGAGGCCCGGCGGCAACTTGGACGAGCGGTCCCAGATGGCGAGGTCGTACGACGAGAATCGGCCCTTGCGGAAGACAAAGTGCTGCAAGGTGGCGAGAGTCGAGAGGGAGGAGACGGGCAGACAGGAAGAGTCGGGGAGGAGGAGGAAAAGGAAGAGGGTCAAGTTACGCTCGGGAACTCGGCCGGGCCTGCGAGAGAGAGAGAGAGAGAGGGACGCACCTCGACGAGCAAGATGGCGACAAAGATGCTGCTCCAGTACCCGAGGATGCCGAGGAAATTGCTGAGCGCGGCCGCAAAGTGGGCGGCGGCGGCGATGGCGATCGGGAGGTAGATGGCCGTGCCGACAATGGGGAGGAAGAAACGCGGCAGGCGCGTGAGGAAGGGGAAGACGATCTGGATCGACAGCGAAAAGGCGTATTGCGTCGGGGCGTTGTTGGCTGTCGAGGGAGGGAGGACGAGAGTCAGGCTCTGACCGGCTGAGGCCCGAGCCAGGCAGGCGGCCGACGAGGACCGCCAACAAGGCAGACAAAGAGAGACAGGACGTACAGATCATGCCAAGCGAGAACAGGACGAGGAGGAACTTGCCGAAGCCGTGGAGCGGCTCGAGCGCGACGCCGGCGAGGCTGCCGACGTTGCCGTCGGCGAACGCCTCCTCCCACGTCGGGACGAGGCCCGACAGCGCCGCAGCGCCGAACGCGGCGCCGAGGATCTGGATGATGGCGCACGGCAGGTACAGGCCGAGGAAGGTGAGGACGAAGACGCGCATGCTCCCAACCTCGGGCCGCATGTAGGTGCAGAAGTCGGCCGAGCAGCCGGACCACGAGACTGCGACGGCCACGAGTCAACGACGGCACGAGTATGAGGGGAAGGCAGAAAGCGAGGACGCACTCGTGAAGCCGACGACGATCGAGATGAACGAGAGGACGTTGGCTGCGGTTGCCGGGACGTCGCTCGCGAACGAGGGTGCGGCGTCGAGCTGCCTCGCGCCGAACGCGGCGAGGAGGATGAACGAGATGAGGATCGGAAGCCCTGCATACCGAGAGAGGGACAGGTCAGTCTCGGGTCGAGGAAGAGAAAGACGGAGAGAGAGGGGGACGCACAGGCCCAGCGCTCGATCATGTGGAGGACGCGGTACCCGCAGAACGAGATGAACATGCTGACAATCGCGACGATGGCGATGCCGGCGTTGACGCTGAGCCCGCCCGGGTTGACGGCGGCGAGGACCTGCCCGGCGACGATCGAGTTGACGGCGCAGAACCCGATGAACGACACGAGGTTGAGGAGGGCGGGCAGGATCGCCGGGTAGTAGCCGAAGCTGTACCTCGCGATGCCCATGGTGCGCATGCCGAGGCGAGGGCCAAAGGTGGCGACGTAGGCCGGGAGGCCGCACGAGAAGAGGTTGCAGAAGGCGATGACGAGGAACGAGTCCTGCAGGCGGCGAGGGTCGCTGTTAGCTCGTGCACCTCGCCTCGAGATGAGAGAGGGCGCGTGGGACGCACACGCATCGACAGCTCGTAGTAGAGCGGGCCGAGGGTACCGGTCGAGAAGCACTGCGAACGGGGGAAGAAGGTCGGCGATGGCTCGGGCTACGACAGGACGGCTCGCGGGGGAGGGGACGCACTGCGATAGTAAGGTTCATGGTGAACCAGATGGTGAAGTTGCTGAGGTAGTGGGCGTCGGTGCGCTGCTCTTCGACGAGGGGCCCGACGCCGTGCGCCTCGATGTTCTCGCTGCGCATGAGCCATGCGTAGGCGCGACCGTACCAGGTGGTCGGCTGGCGGGCTGGTGGCTGCTCAAAGTCGGCGTCGAGCGAGTCGAGGGCCTTTGCCGGCTCGAGGTCGTCTTGAGTCGACGAACGCTTGAGGAGCGAGAGCTGTGTCGGGGTGCGGTGCGGCGGTGGTGGGGCGTCCATGCTGCTCGCAGGTCGAAGTGCAGAGCTGGCTGGCGGAGGAGGCTGCCGGTGCGGTGAGGGACGAAGGAGAGAGTGGCGGAGGAAAGCGGTGCTTTGATGAGGCGGCGAGCCGTTGTCCGAGCCGTGGCGACGACGCCGTGCCAGGAGAATCCGGTGCAGCCATACTTGGTACGGCCTAAAAGAGAGCCGCACACTTGACCGAACCGCCCGCGAGGAGCGGGTGAGCAGGAGCCGCTCGTTCGGCGACGAGACCATCTCCGTGGAGAGAGAGCTTCATCAGCTCGCTACCCTCGACACAGCCACAGCCGCCCTTGTGCAGCTCTACCGACATGGCTGTACCTCCCTGTGCATCCACCTCGGCTGCCGGCACCAGCTCGGCCCACCTCAGCAACGCCGCCGCCTCGCCAACCTCGTCGTCCGCCAACTCGCCTCTGTTCCCGCCCTTGCACACCCGCGACGTCCTCGCCTGCCAGTTCTCGTCGTGGTACCCGCTCTTCAAGCGTCACTCGCCAAAGGCGACCGTCCTGCGGCCCATCCCGCACGAGGCCGACTTCCTCGACTACCTCGAGAGCGACGGCCTGTTCCTCCCCGAAGGCAGCGGGCCCATGGGGTGCGTCCTCGCGGTCGTCCTGCACTCTCTTCGTGCCATAAGCTGACACGGGCCACTCACACAGGCTCAGCGAGCTCAGCGACTCGGACGACGACGACCCTCCAGCCGACCCTTCCGCCTCGTCCCACGACAGCGACGACGACGACGACGAGCCCGCACGGCAATTCTCCTTCCCGCACCTCGACGCCGAGATCCGCGCTGTCCTCGAGCGGTACGACGGCGCCGTGTTCCCCAAGCTCAACTGGTCGTCGCCTCAAGTGCGTCCTCGTCCCTTTCGCCGCCTCAGTGGCGCGTCGGCGCACCGACACCTGACCGTCCATCTCGCGCCCACAGGATGCAGCGTGGATGATCCCTGGCCAGTCGCTCAAGTGCCAGAACCCGGCCGACGTTTACCTGCTCCTCAAGTCGAGCGACTTCATCTCGCACGACCTCGACCACGCGTTCGACGACTGCGTCGATTATCCGCCACCGGCATCGGGCGACTACGCCTCCAGCTCGACACCGGCACCCGAGATTGACGACGAGGCGCTCGCTCGCCTCACCATCTCGCCTCAAGCTCCATCCGCCGACGCACGTCGACCCGATCTCAAGTCTCGCCCGTACACGTTCGAGCTCGTCCTCAAGAAGTGGTTCGACATGCCCGGCTCGCAGCAGTGGCGATGCTTCATCCGGGACAACCAGCTCCTCGGTGCGCCGGACCCTTTTCCCCTCTGCCTGCCTCTCGAGCCTCGTGGCAGCGCTCACCTCACTTTGGGCCCGGGTCACAGGCATCTCGCAGCGCGACACGACCTTCTACGACTTTTTGCAAGACGCCGAGACGCAGCTCGACTTGCGCAAGCGCATCGCCCGGTTCTGGGAGGACGAGGTCCGGGACAAGGCGCCCATGTCGAGCTGTGCGTCGCCGCCGTTCACTCTCCCTCTCTCCCTGGCCACCTCGTCGAGCGCATACTCACCTGGTGAACGTTCCCTGCAGATGCCCTCGACGTCTACATCACGCGCGACGCCTCGCGCGTCTTCATCGTCGACCTGAACCCGTTCGCGCCGCGCACAGACCCCCTTCTCTTCACCTACGACTCGCTCCTCGCCCTCGCCGTCTCTCGCCCTTCCTCGCCCTCGTCCTCGACCGAGCACCTGCCCGAGCTGCGCGTCATCGCGTCGCCGAGCGACAGCGCGTCGAGCATGCCGCGCTACTCGCACAATCGGTACCCGAAGGACGTCGTCGAGATGAGCGAGGGCCAGAGCGTCGCAGAGTTTGCGCGCGAGTGGATGGGCCGCGTCGCAGAGGCGGCTGTCGATGCGCCCGAGCCGAGGCCGGGTCGAGAGGAGGAGGACGGGCTCGAGGGCAAGGGAGCAGGAGGCGGCGAGGCGATTGGGCGGTAGAAGCGACGCTGCACAGCTCGCTCCCTCTCTCCTTCTCTCTCGCTCTCTGCGTGTCGACGAGGGGCTTGAGAAATGCGAGTTGCACGGCACGTACGAGAGTGAAAGTGCACACGGCGAGGGAAAGCTCACTCCGACTCGGACTCGGCAATGATCCGCTTCTTGCGACGCGGCGACATGCGCATGGGCTCGACCTCGCTCTCCTCCTCCTCCTCCTCCTCCTCCTCCTCCTCCTCCTTCTCCTCGTCGCCGCCGCTCGGGCTCGTCGCGTCGTCGCTCGCCTCCTCGGCCGACACCTCGGCGAACGCGTGCTCGGCTGCAGCTCGACGGCGTCGGTGGCTCGCGTGGGCGTCCCCGCGCTCCTCCTCCTCGTCGTCGTCGTCGTCGCTCGCCGACGCAGAGCCCGAGCCTGACTCGGACCCGGCGCCGCTAAAAAGCTCCTCGACGTCGGCCGGCTGGCGCCTGCGCCTGAGCCGAGCACGGCGCTGGGCCGCCGCCGCCGCCCCAATCACGCCTTCTGACTGAGACGACGACGACGACGACGAACTCGAGCTGACGTGGCGGGTGCGCCTGCGACGCCTGCTGCCGCTGTGCGGCCGCACGAGTGCGCCTGCCGAGCTCGACGACGACGATGCTGACGACGACGACGACGAGGAGGAGGACGGTAACGACGGCGTAGACGCCGGCGAGTATCGACCCCGGCGGCGAGGCTGGCGCCGAGAGCCCGTGCCGTCCTCGTCCTCGTCGTCCGTCTTGACGAGGAACCCGTCGTCGCTGTCGTACGTGTCCTGCGACCCGACGGCGTCGCCGTCCTCGTCCGAGTCGGCCGCCGACTGCGACATGGCGACGTCGCGGTGCTGGCGGCCGAGGTTGCGCCGCCCGAACGAGACGAAGCCGCCGTCCGAGGACGAAGCGTCGGAGCCGGACGACGACGGCGGGCCCCACTCGCGGCCGCTGCAGGCAGGGGAAGCGGGTACGTCAGGGGAACGTGCTCGAGAGAGCGAGAAAGAGAGGGAGAGAGAGAGAGCGCGCGGGACGCACCATCCCTCGCACGTGCCCGTCCGCTCATCGAGCTCCCAGTTGCACTCGCCGCACCTCCTCACGCCGTCCTCGCGGTCCCTGACGACCTGCGCGAGCCGCCTCCTGCGGTCGCCCGCGCTCTCGGTCCCGCCGCCGCCGCCGCCCGGGAACAGGCCGCCCCAGCTCGCGTCGCCCTCGTCCATCGCGACCGGCGGGTCCGGCTCGGCTGCACCCGTGCCCTCGCTCGGCGCTGCGCCCTTCGACGGCGACCTCGTCGCCCTCACGCCGCCGCGAGCGCCACCGAGCTCGCCCGACTCGCCGACGCGGCCACGCCGCAGCGCCGAGACGACGTTGTCGAGGGCAAAGACGCGGCTCGGCGCGCGTTGCGAGCACGGCGTGCGGCACGACGGGCAGACGAGGTTCTTGGTGCGGTGCGCGCCGGTCGGGAGGGTTGGGCGAGGACGTGGGGCGGCAGGCGCAGGAGCGGGCGCGGGTGCGGGTGCGGGCTCGGCGGGTGCGGGCTGCGCGGCGTCGAGCTCTGGCGCTGCCGGGGCAGCACGAGGCGCGGCGTCGCCCTCGGCTCCGTTGCCGTCGCCGTCGGGGAGCTCCTCGAAGCGTCCCTCGTCGCCGGTCCCACCTGCCGCCGACCCTCCTGCGCCGCCAAAGCGCGCGAGCCGCGCCGCCCGCATAGCGTCGACGTCTGCTGCCCTCGCTCCCCTCGCGTCGCCCGAGCTCTCATCTGCGCCTGCGAGCTGCTGCTGCTGCTGCGCGCCGCCCGAGTTGAGCTGGCGCAGGAGGTCGGGCAGCGGTGCGCTCGCGTCGACGTTGCGCATGCGGAACTCGGCGCCGCCGACTTGGCCGCCGACGTACGACGAGCCCGTGCTGCTCGCCGACGAGGACGAGTCGTCGTCCGAGTCGCTGGCGCTGGCGATGGCGGCGGCGCGGTCTTCGGCATCCGGGTCCGGGCGGAAGAACCAGTTGACGATGCACTTGCGGCAGCTGGAGAGGGAGGGCGTCAGATCAGGACGAACGTGCGGGGCTGGCGCCGAAAGTGAGGGGGAGAAGGGCGGACGCACAAGACGTGGCCGCACTGGAGCGAGTACGGGCGGTCGAGCGTCTCGAGGCAGACGGTGCAGCTCACGGCCGAGTGGAGCGACACGAGGATGGCCCTCTGCGACGCGATGAACTGCGAGAGGGCGTGCGAGGTCAGTGACGGGCCGAGGGGAGGGGACGAGAGCGAAAGAGGGACGCACCTCCTCCTTGTACGCCAACTCCTTCTGCAGCCGCGCAAGCTCGGGCGATGCGGCCGCAGTGTCGCCGTCGACATCTTGCGCGCCCGTCGCGGTCTGCTCGGCACGGCCCTTGCCCTTGCGGCGCCGGCGCTCCTCTGGCGAGAGGGCGTCGAGCGAGCCGGCGTCGTCCATGGGCTCGTCTCGAGCGGCACCGGCGGTCGTGCCCTCCTCGGCTGGAGCGAGGTCGGCCGTACTGGCGCCGTCCTCGCCCTGGACGACGGTCGCGCTGGATGCGGCTGAGGGTTCTTGGGCGAGCGGTGGGGCCGGCGGGTTCGGGTGAGGTGGCTCCGAGGGCGAGTCGGCCATGGCGGGCGAGTCGTTGCGGTGCTTGCGCTTCTTCTTCTTGCGCTCGGGCTTGTCGTCGCGACTGGCGCTCTGGGCGTCTGGTGCGGTGGTCGAATCCGAGTGCTCGTCGAGGCGCGCGTCCCAGAGCGAACGCTTGGTGGAGGAGGACGCGGGCGGGTCGGGGGCCGGTGAGCGATCTGGCGTGGGCTCTGTGCGCGGCTTGCGCGCCATTACCAGGTCGCTGGCTCGAGCGAGAGAGGTGGACGACAGCTGAGAGCTCGAGCTGGCGAGCGGGAGAAGGCGCGTCGACCTCGCCACCTCGTACGCGCCTACTGCGGACGCGGTCGGGGCTACGAGTACCTCAAAGGGTCCACAGAGGCTCAAGCAAGCTCCACAAGCGTGGGTGGAGCGAGCCGCGAGGGAGCTTGTCGCAGATGAACTCGCCTCGACTCTTGTTCGCCATCCCTCGCCTCGCGCACCCTCTGAACCCCCGTACCGAGCACCATGTCAGTCCTCGAGGCCACACTGCCCACCGCAACCCACTCCCGCCCCGCCGCGAGCCGCCCCTGACCCTGTCCACCTCGTCCCCTCGCCCTCCTCCACCACAGGTCCACCCTCCCGACTGAAGACCTCATCGGTGCGTCCCTACTCTCCCCGACCTCGGTCTGTACGTCTGCAGGCACTGACTAGCTCCCTCTTCCCCCTCGAACCGTGCAGACTACGAGGAGGACGTCCTCGAGCCCACCCCGGCCGCTGCCCCGGCCGCCGCTGCCGATGGCGAGGCTGCCCCGGCCCAGGTCGACTCCAAGGACCAGAAGGGCTCGTACGTCGGCGTCCACTCGACCGGCTTCCGCGACTTCCTCCTCAAGCCCGAGCTTCTTCGCGCCATCTCGGACCTTGGCTTCGAGCACCCGTCCGAGGTCCAGCAGGAGTGCATCCCGCAGGCCATCCTCGGCATGGACGTCCTCTGCCAGGCAAAGTCGGGCATGGGTGCGTCCTCGGCTCTCGGCCCCCTTCCTCCTCGTCCTCGGTCGGCGCGTCTCGAACCTCCCGGCCCTGACCATCTCTTGCCCCTCGCCGCGCCACAGGCAAGACGGCCGTCTTTGTCACGGCAACGCTGCAGCAGATCGAGCCCGTCGACGGCGAGGTGTCGGTCATCGTCCTGTGCCACACGCGCGAGCTCGCGTACCAGATCAAGAACGAGTACGCGCGCTTCTCCAAGTACATGCCCGACGTGCGCACCGGCGTCTTCTACGGCGGCACGAGCGTCAAGGTCGACCAGGACCTCCTCAAGTCCAAGGACAAGTGCCCGCACATCGTCGTCGGCACCCCCGGTCGCCTCAACGCTCTCGTGCGCGACAAGAGCCTCAAGGCCGGCAGCGTCCGCCACTTCGTCCTCGACGAGTGCGACAAGATGCTCGACTCTGTCGGTTAGTCCTTCAACATCTTCATCGGTCCACCTTCTTCTTTCATTCTCGCGATCTCGGTCCACGGGCGGCTGCGCGCTCCGCCGTTCGACTCGGCTCGACTCGACTCGGGCTCGTGTACGTCAAGACGCACCAAGGGTCGAGCCTCGCCATGGTCCTTCATCGGTCGAGCGTGTGCCGCAACCTGGAAGGCCTCGTCACACGCCTGTCGTCGAGCGCCGATGCGCAAGTCCTCGACCTCGAGTCGAGGCCGGCCAGGAGCGCTCCAGCAGCTACCTCCGGGTCGCCGAGGGCGGCGGCGCCGTCGCCCGCCATCCATGTTCCTGTCGAGTCGGCTTCTCGGGCCGACCCGTCGCGCCGGTCGCCCTGTGGCGCTCAAGGTCGTGTGCCCGCCCGCTCGCCGCCTCTCGCCCTCTCGCTCGCCCTCTCGTCGTCTCGCCAACTCGCCCCCTCCTTGTCCATCCGCCACTCGCCGCCGACGCCAGCATCTCTCGCCCCCATCTGCCCTGTACCCCTTCCCCCAGCCCTCTGCCCCTTCCTTCCCGGCTCGAGGTCGACATGCGGCGCAAGGACCAGAGCACGACCGGCCGGCGGGACCATCTCGACGAGCTCTGGGCGCCTCTCGCAGCCTCGTCGAGTGCGACCACGGACGTGGACCGAGTTCGAGCGGCGGCAGCAGCAGCCACAGCAACTTGACGACCTCGCGACCCGAACCACCTTTACTTACTCTCGCTCTCCCCTCTCCTTTTCTCGCCTCCGCCTTCCTCTCGACCTCGCCTCGCCCTCGATCGGCCACCATCCTCGCCTCGCCGCTCCGCCACGCCGTCGTCCCGCACCTCCCGCCCGCCGTCCTCCTCTCGCGCCACCTCGTCCTCGCCTTCGCCCGGCTCCAGACATGCGCCGCGACGTCCAGGAGATCTTCAAGGCGACGCCGCACCACAAGCAGGTCATGATGTTCTCGGCGACGCTCGCCAAGGAGATCCGCGTCACGTGCAAGAAGTTCATGCAGAGCGTGCGTCCCTCCTTCCCCTTGCCTCCCTCGTCGAGCCGAGCAACCGAGACTAACGGCTCTCGCCGCCCCGCAGCCTCTCGAGATCTACGTCGACGACGAGAAGAAGCTCACGCTGCACGGCCTGCAACAACACTTTGTGCGCCTCGACGAGGCGGCCAAGAACCGCAAGCTCAACGACCTCCTCGACTCGCTCGAGTTCAACCAGGTGCGCCCTCGCTCTCGCTTCCTCGTCCCGTCGTCGGTCAATGGACGCGCCCTGACCCTCGTCGACGCCATGCCCCGGCACAGGTCTGCATCTTCGTCAAGTCGGTCTCGCGCGCGACCGAGCTCGACCGCCTCCTGCGGGAGTGCAACTTCCCGTCGATCGCGATCCACTCTGGCCTGCAGCAGGACGAGCGCATCAAGCGGTACCAGCAGTTCAAGGCGTTCGAGAAGCGCGTCCTCGTCGCGACCGACATCTTCGGCGCGGCATCGACGTCGAGCGCGTCAACATCGTCGTCAACTACGACACGCCCGGCGACGCCGACTCGTACCTGCACCGCGTCGGTCGTGCCGGTCGCTTCGGTACCAAGGGTCTCGCCATCACGTTCGTCGCCAACGACGAGAACGAGGAGGTGCTCAAGAGCATCCAGAGCCGGTTCGAGGTCGCCATCACCGAGTTGCCCGAGACGATCGAGCCGTCGACCTACAGTGCGTCCCGCTCTCTCTTTCTCTCTCTGTGCCCGGCGCCCGTCGGCGTCGCTCGCGTCGAGCCTCGCGTCCTGACCTCTCTTGCCTTCGCAGTGAACGCCTAATCTCGCCGTCCTCCCCTCACCTTCTCTCTCCCTCTCCTACCCCCCTCTCATCGTATCCACCCCGGTGCTCCCGATCTCGCTTTCTCGATGTAGTCGTGTCGTTCCCCCTTCCCCCCTCTCTCCTCGCCGTTCTGGAACAAAAGCGCCCGCTCGAGGGCCTTGAGCTCGACGACTGCCCCTACGGTCGAGAGCCTCGTGCAGCGAGAGCACCTCGCAGCTGTGTGAGAGAGGCGGGGCGTTGAAAGAGGGTGCGGCGCGCCGGGAGATGGCGCGAGGCACAGACAGCGAGTAGCGAAAGACGCGCTCGAGCCCGTCTGCAGATTTGGGCCCCCAGCGAGTGGTTCCCACATTTCGGCGCAACGTCGAGTACTCGTCTCGATAGGTCGATCGAGCTTTGCACCGTCGAGAAAGAGCGAGGTTGTACAGGGAGAAATCGAGTCCCAGTCCCTCCTCCTGGACCTCGTTCCGAGCGCAGAGTCGAGCGGGCAGCACAGCGAGTGGTTCCCACATTTCGGCGCAACGTCGAGTACACGTCTCGATAGGTCGATCGAGCTTTGCACCGTCGAGAAAGAGCGAGGTTGTACAGGGAGAAATCGAGTCCCAGTCCCTCCTCCTGGACCTCGTTCCGAGCGCAGAGTCGAGCGGGCAGCACAGCGAGTGGTTCCCACATTTCGGCGCAACGTCGAGTACACGTCTCGATAGGTCGATCGAGCTTTGCACCGTCGAGAAAGAGCGAGGTTGTACAGGGAGAAATCGAGTCCCAGTCCCTCCTCCTGGACCTCGTTCCGAGCGCAGAGTCGAGCGGGCAGCACAGCGAGTGGTTCCCACATTTCGGCGCAACGTCGAGTACTCGTCTCGATAGGTCGATCCCGCTTTGCACCGTCGAGAAAGAGCGAGATCGCACAGCGAGAAATCGAGTCCCTCCTCCTGAACCTCCTCCTCGACGCAGAGTCGAGCGAGCGGTACCGGTAGTTGTCTGCAGATTCGGACCCATCGTCGAGTACACGTCTCGATAGGTCGATCGAGCTTTGCACCGTCGAGAAAGAGCGAGGTTGTACAGCGAGAAATCGAGTCCCTCCTCCTGAACCTCGTTCCGAGCGCAGAGTCGAGCGGGCATCACAGCGAGTGGTTCCCACATTTCGGCGCAACGTCGAGTACACGTCTCGATAGGTCGATCGAGCTTTGCACCGTCGAGAAAGAGCGAGGTTGTACAGCGAGAAATCGAGTCCCTCCTCCTGGACCTCGTTCCGAGCGCAGATTCGAGCGGGCATCACAGCGAGTGGTTCCCACATTTCGGCGCAACGTCGAGTACACGTCTCGATAGGTCGATCAAGCCTTGCACCGTCGAGAAAGAGCGAGGCTGTACAGCGCCAAATGCGCGAACGGCGAGAGAAGCGTGTGAGCGAGCCTTGAGAATGTGGCCCGTGTGAGCTCTCGCACCTCCTGCCTGCGGCCCATGGCGAACGCAGATCTGTCGAGTTCACCGTCGAGCTCACGTCGAGCCTCACGAGCGAAGCAGAGAAGCGAAAGGGAGGCGAGAGCGAGTTGACGCCTTTCTCCGGCCGAGCCAGCTCGAGGGGAGGCGATACGGTGGCTATGGTGGCAGCGCCGGCAATGGTCGCAGCGCCGGCCGCGGCCGCCAGTCCAGTTCTAAACCCGAGCGGATCGACGACGCCTGCGAATGCATGTCGCACGCTCGCTTTAGCGCGCACGTCTAGTACACGTGCCCTGAAAGGCTGTCACTCCTTGCCGAGCGCCAGCGTGCGGGACAGAGACTACCGAAAGCTCCCTGAGGTTGCGCTTGTGCCGCTTCTTCAGCGTCCAGCCTCACCTGCCCCTCGCTGACCGACAATCGCACGTCGTTCTCGAATTACTTGACGCTCCGAGCTCGACAAGCTGAGCCGAGCGAGCGCAAGAGGGCGGCCAGAGAGAGGTCCGAGCGAGCCTTCCCAAGTAGCAAGGTTGCTCAGGACAAATCTCTCGCGTACAGCTCTCTCGCTCGCGACCAAAGTCAACCTTGTCGAGCTCGACTCTGAGCTCGAGGCGAGCACCCTGCGCGAGAGCCCTCAGGAAGAGCGAGGTTGTACAGCGAGAAATCGTGTTCCTCCTCCTGAACCTCCTCCTCGACGCAGAGTCGAGCGGGCACTACCAGAAGCGGTCTGCAGATTTGGACCCATCGTCGAGTACTCGTCTCGTCGAGTCGACCCCGCCCTGCATCGTCGAGAAAGAGCGAGATCCCACAGCGAGAAATCGTGTCCCTCCTCCTGAACCTCCTCCTCGACGCAGAGTCGAGCGAGCCACGTCGAGCCTCTCTCGCAGCACGAAAGTGTAGGGACTAGCAATACAGCTGATCTACGCCCGCCGGGACCTCGCGTCTACCTCCTCCGCTTGCCCCACGCCGCGACCGCCGCGACTGCCACCGCTGCCGCCGCCGCACTCCCCACGGTAGCGAGCGCGCCGAGCGTTCCGGGCCCAAGGAGCGCCGTGCTCGTCTCGCCCGCCCCTGCGCCCGCGCCGCCCGTGATCTTGCGCTGCGACGACCCTGCGCCGCGAGTGCCCGAGCCGAGCCCGAGCGCGTACCATGGCCTACCGCTCGAGGGCCCCTGGGGCGAGGCGACGAGCGTCTCGAGGGCGGCGAGGCGCGACGTGATGTTCCGCAGCTGAACGAGAAGGAAGTTGACGTCTCGTGCTGAGGCAGGCGACGAGAGGGAGGAAGAGGAAGGGCCAGAAGCCGTGGAAGGGACGAGGTCGGACGGGGAGGTGGGGTCCGTGCGCGAGTTCGACGACGTCGACGAGGCGTCGCTGTCCGAGGCGTAGTCCGACGAGGCGTCGCCGTCGTCGTCGGCGGCGTTGGCGGCGGCCGGAGAAGGGGCGTAGACGCCGAGCGTCGGAGGAGGAAAGTCGGCAGTCAAGTTGGTCGTGGCCGCCGCCGTCGCGCCGAGCTTGACGAGCGACTTGGGCAGCATGGTCTGCGTGATGGTGCGGAGGACGGCGCCCGGGATCCACGCTGCAGGTTGACAGAAGGGTCAGTATCTGTCGGCAAGGGCAAGGAGGAGGACGCCGTGCCAGAGGGACGCACACCCGAGCCCGGACAAGTCGGTGATCTGGACAATCTTGCTGCCGCCTGCGCCGACCTCCTCGATGAGGAACCCAGACACGCTCAACTGCATGCGGTTGTACGCCGGCGTCGCCGGGACGCGCTCGTGGTCGACAGAGGTCGTCGCGGCGAAGATCTGGACCTTGTCGGCGACGGGCTTGCCCGGTGCGGGCTCGTCGTCGGCGGTCGGGAGCTTGGACGCGACCGAGAGAAGAACGAGGTCCTTGGCCTTAACCATCGCCATGCCCTTCATGCGCATGTGGCTGCGAGACGAGAGGAGGGCGGTGTCAGTCCCAGATCGCCGCAACCCCGAACGAGGGCTCCACACACAGTGCGACGGGTGCAGGAAGGGAGAGAGAGAGGCTCGACGCACAGGCAGTTGCCCTTCCTGCCCTCGACCTCGAACCGCTCGATCTCGTCGGCGCCCTCGGACATGCTGTCCCAGGCCGAGCGGCTCCCGACGTCTTGCAGGACCTGGAACAGCTGGCGGATCGGGACGTCGGGGAACGTGGCGCAGATGCCAAAGAGCGACGCGAGCTTGGGGTGCTGCAGGACCTCGACGTTGTCGCCCTTGAACGTCGACTTCCACTCGGACAGAGGCGCCGACGGGATCGAGGTGGTCGGGGTCGCCGCGATGTGCGACAGGAAGGCCGGGGCCGTGATGTGGAGGAAGTTGGCGACAGTCTCGTCGAGCTTGTCGGCGGCGAAGAGCGGAGGAGGAGCTGGTGCGGGCGCCGCCTTGATCCGCCGCCGCCTGGTGCGCTCCTTGACTTTGCCCTCGACGCGGCCGTGCTTCTGCGCGCGCTCGGCGAGGACGGCGGGTGCGGGTGATGGAGCGTCGACGTCGCCGACGGGTGCGGGTGCGGGTGCTGGCGAGGGAGCGGGAGCCGACTTGCGCTTGAGGCCCGACGGGATGAGGTCGAGCCCCGCTCGCAGGACGAGGAGGAGGAGGACCTGCAAGAGGCCGACGTGGAGGCCGTCAAGCCCGAGCTTGGCTGCGTAGAGCCGAGAGGCAGGTCAGACGAAGTGCGGCGACGTGGGGAGGGGAGCGGGGAGAGGGGGAGCTCACACCGTGCCGTGACGAGGAAGTAGAGGGGCGAGAGCGACAGGAGGAGCGACAGGACGCTCTTCTGCGTGTCCTGCAGCTGTGCAACCTGCGTCGAGGTCGCCATGGTCGAACCGGGGAGAGGTGCGATGAGGGCGCGAGGGGCGACGACGGCGGGCTTGGCGGACGGGTGCGCGGTCGGTGAGGGTGCAGCAGGCGACAAAGGTGCTGCTTGAGCCGGTCGCAGCAAGGCTCGATGTCGAGAGCGGGAGGAAGAGAGCGCAAAGGCCAGCGAGCGAGGCGGCGACTTGCTTCGCCGACTCTCTCGCACGCCTCGAGCCGGGAGAGCAGACAGCAGACAGTGCAGTGCGGGAGAGTACAACAATGAGAACAAACGCGGCGATGCTCTATCAAACGAACCCCTCTCGAACCCTTTCCTCCTCGACCCCGGCACCGGCCTGGTCGCACACCTCGACGTGCACCGTCTACCGGTCCGACGAAACCTGCATGTCGTGGAGCGACAGCGTCAGTGACTGCGAGGAAGGAACGGGGCCGAAAGAGAGGGGAAGGGACGCACCGATTCGAAGAACTGCTTGAGCGTCGAGCTGAGGACGTCCGGGAGCGCGTTGGCGTCGCGCAGGACGACAAAGTGCTCGAACGTGGCGCCGAAGCTGTCGAGGTACCGGTCGAGCTTGAGCTCGAGGCGACCCGACGCGTTGTAGCCGTACGACGCCGACTTCATCTCGAGGATCGACTGCTGGTCGGCCGCCGGGTTGGCGGCGGCGGCGGCGGCGGCGTTCGGGGCGTCCGACCCTCGGCGGTGCAGGCTGTCGATGACGACTGCGCGAGGGACGAGGAGTCAGGTCGAGGTCTGACGACGCAGAGAGGCCGAGGACTGGACCCGGACGAGGTGCGAGCGCGAGGGAAAGTTGAGGACTCACCAAAGACGAACATGACCTTCTGCTCGCTCGCACGACGCAGGAGAGCGCGCAGCTTGTCGTGGTCCTGGCAGATGCCGTCGCTGATGATGACGACGAGCTGCCACAGGTCGCCCGCAGCGAGCGACGACTTGCCGGACCGCGCCGAGTCCTTGGCCTCGGCGAGCTGAGCGAGCGTGCGCTCGACGAGGAGGCGCACGTCGGTCGACTGCTGCTGGAACGTGAACTTGCCGATGAGGGACGCGCCGGCCTCGTCCGACACGACGCCGGCCTCGAACGGGTGCAGGACCTCGGTCGACTCGCCGAAGCGGCTGATCGACACGCCGCCGACCTCGAGGCGCGTGAGGGCGCGCGAGATGAGGGCGAGCGACTGGAACGCGAGGTGGACCGAGTGCGAGTCGGCCATCGACTTGGAGTCGTCGATCGCGATCAAGACCTGGTACTCGCGCTGCGACGGCCGGGTGCGACGGAGCCAGATCTTGTCCTTGGTGAACTCGGACGCGATGTACGGGATGATCTTCTTCATGTTGAGGCGCTTGCCCGACCGGTAGTCGCCCTTGAGCCGGGTCGCGAGCGTCGGCTCGAGGATGAGGCGCAGCTGCTCGGTGAGGGCGTACGACAGGTCGCGCGTGAGCGACTCGTACAGGCGCCACACGCCCTCGGCCGACATGTTGGGGTCGTCGCCCGAGCGCCACTGAAGGAGCGCCTGCTCGACGACCTGGTCCTGCTCGAGGTCGAGCGCCGGGGCGAACGTCGACGACGGGTGGCCGAGCGCGTCCTCGTCGTCGGCGCGCACCTCGTCGTCCATGTCGCGGTCCTCGTCGGCGTACGAGCGGTCTTGACGGAGCTCGGCGGCCGGGATGGCCTTGGCGTCGGCCTCGGTGAGGGACGAGCCCTTGAGCTGCATCGTCGTTGGCTGCTGCTGCTGGGCCGTCTCGTCGGCGCCGTCGACGGCCATGTCGTCGTCGGCCGGGAACTCGTCGGCGGGCGCCGTCTCGTCGCCGAGGTGCAGCTGCTCGAGCTTCTGGACCTGCTCCTCGCTCGCGGGTCCGAGCGCCTGCTCGTCCGTCTCCTGCTCGTCGCCGTCTTGGACGTACTCGACCGCGCCGTCCTGCTGGGGCTCGGGCGCCGTCTCGGACGTGTCCTGCTCCTCGGGCTGGGCGAGGTCGCCGATCGCCTCGAGGCGACGCCGCCAGTTCTGGAGCGAGTCGCCGAGGCTGCGCTGCGGCTCTGCCGCCGAGCGGTCCTGCTGGTCCTGGGGCTGGGCCGACGGGTCGGCCGACGGGTCGGCAGCAGCGCGCTGCTTCGAGGGGCCGGTGCCGGACGAGGACGGCGCAGTCGGCGCCGGGGCGTCGGGCTCGTCCTGCTGCATCTCGTCGTCGCCCTCGTCGTCGCCGGTGTCGCGCTGCGCGTTGGCGTCGGTCGACTCTTGCGGTGCCGACTGGGCGCCGGCCTGGCGAGAGGTGTCGGGAGCGGTGGCCGGGTCGGGCTTGGACGCCGCTGCGTCTTGCTCGCCCTCGCCGCCCGTCTCGCCTTGGTCGGCGCCGCCGAGCGACTGGTCGAGCGCTTGGTCTTGCTCGAGCTGGTCGTCGTCGCCTTCTTGAGTTGCGGGATCTTGGTCGGCGGTGAGCGGGTTCTCGCCGTCGTCCTCGGCGCCTTCTTCTTTGGCGTCGCCCATCTCGTCGAGCTGGTCGGGGCGCTCGTCGTTCTCGCCCTCGGGGCCCTCTGTGGCAGAGAAAAGGGCGAGAAGATCAGTACTCGCTCGCCGAGGTCGAGGGAAAATAAAGGGAAGGGAGGGGAGGGAGAAGAGAGAGGAGAACGCACCCTTGGGCATGTCGGCCATCTCGTCGACGTCGAGTTCCTCGTCCTCGCCGGCGTCCTTGTCCTTGTCGTCGCCGTCGAGGTTCATGTCGTCGGGCAGGTCGAGGTTGTCGGCCTCGGGCATGGCGTCGTCGAGGCGCTCGCCCGTGTTGGGGTCGGCCTGGTCGCCGTCTTCTCCCTCGGCCTCGCCCGTCTCGTCCTCACCATCGGCGCCTTCAGCCTCTTCGCCGTCGGGCGCCTCGCCGTCCTGCTCCTCGCCCTCCTTGCCCTGCGCCTCCTCCTTCGACACCGGCTCGTCGTCGCCCTTGGACGCGTCCTCGCCCTCCTGGCCCTTGGGCTGGGGAGCGGGCGTGTCGTCCTCCTTGGCGTTCATCTCGGCCTCGCCGGCCGACTTGGTCGTCTCCTGGTTGACCTCGTCCGTCTTGCCGTCCTGGTTCTCCTGCGGCGGCTCGTCGTCGCCCCAGAACTTCTCGTCGACCGACGAGGGGTCGAGCGGGTCGACGTCGGCGACTTGGTCCTCGGGTTCCGCCTCGTCCTCGTCGTCCTCGCTCTCGCCGTCGTCGCCGTCTTCTTTGACGCCGTCGCCGCGGTCCTCGAGGTCGCCTTCAAAGTCGCCCTTCATCTCGACGGCGTTGTCGTCGTCCTCGTCGGGCTGCTGCTCGTCGTCGCGCTTGTCCTGCGGGACGTCGCTCTGCAGGCCCTCGAGCTGCGACTCGTCCTCGATCTCGTCCGAGACGTTCTTGGCGCCGGTACCGTCGGCCATGCCCGTGCCCTCGCTCGTCTTGCCGTCGGTCTGGTCCGACTCGCCCTTGCCGTCGTCCTCGAGCGGGCGGCAGAAGCCGTCCGACGCGAGCTCCTTGAGGATGGACGCGAGGACGTGGTTGAGCTTGAGCGACGCCTTGTGCCAGTCGAAGAAGGACGCGAGCTGGCGCGAGAGGAGGTCGGCGTAGATGCGGAGGAAGGGCGCCACACGAGCGACGAGCGCTGCGGCCGAGGAGGTCTGTGCGTGGCAGGGAAATACAGAGTCAGGATCTCGCTCGGGCACTGGACGATAGAGAGGGAAGAGAGAGACGGAGAAGGAGGAGGAGCGACGCACCTGCTGCGGCTGCGAGAGGGCGGCGTGGGCTTGACGCGCGAACTGCTTGACCTTGACGACCATCTCGTCGAGGCGGAACGTCGCCAAGAGCGAGCGGTACGAGCGGCCTGCGACGCCGACGGCGCCATCGACGAGCTCGTCGTCTTCTACGACCTTGACGCCCTCGACGGCGACCTTCTTGAGGTTCTGGGCGATGATGAGAACGGCGCTCACGAGGTCGTCGTGCGCCGTCTTGAGCGCCGCAAGGTCGCCCACGTCGCCGCCGGCTTGCTGCGGCTCGACGGCGGGGACGCCGACCGATCCGAGGAAGACGGTGAGCGGCGCGAGGACGTGTCGCAGCGACGCAGGCTGCTCGAGGTTGCCGAACGTCTCGGCGACGGTGACGAGGTGCTCGCGCGCCTCCTTGGCGAGCACGAGCTCGTCGGGCGTGGCGACGACGGGCTCGTAGCCGGCGAGCGCCGACAGCGCGTCGCGCAGGCGAGACTGGTCCCGACCGACGGTCGCGATCGCCTCGTTGACGACGTCGCTCGGCCTCGCCGCGTCGACGCTCGAGGCGGCGGCGCTGGCCGAGCGGAAGTGGGCGAGCTCGTCGCGAGCCTCGCCGAGCGCGTGCAGCGTCGTCGACGTCGCCGTGAGGAGCGCGTCGAGGAGCTGTCGCGCCGGGAGCGCCGGCTGGGCGCCGTGCGCGCCCTCGAGGCGCTTGACGAGGAGCTCGAGCTGGACCTGCGTCGACGAGGCGGCGAGAAGAAGTGCGCGCTGGTCGAACGTGAGGTGGATGCCGCTCTGGATGTGGCCGAGCGCGCGCTGCACGTCGGGCGTGCGGACGTCGGCGTGGTGGGCCGCCGGGTACGTCTTGAGCGTCGGGAGCTCGGCGAGCTGGCGGTAGTGGTACGCGTCGGCCTTGACGACGCGCGAGTGGACGTCGCCGCCCACCGTCGCCTGGTCGAGCGACAGGAGCGCGTGCGACGGCGTCAAGCTGTAGACGGCGCCGGCGTCCTCGAGGCGAGCGACGACCTTGGGCGCAGGCGATGGCGAGATGCCGACGCGCTTGAGCTCGTTGAGCAGGTCCCGCCACGCCCGACGCTTGCGCTCGATCAAGTTCTTGACGCGCTGCTCGCGGCCCTCCTCGGCGCCGAGCGGCTCGTCGCGGAGCGCCTTGGCCGTCGCGATGATCTCGACGGCAAAGTTGTCGAGGTGGAGCGCGTGCTCGGCGCCAACGACCGCGGCGAGGGACGACGAGGCGAGCGAGCCGAGCCGGGTGGCCGTCTGCTCGAGCTTGACGAGGTGAATGGCGTCGTTGTCGGTGACGACACCCACAGACAGAGCCGGGATGCTGTCGGCGGCGATAGTCGGGAACGGCGCCGAGGCGGACCTGAGGCGGGACATGGACAGGGGCTTTAGTCAGGCTGTTCGTCGACGAGGACCGCCGGCAGGCAAGTGAACGAGAGACGCACGACGCAGAGATGACCGTCTTGTCGAGCTCGCCGGCCGTGAACAGGTCGGTCGCCGGCTTCTGGAGGACCGTGCGCAACTTGCGGACGCACTTGTGCAGCTGGTGGTGGCTGCGGACGGCGCTCGCGCGCAGGGCGGCGACGTTGATGTCCTTCCAGCTCGCGAGCTTGATGACGTTCTGGACGTCCTTGTCGATGCGGGCGCGCTCGCTCACGAGATGCGCCGTGATGCGCGGCTCGTACTGCGAGTAGAAGGCGTGGACGTTGAGGAGGAGGTCGCCGACACGCTTGAGCGAGGCGGCACCGGCTCCGAGTTCCTGCGCACGAGAGCAGTCAGTCAGTGAGAGCTCTCGGACGGACAAGGAGTGGGAGAGAGAGAGAAAGGGCGAGGGACGCACCTTGACGGCGTCGGGCCTCGAGCCGAGCTCGGTGGCGTAGTTGGCGAAGGCGAGGACGAGGTCGAGGCGGGCACCAAATTGACCGATCGAGCACGACTGGAAGAACGAGTCGAGGAGCTTGACGAGGTCGCGGAAGTAGTCGTCCGGGTCGGCGGCCGGGTCGACGGGCGCCTCGCGGTCGACGCCGGGCGCGCTGCGGATGGCCGTCTCGTAGAAGCGGAACCACCACTTGGACACGGTGTCGCCGAACGTGTCCTGGACGGTCGACAGCAGGCGCGACCAGCACGTGAGCTCGAGGCGGCGCCACTCGACGATGAGGGCGATGACGGCCGTCCGGTTGGCGCCGATCGAGTGCTCGCGGTCGGCGTACTTCTCCCAGTCCTCGGTGTGCTGGAGGAGCTGCTCGAGGTTGGTGAGGACGAGCGCGATCGAGGCCGACGACGTGAGGTTGAGCATGCCGCGGCACCGCTCGCGCAGCGCGTGGAGGACCATCTGCTCGGGCCACTTGGCGATGATGACGTCGAGGCGCGCGATAAAGTCGACGAGGACGGGCACGACCTTGGCCGTCTCGCGCACGTTGGGCTCGTTGTAAAAGTCGTGCTGCGGCGCGTCGACCGACTCGGGCGGGCTCGACGCCTCGCTGAGGGCGACGAGGGCCCGGATGCGGTACGCCGCGCTGTCGCGGTCGAGCGACTCGTCGAGCGACTCGTACAGCTTGGGCACGAGGACGTCGACGCCGGACTGGCGCAGGCGGTCGTAGGCCGACGACGCCGCCGAGGCCGCACGGGCCGCCGGCCGTTGGGCGAACAGGCTCAGGTGCAACTCGGCGAGGAGCGTCTGGTCGCCGGGCTGGACGAGGCGAGACGACTGGGATGGCGAGGCGGCGGCGGCGGCGGCGGCGGCCGACGCGGACGGGTTGGCGAGGTCGTCGTCCTCGTCGGCCATGACGTCGGTGAAAGACGGGAACAGCTTGGCGAACTCGGCCGCCTCGAGCTCCTCGTCGGTCTGCGCCTGCTGGACGTCGAGCTTGGCCTTGTACAGCGACGCCTCGGCCTCGGCCGCCTCCTCGTCGTGGTGGCGGTCGGTCGCCCACAGGAAGTGCATGCGCTCGTACAGCTGCGTGAGGCGAACGATGGCGTCGCTCCTGCTCGACGTCTCGTCGACGATGCTCGCCGTGAGGGCGGCGACCTGGAGGAGGGTCGCCTGGGCCGGGTGCAGCGGCGCCTCGCCCGCCTTGATGCTCAACGGGAGCTCGTCGCCGTGAACCGCCGCGAGCCCGGCGATGCTCGGGAACGTCGTCAGGCGGCGGACGAGCGTGCGGAAGGGCCCGTGCGAGCTCGGCTGCGCGGCCGCCTGCGCCGTGTGCGCGAGGAGCGCAAAGCCGATCTTGAGCGCGGCGAGCGCGAGGCGGATCGGTGCGACGATGTCGGACGACTCGGCGTAGGCGTGGTCGAAGCGGCGCAGGAGCGTGTCGACGGACCGTTGCAGGTTCGACTCGCGGTGGCTCGCGGCCGACGACCACGACTTGGCGAGCTCGGCGAGGAGGCCGTCGAGCTGCGAGTCGCTCACGATCTGCTCCTGGAAGGACCGCAGCTCGGAAAAGAGCGCCGACAGGAGGGCCGTGTTGCCCTCGCGCGTGACGGGCGCGACGCCGGCCTGCTCGAGCTGGCGGCGCAGGTGGTCGACCTCGACCTGGACGCGGTCGAGCTTGGCGTTGCGACCGTTGCCCGTGTTGACGACCTCGTCGAGGCGCACGGCCGACAGGATCCCGCTCATGGCGGCGAGCTGACGGCGGATGAAGCTCGAGTGGGCCCGGAGGCCGACGGCCGGGTCGAGCGGGAGGTTGGGGACGTAGAGGTGCCACAGGAACCTCGCGAACGCGACGAAGCCGGCGCCGACCGACGACAAGTCGACCTTGAGCATCTTCAGGGGCGGGAGCGCGCTCGACAGGTACCGAGAGGCGGATTCCGCGAGCGGCGCCGACGACTCGGCTCGTCGTGCGACCTCGGCGTCGACGTTGGCGATCGTAATGAGCGCCTGCTCGCCCTCAGTCTCGTCCGTACTCGAGACGACCTGCGACGAAAGACGAAGAGTCAGGCATCCGTCGTCGAGCGGCGAGGTGACGAAGCAGGGAGAGAGAGAGAGACGGGCACGCACGAGCGAGATGAGCGCAAAGAGGGCTGCACGCAGGCCCTCGACACGAGATGACGCATCAGGTGCTGCGGCGACGAGCTGGAGGTTGGCCGTCCGAGCGAGCGCCGCCGACTGGAGGACGAGGTTGCCGAGCGTGGGCGTGTCGCCTCGGCTGCGAGCAGTCGGTGTCAGTCCGGCTCGTGGCTGCGACGTTCGACTCGAGGAACGGCTAGACGTACCGAAGGTTGATGACCTTGCGCAGGAGCAGAGGGCGAGCGACGTCCGCCGGCGACGCATCGGCGACAGTCTGCGACGGCGGGAGCGTGAGTGACGGTGCAATGAGTGGAAGGCTGCTTGGGACACACCTTGATCGAGCCACGAGCGAGGTGCTCGGACCAGTTGAGGAGCGTGGCAAACAAGGCGGCCGACTTGGCTGCAGGAAAAATCGAGAGAGAAGTCAATTTGGGAAGGTCCCGATGCGACGAAGGGGCTCGAGCGCGGGGAAGCAGAAGACGCACTGTCGTCGTTGCCTGCAGGCCAGAGCGCGAGTTGGTGCACGGCGACGACGTCCGAGAGCGATGCGGCGCCGCTGTGCTGGACGACCTTGACGAGCGTTGACGACGCGAGAGCCTGCGCAAGGAGGGGGAGGGTCAGGGTCCATGTATGAGGCCGAGAAGAGGCGCAGGAAGAGGGGGGCGCACCGAAGGAGCACCCTGGAGGACCGACGAGACGGTGGCGAGCTCGGCGACGACGAGTGCCGCAGCGTTCGACGAGGAGGTGAGGGCGAGGACCGGGTCGCGCTCGTCGTCGTCGTGCTCGACGGGCGCCGCCGGGATGCGCTTGAGGAGCTGCTCGACGACGTCGATGACCTGGCCCTCGTAGCGCGCCTGCTTGGCGCTCTGCGGGACGCCGAGGATGATGCTGATCTCGAGGAACAGGGACGAGACGGCGTGCTCCCACACCTCGCCGGCGCTGCGCCTGCCGCGCTCGAGGAGGCGCTCGTACGCGTCGGCGAGCGCGGCGTTGCTCGGCTTGAACGGCAACGACGAGCGCCAAATGGGCTCCATCGCCTTGCCGCTCGTCAACGTGAGCGCCTGCCGCAGCGGCGCGAGCTGCTCGACGGCGTCGCCGGCGACGGCTGCCAACGCTGGCGGGATCTGCGACAGCGCCGCGTCGACCCAGGCGACGACGTGCTGAACCGTCGAGAAGTCGAGCTCGGCCGAGCCCGAGACGGCCTCGAGCTCGCTCGCGAGGGCCTGCACCGCCTTGGCCGACTTGCCGAGTGCGGCGCGGTCCTCGTCGGCGAGCGTTGCCGGGTCGACGCTCGCGAGGCGCGAGACGAGGTTCGACAGGGCGACGAACAGCGGGAACAGGCCGGCGACCGTCGAGTCAGCGTCGTCGAGCTTGAACTTGCCGTGCCGCGCGAGGAGCGACTTGTCGAACACGGCGAGCGACCGCGCCGTCTTGGACGCCGCGCGACGCAGGCCTTGCGGGCTCGAGGCCATCGACAGGAGGAGGGACGACAGGGCCTCGAGGAGGGTCGAGACGAGGGGAGGAAGGGCTGCTGCCGAACCGCTTCCGAGCGCGACCGCGAGCGGGACGAGGGACGTATCGACGGGCTGCAATTGCAAGAGGGCGAGGCAGGGAGGACACAAAGAAAGACTCAGTGCTCGGGTCCTTCTGACGAGGAACGACCTGAAACCGGGAAAGGAGGAAGGGGGGAAAAGAGGGAGAGATCAGTACGGACCTGAGTGATGAAGAGACTGATGGGCACTTCCCGCGACTGGGCCAAGGACGCCTTGGCCTGGGTCGAGTGCTGGACGAGGGCGTGCTGGGCGAGCTGACGCAGGGCAAACTCGACAGGGAGCTCGTCGCTCGAGAGCTTGAGGGTCCGAAGGACACGAAGCGCGAGCGGCAGCTGTGCTGCCGACAGGTTCGACAGGAGTTGCTGCACGAGTGCGACAGGCGGAATGTCGCTGTCGGCGAGGTTGGCGAGACGAACGACAGGGGCGAGCGACGGCTCGGCAAAGTGGTCGACGGCGAGGGCGACAGTCGAGACGGCGACGGCGGGGTCGGCGGTGCTGGAGGAGGGCGCGAGGACGGCAATCTCGATGCCGCGGTTGCGCATGGCGCGCGAGAGCTCGCCGTTGCGCGGGTCGAGCGTCATGACGAGGCGGAAGTCGGGGTGCGGCGTGATGATCTGGATCTCGCCGTTGACAGGACCGCGCTCGGCGAGTTGCAGGCGGCCGCCGGGCTCGAACAGCGAGTTGAGGCGGTCGAGGACAGACGGGCTGCACAGGTTAGAGTCTTCCACGAGGAGCCAGTCGCCGTTCTTCATCGCCTGGACGAGCGGGCCGTCGATCCACTCGAACCTTGCGGCGGCGGCGGACGTGTCGGCGACGGTGACGGCGAGGTCGAGGCGGACGATGAGGTCGGCGGCAGTCGAGGGCGAAAAGGCGGCGAGGGCGTCGAGGACGAGGCGGATCGTCTGGCCGAGGGCGACGACGTCGAGGTCGGCCGCCTCGGTGGCGAGCTGGAGGCGGACCTGGCGGAGCTGGGCGAGGGCCGAGTACACGTCCGACACGGCGTCCGTCTTGAGCTGGGCCGTGGCGGCGTCCTTGAGGACGGCGACGGCGTCTCGGGCGACCGAGTCGAGGTCGCGCATGCGGTCGGCCTGCTCGAAGCTGCCGAGGAGCTCGAGCGTGTCGACCTCGGCGTTCATCGTGAACTCGCACAGGCGCTTGCCCGCGAGCGCGGCGGCTTGGCGCACGAGCGCCGTCTTGCCCGTCGCCCGAGGCCCGGTGAGGATGGCGAGCCAGCCCATGTCGAGCGTCTTGACGAGCGCCTCGAGCGGCTGCAGCGACTCGCGGCGGATCGGGAGCGCCGTGCTGGCGCGCTCGACGGCGATCGACGAGTCGCGGCGGTCGAGGAGCGAGTGGCCGACCTGGACGTGCTCGGTCGTGACGAACGGCCACGGGCGCGACGACGGGTCGACGTGCTCGCCGAACGCGTCGGCAAAGAGGCGTGCGACGTGCTCGCGGTCGCGCGAGTTGCGGAACCGCTGCAGGTACAGGAGGCCGAAGTACTCGACCGCGTCGTGCTGGCGCGCGTCGAGCCCGGTGGACGAGCGGACGAGCGACAGCCAGCGCAGGACGTCGCGCAGGTTGAACTCCCACGGCGAGCCCTCGGCACCAAACTTGCGCGCGTCCATCGTCGCGCGGTGCACGCTCGAGTTGAACGCGATCATCTTGCGCAGGACGGCCGGGTCCATGTCCGGGTACAGGGCGCAGGCGATCGCGTTGAGGTCGGTCGAGTCGAGCTCCTCCATGTGGACGAGGCTGAACCGGTCGAGGAACGACTTGGGGAGGCCCTTGCGCCCGCCGCCTTGGCCGAGCGGGTTCTGGGCCGCAAAGATGCGGAACTCGGGGTGGCGGTTAAAGGTGCGGTCGAGCTCGGGGATGTAGACGGCGCCGCGGTGGTCGAGGCACGAGTTGAGGCCCTCGAGGACCGACTGCGACGCGAGGTTCATCTCGTCGAGGAGGACCCAGTCGCCGTTCTGCATGGCGGCGAGGAACGGCGCGTCCTTCCACGCGAACTCGCCGCTCTTGCCGCCCTCGACGGGCAGGTCGCTGCCGAGGAGGTCCATGAGGTCGGTCTGGTCCGACAGGTTGATGCGGACGAGCGCGTGGCCCGTCGCGGCGCTGACGGCCGTCACGAGGCTCGTCTTGCCGACGCCGGGGCTGCCCTCGAGGAGGACGGGCTTGGCGAGCTGGAGCGCGCGCAGGAGGCGCATGGCGTTGAGGCGGGTTGTCGGCGCGAGGAGCGTGTAGTCGACCTGGGCCGGCGGGAGCGCACCCTTGGCGACGCCGAACGGGCCGACCGAGAACACGCCGTCGGCGTCCGACACGTCGAGCGGGAGCGACTCGGGCCGCATCGTCACCGGGACGAGCGACTCGAGGTACCGCCAGCACGAGTGGCGCAACTTGTCGAGACCGTCCTTGGACAAGCCCGACGTCGTCGGGAGCGCGCCCAGGCCGTCGACGACAGTCATGAGGGCGCCCTGGCAGAACGCGTCGGCCATGTCGAGGGTGCTGCACGGGGGAGAGAGGCGGCGTCAGTAGAGGCTCGCAAAGGTCAGGCTCGCCTCACAAGAGGGGGAGAGCAAGGGCGCACCTGACGCCGCCGCGCCGGGCTGCTGCGACGTTGAGGAAGTCGACCCAGCCGAGGATGTCGCGCAGGCCGATGCCGAGGCCCTCGCTCTGCCCGACCTGGCCGGCGAACCACTTGGCAAACTCGAGGATCTTGGCCGCGAACGGCTCGAGGCGGTCGCGGTGCTCGGGCGCCCACCGGCTGCCGATGATGTGCAGGAGGTCGGTCGCGTCGTCGACGGCCGGGACCCAGATCTCGGTGAAGCGGTTGCGCAAGGCCGGCGACAGCTCCTTCTTGCCAAAGTCGCCGCCCGGGTTCATGGTCGCGAGGATCTCGAAGCCGTCGCGGCCGACGACGCGGATGTCGTCGAGGTCGAGACCGCCCTTCTCGGCGAGGACGAGCGTGCGCGACGGCTCGAGGACCGAGTTGAGGCGCTCGAGGACCGAGTCGTCGGCGAGCGAGATCTCGTCGAGGAGGATCAAGTCGCCGCCGCGCATCGCCTGCACGAGCGGACCGTCGTGCCACTCGAACAGGGCCGTCGTCGACCGCATGCGGTCGCCGAGGGCCTTGGCGTCGCCGCCCTTGTTCTCGGCGGCGAGCTCGTCGACGAGGGCGACGACGTCGTCAAAGTCGGCCTCGTCCTCGGTCGGCGCCGGCTTGCCCGCGTCGGCGAGGAGCGACGCCGCCTCGGAGCGCAGGCCGGCCTGGATGGCGGCGCGGTTGCGCAGGGGCCGCTGCCCGCCGAGCAAGTCGGCCGTCTCGGTGTTCTGGTGGCAGCCGACGATGTGGAGCTGGCGCGAGACGGCGTGTGCGAGGGCTTGACAGACCGACGTCTTGCCCGAGCCGGTCTCGCCGACGAGGAGGACGGGCTCGTGGCGGAGGAGCGAGGAGGCGATGAGGAAGTACAGGCGACGCATGGCCGAGGTCCACACGAGCTCGGCGTCTTGAGGCTGTACGCGCAAGGAGGGAGAAGAGAGAGACGGGCGTCAGGGCCTGTAGATGTGGTAGAGAGAGGGATGGGAATGGGAGGAGGAGGGACGCACCGGTACAGGAAGGCCGAGTTGGGGCAAGCGCGCAAAGTCGTACAGGCCCGCCTCGTCGATCTTGACGCGCAGGACGTCCTCGAGAACCTCCTTGACGACCTGCTTGTCGTCGGCGCGACGAGCGCGCTCGGCGAGGAGCATGTAGCCGTCCTCGGCGAGCTGCTGCACCGTCTCGACGGGACCGCGGCCGCCCCACCGGAACAGGTCGCGCAAGGTCGCGAACGCCTGCTTCTGCTCGAACACACGGCCGGCCTGGCGGCGACGCTGGAGCTCGAGGAAGACGTTGACCGTCTTCTCGGCGTGCGAGGGGGCGATGCGACACCGACGCTCGAGGATTGTCTTGAGCTCGTCCTTGGGCACGTCGCCAAAGTGCATCTCGAGGAACCGGTTGCGGAACGCGCGCGACAGGACCTTGCGACCGCCGTACAGGCCGGGAGGGTTCTGGGTCGCAAACAGCATAAAGTGCTGGTGCGGGCGCACGACCTCGCCCGTCTCGGGGATGACGAGCTCGCGGTTGTCGTCGAGGAGGCGGTTCAGGGCCTCGAGGACGTCGGTCGGCGCGAGGTTGAGCTCGTCGAGGACGATCCAGTCGCCGTTGCGGAGCGCTCGGACGAGGACGCCCTCCTGGAACACGAGCTTGCCCGAGTGCGGGTCCGAGACGTAGGTGCCGACGTACTCCTGGATGTCGGTGTGCTCGTGGTTGTTGATGCGCACGAAGCGGTGGCCCGTGCGCTTGGCGAGGTACTCGACGACGCTCGTCTTGCCCGCCGACGTCGGGCCCTGGATGAGGACGGGCACCTTGCGCGTCAGGACGGCGCGCGCGAGGTCGCACACCTTGGCCTGGACGCTCGGCGTCAAGATGTAGTCGTCGGGCTCCTCGGGCTCGAACGGGCCTTGCTCGAGCCAGAAGTGGTGCAGGCGGATGGCGGCGTCCATCGAGGCGGGCTTGGTCGGGACGCGCTCCATCAGGGACCGCGGGTTCTTGGCGCCCTGGACGACGTGCTTGTCGACGAGCGCGCGCACGACCGTCTGCGAGCGCTCGTCGAGGAGCATCGTGAAGGCCATGATGAAGCCCTCGTACAGGGCGCGCCGCAGGCCGAACGTCGGCGCAAACTCGCCCGCGAACGTGAGGGCGCGAGCGAGCGTGCGCATCGAGAAGTGCGGCGGCATGTTCTGGCCGTCGGCGATCTGGGCCCGGAGCGCGAGCGTCTTGACGGCCGAGTACAGGTCGGCGACGTCGGCGACGACTTGGCGGTCGGCGACGGCGACGTGGCCGATGTAGCCCTCGACGATGGTGCGCAACGCGTCGCGGTCCTCGTCTGGTGGCGGGACCCAGATCTCGGAGAACTTGGCGCGCAGGCCGACGGGGAGGTCGCGCTTGCCGACGTCGGTCGCCGGGTTCATGCACGCGAACAGGCGGAACTCGGGGTGGCGCGGGATCGGCTCGAGGTCGCCTTGCTCGGTGAGGACGAGCGACGAGTCGGGCGCCTGGAGCAGGGTCGACAGCGACTCGAGCGTCTCGGACGACGCGAGGTTGACCTCGTCGAGGAGGACCCAGTCGCCGTTGCGGATCGCCTGCGCGAGCGGGCCCTCGACGAACGAGAAGACGAACTTGGCCTTGCCCTTGCCGCCGGCCGCCGAGACGTGGCGGTGGTCAAAGTCGCCGACGGCCGACATAAAGTCCTTCCACCGCTCGCCGAGCTGCGCCTTGGCGCTCTCGACGCGACGGCGCTTGCGCTGCGCCTGCGCGTCCGACGGACCGACGTCGTCGACCGCCTCGGCGGCCGACCCGACTCGCGCCGAGGCCATGCGGTTGGCCTCGCGCCACAGGCCGACGAGGCGCGGGTAGCGCTTCTTGTCGAGGGCCTTGCGGACGTGCGTGACAAAGTCGGCGTTGCGCGTGAGCGAAAAGGTGGCGCCGAAGAGCTCGACGAAGCGGTTGACGAGTTCTGAAGCGGCACCTGCGAGCGAGAGGGAGGAAGAGTCAGTTTCTGCCGGCGGCTCGACGACGGCGACGACGCGACGAGAGAGAAAGGGGGACGCACGCCTCGCCTCCTCGGCCTCGTCGATAGGTCGGAAGCCGCCGACCAGGTCGCCCGCCTCGGTCTGGTTGCTCAGGTTGAGCGCCGTGAGCCGCTTGCCCATGAGCTCGGCGAGGTACCCGACGCCGGCCGTCTTGCCCGTGCCCGTCTCGCCGACGAGGAGGACCGGCTCGGAGAGCGACAGGCACACGGCGAGCTTCTCGAGGAGGAGGAGGGACGGCTTGGTGAGCGCGTACGGCCGCGAGTGCTTGGTGCGCCGCGAGGGCGCCGAGAAGGGCAACGTGACGCGGCCGACCTTGACCGTGTGCGCGCCGGCGCTCTTCGACGGCGCGAGCCCGGACGACGTGTCGATCGTCGGGAGGACGAGGTCAGGGATGCGCTGGCGCAGGGCCCACTCGGCGCGCTCGATCGACAGGCCGAGGGTCGACGCGAGCGAGCGCGCGACGACCGAGAACCGGTCGCGCGGCAGAGCCGGCGCGAGGGTCGCGTTGGCGTCCTCGAGGGCGGCGGCAGCCGCGTTGGTCGGCGAGGCGAACGAGGACGTGGTCGGGAGGATGAGGGAGCCGAGGAAGACGTCTCGGGCCTCGACAAAGACCTCCTCCTGCAGGGTCGGGTTGGCGGCGAGCGAGGGCAGGGCGAGACCTGCGGGAAGGAGGTGTGCGACACGGCGGCACCACCTGGAAGGAGGAGGCAAAGAGGGTCAGTGACGTGCACTCGAGAAAGGGCACGACGAGGTGAGGGAGAGAGGGGGGCGCACCTGAGCAGGTCCCGGACACCGGCCTCCCTCTTCGTGCCACCCTGACCGCCCTCCTTGACCTTGGCCGCCTCGTCGCGCACGGCCTCCCACGCCTCGACGAGCAGCGCCGCGAAGCCCTGCACGCGGTCGAGCCGGGCGCCGTACCGCCCTTGAACGATCTGGCCGACCTCGGCGCTCTCGAGCGGGCGCAGGAGCGCCTCGCCGAAGAAGTGGGCCGCGAAGAAGGCGGGCTGGGCCGGTGTCGGCACGAGCGACGAGGCCGGGAGCGAGCGCGTCGCGAACAGCATGAACCCCTCGGCCGCCTTGACCCACCGGCCCTCGCCGCCGCCGACGCGGACGCCGACGCCGCCGTCCTGCTCCTCGGCGCCGATGCCGCCGTACGCGCGACCGGCGCTCGGGCCGGCGCGCGACGCCGCCGCCGTGTGCATGCGCTCGGCGACGACCTTGATGACGCTCAGGAGCTCGGGTGCCGCCTGGTCGATGTTGAGGAGGAGCGTCCACCGGCCCTGGCGGATCGCGCGCGTGAGCGGGCCCTCGACGAACGTGAACTGGCCGGCGCCGCTCGCCGCGTTGGCCGCCGACGACGCGCTCGACGGCGCCGATGACAGCGAGCCGAGGAGCGACTTGCTGTCGAGCGAGCGGTCGGCGAGGTTGATGACGACGAGGCCACGGCGCTTGGCCTCGTACGTCGGGCCGGCGCTCGAGGGCGCCGCGTGGACCTCGTTCCACAGGTGCATGACGGCGCTCTGCTTGCCCGACGACGGCGCGCCCGTGACGAGCGTCGGGACGCGGCGCGTCACGTTGTGCGCGAGCTGCGCGAGGAGCGCCGTGTGCGCCGACGTCGCGACGAACGCCTCGGGCTCGGGCGTGACGGCCGGCGCGGCGGCGTGCGACAGCGACAGCGAGCTCGATGGCCCGGGCGCCGAGGCGGCAGGCGACGTGAGCGAGGGGACGAGGCCCTCGCGAAAGACGAGGACCGAGTCGGCGACGACGACGGTCGTCTTGCCGAGCTCGGCGGGCTCGAACGCGCCGAGGGGGCTCTCGCCCGGTGCGACGGCGGGCGCCGAGACGAGGGCGCGCGCGCGATCGTCATGCGCGCGAACATCCTCGACGATCGGGAGGACCCACGGGTCGACGCCGCGACGGCGGACGAGGACCTCGAGGCCGCCCTGGACGAGCCGGCTGCACTCGTCACCGCCGGACGCGACGACGAGCTCCTCTCCAAACCCTGAGGGGAGGAGATCGTCTGCGTCGGCGGGCGAGGCCGGGTCGGCGCCGAACGTCGCAGCGTATTCGGTCGCGTGGTCGGTCGGGTAGGGGAGGGCGGGCGCGAGCGGGAGGGTCGCGGTCGAGGTCGACGCCTGGGGCTCGGCGATGCGCCACACCCACTGGCGCTTGAGCTCGTCGCCCGTGGCGGCAAAGAGGCCGAGCCAGGCGCGGACGACGCGCCAGGCGACGAGGCGCATGCCGCGGTGCGGGTGCGTCTTCATCGTCTGCTCGATCTGGGGCGGGAGCGACCAGCCGCTGACGGCGGGGAACGACGGCAGGTGGTGCAGGATCGAGTACAGCTTGAGGAGGGCCGCCGCGAGGCGCGAGTCGTAGTCGGCCGAGTCGGGCGCAGGAAGGAGCGGGCCGACGGCGAGGAGCGGGTGACGCAAGAGGAGGCGCAAGTACCTGTAGGGTCGCGCAGGTCAGTACGGTGTCGGCGAAGAAGGGGGACAGATGAAGGAGGAGAGAGAGGGACGTACGGCATGGCGTCGTCGCCGAGGAGAGGCAAGGCGCGAACGAGAGCCGACCAGACCTTGTCGACGGCGTCGCGCTCGCCTGGGGCGGCCTCGTGGCCCGGCTCGCCGTCGCGCCACGAGCCCGTGTCGGTGAGGCCGAGGAGGTCGAACCACCTGCCGACGAGGACGACGGCGAGCGGGCGGTAGTGGGCGAGGACCTCGACGGTGAGGGCGGGCTCGAGGGCGAGGCGGGCGAGCGTGTCGAGGGTGCGGGTGCGGGCCTCGCTCTCGTGGCCGGGCGTCGGGTGCGCGATGGCGAGGTGCTCGAGTAGGGGGGCGGCCGCGCGGGCGTCGTGGGTGATGAGGGCGGCGAGCGAGCTCAGGTCGGACAGTGGGACGAGCGGGGTCCACGCGAGGTGGGTGGCGGGCGCATCGTGCTTGATGAGGGTCGCGGGTGCTGGTGCGGGTGCAGTGGTGGCGACGCCCAGGCGGTGCAGGAAGGCGCGGGTGCGGTGCGCGAGGTTGCACTCGAGGGCCGAGTCGTGGGCTGCTGGAGGAGGCGACGCGGCGACGACGAGGGGCGAGGGCGGCGGGTCTGGGTCCATAGTGGGACCTGCGCAGAGAGCGGGAGAGTGCTGCTCCACTGCTAGTCTGCGAGGGGTGTGTGTCGAGGAGGAGCGGGCGCTTCCCCCGCACCGAATCGCTCTCCTCGTCGACCAGACGAACGAGAACGAGCTCAACCTCTCTCGCCCCACTTGCGGCACAGCAGCCGCCGGCTCTCTCTCTCTCTCTCGTCCCTCGCACAGCTCCACTCGCCCGTCGAGCCTCCCACCCCGAGCCATGCTCCGCTCGCTCGCCTTCCCCCGACCGCTCGTCGCCCGTCGCTCGTACGCGACCGACGCTCTGCACCCGGTCACCGCCGCACTTCGAGCTGCCCTCAAGCAGTCGATGCTCGCCAGGACCACGGCCCGCACCGGTGTCATCAAGGTGCGTCTCCCTCTCGCTTCCTCTCTCCGAGCTCGCGGTTCTGACCCTCTCCTACCTGGTCCAGTCCGTCCTCGCCGACCTCCAGAACGCCTCACACTCGGCCGGGTCCGCCCCTTCGCCCCTCAAGACGCTCCAGCTCGCCATCTCGCGCCGCACCGACGCCGCCCAGACGTTCCGCACCGCCAACCGCACCGACCTCGCCGACCAGTACGACGACGAGGCGCGCATGCTGGCCGAGTTCATGCCCAAGAAGCCCCCAGCCATGACCAAGGACCAGGTCGACGCCCTCGTCCGCGAGACGCTCGAGTCGAACGGCATCAAAAAGGCGACCGGCAAGGACGTCGGCCGCATCATCTCGTGCGTCCCCTCGCCTTTCCGTCTCTCTCGCGACGGCGTCCTCCCTCGCGACAGGACTGACATGTTTGGCGACGACACAGGCTCGTTCGCGAGCACACGGGCGACCGCGCCGAGGCCAAGGACGTCGCCGAGGCGGTCCGCCGCATCGAGCTGCCCTGAGCGCGCTCGTCGTCGTGTCGCGGCGCGGCACGTCGGTCGCTCGTCGAGGGCGGTCACTACCGTCGTCGAAGGTGCGGGCGAGGCGGACGTGTCGGGTCGGGCGAGCGGCGGCTTCGAGGAAGGAGGACGAGCCGCGGCGCGAGGATGCCTGCTCGGCCGTCCTCCTCTCCAGCTGCGTCCGGCTCTACGGCGTCGGTCCGCTCCGGGTTTCTGCGTCGCTGGTCGATGCGGCGCGTTGTACAGGCGCACATAGATTGCAAAAAGTACCACCTCGTGCAGCGCTCGACGAGCTCCGAGGTGAACGAGGTGGCGAGCGAGCGGGCTCGAGCGCTCGAACTCGAGCTGCGCAGCTTTGTCCTCGCTCGCCGTACGTACCCTCGGCTCGTAGCCTTGCTGGCTCGACGCGGGTCGGACTTGCTGCGGCGGAGCCCGTGCGCCAACCCCGCTTTTTGGTCAATTGACCTCGGTTCGCTCCCTCCCTCTCACTCGCTCGTCGTCTCGCGCACTCGCTCCCGCACACGCACCCTCTGTGCCAGGCTGCACATCCTCTGCTCGTTCTCGGCGCTACCAACTCGCCGCACCAACCACGCGCCGTCCTCGCCGACGATGTCGGACCCGTTCAGCGCCTTCACCGTCGGCTCGTCGTTCCCTGGGTGGGACGGCGGGTACAGCTTCTTCAAGAGCGTCGAGGAGGAAGCGTGTGCGTCCCACGAGTCCCTCTCCCTCTCGACCACCGAGGCGAGCTGACTCGCTCTCCTCCTCTCGCAACAGTGGAGGACCACTTCACGTTCGTCCCGACCTGGGACATCCTGTACGAGGAGGACGCGCCCGACACGTACATCGACACCTACACGATCGAGTGCGACTACTACGCCGCCGTCGCCAGCGTCGTCGGCGCCCTTACCTCCGACCGCTCCTGCCCTTACTCGATCCAGGTCCAGCAGACCTCGGCCGGCTCGACCGCCGCGCGCGTCATCGCCTCGCACCTCGAGCACGACCACGCGCTCGACCTGCCCGAGGACGTCGTCGAGACGTGCATGTCCCCGTACGCCCTGTGGCGCAAGTGGACCGAGAAGGACGCGCGCCCGTCCATCCTTCACGGCGCGAGCAGCGCCATCTGGTACGCCCGTCGCACCTTCAACGGCCTCAAGGGCTTCCACGTCGAGATGCGCAAGCGTGCGATCGAGGACCAGGACCGCGTCGTCGCCGACGTCAAACGCTTCTTCCCCGGCGAGCAGGCGCGCGAGCTGCTCGACGAGTCGCACGCCGGCAAGTGGCTCTTTACCGACGACGAGGTGCGCACTACTCTCTCTCTTTCACGACTGTACGTGAGCCGGACTGACATTGTCGGTCGTTCTTCGCCTCGCCCGCAGCGCAAGCTCGTGCAGGGTCCGCTCGCCGTCGGCCCGGCGCCGAGCCACCGCAAGAAGATCGCCCCGCCAAGCGTTCTCGAGCGCACTCCTGGCGCCCCGTCTCCCTCGCCGTCGAGGGAGGTCAAGACGGTGCGCCCCGTTTCGCTCGTCTCGCCCCTCGCCCGAGCGCACGAGCCGGTCGTCCTCGCCTCGGTCTCGCACCTGTCACTGGCCAACGCCTCGGCCCACAGTCTGCGACGACGACGGCGACGACAACGACGACGACGAGCATGTCGATCTCGAAGAGGCTGGACGTCGCCGATCAGCAAAACCGTCGCCTCCCTCTCGCGCAAGTCGCGCCCGAGCCGTTCACGCCCGCCGCCGCCCGCAAGGCGCCTGCGCCCGCTCCGCCGTCGACGGCCTCGTCGTCAACCAGTGCCCTGCAGCTCGCTCCTCTGCAGGAAGCGCCCGTCGCGCTCAAAAAGCCGGTCGAGATGATCGACCTCGTGGACTCGGACGACGAGGACGTCAAGCCTGTCGTCCAGCCCGAGCCTGAGTCTGCGACCGCAGCCGTCTCTTCTCTCGGTGTGCGTCCCCTCTTTTCCGACCCTCTCTTGTCTCCTTCGAGCGGTCTTGACTTGCGCGCTCGGGCCTTCCTAACCTGCCTTCGTCTTCGCAGGCCGGCGCCTCCCTCCATACCCTTCTCTCCTCGCTTTCCTCGACGTTCGACTTCGCCAAGCACCTCGAGCACTTCCTGCACCCCGACGTCGACGTCGACAGCGCGGCGCAGCTCCTCGAGATCGCTCGGTCGCCCAAGCTCCTCGACACGCTCCTGGACGGTCTTGCGGCGCAGAAGAAGGTTGACGGTTCGACGGACGAGGTTCTGAGGGGGGTACCGCTCGTGTGGAGGACGGCGCTGCGGCAGGCGCTCGAGGAGAAGGTCCGGGGCGACAAGGAGCGCCCGTAGCTTTTGTTGGCTTTTCCCTGCAACCGAAGCTTGTTCGTCGCGACTACGGACCTGCGCCGTCGTGCTGTCGACGTGCGCTCCCGTCTCTCCAGCGTTCGTGGCGCCGAGAGAGACGTCGAGCGCAGTACGCCCGTCAGTCTCGTTCCAAATCCTGAGCGAGACGGAGCGAGACGAGCAGGACGAATAGCTCCCTTGCGCGTCGACAGCTCTTCTCGTTGAACCCGGTCCATCGCGACCTGGCTTGGAGAGCCGCCAGGCTGCACCCACAGTCCCGCTGAACCTGCAGAGCGGCCCGAGCGCTCTGCGTGACCGGAACCTCGCTCGCTCGTCGGCGCTTTCCTTTCGCTCTGTGCGGCGCCAATCGGCTGAACGTGCAGCGTCGAGCTTCAAGGTACTTCGAGGAAGGTGAGCGCCGCCGTGCGAGAGTCGCCGAGAGCCAGCGTAAGCCGACTTGAGAAGGCCGACGTCTCGCGACTCCCTTTCGCTTGAGGGCTCTCTCATTCTCACGCAGCGAGACAAGAGAGACAGAGGTACTCTTATTGCGGTATGTAGTGGCACATTTACATTTGAATTTCTCGGAAAGTGAGAGAGAAGGAGAACGGACGACGAGAACTCGAGAGACGCGCCGCCAGTCGTCGACCTCGCTCCTCGACGACCGTGCCCTCGAGCGGCTCCTCACACCGACTCGACGTCCTTGACGTCCTTGTCCTCGATGTGCGCCATGTCGGCCCGGATCTGCTTGCTCGACATCTTGAGCTGCGCGTCGACGGCCTCCTTCTTCTCGGCGAGCGTCGTCGCCTTGTTGTGGTCGAACAGGAGCGCGATCTCCTCGAGCGCGAGACCCTTCGTCTCGACGAAGAGGAACCAGATGAGGACGAGGTACACTGCGCGCAGAGGAGAGGTGAGCAAAAGTGCGCTCAAAGGGCCTGAGCGTCGACTTGAGAAGGTCGACGAGGTCGACGCCGACGACGACGACGACGAGGATGATAACGACGAGGACGTGACAGGGAACGACGACGAGGACGACGATCGAGGGGCTGAGAAGGACGAGAAAGTGAAAGGTCGACTCACTGATCAGGGTGCAGAGGAAGACAAAGTAGTACTTCCACGCGACCGCCTCGAGCCCGATCGGGTTGATCCTGAGGACAGTCGAAAGAGTGAGTACTTGTCGACGGTGAGAGGATGGAGAGCGAGGGACGCACCATTGGTTGAGGCACAGGGCCGCGTTCTGCATCCAGACGAAGAGGGCCATGCCGGAGGCGCGCATCGAGTACGGCAGGATCTCGGTCGTGTACGAGAAGGCGAGAGGCGTCCAGGCGATGTCGTAGAAGCCGTACTGGATCGTGGGGCGAGATGAGGTTAGCTCGACGAGTTGACGATCGAGTCGAGGAGGGGGAAGGAGAGGTCGAGGAGGGCGAGGACGCACGCAGATGAACATGAACGCGACCGAGCAGAGGCCGTAAGCCTTGGTGCCCTCGTTGGCGAACATTGCCGAGACCGCGATGAGGACGATGTAGGAGCAGAGCATTCCGCCGGTCGAAATGAGCCAGAGAGGGCGGCGGCCGACCCGCTCGACGAGGGCGGCGCCGACGATAGCGAGGCCGAGGTTGAAGATGGCGAGCCCTGCGAGATGCAGTAGGTCAGGGAGAGGTTCGCTGAAGACGATCAGGCGACGAGAGGGTAAAGAGGGAGAAGAGGACGCACCTCCGTTGATGGATGTCTGAGCGAGAGCGCTCGTCACGCCCGCAATACGAAGCGCCGGCGCTAAGTAGTACGACATTATTGCCACGCCCGATGCCTGTGAGCCCGTGCCCGTCGTCAGGACGATGAGGAGGCGGTGCCGGTTCCCCTTGGTCTTGAGGAAAGAGCGGAACCCGGTCTTCTCGCGCTTCTCGAGCGCGAGCGCGTCCTCGATCTCCTCGAGCTCGTGCTGCACGAGTGCGTCGTCCTTGTCGCCGTTGGCGTGGTGCTCGGCGAGGACCTGGAGGGCCTGCTCGCGGCGGCCCTTGGCGAGAAGGAACCTCGGCGACTCGGGGAGGAAGAAGAGCGCGCCGACGCCGACGACGATGGGCCCGATGGCCTGCAGAAGCGTGGGCAGGCGCCAGCCCCAGTCGTCCTGCCAGTCGGCGGCGATGACGCCGTACGTGACCCAGGCCGAGACGACCGATCCCGTGTAGTCTGCGGAAAGGGTTCGTGCGTCAGTTCGCGCTCCTCGACAGCTATCCTCCGTCTCGCCCCCGGTCGTGCGAAAGAGAGAGAGAGAGTCGAGGGACTCACAGAAGACGAGGAAGAAGGCGGCGCCGATGGAGCGTAGACGTGGGTGCAGGAGCTCGTTCACGAGGAGGTTGGTGGCGAGGGCGATGAGCGAGCCAGCGACGCCGACGACGGCGCGACCGGCGATGAGCATGGCCTCGTTGGTCGCGAGCGCGCCGAGGATGGCGCCGCCGAGGAGGCCGATCGACCCGACGACGGCGGCCGGCCTGCGCCCGAAGTAGTCGCACGCGAGCGAGTAGAAGGGGAGGAGGACGAGCGTCGGCAGGTAGCTCGACGCCGAGATGATGCCCAACCGGTTCCCGGACGGGCTGTCGAAGTAGGCGTTCCAGGACGGGAGCGACTGGAGGCCGTTCATGTAGCTGCCATCGTAGCCGAGGGCGAACGCTGTGGGCAGGGCAAGGCAGGGTCAGGACGGCGTCGTGGGCGAGAGATGGCTGTCAGGGACGTACTGCCGAAGTAGCACTGTGCGCGAGGCAAAGTTGGGGGCAAGAGGAGGTCGAGAGGGTCGGGAAGGGCGGGGCGGGTCAAACGTCAGTCCTCGTCGCTCCGAGCAGGACCGAGAGAGACGTCGGGACGCACGATGACAGCCGAGCCGATGTTCTTGCGCAACGACGGGTCCTTCCACCACGAGTCGGCCTGCGAGAGGGGCGAGAGAGGAGTGAGCGGTCGGGCGCTGGCTGCGGCACGTCCTCGAGAGCGGCGACGCACCGTGTTATTGGGCATGTCCCGGAACGTCTTGCTCATCTTGGGTGTCGGCCGAGTGCGCTCGAGGTGGTAGAGCGAGGAGGAGCGCGCGATGAAAGCGAGAGAAGCGCGAGCTGAACTCGACCGAGGACGAGACGCGGCCCCACGAGTCGGGGCACCGGCCTGCTCGAGCGTTCCTCGCGCAGGGCTCCTCGACGGCACCTTCGGCCGCCTGGTCCAGCGGCGGGGACGAGGTTTCGGGGGCCGAGGGGGAGAGGCGAAAGGGCGAGCGGCGGTGGGGGGTCCGCACCGGCGCGCTCGCACAAATTGGCCGCCGCGCTTCGCTCCGCTGAATGCGCCGCCGCCGGGGCGTCTCGCCAGCACACACGCAGCCCTCGCCGACGCCCTGCAGCCTTCAGCCGCCGGCACTCGGTCGACCTGAGCGCCCAGGCTTGACCCTCGTCACCTTGGGAAGGCTCCTCGTCGGCCCGACGCCCTCGTCCTCGGCCGACAGCGTTTGCCATCCTCCTCGCCCCTCCTCGAAAGAGCACCGGCGCTCGCTCGCGTGGCGCTCGGAGAAGCGGAGCACAGCAGCCCGAGCTGGGCTCGCGCCGCGCTGGCTCGGCTAGCTCGCGAGCGCAGCGAGCAGGGAAATGTGCCGGCGAGCGCGCGAAGTCGAGCGTCGCAGCTCGCTCGACGGGAGAAGCGTTCCGAGGCGCAGGTGGGGTCGTCGGCGGAAGGAGGGACGCTCGGGCTCGAAAGAGCCATCGATGCGAGGGCGAGGTCGAGGAGCCGAAAAGGAAGAGCGGCGGCAGGCGCGGCTGATGTTGAGTCGAGGCGAGTCGAGACGAGGTGTAGTGCGTCGGCAGGTCTGCTGAAGGACGTGCGTCAGTCACGCGAAACGCAGAGGGAGGAGAGAAATAAGAAGAGCGGCCGGACAACCTCGTCGACCCGTTCGGCGGACCTCCACCGACCGACTCACCTCCACCAGGACGCGAGAGAGCACCTCCACCTCGCACTCTTGGCGTATGGGCGTCGCCTGCCGCCTTGACGACAAAGCCCTGACGAGCAGACCGTCGTCGAACGCGCAGCACGAGCCCGGGCTCGAGGACGAGCGACGAGCGACGGCCGGTCGTTCTTGACCGCCCGCATGTACAGCAGCAGCACAGCAGCCTCAGGAGAGACGCGAGCAGCAAGCTCGAGCGTGCGAGGGTCGAATGCGGAGGCAAGCCGCGAGTGGAGCTGGCTCGGGCTCGTCGTCGCGGACGGTGCGGACGGTCCGTGCGCGGCAGACAGGGGCTGGCGGACAGTCCGCGGAACCGGCACCGCCTGTCGATCAACGCTTCGGAAAGCGACCGAGGACGCTCTCAGTTACAGCGGGAGCGACAGCGAGAGGTGCGAGAGCGGCTCGTCCACCAAGTCGACCTTCTCAAGTTGCCGACCTGCCTTTCTCTCCCCACAGACAGCCCGTTCTTCGTCGTGGCGTCGCCCGACACTCGTTTCAAGCGGTCTGCAGGTACTCGAGCGTCGAGCAGAGCCGCAAGAGCGCCGCGAGCCGTCGTTTCTCCTCCCTCCACCTCGCCTCCTCTCTCGCCTCCACCTGCCGCTCTCTCTGCGCCTCTTGCCGCCGTGCAGGCGTCTCGCGGGACTTCTCGAAGCACGAGAGAGAGGGCGAGAGAATACAATGATAAATAGCAGGTCTAAGATGCGCTTCCAGCTCGTCCCCTCGCCGCCCAACCTCGCGTCACCGGTCGACGCCCTCGACTGCGCGCTTGAGCCTGCGGACGGGTGCGAGAGCTTGGTCAGTCCGGGGGGACGTGACGAGAGAGGGGGGAAGAGGGAGGGCGGAGGAGGAGGAGGAGGAGAGAGAGAGAGAGAGAGAGAGCCGTCGACGCACTCGTACAGCATGACGTTCCCCCACACCCAGCTGCCGGGGACAGGCAACGGGTGCAGCAAGTCCCTGAACAGGTGCTCCTGCCCGAGCATGATGCGGCCCGAGTCGTCGATGCGCAGGCGGTGCGCGAGGCCGAGGTCCTCGGACTCGGGCGCCTCGTCCGTGAGCGGCGACAGCGGCGGCGCGGCCGACGACGACGACGACGACGACGACGGGTTGCGGAACGAGGGGGCGGTCGAGGGAGGGTCTTGCGACGCGCGCAGGTCCGACAGGACTTTGCGCGCGAGCGAGTCGAGCTGGAAGACGCGCTGCGGGGACGAGAGGCCAGGTCAGGGGTCCGCCGGCGAGGGAGATGACCGAGAGAAAAAGGGAGACGCACAGGGAACGGCGCATAGTTGTGGCGCGGCGGGTGGTGGAGCGAGCGCCACAGGAGGGTGGGCCCGTTCCTCGCCTTGCCCTCCTTGCCCGGGAACGTGCGCGCGACGTGCTTGAGCGCCTTGCGCGCCTCGCGCTCCCACGTCTGCTCGCGCTCGGCCGTCAGGGGCGTGTACGGGATCGGCGAGTCCTCGGGGTACGGCCGTGTGAGGAACCCGGCCGCGACAAAGTCCTCTGCGAGGTGCGGGAGGGGGGTCAGGCCGGCGCTCGTCATCGAGGAGGAGGAAGGCCAAGGACGAGTCGGGACGCACCCTCGGTGTACTTGCGCAGGTCCCAGTAGCCCGAGTTGACGACGATCATGTCCGGGTGCTCGATCTGGGGCCGGTCGAGGTGCTTGGCGAGGAGCGGCAGGAGCGGGACCGTGACGGCCTCGGTGCGGTCGATCCATCGTGCTGCAGGTGCGCAGGGAAAATGAGTCAGTGGCGGGCTCGAGAGAAGGAGAGAGAGAGAGGGAGACGCACACGGCGGGTAGTACCACCTCTCGGTACGGAAGAAGTCTTCTGCGCCCTCGAGCCCCCACGTAAACACGTTGACGATGGTCGTGCCGTACTCCTCAATGTCGCAGACCCACGGCTGGGTGAGCGCCTGGCCGTCGTCGGGCCGGTTGGCCCATTTCTGCTCCCACTCGCGGCGCTCGCTGTCGGCGTCGGCGACGAGGTACGGGGGCGGGCACGCCGGGTGGTCGACCGTGACGAGCTCGAGGCGGCCGCCGACAAACTCGCAAAAGTCCTTGAGGTGGAACCGGTCGATCGAGTCGCCCTGGAGGACGACGGTGCGGTTGCGGAACCAGGGGAGGAACTCGCGCCCGCTCTTGGACGCGGTTTTGGCGTCACGGTCGCCGCCGTCGAGGGCATGAGGCGGGATCAAGGGCTCGAGGTCGCCAGGTGGGCGGTACAGGGCGGCGAGGAGGTTGGAGGGCGCACAGCGCGAGTCGAACGGGGTCCACACGGTCTTGCGCGGGTCGGCGAGGTCGACGTGAAGGCGGCCGTTGGCCTCGAACGGGTTGCAGGTCCACTCGCGGTCGGCCTCGGACTGGGGCCGGGTTGCGGCGGTGCGCCACGACGAGGCCAAGCGGTCGAACGAGTCGTGGAGGCGGTCCTTGTACCCAGTCTGGGCGGGGTCGAGGTCGAGGCTGTCGGGGGTTGGGGACGGGGCGTGGTGCGAGACGAGGGCGAGGACGAGGCAGAAGGCGACGGTCGGGAGGAGGACGGCGGGTCGACGGAGGAGCGAGAGGGCTTGGGCGTGCCAGGCGAGCTTGGCGGGCTGGTGGTGGCGGTGATGGGGTGGGTGGTAGGGGCGTTGAGAAGGGGGAGCGCTGCCGTCGAGGCGCGAGTAGGAGGGGAGCGAGGGCGAGTCGGACGGCATGCGGGTGGGGCGCAGCGAGGCCAGGGTGGGCGGTCGTGCGGCGAGGCTGGGGCGAGTCGGGTGCGGGCGAGGCGGGAGCTGGAGTCGGGACAGGTGCCGGCGAGAGGCCAGCTCTCTGTGTGTGTGATGTGCGAGAGAGAGGCGAGGACGAGGACGAGGCTGGTGAAGTTGGAGCTCGCGAGGCGGGCGAGCTCCTCCTCATCACCCTCGCTCGCCGTCCTCCTCCTCCTCCAGCAACCATGAGCGTACGCCGACCGCTTCACTGTGCTCGTCGTCAACCACAACTGACTTCCCACCCTCCACCGCTCAGTACCGCGTCGCCAGCGCCTCTCGAAACCTCCTTCGCGCCGCCAGGCCTTCGCCGTCCGTCTTCATCTCACCTCTCACACGCGCTCCTGTGCCCGCCTGGGACCACCACGAGCACCCCGTACTGACCTCGAGCCCCCTCACCCACAGCCGCGTGTGCGCCCGTCGCTCGCTCGCGTCGACCTCGATCCTCCGCGCAGAGCCCACACCCGCCGCCGCCTCGTCGAGCCCGCCCCCGCCTCCAGCCAACCTGAGCCCAAAGCTCGCCAACATTGTCGACCAGATCTCGACCCTCACCCTCCTCGAGGCCGCTGACCTCGTCGACGCCCTCAAGGTCCGTCCCTCCCTCCTCCCCGTGCACCTCTTGCGGCGCCTGCGACGGCACACTGACCCCCCCTTTGACACCCACCCGCAGTCCCGCCTCAACATTGTCGACGTCGCCCTCCCCGCCGCGTCGGCCGCGCCCGCCGCCGCCGCGCCCGCAGCAGCAGCCGCCGACGAGCCCGCCGCCCCCAAGGAGAAGACCGTCTTCAACGTCAACCTGACCAAGATTGACGCCGCCCAGAAGGCAAAGGCCATCCGCGAGGTCAAGGCCCTCATGCCCGGCATGAACCTCGTCGAGGTGCGTCTCGCCGCTCCCTTCCTCTCTCGTGCGAGCCGTCGGATCTCTCCGACGACAGCGCGAGTGCGATGACGGAAGCGAGGTCCGACACTGATCCTTGCATGTCCCTTTCCGACCCCGCAGGCCAAGAAGTTTGTCGAGTCGCTCCCCAAGACGCTCAAGGAGGGCGCGACCAAGGACGAGGCCGAGAAGCTCCAGGGCCTCTTCAAGGCCATCGGCGCCGAGGTCGCCCTCGACTGAGCGCGCGCGTCGCGCACGGCGTCGAGTTTGGAGCGAGCGAGAGGGAAGGGGAGGAACGAGTTGAGCAGGGAGGGAGCGAGGGAGGGACGCCGCAATGTAACGATTCTGCAACCGCATCGATGCCTGGCTCTCGTCTGGCGCCTCTGTCGTGCTCTCTGTACCCTGCTCGAGAGTCGGCTGGGCCACAGAACTCGCTCTCGGCCTTTCTCGCTCGCTCGCTCGCTCGTCCTCGCCGCTCGACCCGCTTGCTCTCGCTGGCTCGCTCTCGCTCTCGAGCACCGACGAGAGGCTGGGCCAAATTAGGGTGATTGCGACGGGCAGAAGGCTAGAGGAATAGAGGCGGGCGAGCGTGGCCAGCACGACTCGCCGCGAGAGGAGGGAAAGACGACGAGGGGTTCGTGAGACGACGTGACGACGTGGACGAGGATGCGCAGGAGAGTGAGGGAGGGGGAGGGAATACAGGCATCGTGAAAGTAAGGGGGGAATAAGGATGACGAGGGAATAAGAGAGGGGGTCGTGAAAATTGGCGCGTGACGATGGGGCAAAACGATGAAGGAGAGAGGCGGGTGGTGGAAGACAAGGAACAGTGTGGCGAGGCGTGAGGCGAGTCGGTCGGTGAGGCGAGACGAGGCGTGAGAGGGTGTGAGAGGTGACGGCGGGTATAGTCGGTCGGTCGGCGAGAGGTGAGGCGAGTCGAGGCGGGACGAGGCGGGACGAGCGGCTCAGCAGCCGCACCAGCCCTTCTTGGTCGTATCGACCGCGTCCTCCTCCCTGAGGACGATCGAGTCCCGGCTGCGGAGCGTCCTGCGGCGCTCAATCTCCTCGCGCCGCTCGACGAGGCGCTCGGCGACGCTCCAGAACACCTCCTCGATGCCCCACCCGTCCTTGGCGCTCACCTCGACCACCTCGACCCGGCACGCGTCGACAATGTCGCGCACGCGCTCCTGCTCGGCCGCCTCGCGCGCGCGCAGCGTCGCCGCGTACAGCTCCCAGTCGCGCCGGAGCCGCTCGTCGTGCGACTGGCGCCGGCGCGACGCGCTCGACGCGCCGAGCGCAGAGATCGACTCGCCGAGCGCGTGCGCGCCGACGAGCGACAGCGAGTGCCCGATGCTCGCGAGCCCGAACGCCGACGCGCCGCTCGTCGTGCCGGCCGTGCCGCCGGGCGGCGACGAGCCGTGCGCGCCGGCCGCCGTGATGGCCGACGACCCAGCCGAGGCCGGGCTCGTCCCGCTCCCGCCTGCTCCTGCACTCGTCGACGACGCCGAGCGCACCATGCTGAGCGCCTCGACCGCCCCGCCGAGGCCTGCGCCCGCCGCACCTGCGCCGCCGCTCGAGCCGCTCGCCGACGCCGACGACGCCGCGAGGTTGAGCCCGGCGAGCGTGTAGGCGCTAAAGTCGGGCATGGTGGCCGACGAGACGAGCGTGCTTGTCGGTCGAGGCGCCGCCGAGGGTGAGGCGCTCGACGAGCTCGCGGTCGGGACGAGCTTGTTGGACATGGCGCGCATGCGCGCCGAGAGGGACGTGTCGCTCGCCAGTGGTGCAGGTGGAGGAGCTGCCGAGGTGGTGGCGGACGACGAGGACGAGGAAGAGGCGATGGTGGCGGAGCGCAAGAGCGTGTTGGGCGCCGACGGGACCGAGGTCGTGATGGTCGGGATCGTCGTCGACGACAGGGGCGTCGAGTAGGTGCGCGAGCGCACGAGCGGCGCCTGCGACGGGAACGCGTTGCGTGCCTGCAGAGGCGGTGGCGCAGGCGGCGGGTCGGACGGCGGCTCGGTTTCGGACGGCGGGTGGTCGAGCTCGTGCAGCCACAGGGCGATGCTGCGCTGGGCGTCGGCGAGCGGGACCGTCGGGTACGAGCCGGCAAGGTCGGCCTTGGTGCCGACGACGATGATCATGAGCTCGTCCGACATGTTCTTGCGCAGCTCTGCGACGAGGAGAGGGAGGGGGCGTGAGCGAGGGGATAGAGGGAGGCGAGAGAGGCGACGTGGGACGCACCCTCGATCCAGAACTTGATGTCCTGCAAGCTCGCCTCGTCAGTCACGTCGTACACGAGGATGGCGGCCTGGGCGCCGCGGTAGTACAGCGGCATGAGCGCGCGAAAGCGCTCCTGGCCGGCGGCGTCCCACAGCTGAAAGTGGACGCGCGTGTCGGCGACCGTGAGCTTCTTGGTGAGGAAGCTCGCGCCGATCGTCGATGAACGAGAGGGGCTGAAGTGGCCCGTCGTCGAGCGGTTGATGAGCGACGTCTTGCCGACGCCCTGGCTGCCGACTGTTGACGACGAACGGCCTCGAGTCAGTTCGTCCTGCGCCCGCACTCGATGACAGAGGAAGAGAAGGCGAGGAGACGCACGGATGACGACCTTGGCCTCGAGGTACTCGGACGCGTCTCCCCCTCCTCGCCCTCGACCCGCAGTGGTCGGACCCGGCGGCACTTTGAGCGTGTGGGCGCTCCTCGCCGACTGCGACAGCCTCGACGGTCGCGGTCGTCGCAGCGGCGCCGCACTCGACGATCCGACAGGCGACGTGCGGTCGAGCGCCACGAGCGACGGCACCTTGCCCTCGTCGACCGAGGGAAACGGGAGGACGGCCGAGCTGCTCGCGCCGCCTTGGGCGAGCCTCGGCCGTGCCGGGATGAACGCCTGCTGGGCCGTCGAGAACGACAGGGTGCGCGACCGAGTCGGCATGCCTCGGGGCTGGGGCGTGCCGCTCGACGAGCTGCTCCCGGCGCTCGGCTCGACGGCCGTGATGGACGACGGCGCCGGGCTGACCGACTGCGACGCGCGGTGGCCTCGTCGCCGACCGATCGACGGCGAGTTGGACGACGCGCTCGACCTGCTCTTGCCTTTGTCGGACGGGACGCGGCTCATCGACTTGGTCGCACGGTGACCGGGCGAGCGGCCGACTCGAGACGCGGGCGAGGCGACGGGGAAAGGCTGGCGGGGAGCGATGGCCGTCTTGGCCGTGTCGAACGACGTGTAGGTGACGGTCGGCGGTGGCGGAGGCCTCGAAGGCGCCGGGTCGGCGTTGGCCGAGGAGGATGAGAGCGTGTTGGTCGACCCTGACGAGAGGGAGCCGGGGGAGGAAGGGAACGGCGGGGATGGTGGCGGGGTGACGACGAGGGTGGTCATCGCGTGCTGATGACTGTCGAGGGCTGAGCGGCACAGGGAGATCAGGAGGTTGACGGCTTGGCCCGGTTGTGGGGGTGTCGAGGAGAGGGCGAGGGAGGGTTGACGAGGAGGCGGGTTCACCGGGACCTGCTCGCCGTGCAAAGGGGTCAGTGACTGGCCGTACACGCTCCAGAGAGGCACAGAGCGACTCACGGCGCCTGCTGTTGCCGAGCTGGCCTGGCGGAGGAGCCGGCTTGGTCGTGGATTCGAGGCCGAGAAGGAGCGTGCTAGGGCGCGGCGGCGGCGCAGGGGTCGAGCGGGGGTGAGCAGGCGAGATGCGAGCGGCCGTGGTGGCCAGCTCGTGCCCAGGGAGCGCTGCCTGGTGGCGAGAGGGATGCGGATGGAGTCCAAGTTGCGAGACGAACGGCGCTCGGCCGCCGCGCCTCGCTCTCCCTCTCTCCCTCTCTCTGGCTCGTGCTCGCGCTCGGAATGCAGCCAGGGACCAGCACAGGCCGCCCACCCACGCCGTCACCTCATCCTCCTCGAGAGAGAGCGCCGCCGCGCTCAGCTCGCCTCTTCCTCGTCCAACTTGCTCCCCCACTTGACTCGTCGCGCGTTTGCGAGCTCCAGATGACCGTCGCTCATTCACTTGATGTGCTCCCGCCATCGAGTCGCGCTGCTGCCTACGCGTAGCTGCAGTCGAAGCTTCCCTCCTCCTCGGCTTCTGCCCGTGACGCGGCGCAGTTGTCGGTGCCCCAGGCTCCTCCGCGCTTGCACGCGACTGATAGCGCTGCGAGCGACACGTACGAAGCTGCCGCGAAGGAGCGCTCGTTCTTCTCGCTCACTTCTCAAGGCGGCGGCCGCACAAGCTGCCGAGCAAGCGCTGCTCACGGACCCCTCGCTCGCGGGCGGCCTTCTCAAACCGCTCGCTCGCTCTCGAGAACGGACAGCTGCGTCGCCGCCGAGCGAGGTAACGCACTGCTCGATTCTGCAACAACACGGCGTGCAAAGCCCGTGATACTCAAGCTGGTCGAACGCGATAGAAACCGCCCTGCTCCTCCTCAGCTCCCTGCGCCGCGCTCGTCCCCCTCACGCCCGCCGGCGTCGCCGTGCCCCGGGCTCTCCCTCTCGACCGGCCCATGCGCGCCAAAGCCGGCCCACTGCCCAAAGACGCTCGTCGTCGCCGCGCCTGGCCCCGTAGCGTGCGCCGGCGCCGACTGCGGCGCCCAGCCGAGCTTGCCGCTCGGACCCGCACCGTGCACAGGCGTCGTCCGCCCCGAGCTGCCGCCATCGCCGTACTGCTGCTGCTGCAGCTGGCGAGCGTACTGCTCATGCGGCGGCGGCACGTGCGAGTACTGGGCGGGCGAGGCGGCCGGCCCGACGGACGCGAACGGCGGCAGCTGCACCGACGCGCGGCGGTCCTGCTCCTGCTGCTCCTGCTGCTGGACGTGTGCGCGCCATTGCTCGTACGAGTGCGAGTGCGGCACGGCGGTCGGGGTGCTCGTCGCGGCGCCGAGAGGAGGAAGGTGGAAGTGAGTGAGGTTGGGGAAGAGGTTGACGGCCGGGCCCGCGAGGTACGGCTGCTGGTGGGCGCTCGTCGACGGGTCGAGTCGAGAGGTTGGGGCGGAGAAGAAGGTATGCGGGTGCGAGTGCGGCGCGGCGTGCGCGTGCGCCGGCGGCGTGTCGTCCTCGGACGAGTAGGCGGTCCCGGCGGCGACGGGCTCGTCTTGCTGCGACTGATGCGGATGCGGGTGCGGATGCGGGTGTGCGTGGCCGTGGTACGACTGAAGAGGCGCGAGCGTCGGCGAGTCGTCGTGCGGGTGCGGCATCGACGTGTAGAACGAGCCGGATGCAGGAGGCCACGACGGGCGGTGCGGGACCGAGTCGTGCGAGGCGATCGGGAGGCCCGACGGGACGACATGATGATGCTGGGACGCGATGGACGGCGCCTGATCGACGTAGTGGTAGCCCGCCGGGGCAGGAGGACGCCCGCCCAGCTCGACAGGGTAGCCGGCCGACGCGTACGACGAGCGCAAGTCGCCGTCGGACGGGACCGACGGCAAGGCGTGCGGCGCCGACGACCCGCTCGAGTGCTGGTACGCCTGCGCGCCCGGCGCGTCGGCCGGCTTGGTCCGAGGTGACGTGTCGGCCCGGAACTGGGTCAGACTCGCTCGACGGTAGCCCGGCTGCGTCCAGTGCGACGGCTCGTACTGCGGCCCGTACGACGACGGCGCGCCGAGGTACGCCGGGAAGGAGGATCCCGAGGCGACGGGCGCGGCGGGTGGGCCGATCGACGTCGAGTAGCCCGGCCAGGCGGCGGTCGAGTCGGGTGGCAGTCTGGCGGGCTGCTGCGGGTACGCGCTCGGCGGCGGAGCGTAGCTGAACGAGTGACGAGGCGCGGTCGAGTACGACGGTCCTGCTTGGCCGTCGTCGTACTGCGGGTAGGGCGACGACGCCGAGTCGGCCGAGGTGGTGGACGCAAGGCTGTCGCGGCGGCGCGGTTCGACGCGGCGAGCCCGGGTCTTGCGGATGATGTTGTCGAGCTGGCTGCTGTCGCCGCTGACGAAGAAGCCCGACGGGTGCCTGCACGGGTTTGAGAGCGGAGAGCTCAGTTGAGAACTCGGGAGAGGGCTCGTCGGCCGACGCACATGAAGCTGATGAAGGCCGCGTTGCCGGTCTTGCGCTCGACGGACTTTCTGCGGTCGGTCAGGCGCCTGGAAGAGGACGAGTCAGAGACCGCCCCGAGGAAGAAGGGCGAGAGAGAGAGAGAGTGTGTGGGCGCACTTGAAGTTGTAGTAGCTGTGGAGGAAGGGTCAGGGTCAAGGACTGTGCGCCGCCACAGAGGGGAAGAGTGGGACGTACCTCAGTTGGCGGATGAAGCTGCTGAGCCTGTATGCGGAGCGCCGTCAGTGACTGCTCGAGAGGAGAGGGAGGGAGAGAGGGACGCACGAGCGAAACTCGTACTGAGCCGAGAGGGCGTGTCGGGCCTTGAGCTCGTTGGTCGTGATCTCGAACGCCTTGCCGTCGTCCGTCCAGTGGAACGACTCCTCGTCGAGCGGGTGCTCGAGCAGGCTGCGGGCAAGCTCGCGAGGTCAGCTCGCGAGGAAGGCTGGGCGAGGGGAAAGAGGGGAAGGGGGACGCACGCATGCAGCTTGTCGATGAACTGAGAGCGCTTGACGCGCTTGGGCGGTTCCGCGACGCTCGACGAAGCTTCCGCCGACATGGTCGGCGGGTCGGCGGCCGTCGAGAGCTGAAGCTCCGAGTCGCCCTCGTCGTCGTCCATGCTCTCACGCGACCGTACGGGGCGCGGGTAGGCACGCCGGTGCGACGAGTGCCGAACAAGGCCTGGCGGGTGGCGCCTGGGTCGAGAGCGGCGTGGCCGGGACGAGAGGGCGGGCGAGCGGGCGGGCGGGCGAGTCGACGGGCACGAGGACGCGGGCGAACGAGTGCTGCGGATCGGCGATGATGCGGGCGTGGGTTGGCGCGTGTGCAAGCTGGTCTTGCTGGGCCAAGCTGTGCGCAGGGCGGCGCAGGGAGGGCGACGAGAGGGATGGTGACGAGACGAGCCGGCCGGGAAGAACGTCGCGGGGAGCCGGCGAGGCCGCGTGCGTGCGAGGTGGTGCGGGGGAGGGAGCTGCGAGGGGTTCGACTGGCGCGCTCTGCGCGGAGGCAGCTGCTGCACAGCGGACCGACACGCAGCAAGGCGAGCGAGGAGGTGAGCCGGGTCGTCCCGCCTGCCGCCCTCTCCGCGTCGACACCCGCTCCTCTCGCTGTTGCTCGTGGCGCCACCGCTCTGGTGACAAAGCCTGCTCTCGCTGCCTCATGGGTGAGAGCACCGTCTCACCCGGGTCCAGCGCGCCGACCGCACGATGGCGAGCTTCCCTCCAGGAGCTCGAGAGTTGGCACCTTCACGTGCGTTGCTGCCGGCGCCCTCTCCTCAGGCACCAGCACCTCGGCTTTGACGCTCGCTAAATCTGTGAGACGTTCTAAATCTCTTTGTCCAGGCCGCCGCCGTCGCCTCCGTGGTCCACGAGCGCTCGTAGAGCGGCTTGCCGAAGAGGTTCGTGCGCCGCTCCTCGGACCTTCCGCTCGTCGGCACCATCCGCTCGCCCTCTCCCCGAGAGATCGACAGCGTTGCGTCGAAGGCTGCAGGCTGCAGCGTCGTGCAGCCCGATCCCCAGCTCGTTCGGCCGAGTACTCAAAACTGAGACGATGCCGAAAGTGCTTCAAGGGCTCGACGGCGACGGCGCCGGCTCGCAGGGGAACAGAGCGCCGGGAGCACCTCGGCGAGCTGCAGCAACGTGCGGTGCGCGCGGTTCTCTCGAGAAAGGGTCGATCGGGCGCGATAACTGCCGACATTGCGAGGGGGCCGAAGTGCGAGAGTCGGTCGCCGACTCGCTGCTCGCGGTCGAGTCGCGCATGCTTGCCTTTCGATCTGCGCTACGGGCGCACATTGGACAGACGTGGATAGATTGCGCGGCCCCTGCGGCCCGGAGATACACCTCGCTCTCACACTCGAGGCCCGACCGCACGTCGCAACCCTCCTCGCCCGCCGCACGCACGTTCAGCCCCTCTGACTCCTGCTCGCAAAGCTTGCCGGGTTCGCCAAGCCGGTCGTGGCCGACCCTTTGCCCGTGCCGGCCGACGGCGCGGCGCCAAACTCGGTCGTGCCGCCGGGCGAGAGCGGCGTGCGAGACGGGGTCGTGGGAGCGGGCGTTGCAGGCATCTGCGAGTGTCGCGCACGGCCGAGGAGCAACGTCAGTACGTTCTCTGGCAATAACAAGCGCTCCAGAAAGAGAAGGAGAGAGTGGGACGCACGGGCTCTGCGGCAAAGGCGCTCGGCTGCTGCAGGTGGTGGCTCTGGTACGGCTCGACCTGCGCTGTGCCGAGCCCTTGACCGTGGCCCTGCCCGGCATAGTTCATGGCGACGAGCTGCGCATAGCTGAGCGAGCCCGTGCCGGGCTCCCACGCCTTGTCCTCGCCGTCGGGCGGCGGCGGGCTCGCGGTCCGAGCGCGGTGACGCGTGCGGAGGAGGTACACGCCGAGCAGTGCCGCGAGGAGGAGGGCGACGCCGCCGATGGTGCCGCCGGCGATCGCTGCGTAGAAGGAGAGAGCAAGGGAGGAAATCAGACGACCTTCGAGGAGGCGAGGGAGAAAGGGAGAGTTGACGGACCGCCGACGTTGGCCGAGCTGCTCTTCGAGTCGGACATGGCAGAGGGTCTGTGTCGTCAAGTGAAGAGTCAGGCGGATCACGATGGACGACGGAAAAGAGTGAGAGAGAGCGAGGGACGCACGGTGTGTAGACGTAGCTCGTGTTGAGCGCCGACGCGTACGAGATGATGCTCTGCGTGTTCTGACCTGCACAGGCGACGAGAAGAGTCAGACTACCTGGCATCGTGGCTCGAAAGCGCGCGCAAGACGCGCCTTGACCGGTCCCGAGGCACGAGTTGTCGGAGCTGGGCTCGACGATGATTGGCGGGAGCGAGAACTACGTGACGGCGCCGTTGAGCGTGACCCCTGCACTCACTAGATGTCAGTGACCTGGAACAACTCTCGGTAGAGAAGGCGAGAGACGCACAGAATTGTACAACGACCGAGAGGCCGGCAGGAAGGTCGACGAGCCAGCCAAACTCGCCGGCCGTGAGCGACGTGTAGGCGCCGCCGAGCGGGATCTGCTGAATGTAGGTCGACGTGTTGCTGACGTAGACGCCGCACTGTGGGCCGATCGGGAGAAGGGTAAGGGAGAGCGCTCGTGAAGGGGGAGAAGGGCCAGCGCACCGTCTTGGGGACCGAGGGGCCGGTGAAGCTGCGGACGAGGGATGGACCTGGTCAGGGCTCGCTCCAGATAGGAGAGAGAGACGGACGCACGCGAAAGTGACCCTCTCGCACATCTTGAGCCCGCCGACGGGCGGCCAGAGGCGCAAGTCCTGGTTTGCGCCCGAGGTGAGGTTTGCCGTCGGCCTCGGGATGTCGACGCTCGTGCTCGACGCTGCACTCGTCGTCGCCGCCGACGTCGACACGACGGTGCCTCCGCCCGTGATGGTGGTGGCGAGCGAAGCGGACGAGCTGTCCGAGGTGGTGGACGACTGGGCGAGGACGGCGACGAGGCTCGCGAACGCGCACGCGAGCTGGGCGGCGGCGAGGCGCATACTTCTCGTCGAGCTGTAGCAGATGCGGCGAGAGCCAGAGAGAGCAGAGAGCGACGGCAGCGGCGGTTCGTTCGAACACCGAGAGGCGGACGGGAGGGTCCGCGGCAACTCCTCAAGGTGCGCGCAGCTCGCCGTCCCCGTGTCTCGCAGCGCTCCGCGAGCGGTTCTGCATGCGGCGGCGAGCCGCTCGCGGCCGACACGAAGGGTGGAGGAGCGACTGATGAGGAGGAGAGCGGGCCTGGCTCAGAGCCGGCAGCGAGCGTGAGGGCGGCGCGGGAGGACCCGGAGCGCGTGTAGCGAGCTCTGCTCGGCTCGTAGCATGCGCAGCTAGCGGCTCAGCGAGGGAGCGAGGAGCAGTGCGAGTCGAAAGCTGTCGGTCTCTCCTCGTCGCCTCCAACCTCGTCCTCTCGCTCGCTCGACCAGCCTGAGAGTACCTGTTCCACACTTGCGTCAGTTCTATCCAGCACGCCGAGGTGCGCACAGCTCCCCCTCCCCTCTCCCTACCTTCTCTCCTTCCCCTCCCCCGAGCTCCTCACAGATGAGGCTGCCAACCCGCCGGGACAGCCACGCTGATCGTGCTCGACCCACACAGGCCACGCAACATGAGTGCTCATGAGCCTGCCGCCCCCAAGGTCAAGAAGGGCCTGTGGGAGAGCCTCTCACCCGAGGACCAGAAGAAGGCGGCGACCGTCTTCCTCGTCTCGGTCGGCGTCACCCTGCTCGTCACCGGCCGCAGCGGCGGCAAGCTCCTCAAGCGTGCCAAAGCCACAGAAGGCGCCGCACCCGCCCCGACCACTGCACCTCGACACGCCGCACCGGCTCCCCCTCCTCCTCGCGCACCTCCCGCACCTCGACTTGCGCCGACACCCGCTCCTGTACGACCTGCGCCCGGCCCGATCGAGCCAGTCCAACCTCCTGTGTCGACCAGGCTCCCGACGCCGCCACCCATGTCGTTCCTGCACCCCAACTCGCTCGCGGCGCCGAAACCTCGCCGGTTCCTCCCGTCGTTCGTCTCGTCGTCGACCGGCGCCGCCTCGTCCTCGTCCTCGAGCGCCGACACCCCGCTCAGCGTTCTCGCGTCGCGCCCCTCGCCGTCGTCCTACTTCCTGCCCAACCCGGCCTTGACGGCCCAGTCGACGGCGTTCGCGGCCCAGCTCGACAAGCTCGACAAGCTGCACGAGGACGGCGAGGGCCCGCCGCCCGCGATCGAGGACGGCTTCAACCCGGCCGTGTACGCGGCCAAGGCGTTCGGCATCGCGTCGGTCATCACGCTGAGCGTGTTCGGCGCCGGCATCTGGGGCGTCATGCGCTGGCTCGACGTCGACGATGTGCGTCCCCGAGCGCCCCCCTCTCTCTCTCTCTCGAGACAATATTTGACTCTCGATGTGTGCCCGCAGCTCGAAGGACTCGCACTTGCGCTGCAGCACCGCCTGCCGGGCGTGTTTGACGAGCACCGGCCGTCGGTCCCTGCGTGGGCGCAGCCGTCGTCGACGTCGCGCACGACCGACGCGGTAGCCGACCCGGCGACTGAGGCCGAGGAGCTGTCGTACTGGGCGTCGGTCAAGGAGACGCTCGACCGCGAGGCCGAGGAGGACCGGGTCGAGCGGCGAGGGGCGTGGGAGCGCATGAAGAAGAGGGCCAGCGCGGTCGGGGAGACGAGGGCTGTCTAGAATGGAGCCGCCGTAGCATACTCGCATAGCATGGATCGAGCTTGGCACTCAAGAGCAGCGTTCGAGAGCCGCGAGAGAGGCCTTTCGTCGCCGTTCGCTCGCAGTCGTCGCAACTCCACCTCGCACCCTCTTTCGCCTCACGACTGGCCACCATGGACGAGGTGAGCTTGCACGGTCCTCCCGTGTCCACCCTCAGCATCGCCTTCTAGCTCCCGGTCCCCCCTCGACCTCGTCGTCGCCCCACCTCGACTCGCCCTCGTCACCGCTCAACGGTCACGCCTCGAGCGGCTGTGCGCCCAGGTCGGCGAGCTCAGGAGAGCAGGTGCCAGACTCTGCGCTCTTCCACCGCTGCCCGGCGGTCGTGGTCGTCGTCGCCAACCAGCCCGCCTCCTCATCGCCCGCGGGCGACTCGCGCCGTTCTCTCCTCCCCGGGCCGGCTCGAGGTTGGGCAAGGAGGCAAGGGCACGATGCGCGAGACCCTGCGGCTCCGGCACGCAGCACCGGTGCCCCTACACGCACTGCGCACGACGCTCACATCTCCTCCCTCCTCCTCCCCTCCCCGCCCCGCCGCATTCGCCCGCCCCTCGACCACTTACAGATCCGCAAAGTCCCGCCTTTCACGCGCACCGTCGTCCTCGGCGTTCTCGCGACGACCCTGCCCGTCATCCTCCAGCTCGTGTCGCCGTACAGCGTCGCCTTTGTCCCGCACCGGGTCGCGCAGAACTGGGAGCTGCAGCGCCTCGTCCTGCCCTTCCTGTTTGGCGGCGGCGGCATCCAGCTCGTGTTCAGCTTGATCATGCTGTACCGCAGCCTCAAGGAGCTCGAGGAGGGCCACTTTGCCATGCGCCTCGCCGACATGAGTGCGTCCACGCGTTCTCTCTCTCTCTCTCTTTCTCCCGAGCACGCCACTGAGCCTTCCTCTCGCGGAACAGCCTGGGCGTTTATCCTCATCTGCGCCGGCATCATTGTGCGTCCCTCGGTCCTCTCCTTCACCCCGCGAGCGACGCTGACTCGCCCACTCGCGCATGCAGGGCCTCAACACGCCGCTGGAGAACCCGTGGCTGTACAGCGCGTTCCAGCTCGCTGTCGTGCACCTGTGGGCCCAGGTCAACTCGATGAACCAGTTGCGTCCACCCTTCTCTCGCGTCGTCCTGTTCCCGCAGCTCGCCCTGACCCTCCCCTCGTCGTCGCGCGCAGGGTCAACCTGTACGGCATCCTGACGCTCCCGGCGCCCTACTTTCCCTTTGCCATGCTCGGCATGGACCTCCTCCAAGGGGGGCCGGGCGCCGTCTTGCGCTCCTTCACGGGCATGGTCGCCGCGCACGCGTACTACTTTATCGCCGTCGTGCGTCCCTCTCTCTCTCTCTCTCTTTCCTCGTCACCCGTGTTGCGGAAGCGCGCAGCTTCTCTCTCTGGAGGCCACACAGTGACTCACCAACCTTGTCTCGTCGCCCGCGCAGATCTACCCCCGCCAGAACAACAACCGGCTCCCGTCCCTCGTCGCGTCGCTCCTCGCGCCGCCCCAGTTCCTCATCAACACGCTCGGCAACGGACCCGCCGTCCCGTCGTCCTTCTCGGGCGGCGGCGCTGCAGCGGGCGGCACGGCGAGCTACCGCACGGCGTTCGGGACGGCGTTCCGCCCTGCGGCGGGCGGGCGCACGCTCGGCGGGACGCCTGGGGCCGGCGCGGCGGCGGGTGCGGCGGCGGCGAGGGCTGGCCAGTCGCAGCAGCAGCAGGCGCCGAGTGCGGCGGCGGGCAGGGGCGCACCGGGATCGAGCGCGACGAGGGACGAGCGCTCGGCGACGCATCGGTGGGGGAGCGGGCAGCGGTTGGGGACTGACTGAGCGGGGCGAGGCGGGCGCGCTCGCTCGCAGGTGGTACTGAGCGAGCGAGGTGCACGTCGTGCAGGGGAACCAGCTCGAGCGCGAGACGAGCAACGTCGACGTGTGCGCGTCCGCGAGCGTGAGCTTGGGAGAGGTGCGAGCGGCGAGAGGGAGAGAGCTCTCGACCCGAGCGTGACAGGCTCGCGAGAGGTACTGCATGCATTGGCTCTATGGCTTTGTTCGGCGTCTACGTCGTGCGGCTGCCCCTCCCTCTTCGTCGCGCGAGACCTGCTCGTCGTCGCACGGCCCTCGTCCTCTCCCTCGTCTCGCCCGTCGCTCGCTCGTCGCTCGCTCGTCGCTCGCTCGTCGCTCGTCCCGCACCCGACACCCCCAACTCGATGCCCTCGCTCAGGCCCCTCAGGCCCGCTTGCGGCCCATGACGAGCCCCATCTCCCACGCCACCTCGACCGTCTCGCCCTCGCTCAGCTCGCCGAGCCCTCGCTCCCTCAGCTGCCGCACAAAGCCGCTCACGACGTCGCCCTCGCCCCTGCCCTCGCCCTCGCTCGGGTGCGCCTCGTCGTAGGCGTGCGCGGCGCTCCACGTGCGCAGGTAGCCCTCGAGCTCGGCGACGGACCAGTGGCGCGTGAGGAGGAGCGTGCGGTGCACCTCGAGGCGGGCGAGGCCGTGTGGGAGTGATGGTGATGGGGAGGAGGCTGAGGAGGAGGAGGGGGAGGGTGCGAGCCAGGTCGTGCTGAGGGAGGAGGAAGACGAGGGGGGCCCGAGCGGGGCGGCGAGGGGCTCGAGGAGCGGCGAGAGCGCACCCTGCTCGGTGTCGGGGCGCAGGAAGAAGGTGCGCGTGAGCGACGCCGGGTCGAACTGCGACGCGGTCGACGACGGGATGGGCGAAGAGGGCGAGGCGGCGGGGAGCGGGAAGGCCGCGAGGAGGTTCTCAACGATGGAGCGGCCGGGCTGCTCCCAATAGGGGCCTGTGTGAACGATGCGTGAGACGAGTGTGAGCGAGAGTCTCGGGAGGCAAGGAGAGGCAGAGGGAAATGGACGAGGGAGACGCACCGAGGGTGCCACCCGAGTAGCGCGGGATCAAGGCCGACAGGTCGGGCTTGCCCGGGAAGAAGAACTCGCCGTAGCCCTGTGGAACGAGGAGGCTGTGAGTCGACGTGCGGCTCGATAGGGTGAGAGAGACAGGGAACGAGGACGAGGACGCACCCAGAAGGCGAACGCTCCTCCCGGCTTGAGGACACGCGCGAGTTCTGCGTAGGTCGCCGGCGCGTCGAACCAATGAGCGGCCTGGCCGGCAATGACGAGGTCGACGGTGCTGTCGTCGACGACGCCGTCGAGCTTGTCGCCGCGAGCGACCTCGAAGCAGATGTCGGCCGAGGGGCTTGGGTCGCGGTCGGCGAGGATGGTGCGGGCTGCGGCGACCATGCCGGGGGAGGGGTCGATGCCGATGATGCGCTCGAAGCGGGGCGAGGTCGTGGTCGAGGTCGAGGTCGACGAGGAGGAGGAGGAAGAGGGGAGGCTGAGCCAGTCGAAGGTCGAGAGGCCCGGCCCGCACCCGAGGTCGACGAGGGTGGTGGGGGGTGTCGAGGTGGTGGTCGATGGGGGTGCGCGGTCGAGGAAGGCGACGACGTGGTCGAGGAGGGCGCGTGGATACGAACTGCGACGAGTGTGGGGGTCAGCCGGCGGAGGAGGAGAGGAGTGGAGAGGAGAGGGAGGGAGGGGACGGACGGGCGAGAGGCCGAGTAAGCGGCTGCGTCAAAGGTGCGCTTGGCAAAGGTGGCCATGGCCTCAGAGGGTGATGTTCGAGGAAGGGGAACAGCTGCGAGATGATGAGGACGAGGTCGACGAAGGGCGAGGCGACACCGTCTAGCTCGGTGCGCAAGCTGGCTCGTGCAAGCTGCTCAAAGTAGTTGCACGACCAGATCGCAGCAGCACACGCTCGACCGGGTGCGAGGTGCGAGTTGACCGGAACCTGCATCGCCTTGCTCCGGCTCACTCTTGCTCCTGTCCCTCTACCGACACGCCAGCCATGCTCGCCCGCTGCACAGTCGGTGCACCCCTGCGAGCCGCGACTCGCCCGCGACCACTCGCCCTCGCGCGCCTCGCCTCGTCGTCCACCTCTCCTCGACGACCCCCACCCTCGTCGGCCGGCGCACCTCGCCCGCAACCTCGACCGCCGGCACATGCACGCCCTCAAGACGACCTCAAGCCCCAGCCGTTCGTCCTGCGCCCGCGGTCCCGCACCTACCAGCTCGAGTCGCTGTCGACCTCGCCCGACTCGCCCCTGTCCGACTCGACCCTCCACTTTGTCGACCCGGCCAACCCTGCGACCAAGCGCACCCTGTCCCTCCCCAACCTCTTCCTCCGCGACAGCTCGATCCACTCGGACCACGTCCACCCGGCGTCCCAACAGCGCCTGTTCCGCACCACCGACATCCCGCTCGACGGCCACCTCGTCGGCTACGGCGTACACGACATCCCGGGCAAAGGCGACTGCCTCGTCACAGAGTGGTCCACCCCGCTCGCCTCGGCCCCACCCTCGTCCAAGGCCGCAAAGCTCAGCGTCGTCCCGCTCGACCTCCTCGTCGCCATCCTCGAGGGCGACAACCTCGCCCACGAGAAGCAGGGGCACCTCCCTCCCGCCACCCCGTGGGACCGCGCCCAGCTCGAGCGCACCCTCATCCGCGTCCCGTACGCCGACTTTCAGCACTCGGACGCCGCCCTCGAGCGCACCCTCGCCGGCCTCATCCAGGACGGCATCTGCATCGTCACGGGCGTCCCGACCGCCGAGCGCGACGGCCACGACAAGCCCGAGCTGCGCAAACTCGTCGAGCGCATCGGGAGCCTGAGGCGCACCTGGTACGGCGACCTGTGGGACGTCAAGGCCGAGGACGGCAGCCTCAACATCGCCTACACCAACCTCGACCTCGGCCTGCACATGGACCTCACGTGCGTCCGCCTACTTCTTTCTCTCTCTCTCTCGTGTGGAAGAGTCGAGACCTGACTCTCGCTCGTCGCGCCCGCAGCCACTTCGACAACCCGCCGCGGTACCAGTTCCTGCACTCGCTCCTCAACCGCCACGTCGTCGGCGGCACGTCGTACTTTGTCGACACGTTTGCCCTCGCCGAGCACCTGCGGCACCACTCGCCCTCGGCGTTCGACACGCTCGCGACCGAGCACGTCACGTTCGAGTACCGCAACGGGCCGCACCACACGCGGTTCGTGCGCCCGACGCTCGAGCTCGCGCACGCCCCGGCGGGCCAGGGCGGCGCATCGGGCCACCACGCCGCCAAGGTGCACGCCGTCAACTACAGCCCGCCGTTCCAGGGCCCGCTCACGCTCGAGCGCATGACGCGCACCGGCGCCGCCGGCGCCGAGACGGTGAGCGACGACGCCGAGCGCCTCGCGCGCCTGCACGACGCGCTCGGCCAGTTTGCCGCCCTGTGCGACGACCCAGAGCAGCGGTGGCGGTGGACCCACCAGCTCGCCGAGGGCGAGTGCGTCGTGTTTGACAACCGCCGCGTCCTGCACGCCCGCACCGCGTTCGAGTTTGTGCGGCCTCCTCCCGGCGAGGGCGAGCACGAGGGCGGGGAGGAAGCGGGCAGGTGGCTCAAGGGCGCGTACATGGACGGCGACGAGCTGTGGAGCCGGTGGAGGGTCCTCAAGGCCAAGCAGCGTGCCGAGCGCGACAAGGCGCGCACGAGGGGCAGGACGTTGTTCGTCTAGCTGCGGCGGCGACGACGATGACGGAGAAGCGAGTGCAACGAGGGTGCGTGCGACGACGGGTGCTTCGAGCTTGGGCGAGGCGAGAGAGCGAGAGCGGCGGCCTAGAGGAGGAGGGAGGAAGAGGTCCGAGAGCAGCTTTGCGGCTGTCCTTCTCGCGTTCGTCCGGTGAGAGCGAGACGAGGCGATGCCCCTTGCGACATGCGACGAGCGTTCTCATGCGGCGAGAGAGAGGGAGGTCGCGTCAGAGGAAGAGGCTCGTGCGCTGTGGCCGAATCGCTTGCTCTCGCTCTCTCTTCCTCTTTGTTTCTCGCTCGTCGACGATGGTAGAACGTGCATGGACGTGCTGCAGGTGCGTCGACCGTCGATCTCGACCCAGAGAACTGCGATGACCGCGAGACGGAAGTGAGTCCGAGAGGAGGAAGGCTCGCTCGTGCTCTCGCTTGGACTCTCGCTCGCACACGCTCGAGGACCGAAACAGGGCGCACGTTGACAGACTATGAGAGCGAGAGATAGAGAAAGAATACAAAAGGGTTTGCTCCACCGACGAGCTCTAGTTGACCCACCTCCGGGCGTTGACAAACATAGAGAACCAAGGGCCGACGCCCTTCCACTCGTCGCGCACCTCGCGCGGGTACCAGCTGTTGCTCGTCTTCTGCGTGACGCGCTCCGAGTGCGGCATCATGGCGAGGACGCGCCCGCCGAGCGCCGTGACGCCCGTCGCGCCCTCGGGCGAGCCGTTCGGGTTGAACGGGTACCGCTCGGTCGGCGCGCCCGTCGTCGGGTCGACGTACCGCAGCACGACGCTGTCGCGACCCGAGGCAACCGACGCCGGCTCGACGTACGTCGCGCGGCCCTCGCCGTGCGCGACCGCGATCGGGAGCGTCGAGCCGGCGAGCGACGAGAGGAAGACGCTGCCGCGCGTCGTCGGCGTGTCCTCGACGCGCACGAGGCACGCGCGGCCCTCGAACCGGCCCGACAGGTTCTGCTTGAACAGGGGCCACTGCTCGGTGCCCGGGACGAGGTCGGGCCCGAGCTGCGCAAAGAGCTGGCACCCGTTGCACACGGCGAGCGCGAACGTGTCCGAGCGCTGCTTGAAGAAGTGCTCAAACTCCTTGCGCGCGTTGGCGTTGAGCAAGATCGAGTTGGCCCACCCATTGCCGGCGCCGAGGACGTCGCCGTACGAGAAGCCGCCGCACGCGGCGACGCCCTTGAAGTCGGCGAGCGACACTCGGCCCGAGATGAGGTCCGACATGTGGACGTCGACCGACGCGAAGCCGGCCTGGGCAAACTGTGGGGCCGAGAGCGAGGGAGAGAAGGCGAGAGGGTGGGGAGAGAGGGAGGGAAGGGAGGGAAGGGAGGGAAGGGAGGGAAGGGAGGGAAACGAGGTCAGTGACCTGCGCAACGAGGACGACGACGACGACGAGGGACAGGGAGAGCGGGACGCACCGACCAAGCCATCTCGATGTGGCCGTTGACGCCCTGCTCGCGGAGGATGGCGACCTTGGGCCGGTCGTTGAGGCTCGTGAGCTTCTCGAGGAGCGGGTCGGCGAGGACCTCGGCCGGGTCGAACTTGAGGTCGTAGTACAGGCCGCGGTGCTGGTCGTCGGCGATGTTCTCGAACTCCTCGAGGGCGCCCTCGGGGCTGTCGCGCAGCGCCTGCATGCGGTACGACGTCTCGGCCCACTGCTGCTGCAGGGCCGCACGCGTCGACGACCAAAGGAGCGCACCGCCCGACGCGATGCTGACGGCCTGGTCGTCACGGCTCGAGGCGACACGGCCGATCGGGTGGATCGCCGTCGACGGGACGCCGGCCCGGATGAAGGCCTGCGACAGGGCCGGGACGTCGGCCTGGCGAACCTGGAAGACGGCGCCGAGCTCCTCGTTGAACAGGGCTGCGACCGCATCGTCGTCCTTCTTGAACGCGTCGACCATGATCTCGGCACCGACGCGACCGGCGAAGCACATCTCGACGATCGTCGTCAAGAGACCGCCGTCCGAGCGGTCGTGGTACGCGAGGACGAGGTCGGGGTGCTCGACGCGGATCTCGCGGCACGCCGTGAGGAACGCCTTGAGGACCTGCAGGCGGGAACGATGAGGCGTCAGTCACTGGGTCGGAGAGCGGGAGAGGGGAAAGAGAGGGAAGGGGTGCGAGCGCACCTTGGCGTCCTCGACGTCGGGTGCGTCCGAGCCGAGCTGCTTGAACACCTGCGCGAGCGCCGAGCCGCCGAGACGCTGCTTGCCCGCCGCGAGGTCGAAGAAGACGAGGACGGTCGGCTCGTCGAGAACTTGAAGCTCGGGCGTCCACGTCTTGGCGACGTTGACGACGGGCGAGAAGGCCGTGACGACGAGCGAGCTCGGCGCCGTGACCGTCTTGCGCTCGCCCTGGGCGTCGTTCCAGTCCATGGCCATCGACATCGAGTCCTTGCCGACAGGGATGCTGACGCCGAGCTTGGGGCACAGGTCCATGCCGATCGCCTCGACGCCCTCGAACAGCGCCTTGCCCTCGTTGCCGCCGTTGTGCGACGCGGCCGTCATCCAGTTGGCCGACAGCTTGACGTGGTCGAGCGTCGGGATGTCGGCCGCGACGAGGTTGAGGAGCGACTCGGCGACGGCCATGCGGGCCGACGCGGCGGGCGACAGGAGCGCGAGCGGCGTGCGCTCGCCCATGGCCATGGCCTCGCCGGCGACGACGTCGAAGCCGTACGTCGCCTGCGTGACGGCGACGTCGGCGACGGGCACCTGCCAGGGCCCGACCATCTGGTCGCGCGCGACGAGGCCCGAGATGGAGCGGTCGCCGATCGTGATGAGGAACGACTTGGACCCGACCGAGGGCAGGTGCAGGACGCGCTCGACGGCGAGGTCGAGGACGTCACGGGTCGACTCGGCGGCGGGGAGGTACTGCTTGAGCGACGAGTCGAACGCGTCGCGCGGCTGGTCGAGCGTGACGGCCTTGCGGTGCATGCGCGGCGGCTTGCCGAACAGGAGCGACATGGGCAGGTTGATGGCGTCCTCCTTGAGGAGGCGGTCCTTGACGACGAGCTTCTGCTCCTCGGTCGCCGTGCCGACGACGGCGTACGGGCACCGCTCGCGGCGCGCGATCGCCTCGAACCGCTCGAGGTCGGCCGGGCCGACGGCGAGCACGTACCGCTCCTGCGACTCGTTGCACCAGATCTCCATCGGCGACATGCCCGGGTCGTCGACGAGGACGTCGCGGATCTCGAACTCGCCGCCGAGGTCGGCGTCGTGAACGAGCTCGGGGAGCGCGTTCGACAGGCCGCCGGCGCCGACGTCGTGCACCGACTGGATCGGGTTGCGCTCGCCGAGCGAGACGCACGTGTCGAGCACCTGCTGGCACCGGCGCTGCATCTCGGGGTTCTCGCGCTGCACCGACGCAAAATCGAGGTCGGCCGACGACGAGCCCGACGCCATCGACGACGCCGCACCGCCGCCGAGGCCGATGAGCATGCCCGGCCCGCCGAGCACGATGAGGCGAGCGCCCGGCGTGATCTTGTCCTTGAGCGCGAACTCGGGGCGGACGGTGCCGTACCCGCCGGCGATCATGATCGGCTTGTGGTACCCGCGGATCTCGCTCGCGCGGTTGCCGTCCTTGTCGAGCGCGGGCACCTCCTCGGCGAACGTGCGGAAGTAGCCCGTCAGGCCCGGGCGGCCGAACTCGTTGTTGAACGCCGACGAGCCGAGCGGGCCCTCGAGCATGATGTCGAGCGACGACGCGATGTGCGCCGGCTTGCCAAAGTCGGTCTCCCACGGCTGGACAAAGTCGGGGATGAGGAGGTTCGACACGGTGAAGCCCGAGAGGCCGGCCTTGGGGCGCGAGCCACGACCGACGGCGCCCTCGTCGCGGATCTCGCCGCCCGAGCCCGTCGCGGCGCCGGGGAAAGGCGAGACGGCGGTCGGGTGGTTGTGCGTCTCGACCTTGATGAGGATGGGCATGTGCTCGTCCTTGGCCTGGTACACGGGGAGGGCGGCGGCGTCCGAGGGCCCGGCGGCGAAGCGCGGCACGACCGAGCCGTCGATGACGGCGGCGTTGTCCGAGTAGGCCGAGATGGTGTGCTCGGGCGTGATCTTGTGCGTGTTGCGGATCATGGCGAACAGCGAGTTGTCCTGCGCCTGGCCGTCGATGACCCACGCCGCGTTGAAGATCTTGTGGCGGCAGTGCTCCGAGTTGACCTGGGCGAACATGAACAGCTCGACGTCGGTCGGGTCGCGACCCGAGGCGGCCGACGCGAGGAAGCACTCGACGAGGTAGTCGAGCTCCTCGCCGCCGAGCGCGAGGCCGAGCTCCTGGTTGGCGCGCACGAGCTTGTCCTTGGCCTCCTGGACCGTCTTGTCCTTGAGGACGATGGTCGTGAGGGGCGCCGGCGTGCCGCGCTCGAACAGGGCCTTGTCGGCCGGCTTGGTGTCGGCGAGCATCTGGGTCATGCGGTCGTGCAGGTGGTGCGCGACGAGACCGAGGTCGGCCGCTCGCAGCGCCTTGCCCTCGGTCTCGACGACAAAGATGAGGCCGCGCTCGATGCGGCGGACGGTGCCGTCGAGCGTGCACATCTTGGCGATGTCGGTCGCCTTGGACGACCACGGCGAGATGGTGCCGGCGCGAGGCACGACCCAGATGACGCCCGGCGCGCAGCCGAGGTCGATGGCCGTGTTGACGGCGCTGCGGGTGCCCGGGAGCGCATAGTCGTCGCCGTACTTGAGCAGGGCGTCGAGGACCTGGCGCTCCTTGGACTGCACGTCGGCGAGCGCCTTGCCCGCCTCGTCCGAGACCGGCTCGACAAAGTGGGCGTAGACGGCGTCGACCGACGAGATGTGCGGGGCCGCAGCGTGCACGCGCGCGAGGAGCGCGGCGCGCTGAGGCGGGTGGAAGACGGAGGCGCCGGCGAGGACGAGCATCTGCAGGAGGGTGCGACGGGTCAGTGACGGTGTCGCGATACAGGTCACGCGAGCGCAGGCGCACGGTAGATGTAGATCTGCAGGGAACGGCGAGTCAGCTCTGCAGGACCGTGAAGGAGAGGAAGAGAGAGATGGAGACGCACAGGTCGTCGAGGGAGAGGGAGGGCGATGGAGCCAGAAGCAGACTCGACCCGACCGGCTGTTGCGTGTAGGCAGAGAGTCAGTTGCGTGCTCCTAGGCGGTCTCGGACACGTCTTGCGCTGCTGCCGCCGGTCCACCTCGTCTGCGCCGAGATCCGTCGGCGGCCCAGCCCCGCTCCGTCGCAACCGCCTCTGCAGGGATCGTGACTGGCACAAGGTCTTGGGAGACGCCTGCATAGGCCCAGCCCGGACGCACGCCTGCCCACCGCGCCTGCATGAACCGCTGTGGCGAGCCGAAGAGGAGCGCCTCATCTCGTCCTGCCGCCTCCTCTTGACACGCGAGGGGCGAGAGAGAATGGGGGCCCGGGCGCACCTGTAGGACTGGCGGGTAGTGTCTAGCTAGCTAGGCGAGGACTGGACGAGGGTGGAGCGAGCGAGCTGAGCTTGAGCTTTCGGTTCGCCGTCGCTCACGAGCGAAGGCGGGGTCGCTCGTCTTGACTCTGCGGCCGACGCTTCTCGCCTGCGAGAGCGTCGCGTGGTAGCTTGCAATGTACATCTGGCTACTGGCCCCGCGTCAAGCGCCAGAGCGACGTCTGACCTCGAGCTGCGGCGCGAGACAGCTCGCCTTTCGCTCTCTACCCCCTCTTGGGCGCGGTCTGCATGGTTGCCCAGGCTCTGGATCGGTCGATCTGGGTCACAAGAAAGCCGCTGCAACTCGCGGGCGAGGAGAGCGAGAGGCCGTCGACCGGGTGGAGAGTTGACATCAGTCACCCGCTCTCGCTCGCCTCCTTCACGGCAAGGACCGCCGTTCACTGGCTTGAACGGCCCGGTAATCTACCGACAGCCCTCTGCGAGCCGGCCCCTCCAACACGCACCTCGCTCGCCCATCTCGACCACCCGCGTCAGCTCGTCGTGTTTGGCCACCTCGCCGCCGCCAGCACCGGCGCAGGAGCTCGCGAGGGAGCATCAAGGAGTACAAGGTACGCCCTGACTTCTTCTCTGGCTCGCGTTCCACTCCCGGCAGCCCGACACCGGTGTCCTCTCCCTCCGCCTCCCCGAGGCGGGCTGTCCTCCGTCTCTTTGAGCAGCGCTGATCGTGGGTTCCTCCTGTGCAGTCGCCCGAGTCGCCATGGTCAAGTGGCTGTGCGTCGCCGAGAAGCCGTCCATCGCCAAGTCGATCACCCAGATCCTGTCGGGCGGCCAGTTCAACACGGTAAGCACCTCTTGCTCCTCTCCCTCTCTCCCTGCTGCGCCTCTGAGCGCTCGAGCTGACTCGAGCCGCACGACCACAGCGAGACGCCACGCGGCCCAAATGGATCAAGAACTACAGCTTCTCGTACCGCATGGGCCACGGTCCCGGCCACACCGACTTCACCGTCACGGCCGTCGCCGGCCATCTCACGGCCAACGACTTTGACGACGACCACCGCAAATGGCACAGCTGCGAGCCGATCCAGCTCTTTGACGCCCGGGTCAAGACGTTCGTCAACCAGGTGCGCCCGCTTCTTTTTCCTCGAGCCCTCCTCGGCCTGCGCCGAGCTGACTTGCCCACGACCGCCTGCAGGACCCCGACGTACGCGGCATCGAGCAGAACCTCATGCGCGAGGCGCGCACGGCGACGCACCTCATGATTTGGACCGACTGCGACCGCGAGGGCGAGTTCATCGGGTCCATGGTTGCCGAGGTGTGCCGCAAGGCCAACCCGCGCATCATCGTCAAGCGGGCTCGGTTCAGCGCCATCATCCCTGCGTGCGTCCCCTGAGCCCCCTCCTCTCCGCACGAGGACAGGCTCTGACCTCGTCGTCCGCGCGCAGCCAGATCAACCAGGCCGCCCGCAACCCTGTCGACCTCGACATGCGCCAGGCGCAAGCCGTCGCGGCGCGCATGGAGCTCGACCTGCGCGTCGGCTCGATCTTCACCCGCACGTGGACGCTCGAGCTGCAGCGCCGCATCAACGCCGTCGCCGACAGCCTCGTCAGCTACGGTGCGCCCGCTCGTTCCCCTTGTCCTCCCCTCTTCGCGACCATTGCTGACTGCTCTCACGCACAGGTCCATGTCAGTTCCCGACCCTCGGCTTTGTCGTCGACCAGTACGAGCGCGTGCAGGCGTTCGTCCCCGAGCCGTTCTGGTTCATCCATGTCGGCCTCGTTCGCGAGGATGCGACCACGTCGTTCAACTGGCGTCGAGGGCGCCTATACGACCACGACATCGCCGAGGCCATCTACTCGATCGTCGAGGACAACCCTGTCGCGACCGTCACCAAGTGGGAGACCAAGCCGACGCAAAAGTGGTCCGTCCAGCTCGCTCGCCCCTGTCCTTCCGCCGTCGACGTACTTACACCTTTCGTCCCATCGCAGGAAACCGCTTCCTCTCACGACGGTCGAGCTGCAGAAGACGGGCTCGCGCCTGTTGCGCATGACGCCGAAGCGCGTCCTCGAGGTGCGCCCCCTGCTCGCCCACCTCCCTCTTCCCCTTGCGCCCGCTCACGTTCCTCCTCGGGCGCAGATGGCCGAGCACCTCTACCAGCGAGGCATCCTGAGCTATCCTCGCACCGAGACGGACCAGTTCGACCGCGAGTTCGACTTCCACGAGCTCATCGAGAAGCACTCGGGCGACGCTCGGTGGGGCACGTTCGCCGACAAGTGCGTCCTCCTCCCGCATCTCTCTCTCTCTCGACAGCTCGCCCTGACCTTTTACCTCTCCTTGCGCAGCCTCCTGAACAACAACGGCTTCGAGCGCCCTCGCAACGGCAAGAAGAACGACAAGGCGCACCCGCCGATCCACCCGACGGCGCACGTCAACAACTTGGCCGGCGAGGAGAAGGCGGTCTACGAGCTCATCGTGCGCCGGTTCCTCGGGTGCTGCTCGAAGAACGCCCGAGGCCTCGAGACGACCGTCGAGATCGACATGGCGGGCGAGGTGTTCTCGGCCAAAGGTGCGCTCGCGCCTCTCCCTTCTCGACTCGGTCGTTCCCCAGTCCCTCACCCGCTCTGCGGCCCTTTCCTCGCAGGCCTCGTCATCCGGGAGCGCAACTACCTCGACGTCTACGTCTACGACAAGTGGAACGGCAACCACCTGCCCGAGTTCGCCGTCGGCGAGCAGTTCGAGCCCGACGAGCTCGCCCTGCGCGACGGCCAGACGACGCAGCCCTCGCTCCTCACCGAGGCCGACCTCGTCTCGCTCATGGACAAGAACGAGATTGGTGCGTCCTCCATTCCCTCGCCCTCGTCGTCGTCGGTCGGCTCTTTCGGACGAGCTCACCTCTTTGCGCGCCTGCAGGGACCGACGCCACCATCGCCGAGCACATCTCCAAGATAATCGACCGCCAGTACGTCATGAAGCAGCGCGAGGGCGCCGTCGAGTACCTCGTCCCGTCCACGCTCGGCATCGGCCTCGTCAAGGCGTACGACGCGCTCGGGCTCGACAACTCGCTCAGCAAGCCGCACCTGCGCCGTCTTGTGCGTCCCGCTTTGCCTCCTCACTCTTTCGCTCTCGGCGAGCGTCACTGACGAGCTCGTGAACGTGCGCAGACGGAACAGCGCCTCGTCCAGATCTGCGAGGGCACACGCACGAAGGCCCAAGTCGTCGCCCAGTCGCTCAACGAGTACCGCGACGTGTTTGACCGCACGAGGGCCCTCATGAACACGTTCGTCAACGTGCGTCGTCACTCTCTCATCCTCACGAAGCCTCGGCCGAGCGGGACTGACTCTTTCTCGTCATGCGCAGACGGTCCGCCACTACGTCGAGGGCGCTGCAGGTCAGGGCGGCGGTGGAGGAGGGGGCGGCGGGGGAGGTGGAGGAGGACGAGGAGGACCCGGCGGCGGCGCCGACTCGGAGGACTCGGACGGGTCCGACGGCGGCGGCGCTCCTGCCGCTCGCGGTCGAGGTCGGGGACGCGGCGCGGCCCGAGGCGCAGCTCGCGGTCGAGGACGAGGTGCTGCGGCCGAGCGGGGCGGTGCAGCTCGCGGACGAGGTCGAGGAGGAGCGGCGGCCGCCAAGCGCAAGAGGGACGACGACAACGACGACGGTGCGCTCAGATCTCTTCACTTCTGCCTCTGCGGGTCGCTCACACTTTCCTGTCCTGCAGACCTCGCCGAGGACGCCGCCGCCAACGCCGAGGCGCCGACGTGCAACTGCCCTGAGCCTGCCGCCGAGCGCACCGTCACCAAGGAGGGCGCCAACAAGGGCCGCCGCTTCTTCGGCTGCGCCAAGCCTCGCGAGGAGTCGTGCGGGTTCTTCGCGTGGGCCGACGACCAGGGTCGAGCAATCGTCGGGCCGCAGCCGAGCGGAGGAGGCGGTGCCGCGCCGCCAAAAAGGCGAGCGACCTCGGATGTGCGTCTCGCTCTCTCTCCCTCAGCCGATCCTCCCGAGCACTCCCTGACGATCCTCGTGTCCGGCAGCGTCAAGTCGACCGCGACGCCGACGAGCCGCAGCGCTGCCAGTGCGACCTCACGCCCAAGCTCCTCACCGTCTCGAAAGAAGGTGCGCTCCACCTCTCTCTCTCTCTCTCTCTACGGACCTCGGCGACGCGTATGACTCACGCCGCACACGCTCGCAGGCCCGAACCAGGGTCGCGGCTTCTACAAGTGCCCCAACGTCAGCAAGGACGCGCAGTGCGGCTTCTTCGCGTGGGCCGACGAGGCGCCCGGCGGTGGCGGCGGGTCGGGCTCGGGCTCCGCTGGCGGACGAGCGAGCGGGAGCGGCGGCGGCGGTGGTGCAGGAGGAGGGTGCTTCAAGTGCGGCGCTGGTGCGTCCGCTTCTTTCCTCTCTCCTCCCTTTTCCTCCCTCTCTCGCTCCCTCGATCTTACTCGAGCTTCTGCGCAGAGGATCACTGGTCGAGGGACTGCCCTGACGGCGGCGCACGCGGCGGCGGTGCGGGCGGCTCGCGCTCGGGCGGTGGCGGAGGAGGAGCGACGGGCGAGTGCTACATCTGCCACGAGGGTGCGTCCGCCTTTCCTCTCCTCTCTGTCGCGCAGTCACAGCAACTGAATCTCGCCGCGACCGCAGAGGGCCATTGGTCCAAGGACTGCCCGCAGCGCAACGGCGGCGGCGGAGGAGGCTCGAGGGGCGGCGGCGGCTCGCGCACCGGCGGCGGCGGCGACTCGGACTACTCCTGCTTCAAGGTCCGTCCTCCTTCCTCTCCTTCGACATGCACGACGACGTCCTGACCCTTAACGCTCTTGCAGTGCGGCGAGCGTGCGCCCGGTCTCTCGCCTTTCCCTCCTCGTCCTCGAACTGACCCTCTCTCCCTCGCTCGCAGAGGGCCACTACTCCTCCTCCTGCCCGAACGACGGCGCATCTACCTCGTCTCGCGATCGTGGCGGCGGCGCACGCGGCGGCAACGCTCGAGGGCGAGGGCGCGGTCGGAAGAAGGCCGTCCAGTGGGACTAGCGGCAGGAGGGGCTCGAGCGGCTTGTGGACCTTGTACTCGCGTTGTTGTTGTTCTCTCGACGTTCCTGCATGATGTCGGTCTTTGCTTCCTCTCGCTCTTGAGCTCTCGAGAGTCGTCTGGGCCTGGACGAGAGGGAAAGAGAGGTGCACGAGAAAAGCTACACAAGAACGGCCCGCTCACTCGTCGTAATACGCGTCGCGCATCGAGAAGATGCGGATGTTGAGCACGACGAGGTCGACGAGGAGAACGACGGCGAGAATGACGGCGCCGGCGACGACGAGCCGCCGCTTGGTCCTCGAGAACCCGTCGGCGGCCGAGCGCTGCGCGACGACGGCGCCAGCGTCGAGAGGCCCGGCCTTCTCGCTGTATGCGGGCGACGCGAGCGCGAGTCGGCGTGCCGAGCGCGGCGACAGGGCCTCCCACGGGCACAGGTAGAGCCGCTTGAGCCGCTCGGCGGGCGTCTCGCGGCGCTCGGCTGCGGCGCGAGGGACGGCGACAGACGGGTAGGAAGGTGGGAGAGAGGGCTTGGACGAGTGGAACGGGAGGGAGGAGAGGTGCGGCTGGGACGGGTAATCGGAGGAAGGAGGGGGTGCGAGCGCGAGGGACGAGGTGGAGGCGAGCTGGTGCATCTGGACGACGACCGACGCCGACGCCGTCTTGGGCGCTCGCCGAGGTGCCGCTTCCTCCCTCGCCGGGCCGTCGACGAGGGCCTCGCAGGCCGCAGTGTGCGACAGCTGGTCGAGCGACAGGCCCGAATGCCCGCTCAGGTCCGGCCGGAGGTAGACCGGCTGGCGCTGTTGCCCGTGGACCGAGGACGCCATGCCGACGACGCCGACCGATGATGACGCCGAGTAGATCGAGGCGGTGCGGCGGCTCTGCTTGAGCGAGACGAGGGAGGAAGAACCGGCCAGGTGCGGCCGAGCGACGGGCGCGGCGACACCGCGCGCAGCTGCGGCGAGGCCGACAGGCTCGACGTCCGGCGTCGGCGGCTGGATGTCGACGACAGCTGCGACGGGGCGCGTGCGCAACCGGGCCATGGCGCGCTGGCTGACCTGCGCCGCCGCAATCGCCTCGAGCTCGCTGTCGACGCCGCTCGCGTCCGACTGCTCCTCGTCGCTGCCCTCGTCTCGCTCGTAGGAGACGACAGGACCGGCGGTTGTCGTCGACATGCGCTTGCGTGCGGGGAGGCGGTGCGAGAAGGTCGGGATGCGGCCGAACGCGGGCGAGGTCGTCGTGCGCGCTTGACGTCCAGAGACGTGGATGGGCTGAGGGGGCGCCTTGCGGGCAGTCATGTCGATGATGAGGAGGGAGGTGGACGGGAGGGAAGTTGAGCTGCGAAGGCGAGACGGTCAGTGGTGCGGCGCGAGGAGGAGGAGAGGACGGCGGCCGGCTCACCTCGTTTGGCGACACCAGGTCGGTCCAGTCGAGCGGGCGAAGGCGTAAGGTGCCGAGAGAAGAGCTCGACCAGCGAGGAACAAAGAAGGAGAGTGTAGCGAGGACGACGTTGGTGAGGGCCAGCCCAGCTCGAGGCGGGAGGACACGGGCTGCGTCGAAGACAAGGGGCAGAGCTCGGTGTGCTCGAGCAGAAGTGCGAGCGCGCTCGCCGAGCCGGCGTCAGCGCTCAGAACAAGCGCTCGCTCGGCTCGGCGGTCCTTCGTCGAGGACAAGGGGGAGGCTCGGGCGAGACGAGAGGCCCCGCCTGACCTCGGGGCTCGCGCTCGCCGCAGACAGCGGTCTTGGTGCAGACTGTCGAAGGTAGCGTGGGCAGCAGATGCGCAACCCGAGGTGTGGACGAGGTGGACGAGAGCCCCAGCGGGCCTGCGTTCGCTTCTCCTCGACCAATCTCTCTGTCTCGCCATGTCTGGCTTTGGGTGAGCTGCGCACTCCTCCAGCCTGTAGCCATGTCCCCACTGACCCTCCACACCCGCACAGCGACCCGTACCGGCACCCGCGAGACGATCGCGGAGGACGCGGCTTCGACCACCGCGATGAGCGAGGCCCAGCAGGACGAGGACGAGGCGGGCACGGCGGCGGGCGCGGCGGTTACGATGGCGGTCGTGCGGGCTACGACGACCGTGGCTACGGCGGCGGCGGCGGGCGAGGAGGGCGAGGCTGGGACGACGACGGCGGGAGGAACATGAAGCGCGGGCGATACGAGGTGCGTCGCCTTCTCCTGGTCTGCGGTTCAGCTGCACATACTGACATGCCACCCTGCAGGACCACGACCGAGCACGCGGCTCGCCTTACGGCCGGGACGACTACCAGCACCCGCCGCAGCCCCAGCACGGCTTCACCTACCAGCCGCACGCCCAGCCCGCCTATCCGCAGCAGCAGCACCATCAGCACCACCAGCCGTCGCCCGTCGGCTACGCCGCCGCACCCGGCGCCCAGGTCGAGGCCGCCGCCGCACCTCCTCCTCGCGCCAAAGGCCCTGTCCAGCCTGAGCCCGTCTCGGCGTCGGTCATCTTCCTCGGCCTGCCGCCGCACGCTGTCGACATCCACCTACGCCAGTTTCTCGAGAACATGGGCGCCTCGGTCGATTCGACGACCGTCATCATGGACCGCGCGACCAACGTCTCCAAGGGCTTCGGGTTCGCCAAGTTCAGCTCGGTCGAGCATGCGCGCGCGTTCGTCGAGCCCAACTTTCCGAGCATCCCGTGGCGTGAGCCGAGCGGGCCGGCCCAGTACGACGGCATGCGCGTCAAGATCAACTACAGCCAGAAGAGCGGCGGTTGGCGCGAGGACCAAGGCGCGTCAGCTCGCTTGACCGAGGACTTGCGCAAGGCCGAGGGTCCGTCCCTCTTCCTCCCTTCCTCGACCATATCGCTCGTGCGTCCTACTGACTCGTTGTGCGCCTACAGGGACGACCCAGAGCTTCTACGTCAACGACGGCACCCGCGACATCGGCTCGGCGCCGAGCAGCACGCTCCTCCTGCGAGGCCTCGACCCGCTCACGGGCGAGGACGAGATCTTCAGCACGCTCGCTCGCGTCGGCGGTCGGGCCAACCAGGAGATCGCCAAGGGCGGCGTCCGCCGGGTCATGATCGCCAAGGACCGCGCCTCGAGGAGCAGCTGGGGCTTTGCGTTCGTCCAGTTCGTCGACGTTCGGGTGCGTCCACTCCTCCCTTCTCTTTTCAGTCGTGATGCGGGACATGCAGCTCACCTCGCTTCGTCCCTGCAGCTCGCGACCGACGTCCTCGGCGCCATCTTCAACCCACGGTTCCACCCGGCCGGCTTCCGCATCCGCTCGGCCATCGTCGCCGCCTCGTTCGCCCACGAGAACTCGTTCATCCCCGTCTACGCCGCCTCGACCTGGTCGTTCCGCGGCGACGGCGGCAAGCAGCTCGCCTACTGGGACGACAAGGGTTGCCTCACGACCTGGACGCCGCCGCCGCCGGTCGAGCTCGCCAAGGCCATGCAGAACGTGCCCAAGGGCCCACGAGCGCACGAGGAGGCCAAGGCCGAGGCCGACCTCGCCGCCTTCTTCGACGACCTCGAGGCCGACCTGCCGCCCGACGCGGTTGGCGATGCGGCGTCGGCAGGCGGCGAGTCGGCCGCCGCTCTCGGCGCAGATGCTGCGGCCGCCTCTGCCGCAACGTCCGACATGGCGACCTCGGCACCGCCCGGCGCCGCCGCACCGCCGCCGCCGAGCACGACCAGCTCGGCCGTACCTCTCGACCGCCCTAGCTCGGCAGCGCCCATCTCGATCAAGCCGATCAGCTCGTCGGCTACGGCGACCGTCACCGCTACGCCCGCCGCCGCCGCCACCTCGTCGAGCTCTTCCGACTTGTCGGCGCCGAAGCCTGATCCGGCCGTCGCCGCTCCTGCATCTGCCCTTGGCGGTGCGTCCTGCGTCTCCCTTCCTCTCCTCTTTCTCGAACGCACCTCACCGACGACGACGTGCGCGCAGGCAAGGAGAAGAAGAGCGACCTGATTGCGCGCCGCAAGGCTGCGCCTAACATCGCCAAGTGGAACGACAAGGCCAAGGAGATCCGCAAGCCCGCCGCGGGCACCACCCTCAAGACGTCGGCGGCGTCAAGCTCGTCGAGCGCGAGCACCGCTGCCACCGCGCCGGCCCACCTTGTACTTTTGCTCGAGCACGCTCATCTCCTCGCTCTCGAACGCGTATTGACACGCCTTTTTTTGCTCCCCTCGCTCGCTCCAGCCACCTCCTGGTCCCCCGCCGGCCGCACCTGCGCCTCATGGGCCAGCTACGCCGGCGACGGCGTCGACGTCGAGCGCCGAGGCCAACGACGAGTTCGCCCACGGCGACCCGGTCGCGTTCGTGTGTCTGCTGTGCCAGCGCCAGTTCAAGGGCGTCGACGAGCTGCGCAAGCACAACAGGCTGTCGGCGCTGCACAAGGCACATCCCTGCACCCGCACCACCTCGTCGGCGCGCACTGACCTCCTCCCCGCCCTCCTTCCCCCTCGTCGCCCGCCCCTCCCGCCTCGCAGACGAACCTCACCAACGCCGACACCGTCGCCGCCAGTACCGCCCGCAAGTTCGCCTCGCTCAAGAAGCACGCCGCATCGCCGTCGCCCACCGCCGCCGCCGCGCCGACCAAGCCCAAGTACGTCGACCGCGCCGCCGCTCGGCGAGACGTGCACGGCGCGATCGACGAGGGCCCTGTCGCCGGCCCTGGTGGCAAGAAGCGCAAGTTTGACGGCCCCGAGCCGCCGGCGCCGGCGCCCGCTGCGCCCAACAAGGACGGGCTCGAGCAGAGCAACGCCGGGCGCAAGATGCTCGAAAAGATGGTGCGCACCAGCTCTCTCTTCCTCTGTCGCCTCCTTCTGGGGCCTTTCCTGACGAGCTCTTGTGCACAGGGATGGACCGCTGGAGCAGGACTCGGCGCGACAGGCGACGGGCGGGTCGCACCGGTCCAGGCGGCGCAGTTTCAGCAGGGCGCCGGCCTCGGCTCGACCAAGGGTGCGTCCCGGCTTCTCCTCTCTTACTCTCTCTTGATCGTATACTCACTGTCGGTCACTCGCGATCCCTCGCAGGCGTCGCGGTGGGCGAGGAGGTGCCGACGAGTCACGCCGAGCGAATGCGGCTCAAAGCCTTAGAGCGGTTCGAGAAGTAGCTGCGCGTCTTGCATACTCAGTCTTGTCGCACTTGCGAGGCTCTGTTCAGAGGGAACGCAAGCGAGAGCGACTCGAGTTGCCGAGTCTTGAGCATGACGACCTCGCTGCGAGCTGCAACCTCGCTCGTTTTTTATCGTCTCGCAGTTCTCTCACGCGCTCGTAGAGTCGTGAGACGATGCTGCCGTGCACTGCAAGCGTCGCACCTGCCTCGAGCAAGCCGAGCGCCCTCCTCGTCGTCGCCCGCCCTCCTCCCACTTGTTCAGTCGACTCTCCGCCGCTCCCTCTGCCTGACTGACCGCGGTCACCGCCTCCTCGACTTTGCCTCGTCCCACTGGCGCTCCTTTGCGCCCTCGACGCGGTCGAGAAAGTCGCGCTTGTCGAGGTAGCCGTCCTTGCGCGCGTGAGTGAGCGTGTCCGACAGGCCTTCTTGCGTCGAGACGTAGCTGTGCGGGCGATGCAGGAGACTGTCAATGAGGTGCTCGGTGGCCTGGCTTGGACGAGGCAGGAGGACGGGAGAGACGACGCACCTGTCCCAGTCGAGCTTGCTCTTCTCGAGCGTGTTGAGCTTGGCGGGCTTCTTGCCGACGCCGAGCGTCGCCGCCATGCCGGCGAGTCCGCCTCCCGCCTTGCGCTTCGGCGGCGCTCGGCTTGGCGCGGGCGCCGGGGCGGGTGCAGGTGCAGGTGCGGGCGTGGGTGCGGTCGAGGAGGAGGAGGCGACGGCGGGCTCGTCGGCGGACGGGCCGAACAGGGCATCGAGCGAGGCCGATGTCGGGTCTCGGGGTGCAGAGGAAGAGCTGGAGCCGAGAGCGGGCTGGGCGGAAGAGGACGAAGGTGGCGGCGGGTGCGTCGCAAAGTAGGCCTGCGCCTCGACCGACGACCGCGGGACACGCTTTTTCTGCCTGTGCACGGGAGCAGAACAACGTCAGTGACCATACGGGGCGCAGGAAAGCGCCCGAAAGGACACGACGAGCGAGGAACGCGAGACGCACTTGATCCACTCGCCGGCGAACCCGTACTCGATCTCGATCTCGACGAGGTCGTCGTCGGCGCGCTTGCCCTTGCCCTTGACGTCGACTTGACCCTTGCCCTTGGCGGTCGAGGAGGAGGAAACGGCTGCGCCCGAGGCTGAAGGAGCGCCGGCCGTGGTAGACGCGGTCGACGTCGAGGGAGCGTAGGGCTCGGCAGCCGACGGGTCGTTGAAGGCGGCCCACAGGTCGTCGACGGCGGCCTTGTCGAGGCTGTGCGCGGGCACAAAGTGAGCAAGGAGCGCGACAGAGCGAGGGACACGAGGGACGAGAGGGGAGCTCACGCTGGTTTGGCGTCGTCTGCGAGCTTGGCGCGCTTTGCGGCTGGTTGCGCGGCGTCGTTGTCGTCGCCCGAGTCGTCGCCCGAGTCCGAGGCAGCTCCATCGTTGTCCGAGAGGTGAAAGTCCGAGTCGTCGTCGTCGTCCGAGGGGAGGAGGGTCGGGTCGTCCTTTTCGAGCTTGCCCTTGTGCTGCGCTGCGACCGACTTGGGTGGGGCCATTGTGGGAGCTGTACGAGTGCTTGTGACGGTCGACTGGACTCGACGAGAGAGGTGGGAGCAAGAGGCGAGTCGACCAGCTCGAGTCGACCTCTTGACCTCGGAACCCGCCTCGCTCTCGCTGAGCCGACGCGTGCGAGCGTGCACTCGATCAGCAGCACCACTGCGAGCTGCCTCGTACCGCCACTGCCCCGCCCAGTCGCGTGTGCACCTCGCCTCGCCTCGTCCCGCCTCCGCTTTTCGACCCTCGCCATTTCGCTCGACGACCACCGCCTGCGACGACCACGGCGACCCTTCAACACGCGCACCTGGCACCAGGTAACGACCCGCACCACCTTGAACGACGTGCGTCTCCTCCCTCGTCCCTCTCTCTCGTGTGTCAACAAGGCTCACCCGCAGCCAGTCGGCTCCCCCTTGCAGCTCTCCACCAGACCGACTCGCCGACTCACACACCGCACGCCGACCCAGCTCGCTCGACCATGCCGCCCTCGCCGTCCAAGCGTCGCCACGACGACGACGAGTACAAGCCCCCGTCCCGGCCCAAGCCCACCCTGGCCGCCGCGTCCACCTCGGACGGCAGGGCCGCCACGCCGGCCACGACCACGGGCAAGAAGACCAAGAAGGACAAGGTGCCCATGACCCCGGCCACCCCGGACGACGTCGCGTTCGGTCGCGCCGCCGCAGCGCGCGCCCTCGCCGCCCTCCAGGCCAGGCAGGCAGCTTTGGCCACGCCTCCTGTCGTCGCCACCACGCCGGCGCCGGCGCCGGCCAAGAAGCGCGGGCCGCCCACCGTCAAGAAGTCGGTTGCGCGCGCCGAGTCGACCGACGGCGACAGCGACCGCGACGCCGAGGTCGTCGTCGCCGCCGCCGCCTCGAAGAAGAAGAAGGTCACGGCGAGCAAGAAGGTCGTGCAGCCCGTTGCTGCGGCCGAGCCGACGCCGAGGGGCAAGGGCAAGGCGCCTGTGCTCGAGCAGGTCGAGGCCGAGGACGAGGTGGACCAGCTTGCGAGCCAGAGCCACGTGCGTCGCGTCGCTCTCTCTTCCTGCCTGTCGCTCCACCACCGTTACTGACTCGCTCTTTCCGGTCTCGCTCGCAGCGTTCGCCGTCGCCCGTGGCCACGCCCGCACCGGCGCCCAAGAAGCGCGGCCGTCCGCCCAAGGTCAAGCCCGCCGCCGACGCGACGCCCGCACCTGCTCCCGCTGCGCCTGCCGCCGACGACTCGGACGCGCCTGCACCTGCCCCGAAGAAGCGCGGCCGGCCGCCCAAGGCCAAGCCGGTCGTCGAGGCCGCACCCGTACGCTCGCCCTCGCCCGCCGCATCGCCCGCTCCCGCCCCCAAGAAGCGTGGTCGGCCGCCCAAGGTCAAGCCCGCCGCCGACGCGACGCCCGCACCCGCTCCTGCCGCCGCGGCCGACGACTCGGACGCGCCCGCACCTGTTCCTAAGAAGCGCGGCCGCCCGCCCAAGGCCAAGCCCGTCGTCGACGCCGAGCCGACGCCCGCTCCTCCTCCCGCGGCCGACGAGCCGGACGAGCCGGCGCCGGCGCCCAAGAAGCGCGGTCGGCCGCCCAAGGTCAAGCCTGTCGAGGTCGCGCCCGCCGCCACGCCTGCGCCCGCCGCCACGCCTGCACCTGCACCCGCAGCGGCCGCAGCACCTGTCGACGAGCCCGAGCCGAGCACGTCGGACGCCGAGGGCGACGCTGAGCGCAAGAAGGCCGAGAAGAAGGCGCGCAAGCGCGAGAAGAAGAAGGAGCGCAAGGCGGCCGAGAAGGCGGCGGCGGCGGCGGCGAGCGCGAGCACGAGCACGAGTGCGGCGGCCGACGAGGGCGCCGACGAAGCCGACGAGCCGCAGCGCAAGAAGGCCAAGAAGGACAAGGGCAAGGGCAAGGCCAAGGCGGTCGAGGTGCGCCCCTCGCTCCCCCTTTCTCGCCGCGCACGAGCGCAATCCTGACACACTCGAAACGTCCACAGTCGCTCACGTCCTCGCCTGCGCGCGCGAGCCAGTCGTCGGCGCGGCCGCAGCGCGCCGGCGCCACCGCCGCCACCACCTCGAAGAAGCGCAAGCGCGCGGACTCGCCCGACCCGGCTCCCGTCGCGTCGACGAGCAAGGCGACGGTCGCGTCGACGAGCAAGGCGACGGTCGCGTCCTCGCAGGACCAGAACGAGCGCGCCTCGCCGGCCAAGAAGAGCAAGAAGCGCAAGGTCGCCGCGTCGACCGCCTCGGCGCCCGCGCCCGGCCAAGCTCTCGTCCTGCACGCCTCGTCAGCTGCCGCGCTCGCCTCGCGCCCGGCACCCGCCGCGGCGTCGCTCCTCGGCCTCGTCCTCGCGCCGTTCGTCGTACCCGCGCTCGGCGTCGACGCGCAGCAGACCGAGGCGCAGGTGCGCGCGCTCGTCGACGGCCTGCGCGACGCCGGGTTCGGCCACGTGCTCGAGGCGAGCCTCGAGGGCAGCCGGGGCACGAAGCGCGCGAGGGAGGCGCGCGACGAGGAGGACGAGCAGGAGGCGGCGCCGGCCAAGAGCTCGGGCAAGGACAAGGGCAAGGGGCGCGCACGCTCGCCCGAGGCCGAGGACGACGAGGAGATGGCGGCCGAGGCCGATGACGAGCAGGTCGTCGAGCGCGAGCAGGCCAAGGAGCTCCACGACGCGACCGTCGCCGCAGCGCCCGCCGCAGCCGCCGCCCCGTCCGCCGCGCCGGCCTCGCCGGCACGTGTCGCCGAGCGCGCCTCAACCTCGGCCGCCGCTCCTGCGGCGACGCCGACGGCGGTCAAGCCGCCGCCGTCCTCGTTCGACCCGAAGCCGTCGGCGTCCGCCTCTCGTGCCGCCGTCGCAGCCTCTCCCGAGCTCGAGCTCGCTCCCTCGCAGTCGCAGCACAAGCCCTTCCTCGCCCCGTCCTCGACCGCCGGCGGTGCGCGCTCGTCGTCGCCCGACAACGCCGACGACAGCGAGGCGCCCGGCGGCAGCGCCGCCCGCGCTGGCCGCAACAAGCGTCGCGTGCGCCTCACCAAGGCGCAGCGCAAGGCGGCGCAGGCGAGCCGCAGCCAGAGCCGGGCCGGCTCGCCTCCTGTCGACGACGAGGGCGGCGAGACGCTCGAGGTGCCCGAGACGCTGCCGGCCGAGGTCGCGCTGCAGCAGGAGGACGAGCGCGAGCCGTCGACCGAGCCCGAGCCTGGGCAGGAGCACGAGTCGGTCGCCGTCACGGGCGAGGGGACCTCGGTCGACGCCATGGACGTCGACGAGCCCGCCCCGGTCGAGCCGGCTCCTGCCGCCGACGCCAACACCGACGAGCTCGTCTCGGTGCGCCACCCGGCGCTCGACCGTGCGAGTGCGGCGCACACGCCGGCGGCCGAGAGCTCGGACGAGGACGAGATCGCGGCGAGCCTCGGCGCGATGAGCAGTCCGAGGCAGAGGGGGACGCGCGATCTCGACGAGGACGAGGTCAAGGCGCGCGACGAGGAGGTCGACGAGGCGCACGAGGCGCCGCCGTCGGCCCAGAAGCCCAAGGCGGCCGCCGCCGCCGCGCCGGTGGCGGCGCACGAGGAGGACGAGCGCGAGGACGACCTCGCCCGGGCGGCCAACACGGTCCTCCCGCCGTCGTCGCCCGTCCTCGAGGCCGCCGTCAACACGCGCCTGCCGTCCTCGTCGCCCGAGCCCGCCTTGCCCCGCATCGGCGGCGACTCGAGCTCGTCGTCCGACTCGGGCTCCTCATCGTCTGACGACGACTCGTCCTCGGACGACGCCGCCGAGCCGGCCAACTTGCTCTCGGGCCGTGCGAGGCCACGCGCGTCCCTGGCGCAGCTCGCGTCGGACGCGTTCAGCCGCAGCGCCCAAAAGTCGGCCGCGGCCAAGCGCGCCTCCTTCCTTCTCGGCTCGGGCGGGCCGTCGTCGCAGGGTCGCTCCCGGCCGCTCGCCGGCTCCGCAGCCGTCGGCAGCCCGCTCAAGTACGCCTCGATCACGGCCGCGAGCTCGTCGCCCGTCGCGGCGGCGAGGGACAGCAGCGCGGTCGACGCGGCGGACGAGGTCGACGAGCTGCTGAGCCAGACGCAGCGCAGCTCGCGCCGCATCAGCGCGGCCGCCTTCGACTGGGAGGCGGCCGAGCGCGAGGAGGAGGAGCGCCGGCAGCGCAAGGGCAAGGGCCGGCGCGCAGAGTCGGACGACGAGGGCGAGGAGGCGGAAGAGCCTGAGGCCGCACCAGCCCCCGCCATCGACGAGACCGTCGACCTCGCGCCCGCCGACGCGTCCGAGACGGCCGCCGTCGGCGCACCGACCGCGGGCGAGCCCGTCCTCGCCACGTCACCGGGCCCTGCGCCTCGCCGCACCGCCGACGACGGCACCGCACCGCCCATCACGACGGCCGTCGACGCCTCGCCGCGCCGGCACCACATGTCGCCCTCGCCTCAGCCGCTCCCTCAGCCCGCCAGCACCGCCCTGTCGGCGACGCAGCGCTCGCCCAACGGCCGTGTCGGCGGCGGGTACCGCAACCTGTCGAGCATCGGCGACATCCCGTCGAGCAGCCAGCGAGGCTCGCCGCCGATCGAGGTCGACAACGTGTCGCGCGTCCTCGACGACGAGAGCGAGGACGAGCAGGAGGCGGCGCCGGCGGACGTGCCGGCCGAGAGCCAGTTCGTCCCGCTCGTCAAGGACAAGCCGCTCTTCCTCGAGACGCAGGGCGGCGAGTCGCAGGAGACGGTCGGGCAAGGGCAGGAGGACGAGCCGACGGCGCAGGAGGACGAGGACGTCGACATGCGCGACGCGACGCCCGAGGTCGACGCCGACAAGGCGCCGCAGGTCAACGGCTCGCCTGAGGCTCAGGTGCGCCCTCTCTTTCCTACTCGCTCGAGCACCAAGTGCGCCCGACTGACTCGCTCCCTGTGCAGCAGCATGCTCCGCCAACGCCCGACGCCTCTGCACCTCCGTCGCCGGTGCCCAACGACCCCTCCTCGCCCATGGCCGCCGCCGCACCCTCGATCGTCGAGCCCGAGCAGACGCTTTCGAACGGCGCCGCCGTGCGCGCGTCGTCGCCGCTGTCCGAGGTGGCCGAGGAGAAGGAGGACGACCAGCAGGAGGCCGAGGAGGTCCAGGCCTCGCCCGCTCGGACCGCCTCGCCCGCCCCTGCCGCCGCCGCCGCCGCCGCCGCCGCGCCCAAGCAGCACCTCCTCGTTCCCGGCGCTGCGGCGCCCTCGACGCCTGCGCGCATGACGCGCGCGTCGTCGGCCCGCCTCGCGAGCCGGTCGCCGTCGGCCGAGCCGTCGCACCAGCACCGCCTCGGCGCCGCGAGCCAGGGCGCTGCCGCCGCGCTGCCGACCTCGGCGCGCGCCCCACGCGCGAGCAGGGCCGTCGTGGCCAACGGCGCCGGCAAGGCGGCGACGCCTGCTCGCGCTGCCGCCGCCGCTGCGACTGTGGCTGCGGCGACGCCGGCGGGCGGGCGCCGCGCGAGCATGATGCCGTCGCTGTCGCAGCTCGGGACGACGCCTGCGCGGCGCACGACGCGGCAGAGCCTCGCGCCGGCCGCCGTGAGTGCGAGCGCGAGCCGCGGCCCGAGCGCGAGCCAGCCGAGCCACCTGGTGCCCGCCGATGCGAGCGACGACGATGACGAGGACAGCGAGGGTGGGAGTGACAGCGACAGCGAGGCCGAGGGCAAGGGCAAGGGCCGTGCGGGCAAGAAGGGGCGCGCGAGCATGTCGCAGCCGGTCGCTGGGCGCAACGGCGGCGCGACGAGGAAGAGGAACAGCCAGGCCGCGCTGTGGAGGTGAGCGAGAGGGAGACCGGGTGCGCTTTATCAGGGTCGTGCAGTGGATGTCAGGGTTCTCTCTCTCTCTGCGCTCGCGCTCGCTCTCGAGAGAAAAGGAGAGAGTGCTCGAGGAGGAACGTCTAAGTTTCAGGATTGCCCTCGTCGCTACAGCGTCTCGCCCATCCTGCACACGACGGCGTGGGGCGTAAAGTAGCCCGTGAGGAGGAGCTCGTCCCTCCAGGGTGCGGCCGTCGTGACGGCGCTGACGACCTCGCCGAGCGGGTCGGCGAGCGCGACGGCGTGGCGGTACTTGCGGCCCATGTAGCGCTCGGTGATGTCGGTCTCGTTCGAGATGCGCCACACCTCGACGGGTGAGCGCTTGTGGTGCGGGTTGGCCGGCGACGAGGGGAGCGGCGCCGACGACGCAAACGAGAAGAACTTGGGGAACGTGGCGGCGTAGACGGACCCGGTCGAGGGCGACACGAGCAGGTTGTCGATCGGGCGCTCGAGCTGGAGGTGCGACGTCGTGTCAGAGCGCGCAGAAGAGACAGAGAGAGAAAGGGGGCGCACCCAGATGTTGCCGACCGGGATGAGCGACATGTCGCCGTGCTGGATCTCGTACACGCTCACCTCGCCCGTGTAGGTCGATGCGGCGTACAGGAGGTCGTTCGGGCCCTTGGCGAGACCTGTGGGCGAGCGGCAGTCAGTCCGCCGAGCGAGAGGGATGGAGAGAGAGAGAAGAGAAAGAGGGTGCGCACCGTTCGGGTACGTCTGCTCTGCGGCGACGGTGCACTCGGACTCGCCCGAGTCGAGGAGGGTGCAGTGGGCGATCTCGGACGTCTCGACGTAGGCGACCTCGAGCTTGCGGGTCCAGTGCACCTTGCGGCGGTGGTCGTTCGACACGTAGAACGACCTCGGGCCGGTCGCGACCGGGTTGTTGGGCGTGCGGACGAGCGCGTGGCGCACCGTGCCGACGTAGCGCGCTTCGGCGGTGCCGAGGACCGTCTCGAACAGCTCGACGACCGAGTCGGCGCCGACCTTGGGGGCCGAGGAGCGGTCGGCCGGCGGCGGGTGCGACACGAGGAAGAGGGTGTACAGGTCGGGCTCGGCTGGGGTCGGGGTGTGGAGGGCGTCCATGCCGTGGAGCCACAGGCCCGGGTGACCCTTGGGGAGGCCGACGAGGTGGACGGGCGAGTGGGTGCGGTGCTCGAACGAGAAGAGGCGCAGGTGGTCGGTCGAGACGGTCGGGAGGGTGAGCGCGTCAAAGTTCTCGAGGGTCGGAGACCAGTGGGCGCGCATCTCGACCGACGAGCAGGCGCTGCGTGCGCAACCAGGTCAGTCGTCGAAGGAGGGGCGGGGAGGAGGAGAGGGAGCGGGATTTGGACGCACAGGTAGGCGAGGCCCGAGTCATGGTGGACCCACGCGTCCTCGCACGCCTCGAGGCCCGGAATGGGCGAGCACTGGTCGATGTGGAGCGCCGACGAGAGGATGCGCTGGGTGCCGAGGACGTTCATGCGCGGCTTGGCGATGGCGAGGAGGGTGGCCGCGATGGGCAACACGATGAGGAGGACCGACGCAACCATGCTGAGCTTGACGAGGTACGCAGCGAGTCCTGCGAGAAGGACGACGAGGAGGAAGACGAGCTCCGCTCGGCCGGACCGGTCGAGGCGATGAGGTCAACAAACGCGAGACGCACTGCTCGCCCGCTCTCTTCTGCTCTCTTGAACACGCTCGTGAGGCTATCGAGTACCTCGGCCGCGATCCAGCAGCAACAGCGAGTGAGGAGGGGAGGAAAGCACCGGGCTCGAGCTCGCTTGTCCCGACTCGTGGTCGCGCCGTTCTCGCCGCTTTCTGGCGCTACGATGGATGGATTGCCAGACTTCGGAGCGAGCAGGTGCGCGCGCGAGAGAGAAAGAGTGCGACGGCTGGCGGTGAGCAACCTCGCGTCGACCAGCTCGCCGCGTCTGTCGAGCTAGCTCGCCTCGCTCGACGCCGAGAGCAGCACGACGCGTGCATCCGCCACCGGCACCACCTCAGCAGCAGCCCCACAGCGCGCGAGCCACAGCGCTCACCCTCGAGCGCCTCCACCCCTCTCTTCATCGACCTCGACCCCGCGAAACAACCCTCGCCGTACCCACCCTCTCGACGCCCTGCAAGCAGGCCACGCCTGTGCAGTACCGCCACGAGCAGCGCACGGCCATGGCCAACTACTCGGCCTACGCCCCCTCGCTCCCGCCAGCGCCAACAAGGGCCGCCAACTCGTCGTCCTCGCACAGCAGCAGCCACCACCACCAACAGCAGCAGCAGCAGCAGTACGCAATGGGCCACCAGCAGCAACACCGTCCAGGGTACGGCAACGGCGACGCCCTCTCGGGCCAGTTCGGCAGCCTCAGCATGGGCCAGCACGAGCAGCCTCCCCTCGGCGACCCTCGCGCCCGAGGCCCGCTTGCGCCCCTCGAGACGCGCTCGCCAGCCCCATCTGCCCCATCCTCGTCGTCGACTTACTCGGCCGCCAACCGCCCCCGCCCTCAGCTCTCGCCCGTCCTCACCTCGGCGCCCCCGCGCGCCTACCAGCTGCGCGACGGCGCCTCGCCCTCGGCCTACGACCGCGCGCCCGACAGCGACGCGCCCCGCGTACCGCGCAAAAGCTCGCTCTCGGCGGCGCACGACAGCCACACAGCGCCGGGCCTGCAGCAGGCGCACCCGCCGCTGCCTCGGCTTCCGCCGTCCGGCTCGTCGTCGGCCTACCCGTCGCACCAGGCGAGCGCGAGCGGCGGCAGCGCGTCGCAGCGGGACTCGGCTGGAGGCGAGCAGGTGTTTGACGGGACGGCGCTGGCGGCGGCGGGCGAGCGCGAGCGCGAGGGCGGCAGCGCGCAGGGCCCGGGCAGGAGCGCGTCGTCGGCGACGGCGACGCAGGGCAAGAAGGCCAACCCGCTCGCCGACTTGATCGCGACCGAGACGGCGTACGTGGCTGACCTGGGCGCCATCATCAAGGTGCGCCCGCCCTTCCTCCCCCTCCTCCTCGTCTCGCTCGAGCCCCAGGAACTCACCTCTGTCGCCCACCTCCACAGCGCGTCGCAGCAGCCTGGAGCCGGGCCAACTTTCCTCCACCTGTACTCGACTCGATGTTTCGCGCCGTCGAGGCCGTGTACCGCGTCAACAAGGGCCTCCTCGCCGTGCGTCCTCAACCTCTCTCTCTCTCGACCTCTCCCTTCTCCTTCGTCCCATTGCGTCGCTCAGTCACTCACCCTGCCTCATGCCGCCGGCGACAGCAACTGCTCGAGATCGGCCCGTCGCCCTCGTCGCCAAAGGCGCTCGGCGACCTTCTCATGCGCTGGATCGACGAGATCGAGCCGGCCTACTCGCGCTACGCAGCGACGCTCCAGGACGGCTACGACACGCACGCGCCCGTCCAGTCGAACGAGCGCCTCGCGCCTATCCTCGCGTCGCTCGCGTGGCCCAACACCCTCCCTCCTCCACCCTCACCTTCCTCTTCTCTCGTCACCCTCGACACGCTCTTCACCCTCCCCGTCGTGCGCGTCGCCTACTACCAGCGCCTGTATGCCAAGCTCCTGCGCTCGACGCAGGAGGGCCGCAGCGACCACGCGCTCCTCGTCAGCGCCAACGACAAGCTGCGCCGCCTCGCCGCCATGTGCGACGACGCGCGCGCGCGCCACCTCGACGGCGAGACGCTCGGCACCACGAGGCCGCTCGTGCTCGCGCCGGCCGTGCCTGTCGTCCCGGCGCAGCCGAGGGCGAGGGACGAGGACCGACGCGAGCAGGCGCGAGGAGGAGCGCCGCCGCCGCCGAGACTCGAGCTCGAGCTCGGGCGGGTCATGCACGAGCGGGGCAGCGATCGGGGCAGCGGTGGCGGAGGAGCAGGAGCGGCCGGCGGCGGCGGCGGCTCGGCCGGGCTCGACAGCCCGTCGAGCAGCAGCTACCGCTCGTCGGGCGCGACGGGCATGTCGACGGCCAACACGTCGGCGACCAACGGCGGCGGGTACGCGGCGACGAGCCCGCTCAGGGTTGAGGACCTCGAGCATCGGCTCGACCCGTCGAGGGCGCTCGACATCTTTACGATGAAGCCTCGGGTGCGTCGCTCGTCCTCTCTGCTCTCTCTTCCACTCTCTTTCGAGTCAAAGTGACTGACTCTGCGTCCCTGTGCGCCCCTCGCAGAAATGCAAGCTCCAGATGCAGCCGCCGTCGCTCGCCTTCCAGCGCCAGCTCCGCAAGGCCGGGCCCGTCTCGCTCTCGTTCGTCCCCTCGTCCGACCCGTCGGGCCGCGACGTGCGCATCGCGCGGGCGCACCTCGTCCTCCTCACCGACCTGTTCCTCGTGTGCGCCCCGGTCGAGCCCGCCGACGAGCACGCCGCCGCGCCAGGCGCCGACTTTTGGCTCCTGTACCCGCCGCTCGCGGGCAAGCACCTGCGCGTGCGGGACAGCGGCGCGCAGCAGGCGCACGGCGAGTTCGAGGTGGCCATTATGGGCAAGGAGCGGCTCGTGTTCCGCCCGCTCGACGCGGCGGGCGACGGCGAGGAGCAGCAGGCGCGCGAGTGGCGCGCCGCGCTCGACGAGGCGATCCGGTTCGGGACAGCGCAGGGCAGTCGGCAGAACTCGTCGGCGAGCGGGAGCGCGGTGGGAGGAGGCGCGTCGTCGCCCATCTCGCCGACGTACCGCAGCAGCCCGCTGTCGCCCAGCTTCCAGGCGAGCGTCCAGCCGCCGACCGCGCCCAACTCGACCGCCCCCTCACCTCACCTCATGCCCTCGTCGTCAACCGCGTCGACCGCGCCGCCACCCTCACCCGGGTTCAGCTCGGCCGGCAGCAACACGGGCCGTCCTGCCCTGCAGCTCATGCCGCCCGGTGCGCAAGCTCCGCCGTCGAGGACGCACTCGAGCTCGAGCAGCGACGGCGCGCCGGCGGCGGCGACCGTCAGCCGGCCTGAGCGCAACGCGAGCATGCTCTCGAGTGCGTCGCACGCCGGTCCGCCACCGTCGGCGTCGTCGCACGGCGGCTTCACCGGCAACGCGTTCGTCCAGAGCCCGACCGGATCGGGCTTCCCGCACTCGCCCATCGGCAACGGCGGCAACAGCTCGCGCGGCGCGTCGCCGTACCCGGGCAGCGACTCGAGCGCCTACGGCCGCCAGTCGCCGTACGGGCAGCAGCAGCAGCAGCTCCAGCAGCAGCAGCAGAACGGCGGCTACCCGGCGTACCCTGCGCCGCCGCGGTCGCCGTACTCGGCGCAGGAGTTCTCGTCGTCGTCGCGCCCAAGCTCGTCCCGCCCGTCGTCCCGCCAGTCGAACGGCTCGTACCAGTCGTCGCAGGCCTACCCCGACTTTGATCCTCGTACCGCGCCGCCGCCCTTGCCCAAGGAGCGCAGCTACAACGGCGTCGACATCAGCGGGCGCGGCGGTCCGCTGTACCCGACGAGCCTCAACGGCTCGGCGTCCCGCTCCGGCAGCGGCATGCTCGCGCCCGGCTCGTCGCACCAGCAGGTGCACCGAGCGCGCTCGGCCGACGGCCTGCGCTCGTCGCCGCCCATGTCGTCGTCGGCCCAGTTCAACCTCGGGCACCACGGCGGCGGCGGCGCAGGCGGCGCGGCCGGCTTCGGGTCGCAGTACCGCATGCCGTCCCAAACGCTGCTCGAGGACCGCAGCGCGTCGGCGCCTGGCTCGTCGCGCGCGTCGGGCGTCGCCGAGCGCGGCGTCGGGCTCGACTTTAGCCCGCCGACGAGCCCGATGTCGGACGACCGCGAGCGGCAGCTGCTGCAGCAGCAGCAGCAGCAGCGCGCCGACGACAAGACGAGCGTCGTCGCGCAGATGCGGTGCAAGATCTTCCTGCAGCAGCACCACTCGGTGTGGAAGAGCCTCGGGACGGGCAAGCTCAAGCTGTTCCACTCGTTGCCGAGCGGCACCAAGCAGCTCGTCGTCGACTCGGACAAGGGCGGCGGCAAGACGGTCATCTCGACCATCGTGCTCACCGACGGCGTCGAGCGCGTCGGCAAGACGGGCGTCGCCATCGAGCTGAGCGACCAGGGCGACCGCACCGGCATCGTCTACATGCTCCAGGTGCGTCCCTCGTCTCTCCTCGTTCCTCTCCTCGTTCCCCCCTTACTGACACGGACTCTTTTGCGTGCGCAGATGAAGACGGAGCAGTCGGCGACGGGCCTGTTCGAGCAGCTGCTCGTCGGCACCGACCGCGCCAAGCGGTAGGGCCTCGTCTTCTTCCTTCTGCGCCTCGTCGCCCCTCTCCTGTACCACTCCCCGGACCCCTCTCTAGTCTCTCTCTCTCGCCGCCTTCTTACATAGACCTGCGCCCGTCAGATACCCCCTCGTCGCCGTTCCTCTCTCTCTCTCTCCCACCTCCCGAGCTGCATTCCTCGTCCACGACCGCCTGCCCCCTCGCATCTCTCTCTTGACTCTTGTGTAGACGAAGCTGGCGTACGCCGCGCTGGAACGCCCGTTGCCCTGGCCCTGTTTTCGACGTCGCCGACGGCTCGCTGCCCCCACTCTCTTCCCCGCTCTCGGCCATTTCAGCTCCCTTCTCCTCCTCCCCCTCTCGCCAGCTGCCTCTCGCGCACCCGCTGCACAGACGCCACACGATGAGCTTCCTCACGCTCAAGCGCTACAAGGTCGGCACGTTCGCGCTCGGCGCCGCCTTCCTCGCCGTCATCGTCGGCCAGAAGCTTGACCGGGCAGGCGTGACCCGGTCCGTGTCGCCGCTCAACAACGACGACTGCTTTGCGGTACCAGGTGCGCCCCCTCTTTCCCCTGCTTTCGAACCGGCAGAGAAACGAGCTCACATCGAGGTGCGACCGGACGCAGGACTCGAGGCGTGCGAGGACGCACGGTGGGTCGACCAGGAGAGCGGGCTCGCCTACCTGTGAGTCCTCCTGTACCCGCCTGCTTCCTCTACGGCCTCTTGAATGCCCGAGAGACGTGGCGAGCCGCGAGCTCACCGAGAACATCGTCCCTGCAGCGCCTGTTCTTCACGCGAGGCTCGCACGCTGTGGGTCCCGGCTACCTCCCATTTAAATGCCACGGAGCTCCCGACCGTCTCGACCGACTATATCGCCCTCCTCGACATCAACACGCGGCAGTACAAGCGCGTCCGCCTGGACGGCCTTCCGCCGGCCGCCAACGGCATCTGGGTCCACGCCATCGAGCTGTACCGCTCGCCCTCGAACCCGAACAAGCTCACCATCTTCGTCAACTCGCACCGCCCGCCGTCGGACCGCTCGCTCGCCCCTACCCAGGGCGCCGACTCGGTCGTCGAGATCTTCGACACCGAGGTCGGCAGCGACTCGGCGCGGTACGTCAAGACGATCCAGCACCCGCTCGTGCGCACGCCCAACAGCATCGCCGCCGTCACCGACAGGTCGTTCTACGTCTCGAACGACCACCGGCACAAGGTGCACTGGTCGCGCAAGTTCGAGGTCCTCAAGAGCAACCCGAGCGACATCATCTACTGCGACGCGTCGGGCTCGGGCGAAGCGCAGTGCATGGTTGCCGCCGACAACGTCATCTACCCGAACGGTGCGTCGTCCCGACTGTCGCGCTCTGCCTCGGCGAGCGGCGCTCACTGTGTCTCTCTCGCCCGCAGGTCTCGCGAGCGGCCCGAACGGGCTCGTCTACCAGGCGTCGACCATCGAGGGCCTCATGCGGGTCTGGCAGGCGCAGCCGAACCACACTCTGGCCGCCGTCGAGGAGGTTCACGTACGTCCCTCGCCCTCTCCTCGCCTCGTCGCGCACGGTCCCCTTGAACCTTCCTAACCTCGCGCTCGCCTGCAGATCAACCGCCACTTCGACAACGTGCACGTCGCCGTCACGCCCAAGGGCGTCGACATCTACCTGACGGCGCTCACCAAGCTGTTCGACTTTATGGCGGCGGGCAAGGACGGCGGCAGGAGTGGACCGCGCCCCGCCGTCGAGGTCTTCAGGGTTCGCGAGCAATCCGAGAAGAAGAGGTGCGTCCTCCTCTCTTTCTCGCTCTGCGAGATGTGTGCTCACGGCCGATACGACGTTGCAGCGGCGGCAAGAAGTACCGGTCCGAGCGCGTCTTTGGCGACTCGGGCGAGATCGTCATGGGCTCGACGACGGCGGCGCCGTACCAAAACAAGCTTCTCCTCACCGGTGCGTTCTCTGTTCGTCTCTCTCGTCGCATCGAGCGGCATTGACATCCTCGAGCGCGTTTCAGGGCTCTTCTCCAAGGAGGTCATGGTCTGCACGCTCAAGCAGTGAGGCGCCATCCCTCGCTGCGCCCCTTCCATCCTTTTCCTCTCCTCTCCATCGATCTGCAAGGAAAGTCTGAAATGAATGCAAGCCGTATCTGTCCCGCGATGTGTCGCTCGAGGAGGAAGTGCACGGTTGACGAGAGCTCGAGAGTAGCGTCCTTGCGGGCTCTTGTGCGCCTGTGTGGGCCGCATCGCAGCTGGTGAGGGTCAGTATCATCGCTTTTGGGGCTCTCTGGGATACGCTGCGCACGCAGCTGTCGAGAGCGAGAGCCAGCGAGAGCGGCGCTCAGCCAACGCGGCCTTCGCACCAGGCTCGGTGCGGCGCGCTGCAACCGCCGCCTCGCATCGCTGTCGTTCTCGCGTGCTCTCTAGGACTTTGGGGAACGCATCGCCGACGCGACAAGCTCGTAGAGAGCCCGAGGAAAGCGCCGTCATGGGGACAAGACGAGCCGTCGGCGTCGCACGACGCTCAAGCCGCTTCGTCGAGCTCTCGCTGGCCTGAGGGCTTCTCAAGCCCAAGCCGAGCGAGCAGTGGAACGTGACGAGCTATTCGGCCTGCTGATCTCGCCGCATTCGCGTTGGCCTTGACCGTCGTAAGTTGCGCTTCCGATTCTGAACTGAACTGGCGGGCGAACTGCGCTCGACTTGCGCTCGACCTCTCGCTCACTACTCAGACGCCGCCATGCAAAGCAGACCAGTTCGATCGTACGCACGGAGAGAGAACTATGCGAAAGAGGGGACGGTACGAGAGGAGGGCGAGCTGCGAGGGTCCATTTCCCTCGAGCCAAAGTGCGACCGCATGGACCTTCTCAGCCTCGACGACTCCCGAGCCCTCGTCCCAAGTCCTTCTCGAACTGTGCAACGTACTCCGTCTCGTCGAAAGCGCCGCCGTCCCTTGGCCCGGGAGCGGCGCGCCGTTGAACACCTTCGCAAAGTGAACGCGCCCCTCGAGACGGGACGACGCCACGAGGATGACGAGAATGACGGCGCAGCCGACTGTGAGCTGTATACCGCTTGTCGGACAGGTACGACTGGATGTACGCCTTGCGAGAGCGTGCGGCGTCAGGCCTCGCTCGAGAGGTCGGAAAAAAGTCCGAAAGGGAGGAGAGAGAAAGCGCGCGAGCGAGGCGTCGGCCGCGGCCCAACACAACGCGATACCCTCTGTGACCTTGCCGTACGTAGCGTACGACCGTCTCCCAGCAGAGAAGCAGAAGCTCGAGGTCGGCCGCCGCTCAACGACCTTCTCGATAGCCAAAAGCCTTTGGGCGACGCGAAAGCACGAGCATGGCCTCAACGACGGTAGCGAGGTCGCAAGGGCGTCCTCTGCGTCCCTCTGCGAGAGCAGAAACACCGCAGGCCGTCCCGAACGTGACGCTCGACCTCGAGCGAAAGCGGTCCGAGCGGTGTGACGTGGCCGACGCGGCTGCGCCGCGTCGACAAGCACAGGTTGTGGATGACGCCGAACGAGTCGCAGACGCAGAGCAGAGACAAATTCGAGGCGAAGCTGAGTGTGCGAGCGCGAGAAAGAGGCAGAAGCGAGGCGAGAACAGGGCGACGAGGCGGAGGACGAGGTGATTGCGAGGAGCTGACGAGGTCCTCGGGCATCTACCATCGCCAGGGCCATGCTCGTCGAGTCTCCTTGACGGCCTCGACACGCTGCGGGCAGGAAGAAGGTGCAACGTGAGTGTGACGACCGGGGAGAAGAGGGTCGCCTCGCAAGGCCGACTGTCGAGAAGAGAAAAGGGAGCGCACCTCGACAACGACCCACTGCAGGGGCCTGGTAGACACCGCCGGAGCATGTCCCACCTGCTCTTCCTCGTCCCGCCGCAACGCCTGCTGCCCTTGCCCGCCGAACCAGCTCATGATCATGCGCCCGTTCAGCTCGTCCTCTCCCTCCTCGTCCTCGTCCTCCTCGTCGATAGTCCCACCCAGCAGACGCGTCGTCTCGTCCGCCTCCTTGCCGCTCGCCCTCGGCCGCCGCTCGGACCGCGTCTCGTCCGCCGCTCGGACCCTATCGAGTCCCGCCGCCGGCCGCCGGCCGCCGAGCCCGCGTGCGCCCTCGCCGTCGCTGAGCGCAGCGCCGTCGACGTTCGACGCGTCGTCGAGCGCCCGTCGCGCCGCTCGGTCTCGACGAGCGCGCTTGAGCCGACGGGCCTCGGTCGCCTCAACGCGGTCGAGCCTCGACAGGAACGCGACGCCCGTCTCCTCGCCGTCGGGCGCCCCTGCCGCCGCATCGTCGTGGCTCGAGCGACGCCCTGACGGCGCCGCGAGGGCGTCGAGCGGTCGGCGCAGGAAGCGCGCCGAGTCGGCCGCGCCGTCGAACGAGGCGGAGAGGCTGCGGCCGGCGACGAACGACGACGCGGACGAGTCCGGCGCCATGTCGGAGCGAGAACGACGGTGTCGAGCGTGGCGGACGACGACGGGAGCGTGGAGGGTCGCAGACGAGGGAGCGGGTGCGCGAGGACGGGCGTCGTCGAGGACGACGTGCGGGATGGCGTCGGCCGGAGCTGAGCGACGCTCGGGCAGTGCAGGGCGCTCGAGCGCCTCATGGGCGTCGACGGGTGATGGTGCGGGAAGTCGAGGCTCCGAGTCGAGGCGTCGCAGGTTGGGCGAAGGTGCGGGCGGATCGACAGGCGACGGGACGAGGCGGTACTCGTCAACGACGAGCTTCTTCGAGCGGCGAGCTAGCTCGACAGGACCTGCGAGGAGGGGAGAGAGACAAGATTAAGATCACGCTCGGGGAGAAGGGAGAAGAGGAAGGCGACGCGGACGCACCCTCGTCCTCGTTGCGCAGGCTCTTGACGAGCAGCAGGCCCTGGCCCTTGACGACGCTCCACTGCCGCTCCCACATCTCGTCGCTGAACGCGCGGTCGCGGCAGAACTCGCGCCGGAGCCGCACCTTGAGCGCGCTCCACCACTCGGGGTCGGCGAGGAGCGGGAAGAAGTGCGCTCGCGCCGCGGCCGACCACGGCTCGCCGATGAGCGACAGGGGCAGGTACAGCCAGCCGTACGTGTAGGTGCGCCAGCCCGACGGGTGCTTGTGCGGGAACGCGAGCGAGTTGTCGATGGCGGCGAGGTGCAGGTGCGGCTTGGGCGGCGCCGAGGGCGAGCACGCGAGCGTGCACGGCTTGAGCATGAAGTTGTCGAGACCTCGGTCGCTGTGGCCAAATAGAGGCGCGTCAGAAACGCGAGGCGAAGAGGGACAGAGGAGGAAGAGAGACGCACGTGTTGCGGATGAGGAAGTCGAGGACGACGAGCTTCTCGAGCTCCTCCCTGAAGCTCTCGACCATCTCGACCGTCCACTCGAACGCCGTGCTCGCCGACGCGGCATCGACCCGCATGCGCCTCCCCGGCTGCGGCTGCTCTGCGGGCCCCTCGCCCGTCGCGCTCGGACCCTGCCCCTCGTCCTCGTGCTCGAGCGCCGGCTCGACCTCGTCCCGCTCTGCGCCCGTCCGGCCGCACAGGCACAGGAGCGCCGTCGTGCAGCACCCTCGGCGGTGGTGGCGCCTGCGCGCCTGCGACGAGCGGCTCTGCTCGTTTGAGGAGGGCGCGACGGGTCGGCCGGGAAAGGGATGCCGAGCGAGGAATGCAGAGGCGTCTGCGTCGGTGCGCAAGGGTCAGATCTGCGCGTCGAGGTGCGCGAGAGAGACAGAGAGCGCGGACGCACCGACGAAGCTGTCGAGAAAGACCTGGAACGAGCCCTCCTTGGCGCGCAGCTTGCCGCCCTTGCGCCGCTCGCGCTCGAGGTCGACCCAGTCGTAGAAGAAGGCCGGGCTCGCGAGCTCGGTGACCTCGGTGCGCGGCACGATGTGCGTCGCGAGCGCCTCGTCGACGACGGAGGCGGCCGCCTCACTGATGAACGACTGGCCGGGGAGGAGGCACGCCCGCCCGAACGGGATGACGGGGGACAGGAAGTTGCGGTGGATCCACTTGGACAATTTCGGGTTGAGCGTGCCATAAGGCTCCTCGTCGGCGGGTTTGAAGATGCCGAGCGTGCGGCCGACGACGTTGCGCGCAAAGTAGCTGCCCGAGGACCCTTTGCTGTTGAGCCGAGGCTGGACGCCGGCCTCGATCGCGAGACGTACTTGCTCGACGAGTCTGGGTGCGGGTGACGAGTCAGTCCAGGTCGGCGCGCGCTGGCTCGAGGGGGCGTCGAGGACGTGGAGGAGGGGCGCACCCTTCGAAAGTGTCGTGCGACATGGGCTCCTTGTGGTCGAGCGTCTTGACGTCGCCGCGAGTCGACACCTTCTCGTCGTCGCCTCGCTCAGGAAAGACGCTGCGGTAGACAGGGATGCAGGCGCCCTTGTCGAGGACCGGCGGCGGCGGCTCGTGGTCGTCTCGTGGCGTCGCGCTCGAGGCGAACCGTGCTGCGACGGCGGCTCGCCACTTTTCGAGCAAAGCGTCGATGTGGGCTGTCGTGGTGGACGATCGGCGACACGAGGACGAGGCGCCGTCGGGATGCTCTGGCTCCGCCATGCAGAAGAAGGGGTCGAAGGAGGACAGGTGTTGGCTGGCGGGCTGCTGTAGCTGTCATGGTAGAAGGGTAGGGACGCATCCCGAGTCAGTCAGGTCCCGCCTGGCCCGCGAGAGGACGAGGAAGGGACGACGAACCGATTGGCGATGACGGGACGAGGGTGACGAGGAGGCGGGCTCACGCGCTGCTTGAACGACGAGTCGGTGCGGCAGCAGGTAGCTGGTAGTACTGATGACGGCTGTGCACGTCTTGCGCACGCAGCAGGGGCGAGGGCAGTGAGGACGAGAGCCAGACAGATGAGCCGGCCCCACCTCGACCTCTGGTTCCTCCTCACACCCGCTACACGCCGCCCTGCTAGCGTGCAAGTGCTTCGTCCTGTGGCAACTGCGCTATCTCGTACCTCCCACCTCCAACCTCGTCACCAGCAGCGACCGCAGCCTCCTCGTCCTCGTCCCGCGGTCCGCCCCTTCATCAAGCTCGGCAGCGCGTCTCGAATCACCAGGTGCGTCTTTTGTCCTCGCATCCGGTCTCCAGAACTAACACGACGCCACGCAGCATGTCGCCGGATCTCTCGCCGTGCTCGCCCTCGACCTCGGCTGCCCCCGTCACCAAGCGCATCTCCAAGGCGTGCGAGCCCTGTCGAGCCCGCAGAACTCGCTGCGACGGCGACCAGCCGTGCAAAAAGTGCGTCGCGGCGGGCGGCCTCGCGTGTTCGTACCGCACAAAGGCGCGGCCGATGCGCCGAGCGCGCCTCGTCCGCCCCTTCTCGCTGGCCCAGTCGAGCGGCACCGGTGCGGCAGACGGCGACGGAGCGCTGCAGGGCATGAGGACGATCGAGGCTTGCTTGGAGCGCCAGTACGAGGAAAGGACGGGCAGTAAGTCCTCCTCCTCGCGCTCCCCCTCGCTCAGGCCCACGCTCCCCAACGTCGTCGTGCCGCCCCTTCCCTCGCTCGCGCCCACGCTCCCCAACGTCGAGCTGACTCTAGCCGCCGCGCAGCCCCGATCTCGCTCAACCTCCCCGACGTCGACACGCACCCTGCGCTCGCCCTCGACACGCCCCTCCCGCTCCTGCCGACCGTCTCGGACCCGATCCTCGCCGCCCTGTGCCAGACGTTCGTCCGCGAGGTCCTCGGCATGTTCTCGTCCCTGTCGGCCGACCGCCTGTACCAGCTCGAGCAGCGCCGGCGTGACCTCCCGAGCACTGTCACGCCCGACCAGCGCGCCCTCCTGTACGCCGTCTACGCCATGGGCTACCTCCGCCAGGCCTCGACGCTTCGAGCGACAGACGACACGCTCCCCGTCCCGATCGACCCGACCCTGGCGCGCATCGACGTCGCCTACTTTCGCCACGCCCTCGACCTGGTCCAGATCCCGGCGAGCCCGACCGCGCTCGAGGCGCTCAACGTCCTCCTCCTGCTCGCGCTCTCGACCGCCTCGATCCGCACGACGCGCCAGGTCATGTCCAAGCTCTGCTACGGCGTCCAGGAGCTCGGCCTCCACAAGCAGGTGCGTCTCGCCGTCCTCGCCTCTCCCGAAGCTCGAGTCCTGACCTCGTCCTCCTCCTCTCCCTGCAGGCGACCGCCGAGGCGTACCCGGCCGAGTACAGCACGTCGTCGATCCTGTTCATGATCGTGTGGAACGACACGTACCTCGCCGGCCTGACGGGGCACGCGCCGTTCCTGCGCGACGTCGACATGGCGCTCCTCACCGACGCGCCCGACAGCGGCGGCATCGTCGCGCCGGGCATGGCGCAGCTCGTCAAGCAGGAGGCCGACCTGTTGCGCGAGGCGCACGCCCACCCGGCCAGGCCGCGCACCGACGCGCCGTTCGTCCTCGCACACGACGCGAGGCTGTTTGCGTTCCTCAAGCAGTTCGGCAGCTCGACCGACGACTACCAGAACATGGCCAACCGGTTCACTCAGACCCAGTGCGTCCCCTCCTCTTCCTCTGCGACAGCGTGCGCGAAGCGAGACCCCCATGACTCATGCTCCCTCTCCCTTCTCGACGCAGCTACCACTTTCTCCGCCTCCTCGTCCGCGCGCCTTCCTCGACCGACCCCGTCCTCGGCCCCTCGTCGCTCTCGATCCTCTCGCGCTCGGCGATGCACCTCCTGCGACACTACGAGCAGACGTTCCGCCAGACTCGGTACAACAACGTCGTGTGGCCCGTCCTCGTGCGTGTCGTCGGCGCCGGGCACGCCGTCCTCCAGGCCCTGTGGCACGGCGAGATCGTCCGCGTCGAGGCCGAGGAGGCCATGGCCAAGGTCATGTGGCTCGTCGACAAGCTGCGTGTCAGGTGGGACGTTGCGGCGGCGCAGGCGGCGGCCAACTTTGCGGCCCTGTGCGCCGCTCTCGGTGCGTCGCTCGTCCCCTCTCTCCTCCTTCCTCCTCCCCTTTTACGAGATCTCGCGCCCGTCACCCTCAGCATCGTGTCGTATCTCGTGCCTGTACTGACTCTTGAGCGCCCGCAGAACTCGACGTGCCCTCGCTCGCCACCCCGGCTACGACCCCCTTCGAGCTTCCCCTCCCTCCTCCTCTCGCACCCGCACCACCACCAGCTCCCGCACCCGCACCCGGTCCGACGCCTTCAGCCGCGCCAGCACCTTCAGCAGCACTCCCTGTCTTTCACGCCGCCGACCTGCCGCCTCTCCCGCCGCCGCCGCATCTTGCGCACGGTCCCTCCCTCGACTCGGCGCCCGTCGCGCCCTCAATCGGCCACACCTCGGTGTTCGACCTCGACCTCGAGCACGGCGGCTCGAGCACCTCGCCGCTCGTGTCGGGCCTGACGCCGTCGGTCGTCGGCTCGGGCGCACTCGAGCTAGAGCTCGACGAGCGTGGAGCGGCGGGAGCAGGAGGAGCTGGGGGAGGGTTCGGCGAGATGCCCGACTTTTGGGGCGCGGCAGGGCTCGCGGGCGAGTTGGGAGGAGTGGACGAGGGTGCGCTCGGCGGGGCCTGGTGGATGGCGTAGCTGCGGCGAGCGAGCAAGGGGGGCGAAAGTGGAACTCGAGCCTCGTCGCGCTCTCTATCTCTTTCGTGGACCGAGAGAGACCGAGAGAGCATCGCCAAAGAATATGTACACTGCAAGTGACTGATAGGCTCTACTTTCCGTCGTGCGAGCACCCACAGTCTCCTCCTGCCGACTCGTCGCCCGACCTCGGAAGCACCTCGTCGATGACCCGCATCGCGTCCTCGGCCCCGATCGCCGCCATGTCCTTCAGCCACTCGCGCCGCATCTCTTCGCGCACGTCGGACGAGCGCAGGACCTCGAGGGCGGTGAGCGCGATGGCGGTCGAGACGCGCAGGGCCGCGTCGTGGGAAGAAGGGAGGGCGGCGGCGTCGGCGTACGTGTTCGAGTCTGTGGGCGAAAGGAGGTCAGTGTCCGAGCGACTGATTGAGAGGCGAGGGAGAGAAAACGAGGGCGAGAGGAAGAGGGAGTGAGGAAGAGAGAGAGGGGGAAGGGAAAGGGGGCGAGGGGGAGCGGGCGAGAGGGGAGAGAGGCGACGCACGAGGGTGCTCGTCGGCAGGAACGCCAGGCAGGAGGAACATGGGGTGCAGGGCCGGGCACGCGTACGTCACGTTGCCAAAGTCGGTGCTGCCGCCGAGTGCAAAGTCGTCCGTGATCTGGTACGACTCGCCGCCGTCGACGTCGGGCCGGTCGAGGCAGCGCGAGGCGGCCGACTTGAAGAGGCGCGAGAGCGACGACGACGGGCGCAGGTCGAGGTAGGCGTACTGGCCGTCGACCGTGTGGGTGCACCCTGCCGAGAGGGCGCCGGCGGCGAAGCAGTTGAGCACGCGCGGGATGACGGCGGCGAGGGCCTTGGCCGACGGGGCGCGCATGCCGTAGCGCAGGACGGCACGAGCCGGAATGACTGTGGGTGCGCGAGGCCGACGAGTCAGTGGACGGGTCGAGGGGGGCTCGTGCGGGAGGAGGACGGCGAGGGCGCGACTGCGGCCCGAGCGAAAGGGTGGACGCACCGTTGACCGACATGTCCTCGCCGCCAGTGATGATGCCGTGAACGCGCACGTCGCTCGGGAGCTGCTGCCGCAGCGAGTTGATGGCCGAGTAGGCGCTGACGGCCGCGTCGAGCGCGTTGATGCCCTTTTCCGGAGCCGCACCGGCGTGCGCAGGCGCGCCCGTGAACGTCGCGACACAGTTGACCCTCGTCAACGACGTCATGACGCCCGCGCCGTGCTGGCCTGCGCTGCCCATGCCCGGGTGCACCATGAGGCACGCGTCGAAGCCGGCGTACGCGCCGCGCTCGAGCATGACGACCTTGCCGCCGCCGGCCTCTTCCGCCGGCGTACCGAGAAGGACGACGCGGCCGGGGAGCTCAAAGTGCTCGAGGGCGCGGGCAGTCGCGATGGCGCTCGCGCAGCCGGCGATGGCGATGAGGTTGTGGCCGCACGCGTGCCCGAGGCCCTTGAGCGCGTCCATCTCGCTGTTGAAGCCGACGACGGGGACCTTGTCGGACTTTGCCGAGGCGGACGAGGTGAAGCTGGCCGACCACGCCGTCGCAAGGCCGTACGCTTGGCGCTCGACGACGAAGCCGGGTTGGCCCTCCATGTACGACGTCAAGAGGTCGTGCGCGTGGTGCTCGACCCATGCGAGTTCAGGATCGGCGTCTGCAGACCGGATGTGGGTCAGCGACTGTCCATTGGGAGCGCACGAGAGGAGAGAACGAGGCGGACGCACGGATGGCGAGGCTGAGTTGGCGGAGCTCGACGTCGAGTTGGGCGATGGTGTCGCGCACAAAGTCGTCAAAGGTGGCTGAGAGGTCGGTCTCGGTGGCGTGAGGCATGGCGTGGTCGGGTAGGAAAGATGAGGTGGAGTGGAGGAAGGAGAGGAGAGGGTGGGGAGGAGGAGGAGGGCGACTGCGCCTCGTGCGGGGCGAGGGCGCGTCGGCCGACAGGTGGCCGCCGCGTGACCGGTACGAAAGACGCCGCTCGCCCGTCTGGATCGCGCTCGGCGGCGCCGTGTCGAGGGCTGCCGCTGCGGAGCTTCATCAGGAGCGACGTCGGGGGTTGGCTGCTGCTGGCTCTGGGCGTCGCGCGCTGCCATGGCGCGAATGCGGCGCTGCTGCTGGACGCTGTGCGAGCAGATTGCGTCGCTTCTCGGAAGTGCGGATGTACGAGGGAGTCGACCCCGGCCCGCACGACAGCCTCGAGCGCGCCTCTTCTCTCCCCACTCATGCTCGCTACGAGCGGCAAAGCTTTGCCGCCGATGCTGGCCACGGCAATCTCGTGACTGGCCTCCCCCGCTTTGCGCCCGTATCCTCCGCGTCCACCGGGGTCGTCCTCTCCTTCTCCTCCTCCCTCCTCCTCCACCTATCTCGACCCAATACTATGTCGCTCAACCGCTCAAGTTCGGCCGGTGGCAAGACGGTCGACCTCGAGAAGGACGACGCCTCTTCCGGCGTGCGCGCTGCTCAAGCCAACGTCGACGCTACCAGCACCGACGTCTCCGCGAGCGAGAACCGCAGGATCCTGCGCAAGATCGGTGCGTCCCGCCTCGCCTTGGACCTCGTCGTCGTCCTCCTCGAGCCGTGCGCGAACACTGACCGTCCCTCGTCGCTCGCGCAGACCTGCACATCATGCCGCTCATGTGCGCCGTGTACCTCATCCAGTTCCTCGACAAGACATCTCTCAGTTACGCCGCCATTATGGGCCTGCGCGAGGACAACAACCTGTCGCTCAGCGAGTTCTCCTTACTTTCGTCGATATTCTAGTGCGTCCACGCTCTCTCGGTCCTTGCGCGCTCGAGTAGAGACTGACCCAGTCGCCCTCGTGCAGCATCGGATACCTCGTCGGGCAATGGCCGACCAACTGGCTCCTGCAGCGGCTCCCGCTCGCCAAGTACACGGCCGCCAACATCATCGTGTGGGGCGTCGTCCTCGCGTGCACGGCCGTCACGACCGACTTCAAGGGCCTCATGGTCGTTCGCTTGTGCGTCCCGCTGCGTCTCTCCCCGTCGCCGTCTCTCCCCGTCGCCGTCTCTCCCCGTCGCCGTCTCTCCCCGTCGCCGTCTCTCTCTGACGTACTGACACACTCTCTCGACCCTGGGCAACAGCTTCCTCGGCCTGTTCGAGTCCTGCGTCAGCCCGTCGTTCGCCCTCGTGACCTCGATGTGGTACCTCAAGAAGGAGCAGGGTTCGCGCACGGGCATCTGGTTCGCCCAGAACGCGGTCGCCAACGCGCTCGGCTCGTTCCTCGCCTACGGCCTCGCCAAGCACGATCTGGCGGGCGACTTTACGATCCCGGGATGGCAGATCCTGTTCATCCTCCTCGGCGGCCTCACGGTCGTGCTCGGCCTCGCCGTCCTCTTCTTCCTGCCCGACACGGTGCGCTCGGCGCGCTTCCTGTCGCACGAGGACCGCCTCGTCGCCGTGCGCCGCATCAAGAGCAACCAGACGGGCGTCGGCTCAAAGGTTCATAAGTGGTACCAGGTCAAGGAGGCGCTCCGCGACCCGCTCACGTGGCTGTACTGCCTGTACGCCCTCGCCGTCAACGTGTTCAACGGAGCGATCACCTCATTTTTCAGCATCCTCATCAAGGCGCTCGGGTTCAACGGCCTCGACTCGCTCCTCTTGTCGGCACCCGGCGGCGCCGTCCTGTTCATCGGCGTCATCAGCCTCATGTACCTCGGCGACCGCTTCAAGAAGCGCCTCTTGTTCGGCATTGTCGGCCTCAGCATCGGCCTGCTCGGCGTCCTCCTCATCTGGCTCCTCCCGACGAGCGTCCAGGTCGGCCGCCTGATCGGCTACTACTTGTTCGTCCTCTCTCCTCCTCCTCACTCCTCGAGAATCTCACTGACGCTCGGGAACTGCCCTGCAGGTCACTCGTGGCGACCGTCGGCTTTATCGTGATCCTCTCGCTCATCAGCTCAAACGTGAGCGGGAGCTCAAAGAAAACGACGACCTCGGCCATGTTCTTCATCGCGTACGCCGTCGGCAACCTCATTGGTACGTCCAGCGACCCTTTCCCTCGCGCTCGATCCCCCTCGCACCTCGTCGAACCGCCCTGACGCATCCCCCCTCCCTCTTCTCTCGTCGCGCGCAACAGGTCCGCAGACGTTCCGCGCGCAGGACGCACCGCGCTACGGCCCGGCCCTCGCCACCTTTACGGGCGTCATCGCGTTCGGCATCGTCGACCTCGCCCTCATCTGGTTCCTCAACGTACGCGAGAACCGCCGCCGCGACGCGCTCGCGCTCGAGAGCGAGGGCAAGGGTGCGAGCGGGCAGCAGCAGCAGGGCCAGGACGCCGACGAGCTCGACTTGACGGACCGGTGCGCCTCGCTCTCTCTCTCATTCCCTTTCCTCGGCGAGGTCTCGCTTGAGAAGGCGAGGTCCGGCTTGAGAAGGCGCACGAGCTCACTCTCTCTCGCCGCCGCCGCCACAGTGAGAATTTGGCGTTCCGGTACGTCTGCTGAGCGCGTACGCCGAGACGCGCGTGCGGGTCCTGGGCCGTTCTCGGGTCGTCTCTTCGAGCGGCCGCAGCAGGGCTGTATTTCTCCTCGCCGAGCGAGGTCCTCTTCTCAAAGCAGTATTTTGTGCCCACTCTCGAGCGAGCGAGAGAGCTGCTGAGAGGCTGGCGAGCAGAGAGCTAGCTAGAGAGCAGAGCGCGAGCGCATAGCCACGGTGGCGCGGCTCGAGAGCTGGGAAGGCAGCTGGGAAGCAGTCGGCAGCGACGCCTCTGACGGTCGAGCTGGCTCTCGCCACATGGCGCAGGGCAGGCCTCACAGTCTCGACTGCTGCAGAGCAGCCGCCGGGCAGCAGGATGTGCACCTCGAGAGCCAGGGAAAGCGGGTTCGAGGCGAACGGGCGAGGAGCAGCACGAGTTGCGCAGGGAGCGGATCGCTACTGGCGCGCTCGAGTCTGTGGGCCTGCGACAGGTCGCCACTGAAGCGAGTAGCTCGCTCGAGCGCGGTGCAGCAGCGTGATCGAGGTGTGCGAGAGGCGAGAGCGGGGGAGGACGAGGCGACAGCGGACGAGGTCGCGACGAGGCGGCGCACTGCTGCAGCAAGGCAGAATGGCACGGCAGTCCGGCAGGCGTGGCTCAGGGAGCTGGCAGGCGGCCGCCTGGGTGCGGCGAGAGGTGAGAGGACGAGGCGGGCGAAAGTCGAGCCTGGACGAGCGAGAGCCGCTGGTTCCTCTCCGCCCGTGTCTCCCGCGTCGCCATCTCCACAGGTGAGCCAGCCCTCTGAGCGCTCGAGCTTTGAGCCCTGCACCCGACACGCCCACCCGACACGAGCGCTGCGCCAACCCGAGTCGAGCGAGCCACCTCTCGCCCGCCAACCTCGCCGTCAAACCCTGCCCCCGACCTCGACTCGCCCTCGCACCTCGCCAGCCGGCCCCTGGTGGGCCTACGAACCTTTGTTGCGGCAGGAGGAGCAGGTCGGAGGCAGAACCAGGCCCGCAGAGCGAGGGGAACGGCGGGCCGAGGGCGACTTGCTCCCACCTCCCTTGCGACCACACCACCAGCAACTCGTCCCCGCCAACCTCGCACCCGCAAAGCAGACTAGCTGACTCGCTTTCTCCCCCTTCCCCTCCCCTCTCACCTCCGCCACTCTCGCATCCGCCCCGCTCAGCCATGTCTGCCGACACTACCTTCAAGCGTTTTGTCGAGGTTGGCCGTGTCGTCCTCGTCAACGACGGTCCCGACGCTGGCAAGCTCGCGACCATCGTCGAGATCATCGACCACAACCGCGTGCGTCCCCTGCCCTCCCCCCTTGGCCCTGTCACACTCGAGAGCGCGCACTGACCGAGTCGTCCTCTCCCCCGTCCACCCACCCTCGTCCGCCAACCTCGACCTCGCCCTCGCACCCGACCCTGCACCTTCCCCTGTCGCCGCTATTACCTGCCCGACCTCGTCCTGCACACCTCGCGCTGCCTGCTGCGCCCCCTCGTGAACGACCGACCGACCAACCGCCCCACCTCGCCCCGTCCACCTCGCGTCCTCCTCGCACAGGCGCTCATCGAGGGCCCGTCGACCGGCGTCACCCGCCAGTCGTTCACCTACCGCCGCCTCGTCCTGACGCCCTACGTCCTGAAGAAGCTCCCCCGTGCGGCGGGCACGACCGTCGTCAAGAAGGTCTGGGACGCGTCCGACGTCGAGGCCAAGTGGAACAAGAGCGCGTGGGCCCAGAAGCGCGCCGCGCAGCAGAAGAGGCGCAACACGTCCGACTTTGAGCGCTTCGAGGTCATGCTCCTCAAGAAGCAGCGCAGGCGCCTCGTCCAGGTGCGTCCCCCGCTCTCGTACTGCGCAATCGGTCGCACTTCTGTGCGGCCGGCAGGCTCTGTCTGAAGGAGCCTAGGCACTGACACACCTCGTACCGCACAGGCCGCCGCTGCCAAGGCCAAGAAGTCGGCATAAAGTCGCCCGCACTCGCCGACCCTGCGCACCCGAGCCTATGCTCGCTCCCCTTCCCTCCCCTTCCTCCCCGCCCCATCCTCGTCTCGTCGCGGCAGTTAGTGAGCTGGAGTCGTCGCCGCTGTGGGGCACCCGAGGTGGAACGAGGACGAGGGGGCGGCAGCGTGGGCTTGGACTGCCGGAGGGTTGGCTCGTGTTGGTTGCTGGAGCTGGAATGACGGCGTTCACCGAACGAGCGAGTCTGCGTCGTCGGCGCGAGAGTCGTGTCGAGCCGTGTCTCGGCTGCTGTGCGCAATGCAGGCGCGAGAGCGAGAGACGAGCGAGTGAGCCGGAAGAAGGGCGCGAGCGCTTCCTCGACGGCGCCCTCTCGTCGGGCGTGCGAGCCGCCACCTCTCGACAGCTTTCGTGAGCGACTCGAGAAGCTGCTGCACGCGGTCGCAGGGCTCGAAAGCGCGATTCGGAGGAAGCGGCTTCTCCGCTGTGTAGCGAGGTGCCGAGGGGAGGCGCGCCCGGCTTGGACTCTTCTCCTCGTCCACCTCGCGTCGTACTGCAGCAGCGCGCGCCAGAGCCTCGCACCAGGCAGTAGCAGCACCGCCCCGAGCCCAAGCCGCAGCCCGCCCCGCGCCCTCGCCTCGTCCTCCTCCTCATCGCCCGCTCGCTCCTTCGACCACTTCGTCAACGACGACCAATGGACCCGATCCACAACATTCCGCGCCATGCGTTCCCCGTCCTGAGCGAGCCCTTCCTCGTCGACGAGACGTACGACTTTGTCAAGGAGCTCGGCCAGGGTGAGCTCGCCTCTCTCTCGAGGTGGTGACGACCGAGGCCGCGAGGAGTGTGCGCTCACCTCTAGGCCCGCCTGTGCCGGTGTGCTCTCCCTACAGGAGCCTATGGCGTCGTGTGCTCGGCCCGCAACAAGGTCAGCGGCGACCAGGTCGCCATCAAGAAGGTCCGTCCCTCGTCCTCCCCCACTCGCTCCCTCCCTCGTCCCACGCTCCCTCCCCGAACCCAGGATTGCGCTCACCCTGCCCGCCATTGCCCTCGACAGGTCACCAAGGTGTTCCAGAAGAAGATTCTCACCAAGCGCGCCCTGCGCGAGCTCAAGTGCGTCCCTCTCTCGGCCGTGCACCGCCCCCCCCTCGTCCCGAGTCGCGCTCACCTCTCTCCCTCACGGCGCAGGCTCCTGCACCACTTCCGCGGTCACAAGAACGTGCGTCGCGCCCTCTTCGTCTGTGGCACAGCGTCGCTCGGCGCTGCTCTTGCAGCAGAAGCGAGGCTGACTCCTCCTCCCCCCTTCCAGATCACCTGCCTGTACGACCTCGACCTCGTCGACCCGGTCAACTTCGACTCGGTGTACTTGTACGAGGAGTGCATGGAAGCCGACCTGCACGCCATCGTGCGTCCCCCTTTCACTCTCTCGGTCTCGACGACCACGAGAGCTGACCCGCCCCTTGTCGCGCCGCAGATCCGCTCGGGCCAGCCGCTGTCCGACGCACACTTCCAGAGCTTCATCTACCAGACCCTCTGCGGCTTGAAGGTGCGCCCAGCTCTCGTTCCCCGATCCTGCGACCGGGGCACTGACCTCGAGGGCTCCGACCGCAGTACATCCACTCGGCGCACGTCCTCCACCGCGACCTCAAGCCGGGCAACCTCCTCGTGCGCCCTCGTCCTTCTCCTCTGTGCTCGAGCGCGCAGCACCCTGACGCCTCCCTCTCTCGCCGGCGTGTGCGCCCTCAGGTCAACGCCGACTGCGAGCTCAAGATCTGCGACTTTGGCCTCGCGCGAGGGTTCGACCAGGCGGCGACCGACGGCCAGAACAACCAGCAGGGCTTCATGACCGAGTACGTCGCTACGAGGTGGTACCGCGCGCCCGAGATCATGCTCAGCTTTGCCAACTACACGACGGCGAGTGAGTCGGCCCTGTCTCTCTCTCCCTCCCTCGGCGGTCTCGTCATTGGCTTGCGCGCTCGCACGAAACGCCGTGTCGGCATGTAGCCTGTCCTGGCTGCCGAGGACGCGAGATTGACCCGGCGACTCTCCCTCGCAGTCGACATCTGGTCGGTCGGGTGCGTCCTCGCCGAGCTCCTCGGCGGTCGCCCGATCTTCAAGGGCAAGGACTACATCGACCAGCTCAACATCGTCCTGCACTTCCTCGGCACGCCGAGCGACGCGACGCTGCGACGGGTCGGCTCGCCTCGGGTGCGTCCGGCCTTCCCTTTCTCCCACTGTTTCAAGAACCCTCGAAACTGACCCGTCTTGCGGACCCTGCAGGCGCAAGACTACATCCGCTCTCTCCCCTACAAGCCGGGCGTTCCTTTTGTGTCGCTGTTCCCGCAGGCCAACCCGCTCGCGCTCGACCTCGTCGCCAAGCTGCTCGCGTTCGACCCGCACGAGCGCATCTCGTGCGAGGACGCGCTCCTGCACCCGTACCTCTCGGTGTGGCACGAGCCCGCCGACGAGCCGACGTGCCCGACCCGGTTCGACTTTGGGTTCGAGAGCGAGGACACGATCGAGGGCATGAGGGCCCTCATCGTCCAGGAGGTCGAGGAGTTTCGCCGCATGGTCCGTCCCTCTCGTCTCTCTTTCTCGTCGCGGACTGTCGCTCTCTTCTTCCTGTCCTCGAGACGACTCAGCCTCGTCCCGCACGCCCTGGCAGGTCCGCCCGCAGATGCGTCCGGCGCCGCCTCCCCCTCGGCGGCAAGACTCTCTCCCGGCGCCGCCGCCGATCCCGGCGCGCGACGCGCTCGGCGCCCACGCGCACGAGGGCTACGGCGCGGCGTACGGCCGCGTGCCGCAGCATGCGGGCGAGGAGGGCCCCGTCGAGGAGGTGCCTGGCATGGAGCTCGACCGCGAGCTCGAGGGGCAGTACCACGGCAAGGCGAGGTGAGCGGGACGGGACGAGCTCTCGAGACGGCGATGACGAGGGCTCTCGAGGCGGCGTGTGTACAGCGCAATCGGTGCAACGGACGTTCTTCTCTATCGCCTCGTCCGTCTCGTTCGCCGAGAAGGAGGACTTGCTCGCTCGCTCTCTCTCTCGCTCGTCCTCGCTCCTCTGCGTCGTGCCGAACTCGACAGCTGCTCGTGTCTGCTTTACAATACGCTCGAAACCCGCCTCTCGACCAAGCTCTGCAGGACCGCGCCGGCCTCTTTGCCTGCGACGACGATCAGAGGGGTCCGAGCGTGAGCTCTTTCTCCTTTGCGCCGCTCGCCCGGAAAGATAGAGAGAGAGGACGCACCGAGGCCCCATCGTTGCTCGCACAAGAGCGTCGCCATCGCCTGCAGGAAAGGCGGGACGTCGTCGGTTCGCCACGAGGCGGGAAAGTCGGCGAGGAGAGGGAAGGGAAGCTGCGCGCCGCGACGGTTCGCCCTCAGCTTGATTCCCAGAGAGGATTGAGGCTCGAGAGAGAGAGAAAAGCGGACGAACGAAGGACAGGGAAGGAGCGAAAGCTGGCGGCTCGCGAAGACGCCGCAGGGAGGTGAAGGTCCAGATTGTGAGCTGCGCCGGCGAGAGCTCGATGAGCTCGACGCTCAATCGACTGCGAGTGTATGAAAGAGAAAGAGGGGCGCACCGTAGCGAGATAGAACGACCAGGGCGCCCACGCTCCTTTTGCGAAGGTCCAGCCCTGCTCGAGGTCGGTCACCTGTGGAGCGAGTGCGTCAGGCGACGGCTCTCTTCGACCGCCCGAGAGATTAGAAAGACGCACAGTCAAACGTCGGCGCAGGTAGGTCGCAGCGAGACCTGCGGCCTCGACGGCGTCCTCGCTCGAGACCCACTTGCGGATCGAGCGGCTCGCGAGCGCAAAGTCGTCCGGTCCGACATTCCTCGAGCCGATGCGCATGACGCCGGCGAACGTGAGCATCGAGGTACTGCGTGCGAGGGGCCAAGGAGGTGCGTCAGGACGAAATGCCGACAGAGAAGGCGAGACCTCGACTCGAGAAGGTCAAAGCGCACAGGTCGGCGACGAGGTCAAGCTTGGCGACAAACAGGAGGTCGAGCGACGAGAGGCTCATCGTGCGCTCCGACGACGTGAGCGCCTCGCTGTCGAGCGCGTCGTCGACCTCGCGCTCGAGCCGGCCGTACGCGCTCTGCAGCGACCCGCGCCAGTTGAGCGTCTTGTGCAGCGGCGCGAGCGCGTCGGCGCGTAGCGTGCCGCGCCACTTGACGTCCCAGGCGAGCGACATGACGCCATGGAGGACCGTAGAGAGCGCGAACGGGTTCAGGTGCTCGTGACTCGGCGGCGGCGAGCTGCTCGAGGACGACGACGGCGCAGCGAGGACGTCCTTGAAGACCTGGCAGAACGGCGCGGACGACGGCGACCGCTGCTTCTGCCATGCTTCTGCCGACGGGGCGGTCCACAGGGCGTCACTCGCCGGCGTGCGAAGGCGAATGATGAGCATCGAGAGGGCGCGAACGGGAAGGTGGCCAAAGATGGACGAGAGCTGGATCTGCGAGGGCGCTCGACTGGGTCAGTCACCCTCTCGCGACGTCGAAAGAGATACAGAGAGAAAACTGGCGACGCACATCTCGCAGCATGATGGCGTAGCAGAGTCGAGACCATGACTCGCTCGCGACCCACGCTCGCCACCGCTCCTCGTCGTTGCCGAGGGTCGTCTCGAAGCGCTTGTACCATCGCGGGTACCAGATGTCCATGCTGCGGCTGACGCCAAAGTCGTGAGCCGCCGCAGAGTACGACAGGGCGTGCTCGCGGCTGTCGAAGAGCATCTGGCCGGCTTGGCCGAGGATGACGAGCGCCTGGAACGTCTCGAGCGGCACCTCCGGGCCCGAGACCTCGTGCTGTAGAGTCTCTTTGACGAGTAAGTCCTCGGCGAGAAGAGAGAGGAGAGGCGACAGGGACGCACGAGCAGAAGAAGCGGCCGCATCTTGCCGAAAATGCTCGCGCCCAGGTCGTACGCGGCCTTGTCGACGGACACACACATGCCGACGACGACGAGTGTAGTAATGAGGCCTGCCGACGCGTACGGGTCGAATGTCGGTCCATGCAAGACGGGAAAAGTCGGAGCACAGCTCGCCCAGTACTGCTCGAGAAAGGTCGAGAGGGCGTCGCAGGCAAAGTATGTGGACGTGGCGAGCTCAGGAAGGGCCTGTGGGACGAGGACTGTCAGGGTCGGACATGGGAGAAGGGGAGAGAGAGGGAAACGCACAAAGAGGAAGGCGAGGAGGCGCGAGCGCAAGACCTCGTCGATGGCGTAACCGCGGGTCGGCGACGGAGCGACTGAAGGCGGCGGCTCTGGAAGGACGTAGTCGACCCGACAGGTGGGTCCGGAGCTCTCGACAGGTAAGTTACCGTCGAAAACGGCGTCGTCGAGCCCTTCGACTGGCGGCGCGAAGCCAGACGAGCCGCTCACGAGCCAGGCGTACAGCGCATCGAGGTCGTCGACCGCGAGGTCTTGCGCGTCGACATGTTTGACGGCGCTGGCGGTACAGGAAGGCGGCTCGACATCGTCGCGGACGAGGCCGGTCGCAGAAAGACCCGGATCAACGAGGGGAGCTGTCGGTCGACTCGACGTGGCTGCGTCCTGCTCGTGCTTGCGGACATGCGCAGCGAGTACGTCTGTGTTCGATCGGGATCCGTCAGGGCTGCTCGAGCGAAGCACGGCGCGAGAGAGAAGGGAAAAGGCGACCTGAGCGCACCTGGTCGCGCGAAGCCACGGCCGCAATCGGGGCAGTGCCGAGCTCGGCCAGGATCGTGGTTTGCTGTGTGTCGCCTCAGATGGTCTGCGATGTACGCTTGGAGGTCAGGGAAAGGCTGCAGTGACAGCCGCGGCGAAGCGAGGACGCACCTTGACGCGTGAACGACTTGCCGCAGCCAGGCTGAGGGCAGTAGTGGCGGGTCTCGGGGCAAGCAGCGAGCCTCGCACGGCCCATTAGAGGTCGAAGCTGAGCCGCTCGAGGCAGAGAGAGAGCTCGAGCGAGAGGAGCGAGTGCGACTTGGAGCGATAGTCGGCTGCGGCTACCGAGCCGCGCTATCGGCCAATCGGGGCTTCGGCCGCCGCCGCCTCGCAAGACAAGAATCCAGGCCCGTCCGGCATGCGGTCAAGCCGACCCTCGAATTCGCGGGGCAAGCAGCCTCGCTTGTTCGCTCCTCTCCTCGCCCTCACTCGCCGTTCAACACCTCGCTCTCGGCACGCCATGATCAACTTGACCGATGTGCGTCCTCGCCTCCCCTCTCAGTGCCACCGCCCGTGCGCACGAGCTGACCCTGTCCCTCCTGTCGCAGGCTTCCGTCACCACCCCGGCCTTCGTCAAGGACCCGTCGCCTGCGCCCGGCTCTGCGCCAAGCCGCGTGTTCGACGTCGACGTCTCGTCGACCTGGTGTGTGGGCAGCGTCGCGCACGGCGGCTACCTCCTGTGCATCCTCACCGACGCCGTCATCCGGCACCAAGGCCTCGTCGGCTCGGCGCACCACGACCCGGCCCACCTCACGAGCCAGTTCTTCTCGGCGACCGTGCCCGGAAAGGCCCAAGTCGAGATCCAGGTCGTCAGCACGACCAAGCGCTGGACCCGCCTCGACGTCGACCTGTTCCAGTGGTCGCCCGACGCCAACACGTCGACCTACGTCTCGCCCTCGAACCAGCGCATCCTCCGCATCCGCTCCCACTACCTCGTCACGACCCTCCCCGAGCACCCAGAAGCCGGCGACCTCAACTACCTGTCGCGGCCGTGCCCCCTCCTCGAGCACCCGGGCGGGATCCAGATGAGCGACGGCGGCGACGAGGTGCCGGCCAAGCTGCGCTTCCACAAGGGCCTGCGGTGGAAGATCGTCGACAAGGTCGAGCCGAACGACGGCAGCTTGGCGTGGGGCTGCTGGATCGAGATGAAGGGCGGCGAGGAGGTCGACAAGCTCGCGAGTGCGTCCCTCTCTCTCTCTCTCGTCTCTTCCTGTACCGCATCGCGCGCCGGAAGCTGAACTGCCTCCTTCTACAGCGCTCGTGCCCTTCTTTGCCGACGTCGCCAAGAACGGGCCCGAGATGTTGCCCGACGGCCTGCGCCCTGGACCCTCGTGAGCCCGCACGGTCCGCCTCCCCTTTCCGCCGAGCCCGAGCTGACCCAAGCTCTCCCCCTGCGCAGCTGGTACCCGACCATGTCGCTCTCGCTCGACTTCAAGTCCAAGTTCCCGCTGTCGCCCTCGTCGCGCGCCCAGTACGGCACGCGCACTTTCGGCCTGTACTCGACGACCAAAACGATCCACGACGGCCGGCACGACCTCACGGTTGAGGTGTGGGCAGGGCCCGCCGACTTGGGTGCGAGGACGCCCGAGGCGCGAGAGGGAGAGCTCGACGAGGACCGGGTCGCGAGGTGGAGGCGCGAGGGGGCGAGGCTCGTCGGCGTCAGCACCCAGGTGCGTCCTCTCTCTCTCTCTTTCGTTCTCAGGTCGACTCTCTGCGAGACTCCCTGGGCCGAGCACTCACGACGAGCACGTTACTCACATCCTCGCACCTCTTGCAGATGGCGCTCGCCGTCCCCCTCGAGGTCAACAGCGCTCGAGGGCGCAAGGCCGGCAGCGACTCGGCGGCCGGCAACGCCAATATCATGCCTCCCGACGACGACAAGAAGGCGCGCTTGTAGAGCCTGCTCTCGAGATTCTCTAGAAGAAAAGACAACGCGTTCGTGCCGGCTCGAGGTCCGAGAGAGAGAGAACGAGCCACTCGCTGCATTGCAATAGTGCGAGGGAGAGAGGCAGACGAGAGGGTATGTACGACAGGGTATAGAGGGCTGCGGCGCTCACTGCGGCGGATCCTGGACGACGACCTGACGAGGAAGCGAGAGCGAGTCAGCACGACGATCCGGCTCGAGGGCGAGAGGGGAGGGAGCGGCGAGCGCACAAGGATGTACTGGTCGTCTGTTGCGTGTTGGAGAGTGCGAAGGTCAGCTCAAGGGCGGTCGGGGCTCGAGGGAGAGAGAGAGGTGGAGCGCACCGGGCGTGATGATGAGTTCGTGCCGCTTGGTGCGGATGCGCAGGAACCGCACGTCGTCCTGTCGCGGAACAACTTTTGAGTCAGCTCTGCGTGGAGCTCGTGACGCTCGAGAGGAGAGAGGGGACGCACCGACTGGTCCTCGTCGACGTCCTTGACCTCGGCCGCAACCGCCTCGACGATGCTCACGGCCGACTTGGCGTACCGCCGCGCGAGTTCGCTCGTAGTGGGCACGACCGGGTCGTCCTCGACAGGCGTGTCGTCCGTGGCGGTAGCTGCAGGTGCGGGTTGGAGCGCGAAGAGGGAGCCGGTTGATCGAAGGATGATGCCGGTGGTGCGAGCGAGGATGAGGACGCCTTGGACGTCTGCGTGTGCGTGGGCGGTCAGCTTGCTAGATGCAGTGGGAGTGGGCTGCAGTCCTGCTCACTCTTGTACGATGCGAGACGAGCGAGGGTGGCCTCGACCTCGGGAGGAGAGGTTGGTGGGGGAGCAGCCTGCGGACACGGCAAAGGAGGTCAGGCGAGACGGCTCTGCCGAGCAGAGAGAGTGAGCTCGTGCTCACCATGCTTGCAGTCGGCCAGCTGAGTGTGCGAGAGGGCGAGGTCGAGGTGGGAGCGTGGCGGACGTCGCTCTCCTCCTGCGACGTCGAGTGCAGCGGGCAGCAGCAGCGGTGGATGCACAGCCTTGACCTGCTCTCGGTGGTTGCGCACAGAGAGGCAGCGCCCTGCGCGCGCGCTCTGACGCTCCAGCCCTCGTCCGCTCAGCCCCTCCTCCCACTGCCTCGACGCCGCCCGAGCGTCTCGCTCACGGGAGAGCGCACTCGGGGGCGGAAGCACGCGATCCATCGACGACAGCTAATGCCGAGCCCGACAGAGCAGAGATCATGGCTCGGCTCCGACCTGGAAACCTCGGCCGTCTCGTACGCCGCGAGCTCACGTGCACGAAAGCCGAGAGCGCCTTTCGCCTGGGCTCAACTTCGGAGCTCTCGCTGGCTCGAGCCGAACGTCGAACGTCCCGCGCCCAAGCAAACCGAGGTCGATCTGGCGTGGAACTTGCCCTACGGCGACCTCGAAGCCGCACGTGAAGACGACCGCTTCTGCGCTCTTTCGCTTCCTTCTCTCCCCCTCCTGCTACCCGTTGCCGCCCATGCCGCTCTCTGCTTTGAGCTGGGCCGTCCCGCAAAGTACCGCCGCGACGACAGCGGTTCCCGCCGAACTCAGCGAGCAGTGTCTCCTCGCCCCTCTTCCTCCCGCTCGGGACGCTCGGCGGAGCGAGGTGCGTCCCTCCTCCTTCCTCCTTCCTACCTCTCCCTCGCGAGCTCACCTTTCGCGTACACCCACCCCCTGCGTGCGCAACAGCAGCTCGACATGGGCCACCGCCGCGCCGCCTCGCCGCCGCGGGCTCGTCACCGAACCCAAGCCGAGGTCGACGCCGCCGTCTGCCGCCTCATGCTGCCCGTCCTGCCCTACATGGGCCCCGGCACCTCGACCCTCGAGGACGCAGCCGAGGCGAACGCCGCCGCCCTCGTCGACGCCCTCCCCGCCGAGCCGGTCGCGCCGCCTCCCTCGTCCTCTTCGACTCGCCGCCGCCTCGACGAGCCGAGTGCCGCCTCCTGGACGCTCACCTCGTCCACCCTCGACACGCCGACCGACCCTCCCCCTGCGTACGACGACCTGTACGGCCGTCCCGCCCCACCTCCCCGCCGCCGCTCCCTCTCCTTCTTCCCCTCGACCCACCCCCTGTCGCCCTCCTCTTCTTCGCCCGCCAGCACGCCCTTCTCCTCGACGTCGACATCGCCCACCGATAGCGAGTTCAGCTGGACGCGGCGCCCGTCGGCGCAGCTCGAGCGTCTCGACTCGGGCTACGGCTCGCTCGCGTCGACGCGGTCGCGCGAGCGCAGGGGCAGCTGCGCGAGCGTGCCCGAGGGCGGGAGCCACGACGAGGGCGGGATAGCGGGCGAGCGCAAGAAGCTGGGCGTGCTCAAGAAGGTCGGCAGGGCCCTGAGTCGCGAGCGTGCGTCCACTTCCTCTCTCTCTCTTTCCTTTCCTCTCCTCGTCGCGCATCCACGACTGACTGGTCGACTCTCCCTCTCTCGCAGTACAACGCCCATGGTCGCACGTCAACGAGAACGCGCTCGGGCACGCCTCGCTCTTTGGTTGAGCGGCGAGGCGGGCGACGGCTTGGGGGAACGACCTGACGACGGCATGAACGACGCGTTGCGCACGATACCACCTGATTTGCAATTCCACATCGTCTCTACACACGCACGGCGAGCAGGAGGGGCTGGCGACAGGTCGAGAGGGGGTGCGGGGCGCTCTGGTCGAAAGGAAGGAGGGAGTGAGGGCGAGGGCGCGGGCCTGCAGAGGTCACAGGGTCAGCGCAGGACTGTGAGAGAGACTGAGAAGGCTTGTGCGCACAGATTGGAGCCGTCTCGCCTGTTGGTGAGGCTGGAAGCGTTTCATCTGCTCGTTCCAAGGAGGAGGAGGTGGAGGAGGAGGGGGGACGAGGTTGGGCGGATGGCGCGAGTCGGCAGGGCCGCTGTATAATTGCTGCGGGTAACTGAGCAAGCGCCTGGCGCAGCTCGTGCGACGAGACGAGCGTGAGAGGATCCGACCTGTGCTCGTCAACGACGCAGCCCTCTTGCTCCTCCTGAACACACCGGCTAGCCTTGCTGTGGCCGACGGGAGGTAGCACCTGCTGTTTCCTGAGCCTCACCGACACCGACCTGGCCCGTCACGAGCGCCCGCCGCCGTGGAGCACCTCCTCGCCTCGGACTCGCTCAACAGAGTCGCGCCCTCGACGAGCACCGCTCAGGTCGAGCACGATTGCGGTGCGCAGCCTCTCTCCCACTACTCCCACCGAGAGGCGCACTGACTCTTGCTCCACACAGCGACATGGCCATCACCCTCTCCTCGTCCTCGGACGACGACCTCGTCGCCGCGCGACTGCGCCCGACCTCGACCATGATCCTGTCCGACTCGTCCGACGACGACGTGAATGTCTTGGCGCTCCCGACTCGAGCGCACGAGCAGGTCATGCCGCCGCCGAGCACCGCCGCACCCCGGCTCGTCGACTCGGCCGCCGCTCCACGGCCATTCGCTCCACCGCCGCACGCCGGCGGAGCTGCGCGCAAGAGCAGCCTCGGCCGAGCTCGTCTGCAGCCTCGTCGCACCCTCGTCACGAAGCACGGCGCGCCGCAGCCGTCGCAGCGCCCGTCGACCTTGCGCACCGTCGTCAAGCCCGAGCCGGACGACGACGACGAGGCGCTCGCTGCGGTCCGAGCGTTGCGTTCCGAGGGCTCCATCGCAAACGCACTCGATCCTCGTCTCGAAGCCATGTGCGTCCCCTGTCTCCTCTCCCTTGTCGCTCGTCGCCGGGTCCTGACCTCAGCCTTCTTCACCAGTCCCTACCCGTTCGACGTCTCGATCCGCCTCGAAGAGATCCGCCTCGCGCTCAAGAAGGAGCCAACTCGGCCTGTCGTCAAGCTCGACGTCGCGTTTCGCCACGTCGACCAGTCGTCGAGCAGCGCCACGTCCGCCGCATCGACCTCTTTCCCCCTCCCTGTCCCGCCGCACTTTGCTGCTGGCTCGCTCGTCGCTTTTGCCCTCCCCGACCGCCTCTCCACGCATTCCTTCCACGTCCCGGGCAACCCGTCCATCCCGCTCGACGCGCCAGACCCGCCCTCCTCGTCGTCGGCGTCCTCTCGCCGACTACCACGCCCCGACGTCCGCGACGTCCTCATCCGCGTCTCGATCGTCGACTCGGCCCTCGATCTCGCCCCGGAGAAGCTCTACGACAGCGCGACCGCCATGACCGAGGGCTCGCGGCTGTCGCTGAGCGGCGAGCGAGCGCTGCGTCGGTCGGCGGCAGGGTCGCAGGTCGCCGTCAGCTGGAGGGTCGAGCTCGAGAACGACGGCAGCAGGCCTGGACCGGCGACGGACGAGGTCCTCGAGAAGTGGCTCGAGCAGGAGATGAGGCGGTGCGAGACGGAGTGGAGGAATGAGGTGGCCGAGCGGGCTTTGGTGCGTCGCGCTCGCTCTCACCTTCTCTCTCAAGGCGTGCCTGATCTCTCTCTCCTTTGCAGCGACAAGTCGAGATCGAGGCGCACCCGCACCCGGCCTACGGCCCTCCTCGGCATCTCGTGCTCGACCCGACCGCACCCTCTCCTGCCGGCCTCATCCCGGGCCTCGCCGCCGACGTCCCACCCCTTGCCCAACCTGTCGCCTTTGCGCCCATCCCTCGGTACCACTACACGGGCTTCGCGAGTCGCGGCGTCCCGCTCGTCGGAAGCCTCCTCGAGTCGTTCCCGCAGACCAAGCACTGGGAGGACCCGAGCGCGGCCAATGCGCACGTCGCGGAGCGTGTCCTCCAGGCGTTCGACCCGGGATCGGACGATGAGGACGAGCGAGGGAAGGACCCGGACAAGGCCGAGCGGGAGCGAGCCGTCGAGAGCGAGTGGAGGACCAAGAACCTCGTCGAGTACGGGTCTTTCGACGCGCCAGATCCAGGTCGTGCGTTCTCCTTTCGCTCCTTCCCGGCATTCGTCTCACACACTGGCTCACCTCCCACCTGCAGGTACGACTCGCGACTTTGCCGTCCTCAAGCGCCTCTTGTCGCACCTCAAGGTCGACCTCGTCGAGCTCGCCCAGCTCGAGCGCGAGGCCAAAGCGCAGGATGACCTCGAGAACCGCGTCGAGCTCGACCACTTTGCGTTCGAGCGCTCGTTCGACGAGGGCCACGTGTTGCGCCGGGCGCTCAAGCTGTTCGAGGAGCGCACGGGACGGTCGGCCTTCCAGGTGCAGCAGGAGTGCGTCCTCCTTCTCCCCCCCTCCTCGAACCAGGCATGAGCCGACTCTCTCGCCGTGCAGGTACCGCCTTATTGACGACGAGCAGATCATCACGGCCGACGAGAGCGCCGACTGCTGCTGGTTGTGCGGTGCCTACCTCTGCTCGGTTCACGCAGGCAGTGCGTCCTCCTCCTTCCCTTTCACTCCCTCTTCTCTCGCGCGTATCCTGACTCGAACTACCGCCACAGTGCTCTGCTCGTACAACGAGCCGACCAAGGCCCCGTTCGACCCGACCGAGCACGAGCGAGATGGCTGTCCCGACTGCGGCTCCTCGACGTGCCTGTACGACGCTCAGCAAGTGCGTCTCTCTCTCTCTCCTCGTCGTACAGCCGAGCGTGTCACTCATCCGTTCGGCCTGTGCAGGTCCGCAACGAGGCTGTCGGCGCCTCGGTCGACGCTGTCCAAGATGCGCTCAAGAAGGTGCTCCTCGACGAGGACATGCCGCCGCTCGATCCCTGCACCGCCAGCCTCCTTCTTCAGCGCTCCCTCGACACAGTGCGTCCCTCTCTCCCTCGTCCGGGACTATGGAGCCGAGACCGACGTCCTCGTCCGCAGGATCAGCCGTCGTCCGAGGCCAGGTCCCGTCGCTCGCGCGCCAAGAACAACGAGAGCAACAAGTGGCGCAAGCTCGAGCTCCCGCCAAACCAGTCGAGCGGCTACTCGCCGTGCGACTGTGTCGACCGCTGTTCGGCCGACTGCCTGTGCGTCGAGGCCAAGACGTACTGCGACCGGTGGTGCGCCTGTCCGCCAAGCTGTGCGTGCCTCTCTCTGTCTCCCTCTCCTCCTCCTCTATGTCGCGATACTGACTCGCAAACGGTCGAGCAGGTTCTCGCCGCTTTCGCGGCTGCGTCGACCACGATTGCGCCGTGTCGAGCAAGTGCTGGTGCCTCGACCGGTCCCGCCAGTGCGACCCGCAGATCTGCGGCTGCAACGCCGGTGCGTCCCTCGCTCTCACTTCTCTCGAACCCTGAACTGGCGCCTGTACCCTGCAGCGACGTGCTCGAACAGCGCCATCCGCCTCGGTCGACGAAAGGCGACCGCCGTCGTCCGCTCGCAAATTCCTGGAGGTGGCTTTGGGTCCGTCCCCTCTCTTTCGCTCGCCTCGACGAGACACTCCTACTGACCGTCCTCGACGTGTGCGCAGCGCCATCCTGCTCGAGCCGGCCACGAAGGACGAGTCCGTCGACCTTTACGGCGGCGAGCTGCACCCGCAAGGCCTCACCGACTCGCCGACGATGGAGAGCAAGTGGGGTCATTGGCGAGCGTGCGTCGACTCTTTCCTCTCCCCCTCTCGACCTCTCGGACGAGCTCATCGTCGTTCTCGTCGTGCGCAGGACCTTTGCCGACGGCGTCGAGCATGTGCGTCACCCGCCTTCCCTCTCCTGTCCGAACCCGTAGCGGCACTGACGCTCGCTCTACCCGCCTACGCAGTCGTACTGGTTCGACGTCGACGGCGGCGACGCGATCGACAGCCTGCTGCTCGGCAACGTGATCCGGTGCGTCAACCACGACCGCGAGCGCGCCAACGTCGTCCCGAGAAGTGCGTCCGCCTTTTTCTCACCCTCTCTCTCTCTCTCGTCGACTGACTCGCTCGTACCCTTCCGCAGTCGTCAACGTCGCAGGGACCCACCAGATCGCTCTCTGTGAGTCCTCAACTCCTTCCCTCGTATCGCCTCGTCGCCTGTGCCTGACCTCGAGCACCTCCTCGATCCGCCCGCAGACACTCTGCGCGACCTCGAGGCGGGCGACGAGCTGCTGCTCGACTACGGCGAGGCGTACCTCGAGCCGTGGATGGAGCGAGGCGGCGGGTCATAGATTGACGAGGTGCAAGCGCATGCTTTTGTCCCCTGCGCTCGAGCCTCTCTCTTCCGGTCGGCCACCCTGTATGTACGAGAGAGAGCTTCGGCGACGAGTGCAAGTAGCTCTCGAGCCTCTCGGCCGCATCGCTATTTCTGCACGTGCGGCGTAGCTCCGACTTGTCCGCGTCATGAGCCAAATTGGAAACGAGCCGGCAAACGACTGCCTCTCTCCTCCACCGCTGTCGCACGCTGCGCCATGCACGTCTCGCTCGACGTAGTGCACGCTCAAGCACATCCCCGACGCCGCGCGTACCGCACCGAGGCCGAGAGGAAGCGCGCCGAGGCGGAGCGGCGCGAGCTGGTGTTGAGGCGAGGGACGAGCCTGCTGGCTCAGCTGCTGTGTCCGCTTGCGCCGCTGTTCAGCTTGCCAGGTCTGACGGAGCACTGGTGCGTCCCACTCTCTCCTTGTCCTGGCGAGAGGCGGACTCGCTGACCTCCTCCTCCTCGATCCTCCGCAGGTACGTCGTGCGCGGCGCCGACAGCCAGATCGTCCGGTCTCGGCCAGATCCTCCCCTCATCATTGCCGCCGGGGCCGTCACGTTCGCCCTCGCCGTCCTCGCCAACCTCGCCATCGTCCTGCGCCTCGTCGAGACGCATCCGGTGCGTTCTCTTGAGTCCTCCTCGCGCCGCAGCAACCGCTCTGACTCCCCTTTCTCCTGCAGCGCTTCTTCTCGGTCACTACTATCGTCTTCCTGTCGGTCCACATTGCCGTCAACGCGGTCGCGCTCACGATCTTTGGCATCGAGCACGCCAAGCCCGACGGCTACGTCCTCTCGACGGCGTTCTGGCTCACGGCGGCGAGTGGCTGCGTCGCACTAGCCGCCGTCGGCTGTCTGTTCGTCGACGGGCTCGCGACGCAGTGGTACGTCCGCGGCGGGACGGGCATTTCGGGCAAGCAGCGCTCCCTCGTCGTCGCCTTCGACGCCTTCATCTTCCTCATCCTCATCGGCTCGGTCACCTATCGGTACCTCATCCCCGACGTCACCTTCCTCGACACGGTCTACCTCTGCGTCCAGAGCCTTTTAACGGTCGGCTTCGGAGGAAAGTCGTCGGCCCCGCACGGTCCCCCCTTCTCGCCGCCTCGTCACTGACCCCCTCTCCCCCTGCAGATGTCGTGCCGAGCACAACGGGCGCTCAAGTGTTCTCGCTCTTCTTCAACACGATCGGCATCCTCACGTTCGCCCTCTTGGTCGCCTTTACGCGCGAGACGGCGCTCGAGGCGATGCAAACCGAGTGCGTCCCTCTCTCCTCTTTCTCCCGCCGCGATCAGATATTCACCCTTTCGTTCTTGCGCAGGTATCGGGCGCAAGAACAGCTTCTCCTGAACCGCCTGCGCCATCGGTGGCACGGCGAGCGCACACACCGTGCCGGGTTCATCGCGCACGCCGTCGCCTTCCTTTCCTTCGGCCTGTACCACACGCGCGAGCAGCAAGAGGAGGAACAGGAGGCGGGCGCAGATGAGCGCGATCGAGGGAGCCTGGGACAGGAGGACGGCGAGGTCATCGAGGACGAGAAGGAGGGGCTCGACGAGCAGCGGTACGAGGAGGCCATCACGGAGCTCAAGAAGGAGCGGGACCGCGAGTTCCGCTCGCAGCTCGTCGTCTCGTTCACGCTCTTCCTCGTCTTCTGGCTCGTCGGCGCCGCCGCTTTCTCGGCTCTCGAAGGCTGGTGCGTCACCTTCCTCCTCACTTCCCTTCCCTTTCTCGACCATGAGGGCTCCTGTTCGGCACGCTCACTCTCGCCTCACACAGGTCTTACTGGATCGCCTTCTACTTCGTCTTCGTCATGTCGTCGAGCATCGGGTACGGCGATTATTCGCCGTCGACGCAGGGCGGGCGAGCCTTCTTCGTCGTCTGGGCAATTCTCGGCGCGGGCACCCTCACCGTTCTCTTTTCCGGTGCGTCCTCCTTCTTCTCTGTACCTGTTCCAGTCCCCGACGCGAACTTAGTGAGCCCCTGACCGTCCGCAGTCCTCGCCGACGCCTACACCTCCCGCTTCAGTCCGTCCCTCTCCTCCTCTGCGACCGCCTCCTCCTCGCGCCCTGACTGACCATAACAACGTTCGACTTTTTACAGAGGAGACGTTCCAGCGCTCGTGGGTCAACCGCCTGTGGATTCGCCTTACGCAGCCGTCGCACGAGGTCGCCGACGAGCTCGCTCGCGAGGAGAGCCAGGCCTTTCCAAAAGCGCCAGCCACTCGTCCGTCGACGCCGACGTCTTCTGAGCGAGCAGCCAAGGGCCCGGGCAAGGAGTACCCCGAGCTGGCGCCGGCGCCGAGCTCGAGCACGGCGACCAAAGGCGGCGGCGTCGGCGCCGGCGGCGGCTCTTCGGAGCTCTCGTCGCAGGACAAGATGCTCGAGTTGTTGCGCCTCACGCGGCAGCACCTCGATCGGCTCATCCTCGCCGACGGCGACGAGAAGGACGAGCACCTCGACCGCGTCGTGCGCAAGGTCATGGGTGCGCTCGGCCCCCCTCTCTTCCTTCCCTTTCCTTTCCTTTTCTCGCCTCTCCCTGCCTGGACCTGTGACTGACTCTGACTCTCCGTCGCACGCAGACAACGAGGGCTTCTCGAGGAGAAACAGGGAGCATGTCGAGAACGACAACAGCTTCAAGGAGTTCATCTGTGCGTCCCTCCCACACACGCTCTCTCTCTCTCTGCGCTCGAGCCGTCACCTGACTCGGCTCGCACGATCCGCAGACCTGCGCAGCTTGCGCACCAAGCTGGCCGAGCTCGAGGAGCTCGCGCACGACGCGTTCGAGCCGGCGGACGAGGCGAGCGAGCGCAGAGAGGGAGAGTCGGACTTGAGAAGGTCGAGGGGGAAGGACAGCGAGAGCTTGTGATACCGAGTCGCGAGTCGATGCCATACTATGCATTCTACCAAAACCCTCGAGAGCTATCTACATCGCCCGCCCTGCGAGAGCGAAAAAGTCTCGTCGCCCGCCCAAGACGAACGACCTCGAAACCCTCCTTCTGTGGGCTCCTCACCGCTTCTAGCGTCGCCCTCACACCTCGATAATCCCGACCATCTCGACCGCCTCGCCCGTGCCGCCGCCTCGCAGGCGCGAGTAAAAGCCGCGCTGCCGCCGTCGCTCGTCGAGGCCCAAGCGGCGGTACATGCGCAGCGCGACGGCGTTGGTCGCCTCGACGTGGAGCGACAGCTTGACGGTGCGCCGTGCGGCGTCATCGTGACAAGGTGTGGGAGGCAAGAGGGCGCGACATGCGCTGCGGACGAGGTGCGCTGCGAGGCCGCGGCCGCGCGCTGCGGGGTCGACGACGAGGCTGAGGAGGTAGACGGAGGGTCGTGGAGGGTCGGCGGTGCGGGACGAGAGGGTGCAAGGGGGAGGGTAGCTGAGGTGGGCCGAGACGCAGCCGAGGAGGAGGGACGAGGGGGACGAGGACGAGTGCGAGACGAGGCAGATCGAGGTCGGCGACGTGAGGAGGACGGTGTAGAACGACGGCGGGTAGCTGACGGGGAGGCACTCGTCCTGTGAAGCGGGCGAGTCAGGTCGCTTGCTCGAATGCCCTCGAGAGAATTGAGGACGCACCTGGAGCTTGCGCACTCGCTCGACGTCGGCTCGACGCAGTTGGCGCACGACGATGCCCGCGTCCACCTCGCCGTTGGCCGCCTGCTCGTCAGGTACGGGACGTGTGACGAGCTCGACGCTCGGTCTGGGTCGGCGCGGGAGGTGCAAGGGGAGGGCGAGGGACGCCCTGAGCGCCTCGAGCGAGCAGCTCGCCGCCGCCGTCGCCGTCGACGAGTTGGCCGAAGCGGACCAGGGCGCCAGGGCCTCGCCAAGCTCGAGGGGCGACAGTGGGCTGGCGAGTGCGGTGCCGTAGCTCATGCTGAGGGGCTGCAACGGCAGGAAGGCGGGCGCAACGTCGACCATCGCACGCGACGACGACCAAGTGTGGGGGCGGGGGGGAGAGCGACGGCGGTGAGGGCGAGGGGACGCCGGTCGAGGGAGAGGCGGGACGGCGTGTACTCGAGGGCGGTTGCACTGCTCGACTCTGTGCTGAGACGAGGCGAGCGCGACTTCGAGCGATTCTCCTCGGACGAGGACGGACAACCTTCCGCTCGGCCCCGGCAACTTGGACCGCGGCTCGCTCAGATCTCACTGTGAGAGAGCGAGACCATGTCTGCGATGCAACGCGAGGATAGACCAAGGGGAAGAAGAACGTGCACTAGCTGCAGGAAAGACGAACCACCTCAAGCACCTCCTCCTCCTCGCCGTTGACGCGCGTTCCTCACCGCCTCGACACCCTGCGCTCGCCGCTCACCCGCCGGTCGAGCGCCCTCGCGCCCGACGGGATCATGCCTCTCCCGAGCTCCTCCTCGAGCTCGACGAACCCGCGCCAGCTGTCGACCTCGCGCCCCTTGCCCTTGCTCCTCGCCGACGCCGAGCCCGAGCCCGACGCCGCACTCGCACTCGCGCTCGACACGTCGTCGGTGCGCTCGCGCAGGTCGCCGCCGGCCGCACGCCGCTTGGCCGCCGACCCGGTGCGCAGGAGCTCGATGATGCGCGACTCCTCCTCTTCGCGCGACGACTCGGCCTCCTCGATGGCGTCGACGGCGGCCCACACGCGGCCCAGGCTGCTGTTGCCCTCGCTGGACGATCGACGGCGACGCCGGCTCGAGAACGACGTCGACGAGTTGGCCGACGAGCCGGCCGACGTGTCGGCCATGCTCGTCGACTCAGTGGCGGCCGCAGCGTCGGCGGCGACGGCGGCGGCATCGTCGACGGTCGCACGCGAGATCGACGCGTCCGAGCGAGGGTGCGGGAGAGGCTTGACGACGCGGCCCGCGACGGGCGGAAGAGGCTTGTGCGTCGCGCTCGCGGGCAGAGGCGGGTACGGCTTGGCCGTCGACGCGAACCTGGGCGTGACGAGCGACGCCGAGAGCTGCACCTGCTGCATCTCGGGCGACGGCGACGGCGAGGCCGACGAGTCGGCGGGGAGCGCGCGCGTCGACGAGGCGGGCGAGGGCGCCGGCGCGGGCGAGCGGCGCACGAACGAGCCGAGGTACGACATGAGGCGCTGCGCCGACGATGGCGACCTGGGCGGCTCGTTGCAGCCGCCTGCTGTGCCGGGCGTCGACTCGCGAGGCGCCGACGAGGTGCGGTCCTCGTCGTGCTGCTCGTCCTCGCCTCCCGCCGAGCTCGAGCTCGACGACGGCGAGTCCTCGCGCAGGAGGTCCTTGAGCGGGAGCTTGGGCTTCTCGGGCTGGAAGTCGTCGTACAGGTGACGCAGGGCCGGGTTGGCGAGCGCCGTTGGGACGTAGACGGGCTCGACGGACCCACGGCGCGCGCGGTCGCGCCTCGACGACGAGAAGAACGTGTCGTCGGCGAGCTCGCTGTCGTCGTTCGACGCGTCCGAGTCGGCGTCGACCGACCCTGCGCCGAGGTCGTCGTCGTCGCTCAACAGCTCCTGCTTGACGACCGGGTGCGCCTCGGGCGTCGGCTCGTGGTCGCTCTCGCCGTCCTCGCTCGCCGACGCCGACGCGTGCGCGTGCTGCTTCTCGACGCGCTCCTCGATCGGGGCGCGAGGGCCACGACGAGAGCCGACGTGCGACGTGCTCGCGAGCGACGAGGCGCGGCGCAGTTGGGCGTCCTTGGCGCGACGAGCCTTGAGCGCCTCGACGCGGATGATGAGCGTGTCCCTGCGACACGGAAGGGGCGAGAGCGAGAGTCAGAAGCTGCGCGAGAAAGACTGGGGAGGCGCGAGAGAGAGAAAGAGGCCGACGCACCAGGCCCACTCGCCGACGCACTCCTCCCTCGTCGCCCCGACCGAGCGCAAGAACGCCTCGACGACCGTCTCGGGCTCGCACTCGTCGCCGACGACCGACGCCATGGCGATCGACTCGCTGCGCATCGACCTCGCGCCCACGAGCGACGCGGCGCTCGTCGCGCGCCGTTGACGCCTCCCGAGCTCGACGAGCGCCTGCTCGAGCTTGCGCCACTCGTGCGACGTCCAGCGCGCACCGGCGCCGGCAGCGGTTGCCGTCCTCGAGGGTGCTGCGGTCGAGACCGAGGGGGAACGTGCGCCGGCTGGCGCTTGGTCGCGCAGCTCGTCCTCGGCGTCGAGGAGCAGGGTGCGGAGCTCCTCCTCGTCCTCGCTGTCGCCGTCCTCGTCGGCGGCTGCGGCGGCCGCGTCGAACGCGCTCGCGGCAGCACGTGCGGCGTCGACGGCCGTGAAGCCCTGCTCGACGTACTTGTGGTGCACCTTGAGGATCGCGGCGGCTCGAGCGGCGGCGCGAGGGTCGGTCGACGTGATCTCGATGACGGGCAAGGTCGGGTGCGACGGACGACGGTGGCGATGGTGCGACGTCGAGGTCGAGGCCGAAGAGTCGAACGAGGCGTGCGAGCGCGAGTGCGAGTGCGAGGTGAAGGTCGAGTCGGCGAGTGACGCCGGCGGGCGCGGGCGCTGCGCGTTGGTCGGCGCCGGCTGGAGCTGGAACGGCTGCTCGTCGTCGTCGTCCTGCTCCTCGGCATGAGCCCGGGGAGGCGGCTCGTCGCGCTCGACCTCGTCCGTCTCGGCCGCAGGAGCTCGCGGCGTGCTCGCCCTCGGGCCGAACAGCAGACCCTGCAGCTTGGTCCTGCCGCCGCCAACGAGCTCGCCGAGGCGCGCCTTGAGCGGGCTGCCCTGGCGGGCCGGGCTCGGCGACGCCATGCGCGCGTCGTCGTCGTCGCCGACAAGGCGGCGGCCGGGCGTCGACGCGAGCTGCTGTGCGTCGCGGCGCTCGCCGTCGTGCTCGACAGACACGGACGGCGAGGGCGAGCCGGGCGAGCGCGCCTGCGCCGCGCCAGCTGCCGACGCAACGGCCGGCGAGTTGCGCGGCGACGGCGACGACATGAGGACGTCGCCGTTGAGCGAGCGCACCGGCGACGCGAGTGGCGCACGGCTGCTGCGCATCGAGCCCGTAGACGAGGCCGGCGAGGCCATGGCCTCGTCGTCGTCTGCGGCGCGCGACGCCGACACGGCCGGCGACGTGTGGCGGTCCTTGGCGGGCGTCGGCGGGCCGACGTCGTCCTCGTCCTGCGACGACGACGGATGCGGCTGGGCCGATGCCGGGCTGGCGCTACGGCTGAGGCTGCGGCTGCGGCGGTCCTGCTCGCGCTCGAGCTCCTCGCGCGCCGACCCGACGACGTCGACCTGCACCGCCTCGTCCTCCTCGCCCTGCCCCTCTTCCTGCGCCTCCTCATGCGCCCTCGGGCCGTCCTCCCCCTCGGCCACCGGCATCGGGCTCGTGGCCGTCAAGTCCGCGTACCGGTGGTACTCCTCGTCCCCATCCTCGCCCTCGCAGCCCTCGTCCTGCCCGGGCCGCCGCGCGTACAGCGTCGCCGTGCGCGGGAGCGCCGCGTGCGCCGGGGGCGAGAAGCTCGACGAGCGGAAAAAGGCCGGGCCGCGCGTCCAGGTCGAGCGCGGGTGCGGGCTTGCGCTCGGGCCTGGGGACGCGAGGCGGGCGGGCGCGGCTGCAGGCGCGGATGCGGCGGCGGCGGCGACGAGGTGGGCGTTGGTGGCAGACGAGGAGGAGGCGGCGAGCGGGGAGGGCGAGCGCGAGTGGGCGCGCGAGTACGCCGACGCGGGCGACGGCACGACGAGGTTCGTGAGGTGGTCGAGCGTCTTGCGGGGCGAGACGAACTGGATCTGCTGCTGCTGCGGCGAGCGCGACGGGGTGCCCTCGCGCGCAATCGGCGAAAGAGCGGGCGAGGGCGAGCGGAACGCCGAGAGGAAGAGGAGGTTCGACGGCGTCGAGGTCGTCGCGGTCGTCGCCGCTCGAGCGGCCGAGGTCGACGTGCTCGGGACGGGCGTGCTGCGCCTCGGGGCGAGGAACGCGTCCTCGTCGGCCTGCTCGTCCTCGACCTTGACCTCGGCGTCGACCTCGTCGCGCCACTCGCTGCTCGCCGGCCTGCCCCTCGCCGCCTCGCCGTCCCCCTCGCCGTCGCTCCCTGCGGCCACCGACGGTGACGGCGGCGGCGAGCTGCCGAGCCGGACAGGGCACTGCGAGTCGAACTCGCCCGTCGTGTTGGGCGAAAGCGGCGGGTAGCTCGGCCGGCTCCTCGCGCCGACGATGCTCCTCCTCCTCGCGCCGCCGCTGCCGCCAAAGCCAGGCGTGGGCTCGCGCATCGGCGGCGGCGGCGAGCTGCCGAGCTCGACGGCGACCGTGCTGTCCCACTCGCCCGTGCGGTTGGGCGACAGGGGAGGGTACGACGGGCGGGTGCGGCGCACGGTCGGGATGGCGAACGAGGTCGCGCCGGCAGCGTCGTCATCGGCGTCGGTCGCGGCGCGGTCGTCGTCGGGGGACGAGTAGCCGCCGGCGGACGAGTCGGCGTCGTCGAGGTGGGCGAACCCGCCCTCGTCGTCGTCGTGCATGCCGTCCTGCTCGACCTCGACGGGACGCGCATCGTCGACGTACGGCACGTCGTCGACCTGGCCGACGTCGTCGAAGTAGACGGGCTCGTCAAACCCGCCGAGGTCGCCCTCGTCGCCCTCGTGGTCGTCCTCCTGCTCCTGCTCCCGCTCCTCTTGCGCCGGCTCGTCGTTGCCGAACACGAGCGGCTGGTACGCAGGCACGACGTCGTCGTCGTCGTCCTCCTGCGTCGCCGGCGGCGTCGGGAGCCGCGCCATCGACGCTCGGCCCGCCTCTCCCGCCCTCGCGCTCGGCGCGTACGACAGCCGGCCGTGCGCCTGCGCCTGCGCCGCCATGCCGCGCATGCGCCTGCCCTCGCCCCTGCCGCGCGTGTGCTCGGGCCCGAGGAGGAGGAGCGGGTCGAGCTCGCCGTCGGGGCCGTCGGCATCCGGGGCGGCGAGCGGCGCGGCGAGGAGCTCGCTCGGGCGCGCGCGCAGCTTGGTGCGCTTGCCCTTGGGCTTGGGCTTGGTCGTGGTCGGGGCGCTGCTGCCGGCGGGCGTCGCGGAGGTGGATGCAACGGCGGACGAGGAGGTCGAGGTTGCGGTCGGGGGAGGGTGCGGCGAGACGCTCATGCTCGAGCGGCGGCGCGCGGCGAGGATGTGCGGCGCGTGAGCAGGGCCGTCGGGGACGGTCTCGGCAGCTGGTGAGCGCGAGAGGCGGCGGGAGGAGGCGGTGGTGGTCGCGCGCGAGTTCGAGGGTTGAGTCGAGGGGGAGCGGGTACGGCGGGTGGCACGCGCGGGTGCGAGGAGCTGCTCACACAGGAGGGGGGTCAGTCGCTGCTCCCCTGCAACTCGGTCGCAGGAAGGGAGAGGGACGCACGCCCTGGTCGACCTGGTCGGTCAACATGGCCTCGCCGGACGACGCGGGCTCTTGCGAGTTGGGCGGTGTCGGCATCTGGACAGGGTGCGCGTGCTTGTGCTGGTCGTGATCGCCGCCGTCGTCGCGCTCGTCATGAAAGCCCGACCTGGGCGAGGTTGCGCGCTCGAGCGAGTCGGGGCCGTCGGGCGCAGGAGGGTCGCTCGAGGGGCCTTGAATGACGACGTGCGTGACGGGAGCGGCGGGTGCGGTGCTCTGGCGGGTGGTGCTGAGGGCCGAGTTGGCCCTGGCGCTGGTGCGGGTCGCCTTTGTGGCCGGTGCGAGCGGGATGGCCGAGACGCGGACGCCCTTGCTGGCGACGGCGGCGGCGCGGGCGGTGGCGGCGGCAGGGCGAGGTGGAGGAGCGTTCTCGTCGGCTGGGGGGCCTGGTGGTGGTGCAGTCGCAGTCGAGTGGGCGCGAGGGATGCGAGAGCGAGGAAGGGCGGCCATCCGGGCGCGTCGCGGGCGACGACGAGGAGCGTGCGGAACCGGGGCGAGGTGGCGCTGTTGACTGGACGCGTCGAGGGGGATGCAGCAATGGTCAGCTGTGCTGCACAGTGGCTCGAGAGGGAGGAGCCAGGCTCACCCAGGTCGAGGGTAAACAAGACGAGCCGGCCGAGTCGACGAGGTGCAACGAGCGGTGGGCTGGCTGGGCTGGGGCGGTGGGTCGGGTCTGTGGCGAGGTAGACGCGTCCTTGCCACGCTGTTTGAGCTGGCGAGCGAGTCGTCGAGAGCGAGCACCGTCGAGGCGTTCAAGGCGGGGAAGGAGACGCGTCTCTCGTCTCGCAACAGCTTGCAGGGTTCTGCACTGGTACACAGCGGCTCTACGAGTTCATCATGACCCCATCGAGCCGACCAGCCCAGCAGCAGAGGGGGACGACTCGTCGGTTGACTTCCCGCGAGCCGTCGTCCGCGGCTTGACCTCGTCTCTCTCGTGCCCACCCGCTTCTGCGACAGCGAGGTTGCGCCCAGTGGCTCCCTAGAGGTCGACCGATGGGCTCGCCGCCCATTCCCGACCGCGGCGTCGTCCCTCGAGGCCGCTCGCCCGCCGCCGGCTCAGCATCGAGGATCCCCGGCCGCTCACCTCCTCGACCTCACCCGGGCATCCGTCCAGCAGCCGCACCTTCAGCAGTCACCTTCACCCCGCCAAAGCGCCGCACCGGCGGCTCCATCAAGGGCAAGGAGCGTGCCCTCGGCGACGTCGACACCGACGACGACGACGACGAGCGGCCCACTGCGCGAGACGACGACTTTCCGCCCCAGGTCAAGCCCACGTACCGACACGTGCTCGGCCAGGGCAACGGCGGCGCAGCCAACCCGCTCAGGGTCGTCGCCCACGTCGAGTGAGCCCTTGCTCTCCTCCTCGCGACTGCACCGCCTCGTTCCTCAACTGACCCGCGCTCTCCCCACCTGCAGCATCGACGCAGCCTAGTGCGTCCGCAGACCCGCCTCTCTCAGAAGGACCGGACTGACCCTGGAGCCCGTCCGCAGCGCCGCCATGGAGATGGCCCGCCTCAGCATCCCGGCCGACCAGCCCATGGCCGTGCAGCAATGGAACGGCCTCGTGCGTCCCCCTTCCCCCTTCCTTCTCCTCGTGCACCTCCCCCTCGACCTCGTCCTGACGCGCACGGCCCGCACAGATCGCCGTCAACTACCCTGCGCGTGCGTACGGCATCACGCGGCACGAGGCGCCCGCCGAGGCGCTCAAGAAGTGCCCCCACATCCGCCTCGTGCACTGCCAGACGTACAAGAACGGCGAGACCGAGCCCGGGTACTGGGACGACCCCAAGCCCGAGACGCACAAGGTGCGTCGGCGCGCGCGCGCACAGTCCCCTTTCCGAGAGGGAGGACGGCGACGAGCGAGCGCTCACCTCTCTTTCGTTCGGTCTCCGCGTCCTGTTCCTCGCAGATCTCGCTCGACATGTACCGCAAGGAGTCGCGCAAGATTCTCGCCGTCTTCAGCGAGTTTTGCCCCGTCGTCGGTGCGTCAGCCCGTTCCGCTCGAGCCCTGCGCCGCTGTGTGCCTCGTCAGTACGGTGTCGCTAGTTGCCGTTGTGGTCCTCTAACACACATTTCCTTGCCTGCAGAAAAGGCCTCGATCGACGAGTCGTTCCTCGACCTCACGCTCCCCGTCCGCCAGCTCCTCCTCGAGCGCTACCCGTCCCTGTCGGCCCTCCCTGCCGGCGCCACGCTCGACGAGCCCCTCCCTGCGCCCGCCGACCTCGGCATCACGCGCGACTCGGTCCCGTGGGACGACCTGTGCAACCTCGTGCCGTTCGCCGGCCAGAAGCAGGACAAGATCAAGCGCCTCGACGCCGAGGGCGCGCCCGTCCCGGCCTCGTCGTCGTCCCCCGTCAAATCCTCGACCCTCGCCGGCTGCGGTGACGGCGGCGAGGACGGCGACGACGGCGAGCCGCCCCTGTCGTGGTCCGACATTGCCCTGAGCCTCGGCGCGCTCCTCGTCGGCGACATCCGCAACGCCGTGCGCGCCCGCCTCGGCTACACGTGCTCGGCCGGGATCGCGACCAACAAGATGCTCGCCAAGCTCACGAGCGCGTGGAAGAAGCCCAACGCCCAGGTGCGCCCCGACGCGTCCTTCCCTCCCTGCCTCCTTGCCTCCCTCGCGACGACGCTCGATGACTGACACGCCGTGTTCGTCGCGCGCAGACCGTCCTCCGCCACTGCGCCGTCCCGGCCTTCCTGCGCCCGATGGGCTTACAGAAGATCCGCAACCTTGGAGGCAAGATTGGCAACGCCGTCAAGGAAACGTACGAGGCCGAGACGGTCGGTGACCTCCTGTGCGTCTCCTCGCCTCTCCCTTTTCCTCCGTATTATATCGCCCCGAGCCGCTCGTCCCCTCGTGGGCGGTGCCGGCTCGAAGCTGCCGGCAGAGTCCGGTGAATCGAGCGCTCCACACCTCGACCCCGGCACGGCGCGCAGGCGGTTCTCGCTCCCCCGAGCTCAAGGCCCAAGCTCGGCGAAGGGACCGGGACGGGGATGAGGGAGATCGTGCGCGGGCTCGACCTATACCGAGGGTGCGTCGGGCGTCGTCCTCTTCTCTCCTCGAGCGGGCGCTCAAGCGAGCGCCCGCTCGAGTGCGGCGACAGGTCCATGGCCTGACGCACTCTGCCCGGCACAGTCGACACCAAGACCCAGGTCAAGAGCATGATCTCGAGCAAGAACTTTCGGCCGTCGGTCAGCAAGTACGGCGAGGTGGTCCGTCCCCTCTCTCCCTCTCTCCTCTCGAGCTCTGCCCTACGCACCAAGACTGACTCTCTTCCTCCTTCTTACGCGACACAGATGCACTGGCTCAACATCCTCGCGACCGAGCTTCATCTGCGCCTGCTCGACGCGCGCGCCGAGTCGCCCGGCCTGTGGGTGCGTCTCTCGCTCTCTCCCTCCCTCTCGCCCGACGACCCGCTCTGACTCTCTTGCGCACCGTCTCGACGCAGCCCAAGACGATCACGTTCACGCACCGCTCGCCCTCGTTCGTCATCCGGTCGCACCAGGCCCCCTTCCCCTTCACCTCGTCCCTCAGCATCGCCTACATCTTGCGCGCCGCCGACAAGCTCCTGCGCGCCGCCCTCTCGTCGTCATCGGCCCCGACCCCCGCACACGGCAACGCGCCACCCTTGTCGAGCGAGAGCGCCGTCGGCCCGTACTCGAACATGATGCTCAGCTTTTCGGGCCTCGAGCGGCTCGAGGACGGGCAGAGGGGGATCGAGGGCTTCTTCGCGGCGCAGCAGGCGCGTGGGACGACGGGAGGTGCGGCTGGGGCGAGGGCGTCGTCAGTCGGTGCGGCCACTGGCGGTGAGGGGCGGGTCAAGCGCGAGGTCGAGGAGCGCGAGGACGAGGACGGGCGCGCCGAGAAGCGGCGCCGGACGGCGGCCAAGGGCAAGGCGCTCGAGGGCAAGGGCTCGTCGACGACGACGGTGCGCTCGCGCGAGGCGACGATCGAGGTCCTTCCCGACGGCAGCGAGGCGCTCGTCCTCTCGTCGTCCGAGGACGACGACGCTCGCCCTTCTACGCCGCCTCGCCGCGTCAAGCGCCCTCGAGTGCCGACCTACACGTGCGCCCGGTGTGCGCGCGTCCTGAGCGTGCCGGACGGCGTGGCGGAGCGAGGAGCCGAGGACGAGGTGCGCGAGGCGCTCGAGCGCGAGAAGGCCGAGCACGCCGACTGGCACGTCGCGAGGGACCTTGTCGGTGCGTCTCTCGTCTCTCTCTCCTCTCCTTTCCCTGTCCTGGGACCTCTCATTGACCCTGCCCTCGCCCGTGTGCGCGCAGAGACGGAGCGCAAGGAGAGCGGGTGGACCCTCGGCGGCACGGCGTCGCGATCGTCGGCCTCGTCGCTCGGCAGCAAGGGCAAGACGGCCAAGGGCTCGTCGTCGTCGACGTCGTCAGCGTCGAAGGAGGCGTCGACGAGCAAGCGCTCGAAGCAGAAGGACAAGAAGCGGGACGGCGCGGGAACGTTGAACGGGTTCCTGCGCCGAGGGTGAGGGGGCCGCTCGCGCCTGTAGTTCTGTCGTGTTGTCGTAACTCTAGACTCAGTGCCACCAGTCCAGCCCCTTTGCGCGATGAGAGAGCGGCGCGCGTGAGGGTTGTGCGACGCGAGAGAGGGCCGCCGGCGCCGGCGCGCGCGCCCCCCTTGTTTGGCCCTCGCCGCCATCTGCTCCTCCTCCTCCTCCCACACCCTCCGCTCGCCCGCTCTCGACCGATGGCTCCCACTCGCCGCTCCGAGACTGCACCCAGGCGTTCGTCGCGCGTCACCGACAACCAGAAGGCCGCCGAGCGCGCAAAGAAGAAGCAGGACTCGCTCAAGGACAAGGCGGCCAAGGAGGCCGCCGCCGCCGCTCGCGCTGCCGCAAAGGCCGCAAAGGAGACGCAGAAGGTCGTCAAGCGCAAGGTCGTCCGCCCTGCCGCCAAGGCCGTCGCGGCCGCCGCTGGCGTCGACGTCAAGGACAACAAGCCCTCCGCCTCCGCCCCACGCAAGGCGCCGACGAACCGCAACAAGCCCGTCGCCGCTTCGACCAAGAAGACCAAGTCGACCACGACCGCGACCAAGACCAAGAAGCCCGCCGCACCGGCAGCAAAGAAGCCCAAGGCCAAGGTCGAGCCGAGCGGCAAGACCAAGGTCGGCCAGGTCGTGCCCGACGTGACCCTCCGCGACGGTGCGCCCCGCCTCTCTCCCTCTCTCTCGCCTCAATGAGCCTACGCTGACCTGTACCACCCTGCAGAGGACGACAAGGAGGTGTCGCTCAAGAGCCTGTACGACGAGGCGCCGCTCGTCATCTTCTCGTACCCCAAGGTGCGTCTTCCCCACCCTCCTCCCTCTTCCAGCCACCCTCCTCGCGCACCCGCAGACGCGTCGTCCCCTTCCAGCGACTGACTCTCTTGCCCTCACAGGCCGACACGCCCGGCTGCACGACCCAGGCCTGCCTGTACCGCGACTCGGTCAAGGAGGGCGCGTTCTCTGCCGTCGGCTACACCGTCCTCGGCCTCTCGCGCGACAAGCCGACGGCGCAGAACAAGTGGAAGACCAAGCAACGCTCGGCTACAAGCTTCTGTCGGACCCCGAGGGCGAGCTCCTCGGCCACCTCGGCCAGACGGCCGACAAGAAGTGCGTCCTCCTCTCGCTCTCTCTCTCTCCCTCCTACCGCCCGCCGTCACTGACTCGAGCCTTGTCACTTTGTGCGCAGGCGCTGCCACTGGGTCATTGAGAAGGGCGGCAAGCTCCTCGAGGCCAAGCACGGCGTCAAGCCCGCCGACGACGCGAAGAACGCGTACGTCCTCCTTTCTCTCTCTCTCCCTCCTTCTCCTCGCCCTCCTTGTCTCGACTGACCCACATTTTCTCGGCGTGCAGGCTCGAGTTCATCAAGTCGCTCGCAACGGCCAAGACCGAGTAAGCGTCGACCCGCACCTTGCCCCGATCGCCCTGCGCCACGCCTCTTCAAGATACCCTCGCTCTCGTCCTCCGTGTTGCCCAGCCTGTCTCGAATGTCTCGCGCCGCTCTCTCTATCTCCCTTTCCTTGCCCTAGTCAGCCCCTTTTACCCCCTTCGTCCTTTCTCTCCTCCCGTTGTGCCTTTTTCCGATCCAGCTTCACCCCCCTTTCCCGCCCGTCGCCGTCGCCGTGTTCCCCTCGGTCGGACGCCGCGCGTGTCTGTTCTGCCCGAAACATTGTCGTCAGCTATCGTCGCCTCTACTCTGTTGCAGCGAGAGGGCGAGCGAGGAAAGCGAGTGCGCCGCGAGGAGCTTGCCTTCCCTTCTCTCGCCTTTGCGTGAGCGTCGCTCGCCGTGCACAACTCTCGAGGGCTCGCTGCGCTCGGCACGTCTCCCTTTCTACGCCGGGCGACGAGGCAGGATCGAAAGCGCTGCCGCAAGGAAACGAACGACTCTCGCTCGACGGCTCGTAGGCGCTCCTGCTTCCGGCTCAGCTCCACGACGTACTTTACCTGGTCTACCGGTCGAGCCGCTGACAAGTCGCATCGACGAGCGGTCGGCCGACGAACGGGAGGACGTCGAGTGCGCTCGAGCCTCTTGACCTCGAAGCCGCTCGAGAACGTGCTTTCTGTTCGCTCTCGCACGCACGCCGGCGAGGACGCTCTGCCAGACGGCTCGCTGTATCGTCACTTGATCCTGTTCGGCCTGTCGGTTGGAATCGTCGCTGCAGAAAGCTCGAGAGCAGGCAGCTCTGAGTACGCAAGGCAGCAGAAGTCGAGCCAGCGAGAAGAGTCGATCTACGACGGGTGGAAGCTCGAGCACGCGACCTCCTCGTTGCATCCTGTGCAGCAACGACTCACACAACGAAGACGAGGATGCCCGGCACGAGACGCGGCGCTGCAGAGTCGCGCAGGAAGCTGCTCGCGGCAGGGGTTCGAGCGCGCAGGTCGGACGGTCGAGACGACGTGCCGAGGCTCCTTCCTTGCTCTGCACGGCGCGCTCGAACGCTCCTCACGTCGTTGAGGACGGTGGCGAAGCACCGAGTCGTGCCGCAGCAGCTAGCGAGCGAGTGAGAGCGGGCGAGGCGACTTGAGAAGGTCCCGACGAGATGCGATAGAAATGCGAGGGTATGCTGCTAAGGGTACAAGGGGTTGCTCGACGAGGGGCTCTATACACACTCAGGACGACCTGCTACTGGCCGCGCGCACTCAGGACGACCCGCTGTTGTCGGCGCACGTCCAGGGCGAGCTCTGTTCCGAGTTGATGATGGAGACGCTGCGCGAGGAGGACGAGTGGTCAGTCTCGTTCACTGCGAGTGACGTGCGACATGTACGGAGAAATCGAGGACGCACATGGAGCCGTACGTGCCCGCGACGGTGAGGAACGTGGCGACGACGAGGAGGCCGATGTTGAGGACGACGCCGCACCACCTCCTGCGCGTGCGGAACTCGGGCGCCGAGAAGAACTGCTTGTTGTCGTACAGCCACATGAGCGCCTTTCGAGAGAGAGGTGCGAGACAGCGTCAGTAGGCTGCTCGAGGAGGTCTCGAGCTTGGGGAAGGGGCGCGAGCGCACCTCGGCGTGAAGGGTGATGATGGGCGCAGGGAGCGCGCCGATGAGGCCGACGACTGCGTCGGCGATAAAGAAGAGTCAGGGGGCGGACGCGAGCACGAAGAACGGCCTGAGAGGAAGAGAGGGCGAGAGAGGGACGCACGACCGCCAAAGACCGGAATCGCGCTTGCGATGATGTACGAGAACGTGATGCACCCGAACGTGCACGACAGCCAGACCATCCAGTGCTGCGGCGTCGAGTGGTTGAGGTGGTGCGAGCCGCGCAGGACCCGGACGAAGATGAGCTTGGCGGGGAGCTGTCGATGGGCGAAACGAGGTCAGGCGATTCGTTCGCAAGGGTTCGACGACGGCTCGAGGAGAAGGAGAAGGGGACGCACATGAGTGTACATGATGGCGGTAAAGATGATGCCGGGGAGCGAGATGCCGAACGCGATGCGCTTGATGAGGGTGCCGGCCGTGCCGAGCGCCGGACTCGCGACGTAGATGCCCGCAGTACAGTAGACGGTGACGGCGACGATGAAGTAGATGAGGGTGACGAACGACTGGCCCGTGAGGACCGCCTTGGGGTAGTCGCGAGGGTTGCGCATCTCGGACGCGATGGGAAGGCTGGGCGGGTCCGAGCGAGGTCAGTCATGCTGGAACGAGCCAGACCGAGGGAGAGGTGGACGCACAAGCTCGACGTGCCCGTGAAGGCGAAGAAGACGGACGAGACGGCGCTCATGCCGTCGGCGAAAGAAGGGTTGCCGAACGCGCGCACGCCGAGGTCGAACGGCTCGGGCGCAGGTGGTGCGAGTGCAGGGCGATCGGCAAGGCCGACAGCGATGACGACCGTGAAGATGGACACGAGGATGGACACGACGGCGACGTAGCCGAGCCACTTGAGGTTGCCGAACGTGCGGAGCGAGGCGAAAGGGAAGGCGATGACGGCGGCGATGGCGACCCAGGCGGCCGTGCAGATGGCGTGGAGCGACAGGGCGTTGAACGCCGTCGAGATGGTGAGGAGGGCCGAGCCGCAGGTGAAGGTGCAGACTGTGTCGAGGGGGAGAACGTCAGTCAAGGTCGAGAGGAGGCTCGAGAGAGGAAGGGGGACGCACAGAGCCAGTACGCGACGCCGAACAGCTCGCCGCACCAAGGGCCAAACATGAGCGTGCCACAGTCCGAGATAGAGTCTGCGAGAAGGTCGAGAGGGTCAGTGTGAGGTCGAGGGAGGCCTGCGTCGGGCCCCGACGAGGAGAGTGACGACGGCGACTCACAGACTTGCGGGTGGTTCAATTTGAACCAGCCAATCTCTAGGTCCGTGTACATCGTGGCGACAGCGAAGAAGAAGAAGACGAGGATGCCTGGCACGAGGCCGAGGGTCGCAAAGGCGCTCGGAAGGCCGCTGCGGGAGGGTCAGTTTGAGAAGGTTGCGACGACGGTTCTCGCGAGGAAGAGGGGACGCACAGCACGCCGATGCCGATTTGGCTCTTGATGAGGAAGACGACGGTCGTCTTCCAGCCGACGCTGCGACAAGGAGAGATGCCGAGGTCAGCTCGGCACGACGACGAGGTAGGGGGGGGTTGAACGAGCGGGGCCGGGTGCGCACCTGCGGTAGTTTACCGTGCCTTCTCCCTGCTCGCCAAAGACGCCGTCGACCTCGTCGGCAGACGCGCCGTCCTCGGTGAGCTTGACCTTGTCGGCGGCCGCCGTATCGCGCTTGAGCGCGGCTTTCTCGGCGCGAGAGAGCGAGTCGGTCGAGCGGCGGAACACCATCTTGTGCGCGAGCGCGTGTGGGCGAGAGAGCTCGTGTGGTAGCTGAGGGAGCTCGAGGTGGCCCGAGTTGACGGACGGGAATGTGGAGCGGGAAGGAGGAGAGGGTGAGGAGGGGAGGCGCGCCGCGGAGCCAGATGCGAGCTCAAAGCAAGCGGGTCCACCACCCCGGAAAGTCGGTCGAGCGCGTGGAGCGTTTTGAGGCCGACCCCGCCATCTGGCGGCGTCGGAGACGACTCGGAGGCACCGGGTGTGGGCACACCTTGGCCGTCGTTTGCAGATCTCGAGCTTCAAGCGCGCGTACGGGCGCCGATGCGGCTCCGCGATGAGCGTGGTCGCCGCCGACGGCGCCAGGTTAAAGTGGCAGCGATCGTACGTCGTCGGCGCTGGCGAGGGACGCAAGCGGATCAAGCTGGGAGCGCAGCGGCGACGTGCAGAAGCAGAAGTGGTGACGCTGTGCGAGTCTCAGGCTCGTCGGTGTCCGTCTTCCCGCGCTTGAGCTTCTTGCTCGATCGTGGAGACCCGGGCTCGCGCAGGAAGATGTACATCTGGGCGCCGGGCCCGCGGGCCGCGACGACCGGGCGACAGAGAGAAGAGGCGCGAGCGCAGACGAAGGCAGCCGGGCTCGCTCTCTCGTCCACCGCTGCCAAGCTTGTTCAGCTTACAGGACCGAGCTGCGAGACACAGCGCTGAGCGCTCTCGCTTGCACGGGCAGGTGGTGGACGATGCGAGAGAAGAGAGAAGAGCTGACGAGGGCGGTGCGAAAGTTGTACAGCGCTCTCTGGCGAGTTCTACCAGACGAGCCCAATCTCCCTCCTCCTCCCCCACACACACAGTCTATCCATGCCCTCGACGACCGAGTCGACGAGGCGCTCACGCCCTCCTCCACCACCTCCTCTTCTCGTCAACGCCGCGCGAGCCCTTCTCGCTGTGCTCCTGGCTCTCGATGCGCGCCGCGGCCGCGTCGTGCTCCTCGTCGCCCGTGGGCGGGAACATGTGCACGCGCGCGTGCGGGATGTACTTGCCCGGGTACGACGCCGTGAGGATGAGGCCGGCGAGGAGGATCGGGCCAAACTCGAGGCCGTACTGCGAGGTGGGGCGGGCACGTCGTCAGAGCTTGTCCCGGCTGGAACGTGGGAGGGAGAGGAGGACGCACGAAGAAGCCCTCGGTGCTGAGGAGGTAGCCCTTGTCGTCGCCGCCGTTGCCCGTGCCAAACTCGACGCAGCGGAAGATGCCACGGACGAGGACGCACACGCTGCCGGCGTACAGCGTCCACAGGCACTTGGTCCAGTCGCCCTTGGGGATGCCGGCGCGACGGGCGCGAACGTGGTCTGCAGGCGGGAGGGTTCGAGCGTCAGGACGATGTCGAGGCGAACGAGGAAAGGAGGGACGCACAGATGCCGGCAAAGCAGGCAAAGAGCCCGAGGCCGATGATCTGGATGATGAAGCCGACGAGCAGGATGGCCTTGGCCGTCGTGTACAGGTTGACGTTGTCGGACGAGAAGAGCTGCAAGAGGGAGAGGGAGAGGAGGGTCAGCCGGTCGCTCTTGGCCGAGACTGATGGGGAGGGGCCAGGCTTACACTGCCACCGGCGCCCTGAACGACGAACGAGACGACTGCAGAGAAGAGGGAGGAAGGGGCGGCGAGAGTCAGTCTCGAGGGCACAAGGTCGAACGAGACGGGAGGGACGCACTGTCGATCGTGACGAACGTGAACGTGACCCACTTGCTCGGGATGGGCGTCCACTTCTCGCCGACAAAGGTGATGATGCGGCCGAAGCACTGCGGGAGGGAGCGGGGACGTCAGGGCGAGGCGCGAGGAGGAGACGAGGCTCGAGAGTCGGGCGCACCACTGCAAGACGGGGAGAGGAACGAGTCAGTGCGGTCCTCGGTGCAGGTTCGACGAGAGAGAGAGAGAGAGGCGACGCACTGTAGTAGGACGCGCACATGAGGGCCGGGCACAGGATGAGGAAGAGCTCCTGGAGGAGGTACCACGTGAGGGCGCTGCCGCGGCCGCACGAGTTGTCGGCCGACACGCGGCGGAAGATGTAGCCGCACGACTCTCCGAGCATGCCGATGACGAACGGGATCATCTGCAGGACGTCGAGAGCGAGGTCAGTCGAGGGAGGACGAGGGGGAGGCGACGAGGGGGCGAGGGCTCACGTAGCGGGTGCGGCACTTGATGGTGAGGGCGACCTGGACAATGAAGATGACGGCAAATAGCGACAGGGCGACATAGGTCATGCTGCGCATGGGGTCGTAGGCATAGTAGGACCAGACGCCGGGCGGGCAGACGTTGACCATGGCGGCGGTGTGTCGAGGGTGGGGGCTAGGGGGGTGCGGGTGCTCGACAGCTGCGAGGTGCAGGCGATGGCGAGAGTCGGGCGCGCGCAGGGAGGAAGGTTGGGTCAGCGATGCGCAGACTCAATGGTCTCGCCAAGGAGCGGCAACCTGGAACTCACGAGGGAGAGGCGGGCGACGGCGAGGGTGGTGGCGCGCTCGGGGGGTGGGCGGTGCGGGAGCCGGAGGTGGTATGCAGGAGCAAGAGCGGGTGTTTGATGGTGGAGCGAGGGCGAGAGAGGCGAGAGCGAGCGTGGGTCGACCCTCCGCCCTCCGGATCCTTGCTCGGCTCCGTTGACGAGGAAAACACAGACCCTCTCCTCGACGCAAATAGCGGGTGCAATCAACCCAGGGGCAGTCGTACGAGCTGCACACGGCAACAGTGACGGCGGCCGCTCGAACAAGCGAGAGAGACGCGAGTGAGACGTCGGCGGGCGAGCGACCAACGACCACTCGCCTCGCTCTTTCACCCACAGCGCCCTCTGCCCAGCGAGGCCAGCACACTACACACACGCTACGCTGCAGGAGCACGCCCGCAACCCCCTGCTCAGCCCCGACCGCGCCCGCCGAATCGACTGTCGCCAGTCCATCGCTCAACTGCGCGCGTCCACCCACCCCTCCTCGCCGCCCGTCGCCCACCTCGGCCTCTTGCCGGCCCAGCGACCTCGACCACGGTCACCACCACCCTCGACAACCTCCCTCCACCCCTCGCCCACAAGCCGCGCCGCCTCGTCGCCCCCCGCCGCGAGCGCCAAACATGGCCCCCGTCGCGTCCACCTCGACCAGCCTGCACCTCGTCCCCTCGCGCAGGGCCACCTTCCACAAGTCGCGCAAGGCGGCCGCCACAAAGCCCCTCAACTGGCCCTTTGCCCTCACCGGCGCCGCCGCCAAAGCCTCGACCATCCACCCGGACCGCCTCGCCGCCGCCGGCTTCTACTCGACCCCGAACAAGCTCGACCCGACTGTCACCACCTGCTTCCTGTGCGACATCCGCGTCGGCGAGTGGGAGCACGACGAGGACCCGGTCTACCGCCACAAGGCGGCCGCCGACGAGGCCGACACGCGCTGCGGCTGGGCCACCGTCCTCACCCACGCCTGGGCCCCCGGCGACGTCGACGAGCTCGCCACCGACGAGTGGGACGCGCTGTGGGGCGACGACGGCGACCTGCACCCGAGGGGCGGCCGCATCGGCGCCGCGAGGGAGCACACGTTCCGCGTCGGCTGGCCGCACGACGGCGTCGAGGGCGTCCCGACCAAGGAGGAGGTGCGTCCGCTCTCGCTTCTTCTCTCTAGTACACGTTCTCGTCCTGATCCCACCTCGTCGTGCGCACCTCGCAGATCGCCGCAGCAGGGTGGTACTTCCGCCCAGGCGAGACGGCCGAGTCGGCCGACCAGTGCGCGTGCATGTACTGCGGGCGCACCGTCGAGGGCTGGGAGGAAGGCGACGACCCTGTGTGCGTCCCCTTTCACTAGTCTGCTCGAGCCCGCCCCCGCGAGCCCTCCCTGACGGCCCTCTCTCCTCTTCGTCGCAGCGCGCTTCACAAGCGCAAGATGGGCCTCAAATGCCCCTTCTTCCTCGCGCCCGACTTTGTCTCGTCGTCGTCGGCCGCCACCGCCGCCGCGACCAAGGGCAAGAAGAAGGCCAAAGCGTCCAAGGCGGCTCCTCCTCCGCCGCAAGACGCGCTCGACGTTGACGACGAGGACGACGAGGACGAGCCCGAGCCCGAGCCGGTCAAGCCCAAGCGCGGCAAGAAGGCGTCGACGGTCACGGCGAGCGTCGCCAACCCGACCCTCAAGAAGAGCACGCGCGGGCGGGCAAAGGCGCCGGTCGAGGTCGAGGAGGACGAGCCGCTCGTCGACGCCGAGGCCGACGAGGCGCTCGAGGACGCGGCCGAGGAGCCCGAGCAGGAGGACGAGGTCGTCGTACCGGTCAAGCCGACCCGCGGTGGCAGCAAGAAGGCGGCACCGGCGGCGGCCAAGAAGCCGGCGGCGAGGGCGACGAGGAGCAAGACGACGCCGGCGCCGTCCGACGTCGACGACGAGGTCGAGATTCCTGTGCTCAAGAAGTGCGTTTCCCCTCTTTCTCTCCCCCTTTTGCGCGGCGGGATCCTGATTCGCCTTCCTCCCTGCAGGTCGACCCGTTCTCGCGCCGCCTCGAACGCTTCGGCGACGGCCTCGACTGCCGCACCCTCACGTGCTTCGGTCCTCGCCAAGTCGCGCTCTCGACCCGTCAAGGACGCCGACATCTCGGTCGAGATCGAGGTCAAGCCCAAGAAGGTGTCGTCGTCGGCCGCGCCCAAGAAGGCCAAGAAGGCGCCCGCTCCCGAGCCCGAGCCCGAGGGCGACGGCGACGAGGACATGGCGCAGCTCGCCGCCATCGCCGACCTCGCGCTCGAGGCGCAGCCGGCGCCCGAGGTGCGCGAGCCTGAGCCGACCCCGGCGCCGGCGCCGAAACCGGCTCGGGCGGCGCCCAAGGCGCAGAACGAGTCGAGCTCGAGCGGCGGCAAGGGCAAGAAGGTGCAGCAGGCGGTCGAGGTGGACGAGCCGATGGAGGACGAGCCGGCGCCGGTCGAGAAGGCGCCGACGCCACCTGCGCCCGGTCAAGCCTCTTCGACGACAGCCGTCCCGCCCAGCGTCGCCTCGGCGCGCGCCCCTCTCTCGCCGACCGTGTCGTCCGGCAGCAGCTCGCGCGTGATCCGCAGCCTGCCGACCAAGGTGCACCCGTCCAAGTCGCCGTCGTCGACCTCGCTCAAGGCGACCCCGACCGAGCCGGCTCCGCCGCTCCCGCGCAAGGCGGCCTCGGCTCCCGCAGCTGCCGCTGCCTCTCTCGAGCAGGCTGCAGCCGGCGCCTCGTCTGCCGCACCGGCGCCGGCGCCGTCGACCGCCTCGTCGACGCCGACCCCGGCCGTCGTCGACCCGTCTCAGCGCTGGTCCCCTCCTCCCAACGTCTTTGCCCCGACCGCCTCGCTCCTCGCGCTCCTCCCGCCCCCGACACCCGCCGAGCTCGCGACGCACACGGTCGAGTCGTGGTACGCCCTGTGCGCCTCGCGCCTCGAGGCGCGTTTCGCCGCCGAGAGCGACGCGCTCCGTGCACAGCTCGAGGCGCGCGTCGCTGCGGGCCGCGAGAGGCTCGAGCGCATGGGCGTCGAGGCGAGGGAGCGCGAGGAGCGCGAGGACAAGGAGCGCAGGAGGGACAAGAAGGAGCGCGGCAAGGCCGCAAGGGGCGCGAGCGCGAGCAAGGTCAAGGGCACAGCGGCGGTGGCGGGCGCGGCGACGGGTGGCGGCAGTACGAGGAAGATGCGCTGAGGGCGTGCGAGCGCGACACGAGATACCCTTCTTTGACGCTGTGCGAGCCGGCTCGAGTGCCCTTTCCTTCGACTTTCTCCTCTTCCTCGACCTTGTTTCTACCCCCCTCGTACCTTCTCTTCTTTGTTATCTTCCCTCCTCGTCTGTATTGTGCCTGCTCTCTGCATCGTCGACTCCAGGTGCTTTTCCCTCGCTCGCCGCCCCCTCGTCCGAGAGAATCGCGATCGTGAAAGTGCTCGTTCCCTGCGAGACGTGGCTACCAGCGCCCGCCTCTCACTCGTCGTCGTCCACCTCTATGCGTCCTCGTCGTCGTCGCACACACACGCCGTCCCTCGCGCGCCCTCGAGAGCGCGCACGAGCCGCTCCCTCTCACCCTCCCACCTTCTCAAAGCCCGCGAGCGCCGGCGCCCTTGAACCGGTACCGCTCGTTGCGGTTGCCGGTAAACTGCCACGACGCGCGCTTGACGACGTCGAGCTTGTTGTCGGTGTGGCGCCCGAACAGGTCGGTGAACGAGCCGTGGATGATGTCGAGCGAGGAGGGCGTGAGGACCCAGCTGCGGGTCGGGCCACGATGCGGGTCAGGCGTCGCGCCTTGAGAGAGAGAGAGAGAGAGAGAACGAGAGAGTGAGACGCACGCGTCGTCAAAGGCGTCGGCGATGTACATCGTCTTGTTGCGCCCGTCGGGCGTCGTCACGACAAGCTCGAGGCCGCAGTACGCCCTCGCCGCCGCCTCGTAGTTGCCGCCAAAGTTGTTGAGCATCGTCTTGAGCGACGGTGCAACGCCCGGGACGTCGTTCGTGTACGGGTAGCTGTGTTCGCGAGGGAGCGGGCGAGAGACGAGGGTCAGAGCGGGCTCGAAGAAGCGGGAAAGGGGGTCGTCGACGACGACGAGCGACGTACCCGCACCAAGAGTTGCCGTTGGTCGAGTCCTGGCCCGAGTTGGTGTTGTACCACGAGAGGATCGCGTCTGTTTAGGCGGGCAACTTGTCAGTTTTCGTCGAGGATAGGCAGAAGGAGAGAGAGGTTCGAGCGCACTCGTGTTCATGCCCTGGAAGCCCGTCACGCCGGCAGCGACCATGGCGTTCGGCGTAATCGTCACCGTCGGGCTCGGAGCAGCTGTCGTCGTCGTCGTCGTCGTCGTCGAGGCGACCGTCGACGACGAGCTCGTCGGGATCAAGGTGCACTGCCCGACGCGCCCGAGCGTGGCCGAGTACCCGTCGAGGCACACGTACCCGCACGCGTTGTCGATGCACGTCGCGACGCTGTTGGACGGGCGGTACAGCGTGCGGCACTGGAAGGTCGACTTGCAGCCGACGGCGCGCTCGGCGAGCGAGGTGCCTGCAGGAACGCCGACTTGACCGAGTCAGCTCGACGTCGTCAAGGGAAGGACGTTGCAGAGAACTCGAAACGCACCGGTGGGAGCTGCGAGAGCCGGGAGGAAGGCGACGAGGGCGGCGGCGGCGGTGGAAAAGGCGATGCGCATGGTCGGCAGGTCGAGCTGGCGAGGTCTTAAGGGCGTCGGTGTTTGGCGCTCGAGGGATGCAGATGGTCGAGAGGTAGCGTGACCGCGAGACCAGCAGGCGGAGAACGTCGAGGAGACAGAGGAGCGTCGAGGAGGAGGAACGTGCGACCGGCGCGCGCCTTGGACGAGGTACAGCGGGAGGAGGAAGGGACGAGAGAGAGAGGAGAAGAAGCAGGAGCGACAGCCAAGGCCGTCGTCGACGAGCAATGTCAACGCCCGACACGAGAGCGGTGGCATCTCGCCCATCCAGGCAGGACGAGACCGATCCGCCGCTTGCCGCTTCGAGGAGGCCAAGTTCGGCCGGCTCGCGACGAAGCAAGCCTCGACGGCCGCCAGAGGGCGAGCCCGCCGCCGCGAGCGGCACACAGCCGAGCGTCGAGACGCACTGAGCCGGTCGGGAGCTGCCGGCGCGAGGTGCGGGTGAAAGGGGAGGCGCGAGAAGGGAGCGTTCGCCGACTTGCGAAGGCCGCCGGCTCGCCCGCATTGCGCCGGATTCGGACGAGCCACTCAAGGAAGGACCAATCTGGGCATTTCGACGCAAAGGGGAAGTGTGTACGGACAAGGAAGAACAACGACAAGGGACCGTGAAGGGAGAGGGGGTGACAGAAGGAAGGGCCGTGCGCCGGCGACAGCCCGAGGGGCGAGTCGTCGACAGGCGGTCACACGAAGGGGCGAGAGACGAAGGGAAAGTCGGAGAAGGTGTGGGATACGAGGAGACCTGTCGCGCGAGCATGCGGTCAGTGCGGCCGCCGACTTGAAAAAGGAGGAGGAGGAAGGAGGACGCACTCGACGACTCGAGGATCACGCGTGCGCCTCGCGCATGTCGCCCTGCGTATTCTGGGCAGCGTCCATCTTTGCGCGGATGACGCCGGCACGCTGCTCAAAGTCGGCGCGCTGCGACTTGCGCTGGCGGAAGACGAAGACGATGGCCTGCCGGGGAAGGAGGCGAGCCGTGTCAGCTGTCGCGCCAGAGGGAATAAGAAGGCCAAGGAGGGGCTCACCAGGACAGTAAGGAGGGAACCGAGTCCCAGGCCGAGCCCCAGGCCGAGCGCGAGGCCGTCGACTCGTCCTCCTCCTGCGGAAGATGAGGTCGGGGACGACGAGGCGGCCGTGTGGACGACGGCGGTCGAGCCGGCGGCGATCGACAGGCCGGGAATGTTGCTCGGGCCCTCGGATGCCATGGACCAGGTCGGGCTGGCCGTGCGCGGCGTGTACGAGTAGGTCGACGGCGGGGTCTGCGAGGATGACGCCGGGGCGAGGGCAGGGGTGCTAGAGGGCGTGGGGAACGTCGTGTAGGAGCGCGTGAGGTCGGAAAGGCTCATGGTGGGCGTGTGCGTGGTGCTGGGACTGGATCTGGTCGGCTGTTGGCGAGACGAGGGGCGGAGAGATAGCCCGAGAAGGCGGAGGGGGGCGCTGCGGAGGCCCGACCAGATTCAAACGCGACGCTCTCTCTCCTCTCCGTCTCGCTAGCCAGCGCTCGAGAGACATCAAGGAGCGTTACGTTGCGGCAGAGAGAGGCACACTAAGCCAAAGAGGGAGGAAGGGCCGGAAGCGCACTGCAGAGGCTCGAGCTCCCCCGACGACGCGCACAGCGCACCGTCGAGTCGCTCAAACCTCGCGTCGCTCCCTCGTCGCGAGCTCCCTCGTCGCGACACCGAAGAGGGGGTCATAAGGCAGAAGGAAAGAGGCGAGGTAAACGTCGAGGGAACTAAAGGCAGGAGAGAGGGGAGGGGAGGGGAGAGGCGGAGTAGAAGAGCTACAGGCGACTGGCGCGACGACAAAAAGAGGCGGCATCAAGCCTGACCTCGAGGGTGGGGGAGGGACGAGTGCGAGAAAGTCAAAAGGATGCGAGTGCGAGAGGAGGGGTAAAGCGAGAAGGCAAAGTGGGCGAGGGATAGGAAACGTCGACGGCGACGATGGGGCCGAGCGAACTAATCGTCCGGAGCTCTACGAGAGCGAGTTGGTCGACTTGAACTTGTACCTGCGCGACGAGACGAGGTGTCAGTGACGGCGTCGAGTAGGGACACGAAACGAGGCCAAAGGAAACGGGCTCGGGGCTCACTTGTCGTTGCGCTGGCCGGTGAACTTCCAGGACGCGCCCTTGACGACGTCGTTCTTGTTGTCGGTGTACGAGCCAAACAGGTCGGTGAACGAGCCGTGGATGATGTCGAGCGACGACGGCGTGAGGACCCAGCTGTTTCGAGGTGACAAAGAGTGAGCCGGCGCGCTCGAACGAGCACGGAAAGGGAAGGCGAAAGGGAGACGCACGTGTCGTCAAAGGCGTCGGCGATGTACATCGTCTTGCTCTTGCCGTCCGGGGTCGACACGACGAGCTCGAGGCCGCAGTACGCCTTGGCCGCCGCCTCGTAGTCGCCGCCAAAGTTGTTGAGCATCGTCTTGAGCGACGGCGCGACGCCCGGGACGTTGTTGTCGTACGGGAAGCTGCAAGACGACCGAGCAGGGTCAGTGCGGGCTCGTGGAAGGGACGTTCAGGCCCGCAGGAGACGAAGGACGAGGGCGAAAGGGGCCGACGCACCCGCACCACGAGTTGCCGTTGGTCGAGTCCTGGCCCGAGTTGGTGTTGTACCACGACAAGATCGCGTTCGAGTTGTCGCCGAGGAAGCCCTGGATGCCGGCCTTGGACAGGAGCGAGACGCTGCCGCTCGTGTCGGCGACCTTGGTCGACGCGGCCGCCTGCGACGACGACGTCGTCGTCGGCGCCACCCACTGCGACGTGGTCGTGGTGGTCGGGGCGACCCACTGCGAGGTGGTCGTCGCGGCGGCCTTGGACGACGGGGCGACCCACTGCGACGTCGACGACGACGGCGCGACCCAGGCCGACGAGCTCGACGGGCTGCTGCTGTCCTCCTCGTCGTCGCACACCCAGTCGTCGTCCGAGTCGTCGGTCGAAGAGGTCGACTCGTCGCAGACCTCGTCGTCGTCGTCGCTCGACGGGGTCGAGGTGGCAGCGGGAGCGGCTGACGTGGTCGTCAGCGCGACCGAGGACGACGAGGGCTTGACGGCGGCCTGGACGACGGCGGCGGTCGTGACGGCGACGCGCTCCTGGCTCGAGGTGGTCGTGGGCGCCGGCTTGGACGAGGTGGTCGTCTCGACGGCGGCGGGCGCCTCGCTCGTCGTCTCGACGGCGAGGTTCGACACGTCGACCTTGGCGCCGTCGAGGTAGTACTCGATGGCGAGCTCGCCGGCGTCGAGGTCGCCCTCGAGGGCGACGTAGGCCGACTTGGAGAAGGTCGTGTAGTCGTCGCGGTTGGACGCGCCGACGACGGTGGCCGAGATGGTCTTGCCCGACTGGGTCGACTTGACGGTGACGGTCGAGCCGCACAGCGACGACTTGGAGCGGACGTCCGGGTACAGGGCGAGCGGGAGGGCGACGACGCTGTCCGACTCCTTGATCTCGACGCCGCAGCTGCCGACCCAGCCCGCCTCCTTCCACCAAATTGCAGTCGACGTGTACTTCGAGTCGGACGACGACGAGGTCGAGTTGTCCGACGTGGCTGTGGGAGGGAGGGCGACAGGGAGTCAGTTCGAGCCTCTTCGACACTGGCGCGCACGACCTAGAAGAGGGCAGAGAGAGAGTGGACGCACCCTGGGACCTGCGGATGCGGGCCATGCGCGGTGCGACGGGGCCCTTGAAGGCACGGCGAGCGAGCGCGTGGTGGTCGCGGCGAGCGTGGTGGCCAGAGGTGGACGCGGCGGCGAGCGAGGCCGCGAACGAGAGCGTGACGGCGACGTTGACGAGCATCTGCACGAGGAGAATACATGTCAGTCCCTTGTGCTGGCCTGCGTCGTCGTCGTCGGAGATGCCGAGAGCACGCGCCGCCCTCGCTCGTGGTGGGTGCAACGGCTCGACGCGGCGCGGGCGGGGGAAGGGTGGGAAGAGAGGCTCACCTTGGTGGATGGGGCTGGGGCAAAGGCTAGGGCGGCTGACCGGCAGACTGTTGAGCGCTTGGCGAGGGCGAAAGAGGGTGGCGGACGGGGTGAGGGTCGGCGAGGGAGGACGGCGTGTGCGTTGAGTGACGACGAGGCGGAAGGGGCGGTCCTTGGTGCGGGCGCAGGCTTGAAGGAGAGGGCGAGGCGCGACCGAGAGGGCCTTGGGTGCGAGCGAGCGAACGAGGGCGAGACGGGGCGAGAGAGAGACTTGAGGGAGAGAGAGAGAGAGAGAGGGAGAGAAGAAAGGAACCGACACCGAGGAGAAAGGGGGCGCGACCGAACGCGGGGAAGCCAACGGACTTCGCGCGCTCGCACCGTCTCCGTCTCGCCCTCGTCCACGGTGACAGCCGCTTTGCGAGCTTCTTGAGCTTCGCGTGAGTACGGTCAGCCACGCAGTCACCCGAACAGCGAGCCGTGGGACGAGGAATCGACGCGACGAGCGACCGATGCTCTCGTCGCGGCGCCGCATCTTTGCTCAACATCCGTCTCTTGGCGAAACCGAGGCTCAGCTTGAGAGCCTCTGTGACGAGCGAGAGCACGCGCAGCCGGCTGTCCTTGAACGCTTCAGTACGAGGGGTCGACAACTCGCACGAGCGGACCGTGCGCCGAAACTCGACCTTCTCAAATCCGCTGTTCCCCGGCTCGACGCCGCTGCGAGGACCCTCGCTCTGCAACGGGCCCGTCAAGCGCCCAATCGAGCCACGCAACGGACCGTTCACCAACGCTGCACAAAGCTATCGTGGCGCTGCAATAGAGGGCGGCGAAGCTCGACGCCGCAGAGAGATCTCGACTCAAGCTCGCTCGCGCTCTCTCGAGCCTGCGGGCGGATAAGACTGGAGAAAGGCTGCCGAGGTACACGTGTTTGGGCGGGGGATGCTACAAATCAAACGAGAGGCATGCGAGGCGGGCGGATACAAGGAGGGAGCGAAAGTGGGAAGGGATGCAGTGTCTGTTTGCGCCGAGCGCTGCACGAGAGCGGCTCGCGACGTCCGCGACGCGCTCAGCAGCACACCTGCGATGGGAAGACGACGCCGTCCGGCCGCACGAGCGAGATCCGACGCGACTTGTCGAGGCCCGAGCCCGGCACTGCACGGGCTTGCTCGTCTGGCCGGCTGTGCGAGTGCTTGAGCGTCGCCATTGGCGGGTGGGCGAGGATCTGCTCCGAGCTGCGGAACTTGACCTGGGCGCAAGGCGAGTCGCCGATCCAGACGGCGAGGTCGGGCGAGAAGTGCCTGCCGCGAACGACTGTGCGACGAGGAACGAGGGGACGACGGGGGCGGTCAGTGCTCCTGCCCGACGCTCGACATATCCACGAAGAGAGAGAGAGAGAAAGACGCACCGAGCATGCCGGGCTCGCCGTCGCGAGTCGCCGAGGAAAGCGGGCCGTCGACCGAGCAGACGGTCGGAACGTCAGGCCCGATCGGAACGCGAGGACGAGGCGTGCGGTACGACGGGTTGCACGCCGACGGGCTGCAGGTAGAACGCGAAGAGTCAGTGACTGAGAAAGGAGAGGGAAGACGAGGGCGAGGGGACGCACTCGACGAGGCTCGTGCTGTCGAGCGACGGCGGAACGAAAAAGGTGTGGCGCTCGACCTCGACCTGGACCATCGACCAGACATGACCATCTGCGCGAGAGAGGCTCCTTGAGTGAGCTGGATGACCTCGGCGAGAGGGAGGAGGAGAGGAGGAGGAAGCGTACCTCCGAGCGGCAACGTCCACAAGCCTGCTTCCGCACCTCGCACCTCGCGCTCGGCCGCCGCCGTCAGCTCGGCGAGCGCAGCTGCCGACATGCCCCGCCGCTTGCTCTTGACCGCCGCCGACGAGAGCTTGCTCGCCTCGGCGCTCGGACGGCGAGCGGTTCGAGGCCTCGCCGACGCCCTCGCCGCGCCGTTCTCGGCGAGCGGGTCGACCCGGGCGATGTCGTGCTCGTCCATGTCGCCGTTGCGGTGCTGCATGGCGGCAAAGCCGCCGTCGATCGGCGTCGTCGGCGTGATGGGCATGCTCGGCTGCTCGTGCGCCGGTCGCACCCACGTCCTCGGCTCGTCGAGCTGGTACATGCCGACCTCGTCGTCGACGACGCCGAGGAACGAGTCGCGAGAGCGTACGCCGTCGCTCGAGCGCGGCGGGCCGAACGACGACGAGCCTGCGACCTCGAGCGCGATCGGGCGGTACTGCGAGACGGGCTCGCCGAGGTGCTCGCCGGGGAGGGTAGGGTGCAGCGGCGAGTTAGCGGGAGGAGGAGGGACGACCGTGTCGAGAGAACCGCCGCCGGAGCAGACGTTGCCCGTGTCGACCTTGCGCAGAACGAGAACAGGCTGTCGGCGAAGGAGGAGACGACGACGGTGAGCGCAGGCGCTCTCGAGACGCGAAAGAACCGAGAGACGCAGAGAAAGGGGACGCACCGAGACGACGCCCGTGGCGAGGTCCTGCAAGACGACCGTTTGGTTGTAGTAGAGCGAGCGCGGGATCTTGCCGTCGATCGACAGGGCGTTGCTCGGCGGCGGCGGCAAGCCCGGTTGCGGCTTTGCGGTCGACTGACGCCCGTGCTCGCTGTCGATGTTGACGGCGTACACGACGAAGGCGTCCCACGTGCTCGTCTTCGAGACGAGGCGCAGGTCGCGAGCGTCGGGAGCGAACGTGCGCTGAGCGGTGCCGCCCGTCATGGTCGCCCACTGCTGCGTCGGGAACATGGACGCAACGCCCGACGTGCACAGGTACCGTGTCGAGCCGCTGTACGTCTTGGTGCGGTTGTACAACGAGACGATGCTGCCGTGGTTGAGCCCGGCGACTGCGGGCGAGCGAATGATTCGGTGAGTGCTCGTCCCGAATGTTGCTCGACCCGTTGCGGAGTGAGAGAGGAGGACGCACTGTTGCCCGAGATGATGGCGCGCTTCTTCGAGGGCTTGGAGATGACCGAGATGGGCTTGCCGAGGAAGCGCGCCCAGACCCTCGACTCGAGCTCGCCCGTACCCGGCTCGCACAGCGTGACGACGGTCGACACGGTCGTGCTGACGTCCTTGTTGAGCTCGCCCGTGACGTTGACGGCGAGCGACTTGCTCATGGCGCGGCCGGCGAGCGGCGCCGGGTCGGTCTCGGTGCGCTCGAGGACGAGCTTGCCGTCGTCGGTGATCCATTGGGCGGACGCGGCGACCTTGGGGAACACCTTGTCGGTCGAGATCGACAGGAAGACCTCGGGCGCGAGCGTGAGGCGCTCAGGCGGCTCGTCGGGCGACGGGAGCTTGCCCGAGACGAGCGACAGGGCCGTGGACGAGGTGTGCGTTGACCACCACGACGAGCCGAGGAGGAGAGCCATAGGTGGCGGCGCGAGGAGGCTGCGGACGAGGCAGGAGGTGGGTCAGGGCAAGTCGAGGGAGAGAGAGGGAGTGCGGGGAGGAAGAGGGGGTGCGAGCGCACCGTTTCTCGGTGCCGTAGCTGCGCTGCGCGATCTTGGGGTTCATGACGACGACGGTCTTCTCGCCGAGCGCCATGCCGTTGTCGGCGGCGAGGTACTCGCGGACCTCGCGCTGCACTCGAGCGTGCTGCCCACCGTCGCGGCGGGCGAGCGCGTGCGACTCGGCGACGAGCAGCTCCTGGTACGCCGCCTCCTGCTGCGCCTGGAGCACGCCCCTCGGGTCGTACGTCGCGTCGAACCCGCCGCGGCCGTACATGGCGTCGGGCGCGACGCACGCCGCCGCGACCGCGAGCCGCACCTCCTCGAGGCCCATCTCGAGCTCGAGCCCGAGCCCGACCGTGCCGTCGAGCGGCAGGCTCGCACCTGCGCCGCTCGCTGCGGCGTCGAGCGAGCCGGCGGGCGCGACGACGGACCAGGCGCTCGGACCCACCGCCGACGGGACCGACGACGAGGTCGACCAGCCCATGTTCTCGTCGGCGCCGGCGTACGCTTGCTCTTGACCGAACACGCCGTGAGGATGAGGGGCGTGGCTCGCGAAGCCCGACAGGCTCGAGGTCGCCATGGTCGTCGACGCTGATGGCGGGGCGGCGGCGATCGTGGCTCGGCGCATCTGCTCGTGCGAGCGGCGCGCCGAGGACGGGCGGTACACGCTCGTCGCGCCGTTCTTGGTCATGGCGTACGGGTCGGTGTAGCGCCGGCCGTGCGCGTCGTACAGCGGCGCCGCGCCGCCCGGCCCCGAGCTCGCCATGACGGGCGAGTACGGCGGCTCGAGCGGGTACATGGCTGACGAGCACCCGCTCGCGATCGTCGCCGGCGTGTTGACGGCGCTGTTGTTGGTGTACGGCGACGAGGGCGAGAAGGGCGAGTAGTACGGCGAGCGGTACGGGCCCATGCCGCTCGTCGCGGCGGAAGAGCGGCGGGACGAGCCGTCGACCGAGATGGACAGGTTCGGGTGCGGCCGACGCGACGAGAAGGAAAAGGCGGGTGACCCGGCATGAGGGTGCGCCGGCGAGCCGTCGTGCAGGTCGGACGCGTAGGACGAGGTGCGGCGAGAAGTCGGCGTGGCCGGCTCGAACGAGGTCGGCGGCGTGAACGAGTCGGCGTTGTCCTCGACAGGTTGGCGACCGTGTACGACACGACTGACGAGTGCTGCTGGCGGGGCGCCGGACGAGCGCCGACTCGAGCTCGGCGTCCAGGTCATGCCCGACGCTCGGGCCGGCGAGCCGTACTCCTGCTGCAGCGCCGCCTGCGACGACCGGCGCCTCGCTGCTGTCGACGGGTACGGCGCGTACGCGACGTCCGAAGCGGGCTGCATCGACGCTCGGCGGCCCATGTCGCCCTGGTGCTGCTGCGGCGAATCGAAGCGCGGGCCTTGCTGCGGCGACGACCACGAGTTGTGCCGCGGGACGCTCACGCTCAAGGGCGCAGCTGCGACGGGCGAGAAGTGCGCCTGCGCGACGAACTCGGGGCTCGCGTTCGTGTGCGCGCGCACGAGGCCCGGGCGCAGAGGTCGCGCGCTCGACGACGCCGACGGGCCCTGCTGGCTCGGCGACGGGAAGCCGACGAACGGGGACGCGATGGGCGTGTCAGGCGCCGAGCACGAGAAGGCCGGGCTGACGAGGACGGCGTGCTGGTGCGCTCGCTGCGGGATCGGCTGGGCGACCGTGCGAGGCGCGGCCGACCTCGACGACGACGCCTGCGGGTACGGCGACTGCGCCGCCGAGTACGGGACCGTCGAGTAGGCGTCGTAGTGCGAGTACGGCTGCTCGTCGACGACGTCGTGCGGCGCCGAGTAGTCGTGGCCGTGCGCGAGCGCGGCTCGAGGTCGCTGCTGCTCCTCCTGCCAGTGCTCCCTCGTCATGCGCGGGAACGACGCCGAGCTGGGCGACACGTCGCCGGGTGCGAGGTGCGTCGGGATGTGGACGGACGAGAGGGCGGCGCTCGAGGCGGCGGCGGGCGCGAGGGTGTAGCCCGAGTCGAAGAAGGTCGGCTGCGAGTCGTACCCGTGCGGCTTCTGCGGACGAGGCTAGAGAGTCAGGTCGGGCGGCAAGAGGCACGAGGAAGAGTGAGGTGGGGGACGTACCGAGCCAAAGGAAAGCCGGTCGCTCGAGCCGCTCGTCGGCTGGCCGCCCTCGCTGTGTCGACGGTACGCCGCCGGCTCGTAGACTGGGTCCATCGGGTCGTCGTCGCCGAACGCGAGGACCTCCTGCTCCTCGTCGCCCTCGCCGTCGCCGTAGCAGTCGAACGCGCCCTGGCCGAACTGGCTCGACGGCGGCGGCGCGAACTGGGGCGTGAACCACGCCGGGTCGTGCGGGTCAAAGTGCGACTCGCGCGGCGGGGTCGGGGTCGGGACGTGCGGCGAGGTGAGGTAGGGCGAGTCTTGGACAAACGGCGGCGCCAAGCCGGGATGAGGCTGCGAGCTCGCGGCGTACATGGTGGGCGGTGCTGCGGGTCGACGCTCGACGACCAGGTGGGCCGCAGGCGGTGGCGGGAGGCGAGGTCGACGAGGTGCGGCGGTGATGGGCGAGTGCGAGGTCGGGGTCGCGATGGCGGATCCACTGATTATCGCCGCGGCTCGAGGTGGGGGCGGGCCGAGGCGAGAGGCGACGAGGCGAGAGGAGCGGGCGACGAGGCGAGCGGTAGCTGGCAAAGGTGGTCGCGCCGCGTGCAGGAGCGAGCCGAGCAAGGTACAGCCACAGCGCGCGCGAAGGCTCCATGACCCTGCGCTGCGCGGGCGGGGCGGCTGTCTCCCCGCCTCGCCTGCGCGCCGCCTCGTCGTCGGTCCACGGCTCGAAGCCCTGGCGCCGAGGCTCCAGCTCCGTAACGAGCTAAGCCCAGCTGGCGGAGATCCATCCACCCCAGGCAGAGCCGACGAGGAGCCCTCGCAGCGCAAGGTTGGAGCCGAGCCAGACGAGGAAGGCGACGAGGTGGAGATCCCTCAGAGGGAAAGCGACGGCGAGTGGGCGGCCCTCGACGATTGTTGCGCCGGCCGGGCGACGGCTGTTCAGAGCTGCTCTGAACGGGGCGCGGTCGGCCGGCCGGCCGAGGAGCTGAGGAGCCGCGACGGTTCGAGGGAGAAGGAGGAGCTTTCGTCGTGCGGCCGCGCTCGAGCTGTGACGAGCCACTCTACTCGCGCTCTGCCCTACAGGGCAGGCTCGCATGCGCCTGCGTTCATCATGCCAGAATCCAGCTAGCGTCACTCGCAGGGCTTCAGGGCGAGGGACAGCAGTCAAGTTCCGAGTCGGCGCAGAAGCTTCTCCTCCTCGTCATCGGCTGGAGGGTTCCTTTCCGCTCGACGGGCAATGTCAAGCACTCGCACGCAGATCTTCTGTCCAGTCGCGCTCAACGATGCGAGAGTTGCTGAGAGAGACGCGAGGCCGACGCGTCGCCGAGAGAGAGCTCGACGAGGTTGGCGTCCACCCGCACGCGCACGAGCTCTCGCCGACGAGCCTCGACTGCAGGCATGAGCTCTGCTGCACCGCACACGGCCCCACCGCCAGCCGACCCTGCCTCCGCGCTGTCGACTGGCCCTGCCACGCCCACCTCGCCCTCCGCCGTCGCCCCTCCGCCGCACTCGACCACGACCGCGCCAAAGCCCGCCACGGCGACCGGCGACACGCCCATGGACGTCGACACGCCCGTCGACGGCGCGTCGGCACCCGCAGCCGCACCGCCAGTCGCGAGCGACGACGCGCCCGTCTTGCTGGCGTCGCGCCCGCTCGACCGTGTCGTCGGGCCTTTCACCCCCGCCGAGAGCACGCCGGCCTCGCCCGCCACCAATGGCGACAAGCGCGACGCTGCAGGCCAAGCTCCGACCAGCAGGGACAAGCGCCCGCTCGACCCCGACTCGCCGCCGGCGACCGCCGACTCGGCGCGCCCAGCGCTCGCCAACGACGACAAGGCCGACAGCGCTGGTCCGCCCAAGAAGAAGGCGCGCAAGTCGGCAGGGCCCAAGCCCGACGACACGCTGTACTGCCACCAGGGTTCGTCGCCCTCTTCCCTCCCTCGCCCTCTCGCCAGGGTTCGCCTCGAGCGTTGCTCTCCTGCACATCAGGCCTCACGAGCTGACTCGTCTCCCCCTCGCACACACAGACCACCAGGCGCACGACATCACCAAGGTCACGCTCCTGCGCTGCACGGCGCAAAAAGCCGCCGGCAAGCCCAGGCCCGGCTCGGACGAGGTCCCGACGCGCCCGTGCTCGCTCACGTACTGCGCCCGCTGCCTGGCGAGCCGGTACGCCGAGGACGCCGACGCCATCATCGCGTCGGGCGCCGACCTGTCGTGGACCTGCCCGTCGTGCCGCGGCGAGTGCAACTGCTCGGGCTGCCGCAAGAAGGCCGGCCTCGACGCGACGGGCCCGCTCAAGGAGCTCGGCATCGACCCGGCGAGCGCCGTCGGACCCGTCTCGGGCGGCCGCAGGGCGGCGGCGGCGGCGAGGACCAAGCTGTCGTCGGGCTACACGGCGAGCGGCAAGGTCGCCGCCATGTCGCTCACGACCGAGGACGGCGCGACGAGGAGCCCGGCCGCACCCGGGTCCAAGAAGGCCAAGGGCAAGAAGGCCGTCAAGCCCAAGGCGACGACGTCCGCCCTCGACGGCTCGCTGTCCGACTCGTCGCTGTCGGAGCTCACCGACTCGGACGAGGATCAGCCCGCCGTCAAGCCCGTCGCCGGCGCCAAGGGCAAGGGCAAAGCCGCGTCGGGCAGCCCAGGACCTGTCGGGCCGACCGGCAAGCGCGTCATGCCCCCTCGTCCGCCGCCCGTCCTCCCCGTGCCGCCGCGCTCGCACGTCCTCGCGAGCGTGTGGGCGTCGAGCCCGACCCTTCCCTGCGACGAGTCGATCCGCGCCCGCCTCCACCTGCGCGAGTGGTTCCTGCGCTTCCTCCCCTGCCTCCCGACCCTCGACCCGACCCCGTCAACCTCGTCGTCGTCCAAGTCGTCCTCGTCGCGCGCCACCGCCAAGGCGCACGCCCTCTCGCCGCACCTCGTGCGCGTCCTGTCGGCCCTGAGCGACGACGTCCTGTGGCTGTGGCGCGACCGCGACTCGGCCGCCGAGGCCGTCCAGCTGCGCCTCCTCCAGGCCCTGTGCGAGCTCCTCGTGCGCGAGAAGGCCTACACGGGCGTCGTCCACAAGCTCCAGCGCGAGAACCTCGACGACCTGCGCGTCGAGCTCCGCACGGCGCTTGCCGGCGTGCAGCGCCACCGCGAGGTGTTTGACCGGCCGTGGCGCACGGCGCAGAAGGTCGCCGAGGGCGGGCTCGGCGCCTACTGGGTCGAGGAGGGGCCCAAGTGGCACAAGGAGGCGCTCGAGCGGCGCAGGCGCGCCGAGCCGGAGCGCGAGGGCGACGGCGACAGCGACGTGGGATCGGGAGAAGGAGAGGGAGAAGGAGGAGAGAGAGGCGCGAGCGAGGACGAGCCGGCGGCAGGTGGGGCGGACGGGTCCGACAGCGAGCTGAGCAGCCTCGCGTCGAGCGACGACGAGGACGAGGGCGGCTCGGCGACGTCCAAGAAGGCGCGCGGCGCCGACGACGAGGTCGACCAGCTCGCGAGCGACTACGAGGAGCCGCCGCCCAAGCTCGACAAGGCCGGCCGCCGCATGAAGGGCGAGCGCGACATGCCTGGCGAGCAGCGCCTGTCGGTCTTGTGCGCCCTCGTCGAGCTCGCGACGTCGACCGAGGCGGTCCGCAACCAGATGGCCGAGGTGCGTCTCTCCTTCCTCTCCTCTCTCGTCCCGCCAGGCTCGACCGCCGTGTACTGACACACCTCGTTCCCGCCGACTCACAGGGCGTCGACTACCAGTACACCGAGATGATCGCGCTGCGCAAGAAGCGCTTCCAGCAGCGCAAGGAGCTCCCCGTCGAGAAGGCGCGCCTCGAGGAGTCCAAGCCCGAGAAGCCGCCGGGCAACAGCATCTCGGCCAAGGTCAAGGAGTGGCAAGAAGCGTGCGACGAGGTCGACGCCAAGATCGAGGAGCTCGTCGACACCGCCGCCAAGAACTCGCTGCAGCTTCGTGCGTCCTCGTCTCCCTCGTCTCCCTCTCGAGGCCCTCCCTGACGATCGACTCGCGACCCACGCAGAGAGCGACTTCTTCCTCACGATGGCCAAGACCCGCATCCGCTTCACCTCGCTCGGTCGCGACACCCACGGCACCGAGTACTACACGCCCGCCCCGCCGCCCGACGAGCTCCTCCAGTCGAGCGCCGGCTCGGCCACGTCGGGCTTCCCGCTCGACCGCAAGGCGAGCGACGACGGCGTGCGCGACTACCCGCTCAGCTGGTGCATCATTGGACACGGCCGTCGCCCGGACGTTGGCGGCGTCAAGCGCGAGGACGTCGACGACGACTCGGCGGCGTCGGGCGCCGACAAGACCTGGTTCGTCGTGCGCGACATCAACAACCTCGACGCCCTCGCCGAGTGGGTCGACCTGTCGGCGCGGCACGCCGACCACCAGCTGCGCCTCGCCCAGTTCCAGCTCGAGCACCCAAAGACCAAGACGAACGGGGTCGCGCGCGCTCCGCCGACGGCGGCCGAGGTGGCGGCGTTCGAGCGGGCGGCGGCGCGCGCCGACGACAGCCTGCCCGACGCGCTGAGGCAGTTCGCCGACGCGGTCAAGTGGCGGGCGGAGCTTGCGAGGCGGGACAAGGAGGGCGAGGGCGCCGGGCTCATCGCGGAGAGGACGCGCGCTCACAAGGCTTGAAGCGGGAGGGGACGTGGATAGCTTGCTCTCTGTCTACGATGCAACTAGCAAGCCTCGCAGCCTGTCCTCCTCGCGTCTCGAGAGGGAACGAACGCCGGCTGTTGTTCCGCAACCGATGACGCCGACGGGAGGAGAGCTCGCCTCCTCGCACCACCACCACCTCGCTCGACGACAAGAGCTCGAGCAGCATGAGCACCACGATGCACCAGCGCCCACGCCCGGCCGCCAACGCCCACACGGCACCGTCCCGACCCTGGTCACCGCGGCGTCGGTTCATCAACCTCCTCGTCCTCACCGTCGTCGCAGGGACGACGTGGAGCGTCTACACCACCTCGGCCGCTGCCACCGCCTTCCGCTCGCGCCTACCGGCCCACACGCTCACCCGCCTGAGCGAGAGCGCGACCAAGTTCCCCATCTCGCTCCCCTTCTTCGCCGACAAGGTGCGCCCTCGCTCTCTCTCCCTTTCCAAGCACGTTCAGCCTGGCAGACACTGACAGGTTGTACGTCTCTTCCCCTCACAGCGCAACGTCCTCAACCAGTGGTACGTCAAGCGGTCGTGGGGCTGGGTCACGGCGCTCTTTGTCGCCTTCAACCTCGCCGTCCTCCTGTTCCCGACCAAGCCTGCCGCCCAGTCGACGTCGCCCTCGACCCCGACCATCGCCAACGGGCGCAACGTCCCTTCCACCCGCACGGCCGTCCCCTCGGCCCACCTCCTCGCGTCGCTGCGGCGGTACCTCCTCGCGTCACTCGCGTGGTTCTACCTCACGCAGGCGACGTGGTTCGGCACCACGCTCGGGCCAAGCATCGCGTTCCGCATCCTGCGCTCGTCGGGCGCCGTGTGCGTCCCGAGCGCGATCGGGAGCGACCCGTTGAGCTCGCGCGCGGCGGGCGCGGGCCTGCACGCCGACGGGCTCGGCGATCCCGAGGGCCCGCCCATGGTGTGCACGGGCGCGAGGGGCGAGTACTGGCGCGGCGGGCACGACGTGAGCGGGCACGCCTTCATGATGGTGCACTGCTCGCTCTTCCTCGTCGAGCTCGTGTACCCGCTCCTGCCGGCCCTCTTCCCGCGCCTGTTCTCTGGCGGCGCGCGCGCCAAGGTCCAGCACGTCCACCCGGCGGTCAAGGCGGTCGGCTACGCGGCGTGCGGCGTCATCGTCCTCTCGGTCGTCATGCTCGCGGCGACGAGCCTCTTCTTCCACTCGCCGCTCGAGAAGGCGACGGGCACGGCGTTCGGCATCCTCGGGTGGTACCTCAGCGGGCTCTAGAATCGCTCGCACGATAGACCCTCTCCCACCTGTGTAGCTCTGCCCCTCTCTGCCTCTCTCTCTCTATCGACGCAATGCGAAAAGAGTGATTCTGCCGCTCTACTGCGCCCGAGCCTCGTACCACCGCGAGAGCCCGTCCGTCCGCCGCTGCACCGCCGCTCGCTCCAGCTCGTACGAGAGCCGCTCGACGAGCGCTTCGACCGGCTCGCTCGAGTCCCTTGCCACGCTCGCGACGCCCTTCCACGTCTCGCGCCCGCCGCCGCTCCGGAAGGGCAGCAGGACGCGCGCCTCCCTCGCCCTGAGCTCGACGCGCACGTCCTCGCCTCGCACTGCTCCTGCTGCGTCTCGCCCCGCACCTTGCCCACCTCGTCCTGCCCCCGCGCGCGCCGCCGCCGCCGCCGCCAAACTCGCGGCGAGCAAGTCCTCGCACCGCGCCCTCGGCTGGAGCAGGTTCCACAGGTCGGCGCGCTTCTCGCCCGGCACGAGGCGCAGGGCGTCGTCCTCGCTCGTGAAGAGGAGCGACGAGGCGCCGAGGCGGGCGAGCGAGGTCGAGAGGGCGACGAGGAACAGGTCGAGGACGGCGAGCTCGCGCGAGCGGGTGGAGAGGGGCGAGGACGAGCTGGTTGGGGTCGCGGTAGCGGCAGTGGTGTATGCTGGCGAGGGTGCAGCGTCTGCGCCTGGGTCCTGGAGCGCTGCGCCGAGCGGATCCGACGAACCGAGTGGTGCACCGCCTTGAGCTCGCTGGGCGGCGGCGGCGCGCACCTCGTCGTGCCACAGCGGGAGGCCCTGCATACGCGCGAGCGACATGGCGTGGACGTAGAGCGCGCGAGACGCCGGTCGCAGGGCGAGGACGAGGTCGGGCAGGGAGAGGTGCGCGAGGATGCGGAGGAGGAGGTGCGAGGGGAGCGCATCGAGCTTTGGAGGCGTGCGGGCAGGGTGCGGCGTGGCTTGGTAGGCTGGTGGAGCGTCGCTGAGCATGGCTGCGGATCCGCTGGCGAGGGAGCGGGTCGTGTCGAGGGGCGAGGAGCGTCGGCGGCGGCGAGCACAGGGTCGACCTCCTCTCCCTTGCTCTTACAAGCTCCTGTCGGCGTGCATTGCTGCCGCCCAGCTTGCGTTCGACTGACTGTCCGCCCGCGCCAACTCAGCAGGCCGCGCCGCACACCTCGCCCGTCTCGACCGACCACCACCACCTCCCCTTCCTCCTCCTCCGCTCCCTCCTCGTCAACCCACTCCAGCGCTAGTCTGTACCGGCAAGCTGCCTAGACACCGGCGAATCGCCGACAGCCATCGCCAGCGCCGCACGACACGAGCTCGTCGAGCGACATTATCATCTTCTCGAGACCTCGACCGCCGTCTCTGGGCTCGTCTCGCGCATTACAGCGCTCTGCGCCGACGCAGTCCACCCAGGCACTTTATACGCGCTCACGGGCGAGCGCGCATCGAGCCTCGCTGCGCTGGTCCGCGTGGACCCCCCTCCTCGCTCCTCGCTCCTCCCTCTCCCGACCCTCGCTCGCCTGTGCAGCCTGTGCGCGAGCCCATCACGCCTGCTCGACGGTCGCACACGGCCTATCGATGCTTTAATGATTTTCTGAGGTGGGCGCAACAGCCAAACATTGCTGTGCGTCGTGCTCGTCCGCTCGCTCGACCGTGCTGTACCTGGAGCGCGAGCCTTCGACGGGCTGCCGCGCTTCCTGTACCGGTACCGGCTGTCCAACTCAAACTACACAGCCTCTCGATACCCTCTCGCTGTCGCCGTGAGCGGCACAGGCGCGCTGGTCGTGCCGCTCGGTCGGACACGCTCTCGCGCTCTCTTTCTCGCTCGGGGTCTCTCGCTTGCGGAACTCAACAAGATAAGGACGAAAGAACTGCTGCTTTTGTTGCATTCGGCGGATCGGGCACAGTGCGGGCAAGGGGAGGACGCCGCGGCGACGAGGGCCCGCTCAGGCGAGGAGCTTCTTGAGGTCGCCCGACTTGTGGAGGGCCTGGAGGTCCGAGTTGCCGCCGATGTGCTTGCCGCCGATGAAGACCGAGGGGACGGTGCGCTGGCCCGTCTTGTCGCCGAGGTAGGCCTGCCAGTCGGAGCCCTCGTCCATCGTGTCGAGCTCGTAGACGTCAAAGTCGACGCCGAGTTCCTTGAGGAGCGACTTGGTCTTGCTGCAGTACGGGCAGTACGACTTGGAGAAGACGACGACGTGCTTGCCCGAGGCGATCTTGGACTCTGCGTGGGAGGAGGAGGGGGGAGGTGAGCGAGGCCGTGGGGAGAGAGCGGGGGAGCGAGAGGGTGCGCACCGACGGCGTCCTTTGCGGCCATGATGTGCGGTGCGAGTGGTGGTGGTGGTGTGGGTTGGAGTGAAGTGGTGGAGGGAGAGAGAGGAGCGAGGTCGAGGGAGGAGGTCGGAGATGACGAGAGCAGGAGGCCGAGGGCGTCGCGGTGGCGATGCGTGACAAAGAGGGCGACGAGGGGGAGGGCACACACGACCGACAGGAGGGCAATGAGCCTCTGCCGTCTCATCCGGCGTCGAGAGCGAGAGAGCGAGAGCAGCTCGTCGCTCCTCCCCACCCGACGACCCGACACTCGTCGTCTCGCCCCCAACCGCTACGCCGAGATCGGCCACCTGCTGGCCCTGCAGCTTGCTTGAACGACCACCTCGAGAACCACCCGCTAGTACCGCGATCACCCGCGACAGTCGCCGCCGCCGCCGCGTCGTCGTCGTCGTCGCCCGCTCGCGCTCAGCTGGCCACGACCGCAATGGACACAGAGCGGGCAGGCGCACCAAGCCCTCGCATCCATCCACCACCCCCGACCGACCACGCCAAACTCGACCAGCTCGTTCAAGTGCGCCCCTCGTCCCCTCCCTTCTCCTCGTCTCCCCCACTCAGCGCACCGACACCTCGCATGCCACCGACTGACACACAGCCTACCCGTGCAGCACTTCTACGCCAAGACGTGCGCCGTCGTCTCGCAAGCCCGCTCGACCCACCTCCAACCGCCGACCGACGACCACCCGCTCTCGCCCGCTCTCGGCGCAGCCTCGACCGCCGCACAAGTCGTCGGCCCGGCCGCTTCACCTGTACCACCGCCTCAAGGCCAGCCTCGAAGGGCGAGCGCAACCCTCAAGGACAAAGCGCGTCGTACCAACAAATGGGTGCGCTCCCGCACCTTCTCTCCCTCCCTCGTCGACTTGCCCAGCTCACCCACGCCTACACCCGCAGTTCAACCTCGAGCTACCCGACACGGACCAGTTCCGCACCGAGCTCAAGACGTGGCGCAACTTGTCCCGCCTCGTCGTGTATTAATTTTATTGTTCAAACATGAGAGCTTAGTACGTGAAACATGAGAGCTTAGTACGTTAGCCATGAGAGCTTAGTACGCCACTCGTGCTGCCCATGGTACTCGACGTCGTGCTCGACACGTCCGACCTGTCGCCCAACCAGGTCCTCGTCCTCGCCGACCAGCGCGGCAAGCGCCTGCGCGTTTCGGCGCCGGCGCGGCGGCCTCGCCAGCCGGCGCACGACGTGTACGCCGGCTTGACAGCCGCACCAGGAGGGCGGGGGTCGCCCGTGCCGCGACCTCGTTCGGCGGGAGCGGCGCCTCTCGGCCCTCGCCGGCCTTCCTCGGCGACGGCGGCAAGCTCGAGCGGCGCACCGCCAACAGCAAGCGTTGCGCCCGACGTCATCCTCGAGCGCTGGGTTCTCTCGCTCTCACCGCGCTCGACCACGACCTCGACCTCCACCTCGAGCGCGTCCTTCTCGCCCTCGTCCTCCACCAGTTACCCCTCTCCCTCGACCGCCGCCCGTCCTCCTCCACCCGCACCACCATCGACGACGACTACGACGGCGATCGAGCTCCCGACCGTGTACAAGCACGCGATCCTGCACTTTCGCGCCCAGTTCACGCTCGCGCGCACGCTCCCCGCGTGGGCGCTCCACCGCCGGTTGGCGCGCAGGCCGTTCGCGGCGGCCGCGGCGGGCGGGACGGGCTTGGGCTTGCGGGTCAGGATGGGGCGAGGCGAGGGATACGGAGGAAGGGCCGGCGAGGGCGAGGAGAGGGAGGGAGAGGTCGGCATCGAGGAGGCGCTCGAGGGCGGAGAGGGCGAGACGGAGAAGATCGTGTTCCCCGGGATCGAGACGCCGCTCGGGTGCGTCACCTCTCACTCGCGCTGCCCGTCCGTCAACTCGACGAGTCGAGGACGAGCAGCTACACGTGGTCAGGGTTGCGCACTGACCCTCTCTCGTCGTCGCGCAGCACCCTTTCGCTCTCGGTCACGTACCGCCTCAACACCGACTTCTCGGTCGAGGAGATCGAGACGCTCCTCTCGTCGCGCTTCCTCGACGAGGACTTCTTCCGCCCGACCGTCGCACGGTACCCGACCCACGTCCAGCAGCCGCAGCAGCAGCACCCGCACCAACACTCGTCGCACGCCCTGCGCGCCGAGCCAGGCTCGCTCCCGCTCACGTCGACGAGCCCGGGCGGCGGCTTCGCGCTCGGCATCGGCACCGGCGGCGCGTCGCGCGCGAGCCCACCTGTCGCCGCCGCACCCGCCTCGACGGCGAGGGGCATGACGGGCCTTGCGCCCCTGCCGAGCTACGGCTCGCTGTCGTCGCGGCACCCGTACGCGCCGCACCCTCTTGGCCCTGCCACGACGACGCCGCACGCACCCTCGCCCCTCTCGAGCTCGCCCCGCCCGGGCAACGCCCTCCCCGCACCCGTTGCCGTCCCTCGAGCGAGCCACGCCTCGTCCCAGGCCGCGTCATCGCCTCGCCCCGCCTCGTACATGAGCGCCGGCGGCGCAAGCCCGACCGCGTCGCACTCGTCGTCGGCGCCCCGGTTCGTCGCCTACGGGCCCGGGCACGATGCCGCGCCGTCGCCCGCATCGGCCGCAGCGGCGCCGAGCACATCCACCTCGGCGGGCGCCGGCGCCGTCGAGCCCGCCTTCATCTCGCTCGCGCGCGCGAGGGGCGCGTCGTACTCGGGCGGCGGCCCGGGCTCGAGCTCGGTGCCGCGCGCGAGCCCGCTGAGCGCGAGCCCGGCGACCCAGGCGGGAGGGTTCTTTCGCCGAGCGAGCGGCGGGAGCTCGTCGTCAGGCGCAGGCGGCGGGGCCGGCGCGGGAGGGTTCTACGGCGCGGCGGGCACGAGCGCCGGCGGTGGTGGCGGGAGCCCGATCTTTCGCGCGGGCAGCTACCTCGGCACGAGCGCGCTCGCGTCGTCGTCGTCGCCGTCGGGCGCGCCCATCGGCCGGCAGCAGCCGCTCCCGCTCCCCGTCGCCGTGCCCGCGCCTGCCGGCGCGCACCCGCAGCTCAGCGGCTCGCCCCTCGCCGGCGGCGGCGGGAGCATGAGCGTGCGCCCGTCGGGCCTCGGCAGCTACGGCTCGCAGGGCAGCTACACGCGCTCGGGCCTCATGCGCGCGTCGAGCGCGAGCGGCGGCAGCGGCAGCTTCGACGAGGCGCACGCGCACGGGCACCCGCACGGGCACGGCTCCGCGATCGTGCGCAGGCCGAGCGGCGGCGCGGCGTCGAGGGCGCTCAGCTTCGGCGTCGCCGGCAGCCTCGGGCGCTCGCCCGGCGGCGGCGGCGGCATCGGCGGCGCGATGGCGAGCGGCGGCGCAGCGGCGGGCTCGAGCGGCGTCAGTCGTCTCGGGACGATGATGGCCCAGTACGACGCAGCGTCGTCGCCTGGCGGCGCGGCGGCGGCGCGTGCCGGCGCCGGACCCGGCGCAGCAGGAGCGCCCGCACCTGCGGCCGAGCGGCGGCGGTTCGTGCACGAGGGCCGCGCACCCGACGACGCAGACGACATCGAGGCGTTCCTCGGCATGCTCGACTCGAAGCCCGACCTGCGCGCGTCGGACGCCGGCGGCGGCCTCGGCGGCGGCTTGGGAAGGTCGTCTGTCGCGGCCGGCGGCGGCGGCGGCTTCGTCAGCAAGCGTGACGTCGACGAGCAGCTGCGACTTCTCCGCAGCAGCGTCTACGGCTCTGCAGGCCCGGGCAGCGCCGGCAGCGGCGGCGAGAGCGCGAGCCCGCCCGTCCTCTTTGGCGGCTCGGCGGGGTGGGCGGGTCCGAGCGGCGTGAGCCCGTCGCCGCGCACGTCGAGCGGCCTGTCGAGCTTGCGAAGGCAGACGAGCCGCCTCTCGATCGAGGAGGACCCGGCGGCCGAGGCGGCCGCGGTCGCGGCGCGCTCGCCAAGTCGCGAAAGGCTGGCGACTGGGCCCGAGCGCACGCCGCGAGCTCCTCTGCGCACGCTCTACGGGCACGGTCACGGGCGAGCGAGCCCGACGCTGTCGGCCACGTCGGGCACGAGCACCGCCGTCCCGCCGCTGCCGCAGCCGTCGGCCGCAGGCGTCGAGCCGCGGTTCCTCCCCCTCCCGCTCTCGAGCACGACCTCTCCTCTTGCCTCGCCCGGCACACACGGCGCCCACCCGCACTACCGCCACCACGCCCTGCAGAGCGCCGCGTTCGGCGCCTACCCGTTCGCCGCGCTCGCGCCACAGCCGTACCCGCCTCTGCCGTATCCTCCTGCCGCAGAGGGCTCGACCGCCGACTCGCCCTCGTCCGCGCCGCCCGACGCGACGACGACGACGGCCTCGGAGCCCGTCACGATCGCGCCGATGCGGCCCTCGTCGGCCGGCGCCGCCGCCCGAGGCGGCCCGAGCGCTGTCGCGTACCACCAGCTGCGTCGAGGCGTCGGCAGCACGACGCAGCCGACGACGCCCGCGCTCGGGTCCGAGCACACGTCGGCCGCTGCGAGCATCGCGAGCTTCGACGTCGACGCCGATGGCGGCGCCGAATCGTCGTCGTCGTACCGGTGCGAGGAGGAGCCGGTCGGCCGGCTCGAGCTCGACGACTCGGAGGAGCAGCAGCACGACGCGCAGCTCCAGCTCGAGGCCGAGAGGAGGGGCAGGTGGGGAGGTGGGCTCGGCGCCGAGGCGGACGAGGAGGAGATTGCGCGGCTGCACTCGCACTCGGGGCGAGCGGCGCCGGGCAGGCACAGCCGCGACGCGACGCCTGCTGCGACGAGGCTCGGCGGCGGAGGCTCGGGCGCGACGGCGCCGGCGACGGGCTACTTTGCTCGCGGCGCTGGAGGAGCGGCGGGCTCGAGCCCGCCCGAGATCTCGTGGATGGGGTGACCCGACTTGCTTAGACCTTCTTTCCTCTCCTCTCCCTTGTTGGCTTTCATCATTGCGCTCTCTCCCCTCTCCCTTACGGATCTGTGCCGTCGCGATAGTCCCTTGCATTCGAGCCTCTCTTTCTCGGACTCAATCTCTCGGCGCGAGCACGGAAAGGCTGAGGGGGAGAGACGGCGCAGATGCTATTGCAGATGCTGCCAATCGAGACGACGACGAGTAGTAGAGGCACAGAGAGAGGCAGAGGGAAAGAATGCGGTTGATGCGGGGACGAGAGAGCGCGAGAGAAGGAGGGGGGGGGGAGAGACAGAAAGAGGGAGGGGTGGCGAGAAGCAAGTTCACGATAGATCGATGCCGTTTTGCTGCAGGTACTGCGCGAACGGCGTGGCAAACTCGGGGTTGACCTGCCGCATGAGCGCCGGGATCTGCGCACGCAAAGAAAGGGCAAGGTGGGAGTCAGTTAGGGGCTCGAAAAGCACGAAAAGGAGACGGAAAAGGAGAAAGAGGCCGACGCACCTTGCCCGGCTCGCGCCTGTTGGCCTCCTCGAGGCCCTTGGCGAGCCACATCCTCGGCTCGTCGACGTGCGCGACCGGGTCGGCCCTCGGGCGCTCGCTCGCGCCGAGCTTGGAGAACGACGCCTGGTAGCCGACCGCCTCCTCCGGGTCGACGACGTCGACGTCGTCGTCGGCCGCAGACGTGTTCCGGGCGATCGGGAGCGGAAGGAGGAAGAGCTTGAGGAGAGCCTCGAGCGTCGGGGCCCTGCAGGAGCGCGGCGAAAGAGACAAGTCAGTTGCCGAGCTTGCGCACGAGGCAGACGAGGAAGAGGAAGGGGACGTACCATGCGCGGACATGCGGCTCGTTGAGCATCTTTGGGCTCTTGGTGAGGAAGTTGGCGAGCCCGACGGCGATGATCTTGCGGTCCTTGGTCGGCGCCTTCTGCACGTCGGGGAGCAGCACGGGCAGGACCTGGGCGAAGAGGCTGCGTCGCAAGAGGGCGAGTCAGGGACGCTCGAGAGAAGCAGACAGGGAAAGCGAAGCGTGACGCACCCAGGTTGAGGCTGGACGCCGTCCATGAAGCCGACGACCCGGTCGGCGCCCAAGTCGTCCTTCTGGATGGCGGCCGCGAAGGACAGGAACCGAATGAGGCCGTGCGTGAACTTGTCCGTCTTGGACGTCTGGAGGCGGGTGAGGAGGAGGACGAAGATTGGCGTCGAGAAGTACTGCTCAAGGGCCGAGCTGTGGGCGAGGGGGAAAGGGTGGACGAGAGAGGGTCAGTGCGGCACGAGGCGACGAACCGAGAGACGAGAAAGGTGACAACGCACATCGGGAGCGACTCGACGAGCGCCTCGAGCAGGTCGAATCCGTGCTGGTCGTTGGCCTTGCTCTGGATCAGGTGCTGGAAGATGCCGAGCATGGGCGGGACCTGGCCGCTCTGGACGATCTGCGCCGCGCCCCGGGCGAGGAACGCCCGCAAGAGGCGCACGAGCGCCGGAACGTTGCCGCGCGACTCCCACAGGGCCGGCGTGAGGAGCGGCGGGAGGAGGACCGTGTACTGCTGCGGCAGGTCGTTGGCCGACCGGAGCTCGAGGAGCTGCGACAAGATCTGGAACACGAAGGGCGTGAACTCGGACACGTCTTGCTGGAGGATGGCGTGGAAAGGCGGGAACAGGGCCGTCTCGAAGGCGGCGAGGGCGGACGGGTCGGCGACGACGACGAAGCTGTGCGCAAGGAGGAGGCGTCAGTCACGGCGCCCCTCAGGGTCGAAAGGACACAGATAAGATAGAGAGTGAGACGGACCGAATGAGGGCCGAGATGCTCTCGAACGTAAAGTGGTTGAACTTGGGGTTCGACGGGTTCTTGCTGATCTCGCCGAGGATGGCGACGAGGTGCTGCAGGACGGTCGCGTAGCTCGGCGCGAGCCCACCACGAGCAGTGACGATGACGCGCATGGCCGCTGCAGGACAAGGACGGCGTGGTCAGTAGCGAATCGGAGAAAGAGAGGGGTCCGAGCGCGCGAGGACGAGCGACGCACACTTCATGAGGTGCTCGTTGGCGGCGACCTGCTGGGGCGACGTGCCGCTCTCGATGATCTTGAACAGGGCGAGCAAGATGCCCTCGGCGTGCTCGCGGATGTCGCCCTGGCCGAACCTGAGGAAGAAGAAGGTCAGTCTCGGCTGCTCGAGAGGGAGAGGGAGGGGAACGGCGAGCGCACATGAACGCGTTGTTGGTCTTGATGAAGAGGATGCGCTCGATCGTGAGGGCGGCATACGTGTGGATGACGAAAGCCGGGTTCTCGAGGTGAGGGATGAGGAGGGGAAGGACCGAGAGGAGCTGCTCCTTGGTGAGCTGCGATTGGGGCAACAGGTCAGGACTAAGGGCCGCTCCAAAGAGAGAGGGAACCAGGGGAGGACGAGGCGGGCGTACCTGCATGCGGAACGTGAACAGGAACTTGATGGCGTCGGCCTGGACGACCGGGTGGACCGAGCCGGGCGCCGCCTGCAGGTCGGCGAGGATGTGCTCCGAGAAGAACTTGATGACGTCGACGAGCGCGTTGGTCGACGTGACGCCCTGCTGCTGGGTCGAGCCGCGAGTCGCGATCGACGTGAGGAGGAAAATGGCCGTGTCTTTCGACTTCCAGTTGGCCTGCGGCGACGAGGCGTATTGCTGCGGCGAGGAGTCGAGGCATCAGGTGCCCTGCACATCAATCTTGAAAAAGGGAGCAAGAGGACGCACCTGCAGGTAGGCGGCGATGTACTGCGTGACGATTTGCGTCACCTGCGACTCGAACTGCTCCATGAGCGCCTTGGTAAAGTCGCTCGCGGCCTGCCGCCTCGTCTCGCTACCTGCAGACGCCAAGAGAAGAGTCTAGTGAGTTCGTTGTGCGGGCGAAAGAGAGATAGAGAGGGGAAGTGGACGCACTCGCCGAGTCGAGATCGCGCCGGACGTACTCTGCCGGGTCGTCCTCGAACAGCTCCTCCTCGAACGTGCGCAGGGTCATGTTGGGCAGGACGATCTTCTCGCAGAAGGCCTCGAGCGTCTGCTGGTTCTCGAACAGGGAGCGCTGCGACGGCATCTTGACGACGGTTCCGAGGAAGGCGGTCGCCTTGGCGACGAGCTGTGGCGAGGCGGCGACGATCACGTCAGTGAGGCGTCGCTCTCGAGAGAGCGCACATGGCGCAGAAGAGAGGGAACAGGGGACGAACCGTGTCGTACTTGACGGCCGGGCCGAGCTTGGTGAGGAGGCCCCATGTCTTCTCGACGAACGGGCCGAGGTAGCCGCCCTCGCCAAACACGTCGAGGTACCGCAGGCTGTACAGCTGCACGATGTCGCAGATCTCGGCCTTGGCCATCTCGAGGTCGCCCGCCGCCTCGTCCTCGTCGTCGTGGTCGGCGGCAGGTGCGCCTGGCGGCGCATAGTCGAGGTACTTGAGAAGGAGGGGCATGAACTGGGGGAGGCGGTCCTCGAAGAACTCGGGGAGGTCCTGCGAGTTGAGGTCGTGGAAGAGCTGAAGGAGGAGGAGGAGGGTGCGGAGGAGGAGGTTGAGCTGGTCGGGCGAGAGGGCGGTGCCGGACGACAGGATCGAGTCGGTTTGCTGCAGGACGCGACAGGTGAGCACACGCCGTCGACACGTGCAGGGCGAGAGCGGACGCACCTGGAAGACCTTGAGGTAGGGCTCGCAGAAGCGGTCGAGGACGAACTTGATCTGGAGGAACAGGTCGTCGGTGCGGAACTCGGACCGCCAGCTGCGGAAGATCGAGTGGGCGGTCTGGAGGACGGCGTTGTTGACGACAAAGTTGTCGGGCGTGAGCTGGGTCGTAAGTTGCTGCGTTGCGGGAGAGAGAGAGGCGTCAGTACGGCCCGGTCGAGGCGAGGTGAGGTGGGGAAGGGACGAAGCGAGGACGCACGTCGATGAGGCTGTCCCAGTCTTGCGGAAAGTCGGCGGCGGCCATGATGGCGATGGCCTCGCCGAGCTGGACCTGGAGGGCCTGCTCGCCGGCGAGGCTGATCATGATGGGGACGACGCTCTGCTTGAGCGACTCGGCGGTGCTGGTCGTCAACGGCGTCGGCGCATCTTCGAGCTGTGTGTGCGTCGAGTGTCAGTGCGCATCTCAGGGGGGCAACTGTCGCCGCTGCGTCACACGGGCGAGGGCTGGCGCGTCGAGGAGGAGAGGAAGGGGGGAGGAGGGAGGGGAGATGAGGAGACGACGACGCACAGCCCAGTTGGCCTTGATCCAGTTCTTGAAGCTGAGTGCGGCACTCTGGCGGATGGCCTTGTTGTGCGCAGCATCCTGGGCGAGCTGGAGGACGAGCGGGCCGAACGAGGGGTGGGCCTGCGCCTGGAGGAGGTCGCGCTCGGCCTGACGGCGGGTCGGGGCGTCTGGCGAGAGGGTGGCGACGAGGACGGCAGCAAGTGCACTGAGCTCGGCCATGGTCGGGTGCACGGCGGTGGAGGAGGACGAGAGAGAGGAGCGAGGCAGCAAGAGTTGGATGAAGCCAGCTCGCCACTCTCGTCCCGCACAGCTGCGAGCAGTGCAGCAAGGGACTCGCACAGCTGCCTGGACTGCATTGCACTCTGCTCGCGAGCGCGCACGTCCCCGCGAGCCCTGCTCGTCTCTCCCCCCTCTCCTCCTCCTCCCTCCACCTCGACCTCGCCCTTTCCACCGTCAACCTCGCACGCCCCGGCCTGCGCGCATGGGATTCCACCCTGTACGAGCCCGGGCCTCGCCACATGCCAGAGCCACGTCACCCTCGCTCGACGTGCGTGCTCCGCTCTCTGCCTTGGCGCGAGCTCTTCCTCTCGCGGTCGGCGGCCTTCCACGCACCAGCGCACTCTCGAGCCCGAGCATTGTGACTGGCAGGACCGCCTTGATCACCACTTGGAGCGCAAACCGCTAGCGTTACAGTTCCAACTCATCTCGCTCGTCCCCTTCCCAGTCGAGCTTCGCGCGGCGGAGCACCGCCAACCCTCCGCCCTCAGCACTTGCGCCAGAGCTCGAGCCCGCGCGAGCAATCGCTCTCGCTCTGCGTCCAGCTCCGCACGAGCTTGACGGCTCGATGGTTCCCTGCTCCCCCGCTCGCTCTCTCTCCTTCTCTCTCTCCTCGCCCCCTTCCCCTGCTTCTTCGTCCCCGCGCCCCCGCCGCACCGCCAGTCGACCGGCGCAGCCATGCTCGTCCCGCTCACAGCGACCGACGCGACCTGCGAGCTCACGCAGAACGTCCTGTGCCTCGCCTATAGCCTCCCGCCCGGCTGGACCTCGGCGCAGAGCGACGCGCTCGTCGCTCGACTCGGCGAGGCGACACGCCAGGTCGCGCTCAAGTGGCCGCTCATGAGGGGCCTCGCGAGCAAGAAGAAGGTGCGCCCGTCGTCTCTCGCCACGTTTCGCTCGGAGCGAGCCGCTACTGACTCTTCCTCCCTCCCTCCCTCCCTCCCTCCCTCCCTCCCTCCCTCCCTCGCAGGGCACGTGGACGATCGACGTCCCCGACGACGCTGCAACTCGCCCGACGCACTACCGCTTCACGACCAAGTCGCTCGACCTCGACTACGTCGCCGCGTCGGGCTTCTCGTCGGCGTCGCCCGCGTTCAACGGCCGCGCCTCGGCTCCTCTCGAACGACCAAAGCGCACCCTGTTCCGCCCCAAGGGCGTCCCCAAGTCGCTCGCCGGCCACGCCAAGACCGACGACTACCCGTTCCTTCACGTTCACGCGACCATCCTCGTCGACGCCATCACGGTCGGCGTCAACCTTCCTCATGGCGTCGTGGACGGAACCGGAATGGGCCTCGTCCTCAAGGGCCTCACGGCCGAGCTGCACGGCAACGAGTGGGACGTGCCGCCACCGTTCGAGGGCGTCAACCCGTGGCAGCACGCGCTCGATCGGCTCGTCGACGAGGACGCCGGCGAGAGCGGTCCGTGCACGCCGAGCGGCGACAGCGAGTTCAAGCTCGAACTGAGCGAGAAGGGCCTCGCCAGCTCGTCGACACCGTCCAAGGACGCTGCAGCACGCGCCGCACTGCCCGCCACCGGCATGTGGCGCTCGTTCTCGACCTGGCCCGCCGCTCGCCTCCTCAGCAGCGTGTTCGTCGAGAACGTCTTTCGCCGCAGCCACCGAGGCTGGATCCTCCTCAACCACGCGACGGTCGACGCGCTCGTGCGCAAGGTCAAGGCCGAGATCAAGCTCGAGACGGGCGGCGCCGAGTTCGTCTCGAGCGGCGACGTCCTCTTTGCCTGGGCGCTCAAGGTGCGCTTTTTATTCCTCTTTCTCTCTCGGCTCCTTGTCGTCGATCGTACAGTGCATGGCGACTCGTACTGATGCTCTGCGACCCGTACAGGCGGCCCACTCTGCCGACAAGTCGTCCTCGGCCGTCTGCGCCGGCGCCGTCTGGCGCACGACGGCCCTCCTCGGCGCCGAGGTCCCGCTCTACCCGCACAACGCTATCGCTCCCTACTTCCTCATCTCGCCCCTGCCCCTCTCGACGCTCGCGGCGCTCCCGCTGTCGACCCTCGCGCTGCACATGCGCCGCAACCTCCTCGCGACCAAGACGCGCCCGGTCCTGCGCAACGCGTGGCGCGAGATCCGCAAGGGCGCCCAGCTCCCGCACCGCGACTGGCCGCAACTGCCTGGGCCGGCGCTCTTCCGCCGCGCCGTGTCGGACGGCCCGGGCGCGACGAGCGACACGAAGGGCAAGTTTGCGACGTACTGGGGTACGTCGAACCAGATGGGCCTCGGGCTCGCCGGGCTCAGGCTCCCGCGGGACGACGGTTCCGGGCTCGACCTCGACCTCATCTCGTTCCAGATGGACTGGGTCGAGCCGATCAACGTCGACCACCTTCTCATGCTCACCGACAACGCCAACGGCGTCCACGTCGCCGGCACCATGCGCAAGTCGAGGTGGAAGGCGCTGCGGAGGGCGACCGAGGAGCTCGAGCGCGAGCTTGCGTCGAGCGAGAAGTAGCTCGTGCCGGTGACGAGGCAAGGGTCCGGGCGGGACGAGGTCGAGGAGGTTTCGGGTCTGCAGGTCGCTCTCTGTTCTGGTTGTCTCTCTTTCGTTCCTCTTTCTCTGCGTAGCTCTCGGGTTGTCTGTCATTCCTGCCGTGCCATAGAGCTTGCGCCTACGACCGAGAGGATCGCGAGCGAGCGAGAGCGGGACCTTCTCAAGTTGCCTCGCCGAGGCGCACGGTCCTTCAACGCGCGGTAACGATACAGCCGAGTCTACAAATCGGCGACGACACGCTCATGGCTGCATGCCCCCCTTCTCGGCGACCGACTCGGCGTCCCTCGAGGCGAGAGGCGCGACAGGCTCCCACGACATCTTGTCGCGCAGGTACAAGGCGACGTACGAGAGGACGAGGAGGACCGGGACCTCGATGAGCGGGCCGAGTCTGTGTGAGAGCGACGAAGAGTTAGAGACATACGACGACGATGACGCGAGATGAGGGGAGAAGAGGAGAGACGAACGTGGCTGCGAGGGCTTCAGGAGCGTCGGTGCCGAACGAGGCGGTCGCGACGGCGATGGCGAGCTCGAACTGCGCGCATACGGAGCATTTCAGTTCCGCGTTGCGTAGGAAAAAGAGAGAGAGAGTCGAGCGCACGTTGTTCGAGCCGGCGGTGAAAGCTTGCGTGACGGCCTTGTCGTACCCACCGGCATAGCGGCCCCACCGCGACTGCGAGAACTTCCAGAACGACAGAAAGGTCGTCGTCCACACGATCGTAAAGTACATGACGAGCCTGCGCGACAAGGAGTGAGAGACGGTGAGCGAGTTGGCCCACTCGAGCCGACTCGAGGCGGACGAGGACGCACGGGACGCAGATGCGGAAGACGGTGCCGATGTTGTTGATGATGGCCCTGCCCTGGCTCATGAAGAGGACGATGATGACGTAGAGGAGGCCGAGCATGCCGAACAGGCCAAAGTAGCCGAAGAACTGGTCGCGGCGCTTCTTGCTGAGGGTCGTCAGGGCGATGACGCGCGTGATGGCGCCGGCCGCGAGCGGAATGCCCAGGTACTGCGTCGAGAGTCGAAGTGAGCTCTCGTCGAGAAGGAGAGGCAGGCGCAAAGAGAGAGTCAGACGCACGATGCCGACCGCCTTTGCCACTTTGTCGTACGCGAGGCTGAGCTGGGCGAGGTCGGTGCCGGCGCGCACGCCGAGAATATCGCAGAAGAGGATGGCATAGGGCGAGAAGAGGACGATCTGCAGGATCGAGTTGAAGACGACGAGGATCGCGCAGTAGTCGCCGTCTCCTTGAGCGATGCCGGTCCAGATGCTGTGGCGAGGTGCGCGAGGACGGTCAGGACGGTTCGATGCGTCGAAGAGAAACCGCAATAGGAAGGGAGGACGCACATGACCATGGCGATGCAGCGGGCGACGCCGACGAGGAGCACGCCGCGACGCTCGCGGTCCATGCTCGCCTCGGGCAGGGCGATCCAGGCGCAGGCGGCCATGATGAAGGGTGCGACGACCCAGTTGAGGACGAGCGAGATGCCCAGGTGAATGTAGATCGTGCGCGACTTGAAGAGAACGGGCAGGCGCTCCCACTGGACCTTGCTCATGGCCGGCCAGATCATGACCAACAGGCCGACGAGGAGGGCTGCAGGTGCGGCAACTTGGTCGGTTCTGCTCTATGTCTACTGCGCAGAGTCGCGACGGGGCGGAAAAGGGTCGGCGAGCCGCCTCGGCGACGCCGACGAACGAGAGGAGGAGGGAAGGGAGAGCTGGACGCACGAACAGAGACGCCCTCCCACGACGCCGAGCCTCCCTCGGCTGAGAAGACGCTGTCGAGGCGGTCCTGCGGAATAGCGTTGCCGAGACCGACGCCGAGGATCATGGCCGCGAGAACGAGTGGCGCGAGGAGGCGGTCGCCCCAGCTGAGCGAACGGAACAGTTCTGCGGGTGAGGGATGGGTCAGCACGGCCTCGAGAGACAGACAGAGAGCTTGAACGCACCGATGGCGCTGACGGTGCCCTGCTTGGTCGTGGGCGGTGCGAGAGGGTCGCACGCTGGCCGGTCGCAGGCGGTGGACGGTGCGGAGGAAGAAGCGGCGCTGCGCGCGGCCTTGGTGGCTCTCTCGTCGCTGATGTAGCTCGACTCGGCCATGGTGGAGCGCAGCAGTGCGTTGGGGGCGTGGTGAGGGAGACAGAGAGCGCGAGGACGAGGGAGCGAGGCTAGCCGGCGATGAGGACTTCGCATTGCAAATCGCTCGGCGGACTGAAACGTGCGGCCCCGCCCCCGAATCAGCATTTCGTAATCGACCAAGCTGCCGAACACAAGCCGGCGCGCTCGTTGTCCTTTGATTCTGGCTCGCTCGCTCTCGCATCTTCACTCGCCGCTCAGCTCTCACACGACCGAGGTCATCCATGACAACCCCTGTCGCCTCGCCCGAAGCCCCCTGGCATGCCGCCTTCCCTGCGCCGAGAGCGACGCTCGCCAACGGCACCCTCGCCGCCCTCTCTGTCGACGAGCTACACCAAGCGCTAACCGGGTCCGAGACGACCAAGGCCACTACCCTCGTCGTCGACGTACGCCGCACCGACTTTGAGGTGCGCCCGGCTCGTCCTCCTCGTCCTCGCCGTGGAGCACAGCCGGACGGCGCTGACGACCTCCCCTCCTTCCTCTGCCAGACGGGCTTCGTTCGAGGCGCGATAAACCTACCGGCACACTCGTTCTACCCGACCCTGCCGTCGCTTGTCCCTATCCTGAGCCGGTGCGCCCGTTTCTCTTTCCCTCTCTCTCTCTCTCTCGATCCTCGCAGCGAGCTGACCCACTCTCGTACTCTCACAGCTACCGCACCGTCGTCTTCCATTGTCAGTCGTCGAACGGGCGAGGGCCGCGCTGCGCAGGGTGGTACCAGGACGCGCTCGACGAGGCGGGCATTTCTCGCGACACGAGCAAGGCGACCGTCCTCACCGGCGGCATCAAGGCGTGGCTGGAGCGGTATGGCGACGACGACAAGCTCACGACCAAGCTGTAGACGAGCGGCGTACACAGACCTTGACGCGCACGAGCTGTTGTTGCATCGGCGAGGTCGTCTCGAGGAGAGGAGAGCGGGCGAGAGCGAGAGCGCGACAGAGAGGGAGAGAGAGAGAGAACAACAGCGATGTATGGCACGCTAGATACAATGCGCACGCCCGCACCCGCTAGTGCTCGGACGTGCGCCGCCTCGCAAACCTCGCCCCGGCTGCCCGCTCGTCCCCCTCCTCGTCCTCGACAGCGCCCTCGCCATCGCTGCCGCTGCCCGCCCGGCTCACGTTGCGGCTGTTGTGCACCGAGATGCCCGACACGACGTCGTCGCGGCGGCGCCGCAAGAGCTCCTTGGCGTCGATAAACACGGCGCCCTGCGGCACCGGGAGCGAACCCGACGAGCTCGACCGGCCGGCCTTGCCCTGCGGCGACAGCGTGCGCTCGCCCGCCGCGCCGGGCGTCACACTCTGCGCGCGGGGCGGAGCGGGCGTCGAGGGCGAGCTGTGCGCGCGGGCGAGCGACGAGTCGCGCAGGCCCTCGCGGAGGGCGCGCTCGACGGGCGTGACGAGGTGGCTCGGGACGTGGCTCGCGCGCACGGGCGATGTCGGCGCCGGCGAGAGCGACGAGTGGTCGGCGCTGCCGCCGCTCGGCGTGCGAGGGCGGCCGAGGAGGACGCCGTCCATCGACGGCATCGTCTTGGTCGGAAGGTGCATCGCCGGCGCCGGCGACGTCGTGCGGCTCGTGTTGCTCGAGCCTCGGCGGCGCTTGGGCGTAAAGCTGAGGACCTCGTCGTCGTCGTCGGCCTCGGCGACGGCGATGTCGGGCGAGGGCGGGCCGCGAGAAGAAGGAGGGGAGGGCGCCTGCTCGAGCGTCGGCGTCGGCGGGACGATCTGGATCGGCTTGACGGGCTCGACCTTGCGGGACGGTGCGTGTCGTTGCTGGAGAGGGACAGGCGGCGACGAAGACGAGGTCGACTCGCTGGCCTTGGCGACGACGGCTCGGCCCTTGGTGGCTGCGGTGCGCTCGAACGCCTCGACGATCCAGTCGGCGTGCATGGCGATGACCCTGTCGGCCGCAGGCAACAGGCTGACCATCTGCAGGTACCCGTGGCTCCACCCGGCGATGATGCTCGTGCGGACCCAGTCGTCCTCGTCCTCGTCCAGGATCGGGTCGCGCACGCTCGACGACGACGACATGCGCAGGCCGGCGCCGTGGCGCGACTCGCGGGCGAGGAGCTCGAGCTTGCGCGCCTCCTTGGCCTCGCGCAGCTTGCCGGCAAAGATGACGGTCTGCGGGCGCGACGAGGAGGTCAGTCGGGTTCGGCCCGAGGAGGCGGACGAGAGACGAGGAGAGGGGGACGCACGTCGTCGACGAGAGGGTCACGCTCGCCGCACGACATGTAGACAGGCGGGAAGCGCGCGAGCATGTGTGACGGGGTGAAGATGGGCGAGATGTGGAAGTCCGAGTGCAGGTCGGGCGCGTTGCGGGGGCCGATGTACAGGAGCGCCATGGCGCGCAGCTGCAAGAGAGAGGCATCGTCAAACTCTACTCGACGCGGAGAGAGGAAACGGCGGCGAGGAGGAGCGCACCATCGAGGGAGCAATGATGCGGTCTGTGCGGGCGGTTGAAGCGAGTCAGTCTCGTTGCTGGACGAGGGCGCCCAGCGACAGCGGTCGAGAGAGGAGGACGGACCGTTGAAGAAGGCCGTTCGACTCGTCATGGCGAGCCTCGTGCCGGCGAGCGCGCTCCTGCCCTTGCCCTCGCCCTTGCCCTCGAGCTCCGCCTCCTTCTTGCCCTCGTCCTCCCTCACCTTGCCCTCGAGCCGCTTCTGCTCGTGCAGCTCGGCCGCCGTAGCCGACGTTCTCGAAGACGACAAGTGCGACGCTGCACCGCTCGCGCCGTTGTCCCACCACAGGACGCGCTCCGACAGGCTCATGTCGCGCTCGTCCGTGACGGCGACCTCCTCCTGCTCGCCGTCCTCGACTCGTCCCTCCTCCTCTGCTGCACCGGTCCCGCTCGCCGCACCCGAGGCGTGCTCCCCCGCCGTCGTGCCGCCGAGCTCGCGGATCGCCGAGAAGCTCGAGCTCCCGGGCAAGTTGCGCACGAGCCCCCGGCCCCAGCTCGTCGTCCTGCGGCGCCGAAGCACGGTCGGCCGGCCGCGCTCGCTGCTCGGGCTGCGACGCTCGAGGTCCTCGACGACGGCGAGCGGCGAGCGGTGCTCGAGGTGGTCCTTCTGCCGCAGGAGGTTGGCGACGTCCGGGTGCGACTCGGACCGCAGCACTCGCAGGTCTTGAGAGGGCATCCACGACGTAAAGTGGAACGACAGGGCCGGGTAGGCGAAGATGAGGCCGGCAGGGAGGGGGAGGGGTCGCGATGCCGAGGAGGAGGAGGAGGATGCGCGAGAAGAGGAGGGCTTGGGCGTCGACGACTCTTCGAGGAGCTTGATGACCATGGCCGTCGCGATGTTGGCGCCCCTGTACACTCGGAAGGAATCAGTACGCCGTCGTCCTTTTCCGTTTCCGGTAGCGAGACAAGGCTCTCGAGAGAGAACGATCGCCGTGCAGCAAAGAGAGGAGAGGCCGACTCACGCCGAGTCACCCGTGAGCACGACCTCGAGGTCCTTGTCGCCGCTCGTGTTCATGCCGATGCACTTGCCCTTGGTGTCGTGCAGGAGCGAGTAGGCGTCGTACATCTCGTCGATCGCGAACGGGAACGGGTACTCGGGCGCCTGCGAGGGGAGCGGGGCGAGGTTCTCAGTAAGGCCTCACAGAGCGGACCGGGGCACGCCGACATGGAGCGACGTCTTGGGCGCATGAGAGAGGGGCGCACCTTGCCATAGTTGAAGCTGACGACGGCCTTGGTCGGGCCGAGCTGCTTGGCCCACCGCAGGAGCCGCTCGGCATGGTGCTCGGGCGTCATGCAGATGAAGCCGCCGCCAGGGATGTCCATGACGAGCTCGTGCGCCGAGCCGAGGTCGGCGTCGGTGCCGGCGTAGTACAGGTGCAGCGTGATCGGCTTGCTGCAGAGGGCGACGGCGAGGAGGGTCAATCTTCTGCGCCGCAGCACCGGCACTCAACGGGACCGCCAAGCGACCGTGCAGGAGGAAGACGCAGAGGATGACGCACCTGTAGCGGCTGCCCTTGGGCCGGGCGAGGAAGAGCTTGCGCTGGATGCCGACAGGGGGCCGGTGCGGCCGCGTTGCGAACTTGACGTACGGGTTGCTCTGCTTCTCCCACGTGACGCGAAGCATCTCGACCGTGCAGAAGGCCCGGAACTTGCGGAGCTGTGCGGCAGGGAAGGGAGAGAGAGGTCAGCTCTCTGCGCTTTCGAGCGCCTTCGCCGGCCGCAGAACTCGGCAAGGGGAAAGGAAGGACGCACCTTCTCGTCGGCCTCGTTGGCGAACAGAAGGTAGTAGCCCGAGAAGGCGAGCGACGCGACGTCTCGAAGCCATTTCCACTTGATGCCCATGGCAGTCGCGAAGCCGGCGTCGAGCGCCGTCGTGATCCAGGTTGCGCTGCAGGGACCGTGTGCATCTAGGTCAACTCTTGTACACACCGTACGCGCAGGGCAGGCGAGAGCTCGCCCGAGTGGGCTGCTCCCCACCTGCCCATCCGAGAGGCCGAGGAGGACGAGGAGGAGAGGGGGCGCACCGGTAGTAGTCCCTCGAGTAGAGCCTCGCGAGTGGCTCTGGCGCCTGGAGGCCGAGGAGGACGTCGCCATGGCGCACGGCGTACAGGAGGGTCAAGGTCGAGAGGACGATCTGCCACGGCGAGCAGCGGCGCTCAATGGCGCGGTGCAGGCGGCGGAGCCAGGGAAGTTTTGGCGGACGGGATGGGCCGAAGACGATGCGCGAGACCCAGAAGAGGAGGACGAGCCAGACCTGCAGGGCACGAGAGGTCAGTGAGGTGCAGGAGGGACGAGGAGGAGGAGGATCGGCGATTCCGGCCGGGCGAGACGAGGGACGCACCTGGGACCGCCGCCATGAGGGACTGGGCCGCCCGGCAAGCTGGTCAAGCATGGTCTTGGACTCGCAGCAGGTGCGAGTGGTTGTCGTCGAGGAGGAGGAGGAGGGGAGCTTGGCCGCGGGCGAGTTGGTCAGGCTTCCGGGGGCGCGCCCAAGATGCGCGTGCTCGCTCCTCTCGTCAACTGACGACCGACGACGCTCGCTCTCGCTCGATGCAACATACACGCGCACAGATGCAGACGCACACAGTCGAGACAGAGACCAACACAAGAGACCCGCTCGTCCTCGCCGCTCAGAACAGCTCCGACACGCTCATCGTCCCCTGCATCTTGACGCTCGTGCTCTTCCTCCTCGTTCGCCCGCCCGCCATTGCCGACCGCACGGGAACAGCTGCGCCCGCCTTGGACGCTGGACCGGGCCCGGCCGAGCGCGCGAGCCCGGCGGGCAGGAGCGGCTCGTCCGGCGCGACCGACCATGCGCTCGCCGGCTCGTGCGGGTGCGCCGGCAGCGCCGACGTCGAGCGCGCAAACTGGACCGTCGGTGTCGACGACGAGGACGAGGTCGTCGTGAACGGCGGGGCGGCGAGCGAGTCGCGGGCGGGCACGACGACGAGTCGGGGCGGTGGTGCCGAGGCGGCGGCGGCGACGGGTGCCGGGGTCGGCGTCGCGTCCGAGGCGGCGGCGGGCGCAGATGCGCGAGGCCGAGGTGCAGCGCGAACGACGGGTGCCGCAGCCGAGGCGTCGAGGACGTCGGCCATCATCGGGCGCGCGACCCTCGTGCGCCCTCCTGGCGCCGCCGACATGGTCCCGACCGAGCTCGGCGTCGCAGTGACGCCGACAGGGCGGTACAGGTCGAGCTCCAGCTCGAGGGCCTTGATGCGCGTCGTCGCCGTCGAGAGCTGCGACTGCGTTGCGGCGTGTTTCTGGGCGATCGGCGACGAGAGCGTCAGGTCCAGCGCGACGAGGAGAGAGAGACAGAGGGACGCACCCGTCGAGTGTCGGCGAGCTCCTCGCGGATCATGGCGACGTGGCGAATCTTCTGGCCCGAGTTGGCGTGCCCGGCGAGCTCCGAGTTGTGGGCGACGAGGTCGCGCGCCTCGGCCTCGCTCAGGGCGCACAGGCGCTCGAGGTGGTCCACCTTGTGCTCGAGGTCGGCCGTGATGGCGACGAGCGGGTCGAGCTGCGCAACCTGCTGCACGAGGCTGTGGAAGGGCGGGCGGGGAGAGGGTCAGTCGTCGGGAAGGGGAGAGGGGAGAGGCAGAGAGCGGCGGACGCACCTGTCGACCTCGTCCTTGAGCGCACCCTCGCTCGCACGCGTCTGCGCCAAGATGCCGACGACCCTGCGCTTCTCGACCCGCTCGCGCTCGGCCTCCCTCCTCGCGTCGGCGACCAACCGGCGCTGCTCCTCGAGCTCGCCCTCGAACCGCTCGGCGTCGTCCTGCCGCCGCGTCTCGAGGTCGACGAGGTCGGCTTCGAGCTGAGCGAGCTGCGCCGTCGCGTTCGACAGGTCGGACCGTGCCGTCGAGAGGGACGCCTCGGACGCGGCGAGGAGCGCCTCGAGGCGGGGAATCTCGTCGTTGACGGCGAGGTCGAGCCTGCGGGCGTGCAGGTGTGTGTCAGGCATTCGTTCACGGCTTCGGCTCACGGCGAGGAGGAGAAGAGTCGACGCACTCGCCCTCGACGACCTCCAAGTCGCGCTCGAGCCGCTTCTTGTCCTCCCTCGCCGCCTTGTCCCGCCTGCGCTCCCACTCGGCCCGGACCGCGTCCCACTCGCGCTCGTCGGCCCTCTCACGCTCCCCGAGCGCGACGTCGTCCCTCAGGCCATCCATCTCGCGCCCGTCGGCCCTCGCACGCTGGCGCCACTCCTTCTCGTCGCGCCCGGGCCCGACGAGCAGCGCGCGGTCCTCGCGCCACGCGTCGCGCAGGCGCCACTCGCGCCACTCGGCCTCGAGCCGCTCGGCAGTCGCGAGCGCGAGCTGCTCCTCGAGCGCGTGAGCGTGCGCGGCGACGCTCGCCAGGATGGCGTCGCGGTCGGCGATGCGGCGCTCGAGGGCCGCGCACCGGCGCCGCTCGGCGTACAGGTCGTCGGCGCGAGCGATGCGCGCGTCGTCTCGGAGCCGGGCGGCGAGCTCACCCGCCGCGAGCGCCTGGTCGTCGCGCGCGCGCTGCTCCAACCTTGCGCGGTCCTCCCACGCGCGCGCCTGGGCCCGCGCCTCGTCCGTGTCGGCCTCGGCGCGCGAGAGGGTGATGCGCAGCTGCGACAGGTCGGCGTCCTTCTTGGCCGACGACGCGGCGTGCTGCGTCGTCAGGGTCGACAGCTTGGCCTGGAGCGACGGCAGCGTCGCCTCGTACTTTTCTTGCAGCGCCGTCGAGCGCGACAGCTTGGACGTGAGGTGGCCTGGTAGTGCGATTCGAGAGTGCGAGGGAGGGAGGGAGGGAGAGGACGAGTCAGTCGTCGATGGCCGGCGAGGTCGAGCCGCACAAGACGTGGGGGGACAGCGGGACGTACGGTTCTCGCTCTTGAGCCGGTCGGCCTCCTTGTACAGCTCTTCTCGCTCCTTGCGGTGCTCTTGACGCGCCTCGTCGAGCTTGTCGAGCTTTGCGCGCAGCTTGGCCGTCTCCTTGTCGTGGGCGGCCGTCATGCGGGCGCGCAGGTCTTCGAGCTGCGGGTCGGGCAGGGGGGTCGAGCGTCAGGAGTGAGGACAGAGTGTGAGGACGGGTTGGATGGGGACGCACCTGAGCCTTGTGGCGCTCTCGGTCGGCGGGGTTGAGCGAGGACGAGGTGGTGCGGACGCGAGGTCTGGCGTTCTCCTTGTCGGTGGCGAGCGGGTCGTCGGCGTACAGGCCAAAGGTGTCTGTGTGGGCATGGCGGGTGAGTCGGGCTGGACAAAGGGGACGAGGGGAGCGAGGGTGAGGGAGGGAGACGGACCGGGCTTGTTGTGGTCGGAGAGCGGGTCGGGGAAGCGGGATGCGCGGTCCGTCATGGCTGCGCGTTTGTAGGTCGGCTGTGGCGAGTGTACGGGGACGTCGTAGGCGCCTGGTGGCGGGATCGAGTCGGGTGCTGCACGCGAGGGGGACACACAGTGAGCGAGGGTTGAGCGATGAGAGGACGAGGGAGAGGGGGGCGACTGACGCTTGTCGGTGAAGCGTTTGGCCTTTGGGAACTGCATCCCTGGGTGTGCTCGTTGGGGAGGTGCGTCTCTTGGGCAGGTCGGGGCTGTGGTGGTCGAGGGAGATGAGAGCGAGAGGAACCACGCCGAGTCGCGTCGGTCGACCCTCGCTGTTCGTGTACACTCGCCACGCTCGTCTAGACGCACAGCTGCTGCCTCGAGCTCACTCTGCACCCTGCCCTGGGCCGCCGCACCAGCCGGCACCCTGTCCCAAGCCCGACCCGGCACCCGCCTCGCTCCCGCCCTCATCCCCGACCATGGCCAGCCGCGCCCTCACCCCGTGGCTCACCAGAGAGTGGCTCTCGCACCGCAACCTCCACGGCGCCACCCTTCCCGATACGCCCACCGTCGAGACAAAGCGCCTGCAGCTCGTCACCGTCCGTCCCTCCCTGCCTCCTCCTCTCCTCCTCGTCTCTCCTCCCGTCAACCTCGCTCACCTCCCTCCCACCTGCGCGCAGGCCACCGGCATCTCGCACGATCCCGACGACACCCTCTTGTGGTGCGAGGTGACCGACGGCGAGTGCTGGATCGACTGCTGCATCCCGACCTCGCTCGTCGACGCTTTCGACTCGTGCGTCCCCCTGCCCTTGCCTCGTGCCGACTCGTCGACTGATTCGCCCCTCTTGACACGCGCACAGCACCACGTCGTTCAAGTTCACCGCCTCGTCCGCGACCAAGTGCCTCTTCCGCGCCCACTCTTGGCGCTTCGTCCTCGCCTCGCCCCTCGTCCCCGCGCGCTCGTCCCCTTCCAAGCGCCACCTCGCCGCCACCGCCGCCGGCCACCAGCAGCGCAAGTCGCCCCGCGTGTGCCTCCGCCTCGAGCGCTTCGACCGCCACTCGACCGGCGACGGCAACTTTGCCGAGAGCTTTGCGTTCCGCGACGCCGCGCGCGACGACGGCGCCAAGGGCAAGGGCACGGGCGAGGGCGCGAGGGCCGAGTCCGACAAGCAGAGGGCCATGTGGGTGCGCAAGGTCGAGCAGGCGGCACTCGGTTGGCAGGCTGGGGCAGAGAAGGGCGCTCCCGAGGTGGCATACGCAGCAGATGTGCGCCCTCGTCTTCTCTCTCTCTCGTGTCTCGGACCCGCCTCACCCTCACACTCTCCCCATCTCGCAGCTTCCGCCTGATCCCGCACGGCGCACGCGTCCCGCACCCGCACCCGCACCCGTCCGCAACCCTCCCCTCTTCCCCACCGCCTCGACCTCTTCCTCCTCCTCGTCCGCCGCACCCGCCGCACCTCCCGTCGCTCTCGCGCACGAGCCTACGCGCTTGCGCCCGTCCTGGCCCGCCGACGGTACGCCCGTCCGCCTCGACTGGGCGAGCGCAAAGGCGCTCCTCGACCGTCGAGCCGCCTCGACGACGGCCAAGTCGGCCAAAGCGGGCGGCGTGCGGCGCAACAGCGAGGCGCAGAATGTGCCGCCTGCGCCCGTACAGCCGAGCGCGAGCGGGGCGAGGGCCCGCGACGACGCGCCCGCACCCGTTGCCGGCACCGCCCCGGTCTCGCTCGACTGGACCGCTGCCTCGTCGCTCCTGTCGTCCTCGGCGCGCAAGCGCACCACGTCCGCCTCACTCGCACCTGCGGCGGCGGCGTCGCCCTCGCCCTCGACGCGGGCGCCCCTCGGATCGCCCGCGACAGCAGCACCAAGCGCCACCCCTGTCGCCCTCGACTGGACCGCCGCCGAGTCGCTCCTCGTGTCGTCGTCGGCGCGCAAGCGTGCGAGGACGTCCACCGGCTCGACCTCGACGTCGTCGGCCGCCGTGCTCGAGTCGAACCGCGCCTTGCTCGATCACGAGGCGCGCTCGCGCGCACGAGCCCAGGCGCAGGGGCGGTCGCCGACCGGCTCGCAGCCGCAGCCCCAGACGCAGCCGCAGCGCGTGCTGAGCAGCGCAGAACAAGACGCCGCGCACAAGCGCAAGCAGGAGCGCCTGCGGCTGCTCGCCGTGCAGCTCGCCAACGTCGGCGGCGGCGGCGCGGCGGCGAGTGCGGCGCTCGCGAGCGTGCGTGCGGCGGACGCGAGTGGACGAGTGTCGCCGCGAGGGAGGGGAGCTGCTCGAGGGAGCGCAGGACCGGCGGCAGCGCGCGAGGCGCGACCGGGCGAGAAGAAGGACGGCGAGGCGGCTTTGCGCGCGCGCGAGGCGCGCCGCGAGTCGAGCGGGCCGAGCTCGCAGGCCGAGCGCAAGGTCGAGCGCGGGCAGCGCGAGGCGGCGACGGCAAGGGCGACGACAACCGCTCCGGCGCCGCCGTCTCTGCCTGTTTCTACTCGTCGCGACTCGCCGCCGCCGTCAGCACCATCGCCGCCGCCACCACCACCTCGCCAATCCTCGCCTGCCCTCTCTATCCGGTCACAGGCGAGCGGGCCCGACGGCGCAGTCGACGAGGACGTCGTCATGCGGGATGCGAGCTCGCCCGCCCCGCCGCCGAGGCCCGAGCGCCCTCAGCAGCCGTCGTCGCAGCCTCGAGCGATCGGCGAGCAGCATCCTCTTCCTCCTCATCGTCCCAGCGACGCGACTGCCGCCGTCCTCGCCAGCCGGTTCCCACCGCCGAGGCCGCCTCAGCTCCCCCTCGCGCCGATGGTCGCCCTTCCTCTCGTCCGCCCGGCCAGTCCGCCCTACCCACCGCCAGCGCCCGCCGACTTCGCTCCCCTCGTTGCTGCTCAGCCGCAGCAGCAGCCGCTCTCGAAGCCGGCCGTCGCGCCGCCAGCAGCCGCACCTTCCCCTGCTCGCGCCCAAACCGCCGCCGATCTCGACGCACAGCCCGCCAAGCACGACGCCGTGCCGCCTGCGTCGACACGCACGGTCACGTCTGCCGTCAAACGGCGGCGCGACGACGAGGACGACGGCGCCTCGGGCCGAGACGTCGCGGCGCACCAGCGCCGTTGCTCAACCGCAGGCTCGTCCGCCGCTCCTTCGCGGCGTTCAGAGCCCGTCGTCGACGCACGGCCCCTCATCCCGCTCGAGGTGTGGGACTTTGCGGCGTGGCTGCGCAGCCGAGGGCTCGAGGGCTTCGCGCCTCAGGTGCCGCCCGAGGGCGAGGGCGAGGGCGAGGTCGAGCGTGGCGGTGGCGAGGTGTATTGAGTCTAGTTGCATTGCGATCACTTAACCCTGCTTGTCTCTGTCTCGGCGAGTCGCCAGCGCTTCTTGAGTGGAAGCTGCGACGAGGCGACGAGCTCGACGAGACGAGGCTCGTGCGCAGCTCGTGCGGCGGCAGAGCCGGCGGCCAGTCCCGGCGAACCGCGGACGGTCCGCGGAGCTGCTACCGTCCGTCACCGAGAGCAAGCGTGCTGTGGAGAGCCGGTCGAAGCCACGCTTTGCTCCGCTTTCGGCTGCGCTCGTTCCGCTTGTTCCACTTCGCCTTCTCGCGATGCTCTACCGCTCGCTGCGCAAGGCTCGACGGGTGAGCTTCTCGTCATCTCTCTCTGCTCGAAGAGCACCTCTTGACACCCTCGTGGCGCAGAACGAGGAGGACAGCGACTCGAGCTCGAGCGACGAGGAGCACGAGCGACGACGACGGCCTTCTCAAGTGGCTTCGTTGGGTTCGCAAGCCGTTCAGCACGAGGGTACAGGCATGCTCGTCGTCTGTGCGTCCTTCTGATCCTTCTGTGGACCTATCGAGGCTGACCTGGCGAGTCACGCACGCAGTCGTTGTCGTTTGCCTCGTCGCAGCGGTTGCGGCGGCGTGCGTCCTTCTCAAGCCTGGCGCCTTCTCGAGCGGTTTCGCTACGACCACCGCCGTCGTGTCGACGCAGCCACCAACTACTCGTCCGTCGAGCACGGCGACGGCGGTCACCTCGGTCACAGGAGGTTCGAGCGTCGTCGAATCTTCTCCTGGCGCATCGTCTGGCACTTCCTCTTCCTCGCCGACGGCTTCCTTTTCAGCCCCGGCGTCTTCTTCGAGCGATGTCGACGACAATTTCGACGGCGAGAACGCTCTCAAAGCCCTGGGCATCAGCAGCTTCCTCGGCAACAACACGGGCGGAATCGCGTCGTGGTACCACACCGACTCGTCGAAGGACAGCACGAACGGTGCGCTCTCTTCTTCTCTTCATCTACTCGGCGACGATATTGACGGCCTGCGAGGAACAGGGCGATCGTGGTGCGAGTTCCCCTGTGCGTCGGCTTCGACGCTCGTTTCTCCCCTCCTTCCTCCTCCTCTCTCGCAACGTCCTCGTCGCACGCCAGTCCCTCGGTCTGATAAACTGCGCCGCATCTCTCCCACAGACGACGACTCGGTACCCGGCTTTGCGCCCTCGCTCAAGACGATGCTCTCGTCCTTTGCCGGCCACGCTCAGGCCGCCAAGACGGGCTTCTGCGGCCTGTGGGCAGACGTGTACTCGCCCAAGACGGGTACGACGACAAAGCTCATGATTGCCGACGCGTTCGACGATGCGTGCGTCGCACGTTCCGCTCCTCCTCGCCTCGCCCGTCTCCTCCACCTGACCCACGTTTTTCCTTCCTCGCAACAGCTGGGTCCTGACGCCAGCCTCGATCGACGTCATCTACGACTCGTTCGCCGACCTATTCGGCTCGACGACCGACGACAAGAAGGACGTCGTCAAGGACGTGTCGTGGACCCTCACGGGCGAGCGCGACGACCGGTTCGTCCTCTGCGCTCTCTCTCTCGCTCGCCAGGTCGCTGCAAGAGCATTCGCTGACAAGCCCGAGCGTCGCAGGTTCACGTACAAGGGCGTCGGCGTCGGCTAGCTCGACGAGGGCGCGGACGTTGAGACGAGGGCTCGAGCGCTCGAGCCTGTCTTTCTCTCTTTCTCTCGAGCGAGACCAGGCAGGGCCGAGCGACGAGTGTGTTACAAGGAGGGGTACTGAAGTGCAATCTCTGCGAGGTGTGCGTGCTTTATAACGACGGGTACGAGGCGCGAACTGGGAGAACGAGAGACAGAAACGGGAAGATGAAGCTGGACGGGTGCGACCATTTAGAGGTCGATCTGCGGCTCGTCCGACGCCTTGTGGTGGTCGTCGGCGCCAGGGATCGTCTCGAGCTGTTGGACGAGAGCAAAAGTCAGTGAGAGGTCTAAATTTGAGAGCCAACAAGGAAGAAGGGACGCACCTCGTCGAGGACCTCGAGCGACTCCTTGATGCGGGCGAGGATCGTCTCGAGCTGGGCGTCCGTGATGATCAAAGGCGGCGCGAGGCGGATGCTGCAAGAGAAAGGCCGGTCAGTCGGGCCGAGAGAGAGAGAAAGGGAGGAAAAGGCGAGCGAGGGACGCACATGTTGACGTGCGTCGGCTTGGCGAGGACGCCCTTGCTCTTCATGATGAGGCACAGGTCCCACGCCGACCTGCCACGCTTGCTCTTGGCCTGGTCGATGACGATAGCGTTGAGGAGGCCCTTGCCGCGCACCTCCGAGATCCAGCCGCCGTCCGGGCCAACGCTCTGCAGGGCGCGCAGGCCGGCGCGCATCTTGTCGCCCATCGACTGGGCACGCGCAGAGAGGTCCTCCGAGACGATGACCTCGAGAGCGGCCTTGGCGACGGCGCAGGCGAGCGGGTTCTGCGAAAGAGAGAAATCGACGTTAATTCTCGAGGAACGGCAGGTGGGCGAGGGAAAGGAGAGGAGAAAAGAGGACGTACGCCGCCGTAGGTCGAGCCGTGCTCGCCGGGGAGGATGGTGAGGAGGACGTCCTTGCGCGAGAGGACGGCCGAGACCGGGTAGATGCCGCCCGAAAGCGCCTTGCCGAGGAGGACCATGTCGGGCTTGACGTTCGGGTTGTGCTGGAAGCAGAGGAGCTTGCCCGTGCGCGCGAGACCCTACAGGAGAGTCGAGTGTCAGGGTGGAGTGCACGGAAGAGATCGAGAGGGAGAGCCGGGCGCACAGTCTGGACCTCGTCGCAGATGAGGAGGACGTTGTGCTTGCGGCACAGCGCCTGGACCTTCTCGAGGTAGTCCTCGTCAGGGACGACGATGCTGCACGGAGGAAAGACAAAGAGTCAGGACCTTGTACGGCTCGAGATCGTCGAATTCGAGAAGGAGGACGACGTACCCGGCCTCGCCCTGGATCGGCTCGACGAGGAACGCGGCGACGTCCTTGCCGTGCGCGTCAAGGGCGCGTTCGAGCGCCGCGACGTCGTTGTACGGGATGCGGCCGGCCTCGCCCTTGACGGGGCACTGCGGGCCGACCGAGGGCACGAACGGGCCGAAGCCGGTGGTCGAGTCGGGGTCGGTCGACATCGAGATGATGCCGATGCTGCGAGCGACGGCCGAAGGGGTCAGCTCTCGTGACAGGTGGGGTCACAGAAGAGGGCGAAAGAGGGACGCACGTGCGACCGTGGAAGTTGTCGGCAGCCGACAGGACGATGGCCTTGTCCTTCTCGACGCCCTTGACCTTGTAGGCCCACTTGCGCGCCACCTTGATGGCCGTCTCGACCGCCTCGGCGCCCGTGTTCATCATGAGCGCCATCTCGAAGCCGGTGAGCTGCGGAAGAAGGGGAGGGAGGAAGAATGGGTGAGCTTTCGAACAGCTGCTCCTCGGACAGAGGGAGCGCCTGCTGTGCGAGCGCTTCACCTCCCCTAGAATGGAGAGAAGGAGCTCACCTCGGTGAGGTACTTGGAGAAGGGGCCGAGGGACGACGTGTGGAACGCGCGCGAGCTGAGGGTGAGCTTGTTGGCCTGCTCGACGAGCGCCTTGACGATGTGCGGGTGGCAGTGGCCCTGGTTGACGGCGCTGTAGGCGCTCAGGCAGTCGATGTACTCGTTGCCCTGCGGTCGCACGAGGGAAAGGGTCAGGTTTTGGCGATGTGGCCGATACGAGAACAGGAGGAACGCACCTCGGGGTCCCACACGAGCGCGCCCTCGGCGCGCTCAAAGACGACCGGCAACGGGTGGTAGCTGCGCGCAGGGGAACGAGGAAAGGTTAGCCCAGTTGCGCACGAGCTGGCGCTCGAGGGCGGGGGTCCTTGTCGCTCAATCTGATCCCACCGACAACTGATTGCCGCCCGCCAGCACGCGCTCGCTGCGCAGGTGTGGCCGCTGCCCGTCAGGCTGGCCAAGCACCCTCTGAGCGCTCGCCCGTGCGCGATCCTGGCGGGCTGAAGCCACCGTCGCTGCCCACGCGGATCCGCCGCGATGAACAGCGGGCGCCGCTCGTCCTCGTCGCTGCTTCCACCGCGTGCGCCTGCCTGCCAGAATGAGAGAGAGAGAGGACAAGGGGGACGCACTTGTGCGCGCTGTACTCCTCCTCGAGGTGGATGGCGTCCTCACTCGAGACGTGGACGGTGCCGGACGAGGCGGGCGCGGCGTCGGCGGCGGGCGCGAGGCCGAGGGCGACAAAGGCGTTGTTGATGGTCTGCATGGCTCGGTGATGGCAAGCTCGGCAGGGTGGTGCAAGTGCGAGAGGGAGAGAGAGTCGACGAGGCGAGGATTGGCTCGTGACCTGCTCCTTGGCCCGCCCACGAGTCGAGATCGCCTCCCCGCGGATTGCCGTACTTTTTTCTGCCCACCGGTCGAACAAGCCCCGGTCCCGTGACCGACTTTTGCCGCCTGCGAGATCGCCTCGTAACCGCGACCCGCTCTCGCTTTCCTCCTCTTCCCTCTCCCTGTCGACCTCTGCGCTCAAGCACTCGCTGCTCGCATCTTGAGCTGCAGCAGCTGCAGGCTCGTCTGCTGCCACCGCTCGGCTGGGCTCGTGCTGCGCCGCGTCACCGTCTCGCAGACCTGCTCTTCCGCTCTCAGGCCGCTTTCCCTGCGGGTCGCTGCAGCGGCGCAGCTACCGACCGAGCTCGCGCGTCTCTGGCTCGAGTCTCTGCGAGCGCTATCAGCGACGTAGCCGAGCAGCGTCTGCAGGCTGGTCGCGACGGACTGTGCGTCGTCGTTTCGTCGTTGCGCCATCCGGTCGCGACGATTCGGGGCCGCGCAGCGATCCAGCTACGCTCGCTTGTCGCTCTGCCTGAGGTTCACGACGACAGCGAGGGTCAGCTATGGACGACGAAAGCGCTCAGGCCGTCAAGCTGCTCAGGCGCACTACCAGCTGTCCTCGTCCACTCCTCCTGTCAAGCAGTTCCTCGTCGACCATGCGCAGGAAGTGGATTCCCTCGTCTCGTCGACGACCAGCTCTGCCGCGAGAGCGAGACCTCGGCGAGAGAGGCGCGACGAGCAGACGGTTTGCGTCGCTCGCAGGTTCGAGCGAGGGCATGCGAGGAGGAACGACGCCTCGCTCTGCCGTTCGAGCGTGGAGGTCGACTCGTCGGGTTTAGCTTCAGCGTCTGCACATCCGAGCGTAGCTAGGGGGCCCTGCAACGACGAGAAGAAGACGCTGGCGCTGCTCGCTGGGCGGTCGGACCTCCTTTCTCACGCGAGCCTGCTTCGAACCGGCACCCGCTCCTTGCGCTCTCTCTCGTACGGTGCGCTGTCGTCGTCGTTGTGACTGCAGCGGGAGGAAATGCGGCTTCTCGACGGCGTCGACGACGGTCGCCAAGCTCGCTGTGGCTCCCCCCACTCGCCCCCGCACGCCGACGGAGCTCGTCCTCCTCGCTCTTCGCTCTGCGCTCTCCATGGCTCGCTCGACGCTCTTCCGCCGGGCCCACCTCGTCGGGTACCCTCAAGACTGCGAGTACACGGTGCTCGTGCGCGACGGCGTCGTCTCGGCGATCCAGGAGGAGGGAGGTTCGGAGGAGGGAGCTGATGAGGAGCTCGACCTCGCAGGTGCGCCCCCCTTCCACCTATTCGACTGTGCAGCACGGCCTACAGAGCTAATCGCGTGCCCTGCACACAGGAGCGTCCTTCGTCGCCCCTTCCCTCGCCGATCACCACACCCACTTCGCCTCGTGGTCCCTCTCCCAGCAGCGCGTCGACCTGTACACGGCCACCTCGGCCGCCGAGGTCCTCGAGCGCATGCGTGCATGGCTACCCGGAGCGCGCGAGCGCCAGCCGAACCCGCACCTGTTCATCGTCGGTCAGCGCATGCGCGTCGGCGAGTGGCCCGACCTCGCCGACATGAACCGGCTCGCGCTCGACCGCCTCGAGGACGTGCGCCCACTCGCCATCTTCTTTGCCGGGTTCCACTCGCTGTGCGCCAACTCGAAGGCGCTCGTCAAGCTCGGCATCGAGCCAGAAGGTCACGACGGCGTCCTCGAGGAGGCCGACTGCTTCCGCGCGTGGACCATCATCAACGAGGTGCCCGAGGACGTCAAGGACGCAGCTGTCGCAGACACGGCGCGCAAGACGGCGTGCGTCCCCCTCTCTCTCTATTCCTCTCTCGCTTCGCGTCGACTCAAGCCGAGACTGACCTTTCCTCCTCGAAACAGCGCCCAGGGCATCACCGAGATCCTCGACCTCGAGATGGACTTCAACATCGCCGCGTGGCAGCGTCGAGTGCGTGACAAGGGCATCAACCAGCTGCGCGTGCGCTGCGGCATGTACTGGATCCATCTCGGCCCGGCCCTCGCCGCCGGGTACCGCACGGGCGACGTCCTGCCCGACACGGACGGCCTCGTCACGGTCGGCCCGTCCAAGTGGATCACCGACGGCTCGCTCGGGAGCCGCACGGCGTGCTGCCACGACCCGTACCCGGGCGAGTCCGGCGGCAAAGGCCATTTCGAGTACGAGCCCGAGGCGCTCCTTGACGGCATGCAGACGGCGACGCGAGGCGGCATGACGCTCGCCGTGCACGCCATCGGCGACCGCGCCAACGAGCTCGTCCTGCAGGCGTTCGCCAAGCTCGACCCGTCAGCCCTCCCCGGCTCGACGATCGAGCATGCCCAGCTCCTCGCCCTGTCGGACCTGCCCCTCTTTGCGCGCCTCGACCTCGTCGCCAGCATTCAGCCGACGCACATGGCCGACGACCGCGAGCTCGCCGAGCAGTTCTGGCCCGGCAGGACCGGGCGCGCGTTCCCGTTTAAGGCACTCGTCGACGCCGGCGCAACGCTCAAGCTCGGCTCGGACGCGCCTGTCGCACCCGTCGATCCGTGCGTCCTCTTCTCGCACTCTTTCAGAAGCCGATAAAGCAGGGAGACTGACTCTCGTCATTCGCTCGCCCGCAGCTGGGACGCCATGGCGGTCGCCATCTCTCGCTCGGGCCGCGGTCAAGGGCATCTCCCGCCGTGGCACCCCGAGCAGGCCATCTCACCGCTGCAGGCCTGGACGGCGTGCACGTCGAGCGGCAAAGCGCGCCTCGAGGTCGGCGACCGCGCCGACTTGATCGTCATCGCCAAGGACCCGCTCACGGTGAGCGCCGAGGAGCTGCGCAACATGGACGTGCGAGGGACGATGCTCGACGGGCGATGGACCCACTTTGCGCTGTAGACGAGATCGAAGTAGAGAAGTGCATCGAGCAGACCAAGCTGTATTTCTCCCGGCTCGACTACGAGATCCGCCTCCGCAACCGCTGCACGAGCTCCCTCATGCGCTTCGGCAAGCCCTCCCCCTCGCTCTCCTCGTTCCTCGCGACCCCGACCTCGTCCATGCTCACGTCGTTCTCGTCAAGCTGCGTCTCGTCGACCTCGGTGCGCTGCGACTCGGCGGCGAGGTCGTCATCGTCCTTGTCGCCCGGCGCCGGGAGCGCCAGCTCGTCTTGTGCGCGCCGTTGGTCGTCGTGCAGTGAGGCGAGCTCCTCGAGCGCGTCGAGGATGGGCGCTATTGCCGAGGCCGAGTGCGAGAGGGCGGCGAGGACGATCTCCTCGTTCTGCGGCGAGTCGAGGACGAGGAGGCCGAGAAGGAGGCGCAGGAAGCCCGTGATCGAGTGGTGGTACACCTGTGTGCGGCATCCAGAGTCAGTCGCATGCTCGAGAGTGGCGCGAGAGAAAGAGAAGAGAGAGGCTCACCGAGTTTGGCGAGTCGGCGAGCGGATCGAGCGCGAGACGGGCGAGGATCTCGAGGGCGGACGACGGCTCGGCCTCGCCGACGAGCGCGCACTGGCACTCGCGCGCACACTTGCGGTTGGTGTAGCACGAAGAGCTGAGGACTGCATGTAAAGGGAGAGACACAGAGTCAGGTCGACGGCACGCGAGTGGGGAAGAGGGGAATAATCGAGACGCACGCAGTTCTCGGACGCGCTCGCGCAGGTCCTCGTCGGCCGATTCAGCAAGGTTGGCGAGGACGCCGAGCGCGAGCGAGAGGATGTCCCACACGGCCTGGTCGCCGGCGGGCTCGTCGTCGTCCTCCTCCTCGTCCTCCATCGTCATGTCGACGTCGCCCTCGCTCGTCGTCGCCGCCATCGCGCTCGCACTCCTCGTAGCCGAGCGGACGAGCTGCGTCGTGTCGGCGCTCGACTGCTGCCGAGCGGCCCCGGCGCGCCTGCAGCCGAGGATGACGCGCACGAGCGTGCGCACGAGCTTGCCGCCGTCGGCGACGAGCGGGACGCCCCAGGCGCTCTCGGTCGTGAGGCCAAAGAGGATGCCGAGCACCGCAGTGAGCGCGCCGAGGGCGTCGACGCGGGTCGGGTCGGCGGGCGAGTCGGTCGAGGCGGGCGGATCGAGAGCGAGGAGAAAGGTGAAGAGGGTGAGGTCCTCGAGGGCGGACGCGAGGTGCGGCAGGACGTTTGGCGACGAGATGAGATGGAACGCGTAGGGGGTCGCGAGCGAGGTCGCCTCAAAGATCGACAGGCAGGTCGAGAGGGACGAGAGCGAGATGATGGATCCGACCGCCGCCGACTCGACGGGTGGCGGCAAGAGGTCCTGCACGACGACGAGATACGTCAGGACGAACACTCGAGATGACGAGGACGAGGAGAGGGACGACGACTCACGAGGCCCTTCTCGTACTTGGTGACCCGGTCCTCAATCCCGGCGCACTCGTCGACGAACACCTGCACGACCTGGCCGAACACGCCCGACTCGCACACCATGTGCTGCGGCTGGAAGATGGCGCGTGGAGCGAACGACGTGATCGAGCGCGTGGCGGCGAGGACGAGAGCTTGGAGCGTGACAGGCGAAGAAAGGATGGTCGGGTCGTCGCTCGACGGGAAGAGGTCGGCCGAGTCGATGATGTCGCGCAGGGACTGCAGCTGCAGGGAGGAGGCGTCAGGAGGGACCGACTCATGAGAGAGTGACACACGGACGTACATGTCGCGCATCTCCTCGAAGCGCCTTCTTGCCCTTGGCCCTCGCCGCTCCTCCCGCCTCGTCCTCTCTCGTCGCCGTCCCAATCTCCTCGCCCACCCACTCGCGCTCGCCGAGATCGCGCAGCACCTCGAGGAGGTCGCACCGGTCCTCGTCCACGCCATCGTCCTCGGCTCCTCCTCCCACTCGGCCCGCCTTGCGCGGCGACGACGACCACCAACCTGCGCTCGCCTCGCTGCGGAGCTGGATGTCGCCGTCGCTCTGCGCCACGCCCGACGTGTGCACCTGCGACGGGCCCTCGCCGCCGTCGTCGTCGCCCTGCGGCGCGCGCCGTTTGGCCGCCTCGCGGGCGACGTCGGCCGCGCGCAGGCGGCACAGGGGCTCGGCCATGCGCTGGTCGCGCATCAGGAGGGCGAGGAGGACGGCGAACGCCGTGTCGAGAACGCGGTCGGGACCGGGTTGGTCGGCGTTGCTCGAGGCTGAGAAGGAGGGCGAGGTAGACGAGGCGAGGCGGAACGCGAGGTAGACGGTCTCGGCTTGACCCGATGACTTGAGGCGGCGGAGCCAGTCGCGCGAGAGGAGCTTGTTGAGGAGGTCGAGGGCACTGAGTGGTCGAGAGAGGTCAGAACCTCCAGGAGGTGGGGCGCGAGAAGGAAGAGAGAGAGGGACGCACCTCGCCCTCGCAGCACTTCTCTCGCCGTCGCGCAAGCCCTCGAGGCACCAGCCCATCTCGTCCATCCACCTCTTGCCCTCGCCCTGCTTGCGCAGCAGGCCGCCGCCCACGACGCGCGAGCCTCGGTCCTGCGAGTCGGCCTCCTCCGAGTCGGCGAGCGCATCCTCGGCGTCGATGCCCCACAGCGCGCGCAGCGTCGTCAGGTCCTGCTGCGGCGCCGCGGCGGGAGCGCCTGCGGGGCGAGTGCGCCCCGAGAGCGCCGGCGGGAGCTTGGGCAGGGCCGACGTCGAGGTCGAGGCAGAGGACGAGGCGGCCGACGACGACGGGTGGGCCGCCGGCGCCGCGAACAGGGCCTCCTCGTCGACGTCGCGCCGCACGGTGCGCGCACCGCCGGCGTAGGTGCGCGTCGGACCCGCCGCCGAGGCGAAAGCCGTGCTCGCGGGCGGCGCGAACGCGAGTGGGCGGTACGCCGACCCGAGCGCCGGGACCGCGCCTGCCCTCGCGGCGGCGACGGCCGATGATGCCGATGCCGCGGCAGTGCGGGCAGGCGACGGACTCGACTCGCGCGAGAACGGGTTTGGGGACGCGCCGCCGGTGCGCGACGGCGAGCCGAGGGTCGGGAACGACAGCGAGCCGCCGAGGGCGGCGACGCGTGCGGGCGACGCGAGCGGCGACGAGGGAAGCGTCGGGTTCGAGTGCATGCGGTCGAGGGTGCGGCGCGTCGGCGAGGCAGGCGCGCATGCGGCGAAGTCGTCCTCGTCGTCGGTCGCTGCGGCTCCCGGGCCCTTGTCGCCGGCCGCACCGCCGTCTGCCGCGCTGCCCGTCGTTGCGCTCCGCTTGAGCATCATGCGCGGCTTCATCGTGCCCGCCGTTCGCGCCGCCGCTGCGCCCGCCTCGCCTGCTTCGGCGCCGCCTTTGTCGGCGACGACGGGTGCGAAGCGCGAGAAGATGGCGCTCAGGTCCTTGGCCGGGCTCGGCGGGCGTGCATTCGGCTGCGCGAGCGGCGGCGGCTTCTGCTTGGCGACAGGCTTGGAGGAACCGGCGGCAGGTGCGGGAGCAGACGGGCGAGAAGTGGACGAGGCCGTGTGGCGCAGCGGAGGGGCGGCTCGAGGAACGGCGGCGGCAGCCGAAGTGCGACGAAGAGGTGACGAGGGTCGAGGAGGAGCGGCAGGTGTCGGGCCGGGCGCAAGGGCGGGAGCCGCCGCAGGAGGAGGAGGGGATGCGGTGCCGACGGCTCGCGAGGTGGAGCGAGTGCGGCGCACCGGTGGGGCATTGTCGCCGGCTGAAGGTGTAGGGTTGTCGAGGGTGGCACGCTTGAGGCGCTCGGCGAGCGGAACGTAGTCGAGCGGCGCGGGAACGTCCTCCTCGAGCTCCCGCCCGGCGGCCCTCGCACGCGAGGGGAGCGGCGCCGAGAGGCGGGCGCGCTTCTTGGGCGGCGCGCGCGCTTGGACAGGCAAGCTCGAGTCGTCGGGCGCATCATCGGCGGCGACAGGAGCGAGGCTGCGCCGCTTGGCGGGCGAGACGGCGCTGGCCTCGACGGCGTCGCCCACTGCGTCGGCGCCCGCCGCCAGTCGCGCGCTCGCCCTGCGCCTCGGCGCAGGCTTGACCGCGAGTGCGGCCGTCTCGTCCCACACGACCCTGCCGCCTGCGCCGGGTGCGTCCTCGAGCCGTGCTGCGGCCGCACCGAGCGAGCGCGTCTTGCGGGCGGGGCGCGCCGCTGCGACCAGCTCGAGCTCGCCGTCGCCCGATGCCGCGCCGCCCTGCGTGCTCGCCGCTGGGCGCTTGCCGTCGGCGTGAGGTGCGACGGGTGGTGGTGCGGGTGCGGGTGCGGGTGCGGGTGCGGGGGAGGGAGGAGGGCGACTCGTCCTCGCGCCGAGGCTGGCTGCGACAGCGTCGTCGTCGTCGCTGCTGCTGGTGCTGCTGTCGTCGAGGTCGGCGTGGGCGCTCTTGGGCGCGTGGGCCGAGGTGCGCCGCGGGTTGAGCGAGACGGCGTCCGAGGCGAGGGCAGGTGCGGCGGCCGAGGGGCGGGACGAGCCGTATGTGCGCGTGGCTGCTGGGCGACGGCGAAAGGGCGAGCCGGGCATGGCGCAGGTGCGCTCTCCAGCAGGGAGAGGCGGTGTGACGAAGCGAGGAGCTCGACACGGCGCGACGAGGCGATGCAGGTCCCTTGGCTGCCCGCCCTCTGTTGGACTGGGTGACAAGCGCAGCTACTTGCAAAGAGCATTCTACAGGCTATGCGCTCCCTGTGCCCTCACACCGCGAGCTGCACGCGAGAGAGCAAAGCGGTTGCTCGCCAGGGGGAAAATGAGCGCTAGCCAATCAACTCGCTCGCGACCGCCGCTCTCGTCCGCCCCGTGGTGCAGTGTACAAGGTAACGCAGCGAGTACTGCCAGGCGAGTACTGGCGTTGGTGTATCTGAGTATGGATCGATGCAGCCCAGATCAAGATCCGCTCGCGTGAAGATCCGCGGCGGCGGCCGAGGAGTGCGAGGGACAGCGAGAGCAAGCTGCGAGGGAGCGACGACGAGGGCGCGCAGGGGCAGAGCGCAAGCCCGTCCTTTGCTGCACATACGACCCACCCACACACTCGATGCAGAGCGAGCACACGTCCGAGCCCTCGACGTCGCCTCGTCGCCTTCGCCCCGCGTCGCTCTTGGCCTCGACCGCGTCCGCCTCGTCCTCGTCGTCTACCGACTCGCTCGACTCGCTCAGCTCGTACTCGTCCACCGACTCGATCGTCTACCCGTCCCCGCCAGCCTCGCACGGCTCGACGTCGGCCACGTCGTCCCTGCACTCGAACAAGTCGACGTCGTCGCCCTCGCCTCCACCTCTCGCCAGCCCCGACGCCATGGCCGACAGCGACCACCAGCAGCCTGCACCAGCACCACCCAGCCCCGACGCCGCCCTCGAGGCCACCCGCGACCAGGTCTCGTCGCTGTCGCTCGACGCGGCCGCACCCCGGTCGCTGACCGAGGCGCACGAGGCCGCTCGCGGCGGGTCCAGCCCGCTCGCATCGCCCTCGGCGAGGCAGGGCGAGCCAGCAGTCGCACAACCTGTCCACTCGCCCTCGGCTCCCCCGTCGACGGCCACCCCGAGCGCGTCGTCGCCAATGTCGCCCCCGGTTCCTCCCACCACCGCGTCGGCCTCGCCCTCGACTTCCTCGGCCGCCCAACCTCCGCCCTTGTACCCGCGCGCATCCGCCCCACCAGCATCGTCCGGCGCACCGCCGCGCAGGCCGCCCGCACCGGGCGCAGGCGGCGCCCTCAAGGCCGGCGTCCGCGGCGCCGTCCCAGGCTCGGCAGGCCCGCTCAAGATGCCCCCGTCCTTGGCAGCAAAGATGGCTGCCGTGCGTCCCCCGTCTCCCCTCGTCCCCCGTCGCGGCAGAACGGTCCTAATCTTGACCCTACCCGCCGCAGATGACGTCGCGCAACTCTGGCTCGGGCAGCAACCCGCTCCCGTCCCTTCGCACTTCGACCGCCGCCGCCTCGGCCTCCTCTTCCTCGTCGGGCATCCCGCCGGCCCACCGTCCGCCGCCTCGCCCTCCCGCAGGCGCCAACCCGGCCGCCGCCGCCGCAGCGCCCGGTGCGCGACCCGGAGCGAGCGCCGGCCCCGTCTCGGGCGGCGGCGCGCGCCCGCCTACGGGCATGGCCGCACGGCGTCGCGGTCCCGGCGCAGGGCTCACCCTGAGCCAGATGGGCGGCGGCGCGGGCGCCGACGCCTCAGCGTCCGGCGCAAGCCCGGCGGCGTCGCCGGCGCCCAAGACGGGCATGGCGGCGAGGAGGGGCGTCGGGATGCGCCTCCCTGGGTCGGGCGACGCGGGTTCGTCGTCGTCGGGCGTGGGAGGAGACTCGGGCGGGCCGAGGAGCCCGACGAACGGCGCGGCGAGGTCACCCGGGCAGCAGGGAGGCACGCCGTTCTCCAACTTCCGCAAGATTGTGTGCGTCGCTCGTCTCCTCTCTCACTTCCCGTCGCCTTCGACTGTGGCGTGTCCGGACGAGCCAGAGAACTGACCCGCTCCCTCGTCCGCAGCGACCCGTCGGGCCGGCTCAACTTTGCGCAGAAGGCCGTCCTGCACGCCGACGGCGTCGACTTTAGCTCGGGCGCGTCGTTCAAGATCAAGATGGACGACTTTGAGCTGTTCGAGGAGCTCGGCAAGGGCAACTACGGCACGGTGCAGAAGGTCCTGCATCGGCCGACCGGCGTCGAGATGGCCCTCAAGGAGATCCGCCTCGAGCTCGACGACTCGAAGCTCAAGACGATCGTCACCGAGCTCGACATCCTGCATCGTGCCGTCAGCCCGTGGATCATCGAGTTCTACGGCGCCTTCTTCGTCGAGGTGCGTCCCCTCCTCCTTTCCGCCCCCCCTCGCCTTCCCCTCTTGCCGGGCTGACTCTCTGTCTCTCCCTCATAGTCGTGCGTCTACCTCTGCATGCAGTTCATGAACGCCGGTTCGCTCGACTTCTTCGCGGGCTGCGACGTCCCCGAGCTCGTGCTCGCGCGCATCACAAAGAGCATCGTCGCCGGCCTCAAGTTCCTCAAGGACGAGCTCCGCATCATGCATCGAGGTGCGCCCCCCCCTCTCTCTCTCCTCTTGTCCTGTTACTGCACGCGAGACTGACAGCGAGGCGACGTCTCTACTCGTTCGCCAGACGTCAAGCCGACCAACGTGCTCCTCAACACGGCCGGGCAGGTTCGGCTCTGCGACTTTGGCGTGTCGGGTCAACTAGATCGCTCACTCGCCAAGACGAACATCGGTTGCCAGAGCTACATGGCGGTGCGTCCTGGTCTCTCTCTTTTTGAGCGCGGTCGAGGGAGGCCACCACCTCGCTCGCTCGAGCCTCGAGCCTCACCGTCCTTTCTTTCTCGGGCACTTACTGACTCGGCTTCTGCCCTTCCGCAGCCCGAGCGCATCAAGGGCGAGTCGCAGGGCGCCGTCATCTCGTACAGCGCCGCCTCGGACGTCTGGTCCCTCGGCCTGACCGTCATCGAGACGGCCGTCGGGCACTACCCGTACCCGCCCGAGACGTACTCGAACGTGTTCGCCCAGCTCACGGCCATCGTGCACGGCGAGGCGCCGACGCTGCCCGACTCGTACTCGGACGCCGCACACGCGTTTGTCGAGTCGTGCCTGCAGAAGGACGCCGCCCGCCGGCCGACCTATCAGCAGCTCCTCGTGCGTCCTCCTCTCCCCTCTCCCTGTCCTCCTCTCTCTGGCGCGGCGGATCGATCCTGACCCTCTGCTCTTTCTCGCTGCAGGACTCGGAGTGGCTGCGCGACGACGACAAGCGCGAGGTTGACATGGCCGGCTGGATCGCCACGTCGCTCGAGTACCGCAAGACGCACCCCAAGATTCAGGCGCCCGCACTGGCCTAATTCTTTTTCGGACCGCTCGGCCGGTTTGTCGGCGTGGCCGACGGGCCGCCGAGGGAGGAGCACGAGGGACAGCGAGTCGATTTTTTTTGGGCCATCTTGCAGCGCAGGTCTCGATACACGATCACGCAGGACTCGCGAGCACGCCCGACTGCGAGCGAGAGTGTAAGGGAGAGCGAGAATAGAGCGCAGCGCCGCAGCAACCTGAGCATGCGAGCGGAAGAGGAGGTCCGTCCGCAGGGTTCGGTCGACCCCAGCTCGTCGAGGGCAGACGGCGAAGCTCCTTGCTGCGACGCTCACTCATGTCTAAGCTGTACGCGAGACTCTCGGCGCGAGGCTGCTGGCCGTCGTCGGTCGACGAGCCAAGGGCTTTCTTCTCCTTCTTGCTCTCTTTGCGCAACGAGACAGCGATGCATGGACGGGAGAGCGGACCACGGCGTTGCACGACTCGCCTCGACGCTCGGCCCGCAACGCAGACACCGACTCGCCCGCTGTCGTCGTGAGAGAGTCCGCCGCGTCCGAGCCTGCGCCCCGCCCGCTCGCGCCTGTCGACGATCCACCCGCTCCTGCCCGGCCTTCCTGATCCTGTTGCGCCTGGGCCGATGGAGGCGGTTGGGGCTTGACGGTCGGGCGAGAGGCTCTGGCGCGAGGTTGGTGGGCGAGCGAAAGGGCGAGCGGAAGGTTCGGGGGGAGCGGGTGGTGAGGGGCGCTGCGATCGGGCCAGGCAGGGAGGGTCAGTGTGCGCCGACACGCCGACATAGAGGAGGAGGGACGCACTGTGTGGATCTCTCACGGTCTCGTCCTCGCAACGAGCTCGTCCGCTCACGCCGTGCCACCGCCGACGACCCTCGCCCGGGCACCTCTCGCCTGCCGCTCGCGCTCCTCGCGCTGCTCGCGCTCGAGCACAGCGTCCCCTGCGCCCACGGTCGCGCCCGTGCTGGTCGTCGCCGAGGACGACGAGGCGGCCGCGGCGTCGGCGTCGCGTTGAGCGATCGCGGCTTGGAGGTCGACGACGTCCGAGGGCTGGAGGGCGACGGCGGTCGGAGGGCGGCGTAGAGACATGTGCGAGTCGCTGTACTGGGCGTGCGGGTCGGTACGGGTCGTGGGCGAGGAGGGAGAGCGACAGCCAGCCGATGGGGCGAAGCGCGATGAACTCGAACGCAGCCGGCATCGGTCCCACCCGTGCAGCGAGGCTTGCTGCTCCAGGCGAGTTGTACGCAGAGCAGAGTCTGCCTCTCTCTCGCGGGCACGAGGAACGCGCGCGCAGGAAGGACAGGGTATCTCGAGAGGATCGTTGCAGCAGCGTGAGGGGGGAAGATAGGCAGTCTGGGGAGGGGGAGGACGCCAATGTAGAGTGCAGAGAGAGAGAGACAGGTGGAAGGAACAAGGAAAGGGGAAGGGGGAGAGATGCGAGAGAGAAAGCCAGTGTCCGTCCTCCAAGTAGGTCCTCCTCGCGCGCTCCTCCAGCGAGAGCGCACACCCTGCCGCGCAATCGACCGACGACGACGTTCGACCTAGGCGAGCATCATGGCGCCCGCGACGGCACCGAGGGCGACGAGCGCGCCGACGACCGAGCGGCGCTCGAACGCGCCCTGAGCGCCGCTCACGAACGCGTTGCCGCTCTTGCTCTGAGTCGGGAACGGCATGCCGGCCTCGGTGAGCTTGACCGTGACGACGTTGTCGGTCGACATAGAACTCGCGCCCGACGAGAGCGACACGGTCGACGTCGTTGCCGAAAAGGTGACGGTCGGGGTCGTGATGGTCGGGATCTGGACCGAGTAGGTGCGCGTGCCCGTCGACGTCGTGCTCGAGGCCGAGTCGGGGCCGACGGACGACGACGAGGTGGCGAGGTCGGTCGACGAGGAAGTGGACGTCTCGGTCGACGAGACGAGGTCGGACGAGGTCGTCGAGACGATCGTGCCGGCCGCGGCGCAGTAGCCCGACAGGTCTGTGACACGGGACAAAGACAGTCAGTTACTGCGGCGGCACACGAGGGGAGAGAGGAGGCGCGACGCACCCGCCGGTGCCGTGCTCGCGGTCGCGGCGTTGGCGGCGTCGCTCGTGGCGAGGTCGGTGGCGAGGCAGCCCGCACACGTGTCAAAGTTGGAGACAAAGGTCGCGTCGCAGACGCACGCCGAGTAGCCGGCGTCGTCGGTCGGGCCGGGGCAGGTCTGTAGAGGACGCGAGGGTCAGTGGTGCAGGTCGAGGGCGAGAGGGAGCGAGACGAGGGGAGACGCACGGCGAGAGACGAGAGCCAGGTGCCGCAGACGTCCGAGCACGATCCAGGAATGACGGTCGCGAGGGTCTGCTGCTCGGTGTCGACCTCTGCTGCCGTCTGAGCGGCCGCAAGGGACGACAGGGCAACGAGGGCGACGACGGTCGAGGCGAGGCGGAGCATGGCTGGTGGCGAGCCGGTTCGAGGGCGAGATCGGGGGATCGGACGAGGGTACGGGCGAGGTGCGCGAGGGAGGCTTGGTGGAGCTGCTCTGGTGCGAGGCGAGGGCGACAACGGCGAGGGCTGCGCGGTTGGTGTCGAACGAGAGCTCGAATCGGCGGGTCTAGGCAACGACGCTGCGGGCGGGTCCGGCAGGGTCAGTGGCTGGCCTGCAAGGGATCCTGGGACCGAACGAGCCCGTGTCCTGCAGTCCGGAGGGGCGAGCGAGCCGTCGCAGGCGGGCGCGACAAGGGCTCGCAGGACGGGGCGCATCTCTGTGGGACGACGACGGCTCGTGCGAGGGCGAGGGCAGGACGGGTCGACTCACAGAAAGAGGTGCGGCTGGCTGGACTGATGACCGAGTGCGCTGGAGCGAGAGAGCGGGTGGGAATCGAGGTCAAGCTCCGGCACCTTGGTCCTCCTCGCCGTGTTTGAGACGGCGCCTCTCGCTTCCGTCTCGAGTGAGTGTAGTAGTGACCTTGGCCTGTATACGATCTACTAATGAGGCTGCCCGACCCGTCAGCGTAATCCTGAGCGACAGCCGCGAGCACGACGCGGCGGGCTTGATCTCGGTTGACCTCTGTCTCGTCGTCCAACGCTCGCTAGCCGCCAGCAGCTCGTCCCGACTCGAGCCCAGAGCACCAGGGCACGCTCCACGCGCTCACGCCCCCCGCCCTCACCGCCAGGCCCCCAGCGCCCGTCTCTCGTCCTCCCCCGCCGCTCGACGCGTCGTCGTCGGTCCCTCGTCGACCAGCACCTGCTCCGCGATGCGCGTCGTCAAGCCCAGCTGGGTCGCACACCCAGACGAGACCCGCCCGAGCAAGCCCGATTTGACCATCTTCTCGCTCGATGTCCACCCGGACAACTCGCGCCTCGCGACCGGCGGCCTCGACTCGCTCGTCCGCATCTGGTCCACCGTCCCCATCCTCCACGAGCAGGCCCAGGACGATGCCCGCTGCCCAAAGCTCCTCTCGACCCTGTCGGCCCACACCGGTGCGCCCTCTCCTCCCCCTCCTCCTGCCCCCTCCTCGAGGTTCCCCCTCCCCGACATCACTGACTCGTACCTCCCACCGTACAGGCGTCGTCATGTCGGTCCGCTGGAACAACGCCGGCTCGTACCTCGCGTCGGGCTCGGATGACCGCGTCGTCATGATCTGGTCCCACGAGGGGTCCGTCCTCTCTTCCTCGTCGAACGAGTCCCTCCCTTCTGGCCCCTCGCTCACCTTTGTTCCCCCTTTTGACTCGCAGCGGCGGCGGCGGCAAGGTCTGGGGCACCGACACGACCAACGTCGAGAATTGGAAGGCCGTTCGGCGCCTCGTCGGGCACAACTCGGGTCCGCTCTTTGTCCCATCTCGAGCGTACCAGACGTCGGCCTGACCCTCATCACGGCCCTCGCAGACGTCGCCGGTGTCGCGTGGAGCCCCGACGACACCTACTGCGCCTCGGTCGGTCTCGACAACGTCGTCCTCGTCTGGTCGGGCCAAACTTTCGGTACGCTCGCTCTCCTCCTTGTCTTTCCTTCCGCCGACGCCGAGAGAGTCGTCGCTCACTTCCTTGTCCTGACCGCAGACCTCGTCCGCAAGCTCGACGGCCACCAGGGCTTCGTCAAGGGCGTCGTCTTCGACCCGGTCGGCCAGTTTCTCGCGACCCAGGCCGACGACAACTCGCTCAAGGTGTGGCGCACCGACGACTGGCAGCTGCACAAGGACATCCGCGAGCCGTTCGTCGACGCGCCCAAGGCGACCCTCATCCGCCCGGCATGGTCGCCCGACGGCGCCTACATCGTCACGCCCAACTCGATGAACGGCCCCGTCTTCTGCGCTTCTGTCATCGACCGCACGTCGTGGACGGCGACGGCGTCGCTCATCGGCCACCAGGACATCGTGCAGGCGGCCGCCTACTGCCCGCTCCTGTTCATGCGCGACCCGAGCGTGCCGCCGTCGCTCGCCAACACGTGTTCGCTCCTCGCCCTGTGCGCCCAGGGCACCATCTCGCTGTGGTTCACCGACGTCTCGGAGCCGTTCGCCGTCTTTGCCGACCTGTTCGACCGCGACGTCCTCGACTTGTCGTGGTCGCGCGACGGCACCCAGCTGTGGGCCTCGTCGTCGGACGGCCAGATCGCCGTCCTCGAGTTTGCCCTCGCCGAGTTTGCGACCGTCTCGCCCGAGGGCACCAAGGACATCATCCACGAGTCGTACGGCTTCAAGCCTCGCAACCGCCCGGTCCTGTCGGCCCAGTCGTCGCTCCAGCTCGGTCGGCCGGCAACGCCCAACCCGAACGAGGGCTCCATGTCGCAGCCCAAGATGCTCGTCGCGCGCAAAGGTCCCGGCGCCAAGCGTCCGCGCACGGTCCAGCTCGTGCAGCCGGCGCCCCTCGTCGTTGGCGCGGCCGGAGCGGCGGCGCCCGCCGCCAACCCGTTCGTCTCGGCGCCGACCTTCCCGGGCCAAGCGCCGCCCCTCGCAGGAGCGGCAGCGCCCAACGCGTTCGCGAGCACGTCGGCGCAGCCGTATGCGGCCCCACTGCCGGGCTTTGGCGCTCCTGCGCCGCCCGGCTTCGGCGCGCCTCAGCCGGTCAACGACCTCACGGCGTCGCGCAAGCGCAAGGCGTCGCATGCGCCCCTGCACAACGGCGGCGCCGACACGCACCCGTACCCGTACCCGCCACCGCCGCAAGGCTACCCGTACCCTCCTCCCGGCTACCCGTACCCGCACCCGGCGCAGTACGACCCTGCCGCCGCCGGTCCTCGACCGCCCGAGGTCGCCGGCTACGGCACGGCGCCGCGCATCTCGTCCGCCGACTACCGCCTCAAGGGCCACACGCTCGGCGAGCGCGCAGCCGCCGGCCCGGCGCAGCTCGACGACGCCGACAAGCGCGAGCTCGTGCCGGCGTACGCGCTCTACGACCGCGAGGTGACGTTCCGGGTGTCGAACCGGGTCGGCGAGGGCGAGGGCGGCGAGCGCGAGCGCAAGAGGAGGGCACTCGCCGTGCCGGCCGTCGTCACTCACGGCCGGCTCGGCGTCGAGGACGAGGCCAAGGACACGTTCGAGTTCCGGAACTTTGGCGAGGGATCTCGTGCGTCTCTCTTTCTCTTCTCTGTCGAAGCGTCGGGCGGGGCCTGACCGAACGAGCGGGACTGACTCGGGCCCGAGCGTCTTTGCAGGCAAGGGCGAGAGCGAGGTGACGGTGACGACGGCCAAGAAGGCGCTCTGGATCGACTACTTGCCCAAGTACGTCGTCTGCGCGGCGGGAAGCCCGGTCTTTACGGCCGTGTGCCTCGAGGACGCGAGCTTGGTCGCCTGGAGCCCGACGGGCAGAAGGTGCGCCCGCTCTTTCGCCTTTCCCTCTCTCGCTCTCCCGTTCCCACTCTCCTTCCTCCCGACTCTCTCGAAATGACGTGGCACTGACACCGTCCACCTGCGCAACAGGCTCATCCCGACGCTCGTCCTCGACGCACCGTGCTCGTTCCTCGTCGCCGAGGGCCCGTACCTTCTCGCCCTGACGGCGCTCGGCACCCTCATCGTCTGGAACCTGTCGCCCTCGATCCCCAAGCCGCGCTCGATCTACCCTCCCCTCAACATCTCGGCCCTCCTCTCGTCGGCCGCCACCCGTCGCGACCCCACCCCGACCATCACGACGAGCGCGCTCCTCCCCAACGGCACGCCCCTTCTCGCGCTCTCGACGGGCGCCACCTTCAGCTACGACGCCGACCTCGCGAGCTGGACTCGCGTGTGCGAGCCCTGGTGGGCGCGCTCCGAGGCATGGGAGGGCCGGCGCGGCCGGCACGCGGCGGCGAGCCACGGCGGGCGCGGCATCGTCAAGAACATCGAGGGCGCCGTGAACGAGATCGTCGTCGACGAGCAGGCGCGCAGGGACCGCGAGGGCGACCTCGGCTCGGACGCGCCGAGCGAGTCGGCGACCGAGGTCGGCGACGAGTCGGCCGCCAAGGAGAACGGCGACGTCGAGATGGGCGAGGACGGCGCGACGACGGGCCTCAACGGCGCGTCGGCAGCAGCGGCGGCGGTCAAGGGCAAGGGCAAGGCGGCAGACGGCGACGAGCTGGCGAGCCCGGCGACGACGCCCGCACCGACGCCGGCCAAGCGCCCTGTTCCGCAAGGCGCCCCGCAGGCGCCGAGCGGCGACTCGGACCAGTACCGCATCGCCGTCGCGCTCGCTCATCTCGAGACGCGCCTCAACGCCGCCGTCGCCCTCGACTCGCCGAGCGAGTACCGCATCTTCCTGCTCCAGTACGCCAAGAAGCTCGCCGACGAGGGTCTGCGGAGCAAGGCCGAGGAGCTCGTGCGAGAACTGCTCGGGCCCATCTACTAGTGCGTCCCCTCTCGCTCTCCTCGTCGGCCTCGTCGAGCCTGTCACTCACCGCACGATTCGTCTGTCCGCCCACAGCAAGCCGGGCAAGAAGGACGGCGACGAGTGGAACGCGACCATCCTCGGGCTCTCAAAGCGTGACCTCTTGCGCGACGTCCTGCGCGAGCTCTGTGCGTCCTTGCCGAACCTCTCTCCAGTCCTTCCCTCGCGCCGGGCCCTGACTTCCCTTGCTCTCTCGCTCGCAGCCAAGCAGCGCGTCACGGCGCCTCTCGCGTCCGAGTTTCAGGACGTTCTCAAGAAGATCTCGGCAGCATGACGAGGAGGAGAGGACGAGGGAGGGGGATCCGCTTGCGAGGGAGGAGGAGGCCTGTTGTAGCTCGAAGAGGAGACGTGGCCTGCAGCTTGATCTCGTTGCACGCGCAGCTCGACAGGGAGGATCTACACAAGTCTACGCGAGCGCGACGCCGCGCAGGAAGGCGAGCGTGCCGAGGTTGTAGTGCGTCAAGTCGATGAGCCGCTCGGCCTCCTTTTTCTGCTCGGCCTGGATCGCCTCGAGCGCGCCGCGCGTCTCGTGGTTGGTGACGAGAAGGTCGCCGTGCACGCGCAGGAAGACGGCGAGGAAGGTCTGGCACGCCTCGAAGTCGCGGTGCGAGCGCAGGCGCTGCAGGAGGGCGTGGAGGAACGAGTCGAGGTGCGGGATGGTCGACAGGGAGCGGATCTCGAGGTCGACGTTGGACGGCGACAGCGCCTTGAGGTACTCGAAGAAGCCCTGGTCTGCGCATGTCAAACGAGAGAGTCAGTGAGGGTCGCAAGAGTAGAGGAAAGAGAGGACGGGAGAGGGGACGCACAGCTGCCCTCGCGCTTCTCGCTCGTCATGCGCCCCACAAACTCGGTCTCGATGCTCGAGCCCATCGCAAAGTCGAGCTTGCGCTTGTCCGGCGCGGCACCGGCCTCGGCCTTCTTGTCCTTGTCGCCTGCCGCGCCGCCGCCAAAGTCGAAGCGCGTGTCGACGCCGGGAAGCGTCGGGAGGAAAAACGGCGCGCGCTCGGGCGCTTTAGGCGCCTCCTTGGGCTTGTTGCGCGCCTTGATCGTCTCGAGGTTGAGGAGGGTCGCCCATCGGGAGCGCGGCATGAGCGACAGGGTGAGAAGCGAGTCGGCGAGCTGGTCCGGGGTCGTGTGCGGCTGGATGTCCTCCCACTTGCTCGGCGCGGTGACGGCGGACAGAGCTGCGAGTCATACATGCGTGAGTAAACGACATGGGCAAAGGAGATGGAGGGAGGGACGCACAGGCATCGGCATCGACCCCCTGCACCGTCGGGAGCGCGACCTCGTCCAACGTCTCCTCCTCGACGAAAGACAGGAGCGACACGTCGGCGAACTGGGCCCGGTTGGCCCACAGGTAGATGCCGACGCTGTCGACGTGGGTCGAGGCGAGGAAGTCGCCCGTCGGCGAGAAGTGACGCTCGTCGCGACCGTGCGGGTGCGGAACGCGTCGATGAGCTGGCCCGTCGGGACGTCGAACGTGCGGATGACCGAGTCTTGCGAGGTGACGAGGACCCATCGCGAGTCGGGAGAGAAGGCCTGAGTGCGAAGAAAGGCCAAGTCAGGCGTGTCCTGCTCGAGGAGGGGAACGAGCGCGACGCACAATGTCGAGGATGCGCCCTCGCGGGCCCACGAGCTCACGAACGACTCGTCGAGTCTCGATGTCGACGATGCGGACGACGAGGTCGTCGCAGACGACGGCGAGGAGGCCGTTGTCGCGCTGGAGGAGGATCGACGTGACCGACGCCTTGAGCGACAGGGTCGACAGTAGCCGCATGGTCTGGAAGTCGAAGAACTGCGAGACGAGAAGGAGGGTCAGTACGGGCCAAAGAGAAGGGGAGAACGTAGGGACGCACGTGCAGAGCACCCTTGAGCGTCGAGACGATGACGACCCGGTTGAGCGCGTCGACCGACACGCCCGTCACGTGTCGCCCGCGCACGTCGTTGACGCCGGCGTGCGGCACCTTGAATGACTTGCGCTTGATGCCCGACTGCATGTTGAACAGGACGACGTCGCCCGCCTGCGACCCGACGAGGCCAAAGTTGCCGCACGCCGTCACGCACGACACGGTCGCCTTGCCGTCGGTCGCGCACGTGAACTTGCCGGCCCGCTTGTTCTCGACGGACCAGGTACGGCCGAGCGACTCGTCGGCCGAGACCGAGACGACGTCGTCCCAGTCGCGAGAGCGCGACGTCGAGTACGAGAGCGAGGTGACGAGTGGGAGCTTGAGCGAGGACGGCCGGACGTCGAGACGAGTCGCTTTGCGCGCGATAGAGCCTGCGTAGAGGTCGAGGTGAGTGTCAGGACCGGGAGGAGGGAAGAGGGCGGGCAGGCGACGCACCCTGCGAGAGCTCGAAGCCACGCGAATCTCGGACGACGCTCGTGTACCGGACCGAGCGGTCGGCGCCGGCTGTCAAGAGCGACTTGCCGTCGTCGCCGTAGTAGCGAACGAGGTGCGGCGGAGCGTGGTGGCCCGAACGCTGCTTGAGGAGACGAGGTGCCGAGGTCGGCGTGTCGAGGAGCCATTGCTGCGGCCAAAGAGAGGTCAGGTGCGGGCGCGAGGGGGAGGTGAGGTGACAGAGTGACGCACCTTGAGCGAGTTGTCGCCGGCGCTCGTCACCATGAGCGGCTGGCCGGGCACCCACTCGAGGCCGCCGACTGGACCCTCGTGCGCGTTGCGGACGAGGTGCAGCAGGCGCATCTGGTTGGACAGGTCGAACAGGGCGACGTGGCCCGACGTCGACGCGATCGAGAGCGTCTGCGCCTCGTCGTCGGTGCGGAACGCGACGCCTGCGACCTCGCCTGCGCCCTCGCCTTCGAGGCGCACCTTGCCCATGACCTCGCCGAGGCGCACGTCGAACAGGATGCAGGCGCCGCTCGCGAGGCCGACGCCGAGGACGTCGATGGCGGGCGACTGGGCGATGGCGGTGACGGCGGACGGGGAGGACGTGCCGCAGATGGCCGAGGGCGAGAAGGTGTGGATGCACGAGCTGCGCGATGGGGCGAGTCAGTCCCGCTTCGGCCGGAAGGTGACAAGGAGAGAGCCACGCACCCAGTACGAACGTTCCAGACGGCGAGAGCGCCCTCCTTGCTGCCGACGACGACCTTGTTGAGGTAGCTCGCCGGGTGGACGACCTTGGTCGCCGAGAAGCCGTCGGGGAACTCGAGCGTCGCGTACGGCGTGACAGCGCCGTCCTCCTCCTCGCTCTCGTCCGTCTCGCTGCCGCCGTCTGCGGCCTCGGCGTCGCCGTGCGCCGCCTTGCCGTTCGAGGCGAGCGGGTCCTTCGACGCCGGCTTGACGTAAGGCGGCACGTCCCACACGTACATGCGCTTGCCGGTCGACGACAGGGCAACGAGCGTGTTGCCGAAAAGGATGAGGTTGCCGAGCGACTCGGGCTGGGACGAAGGGTCGGTGTCGTCGTCGTCGTCGTCGTCGTCGTCGTCGTCGTCGTCCGAGTCGCTGGCCGCCGACGACGAGGCCGACGACGATGCGCTCGAGCTCGACGAGGTTGCGTTCGACTCGCTCTCGCTGTCGTACGTGGGCAGACCGCCGACGACAAAGCGGCCGACCTCCTTGCCGCGTACGTAACGCCCGACGAAGTCGCCCGCGGCGGCAAAGACGCTCTCGTTGAGGACGGCGAGGCTCGAGATCTCCTTGCCCATGTCGGGACCTGCAAGGCGGTGAACGAGGGTTAGCTCACGTGCACTAGAAAGGCTCGGCCGGGACGAGGGAGAGAGGCGAGCGCACCGACGAAGAGGAGCCGCATCGACTGGCCGTCCCACATGGCCCACGACCGGCCGAGGCTCGTGATGAGGGTGAGGGCCGGCTGCTCGAGGTACTTGCTCGACCGGCTCTGGAGCACGAACGGCGTGGCGGTGCTCACATGGCCGAGCGACCGGAAGGGCGCGAACAGCGACTCGCGCTTGGGCGGGGTCGGGAGGGCGACGGCGGCCGCAGGCTGGACGCGGGCGCGCTTGGCGGGTCGAGAGGAGCTCGCCATGGTGTCTGGGCTAGTCGGAGAAGCCTCAGAGGGTGGCGACGAGCGGTGGTCGAGCCGGACTCGAAGTCGAGCTCATCTCGGCGGCTCGAGTCGCTCTTGGGCGCACGTGCACCGAAATGGCTCTCTTGCTCTCTCTCTCTCGGGCTCGCTCGATGTCTGCGGGAACGGAGACTGCAGTGATACTACGAAGGGAGGCTACGGTACAACGGGTGGACACTGCGAGAGAGGCGAAAGCGAGTCGACGGCGAGAGGCTCAGTCGCCCATGGGCGAGCTGCGGACGGCGGCGAGAGCGTGAGTGCATGCCCTTGACGAGATGAGGCGGGTACCCAGCAGCCTTGGCATGCTGAGGGCCCGCCGATCGAGAAAAGGGAGGCGCCGACGTACCCGTTCGAGTCGTCGCCGATACCGTCGAGGAGCGAGTAGCTCTTCTGCAGGACGCACTCGCCGCCGTTCTCGAGGTCGATCGCGTACGAGTAGAAGACGCCTTCAGACGTGACGACCATGACCTGCGGCGACGTGCTGCGAGAGGGCACCGGCGGGTCGTCAGGACGAGTCTCAGGGCGAGGGGAAGGACCGTGCGAGGACGAGGGACGAAGTGGACGGACCCAGAGAGGGCGACGACGCTCTTGACGCCCGACGTCGGCACCTTGAGGTAGGCAAAGTCGCGCTGCGGGTCCCAGATGCCCGTCACGGCGCCGGGCAGAAAGCCGCCGACCGAGCCGGCGAGGCCGCGCCCGAGCGAGAGCGACTTTTTCCGCAGGGTGCCGCTGCGCACGAGGACGAGGATGTCAGTCGACCCGACACACTTGCAGAGACGCATGAGTCGGGAGGAGGTAGGAGAATCGAGCCGACGCACCCGACGCCGCCCTGGTTCGAGTTGCGCTTGCTCTCGATGAGGGCATCGTACCCTCCCGGCAGTGCGCCGTCGCCGCCGTTGCGCGCGCCGCTCGCGGCCGACCCAAAGCGGTCCTGCTCGTCCCAGTCGGGCGCCGCCGCCTTGCCCTTGGCGCCTGCGGCGCCGCTCGAGCCCGACACGAGCTTGAATATGTGGACCGTCTCGGTGTCCGAGCTGACGCACAGGAGCGTGCTCGCCGCGTTGAACGCGATGCTGTAGATCTTGGCCGGGTAACTGCCGCGGCGGAACTCGTGCACCTGTCGCCGTTGGGGACGCTGAAGACGCGAATCACGGTCCCCTTGTCGCTCGCCGTCGCGAGGAGCGTGCCGGCACTGTTGAGCGCGACATGAGCGACGGGCGCCTTGTGCGCCTGGATGATGTTGGTGACCGAGAGCGAGACGGCGTCGAACAGGAGGACGTCGCCGGACGAGTTGCTCGCCGCGCTCGATGACGAAGGCGGGGTCGTCGAGAAAGGCGTGGCGGGCGACGGGAGCGGTGACGGGTACGCGAGGTAGCTGTTCTCGGACGATGGCGACAGGGCGCAGATGGCTGTGGGCGTGCGCGCGCGCGAGAGTCAGTGTCCGGGTCGGGGACAAAGGACCGAGGGAGAGAGGGGGACGCACCTTGCGGGTTCGGGCTCGTCTCGATCTCGTGCAAGAGCTTCATGTTGCTGATGTCGTAGACGTAGATGCGCTCCTCGAGGACGACGACGAGTCGTCGCCGGTTGAGCTTGACGGCGAGGATCGTGGTCGGAAAGGTCAACTCGCAGATGGTCGATTGCCGCTGCGGGGGCCGAGGTAGGTCAGTACTGCGTGCGAGCGTGCGAGGATGCGAGACGAAGGAAGAGGGCAAGGGGGCGCACCTTGGTGTTGACGATCTGAAGGCGGCGAGTGCTCGAAGCCGGGCGGTCGCCTGCGCCGACGAGGGCGACGAGCGAGGTGCAGAAGAGCATCTCGACGATCGAGGTGGCGCCGTCACTGCGGCCGTACACCTTGCCGAACGGATCGCAGTTGGTGATGGTGTAGCCCTTGCGCGAGCCGGTCGCGATGCAGGTCGAGTCCTGGTTGAACGAGACGCTGAGGAGGTCGGGGTTGCTCTTGATGCCGCCACGGGCTGCAGACCGAGAGCTGGCCATGCTGTGGAGGGAACGGGCGAGTCAGTACAGGTCCCTCAAGTCGTGACGAGGTGCTGGGCGTCGGCGAGGAGGGAGCAGAGGGAAGTCGCTCGAGACGAGGCCTCGGCCGCACAAGTTGCGCGACGCACACCGGCGACGAAGGTGTGGCGTGGAGAGGAGGCTCTGGCGGGGCAGGGCTGGCTCGATTGGGCTCGCGCGCGTGCTGGCCGTCGTGCGCTCGCGCTCACTCCCCCCTCGCCGCCGCTCGACCGCCAACCCCCTCGACGGCGCGGTTACGGCAGGGCGAGGGCACAGTGATCCCGACGAGGCGTAGAGCGTGCCCAGTGGGACGGTGCTGGTGTCGCAGAGGGAGGCACGACGGGGGTCGGATGACGGGTGGGGGAGCTCACACTGGACGAAGATGGGGCTGGCTGTTGGGCGTGTGTAGGTGTCGCTGAGAGGTGGTGAGGCTGATGCAGGCTGCTCGTGGGTAGATCTGCGCAGCCGGTGCGAGTCGGTTGGACGAGAGAAGCAGCGAGTCGACGACGACGACGACGTGACTGTCCGGCAGCTCTGAGGGTTGGCCCCTGTCGCTCTCTCGCTACGCTGCGACGAGTCGGGCTGCACCGACTGTACCACCCACACCGACTCACCGACCGACCGACCATGAGCTTCCCGAGCCAGGCGCACCACCCGCACCCTCCTCTCGCCGGCCGACCGCCCAACTCGCACCTGATCCACACCAGCCCGTACCTCCCGCCAGGTCTCGAACTCGTTCAGGCTCACTGGTACTGCCGCCACGGCGAGCGTGCCCGTCAGTCACCACCCTCGTCGCCCTCCCCCTTCCCCTCGTTCCTCTGTGCGACCGGCTCGACCGGCAACTCGACCACAGCTCGACGAGCCTCGCACTGACTCTCGACTCGCTCGTAACCCCGTTGCAGCTGTTCGCCAGCGACTCGTCGGCGTCGGCGACATCCCGCCCGTCTTCTCCCTGTGCTCGGTCGGCCGCGAGTTCCGCTCGGCCGTCCTGTCGTTGAGCGCGTCTGCCGCCTCTCCGACGGGCACGGCCGCGCCCCAGACCACGGCGATGGACGTCAGGCGGTGGACCGAGGACGTCGGCGACAGCGCGCGAGGGTACAAGGGCGGGCCGGCCGACTGGTGCGTCCCGTTCGCACGGTCCTCTCGCGTCCATTCCCTGACGATTCGCTCCTCCTGACACACAGCTACTGGGGCGAGTTGACCGACCTCGGCCGTCGCTCCACCCTCGCCCTCGGCGCCATCCTGCGCAGCATCTACGTCCCGCTCGGCTTCCTCCCCGAGACGCTCTCGCCCTCCAACGCCGACCAGGTCTCGTTCCGCTCGACCAACATGCCGCGCACCATCGAGTCGCTTCACCAGATCGTCGAGGGCCTGTGGCCGGCCTCGGCGAGGCAAGACGGCCTCAAGGTCGACTTTCAGCTGCGAGGCTGGCAGGACGAGGACCTGTACCCGAACCAGTCGTGCAGGTGCGTCCCTCTCTCCCTCTCTCCCTCTTTCCCCACATCTCCCGTGCGTCGAGCGCCGACGTCGCTGCTGCG